TGATACGGGTCTTCTTGTTGTCGCGCGCGGCGTTGCCGGCCAATTCGAGGATCTCAGCTGCCAGGTATTCGAGGACGGCTGCGAGGTAGACGGGCGCGCCTGGATGAGGATGTCAGAATTGGTTCCAGAGGATGGGTTGACGGACGACTCACCGGCACCGACACGCTGAGCGTAGTTGCCCTTCCTCAACAGACGGTGCACACGACCGACGGGGAACGCGAGACCGGCCTTGGACGAACGCCTGAGAAGATCATGTCAGTTTGCGCCCGGTGGGAAAGATGGGTGAAAACGCGTTGTTTTGGATACGGAAAACGCGTCAAAGGCGACGGATGGGGGTGAAGGAGTGGTTTCGGTGAAGACTTACGATTGCGCAGTGGATTTGGCACCGCTGGCCTTGCCTCCGGACTTGCCTCCAGTCATTTTGAGTGATGTGGGTGGTGTGGGTGGTTTGAGTGAGGTTGTGGTGTTGTGTGGGTGAGTTGTGGATGGACGTGAGGCTGCTGTGATGGAATGCTGATGGATGAGAGAAGAAGGAGGGAAAAGTGTCGTCGACGGGCGAGGTGCTGTCTTTAAAGCTCTGCCCCACAGTGCGCGCCTGCTGCAATCAAGCCCGCTCAGAGGTTGTTGATTGCGCCCGAACGGGCCTAGCGCCGAATTCACGCGGCAGCCAGAATCAACGCAGCGCAGGCGCAAGTCCTCCCCGCTACATAAACCGCAGCGTCCCCCCAAAACCGCGCTTTTCTCTTCTTTCCATCCACAAACACTCCCACAGCCCACGGTATCCATCACATTCCATCACCAACCCACATCACATCCATCACCCAACCCCAAACCACATCCAAAACCGCGTCGAAATGGCACCAAAGGCAGCTCAAAAGGTACACTCGCCCGATTCTGACTTCATCGCGTTCAATTCACTGACTTGAGCGCTCTCAGACCCCCACCACCGCCGGCAAGGCGCCAGCAGGCAAGGCCCCGGCTGAGAAGAAGGAAGCTGGCAAGAAGACCGCCGCCGCGTCTGGCGAGAAGAAGAAGCGCACCAAGACCAGGAAGGAGACCTACAGCTCCTACATCTACAAGGGTTCGTCGCACTCATCCAGATCTCGTCGCCTGTTCTCAGCGACCTGATCCATCACTTTGAGTCATTACTGACGCGTCATCTGCAGTGCTCAAGCAGGTCCACCCCGACACTGGTATCTCCAACCGCGCCATGTCCATCCTGAACTCCTTTGTCAACGGTAAGCTTCCGATCGCGTCATCCATCTCCATCGCATCATTCTAACATGAATCCCAGACATCTTCGAGCGCGTCGCAACCGAGGCCTCCAAGCTCGCCGCATACAACAAGAAGTCCACCATCTCATCGCGCGAAATCCAGACCTCCGTGCGACTCATCCTGCCCGGCGAGCTCGCCAAGCACGCCGTTTCCGAAGGCACCAAGGCCGTCACCAAGTACTCTTCGTCCACCAAGTAAACGTTGCCTCCTGCAGCAGCGTCCGGCGCGATGTGATGGGTATGGGTGTGTTTTCTGGGGGCTCATGAAAGGTTGTGGCCACGCGGCGTTCTCCGATAATGCGATCATGGGCATGGGTTGTTCCTCTTTTTATCCTTTTTACTGTTGCTCAGATACCATGGCGGCTGCGAGGGGCAGCGACAGCAGCAGTGGCAGGAGAGAGAGCATGAACTGAGTGGTGCTGTAGTATAGAAAGCAGCAGACAGATGATCTTCGGCTTGCGGGCGAAGACGAATGCATGAACTGAACAACAACAACCATTTCACCCACTTCTTCCTTTCATAGCAGCAACATGAACTCACTTTGCAGCATATCCAGCACTGCCGCAACGACGAGCTTGCTGCGAAACCAGCAATTGCAACATGAACAGCGACGTCCGCCTTAGCGCATCGACTGTCCTTCTGCAGCCCATTGTCGCCATCCAAACGGTCAGTGTGGCATGTGCTCTTGTTGACATCCTCCACTAGCGTGTCACCTTCGTGATCCGTACCAAACATCGGGCGAAACAGACGCCAAGCGAAGCCACGTGAGCGAGACAACCAGTCGAGAACCAGACGAAGATCAGAAGATCATGTGAAGGCATCGCATTGCAGCCTTCGTAATCTAGGGTATCATCACCATCTCTCGTCTCGTAATTCATGCACTTGCGTATCCCAACCTTATAACGCAATATCAACACTCCTCCCCGGTCTCATCCCAGGCTTCCACTTCATCCACTGCCCCAGGCCTCTCGTGCCCTCTGCCAGGCGCAAAGCTCGCAGGCTCTGTGTCGTGGATATGCACGATCTGCTTCCCCTCTGCCCCTTCGATACTCTTCCTCAAATCGTCGAACTCCTCCCTGCTTCGCACGAGGAAGCCGATCAGCATGCTCGGATCCATCTCCGTAATACCCAGCCTTCTTACTCTCCTCGTATGACACGCCTCCACCTCCTCCTCCGTCGGATCTGCGGAGAGTAACGGGCGAGTGGAGTGCGGATCCAGATAGAAGAACTGGTCGCCTTGATGGCCGATGAAGTAATGCGAAGCGCTCGGTCTTCCGCCCGCGATTCCCACACTCTGCGGCATGGAGAGGGCACGTTTGAGGGCTGCGTGGTAGACGGGCGTGATGCGGTCGATGCCCAGGCGGATGCCGAGCACGATTAGGGTGGGTTGAAAGGAGTCGTCGGGGGACTTTTGGGTGGCGGTGGCGAGGAGGGAGGAGGTGTAGATGTCGCTGTCGTCGGGGCGGGCGTAGACGCGGACATTGGCGGTGGGGTGTTTGTCTGTTAGGGATCTATAGATGATCAGTAACTGGCAGTGCAGAGAGGCTTGAGGTGGGTGCTCACTGTAGACATCGAGCGGCTGCGCTGGGACCGAACCACTCTCCAGGGTGCTTCCCACATGCCTGCGCTCCATGCTCGACGAAGCGGTGTATGCTGAAGGGCGCTTGGGGCGTATCGGCGAACATTGCAAGCAGATCACGATGTGCCTGGGTCTGCTCCCCCTTCCTCCAATCCCTGCCCAGCTGCAAAATCGCCAGTGTATTCGCCAACAAGCTCTGCCCGCTTCTTATCATGCACCCCCAGCCGGTATCACTCGAAAAGCCACCTTGATTGCCCAGATTCCGTAGCTTGGTAGCAAAGGACATACCCGAAGCTGCAGCAGAGTCTGGTGATCTCGCTATGGGCGAGAAGTTGCTTCGGTAGGTCAACCATATCCTGCTCTCCAGATCGTCCAGGAACTCTGGCGGCCATCCCAGTGCTTCTTCCTCCGATCTGGTGAGATCTGCCTGGCTCTTCGCAAGTGCTTCCGTGCGTGTCTCATCTTCTTCACCTTTCGCAGGCTTGCTGTCGGTGACTACAGCGGAGTCTGCTTGCGAAGTGCTCGAGTCGGACTGCGCGGAGGGAGAAGCGCCCAAGAGCTTCGGCTGTCGAGCTTCCTGGTAGCGGGAGTCATACGACCGGCCCAGGCACCATATCGGCGAGGAGTCTTCGTTCTTTGGCAGAGGGTCCCAGAAGTACTGCACCACCTTTCTGCTGAAGCGGGCAAAGTCTGCCTGGGCCATGTTGGTGTCTTCCTCTGCGGTGGGCAGCTGAGGGCGTTAGGTCGTCAAGCTAAGGGAGGGGTAGAATGTTGGCTTGTGTCGTTTGCTGAAGAGGCTCCTAGGATGGTCTCGCCGTCAGTATCGATCGTGCATGGCTTCTCTTTCGTTACGACATTAGGCGGTATGGATCATGTCAGGTACGGAGAGCAGTCGTTGCCTTGCTGGTGATGCTGGCCCATCGACGCTACACCTGCCGCATGAAGACGTGGGGTTGGCGCTACTGCAGGTGGATCGGATGACGGATGACATGTGAGAGACTCTGGCTCATCCTCAGGTACTTCGAGTGTCGTTGTCTGCACCTACACCTCCCTTTCTATACCATTCTTGCTTGTAAGGGGCCGTTGGCGGTTAGTTGGAGGTTTGGAGGAGCTGTAGTTGCTGCTCGCCACGATGGGCAAGAAGAACAAGTCCAAGGCGCCCAAGGGCAGAGCTGCGGCGAAACAGAAGGCGAAGAAGAACAGTCCTGGAGGCGGCGCATCCTACTCGTCTCCCATGACCAGAATATCAAAGCAGGCCTGGTTCGACGATGATGGTAGGTCGGCGATGGCCGTCGTTCTTTCCACGTGCTAAAGCGGGCAGATGACGACCTCGCTCCTTCCTTTAGAGGCTTCGCCCAGACAAACACCTCGACGCCGCGAAAAGATTTCAACTCCCGCACGCCCACTGTCAACCTACGCCACCAGTCAATCGCCTTTGTCAGCGGCGGTACGAACACCCCTAAGGAGTTCCAACCCAAGCCCGAGGCAGCAGAGGCAGCAGACGAGAGCGAGGAGGAAGAAGACGAGGACGAGGATGATGAAGGATTAGAAGACAGCAAAATTGAGACCAACATTCTTATGTACACTGACGAAGAGATCTCGGAGGGAGCCATGGCCAACATGAACATCAATAGCTCTGCTGAGGCCACTGGACCAGAGACAGGGAACACCAACCCTGGTGATGTCGACATTGTTATGGACTCCAGTACGGCAAAGCAGGAAGAGTCTGCAGCCACCGATCCGCCGCTTTTCTTTGTAGACACTGAAGGAGACGCCAGTCTTGCAGCGGGGTGGAAGTCGCGAGGGAAGCTACCACGTCGACGCAGTCCATCGCCTACTCCTTCAGACTCAAGCGAAGAAGTCGTCCTCTTTCATGGTCGCCAGCAGCCGGCAAAGACGAACCGGCCAGCACCATCAGTTGCGTCAAGCAATCAGCGCAGCATCCCAGTGCAGTCATCTACGCCCCAATCGAAATTCAACGTCAATGCGCATTCACCTGTGCCTCCTTCGAGCAAAGCAACGCCTTCCAATAGGATTCCAGAGCCAGGCCACCCTCAAACGCCTCATGTCACAGATGATCTCCTAAGAGCTCTGGAACGCCCATCGTCGTCACCGTCGCCACAGCCATCGAACCCAGCCTCCACAAAGGCCATGGGATGGGCTACCCAGATGTCGAAGCAAGATCAAGAGGTCAATATGAACGCGACCTGGGCACCTGCGCCAGCTGGCAGTTGGTGGAAGAAGCCAAAGAAGCGACCAGACCTGGACCCATCACCTGAAGAGCTGTCCGCCGCTGAGGGAACACCGCGAAGCGCTCCCAAAGTTGCCCTTGCTGAACCAAAAGCCGAGGACACGATTGCGTCTCTGCAAGCCGAGTGGAAGGCTGTTCAGCGGGAGAAGCAGCAGGCCAAGCAGAGTCGTGAAGCGGACGAGATCAAGCTCGATTCCCGAGCACCCAAGCCTAAGAGGCGCGGAAAGCGAGGCAGGAAGAAGGACAACCGCTCTATGCGCCAGTCTTTCGATGAAGACGAGGACGAAGATGAAGATGGTGAATCTGCGTACGATGACTACATGGCGAACCTTGCGGCCCAGCTTGACGGTGAAGGCGGTGAAAGCAATGGCAGTACCACGAAGCCCACCGTGTTTGGCGAGTCTTCACTCTTCGTCGACGGCGAGGAGATCGCGGACGACCAGGTGCTGAAGAGTCACTACAAAGTCATGGGAGACGACGATGACGACAGCGATTCGTCATCAGGATACTCTGGTCTGATTGGCCAGGATCTGAGTGAGCTCTCGTCTTCTGGACTCGAGGACGAGCTTGAATACACTGAACGTGAGCAGTGGGAAGACGAAGAAGACCTCCGCCAACGTCGACGCGACAACATGACGGACGAGCAAATCGCGCGCATGTTCGCCAAGCAGCAGGAGTTCGGCTATCACGGTGATGAGCTGATGATTGAGGATGGCGATTTTGAAGACGAAGTTGACGGCGTTGGTGATGTCGAAAGCGCACGTGCCGGGCTGGCAGACATGACCAACTTCGGCCCCGCTCGTTCGAAGCACGGCATGCGAACACGCAGTGGACTCGGCGGCAGACAGGACACGTTCCCAGATGCTTCGATGCTGGCAGACACGGTCGAGCAGTACGGCGAGAATGGCTTCGACATCATGGACCTCGACCGGCCTTCACTCCGGCCAACCAAGAAGGGCAGAAAGGGTCGCCTTCCGCCGGAAGTCGAGGCGCTCTCGGATGATGAGCTTCGCGAAACACTCCGTGACACGTGGTCGAATGATCGCTACAAGAAGAGCGAGAAGAAAGCCGAGCGAGAAGAACAACGCATGCAAGGCCTGCTCTCCGGCACCGGCAAGAAGGGTAAGGCGGATCTGAGCGTGAAGTACGCCTACGGCATCTCGATGGAGCAGGTCCACAGCGAGCTCCGCGTCTTCCTGCTCGACGACGGCCAGCAGTCCCGTCCGTTCCCGCCGATGGACAAGCAAGATCGCAAGACTCTGCACGAGGTCGCCGACAAGCTCAAGTTGAAGTCACGGTCCGTTGGCGCGGGCAAGAATCGCTACCTGACGGTCTACAAGACCGCTCGCACCGCGAATGTGCCCGACGTCATCGATCGCATGCTCGCGATGTCTTCGCAGGGCGCATTCTCACGCGATACGCGGCTGCTGGGTAAGAAGTCGGTTAAGAAGGCCGCGAAGCTGGCTGGCAAGGGACCTGGACGCGGTGGAGGCGGTGCGCCGGCGACTGTGAGGAACGGGGAGATTGTTGGAGCGAATGCGGCGGAGTTAGGGGAGGGGAGCATGGGGCACAAGTTGATGGAGAAGATGGGGTGGAGCAAGGGTATGGCGCTGGGCAAGGAGGGTGAGGGGCGGTTGTTGCCGGTCGAGCAGGTTGTCAGGATCGGCACTGCAGGTCTGGGCGGAAGTGGTGGTCCGAGTCGCTAGGCGCGCAAGGACCTGACTTCACAGCGAGGGTGGATGGCGGAGCAGGGGAATGGGTGAGGCGTGGGCACATGCATGGAGCTGAGAGCATTCACCTGGCCCTGGCCCTGGCCCGGCCGCAAGGGTTAGGGTTGGGGTAGCGACGACGACGATGACTCAAGTGCTGAGGTCGGTATGCTACTCGTAGATGGTCGATGAATAGATAAATCGAAAGGGTTCGCCTTCTATGTATTACCTGGCCTCATTTTATGTGTTCGGGTCGTAATGTGGTAATGCTATCGCCGTTGGGGTGTTTTAGATGTCGATATCAAGCCGAAATCCACAACGTCCACCATCACTGAAGCTGGTCGCCGGTCATTTCTCGGGACAACAACGTACAAAACGCAAAAACGACAGGACACGAGCAAGGGAAGAACACAGTGCCTACAGATGGACCATGCTCAAGATCAAAGAACTTTTACAACGCTCTCTGCCCTCAAGGACGCTCGTCGAGGAGTGAGACCATCGCCATCCCTCCCCTCGCAAGTCTGGTTCAGAACACAACAGCACCAGCTTACAGGTCGCACGATGACAGCGGGAGGTGCACATCGCAGATCACAGACGTGCTGTTAAATTCAGACAGCCTTGTCAGAACGATGTGGAAATTGTCTCGCAACTATAGACATTCGTCGTAGTTCGAGATGCTGCACAATTTGGAAGTGATGCGTCGTCGAACGCAGCAAGGTGTTTGCACCTGCCTGTTTGCCTGCCTGCATTCCTCGCCGAGACTGCGTCGCGCTTGACTCAATAACACGTCCTCCTTCGACTTTTTCCAGCTTCCCGAGACACGCTGCTGGAAAAGACGAATCTTGATTCTCAAGATACGACCACGGCGCCAATTTTCATGTGACAGCGACCGTCCTATCCCTCAACCCTTTGCAACCTGTTACGGCAGAGTACCCTACTTACACAAGGAGCCGCGACCGCCATGTTCTTCACCATGCTGAACCTCGCACTCAGCCTTCTACTCCTAGCGTCCACAGCGGCAGCCGCCACCCTTCCCATGACCACTCGGAAACTCCGTGACCAGCAGATACTTCTCGACTCTGCGCTCGAACCATACCGGCCCACGGAGAGCAGTAGAGGCGAAGCCAGATACCTGGATGCCGACCCGAACACCGTTGGAGTCATTTTCATGAATACCAAGGACGAGGGTGCGCATGTGTGGTTGCCGTTGGGGGTGAGGGTGTTTGTCCGTACGTAATCTCCCCATCTGGACAACATTCCTGCTGTGGTACGAGTGCAGTACAGCTGCTGACAGAGACGCAGGAGAGTCGCGGGTTCTGCCAGTTCGGCCCTTGACCGCTAGGATCACGAGTCTAGTTGGCAATAAATCGCAAAGGGCGAGTAAGGAGGCGCTCGACCGGATCGGGTGTCGCGTGTATCCGAAGTCGAGCGGCGACTTTCCGACGGAAGACGACTTCGCCGTGCACTTCTCCACTGCGGATGATCTGGTCAGGCTGGCGGCGAAGGGTGGCATCGTGGACGGGCTGGACGGCTGGGAGGTAGAAAGTTACGAATGCGAGTAACCTCTTGTGTGCTCGATTGGTATGCCTTGGTGTGCATTGGTGCCCGAAGCCTGCGGTTGCGCAGGGACGATCCTCAATCAGCCACGCATGGCTTTGGTGAATATCGACCTGAATACCACGGATATCTTCATGCGGGCTCTCTGGGGGCCATGCCAACCATCTCGTAGCTGCCGGCTCCATCCTTCCCTCTACCACCTCTCCCTCCACCCATCTCATAGCCCTCCCCTTGCTCAGCGTCCGGCGGACGCCCGTCCGCAATGTCATCAGTGGCTGGTGCCTTGCCCTTCCCTTTGTTGTTGCTGCCTTGACCTCCAAACGCCATTGGCTTCAGCTCCCGCCATCGGCACGCCCATATTCCCAGCGCGATCATCAAAGCCGAGGAGGCTATCTGTAGTCCCCACCAGTAGACGTTCGTCGGTATCGAGCGGGTGTAGACGGTGGTGACTACCAGGTTGATCACGTGGACGGTCAGGGCGAAGTCGGGGACGAGTTTCGAGCGAGCTATGAGTAGGAGGATTGGAATGACACTAGAACATGGGATTTCATCAGTTCTGTCCTGGACATTCGCACACAGTGGGTGAGGAAGTCGGTCTGACATACGTGATCAAGCTATCAAGCATCCAGCATAAACCCAGCGTCCACCCCGTCGTTACATCTCCACGCAGATTCCGCCAGTCCAGCAGCAGTCCAGCATCGGGATGACGACCGGCGACAAAGGTAGTGAAGACGATTAGGACCAAAGCAACGCCATAGTATGAGGCTTGCAGGGCGACTATCTGCGTGAAGATGCGCAGAGGTGCCAGGTCGGCTAACGCGCCGGGTCGGGGAGGGCGGCGGCGGCGAGCCATAGTCGGTGGAGAGGAGGTGCTATCGTGTACGGCGGAGGGGAGGCATCGTCGTGGTCGTGGTGAAAAGGGGACGTCTCGCTTCCCTTTGTTCGCCTCGTCTCGTCGTCGAGAACAGTCAGCGGCGATCTTGCCCGATTGGGAGCACGTCCAAACGTCCACCCCAAGCGGAGCTTGTCGAGGTACCGCACATGCACCTTCGACATCCTCCACCTGATTGAGCCTCCTACATCCCCCCTCTTGCCTGGTCCAACATGGCACACGTCGACCAGGACCAAATAGAAGGCATCTACCAGCCCAAGGATGCCGTGGGCGCCGCCATCAAAGCGACCGGCGTCACCTCCCTCGCCGGCCTGTTCGTCTCGACCATTCAGAACACCTTGACCAAGCAGAATGTCGGCGCATTCAGTGTGTTCACGAGGACTGGAGGGACAATCGCTGTATTCGGTAGGTCTTGAGAAGCGTGCTCCTGGGGGGTGGGGGAAGGACACATGGGGAAGAGAGAGCGGTCCAAGGGCAGGCCATTGGGTATTTTCTGAGCATATGCTAATACTGGGATACTACTAGCGGCCATGGGTGGCTCATACGAGTTCTTCAAATGCGCCTCCGCCAATCTACGAGAAAAGGACGACGCCTACAACTCCTCCATCGGCGGATTCGTAGCTGGCTCAATGCTGGGGTTGCGATGTGCGTGCTCCCCCAGATGCTTACTATGCTCCTCTAACATGTCCTGTCAGTCCGATCTGCCCCTTCAGTCCTCGGCTACGGCTCCGCGCTCGCGATCATCCTCGGCGCCTTCACATACACTGGCGGCCACTTGATGGGCTACAGCCGAGACCCCAACGTCGACGAAGTGTCGCGGAAAGAGTACCTGCGGAAGAACAGGCGGAGACCTATCGAGGAGACGGTGCATCAGCTTGGAGAGGGAAGAGGGGTGTCTGCGCCAGGGTATGCGGAGAGGAGGGCAGAGAGGATCAGGGAGGCGTATGGAATCGATGTTACGAAGGCGCCGATCAGCGGGGTCGGGCAGCCTGGGTCAAGAGAGGCTCAGGCGACGTCGTGAGGGACTTACAGGGAGAGTGAGAGGGGCCAGCCGGGCGGCACGGTCTGGATCGTCTTGTACATATATTACAGACTACGAAGCTGGGAAGGCAACGGCCTAGAAGTAGCTCTAGCAAACCGAAACCAACTTACAACCCAGTCCCTTTCAGGCTCAACTGTGATGTCGAGGAAAGAGGGCACTGTTGCACCAACTCTCATAGGCACTGACAGCACCAGTTATTTCGTATCTCAGAAGGCTTATGGCCTGTGTCGACCAGAGACAATTGACATGTGAAAATACGGCGCCAGCTTGAAGTAAGATACACTGCTGTATTGCTGCTATCTAACAGCGGCACCTCCCAGGACTCCTCATACGCCAGGCCGCCTGTTGATGGTATATACAGAGGCGCTCAAGCTTCTTGCTGTCCCCCCAATACTGAAACGCCTATTTCGTCACACGCGAAGGTGTCACTGCATATGTCGGCCGTACGAATCTAGACACACATCCGGTATTAGCATCGCTGGCTTGTCCTCGACCAGCCGCAACACATACCGATCAGAGTTATACGCCTTCGTCTCAGCGCCCAATAGCTCCTTCTCCAACGCCTGCTGCGAGTAGAAGCGCCGCACCTGATCCCGGTCCTCCTCAGCTTGTAATAACGGGATCAGATGGATCCGTGACCACATCTTCTCTCGCGCCAGCTCGCTGCCATCTTGTTAGCTCCTCCTGTCCCGCGCCTCAGTCCTTTCTGAGATTTGACACGCACTTCTGTTCCCTAATGCCCTTCCCAAATCTGTAGAAGCCGTACACCATCACTCCCGCAACGCCGAGCAGGTAGTATGCGGGTCGGAAGCCGCGTACGGGGAGGTTCCGGCGGTATTGGACGGGCTCGTAGCCTCCGGAGGGAGGCATGTCTTGAGGCATGGTTGCGGTGCTTTGTGGCCGGTGGCCTGTATCCGGGTGAGGGTGGTGTTGTGCGCGTCCGTGTTTAATGGCTGTCGACACTCGAGGTGAGGTCGGCGGAGGATCGCTTTGGGTGGAGCTTCGAGGCCCGTGCACCGTTCGTAACCACAGCTCCCGATCAACTCTTTTCAATCTCCGAAAGCAATATAGCAATCCTGCGCAACCACCAACATGGAGGCAGAAGAGCGGCCTATGAAGAGGCGTCGGCTGAGCGAAGAGGAAAAACGAAGCGGCGACGTTGTTCAGCCAGATTCACAACCCACGACCAACTTCATCAGCCCTGATGACGGGGCAAAAGAGGCGCTTCAGGACATCAAGGCCGACGAGCATGCCAACGGAAGTGATGTTCAGAAATCTGGAGCGGTGGCATCGGACAAACTAGTTCTATCGGAAAATGAAAAATTGCCACTACCTGCAGCATCCATTCCAGGCTCACTCGACAAACCGGATGACCCACCGATGTCGAAGAACCAAATGAAGAAACTCCTCAAAAAGCAAGAATGGGAGGCCAAGCGTGAAGACCGAAAGGCATTCCGCAAGGAGAAGAACGTCGCCAAGCGCGAACGCCGTCGTGAGGAACGAAAGCAGCAGCACCAGGAGGCCGTCGACAGTGGCCGTCAGCTAACTCCACAGCCGCTTGTGCAGAAGACTAAACGACAGAGACCGGTCACGCTTCCGACCACGATCTTGTTCGACTGTGACTTCGACGACCTGATGCGGGATAACGAGCGAGTGTCGCTCGCGGCCCAGATCACCAGGAGTTACTCGGATAACAGGAAGTCGATGTTCCGTGCGCACCTCGCTGTTTGTTCGTTCAACGGTAAGCTGAGGGAGAGGTTCGACACCATTTTGACCCATTATAAGGGCTGGAAGGCAATGCGTTTCTTGGATTGCGACTTTGTGGAAGCGGCAGAGAAGGCGAAGGAATGGATGGCAGACGATCAGCATGGCGGGAGGTTGGCTGGGACGTTCTCCACGCTTGTGCCGGACAAGGAGGATAGTGGTGAAGATTCGAAGCAAGATCACGGCGAAGCCATCGCTAAACTCAAGGATGCCGGCGAGATCGTCTACCTCACATCTGAGTCTGAGCATACCCTCACCGAACTCAAACCGTACAGTACGTACATCATCGGCGGCCTCGTCGACAAGAACCGTGAGAAGGGCATCTGCTACAAGCGTGCCAAGCAGAAAGGTATCAAGACTGCCCGGCTGCCGATTGGTGAATTCATGGAAATGCAGAGTCGGAAGGTGTTGGCCACGAACCATGTCAATGAGATCATGGTGAAATGGTTGGAGTGTGGAGATTGGGCGGAGGCATTTATGAAGGCTATTCCGGCGCGAAAGGGGGGTAAATTGAAAGGTGGTCAGGACGAAGATGATGCAGCTGAACATGACCAAGGCGGTGCCGAAGGAGACGACGATGCTGAAGACCAAGATGATGGTGTTGAGATTGCAGAAGAAGAAGCCGATGGAAGCGTCGGACCCTCTGTCCTCGGGGACGAGCCTCAGTCGCACGGTAATAACGAGGCTTCATGATCAGTCGTTTGCATAGCAGAGAACAATCGAATCGGTCTTCGGCCTCCGCGACAAGGTGCTTCATATCAGAAGTATCCTCCAGAAGCGTTTTCACAACGTCTAATCCACCTCCAGACACTCGACTTGCTTCGCTAACCGAGACGGCAATTCAGCAAATCAATGCACAGATGCACTTTTCTCGATGCAGTGGAAGACGAGGACTGGCGAAAGAACGGTTCGTGAGTAATACATGTTACTTAGGTACACTCATTGTGTCACAACGCTTTACTTCGTCGACTGTGGCTGACTGTCGCCTCTCCATCCTCCACCTCCACGCCAGATCCTCCGCTCATCGGCTTCCAAGAGACAAAACTCAAACAGCGTTCATCTTCTCCGCGCCCTTGTAGAAGGACTCCATGGGCTCCAGGTCGCGCTGGAAAAGTGCATATTTCTTGAAGTGCCAGACACCATTCTTCAACTGGTACGAGGAGTGCTTCCAGGTAGGCACGCTGAATACGTGGTCAAGCTCCTCCAGCGTCAACTGCTTCGTCTCAGGCATGAAGAGGAGGACCAGACACCAGAGGATGGCACACCATGCTGCGTACCAGCCGAAAGCGCCTTGTGGCTGGAAGGCTTCGACCAGGAGTGGCCATGTGAGGGCCAGGATGAAGTTGAAGCACTACCAGCTTGTTAGCTGAAGGTCGAGAGAAAGTTTCATGTGGTCTTACCCAAGTCGTTGCAGTTGCGAAAGCCATGCCAACATCTCGCACTTGAATCGGGAAGGACTCAGCGGAGTAGCTGAATGGAACCGGTCCCATACCAGGACTGTAGAAAACCTCGAAGAGATACATTCCCGTGGTGATCATGGCAGTTCTGGTGACCTTCTGCTCCGCCGGAATGAAGAAGGACATGCCGGTCCAGAGCAGTGCGACGCACAGGAACGGGTACGTTATTAATAGAAGGAATCGACGGCCGTAGGTATCAATAGTAAAGAACGCCGGCAGCGCGAAGACCCAGTTGAGGATGCCTGTGCCCATCGAGACCAGCAAGGCCGAGTTCCTGGAATAGCCTCCGTCAAGGAAGATGTTCGTGGAATAATAGGCGATGACCTGGCCTGAGTTAGTATCGATCCGCCAGCACAACCTTGCTGATGGTACGAACGTTGACCTGCGCCCATGTTAGTAAAAACACCAATTGGGGAGGTTGCATCGGTCCAAGACATACTCCGCAGAATTGCTGGCCGAACATCACAATCCAAGTGGCCCAAGTAGCTCGTCTGTTACGCGGAACGCTGAAAAGCTCCCAAAACTGCACGAAGAGATTCTTGTCCTTGTTCACCTTCTTCTCAATCTGAACACCAACAAAGGTGTAGTACGTGTCTCGTGCAGCCTGTACGTCAGTGTTGCGGATGCGCCGGAACTCCCGATATGCCTTGCTGATGCGATCCTTCTCTGTAACGGAGAATATCGTTAGCAGGTGTCTCCGAGATCCATGCTGCAGCCGCGACTGCCACTTCGAGTGACTTGGAAGACTTACGAATGAGCCATCTGAGGGCAGGACGTATAGTCAGCAGATGCTCGTCCATGTCGAAAGCCAAAAGAGCTTACCGAGGAGACTCAGGGCAGAGGTACACCTGAGCCGAAAGAGTCAGCACTAGTTCCGTTGCAACAATTCATCTAGAAGGATAACTCACCTGTCCCATTACGATAACAGGAAGCACCACCGTGCTACCCAGCATGTAGCGCCAGTTGACAGAGTCGGGAAGGCCGCCGAAGGCGACACCCATGATGTTACCAAGCATGATGCCGAACGCAGTCCATACTTGCCACTAGCGCGGAAGAGAGTGTGAGCGATATCTCCGGAACAGAGAAGTGGGCGTGCTACTTACCTGCATAACCAAAGCACCTCGAATGGGCGCTGGAGCGCATCTGCACAGAAGATAGCCGTCAGCTCAGTCTCTTCCCAATGGACGACGTCGTGCCTTACTCTGCGGTATAGACTGGAATAGTACTTGACTTCGCTCCGATGCCGAGGCCAAGGAAGAATCGTGCAGCAAAGAGCTGGCCCCAAGAATAGGTGAAGGCCTCCCAAACAGACGCTGCCGCAGCAATGAAGCACGAGATGAAGATGGTTCCGCGTCGACCGAAGTACCGATTCATGGGTTCGTTCAGCCAGCAACCGAGAACTGCGCAAGCGAGATACGGAGCGCTGACCGCAACACCTTGATAGATCTCGCCCTTGTTTTCGAAGCCGAGTTCCCTCGGATAGATTGCCACGGCTCCGTTGTTGACAGATTCATCCATACCCTGGGTCGCAGCGCCGAGTGAGCACATGCAAACCAGCCAGTAGAGCATCCATGGGTGCTGCCATTTGCGAGTCTTCTCTCTAACGATAGCTTCCTTCTCATCCGGCGTCAAGCCTTCCACATCTGCGCCGTTCGGGGGGTCGCGCGCAATGAGCGCTCCTTTCTGGAATGCGTCCACATGGTCCATGAGGTCGAAGTCAGAGCAAAACTGCTCAACGTCTTTCTTGAGTTGCGACGGTTCGATGCCGGCCAGAGGATTTTCGAAGACAGCGTTGAGCTGCTTGGTGTCTGGGCCAACGTCGAAGACATCGTGACGGGTCTTTTCTTCTGCGCTGCCAACTGAGTCCCTCTTCTCTTCGTGGCCTGGAGAGCCGTGCGAAGACGAGTCCTCTTTCTCCCTTTGGATGTCGGCCATGGTGTCAATACTGAGGTGAATAGTCGAGTTTCAAAGAGAAGGAGAGAAAGAAGAAGAAGTGAGAACAGACGGAAACATCCTTGCCTTTGAACCACGTTGGAATGCGGAGTCTCGGAAATGGTCCTTGTCAGTCCATATGAGGCGCTGGCTTCCTTCGGAGGGGTATGGACAGTAAGTTGGCTTGGCTGTCCAATATGAGCCCTGTCGACCTACCTCACCCTCTCGAAAACAGCCAATGAGATATCGCAGGAGTCGACTTGTAGTTCTTGTCATACCGCAGCTTGCAACGCTCGCGTGATGATCTCCGATGATGAGCAAGCCACTTTCCATACCAGGCGCTCGGCTCAATCGCAGCTGTCGGAGCGAATCTGCACCACGTGAAGTCGCTAGCGTGGCGAAGCTGGTATGCGGGCTGTCGGGCAGGAGACCGATCCCGCATTACGTCGCGTTGGTGCAGATGAAAGGTACGTCGCACATATCCCCGAGGGTGTTGGTCGGAATCACGCCAATGACGAGCATGGCTGCACAACCACCCGCCTTCGGTTGCGTTCCGTGTGACTGCTGACCAGGGTCCTGATCAGCGATCGCCAGCTCACAATCCGGGCAGCCGTGGGCAGATTCCACGGTGCCACGTGGGGATGTTGCAGAGCGGAGGCGATTGACGGTCTTTGGCGTAGGACACTGTCTGTTGAAGACATTTGATGTTGTTTGGATATGTATATGTGTTAGGTGAAGTTCGAAGAATGGTCAAAATTTGGGACTGTCCCAAGGTTCGACGAGGCGCTTGAGGATTGCTTGGGCTGACGAGCACCTTGGCGACCACGACGACGAACGCTTGACGAGACTTCGCACGAGCTTGTGTCCGTGGACGGAAGACACAATGGCAGGCGATGCTCATCACAATTCTATCGACTCCATGCTTGCTAGTCGTACATTGAGGCATCAACAACGAACAGCACACCCTATCCACGCTATGCAGCGTATGCAAAGACCCAACCAACGCCAGGGTATCTTCCGCTATAAACGACCACCGTCACGCCAACCTCACGTAAACTTGCCCTCCAAGAACGTGCCCTCTGGTCGTCTGAACAAATGCGCTTCAGTGTTCAGCACCCAGTCGTCCAGACTCCACTTCTCCGGCTCATCGTACAACAAGTAGAAATACTTCAGCGTCTCAGCCAGCCAGAAACTCTCCTCCTGATCCAGCATCTCGGGCGCCGCCTTCGTGATGTCGTCGATTGCCGAGTTGCCATGTAGCGCTCGAGTATGACTGTCGATGGACGTGAACATGTCCCAGCCCACGTCGCGCCAGTGCTGGTCCCCAGTGATGCGGTACATGTAGAAGACCGACTCAATGGCTTCCGGCCGGAGGATGTAGCCGCGATGCGTGATGCGGGTATAGCCAGGCGGGAGACGCTCATCCTCGATCTTGGCCTTGACAAACGCTTCGTGGGTCATCGGCTCTTCAGTGTAGTCCGCAACAGCGCCACCACGCACCTTGGGCTTTTCCGCTGGTGGCAGTGGCTCCGGAACTGATGGAGCAGCAGGCATGTCTGGCTCTTCGGCGCCAGGCGCTACGAGCTGTCGTTTCACGATGCTGGGCGAAGCCTGGCCATCATCTGCTCCCCGCTTGATGAAACTGGGCTGAGGCTTCTGAGGCCCGACGATGGTGTCGTCAGGCTTGTCAGAGTCTTCATCCTTGACAGCCTCGGAGTCCTCTCTCTTTGTCTCGTCGACGACCCTCGTAGGCTTCTGGGTCCTGGTCTTCCAATACGGATCAAGCACATCCCAGTAAGCCGTCTCGTTCCAAGGACAGTCACCCCAAGTATCCTCGCACTGCATCAGCTCTGCACCTTCAGGCATGATGCCGGTAGCAGTCACGTTGTACGCCCACACGCAACCATCGGTGAGCTTTGAGCCAATCTCGACATGCTCCGGCTTGTTGAAGATGACACCACCCATGGCAAACATGCCGCCTGCAAAGCAAGCCAGATGTGCGGCCTCCGGCTTGAAAGTCTCGATGAAGTCCCGACTGTCAAGCGGCTTGGAGTAGTTCGGGCTGCTTCTGATCTCACCAATCATGAGAATGTCGCGATTGTCGATCGTCATTGGCTTGTAAAGAAGTTTCGCGATGGCTGTTTCGGCGCTGGCGAGGTATATAGAGCGATATTGCTCTACGAGACCGCCAAGGATGAGGTACTCTTTGGGCAAGTACTCATACATGCTGTCGCTTGCTCCGCTCAGCGTGTAGGTCTCTTGAGTACCTTTTGAAGTTGATGCCAGTCCTTGCGGTACGCAGTCATCCAGCTCGTTGGCATCCCTTCCCTCCAACGAGACAACTTTCGAAAGGCCAGCATTGTCGTCCAGATCACGCTTTCGCTTGCTCGAGCCCAGATCTTCGTTTGACGACTTCTCCTTGACGGGATCAGCCCATGACTGGATCTTCCCAACGCCTGGCTGATGAGCAGCGACATTTTCATCGAGACTCTTTTGCAAGCCAGCCTTCAGATCATTTGGATCTTTGTCCAGCTTGGCGCTCCCGTCGTTCTTGACGGGGTCAGTGGTGGTCATATACTTTCCATCGTCTCCAATAGGCACCATCTGCTCCTCCTTGATGCGCGTGGCGGTCTTGTTGCAGCCAGAGGCATCGAACGACGTGGGCCACATCCCCGGGATGCGAGTGCTGCTCTGCCACTCCTCAAAAGCGTCAGTGATCCGTGCGACTGCGTCGTAGTATTTGGGCTCTTTCGTAAGCTGCGCCAGCCGGGTAAACTCCAGACTCAAAGTACCGATCTCAGCCAATACCACTCTGTTGCTCGCACGGTGTGGTTGTGACGCAAATGCTGGTTTCCATCGATAATAAGTCTGCGGCATCCTATTCGGTGTATCGAAGATGCTGAAGAGCACTTCACCTAGCTCCACAGCTTTGTCCAGCAACGTGATGTAATTCTTTCCCGAGACATCGTACGCAGCAATCAGCCCACCGAGGTATCTGATCGTCGTTTCAAAGATGGGGATGTCCTGTCTCAAGCTCGTCGTAAAGTCGATCTTTTCAACAATGGCCACTGCCTCGTCAAATTCCTCCTCCATGCCTGCGATCCAGAGAGTATCCAACGAGTCCACCAATGTTGCTCCCCAAGCATTGAACGGATTGTTCACCCGGCCAGAGACTGGCTTGATCTCGTCGAAGCCCAGCGCAAACTCCTTGTAGCCCTTCCAAGCATGCTCGGTAACACCTTTGACAACCGCCAGCCTCTCTTTGTCCGCACCAGCATCCGCGAGCTTCTTGACCGCGCGTTGAACGCGAGGGATAGGGACAGGGGTGCCGGTTGGAAGTTGTATGGTACTAGAGACTGGGAAGTGCTCTGGCATCTTCGACCAATGCAGTGCTGTGGTCTGAGGGTTGTTTTTGACCACTGGGATCTCTACCCGACCCTCGCCAACCTCGTACGGCAAGTCCTCTTCGGGCAGCTGCGCAGGTTTTGGAGGAGGCGGCGTGGGTTCTGAATGGTCTTCCGTAGCAGAGGAGCTCTTCGCCGCATGTTGAACAGTCGTACTGGATGTCGTCGTCGTCTCAGGCTTAGGAGGGGTAGGAGGTTCGGGTGCGGGTGCAGGCTGTGGTGCTTGTGCTTGCTCGGTCTCAGGTCCAGACTCGGGAGCCTTAGGAGTATATGGGTTCTTTTCCGGCTTAGGACGGAGCACAGCACCACCTCCGATGCCGCCGGCCTTGTCCTTGAAGTACTGCCGGTAGTCGTCGACTGGTTTGGTGTTTCTGGTGTACAAGACGATCGCTACAAGGGCGAAGACCACAAGGACCAACACGCGGGTCCTTCGTGTACGGCCCGGCATGTTTGCGAGGTATCGAAGGGGCGGTGCTATCGAGCCGGCGACGAGCACTCCATCAGCGAGCGACAGAGACAGAGAAGCAAAGCAAGATCACATGCTTTGATAGAGTAGGTACTAGGTAGCAAAGAAAGGAGTGCCAAGGTCAGGTCATCCTTGGCTTGTCGAAGATAGCACTCGCTCCTGGGAGTCGCAGGATCTTCCTTCGTCCCGTCTGACGTTCGATAAGCCGGAAGCAGTGCAGTCAGGCTTGTTGTGGAAGCCCCAACATCTCATGCTGCATCCATCCTTCTGTTCGTTGCAGCGTCGACGGTATCTTCATCGATTGCAACAGGTTGCGCGATGAAGCCTCACGCGACGCGGCTTGAACGAACCTTGTCTCCGCCTTGCGTGGGGAAGGGCGAGGTGAGCTTGAGAACTTCAGCCGCAGGAATATGATGGCTCTACAAGAGAAACCCGCAGGAAGGTAAGCTGCGAGCTCGTTGGTATGAAACGCGCTGTTCGCTACCGACAAGACTACATGCAAACCATGGCTCTTATCACAAGGCGACTTGCCAGCTGCCGACCCGCTCTCTCATCAGCTCATCATCCTTCATCAACCAGGCCGCTCCTGGTGCAAGGCCATCGATGGATCACCAACGCTACCAAACCAGACTACATTCCCAATCTACACGAGGTGCCTCACGTGGAAGGCAAGCCCGGCGGTTGGCACCCAACCCTCGTCCACTCCTCTGGTGAAGTCAAATTTACCGTCATACGTCTCAAACCCAACGGCGGGGAGGTCCCCATCCACTACCACAGCACCGTCTGGGATTACTTCATGCCGATTGAGGGCGAGGCTGTCATCGAGACAGAGACGAAGGAGGGAGTGAAGAAGGACTTCCTGATGAAGCTAGGCGCCTTTCTTGCTGTTGGACCTGGTGATGTGCATCGGGTAGTGAATTTATCGAAGGAGAAGGAGTTTGTGTTCTTCATAGCACAGGCGCCACGGCATCAGTACGACTTTGTCGGGAAGTGATCTTAGTGGGCGATGAAATTAAAGGGTGGTGCATACGATGTGAGACCTTCTCGACAGCCTGCAGTGCAGATGAAGGTGATTAAAGCAATCTGCATTCCATGCTTTTAAGTGCTTCCGGTCTAAGTGAGTGCTACCGTAAGCCTTTTGGTTCATCAATCATCCCTCGTGCAACTCATCCCTGTGTACTTCTCCCGTTCTCATTCATCATGAAATCATATCCGCAAGTCGTACGAGAGCACACCACCCCGCCTAGTTGTCAGAGGTAGCAGCAGCCACGCCGCCCTTGTGACCAGCCTTCGCGGCGGCCTCGCTTCCCGGCAAGAACGTGCCATCCTCACGACGACCGTTGCCTTCCTTCCCAGACTCCTCCTTGCCCGCGGCGTGGAGGCCACCGAGGTGACCAGCGGCGGAGGCAGCATCAGAGCCTTTGGTGAAAGTACTGTCTGGGTTGCGGCCTTCGTGGGACTTGTCGGCGGCGTGGTCGGAGCCGTTGGTGCCATTCATACCGTGGCTGGCTTTCCCGCCCATGCCTGAGAGATGTCAGGTGGTGGCATTAACGGCAGTATGAGCTGGAACTTACTCGCGATCTCCTTGACAGTCTCCTTGGGAAGGTTGGCGAAGTTGGATGGGTTGGAGTCGGCCATGGTTGGTGTGTGGTTTTGAGGTGGTGGTTGCTTTGATTTGCTGAACTGATGAGGTTAGCTGTGAGGTTGTCCCCACTGTCAGTATACCCACGTTGTAGGTCTGATGTGTTCGTGAGAGTTTGATGTTGGTGAAGGAGTGTGAGAGAAGTCTGGCAATAAGATGAACTTATATCAGTCTTCAACGTGTCTGTGAAATGCACGTGATACGCGGCTCAGGCAGAAGTCTCGCCACATGAGGAAGGAACGCAGATTGTCCACCACTTTGTGCCACTTTCTGCAAGGCAACTCCCCCTGCCGCCTGCCTTGTTTGTCGTTTATGAAGACAATGGAGGACTTCGCAATTGATATGCAAGAAGAGACTACGCCTCTCGTCACAGCAGCCTGGTCCACTGTCGATCGTGTGGCACTGGAACTAGAACATGGAACCAGCGAAGAAGACTCTGTTCACAAGCAAGCATCTTTGGCGATTCCAGAACCTCACATAGCCCCTGTCCAACGGAGCACAAGCGTACCCTGCTGGGTGCCTTCCCAGATGTATCCTCTGCCCAGGCGCCGGAGTGGCAAACCAAGGAGCAATCACCAACTGTCGCCTTTCATAGCGTTGTGTCGAGCTCCGGAGGCCGACGTTCGTCGAGATGGCTCACTTTCGAGACCCAGAGACCTCAGAGACCCAGACCAGACATCAACACTGCTGTGATACCGACCAGCTCCTCACAAAGCCCAGTCCTCACTGCCGGAGGACTCGCCCAGTCCCGATCGATCTTCTCCTGCGCTTGCCAGACTCTGTCCCGACTCCCACCGAAAGTTGGACTTGGGACGCCTTCAGGAGGCTGGGCCCGTCTTGTCGATGGACGTCTTGCAGCAGAGGGATTGTCGAGGAGAGTTTGTTGCAATGTCCCGAATGAATTTAGCTTCCTTCTGCTTCGGTGCTAGCTCGCGCCAGCGTTCTCCTTTCACGATCGCATCTGGACTCTTCCAACCTCGTGGCCCACCACGGGGCTGAGAGACCGCTGAACTGTGAGTATCGCGACCACTGAAGCTTAAGGCCACTCCATGGGCTTTAGAACTGCTGCTGATGGGAGGCTTACGCGTCTGGCGCGCGCCAGAGCGAATTCGTTGCCAACGAGGACAACTACGGATGGAGAATGTGAACAAGGCAACATCAGCGGCATACCATGATCGCAGACTTATCTGTGGTTCTCATCATGTTGGGGACAATGACCGAGCCGGCAGTGTGGTGCACAGACTCAAAGCATACAGCGTAGGTTTACAAAGGTCTCTGCCTCGAACAATTTCCACCGCGAGCAACGGTCAATGGTTTGATGGAGTTCCTAAAGGACTACAGAGTTTGGAGGCTCATAGCCTTTTGGTTCTCACCATAAGTACTGTGTGCCTTCACTATCTTCTGGTTGTCTTTTGTAGTAACGCAACAAGCCCTCCGCCTTTTGTCGATTACCCGCAACCACGTTCCTTATACCCTACCAACTACAGTCGCTCGTTTCCACGATACCACCAAGATGAAGTTCCTCGCCATCGCACTCGCCATCGGCTTCGCCGCCGCCGCAACCAGCCCTCCCTACTGCCCGTGGAGTGAGCCGACACTTGACATGTCCTCAATCATAGCAAGCACTGACGGATTACAGCTCGCACGATAACCGCTCCCGGCACCACGAAGACTGGTACACCCACTCGCCAGAACGAACATCAAACAAGTAACGCTGACTTCCAAAAGCCACCTCAGTCATCACCTCGTGGTCGACGACAACGGAAACCACCACAGCAACTGAGACTGAAACCACTACCGAAACTAAGACTGAGACTTCTACCGTGACGGCAGTGCCCAGCTCAAAGCCCGACATGTACAAGCCCAAGTACTGTGCGGCTGGAAAGCCCAACTACGGTCTCCCGGTGGCCTCTGGCATGCCCAAAGCTTCTTCGTGAGTTCGACCACCACCTACGTGGCTTCACGACTACGTGCTAATACAGTCTAGAGCACCGCAATAGATGGGAAGGAGCTGGACATAGGCGATCCGTCGTAAGCCATGACTGACTTGTACACTCGTATTACCATCTCTTGACGCGTAGCAGGCTTGGAAGTACAGATAAAACGAGGAAGGCACCGACTTGGTCAACTCCCTGGAGATCTTCTCCAGCTGCGAAACTGCCCATAGAGCGGAACAATATATACCTGAGTGTAATGTATCACAGTAATTGTTCGGAGAAGGACACCCTCTCATGTGCTAGCTGGCACATGCTAAAATGCCTCCAGCTTGTACACATCATAGGCGACAGTCTCGTACGGATGAGCCCTGGGCTCGTTTCAGCACAATTTTCGCTCGTTCGACCAACAGAAAAAGCACTCACGCCTTCAGCGCCGCGACAGCATCCTCCGTCACCTTTCGGCCAACACAGATGGTTTCACAGCGGACCTCTCCCACTTCTTCCACCTTGCCCGGTTCTCCGATCGCAGGTTTCGCATTTGCGCCTGGGAGAAACTGCCCGATGCCAGGGGTGGTGAAGCAAACCTTTGTGTAATCGCCCTGACCAGGATAACTTCCAGCTCCAGTGGCGAACACTGCATCTTTGATGGGTGGGAGCGCTGCTGGAGGCGCGAAGAAGACTAGCTTGTAGCGAGTGTCGTCGGAGGAGGTCATTTTCTTATATGTACCGTTTGAAGCGTAATCAGGTATAGAGGGCGCACATGCCTGGCGATTCGTGCATTCACTCCGAAAATCACGTGATATGGGGAATCCAGGATGGAACACTTTCCGAAAGTCGGGCCGGGAGCAAAAAGTGACGTCATTGTCAAAAGTAAAATCGTAAAAAACACCTCACCTGCATGTGACGCTTTGCCAACTTCAGATGCTGCGCTTGCTGCGGAATGCTTGGGCACGTTTCATGAATGCATGGTTCAAGTATGGTGTTCTGGTATGATGCAGGCGCAGTGATTACTGGAGAGACAATTTGGAGGTGGCGTCTCCGTCATTGCTCGGCTGAAAGTTGGCCGCCCGCGAGCGATGGCACCTTCACGAGATCTCGATGAGGACAGTTGAAACAAGCAGGTGAGAGCGTTCTTTCAACCCTTAGCGTGTCAGACGCGCCAACTGCCGCGAGGTGCAACGAATGAAACAAAGGAATGCTGCGTGTTCTTGCCAACTTGGACCGAGCAGCTGACGAAAGCGATCATGTGCCTGCTGCTCCTGCTTCTTCAAGACGACAAGGAACGTCATAGTTCGTTGCTCTCAGCAACACGCCGTGAGATCAATCTCCTGCTTTTAAGCTCGTTCTTCTTCCTTCTTCCTCTCAACACACTTCACCACAGCAGACTTTGACCTCATCACCCACAAACAACAGCTCAACTCACACACTTCCTTCCAAACACACGCCAATCCACAACAATGGACTCCGGCCGCAAGGACATGTCCGACAAGATCGGCGACAGTGAGTTGGCTCGTCCCTACCTGCTTCCACATGTCACTGACAGACTGTTTCAGAGATGACCCCAGACAGCAGCAAGTCCAACGTCGACAAGGCCAAGGATAGCATCACTGGCGTTGGCGACAAGGTTGCTCGGTGAGTGTCTACTTCTCCCTCCCCGACCACCTTCCACTGACCTCCATGCAGCGACGCGGTCCCGGACAGCCAGAAGAGCAGCGGCCAGTCTGCCATGGACAAGATGTCCCGTGAGAAGGATGCGAACAAGAACGAGAGTGTGCTTGGTACGCATCACTTGACTTCTGCTTGCTTGACAGCGACTAACACTCCTCACAGACAAGGCCAAGGGCGCACTCGGCATGGACAAGCACTAAACAGTGCTATCCACCACACGCGAGCACACACACACCTGGCGGAGGTTGAGATGATGGGAGCATGATACCCCTATGAAGATTGCATGGAGTTTCTCAAGAAATTACCTGATATGATACCATGATACCTGACAACGGCGCTCTGACGAGCTTTGCCCCCATTCAATGTCCCACTTTTTGTGTTGTCCGTGTGCTTCAACCCTGAGTCTTTGTGAGTATGGCGGAACATCAAGAACTGAGGTGAAGTGCCTGTGCTCCGATGTTTGGCTAGAGTTGGTTTGCAAGATTCTGGGATTATTCGATGCGCATTCAACACCGCTGTGCTGTGAGTAGGCGTCGTCGAAATAGCTTCTGGAGTTATTCATCGCAAGCCGACGGTGGCTTGCTTCCCTTTGCATCCTTCGTCGATGGCTCGCAACCGGACCCGGCATTCTCTTTTACGAAGGGCGAAGGTCGAAGGTACTTGGTACATCTGTCCTGACCCCGAGGTCGGAACATCTCCAAGCGGGGCTCCACGGTTGTACTGAAGGCATGGTGGCAACTCGTTATCTTTTGTCTTGACTTACCATTGAATCCCAGGCAGAACGTTCTAACGATCTAGCATTGAGTACGACAATTTCAGCATCTTAATATCCATCATGGCACCTTCGGCAATCGAAACTGTGACCCGACCGACCGATCAACTGACCGGCGAGGAGCGTTACAAGCAACTCAAGAACTCCACTGGCGAGAAAGCGCTCGATCGATTCACATACGGAGCGCATCCCATCAGCGGCGCTCAGACGGACACCGTCAAGCAAGTACGGATTCCAAAGTTCAACGACCCTCTGGACGAGCGAGCGTTCAGGAAGCTTCATGCTGCGGCCTGCATTCGATGGTTGGGAGCGAATGGCTACAACAACGAGGGAGCTGGTGGCCATGTGACTGTCAGGGATCCCATCAAGCCTGATCATTTCTGGATCAATCCATTCTGCAAGTCGTTCCGCTACATGAAGCCGGACGATCTTTGTTTGGTCAATGAGGAGGGTATTGTGCAGCCGGAGGGGAACATGCATGCAATTGTACGTGAGCAGGCCGCTGTGGGCCAGATAACGATGCTGATGTTGAAGGTAGAACCCAGCGGGCTTCTCGATCCATCTCGCAGTCCACCAGGCTCGGCCAGATGTAGTTTCGGCAGTGCACTGCCATTCCATCCCGACCAAGGCGTTTTCGGCACTGGGGTGCAAGCTTGAACCGATCAACCAGGATGCTTGTCGATTCTATGAAGACCATGCCATCTATGACAACTTCGGCGGTATCGTTCTTGCTCATGAGGAAGGCCGCCGGCTCGCCAAAGCTCTTGGAAACAAGAAGGCTGTTATCTTGCAGAACCACGGTATGATCCTTCACGCCTCTGCAGCATGTCAATACTTGTGCCTGACTGTTTGACTAGGTATCCTGACCGTCTCGAAGACCGTTGATGGCGCCACTTACCTGTTTGGCGCCATGGATCGATGCATCGAAGCTCAGCTTCAGGCAGATGCTGCAGCTGCCGGAAGGGGCACAGAGACCATCAAGATTGGTCATGAGGAGGCGGTATACACTCGACGAGTGTACACCGATGAGATGGAGTACAACATGTTCCAGTCATGGTGAGTTGATGTCTTGATATCCAGATTCAGTCGGCAGCTGACAAGGGTCCATAGCTTCGAAGATATGGTGCGAGGCTCCAATGGCGAGCTCTCGATGCTGTCAGGAGGTGAGCAGAATGGCTACGACAGGTTCCCTCGTGACTGGTAGTGCTGCAGAGAGGTAGATGTCGGTAGAGTTGAGAATGCTATAGGCAGGCAAACTGAATGGCCTTCGGCATCATCTAACCAGTGTAGGGTATCTATCGTAGCTCAATCAAATCGTCAGCCATTACCACCAACGCCGCGCTTTCTGTCAGACAGCTATCCAATCGTGCACTCATGCTCATCAGTTCAAAGCCTTGGACTTTACTCCCTCCTTCTCCGCCCACGTCTTCCAAGCCTTCCACTCGTCGTACTTGAGCCCAATCTGCTTGCCTTCGTACCTTACGAGCTCACCCTTGCCGTCTCGCCATACCTTCTGCCAGTCTCTACTGCTTCCGCTCCAGCCCGCCTTTCTCATTAGCGAGACGAGCGTCTCATCCTTCGTCCAGCCTTGCTCCTTGGCTACGTCCGGAAGGTACGTGGCACCGTACCGCCGCATGTGGTATGAGAAGGAGATCCTGATACCGTGTACGCCGAGTGTCCAGTCCAGAGGGTCCTTAGTGGGCTGCGAGAAGTCGGTGAGGAGAGTTACGTGATTGCTGAGTGAGGGTAGCAAGCTGGCTGGTATCGGCTGGAAGCGGACGTCCTCAAAGGCGCTAGGGGATCATAATCAGTGTATGCAGGGAGCGGCATCTACTTCGAATGTAATCACCTCGTGAGGGCATAGCTTCGCAAGCCGTACTCGAGCCCCTGCGCCTCAAATGTGCCGATGCATCCTCGCAGGCTCTTGTAGCCGCTCCTGCTTATGGTATTCCATGTGACGAACAGTGGGTATTCTCCTGGTTTGTCCTGTCTTCTTCTTGATGCAGAGGATGTTCTCGAGGTCAGCGAGCTTGTTGAGCTGGCAGGCGTTTCCGCACCCGAACCGCTGCTCTTTTGCACTGACGAAGTTCCCGATTGATTTGACTGTAGGCTACTGGACGAGCTCCCAGCGCTAGCATCTCGATTGCGATTGAGCAGTCGTGATATCGCAGCGGGTTTGGCAGATGGCGGAGGCTCCTCGATGTCCGCGTCAGTCATCTCGGCATCCTCTTCATCTTCGACGTCCACCACCTCGCTTTCTGTCTCTGCCTTCGGGTTGATGCTGTCTTGGTACTGGTCCCATAGCTCTTCTACTTGTGCTAGCGCCAGAGGTTGCCGATGCTCGAAGTTGGCCGATAAGCACTCGAAGCAGAATGCGCAGTGCGCCTGGGTTGCCATAGTTGGGTAACCCTTAGACCTGGAGGAAGTGACCGGTCGTGGGCGCAAGTGAGTCGCTTCTCAGGTGCCTCGGCTTTGGTAGTCGTTGAGAAGAAGCTGGAAGAGCAGGATTACGGATGGGCGGCAAGGTTGAGGCGATTGTTCATGTGTCTATCAGGCGATCCGTCGAGGGCGGTAGGGGCGAGGAAGGCAACGCAGGTACGTAGCGAGCGGAACGGCTTGGGTAAGACGCCTGATGACGTGCGCGATATGCCTTGCTGTCGTCGGTCCTGCACATGCAAGCAGCCCTCCAGATGAGGAGGTGAAGTGGTGCACGGACATGTACCCTACTTCTACGTCTACGTCTATGTAGCCCGTCTAACTCCGTACCATGACAAAACTTCTTTCAACAAAGTCTTTGAGGCTACAGCTGTGAGATTTTCCATGACATGATCTGTGCTTCCTGTCGACGAGATACGGCATTGACCGAGGGAGCAACAGATCTCGTCCCTCAGCCCCCACGAATCCTCGAACTACTGCATCAACGCATTCACCTCTGCTCCATCATTGTTTGTCCTCAAGAGCTTCCTCCTGCCCCTCGTCCGTACTGCATTCCTCGTCTTTACCAGATTCATCCGCCTCCCGCTTCCTCTTCGTTCCCGTGCGACGCTGATGTTTCGGCGACCTATGGACTACCCCAGCCCCAGCCTCGAACGGAAGTGAACCGACGGCATCGAGCTATTTGGCGCATCGTCAGTCAGATTGTCTCGTGATCGATAAACCATTCAGGACTTACAATCATGACATCTGACTGTGTCAAGCACCGCGACAGCAGCTGCACCAGCGTCCCATCATCCTCCCTGATTGTGATCGTCAAGCCCTTGATCTCGATCAGCGTGCCTTTGTGCTGCGAGGTCCATCCGTTGATGTGTGCGTAGACCCATGTCCGATGGATCGTTCGACTGGGATGGATGGTGACCTTGGGGCAGTCATACGGAAGGTTATTTGCTTGCTTGCCCGACATGTTCTCGAATGTAGATTGACGAGCTGCAGGTACAGCGGCAGATGTTTGCTTGTTGTTGAGTTTATAACGGTTAGAACGCCTACGTAGCTATGGTGCGCTGTAGAAAAAGATCTGCTGTATGGTGAGGGCGGTGGACTTGATGACCAACAGTCCCTGTCTGAGTGGTCATGACCGCTAACCTTACTCTTCAAATTTTCTGGCGTCCAAGCCCTCGAAGTCATCTTTCGTCCTCCAGTCTTGGAGAATCTTCAGAAAAGCAGGAGATCCGCCGCCATAAGCAGCATTCTGTGCTGCAGATGCTGAAGGCGTGCCCTCGTTGTTGTCTGCATGGAATTAGCTTGTGCTCTGATGACCTTCATTGCAACACTTACAGTAGCCAGGCGTACACTCCTTCAGAAATGCAGCTCGAAGGCCCACAAGTTCTACAATCGTCTTAACCCAGCCATCCTCAGCCTCTTCTGTTGGCTCTACGGTCCTGACCCCCTTCTTCATGCAATTACTGATCACGTACGCTAAATGCGTCGCCTGCTCACTCGTAACGTGGATGAAGTTGGGAGTGAGGGCCGCCTGCACGATGCTGATCCAGAAGCAGTTTGGGAAGCCTCGTGTGGTCCAGCCATGCAATGTTCGTGCACCGTTCTTCCAGCATTCGGTGATTGTCTTGCCGTCACGGCCGTAGACTTCCATGTTTGAGCGGTGGGAGAAGTCGGTGGCAAGCTCAAAGCCTGTTGCATAGATGATACAGTCCAGCTCGATCTCTTCTCCGTTCGCTACAATGCCGTTCTCGGTAATGCGGTCGATGCCGGCTCCTGCGTGTAGATCAGTACGCCATTCCCGCAAAGACCCCTGGCTGTGCTCTCACCTTTGGTATCAATCAGATGCACATTGTCCCGGTTGAACGCCTGCAAGTACTCGTCGTGGAAGCAAGGCCGCTTGCAGAGCTGATTGTAATACGGCTTCAAGCTTTCAGCTGTTGCCTTGTCCTTCACGACTTCGTCACAACGTGCGCGGACCTGCTCCATCTTCTCAAAGTCTGCCATCTGTCGCTCAGCCGCTGCTTTCTCGGGGTCGTCCGCATCAGCAGTAGATCCTCTGGCAAGAAGCTTATGGAGAATAGACGTCCATCCGTCTTTAACCATATCGTTCGGTAAGATCCCGCCATTGACGATGACATTGAAGTTATCCATGCGCTCTGATTGCCATCCAGAATCCAGACTCTTAGCCCAAGCGGGATCCGTAGGTCTGTTGCCGCGGACATCGATGGAGGAAGGTGTCCTCTGGAAGACGTAGAACTCCTTTGCATATTTCGCACAATTTGGCACAATTTGCACGGCAGTGGCCCCAGTGCCTATGATGCCAACTCTCTTGTCCTTCAGACCGGTCAGCTCTCCACTGTTGACCCCTTCCGACTTGACATCGCCTCCGGTGTATCCGTAATCCCAGCGGGAGGAGTGAAAGCTATGGCCTTTGAACTCATCAACGCCCTTGACACCTGGTAGCTTCGGCCGATGCAAAGGACCAGCACATGGAACGATGAATCTTGCTTTGATATCATCATCTCGACTCGTCTCGACACCCCACACGCCCTTTGACTCGTTCCATCTCAAGCCTCGAACTTCTGTCTGGAACAGTGCCTTTTCGTAGAGTCCCCATTTCTTGCCAATCAGCTCGGAGTGCTTCAGCAGCTCCTTTGCGCGAGCATACTTTTCCGTCGGCATGAAACCCAGTTCCTCGATGAGGGGCATGTAGATGTAGCTTTCGATGTCGCATTGAGCTCCAGGATATCTATTCCAGTACCTAGAGTGATGCGAAGAAGGGTTAGCAGATGTCTCGACAAGTGGAACAACAGTGGTGGTGTCTCGGAGCACCCCGTGGTCCTGAGACCCCAGAGGACTTTCGGAGAACCCTCCCACCCATCATTTTGACGTACCACGTGCCTGCACAGCGTCAGCCTACGTACCCTCGAAGTTGAAGGCACTCTTCTCACCTCCGAAGTCTCCCGCCTTCTCGATCATCCGGATGTTGGTGATACCAGCTTCGATCAACCGGACAGCAACAAGCTGAGCGCCATAGCCGCCACCTACAACGACCACATCGACCTCTTCCTTGACCGGCTCCCGAGTGAAGCCAGGTTCCACCCAGGGGTCCTGAAGGTAGTGAGCAAAGGGGCCATTGGTCTCTACTAGCTTGTACTGATTGATGCCACCGCCGTGCTTAAGACGTCTGTCTCGTTCGGCGATGTACTTCTCCTTGAGCTTCACGGGGTCGAAGGCGGCTTTGCTTGTTGACGGGTCGTCGGATTTTTCGAAGTCCGCTCCAAGGTTGATTTGCTTTTGCTGGGGTCCGAGGAGATCGACGTTGTTTAGAACTTCTGCAGTAGCCATATTGATAGTTTTGAGTATCCAAAGATAGTCTTTAGACTTGATACAAAAGACGCCTTGCAGAGGCGGCCCTAACAGGATCACGCTGAGTATAAGAGTCGTCTTACCAGATCTAGACCCATTGAGCTGGCCGAGGCATGCTCGCGTTGGGTATAGCGAGCACAGCTCTCGTATACTCCGTTCTCCACTCTGTGATCCTCAAGCACGGCATGTTCTCATCCTCCATTGTGCCTGATGGGGATGTAGGGGCCGAGGCAGCTTGCCGACTCAGCTTACAGCAGCAGGTTGGCCCCAGCCGTCGTGTAGCACCCAAAGAGCTTCGGAGCGTTGTGCTTCCTGGTTTCGGCAAGCAGTGCGCGTGACGGGATTCACGTTCAGGCGCGTGGAAGGAAGTGGAGTGGAGGGTTGGGGGCTGTGAGATTCGGCTTCGCTTTCGCTCGGCAGGAGTCGGACAAGATCACGTTGCGGCCAGTGCTGCTTCTACCTCCTGCTCAGAGAGCGATTCAAACGGCTGCCGGTAGACTGCCATATTTGCCGGTCTTTGTGACGATACCAGTGAACGAAAGATGGTCGTGGAATCCATCGATGTGGTAGAATGCTGGGTGCACACTGTGTGACCCAACTCGATAACAGCACGTTCGTATGATTACGGATGAACGCGGCAGCGAAAGGGCTATGCATTCTGCCTCTGTGGGTGAGGGTCTGTAGTGACGAGAAACTCGATTCCTACGCAAGTATCGTGTCGTCCAACCTCAGCATCGTCATTCATCCTCACATCAGACAACCCAGCGTAAGCATCTTCCCGTCATGACTGCGCCCCTGCCGCTGCGTTCGAACCATCCAATCTAGCCAACATCTGTTCCCGCAGCACCTCATAGAGGAAATTGTACTGCGACTCGCCCTGCACCATCATCATCCTCTGTTGCCGCAAGGAGTCCACCGTGTCAGCAATAGGGTCCACGTCTTCAGGTAGCCCGTCCAACTGATTCGAGTGCAGCAAGGACAGCAGAAAATCGAGAGCAATGAATGTGCCTGACCTGCCCACGCCGGCACTGCAGTGGATGATACGCGGATTGTCTTGTTCGGTGGAGGCGAATGAGTCGGCGTGCGAGTTGTAAGAGCCGTTTGTCTCAGTTGATGTTGATGTTGACTCGGGACGATTGAGAGATGCTGACAGCCTGATGAGCTTGATGAGAGCGTCGCGATCCTCGCCTTCCGGGATTAGAAAATCTGGCCACCCAGAAAATAAGAGGTGCCGAATGTCGGTCTCATGGTCGGCACCGGACTGATCTTTCGCTTGCAGCTTCAGTCTTCGCAACTGACTGCGGCTCCTCTCGTCGTCTGCAACAGCCTCGAGAGTGACCTCACCAGTAAAACCATCCGGCGCTGTTTCATCCTCAGGAATGACCAGCGGAGACTCCTCAGCAGTCAGCGGATAGTACTGAAAGCATTTCTCCTTTCCTGATTCATGAGTTTGAGTCAACATGACCACCACTGCCGGACTCCGAACCTCAGCGGCCAACATGCGATAGAAATGGCCGACACTGGTGTCTTTCGGCCCTTGGGTGGCTATGTACTTCCGTTGGCCGAGCTGAATGGGCGATGCATTGATGTAGTCGTTGGCCCCCTCCGCCACCCTTAACTTGATACGATTGCCCGCATACGGTTCAACGTTCAGGTAGCGGTTGCGGCCTTTGATAGCGTCGCCGGTAAGGCGAGACCATTGCGAAGGAGGTTCTGAGGCATCAACAACAGGTTGAGTGCCTTGCAGTAGACGGTTTCGTTGCTGCCATTCGAGGTCGGTGAATTTGGCGTGGATGTCTGATACTCAACGTTAGTCGCGCGGACCGAAGTGGGCTTTTCGGGTACCTGCCTGCTTTGCTCTGTCTTAAGAAGCCCGGTAGTTGTTGTTGCTGAGAGTCTGAGGGTGTCGAAGAAGAGGCCATGGCCCAGATTTGCGAACCGGAGTATGCCCGCCTGTCTCGGACGCATGCGGCAGGCAAAGTCGGTCGTGCTGTAATGCTTGAATATTTCAACACCGACGGACGTCCGAACCTTGACGAGGAACAAAGTGGTTTCGTTGTGGCGACGTACTGGGAAGGCTCAGGTTGCTTTTTGTACGATCGATCGTCGACTCGGCCGCCGCTTTTATCAGGTTGCCTTGCTAACCAAGGGCTTGCAGGTGTCGAGTCTCGCGTGCTGAGTCCGGTCGGTAGGCCTGATGGTGTATGGATGGTTCAGCCGAAGCCCAAAACATGGAGATGCACCAGCTACTTGTCGTAGTGTCTCACCAGCCTGTTTATAGAATGTTCTAGCTGTTGTGCTTTGTATCGTAGGCCTCGATGATGTCGTGGTGAGATTTGAAACACATGCAGGGATGCGCCGGCAACCAACGAACCGGGCCGTTATCGTGGTTCTATTTGCGGTCTCTCCATCCTCGACACTGATGAACGACTCGACATCATCACGAACGACGTATGAAGACCCGTTCACGGCTGTCCTGCATTGTCTGGATCCCACGGCATGTCTGTACCTGATCCCGTACTCGTACGGTAACACGAAGCAGCCCTGTAGAGCGATGGCTCCTTGGCTGCGTTTCCTGGAGGCCTACATGGTTCAGATGCTTCTGCGCACCCCGGCATTCCACCGTGGAGTTGAGAAGGTGGCTAGAAGTGTGCATCGAATCAGACACGGCACGCCCCCAGAGGAACTGGGCGGCACGAAGATCGATGGAAAGAGCAATGACGGCTTCCTGCGCCACTTCAGTGAAGAAGTTCAGACCCAGCTAGGGAGAGCTGAGGCAAAGAACGGGGAGACTGCGGTAAAGAATACCAGTGAGCATGCGTCTGAAAAGAAGGGTCCTAGGGGACGCGAGTGGGCGCAAGAGACTGAGGATGAGACGGCCGATGCAGCCTGGCAGAACACGCAGAAGAGGGCGGCCGAACCACCCAAGCAGGGCTTTTTGGACGAGTACATGGGTGCTTTGAGGGAGCAGTTGAGAAAATGAGTACCGCCGCTGGCTTGTTTGACTACAAGGAGTGCCACTCCGGGACTCTCAACGGCCACGAGGCTCGACAACACCAATCTCTGGACTCGAGCCATGTCCGTTTAGAGTGAGCGGAGACGCTGGAGTTGGTACGGGTAGGACTGTGGACTTCTATCATGCTCGGATGGGGAAGGGATTGGTCTTGATTTGGCTTCATTGCGATAGCTGGGTTTCTGGAGCGGTCAACCTCCTCGCCTGTTCGCTTCCAGGATCTCGTCCAGCTTCAAGTCGGCCGCACAAAACAGCTCTACACCGACATGCGTTCTTCGACCAGATTCTAAGCGATGCTGCACGCGCTGGAGTGAAGTCATCTCTCATTGGTGGGTTCGACCTGGGTGATGCTGCTCTTACGCACGAGCTTTGCTTAGGCTATATGAGCTCCAAGCTTACTTCAGATGATGCATCGACCTTTCGACACCCAATCAACAAATTCTTTGCAGTGACACTTTTCGAACGCAACAACACCGCAGCCATGCCATCCGCTTTGGTGACTGGCGCTACCGGCATTCTTGGAAGGGAGATTGTTATGGCGTTGGGCCAGGACAAGCAGACCTGGCCCACCGTCTACGCTCTCTCCCGCTCCCAGAAGCTCAACTGGCCCGAAAATGTCAAGCAGCAGCAGCTCGATCTCACAGCATCAGCGCAGGAGATGGCAAAAGAGTTGGACAACGTCAAACCCGAGTACATTTTCTTCACGGCCTACCTCGCCAAAGACAGCGAAGAGGAGGCAACGAAGGTCAATGGAGCAATGCTAGAGAACTTCTTGGAAGCTCTGAAGATCACAGGCGCGAGCAAGAATGTCAAACGGGTCATCCTGACCACTGGTGCCAAGCAATATGGCGTCCACTTCGGTGTGCCCAAACAGCCCATGGAAGAGTCGGATCGCTGGTTGGCAGACTCAAATCGGCCACCCAACTTTTATTACAAGCAACAACAACTTCTCGCAGAGCAAGGCAAGCAGCAGGGGTGGGACTGGGTTGTGACATATCCGAACGATGTCATCGGCGTTGCGAAGGGCAACTTCATGAACCTCGCCACATCGCTTGGTATCTACTGCGCGGTCACGAAGGAGATGGGCAAGCCGCTTGAGTTTCCTGGGAGCCCGTCGTTTTATACCTTGTTCGACTGCTTCACATACTCTCGGCTCCATGCCAAGTTTAACCTCTGGGCTGCGCTGGAGCAAAGCCCCCGGGTGAGCAATCAGGCCTTTAACGTCGTGAATGGAGATATCGAGAGCTGGCAGAACATGTGGCCGAAGACGGCAGACAAGTTTGGATTGAAGATTCCCGAACGCATGTTCACGCCCGAAGAGGAGGACGGTAAGATGGGTGAGAATGGATCGGTCATGGAGCTCATGGAAAACCCACCACTGAGTGAGTTCGCCGCCGAGCGTGGTCTGAAGGGCTCGAAATTTGCCAAGCAAAGCCGTGTCGAGCAGAAGATTGATCTGGTTAGGTGGTCGCAGCGGTCGGATGTCAAAGCTGCCTGGGATCGTCTGGCGAAGCGTGAAGGCCTGGACCAGGATGCGTTCGAGAAGGCAACTTGGGGCTTCCTAGGTTTCGTCTTTGGACGAGCCTACAATATCGTCATCAGTATGAACAAGGCCAGGAAAGCTGGTTGGACCGGCCACCAGGACACATGGGACAGTCTATCTGAGGCGTTTGACGAGCTCGTGGGAGAGAAGGTGTTGCCGGCGTTCACGTGAGTAGCTTTTCATACTCATTGTCGGACGACGAGAAGCAACAAAAGGCGTTGTACTCCACCTTAGCTTCGGCCTGTGGACTAAACCATGTGTCTAATCACGACGCTGTACATAGGCCGACCCGACGCAAGCGCTCTAGCGTGATGGGCACCGAGGCAGACACAACGGTCAGCATCTTGCGAGGTCGGGATCGTTAGGCAACGTTGAGAAGTAACATATAAGCGTTGGACAGCAGGGATGGCAGGTATCAAGACAGTGTATCTGCGTTTCGTCGACTCCAAGCACCATCCCTCATCACAAGAAGACGGAATAGAACCTGACTTGTCTCTTGCTCTTTTCCTACGTCTCCACTTCAATGTCTCCCGCCGCGGCGGCTACGATGGCTTCCAAAGCTGTTCAATATCGTTGCCCAATCGAGGACGACGGTATGGCCGCTCTCATGCCGGGGTTATTTTTTGGTAGGATAGACGGCCGTAAGTCAAAGACTCAGCCGGCCGTTGATTGAACTATCCACTGAATACGACCGAGAAAGGCAGGGTATATAGACCATCGTACCAAGCAACAGCAAGACAGCCTGCATCCCTCGCACATATCGGGGAAAAGCTCGTGATCCAGTCCCAGGGTCCTTGCCCGTCATCGCCAATATGCCATTTCGCTCCACAGCTTTCTCTACACCGTCACCCTGCGGATGGCGCGCGTGGAACACCGACCCCCGTACGTTTCACCAACCATCGCTTGGTGCCCTCATCCTGCACTTGCAACCATCCAGACAATTCACTCCGTTCCCACTGCATACGCTCTCGTATATTGCTTTCCTTACTTCTTAAAGAATCCAACATATGCTGTGCGAACTCGGGCTCGATGGGCGTTTGTTCCAAAAGCTCCTTGGTTATAATGTCAAGCGTATCCATGTTTGCCTGTAGTAGGACGGTGCGGTCAATGTAATGCGATTTCTGCGCGTGGATCGACTAGTCGCGGAGCAATGGTTCGTTCTTGAGACGAAGGAGGGCTAAGTCCAGATAGTCTCTAGTTTGCCGCAAGTTCTCGAGCTGCCATCGTAATTGCTGTCCCTTGTCCTGGGCTCCTGCGCCTTCAGAGGTAGGCCCACCCGCCCCAGGAGTCGTTGAGTTCAGTGCCGGGGTATGCAGACCCTTGCCCCAGCCTGGTGTTGCTGATGCAGACGTGCCAGCGGTTGGCGTCATGCCGGGTGGCTTCTGCGCTGAGAGTGGCCAATATCCCGACCATGGTTGCTGCTGTGCTCCTGCTTGTCGATTAAGACTCTGCTCCCTGGAATACACAACGGAATTCACCCAATCGTCCACGATCTTATGAGCGGACAGTTCGGCCGCGCGGTCAACGCTGGGCAGCTTCGGTATGACGAGCGGGTGTGGAGGCTGCACTGCCTCCCCATTCTGTCGTCTCATATCGTTGGTATATCCGTTCCCGGCCATGGACGCTAGGAGACATTTGCTTGTGTGGTGCTTGATCGCCGCTACCAAAGCAAAGCGTGCTTGCTCTCGTGCTGGATCCGCTGGCAATGGAGCCCAGGCTGCAAGGTAGTCCTCCTCACTCTCACTGGTTCTGGTAAGGGGAATTGCCTGGAATCGTCTCTGTGCCTCATCAATCTGCCTTTGACAACAGTACGCGGAGCATTCCTCGAATCCCTCGGTTTCGTCGTCTGTGATCATAGGACACAAGTCAAAAATGCCATAAGTATCGTCATCGTGTCCTTCGTGTACCACCCACTCGAAGCAATGCTGTCGTCTTTGTTCGTCAGTGCATCCCCATTGCAGGCGCTGCTTGTGGCACATGTTGTGCAATGGGAGTCGGTAGGCTTTAGATCAGGATTGGCAGTATAATTGAAGTGTGGTAATTACGCTGGTAACAGGATAAGTAAATGAGGCTTCAGGAGAGCTAGGAAGGGAGCTGGCCTATATGCCTACCTGATCTCCACCTGGTATCGAGGACTCGCTTGTGTGCTATTGAGTCAGTGAGGCTCAAAGCAAACATACCTGGGAAATGCTCAGGTGCCTTCTTATGTAGATTCATGTTCATATGCGATTAATGTACGCTGATGTCTTGCTATGGCATAGCCCGATGCATCCACGACGGCCGCACGCCAGCATGCAAGCCCCCGGTGATGGGGAAATCTGATCCTGTGGTGAACGAGCCTGCATCGCTGAGCAGGTATATGATCGCAGGCGTTAGATCTTGTGGCACACCCTGAGGGCCGCAAAACAAATTTGTTAGCAGAACATCCAGCAGAGGCAAGGCTTCTAAGGTAACGTACCATTCTTCCAACCGGAGCCGCGTTCTCGAACATCTGTGCCAGGCTTGGGTACTCTGTCTTCAGAGACCGGGTCATGGGACTGAGGATGACTCCAGGAGAGATGCTGTTGACTCTGATGTTGGATTCTGACAGCTCCGTGGCAAGCGGCCCGACGAGTCCTTTGACGCCGGCTTTCGACTGTGTGATACATGTGACATCAGCAGCTGCCTCAGCTGTCATAAACTGTCCCCCATTGACTCACCATGTTGTAAATCGACAGATTCTGCTCTGGCACCTTGATGCCTTGCGCAGCAACAGAAGCAATCAAGACAATCGATCCACCTTGCCCATGCTTGGCCATGTTGTCAGCGACGAGTTTCACAGTCCAGAAGGTCCCCATCGTGTTGACCATCAGCACCCGTTGAGACTCGGCCCACGTGTGCTGTGCGAGAGGCTTGTCCAAAGCAATCCCGGCGGCAGGAACACAGCCATGGAACTCCCCGAAGGCGCTCACAGCGTCCTGCACTGCCGAGCCCAACGACTCTTCCGAGGTGACGTCTGCTTGCTGGAAGGTCGTTTTGGTGCCGTATTTCTTCTCCAGGGTATGGAACTCCTCGATCGGCTCAGGAAGAGCGTCGATTACTGCAACGTTGCCGCCCATCTGTGCGACTGCTTTGCAGATTGCGAATCCAATACTGTAGACGGTGAGCAATGTAAATATGAGGAGGGAAGAATGAAAAGCATCACCCTCTGCCGCCTCCAGTTACAAGCACGTTACGACCCTTCATGGTCATGCGATCCGTGACTTTCATATCGCTGATATCCTCCCGTAGTCGTGAGCATGCCGAGAAGGTGCGCGGTGCTGGCCATTGAAAAGGGATTGGCGTGCATGGTCGGCGGTAGCTTTGCTGTGTCAGCGCAGGGAAACGTCGTCGAACGTTGGCGGCCATGTTTCTCAGATTGATGTATGTCGACTGCTCAACAAAGAAAGGTTGTTGTCGACTTAAGAAGACCACACGGTTGATTGAGACCCGCGGTTATATGATATCTTGCCCCGCACCCCACAGATGCAGACGACAAAGAGTAAAAGAAGATCATCACCGTTACATAGAGAATTTGGTATGGAAAGATGGCAAGAGATGTTGCGTGACTGATGGAGAGCCGTTATCTGGAACGTTTAGAACAGAAAGTACATATGTACAAGGCGTGCCTGCGTCTCCTTTCAGCTTCTAAGGACAGCTCTAAACAGGCTACTGAGCTGCTGTCCATACCACTCATGCATTTCTGGTCGGTATCAGGTTCTTCAAGTGCCAACCAAGGGCGTGTGACCGAGAGGATTCTTGGCATATCCTCTCATCAGAAAGGCGTCCTTATCAGGTCTCCTTCTCTGCCGACCAACAGCACCAAGCGATGATCACGAACACTTTCAGCACCACAGCCGTCCAGAGAGCACCTGCTAGACCAGTCTCGCTGTGAGCCCACAGACCTCCAAAGCAGGCTCCAATCAGTAAGAGGATGGGTGCTGCTGCTCTGCGATTCCGCTCCGCGTTTGCTTTGGGTGGCGAGAACAAGTTCGCATCCGAGAAGAGATCACAGTAGATGCTCGTCAGCACTACACCAGTCATGCTGTTGAAAGAGAGCACACGGCTGGTGACTGCTTGGCCAGCAGACTGGAAGGCGATCATGGCGATAGGGACTGCGATCCACACACTCACGGGTCCCGAGGTGCCAGTTTTTGGGCCCAGAGTGACCATGAGGGCGGCAGCGATGATAAGACTCAACTGGAGGACGTAGGATGAGACCAGAACCCATCGCTTGCGGCCACCAAAGTATCGATGATATCGGGCGAAGAAGAACGATCCGAGGCAGAAGCAGATGATCGAGATGCCCGAGCGCAGCCAGCGGTTGGACTCGTAGGGAGCTACCACCCCGAGGCCAAGGTAGATCGTGTTGCCTGTGAAAATCCCGTTATTGAGAGGTCGGATGATGTGAGTGAAGGGAGGTCATACCAGTCTGCATGCTCAAGAAGCTGCCCCATATGAAGACACTGCAGCTGTCCAACAAGCCGGTGATGATGTAGCAGAAGAGGAGAGCAAGGTCTCCCCAGGCATTGCTCACATTGCCGCTCATATGCCTGCGAAAGCGCTTCCCAATGCTGTTGCTGGTGCTCTGAGGCTTCCCGCCAAGCAGAGCTGCGGTCTCCTCGTCTTCTGGACGGGCATTGCCATTCTGTGATGGCGTGTCCTGCTGTGAGACGGTTCCGTAGTTGGCCATGGTGTTTGCAGTGCCGCAGGGGCGAGAGCGCGACGCCTACGATTTGATAGTATCGATGCGGGTGCGGCGGGTAGAGCGGATGAAATATCCGCACGGTCAAGCCTTTGACCCGACGTCTTGATCGGTGGCTTCGAGGGGATCCCCTTGGCGAACAGTGGGGAGTGCTTTCGGCAGACACTGTAGGGACCGTATGTTGGACGTATACTTCCTGAAGAAAAGCTATTGACAGTGGTAGAGCATGCGAATGGTTGCAGTTGAAGTTGCCGTCCATTTAACCGAGCAAAAAGCACGCGACTCCGCGTCATGTCCGCGAGAGCCAAAGCTCAAAGCTCCCAAACATCCTTGCTCTCTGATTGCGTGACGTAGCGAAAGTGTGAAGATCGGCCATGCTTCGTCTTCCCGCAATGGCCGCTGGACTTTTGGAGCTCTGAAGAAGAAGACAAGACCTTCTCTTGCCTCCCATCGGCCGTGGACAGTCTGCAGCGGCTTGATCGTACCTTTGCTTCCAGCCAAGATGCATACCTCCAGTCTCGTGTCGCTGGCCCTGCTCGCCACGTCGGCGGTAGCTGCTCCAGCTCGGCAGCACCCATTGATGCATGAGAAGTCGCCTTACAGGAAAGACTACAAAGACCCGTACGATCACAAGATCGATGCAGTGGGAGACGGCCTCCAGCCGCTGCCTATTGTCAGTCTTCTATTCCATCTTGACGAGCTCACACTAATGCTGTCTAGGGCAATGGCGACGATCGCGGCACCGACATGATGGGACCACGCAACCCTGCTCGTGAAAGGCAGAACCCAGACTTGGTTCGCCCGCCGACCACCGACCACGGCACGATGAAGAACATGCGATGGTCCTTTGCCGACTCGCATATCCGAATCGAGGAGAACGGCTGGACGCGTCAGACCACTGTCAGAGAGCTCCCAACCTCTCGAGACCTCGCTGGTGTCAACATGCGGCTAGATGAGGGTGTCATTCGTGAGCTGCACTGGCACAAGGAGGCCGAGTGGGCGTATGTCCTCGAGGGGAGTGTACGAATCACTGCTCTGGACCCCGACGGTGGCTCATTCATCGACGACCTCGAGAAGGGTGACTTGTGGTACTTCCCGTCCGGCCACCCTCACTCCCTCCAAGGCCTCGCTCCGCATGGAACCGAGTTCCTGCTCGTTTTCGACTCTGGCAGCTTCAGCGAGGACAGCACCTTCATCCTCTCGGACTGGCTCGCCCACACTCCAAAGTCCGTCCTATCTGAGAACTTCCGTCTCCCTCCTGAGGTCTTCAATGCTCTGCCTGAGAAGGAGAAGTACATCTTCCAGGGCTCTATCCCTGGCCCGATCAAGGAGGAGACGCCCAAGAACTTCAAGAAGTCAAAGCTCAACTTCACACACAAGATGCTTGCGCAAGAGCCAGTCAATGCTACGGGTGGACGAGTAAGAATCACGGACAGCACGAACTTCCCGATCTCAAAGACTGTGGCTGCCGGCCATCTTGACATCGACCCCGGTGCGATGAGAGAGATGCACTGGCACCCCAACGCCGACGAGTGGTCATTCTTCATCAGAGGGCGAGCGCGTGTGACCATCTTCGCCGCCGAGGGCAACGCCAGGACGTTCGACTACATGGCTGGCGATGTGGGTATTGTCCCTCGCAACATGGGTCACTTCATCGAGAACTTGAGTGACGACGAGCCGTTGGAAGTGCTGGAAATCTTCAGGGCAGACAAGTTCCAGGACTTCTCGCTCTTCCAATGGATGGGCGAGACGCCGCAGAGGTTGGTGAGGGATCATCTCTTCCAGCAGGACCCTGAGCTGGGCGAGAAGTTCTGGAAGGCGGTCGAGGGAGCGAAGTCGGATGTCATCAAGAGCCCGCAGAGTGGCGAGGAGGAGTTTTCCGATGAGTTGTGAATGTACATTAGCGATGAAACATACGAAAGACAAATCATTCATTGGAATGGAAAGCTTCGTCTCGTCTGGAACTGAATTGTGATATACGTCGGACAGCTACACCATATCTCGCCTCACAAACAGCAGCGAATGCATGGTCTCAAAGTCACACAATATCTTTTGTTCAACACTCATCCAGTCCGAAAGAAGTCCGTCCCCTTCCTCCTCCGCCAGATTCCTCCAGCATCTAGGACACAGACACAGTAGCGTGGCCCTTGCCGTTGAAAGCTTCCACCGCCATGACCTGGAAGTTGAAGTTGGAGGCCTTGAACCCAGACTTGGCCTGGTCGCAGAAGATAGAATGATTAGCAAGTTTCGGGAGAGGGCTCTGCATTGCTTTGACTCACCCAGAACGCAAAGTGATTGCTGGTGGTGACCGTGCCAGACGAGCGCTTGCTCTGGCGGACGGAGAAGTACTGCGTGAAAGTGCTGGTGCCCGTGATGGATGGCTGGTTGGTGCGGGTGCCCTTGCAGACGTTGTAGGTCCCTCCGTCAGACGAGACGGTGCCGAGAGACTGGAGACCAGTGCAGGGGTTGTAGCTGCCGTAGTTCTCGACGATATAGTATTCGGTCTGGGGGCTGTTGATCCAGCCGTACACGGCGAGGTATGACCCGGAGCTGGCAGCACTGTAGGTGGCGGAGTAGGTGATGGCGCTGGGAAGGTATCAGAAAATGATTGTGAAGAAGGGAGGTATTCAACTTACCGAGCAGCGCCTGTGCTCCAGCCTGCGAACAGAAGACACAAGAGTCAGTGCTTGTTCAAAGCATGGAGAGGCCTTAAGTATCATACCAATGCCGACAACAAAATCCCCGTTCACGCCATTGTCCCAGTACATCGAGTAAGTACCGGCATTCAGATTGTATGTGAAGGAGCCGAGGTTGCTGTTGTAGTTCTGGACGTAGTTGGTGCCACCAGGGCCACGAGCCACGAGGTCTGGGTTGGGGGAAGTCTCTGCCTCTGCCTCTGCTTCTGCAACTGGCGCAGCGAATGCTCCTGCAACCAGCAAGCTGGCCAAAGTTGCGAAGATCTTCATGATGAGTGGAATGAACCTGATGTGATTGAAAGAGGGATGTGATGAAAGCTGTTGATCGATGCTCTCGCTGGTATGCCATCGTCTTTATATCCCTTCGTGAACCTCACCTACCATCCCTTTTACCCGCTGGCTCTACCCTCTGTTCCATAAGCTTCGCCGCGTGATATGGTCATGGTTTTGTGTAGCCTCGGTGGTGAAGCCAATTTGATGCATACCAATATATCTCCGGGTGAAGATACTTGGTGAAGTGACAAGCCCATGGATCCGGAGACGTCGTGTGGGGTTCTGGGGAAAGTGGCTGTTCTTCGGCTTTCGCCGGCACTGGCCGGATATTAGCCTAGCTGAACTTCCGGAGCGCAGTGTTACCTTTTGCGACCACAGCTAGCGTTTGAAACAGATTACCTTCAGCACGCCAATGCTGGTCTTGTGACACCACCCTCACCACAAGGGTTGATCGCAACCGACGGCTGAAAGCAACCGGACGTAGCTAGGTCCGTAGCAGGAGAAGTAATGCCGGCTAATGGAGGATAGTCAGCACCAGACAGACGTGTAAGGAACAGCATGGTATGGGGAGAGCGTCATTGGAGGGAGCATCTCGTTAGTATGCACACCGACGTGATGCGAGAGTCAAAGCGTGTTTACCTGATCGACGTCGATCTGTCAATTCATGCGTGAGGTCTCAAACCCAATTCGAAACGCAAAGCACCCCAGACTGTCGTGGTACCATACAGCCCCTTTACTCAGCATGTGTGAGGTGACACGCATGCGGGTGAATAGAACTATGGACTTTACCCACGGACAAACGTCCGTTTAGCTTCTGTCTAGCTAGGTCTTGCGCAGGGCCTGCCCGCGGCTCATACCACAGCTGAGGTTTTGTATTATCCAGACGAATCATCATCAGGATTCGGTAACCTTCTCATGGAATGCGGCCGAACCAGTGTTGTACAAGCACAGCACAATTTGCCAGGCCCAGGCTCTCCTAGCCAGAAGATGGCCAATAACAACCGGATAACGTACAAAGTCCTCGTGCCTTGCGCTTCAACGTCCAATCAAGCCGCCGAACACGCGTTACAGCCGAGGGAAACTCTCCTTCAAATTCAAGACCACGACACAACGTCGGGAAAATGTGCTGGAAGGTTGCGGCTGCCACATAAGGGGACTGCGGTCAAGTTCGAGACTCCACATTGTTCATGAACACATGTTGTCGGCACCGTCAGTAAGGCCCGGCTCCTCAAGCATGTTGCGTTGACCGTGATGTGGCTCTATATCGCGGCTGCGGGACGGAACTTAACGTTCTTGGATGCCGCTCGTCCAACGAGACAATCGACAAAGTGCTAGACAATACGGGAGAAAACACTTCAATCCTTCACCAAGCTATACCAAAACAACACTTTCTCCACTGGCATATTCACTCTCAGCATTGGAGGATCCAATTGCCAATTGCATGTGTCAGAGCAAAGCAAGCGAAAGAGAAGCCCACGGTAAGACCAGCAGGCGCCACCGGCAGCAGACGACAAGAATCTGGGCTGCCAGCACTGCTTCACCAGAGAAGCGTGCAGAGCACTCACATTCGACCATGTGGTAGGAACTTGGTTTCGTCTTACCTCACTCTGTTCCGTCCCGTCTCGTCTCTTCGTCTCGTCTCGTGTTGGACATCCCTACCTCTACTGCAGGTCACTTGTGAAATGGCAAGGTCGGGACGTAACACATCACGCCACTGACGACCGCCACTTAAAAGTAAGTTTGAATGAAATTTGTGCGCGCCTTGATGTATACGCGTACTATGTTGCCCCGTACCCGATGCGTTGCTTTGACGTGATGAAGTGTCCTCCGCCAAATGTGTCCAGCGGCCGCCGCTAAGGTTGCCCGCAATTCAGACACCCTGGCCGATCACTCATCGCAACTTCTGCATCCCTTCCACCTCCGTCCACTCCTCATTCTCCCTTCGATCCAGCTCCAGCACATTCACCACATTCATCATACCCAGCCCCGATTGACTGTCATGCAGATGAGCGCAGCCATCCTTGACTCCGGCTTTTGGATCCGTTGAGAATTCCAGACGTCCTTCAAGCTTGGTCCGCTCGAGCTGCAGCACCCAGAGTTTCCGCTGATATCTGAAAAAGAGCTTGGCCGTGATCGGGGTCTGTTCCGCGGTGGATAGATGAATGAAGCCGTCGCTAGCGTCGAGTTTGGTCGATGGAAGAGTTCTGGGCAATGGCTCTTTTGGTGCTTCGTCCAGGAGCTTGTACAGATATCTCGGCGGCGTCATTGTGGGAGTGCTTGAAAGGTCAATGTAAAGATGCACGTTCGCTCGCTGCCACTCTTATTCTCTGCTGATTGCGAGATCGCAGCCGCACAGTCACAGTGAGAAAACATCGGGCTGTTAATTACCCCGCGCGGTATGCCACGTGCGGGCAGTCTTGCGAGCTCATGAGATATGTGGCGTGCATTCCGCTCATCCTCTGATACGGTGTTTCCTCGAGATCTCCGACTCCTTCCTGTTCCAACATTCCTGGTAGCCTTCAAATCCTGCAGCAGCCAATGAGTACGATCTCGAGGAATGAGAGCATATTAGTGCATCATCGTCAGTTCTGCGCCTGTGTCTAAATGATGATTGTCGGGATATGAGATGAGTCAATTGCCCCGCCGCTTGATGGCGGCTTTGCATCTGCAGCCTCACAGGTGTGCCGAAGAGGACTTTGCTCTTTTGCCAGCTGTTGTCTTCCACCTTCGCCCTTGAGAAGATCATTCGTAAATCTCGCGTTCGTCGCAAATATAAAGGATGAGGTTCAGAAGATCCCGGACATGGCGTTTCAAAGACTTCTTGCATGTGAACGCCAAGAGGCCGTGACGGTCGGTACCTGAAGTGAGTCCATTCGAGAGGTCTTGTTCTTCCTTGGTGGGGCTCGATGCTGTCAATGCGGGGTGGTATGCTCAAAAAGGTACCGGACGATGTCTAGCAGTCTTGCAAACTCTCCTCGAGTCAGCCCATCTTAGAAAAAGTTAGCCCCTTCCTTCTGGCATTCGATGTAGGTGTACGGCGAAGTAATCGCATTCGCGAATGCGGCATGATGCGCTTTAACAGGACAACCGTCTCAGCCCATCGATCTCAAAAGTTTAAATATGCTTCAGCGAGCTGCGCAGGCTTCACCCAAACCATTCAAACATCTTCGAAATTCACTGTTCATCGAGAGCTCCCACTCATATATCTTGCCTTCGATGTCCGCCAAACCAGCCATTGTTTTCGTCCCGGGAGCATGGCACAAGGTCGCTCAATATTCACTGGTCACATTACGTCTCGAGCAAGCCGGGTATGAAGTCCATGGGGTCGATTATCCATCTACCGGCCCAAACCCGACCCACGAGACTTTTGACCCTGACGTTGAGAAGATCTCAGGCGTCATCGAGTCGCTCGCGGACCAAGGCCGCGACGTGCTGGTAGCAGTCCACTCTGCAGCTGGAATCATTGCTGGCGAGGCTGCGAAAGGATTGCTGAAGTCGACTCGTGAGAGCAATGGCAAACAGGGCGGCATCACACACATGGTCTACATCTGTGCTTTTGCGGCTGCGGAGGGCACCTCGCTATGGGAGACGGCCAACGGTCCGCAAGATTGGGAGATTGTAGAAGGAGCGACGGTGAGGTGTGGCCGGCCTGAGATGTTCTACAATCGTTGCACGCCGGAGCAAGCCAAAGAAAACACATCCAACTTACAGCGGTTCGCGAAAGGCACATTGACAAGTGTAGGTTTGCGTTGCTCGAGGAATGCTCTAACGTCGTGACACTGCTGACCCATCTTGATGTATGCAGAGAACCTCGTATGCGCCTTGGAAAGAAGTCGCGTGTACGTACCTGATCTGCCAAGAGGATCACGCGATTCCACCGGCGGCGCAGGAAGCCATGTCGACGCAACCTGGAGCGAAATTCGAGGTCGTGAGGTGCCAAGCCGACCACAGCCCTTTCTTGTGTATGCCAGAGTTTACGACAAACGTAATACGACAAGCAGCTAGAGAGGCGATCGAGCTACAAGTGTAGCTCGGAAGGAGTCCTGAGATGTCCATAGAGGTCCTCGTGTCGGCATGTACTCAGTGCATGAAACCCGCCCCAATGACTTTTACATCCTCTGTATGGCTCAAAGCTGTGTTGCTTCTGCGGGTGTAGTGATGCTCGTGGGCCTTGAGAATGCAGGTAGTAAGCTCCTGCTTTCTTCGGGTCGTGTCATGATTACATCAGCCTTTCGGCCATCGTTTCAGCCGTTCCAGGGCAATGGCCATCGCTTGCTGTCACCATCGAATCGTACTTTCAACCGTCCTCAGCCTGTCGCAGAGCCGCCGCGCAAGATTGTCGGACATCTTCCACACCTCTTACATCGTCCCACCTATTGAGCAAGGTTTGGACGTCCTCCCACTCCGCTTGAGCCTCATCTGTCCGCCCATTCTGCACCATTTCTCTCAATCGTCCTGGAGCGGCCAGAACCCACTTCACCGTCGCCTGCTGGCGTTGTGCCGTCCTCTGTGCCTCTGGGTCTATCAAGTTCGCTGACCTGGCGTATGACTTCCTCAAGTCGGATGAAAGCGAAGCAGCTGTCTCGGCGATATGTCCAATCGCAGGTGTAAGCGTGCTCGTCGTCGGCGTCATTGGATCCATCTTCTCGCGCATGCTCTTGATGGTGGCCGTGGCAGCGATCAGCTTGCTGTAGTTGTCGTAAACGAGCGCTTTCTTCTCGCCATCGAGGGAGCGGATCTCCGAGACAAGGCTGGCTTCGACTTTCAGCACGTGGTCTATGCTTTCGCGGGCAAGGAGACCGGAGATGTAGGTAGGTGTATCAAAGTTGGCTTTGTCAAACTCGCTCTCGTGCTCGATGTCGAGGGAGTTGAAGGGCGGTGTGTCGCGCGCGTCGGCGGGTCCAGCAGCTTTCAAGCCATAGTAGTCGCGGAGAGCAGCGCGGTTGCGGCGGAGGCTTCCTCGATCGACTGCGGGTGCGTGGCCGGCGGTGTCGGTTGAGGTCGACGTGCGACGAGAGGATTCCGATATGGATGGACGGGGTGATGCGATCGTTGACATACTCAAGCGCCGTCTAAGATGTTGTGTTGAGGATGTGTCTGTTCAGAACATCGGGAAGCGATTCAATCAAGGCGTGGTACCTGCGCCGGGCGGGACGGGAAGTGCGGCCCCTGAGGCTTATCCCGCGTAAAGTGCGGGGAGCAGTTCAGTTCAGGGCGCCCCTTGTTCCATCATGCCCTCGACCTTATCTTGTCGTTGCGATTGCTCGTCTCTCTTTTGCGCCTCGCGCCGTCACTCCTTACAGTCACTCCTTATAAACCGATTAACACAGCAGGCTGGACCTGTTGAACCACGCTCATTCGCACACATCCCCCCCGACACGTCTTCACCATGTTGCACTGGGCAGCTCCTCTCGCGCTCCTCGCGTCGTATGTGGCGGCGCAGACGTCGACAGAATGCAATCCGCGAAACACGACGTGTCCGCAAGATCCAGCCCTCGGGACGACTTTTGAGACCACATTCAACGAGTCAATGACCGAGTTCGACCCCAAGTTCTTCAACATTACCGCTGGGGCCGATTTGATCACCTTCTCGGAGAAGGGAGCGGAAATGACCATCACGAAGCAGGGCGACTCCGTTACAGTCCAAACAGCCTTCTATATCATGTTTGGCAGGGTTGAGATGATCTTCCAAGCTGCCAGTGGACAGGGTATCATTAGCACTTACAACTTGCTAAGCGATACACTCGACGAGATCGATCTGGAGATCATGGGCGGCAATACTTCATACGTCTCGAACAATTTCTTCGGCTGGGGCAACACAAGCCAATTCAACTCAGAGTACGAACCGACTACTGGTAGCGCTTGGGCTGGCGGCGCAATGGGAGACATGCACAACTACACCGTTGATTGGGAGCAAGAAGAGATCAGGTGGTGGATGGACGGCGACCTTGTAAGGACGCAGACCTACCTTCCAGCTGGCCGGTATCCTCAGACACCATCTTTCTTGAAATTCGGTATTTGGGCTGGCGGCGACCCAGATCTCCCGAAGGGGACACGAAAGTGGGCCGGCGGCGACACCGACTACTCAAAAGGCCCCTTCACAATGACGGTCCAGTCGCTCAAGATCATCGACAGTCACACAAACGTCAGCTACTATGACTATGGTGACAAGACTGGCAGCTGGGAGAGCATCAAGGCGATTCCCGGCCAGTCTAACGCTTACAAGCTCATGCACCTGAAGTCCTTCGGCGAGAAGACCCAGGAGCAATGGGATGGTCTGTCCACAGGGGCCAAGATCGGCATCGCTGCCGGAATCGGCGGAACATTCCTGATCGCCTTTGCAGCTTTCATCTTTTACTGCCTCCGTCAGCGACGGCAAGGGAAGGCGGAGAAGGCGATGGCCGACAAAGAATGGGAAGCGCAGCAGGCGGAGAATGTGGAGTTGAAGGGCCAGATCTCTGCATATCAGACACAGATGAAGAATGGCGCGTTTGCAACGAGTTATCTTGGCCACGTGAGTACAGCCTAGAAATATTGAGTGCAAGTGCTGACGACGAACAGGGCCAGCGTTTTTAACATGGGTGTGACCAACTGGCGTATGATGTGTTTATGATACCATTCTGTGTTCTCAATATTGTATAGAATACGAACAAGATTCGAACCTGTTGCAACAATCGAATCTTATCAGCGTTTGTTCTCGAAGATCACGTGACTGGACAAGATGGTCACGTGACGTCTGTGCTGAGGTGGATTCCAGGTCAAACGCTTTGCTCAACCTTCTCAACATTACCAGCCTTCCCAACACCGTTCTCCGTGGCCACATGAGTCAGGCCTTGTGGATTTTCGTGGTCCTCGACGATCAACTCGTGGGTGTTCCGGTCGACGTGGACATCCTCGCTGAACACCATGATGTCGTCCTGCTCGCCAAATATCTTTGCGATTTCTTCCAGCGGGACGCCCTTGGTTTCCGGAAGGAGAAAGAAGAATACAATGCCGCCGACCAAGGTCAGGCAGATGAAAACCAGGTAAAATTTCCACCCAATGCTGGCGAAGGCCGTCGCCGTGGCCTGGAGGTAAACCAGGTCCGTCAGGGCGATGGTAGCGATGGATAAACAGATACCTTTCGCCCGAATGTGGTTTGGGCCGTTCGGTCGTTAGCAGGTTTCAAGACGCTCGAAGATGAGGAGCAGGTAGTCTCAGGGTGTCACTCCTCGTGGGACAGTGCCTAAGACGAGTGGCACCCCTAGAACGGTTACACTTACAAGACTTCGCTGTACCAAACGACGCCACAGACATCAATACCGACGGAGTAAACGGCCAGGAAGGCGTAGAAAGCCACAACACCAAAGGCCAGGCCGACTTTGTTCTCTCCCGCGTTGGGTCCCTCAGCAAAGGCACCGACCATGGCGGCTTCGATGATCACTGTGGTACGTTAGTCCTAGCACCACTTTGCTTGGACGAGTCACAACTCACAGCAGACGCAGCAGCCAAAGACACCAAACAGCATCAGCGGTCGGCGGCCGAACTTGTCCATGAGCAACGCACCAACAGCATTGAAGATCACACCGACACTGATCCAGCCGCATTGCAACCGGAGTTGGTCCTAAATATGTAGGTCAGTAGGGGCCAGGAAGTAGAGTGTGAATTGAGCGTACCTCTGTCTCGAAACCCAGAGCAGCGTACTGCAGCGGTCCGTAGTTGTTGATGACGAGAACGGCAGTCGACTGACCGATGAACGCGAATCCCATCGCCATGAATGTGCGCTTACGGTATGACGGGCGGCGGAACATCTCCATCTATACCGAGCAGAATCAGCACAAGAACAGGTGGAACGGCGGTATGTGTCGAACACGTACCCATGATGGATCCAGTGTGCGATCGAACTCCGTTTGCTTCGACATTTGGTAGAATTCTGCTCGTGCAAACTCCTGGTCTGGATCACCTTTGACCGAGTGTAGCCTCATCGTGACTTCTCTTGCTTCCTCGATACGGCCGCGCATGAGTAGGAATCGTGGGCTCTCGGGCACGAAGGGTAGGGCGATTATGATGAGCATCATGAATGGCCAGAGGAGTGCAATGCCAAGAGGACCGCGCCATTGTGCTTCGCCGTAAGGGGCGTAGAAGAACGCCATTCCCATGTATGAAGCAAGACCATAACCGAGGGCGATGTTGATACCGTTCATCCCAACGAAAAAGCCACGGTGCTTAGGAGGTGCGAGCTCCGCACAGTACGTGGGCGTGACGGCCAGGAAGCCCCAGCTGCCAATTCCGGCGAGGAAACGAGCGACAATGAACATCGCCACGTTGATGCTACCGCAGAGCAGAGCACCACCCACGAGAGAGAAGACGGCGCAGTATATCATCCCGGCCTTGCGACCGTATCTGGTGAATCAATCAGCGGCTGTTGCAACGTCATTCACAGACATCCTCATACCGATCCATCACCCATGATGCAAAGAGTACACCGAGGACCGCGCCCGCCTGATGACTGTAAGCGAATGCTGCTGCTGCTGATTGTCAGAGGAAGAACCTGAAGCATACCTGGAACACTCCTGACATTGCCTGACATGGAATTAGTTCTGATTGTCCATAGGGGCTGCTGGCTGATCGTTGACTTACACCTATCAACTGATTGCCACTCGTTGTCAACTCGCCGGTCTCAGCATTGAGGATCGACATGTAGATGAGAAAGCTCGGCTCTCCCAGCTGTGAAGGAGTCAATCACAGTCTGAAGACAGGGTGGTGGGACAAGACTTACTGTCGTTCCAATAATGGACGCTGGGTAGCCGAATGCTATCTGCCCCAGGGAGACGAGGAAGCATATTGCGAAATTCTTCCAATTGATTCGCTCGCCGGTTGTCAGATCGTTCTTTGCCATGGTTGCGGGTTAGGTGATAAAGCGCGATTCACATGCCAAAGCATGAACGTCCCAGGAAACCGGTACCTATATACCAAACGGAGGTATATTACAGACCTCGGTGAGTTGCCGCGGGGAGGCATGGTCGACTCCAGTCATCGAGACTCTGGTGGCGCGTCTTCTCAGACGTCCGGCAACAAGCAGCAATCATCGGCTGGAATCACCAGCAGCTGTCATTCCCGGGAGGTCTTCGAGAGCATCCCCGCGCGGAGCCCCAGATTTGGTGGTCGAGACCGCATGGTTCGCCAATAAAGTTCAATCTCAGGCAAGCCATTGAGCTAAGCAGATGACTGCGGACGCCTCGTGGTGAACGATCTCCGTGTCTCCCTGACTCGCGGCCGATTAAGCTTCCCCGCATGGCATTAAACGGGAGTCGAAGCAATCTCACACGTGGCCGTCGGTGGTCTGGCCAGTGTGTGGAAAGTCTGGTGGAGCGCTTGTTGTAGCGCGATCCTGTCGATGGTTTTGGGAAGCGCAACGAGTGCAGCGTCCACACAGCTCTCCGGGGGTGTGGTAGGCGGTCTGACATGAAACAGGCATGCCACTGTGTTGTTTTAAATGGAGACATATCGTCGCGAGCGCTGACTGAGCCATTGCTGGTCTGTATGTTACAGACACATTGCTCCGTTCAGTCAAAAGCATCACGTCACGCAGTTCGATTCGGTCGGGCCGTCTTGAAGCATTGCTAAGGACAGCAATCTTTGGCAAGCTTCCAAGGCGCTTGCAAGCTCCCTGACCCCGCCGCTCTGGACAAGGTACTCAACCACATGCATCGCGGTTTGGGCCAGAACGATGTCGGAGTCTCTGTCTTGAGGAGAAGTCCCGGTCACTACCGAGGTGAGCAGCAATATCGTTGCTGGTACTGTGTATTGTATGGCATTGCTACAAATCTAGTGAGCGTTGCTCTGATGGGAAGAACTCTGAGTGTCTCACCATATGTAAGTGGCTTCGCCATCTTGAACGGCCATTGCGACCAGACAAGTATCTCTTGCCGCCTTAAGACAGTGAGGTGCCAACGAAAGACCTTGACCGTTCTGCACTTGATCACACATCTCCGCAATCGAGGTGGTAATACTGACGTTCGCCATCAACATCGTTTGGAAGAAAGAAAATTGCACGTCTGCAATGTACATGATGGAGTCCTCTGGCCAGTCGTATGGAAGATCTGCGGAAGGCCCGTAATCGTACCATTCAGCCTTCCATTCCACCAGCTTGGCGTTCAAACGACCTACTGCCTCCTTGCGGACCGCCGTTGGGTGATATCGACCTTTCGACGTATGAAGCTCCTTCCACACAAGACCACCGATGCGTGCGAGTCTTTGACGGGCCGTGTACAAGTTAAGGGTATTCCCATCAAGAGACTGCACTAGTCCGTAGCCCCGGTGGGACAGCTTGGGCGGCTCAACGAGAAGCATATCGACGTCATCGTAATGGATGCAGGGCGGGATATTCTCACGCATCGACGTCTCTACGTCCAAGATGTAGAAGCACCAGAACGCCTGCAACTTCTCCAGACGTTCGGAGAAGCTGAGACCGGCGATGTCGTTCGAACGGTGCAATGCCAACGACAAGACTGTCCGACTCGCGACGCCCAAGATATTCCGAGCGACTGAATCACCAGGTCGCAATCTTTGAATACCAAGAACAATCGTGAGGAGGACTTGGAGGGTGAAAAGCGAGGTACGGCCGCAGAGCGTGATATCGAGAGCAGACAGAGCAGCCTGGAGGGATTTGTCGGCCGATGCAGAGCTGTTGTTCGAATTTGTCGACTCCAGGGTCATCGTCGGCCGTTCGACACACGCCACGATAGCATTGACACAAGCGGATACTAATGCATGATCTTGAAGATTGATCGGGCTGTATAGGTGTGCTCGAAGTCGGCCCGGGTCGTGTATAGGGGAAAAGTGGTTGACAGAAGCAAGGTAGTCGCTCAGAAGATGGAGGAATCGGTTGTCGTTCACAAACGCAGAGTGCGATTCGGAGGAGGACTGTAGGCTCGCGGCGTCCGGACGCTCGACAGAGAGCCATGGTCGATCGCAGTCTTCTACAGAGCTGTCGATCGGGCTCTTTGAATGGTCGTTGGTGGAGTTTGTGGGTTGCTCGATACTACCTGTGCTATCTGGCGGTCAATATGGTCATTTCAAGCGAGTATGGCAATCAAATATACTTACTTGCCTGCAGTTTTGGACGAATGTGAAAAAGTACAGGCGACCTTCGACCTTACGCAGTCGAAACAGGATGGTGGTCGCCAGTTGCATCTGACTTTCTTTCGACGACAGGCATCGCAGGCTTGAGCAATGCGCGGTACTTGCAAGCTCCTATTTCGTCGCGAATCATCCATGTCAGACCCCAGCAAGTCAAATGGCGTGTTCTATGGGTCGAGAACAACGATCCCAACTCAGCTAGAGTAGTTGTGGCATCCGGCGTACCATACCTTGGAATAGATGACTATGGACGGGTATCCAAATGTGCTCGGGGCGAGCATGAACATATGCTTGGAAAGTAACACATCTTAGTTCGTGGTGTCCGTGAGCTGATCGACTTGCGATCTTTCGTAATGGGTTCGCAGTTGGAACCCCTGTTGGCAGTCCGTGAGAAGTGTGAAGCCAGGAGTCAAGAGACGTTCTCGAAAGTCGTGCAGATGCCGGTTTGGAAAGCTGGATGCCGGTCAAAACGAGGAATTCTGGCCGGATCGCCATCAGCCTTTCGCCGAGATTCAAATCCAACGCGTGCAACGGTGAGGAACAGAGCGAGGGACGCGCAACAGTAAGTGAGGGGATTACGGTATCATTCTGCGATTTGCGAGCAATGTAGAATAGGGCCTCCATCTGCTTTCGTAATGGCAGCGAGCGACCCGCAAGAGCTATCCTCTGAAGACGCAGTATAAGTATTGCCCTGTCCACTTGCTATTACTCATGAGCATCAACAGACTATTGCAACCTCTCCAAACCTACAGTGACCACTACGCTTCCTTCTGAACTCGGGATGGCTCCCCCAAACATTGGCATGATGTTCCCACGTCCGACGAAGGACTACCACCCCGAGCCGTACGCGGCGATTTCTCCAAGCAGATCTGAACTGAGTGTCAAGGGTCAGACCGTTCTGATCACAGGGGGCGGTATGTGTGCCCGCGCGTCAGAAGATAAATGGAGCAAAAACTGACAATGGGGTCTAGCAACGGGCATTGGCTTTGAGACCGCAAAGGCATTCGCTCAAGCAGGTGCAGGGACGATCGCGATCATTGCCCGCTCCGAAGGTCCTATGGCCAAAGCCAAAGAGGCAATCGAAAATCAGTTCTCTGCCACCAAAGTCCTCACCTACTCCGCTTCAATCACCGATCATCCTCGGGTCAACGAGATCATTAACGAGATCGGTACCATTGACATTCTGGTGTCCAACGCTGGTGTGATGCATAAGCATGCCGCGGCCCTCGACATCGACCCAGAAGAAGCGCTGGAGGCCTTCAAAGTCAACGTCCTTGGACCGCTGAACCTCATCCGGGCTTTTGTCAAATTGCCACCGCGGTCAGAGGGGGCTGAGAGGACAGTCATCTACACCTCCACTGCGGGCATCGCCTTCGTAGCCCACCCAGGACCTGCGGTGTACAACGCTAGCAAAAGTGCAATGACATATCTCATGCGCTGCATCGATTCGGAATACAAGGCTGCTGGCATCCGTGCTTTTGCTTTCCATCCAGCCATCGCCTTCACCGACATGGCGATCGCCGCTGGTTACAAAGAGGACCAGTTGTCCTACGACTCTCCCGCTCTCCCAGCGCATTTTGCTGTTTGGTTGTGCAGTGCGGAGGCGGACATGGTCAAGGGCAAGATGCTTTGGGCCGCTTGGGACGTTGAACAGCTGAGGGAGAAGCAGGAGACCATCGAAAAGGATCCGTCGCAGCTGGTGATGGGCCTGACGATGGACAAGTTGGTCTGAGATAGTAGCTGTCCGTTTTGGTCGGTGGAGTTAAGTCACGTAGGGATAGTACGGCGAAAACGCTTGATTTTGCCGCATGGTCTCATAATATATCCGTAGTAAACATTCTTCAAATGTGGGATGAACCAGGCTAAGTAGCAGAAGAACTGGCAGTCAGACCGTGGCTTATCCGTGACGCCATCGCCTGCTGTGAAGCTTTCCGACTGTAGACTCGCCGTAGAGTTACGACTCGAAATTCGGACCTCCTACGGAGTAAACTTGAGTAGAATCGATTCTGAAGTGTGGCGTGCACGTGCCAGATTTTTAGCGCACCGCAACTTGGATCGCACCGCAACTCCATGTTAGCTACATGTACTGCTAACACAGGACCACAGACTTGCTGGATGAAATGGACGAGCCAAAGTGGTGGACAGCTGCTTGTCCCACTCTAACTCCCGTCCCTTGCGCGTCAACTTACGGCACGAAGACTGACTCCAGGATCATACCTTGTGCTCCTTGAATCGGTTGGGGAGGCCATTTCGGATCTGGACGCCACTTCGCCTCCCAGCTGTGCGACCCGCTACCAACAACACAATCTATACCTGGGAGTATTACATGCGCCTCTCCATTCGGAGGCACGGATAGAGTCGTCGACAGACGGTCTCCGTTGCACTTCCACTCTACAGCGTACGGCCCATAAGGGGAGTCATACGAGGTAGATGCTCTAGTGACACTTCCGCCTGGTCGAGGGCGGACGAGTGCTCGTTTCCATCCAGGGGTCTCAGCAGAAAGGCCGCCGACCACACCATGCAAGAAGTCGCACACGGACCCTAAGGCGTAGTGATTGAAAGACGTCATCTGGCCTGGATTTATATCGCCGTTTGGCAGCATGGAATTCCAGCGTTCCCACTGTACACACTTGGTCAGCAACACTCAGGTCCCCGCTTCCTTGAATAACTTACTATCGTTGTTGCACCCATGCGAACGGTGTAAAGCCAACTCGGATCATCACGCTCTTGCAGCATGCGGTAGGCGAGACTGAGCATATCGTTGTCCGCAAGTGTCTTCAAGATCAGGGGCGTGCCTGCAAATCCTGTTGTGATCTTAAAGGCCTCCCATCTTGTGAGATGCTCGAGCGTCTCGCACGCCATCTGTCTTTGCTTTGCTGACGGATACAACTCGAAATGCAAAGCCAGCACGTATGCAGTCTGAGAGTTGGACGAGAGCTTGCCAGCAGGCGTCACGTTCTCTTCGTGGAACCGATCCAACATTTTGGAAGCTTGCGAGGAGTACTTTTCGGCGGCATCTGAGTGTCCAAGCATCGAAGCGATTCGAGCGGCAACTCTCGTGACATGGATCAGATACGCATTTGCGACCAGGTAACAATCTGTTGGACCATGTCCGGGCAATGACGGAGGTGCACGTGGGTCAAGCCAGTCGCCATACTGTGGGGAGGTCTTTGCATACAGCTGATGTTCATCTCGCGGTACGCCTTTGTCAAGCCAAAGACACATGCTCTCCCATTGCCTCTCGAGGAAAGCCAGGTCGCCGAAGCTCTCGTAGAGATCTCTCGGTGTGAGAATGACACAATCCGCCCATATCGCCATCGGCCTGGCTTCGGTATGCGTTGGTGGTTTCGGGATCACGGGGACGATGACTGGCGGCACCCCGTTGTTGTCTCTCTGGTCGGCTTCAACGTCACGGAGCCACTCGCCCAGCAATGCAGAAGTGTCGAATAGGAAGTTGGCCGTCGGAGTAAAGACTTGGAGATCGCCTGTCCATCCTAACCGCTCATCACGCTGCAGACAGTCCGTAGGTAGCGACAGAAAATTCCCACGCATGGACCATACAGTGTTCTGATGGAGCTGATTGATCTGCTTGTGAGAGCATTCAAACACTCCGGTGCGTCGAAGGTCCGAGGAAATCACGATTGCCGTAAAATCGTTCAAGGACAGTGAGCCAGGGCAATTGATCTCTGCGTACCTGAGGTAGCATCAGTGCGCCGTGCAGAAAGAACAAGTGGAAGCAGTCGACATACCGGAAACCGAAGAACGTGAAGCGTGTCTCGTGGCCCTTGACGTTGCCACCCAAGGTGACAAGACTCTGCGCCTTGGCCGTACGCAAAGGTCTGACGCCTAGCTCACCACGTTCCATCACTTCAGCATGCCGGATCCAGAGCTTGTCGCCTGGCTTGCCTTCGATTTGCTTCTCAATCCGCAACCAGCCTACCAGATTCTGACCAAAGTCCAACACCTTCTTCCCGCTTCGTGTCGTGATCATCTCCACCGGCTTCACTTCCATAATGCGTCTCGCGGGTGGCGCTTCCGGTGCAATCAGAGCTGCAGAGGGGAAGCCCAGATCTTCGGCAGAGCCCTTTACGGTCACTGCGGAGCCCGGAATAGACCCATTCGTCTGGTCCTGATTACTGTCAAAATGCTCCCCGTCGTATATTGACGCCGCTTGCACGGGTCCGGCGAGCCATTGCCATGACGAGTCGGTGAGGCACACCACTTCACCATCACATTCCAGTTGGGCAAGGAAACCTATTCGGTCACCCCAGATGTTTGAGACAGATGGCCTCCCCAAGCGCCCAGCGTACCAGCCCTCGGCGACGTAAGCGCCGACCACGTTCTCTCCCTCCCGCAACAATCTGATGACATCGTGTAGCTGGTAATGCAAGCGATGCTGGTACGACTGAAACCCCGGTGCGAGGACATGATCCCCGACTCGATAGCCGTTGATCTCAACTTCGTAGATGCCATATGCGGAAGCGTAAAGACGAGCGGTGGCACCGAGTTTGGACAAATGGAAGCTCTTCCGTAGACGGAACGGCTTTTTGGATTCGTCGTTTGACTGCCGCGGACCGGATATCATCCGGCTTTCCATTCCCCTCGCTCCAGCAAAGCAGCTTCCACAACAAGTTCGACCCATGCTGTTTGAGATCCATCCTGACCAGTGGCTCGAACCTCAACCTGGGCTCTTTCCCTTGATTGCAATGGCTCTGATGGCCATGGCACGAGAATAGATTCTGAAGAGTCAACATGGTAGCACTGGCTCTTGCCGCCGCGATGAATCTTCACGTCGTACGCGGCCTGACGCCAGTCTCGTGTCTCCGTGGCATTGAAGCGCCATGACAGTCGAGGTCGGGCCACAAAGATTCCGAAGCCATTGTGGTGGTGTTCAGCCGACAATGCATTTATTGACACCGCCATGGCGACTGTACCACTGGTGGACAATGTGGTTGCATCAAAGATTGTATCACAATTTGCTCGTGGGTTCGCAGCTGTGTTCGTGCTCATGGGGGCAATCGAGACAGTGTAACAGTCATCAATGAACACTCGGTCAATGATGCACTGAGAAGATCAATACGGCTCTGTTTGAAGCTTTTCGGTGCGCTTCGGTGCGCTCCATGGTCCCAAGCGGATCCCAGACCCTACCTGACTTCTCACTCCCCAGAGTCCCCACACAATATTGGGCTCCTAAAACGTCCTTGTCAACCGCCACCGACGCTCTTCACAATCAGCCGAAGCTCAGCCTGCCGTCCCCCAATGTCGATCTTCTATACACCTAGCAAGCGCCGGCTCAGATCTCACCTTGCCAATGTGGACTGGTCCCTGGCCTCTGTGAGGGCGAGTCCAAGCCCGTGAATGGGACGCACTGAGTGTGTGCTTCTCGGTCCATGATGCACCGATGGACGAGAACGACATCTTCTTAAGAAGGCATAAATGATCATTGTCCGATACACTTACCAGTATACTCTACTACTCAGGTCTTGTCAGGCACAATGGGTCCGACAGATTTACCACCTCAATGGAAGGATGAGACTGCGACTGTCGAAAGGCTCCCAGAAGACGAGGCTGAGATCAAGAAGTCCGAGTTGGACAACCTTGGTGTTTGGGCAACTGTGAAGAGATTCAAGAAGGTGTGGAGAACCTGTATCCCGAACAAAGCCATGGCATTTAGCTGATGTCGCACAGGCAGTTCTACTCTGCAACCTTCTGTGCATCGCAGCCGCAGCTGATGGGTATCAATACACATTGAACGGTAAGAAGGCAGAGAAAATAGTCATAAGAGCAGAGAATCTGACCTTCACGAGGCAACGTCATTGCGAACCTTGGTTTCATCCGACATGTCGGCTTCCTCAACGACGAGGGCGAATACGAGCTCAACGCCGACCACACGGCTCTATGGGGTGCCATGCAGTCGCTGGGTCAGATGGTCGGAATGCTCTTCCTGAACCCCATCTCCGACGCTCTTGGCCGCAAGGCGACCCTTTACGTTCTCTGGGTCATCCATTGTGGTGTATGTGTTGCCCCTCCCAGCTTTCTCGGTAGCCGACACGCTGACCTTGCGCACAGGCTATACTTCTGGAGACCTTCGTGCGGGACTGGAGGGGCTGGGCGGGCGCGAAGCTGACTGCTGGCATTGGCATCGGTGCTATTCAGTCCACTCTGCCGGTCTTCATCTCCGAATGGGCGCCTGCTAATTGTCGCGGAGCGATGGTGCTGGCGTACGGCTTTTGGAACGCTCTGGGTAAATTCCTCGCGCCTTTGGTGCTCACGGTCCGCGAGGCCGCCGACCCATACGACTACAAGGTGCCCATCCTGACCCAATGCGCATTCGTGGGCATCATGTTACCAATTCTATTGTGGCTTCCTGAGACACCTTGTAAGTCATTATACCAGCCATGATGGAATAGACGTGTAGAGATGCCAACAGAACACAGCATACTACGCGGCTCGCGATATGGACGACAGAGGCAAAGCGATGCTGCGCAGAGTCAACGGGAACGTGCAGGGCTACGATGTCGATGCTGAATACGCCATCATCCGCAACACCATCGTTCACGAGTTCAAGCGAGATGAAGCGACGCGTGAGCGGGGATGGAAGAGCACCCTTCGATCATACGGGACATGTTTCTCACGGCTGCATGCTCGTCGGACGCTCGGTGCTGCTCTGCCCGCATGTGCACAACAGTTGACAGGTCTAGCCTTTCTCAACGTGTACGTTAAATTGAAGGGTCGAAGGGTTCTCCAGGGACAGATACATTTTCCTGCGGCGCTCTGACACCTTTTCAACCTTGATCCAAGTTTCGAGACGTTTGCTAACGCTTCTCCTGCTCACCTCAGGTACTCGAGCTTGTTCTTTCGGCAGAGTGGATTCGATAACGCTTTCCTTATTACCACAATCACCAGTGAGTAAATTCATGCCTGGAGGCAGCGTGTACGGAGCTGACAAAATCTCCTAGCCGTCCCGGCCGTTGCCACAATCGCCGGTCTTATCCTTGGGACTGACAGGTTCGGGCGCCGTAACATTGTCCTTGCATCAACTGCGATTTGCACGACTGCAATGTTGATCGTGGGGATCCTGGGACAGGTGGAGGCAACGCCGCCGCTTAAGGACTTCTTGATCTTCATTGCGTGTGTCTGGTCGTTGTTCAGCGCTGCGCGTAAGCAAACCTCTCCTAACTTGTCTACTGTATGTCTTACTGACTTTATCAAGTTGGCGCCCTCGGTTGGTCGTTCGTTGGAGAAGTCGCTTCACAGAAACTCCGCGCCCGTACCGCGGGCATCGCTGCAGCCATGTCGGTAGTCTTTGGCTTGACATTCAATACTACTGTACCGGTTGTGCGTGAGTACCCAGTTACTTGTTCGAGAATGTGTCACTAACGGACGGCAGTTGATCCAAGCGGCGTCGATTGGGGCTACAACACTGCGTGGTTGTTCACAGCCACTGGTGCAGCCATGTGCGCTATCACATGGCTCTTTGTGCCGGAGCCTGCCCAGCGGAACTCTGCCAAAATGGACGAGATGTATGAGAAAGGAGTCTCGGCTTGGAGGATGAAGAAGTTCGTTACCAATGTTCAAACTGAGCGGGCAGCCGGTGGAACCTTTGCTGAAACCAAGTAAGTCCTCTCACAATCTAGGCTATATCATCACGAGCGCCTAGGTGCTGCATATTTAAGAGATAATTGAGTATTTGCATTGACCACAATCCACACACTGCTGTCGAGCTTTACGGGCTTTGAATGAGACCGTTGAGGCCACTGCGGACTACACTAGTACTTGCTCCAAACGGAAGTAAGGGCGTTTCAATCATCGGGTTAGAGAGAGTGAGATGGGGAGCGAAACGATACCGGGCAGTCTACGGGTTGTACGCGGCGAAGTCGTCGACTGTATTTGTCGCCGAATGTCGGGCTAGTTAATTGAGATCCCCTTGATCACGGCAGGCAAGAACATAAGGCCCGTGCATCGAGTGGTCTAGCCTGTTTTGTCCTCTGCTCTTGAGACCTTCAAACCTCAGAGCATCACCGCAAACGTCCGCACGCCACTCGGGAAATAGTCAGGAGTGCTCAAGACACCCCGGAAGTGGTCTCGATACGAAAACCCAATGAAAACTCCTCATGTCCACCAAAGCTGCCCTCAAGGCAGCAAAAGCAGCTCTCGACGAGGAGAACTATGAAGTCGCCGCCACTCAAGCACACCAGGTCTTAGCCGCAGATGGCAACAACTACTTCGCCAAACTCTTCTTGGGTCGCGCGTTGGAGAAGCAGCAGTTTCTCGAAGATGCGGCTCGAGCCTACCAATCCGCAGCAGAGCTGAAGCCAGAAGACAATCAAGCATGGCTGGGCCTTTGCAGCTTGTACGAGGCTCAAGGTTCTGCCAAAGTGGACGAATTCCGCCAGGCTTCTGTCAGGGTAGCTGAGAACTATGCCAAAGCTGAGGACAAGCATCGATGTCAGACGACCGTGGACAAGCTGGTGGCGTTCTCAAAGCAACATGGCACGAGATCACAGTACAAACGGGCACTGGAGGTTTTGTTGCCAGGCAGCGTACTGTACGACCTCTTGGAAGGACGGATACTACACCCCGCGCAAACCTATGCGAGGCTTGCTGAGATCACAGAGGAAGAAGAAGACCAGTTCATCAAGCAGGAGATCGCCGCTCGAAGAACCAGGATCGGCGCTCGGGTGGGCCAGGTTACCGCGGACGTCAAGCGGGAAGTCTTTGGCCAGAGCAATCTGGAGCAGCTGTATCAGGAGATCATTAATTGGTCGTCAGACGACGAGGTTCGGCGGCAATACGAAGAGAAGCTACTGGAGCGTGGTTGTGAAATCCTCGTCAACTTGCCGGCGGAGCAGAAGGGACCGAAGCTTGACCAGGTCTTGACGTTGGCAGAGGGAATGGTCATCATCCACCATCAATTTCAAGCAGCTTGGGACCTGGTAATAGAGACGAGGGACCTCGAAGATCTTCGTGATCTGGATGCAAACATCTTGAGAGAATATGTGACGGCGTTCCCGGATTCAGGTCGGGACAAAATTCTCAAAGCATGGCTGAGCAGTGAGCTGGCACCCTTTGCACAGCCAAAAGATGAGACCGAAGGAGACAGTCCACCAACCCCTCTCACTCCTGAAGACCGGCTGCTGCTGATGACAGACGGTCTGTCCATTTCCGAGCAGTCTCCGTTCGCTTACCGGCTAGTGAGCGACTACTACCTACATCTGGAAGAACATGAGAGTGCTGTCGATACCTCCCGAGCTGGCTTGAAGGCCGCCGTCTCCGAGGGTAACAGACTGGGCATGCGCATGCAGAATACTAAGGATGCCTTGAACAGCGTACTCGCCACTGCCCTCGTGCATTTTCAAGCGCCTCGCAACCACGCCGAAGCGAAGCGACTTTTCGAAGACATTCTGGGCCGGAAGCAGAACTCTACCCCGGCACTCATTGGCCTTGGCTTGATTTTCGAAGAGAACGAAGACTACGGAGATGCTATCAGCTTCTTATCCCGAGCGCTCGATGCCGACAAAACCAACGTTCGGGTGGGCACGGAGCTCGCATGGTGTCGAGCCTTGAACGGCGACTACGTTGAAGCAAAGCAAGACCTGAAGGCATATCTCCCACAGATGAAGGCTGACGATCCTCGCGCCCGTGATCTCCGGGCACAGGTGCTGTATCGTATCGGAATCTGTCTGTGGGAAATGGATACCTCCAAGAGCGCGCGCAAGAACCGAGAAGGAGCTTACAGCCAGTTCCTTGCCGCCATCAAAACGAACGTCAATTTCGCACCTGCTTACACCAGTCTCGGCATCTACTATGTAGACTATGCAAGGGACAAGAAGCGAGGCCGGCAATGCTTTCAGAAGGCCTTTGAGCTTTCACCTTCAGAGACCTATGCTGCAGAACGTCTTGCGCGCTCGTTCGCCGATCAGGGTGACTGGGACATTGTTGAAGTGATATCGCAGCGAGTCATCGACACCGGGAGAGCGAGGCCACCACCTGGATCTAAGAGAAAGGGGTTGAGCTGGCCTTGCTCAGCGCTCGGAGTGGTTTTGATGAACAAGCAGGAATACCAGCAAGCCATCACATCGTTCCTTGCCGCACTTCGCATCAACCCGAATGACTACCAATCCTACATCGGCCTGGGCGAAAGTTACCACAACTCCGGTCGCTACAACTCGGCTTTGAGAACATTCACTTATGCTCTGGAGCCGCATGATGGGGTCGAGATGCGAGGGGCGGATGAGAAATGGTTTGCTCGCTACATGCTGGCCAACGTACACAGGGAGCTTGGTGAATACGACGAAGCCATTGCTGCGCTGGAAGGAGTACTTGCCGAGCGACCAGATGAGTTCGGTGTACTGATGTCACTTCTGCAGACCTTTGTTGAGATGTCATGGCGATGTGTCGAGACAGGCTTGTTTGGGCGTGCGACATCTAGCGCTTGTCAAGCCATCAGTACAGCAGCTCAGGTCGCTACGAGCCGCCCCAAGGCGTTCAACATGTGGAAGGCTGTAGGCGATGTCTGCCTTACGTTCTCATGGGTGCAGTCGAGCTGCGACAGCCTGCCGACAACGGAACTGCAGAAGTTACTCGCCCAGGACGCTGACGCGGCGGCGTACGAGCAGTTGTCCGACGTTGATCAAATCAGCCTTGATTCTGTGCAGAGCGGTCTAGACAATGAGGAGCGAGGCAGCATGACTGCAGTGCTAAGTGGCATCCTGGCCTTCAAGCAGGCCATTCACTCTTGCTCACACGACATACACGCACAAGCCGTCGCCTGGTACAATCTCGGTCTCGCAGAGCAGCGAGCCTTCACTTGTGCAGACGCGAAAGCCGGCCGGAAGTATCTCAGAGCCGCTGTGCGGTGCTTCAAGCGCGCGATCGAACTCGAAGCCGGCAATGCAGAGTTCTGGAACGCACTCGGCGTTGCCACCACGACGCTCAACCCAAAGGTCGCGCAGCACTCCTTCGTACGCAGTCTGCATCTCAACGAGTTGAATGCAAAGGTGTGGGCGAACCTTGGAGTCATGTACCTTCTTCACGGCGACTATCAGCTCGCACACCAATCTTTCGGGCGATCGCAGAGCACAGATCCGGACTACGCACACGCCTGGGTTGGCGAAGGTTTGATTGCTATGCTTGAAGGCAAGAATCAAGATGCACTAAGCCACTTCACACACGCCTTTGAGATCTCAGACTCCACTTCTGTCATCACAAAGCGGCAGTATGCATCTTCGCTGTTCGACCATCTTCTGGCAACTCCGGCAGCCTCGGACGACCTCACAGCGTTGGTGCAACCGATCTTTGCGCTGCAGCAACTACAACGACAAAGTGCACAAGACCTGCCGTTCCAACATCTTGCTGCCCTTTACTTTGAGCGCGTCGGCAACAATTCTGCGGCGATTGAAGCTCTCGTTTCTCTGTGCACTGCCGCAGAAGCAGACTACGAAGCTTCAGAATCTGATGCAGCGCTGGCTCGATTCGCGCTAGCAAAGTCGGATCTCGCTAGAAACCAGCTGGCCCACCAAGACTTTGATGAGGCTGCAACCAATGCAGAGACTTCTCTTGATCTGAGCTCAGATCCGGACTCCAGTGGGCTTGGTGCAGCAGCGAGAACGAGGCTTCGGCTCTCCGCACATCTGACGGCTGGTCTTGCGCTATACCATCTCAATCGCATGGCGGAGGCGATAGCGATGTTCAAGACGGCACTCGAAGAAAGCGTAAACGACCCCGACGTCGTCTGCTCGCTCGTCAAAGTCTTGTGGGCACAAGGCGGAGCTGATGAAAAGGGCGTTGCACGAGAGCAGCTGTTTGAATGTGTTGAACGATGCCCAGATCATGTCGGCGCTGTCACGCTTCTGGGAGCCCTTGCTGCTCTGGAGGATGATGCGGACATCGCCATTGCTGTGAAGGACGACTTGGTTTCGTTGAGGACAAAAGAAGGACTCGGTATGGCCGATGGTGGCGAGATCGAGAAACTGCTCAACGCCCTTGCTGTTCTGCTGCCTTCAACGTTCGCAGGCGGAGGCGAGGCTTCTTCAGACGATGCTGCTCTAGCGGAGACGCAAGCTGCTGTAATGCTGTCGCCCGACACTCCTCAGGCGTGGCAACAATTGGCCGAACAGAGCAGTGACCCTGAAGCGCAGCAATATGCATCTTCGATGGCTTTGAAGACCGCGCAGAAAGCGGTCCCACCATCTGGGCCATTGGAGCCGCACAACCTGGCGAAGGCATATGCAGGCGTCGGAACAGCGGGAGACGCACAGAGAGCTGTCATGTTGGCGCCATGGAGTAACGAAGGCTGGGCTGCTGCAGCTGATGCTTTGGAAGGGCATTAGCATGAGTACAGCACGCATTGAGAATCCTGCTATTGATGGGTACGAGGCATGCATATGGGAGGGGAGCGAAGAAGCATAGCGTAGCGTGCGCAAACGAGAACAATGCTGTATGATCAGATGAACGTTTTGAAGCGACGACTGCTGCGCTAGAGCATGAGATAGCATTACTGTACCATGACCTTGATCCATATCCCACCCATGCCAGCTTGTCCCCCACAAGTCGGTGGAGTGGAGAAGCGCACACCTCAATCGGCATCGTTTACTTATACACACAGCTGAACATCGCGACGAAAGTCAATGGGCTTGCATCCTTGCGCTGCTTGCCTTATCCGTCTCGACCCGAACACCCATCTTGACTGTTTATACACTCTCAACTTCCGCGAATCTGCTGTGCCTTACTCCACAAACCCCTTCATCCTTCCCAGCCACGAAAGGTACTCCCTCTGCTCCTTGACATCAATGTAGTCTGGGATGAAGGCGGCCAAAGAAGTATCGAAACCTCTCTTCTCAAGGTAGTTCTGCATCAGCATCTGCACCTCTTCGTCTAGCTGCTGGAATGGCGGGCCAGTGTAGACGGTTTCGGGAGTGTCGCGAAGGAGCTCGGCAGCGCTGCTGGTGGTCGTGGGCATGTGGGTGACGTTGTCAATGGTAAAGCCGGAGCCGTCGGTGACGAGGTGGAAGCGGAGAGCACCATCCTTGCCGGATCGCTGGATGAGGACGTTTACTTTGGCGGGGAAAGCCTGGTTCTGAGAGTAGTCGTCGTCCTGCGCGTAGATGGGTCAGCTTTACACCACGACGTACATTAAGGTGATCATGCCCACCTCATCGTTGCGGAGCTCATCTCGGTCAGCGGGAGCAATGCTGTCTTCAGGCGCGACCTTGACGTTGCCACCAGAAGTCCGGCCCTGATTCACTGCACCCTTGGTGTTGGCGCCGCCGCTTTGCGGAGTCTCGACGTCCTCATCCTCGTCCATGAACGCCTCATCGGCTTCGTCTTCCGGCATCATTGAGGGCGAGTTGAAGTCGGCAATGCTAAAGCTGACCGTCTGTAGTATCTGCATTAGCTTGGAGCATGAATTGATGCCTCGCTTCTACGTACAATGTTCTCGTCGTCGTACGATCGTGTGAGAAACACATCCTGCTCCCCGCTCTTATCCTCTACTGACCAGAAGCTGTTCTGGTCGAAGAAAGTCTTGACATTGGAGTCGGAATCTGTGCTGGACTCGCTGTTCTCTGATTCGATGTTGATCTCGCCCTCGAGCTTCGCCGCGAGCTCCTGGCCGGCATCGTCAAACCGTGAGGCGGACGTGCTGAAGGCTTTGAGTGGCTGGTATCGTGCTGAGAAGACGCTGGAGGGTTTGGCGAAGGTCTCCGTGGCGGGTCGTATCGAGGAGCGAGTGGTGTAACCGGCGAGTTGCGATGCGCTTCGAGGTGCCCTGCGGGCGAAGGCTCGAAGGGAGAGCATCGTAGTTCGGTGATGTGAGGGCGCACCCAGCAGAAGGGTTATATCGAAGTCGGTCGATGTGATAAGGCAAGGGCTGAGTGTTGTTCAAGGAGATTCTGATGATGGACAAAAGCGTGTTGAAGCATCATGTCATCTCAATGTCAAGCCCAAGGGCAAAGATCCGGCGGCGAACCTCGAAACCTCCGCACCAATCAGACCACTCCCTACCAGACGACACCTCCTGCTTCTAACAACACTTCGACATGCATTGAACAAGAAGAAGAAAACCGACTGATGTCTGGCGTGAATGGTAGTCACCACAGCTTGACCCTGAACTCCGATTCTGCAAGTGGCACAACTCACCATGGACGACCATAACACCCATGACTGGACAGCAAACGCGCTCTTCTCGCCCTCCAAGGCCCGCGTGCAACAAGCCCAAGCTAAGGACTGGGCTGCTGTCGACGCATGGCTGGCGAAGAAGTATGCGCCTGCGAAGCGACCGCCAATCTTTGAAAGGAACGAGGAGACCTTGCAAATCCTGCTCACGCTTGCCACGTTAAATGAAGGCGCGGACGAGCAGAGAGCACTCGTCGATCGCGTGCACAAAGCCGCTCTGCAAGCTCTTAAGAAGGGCAGAGCAGACCGTGAAGGGCGCGGCGGGGGAGCGGAAGTCCTGTTCAAACAGCTGAACAGTGATGTGGTGTTGACCACGCTCGCGAAGGCAGCGGTGGCACTGGATGCGCCTGATGTCCGCATTGATGCTATGGGCGGCGCAGTCTCGGATCTTACTGCCGAAGATTTCGCCGCATCCCAACAGCTGCAGCGCGTGGAATTGCAGCTCCGTGCACTCAAGGCTCAACGACACAAGGCCGAGGAGCAGCTTAGGGAGCTGAGAAGTGAATCGTTCCACACTCCAGATCATCTGGTAGATCAGACCGGCGACTGGGTGCGAAGTACGAAGCAGCTCAAGGCCAAGGTTGGAGAGTACGATGAACGTCTAGCCTCCGCAAGGGCTGCAGGCAGGCCGACCGTGAAGCTGGACGACATCAACAGACAGACAGGGGAGCTTTCGGCACAGCAGGCCCACCTCAAGGACCTGGAAATGCAACTACGTGCTTTTCAGAGTCTACCAACCGACGCTAAAGCAGCTCGACAACAGCTTGAATCCACGAGGGAAACTCTACGTACCTTGACAAAGCAACGGGATGAACTTTTCGAGAGGTTGGTCGACAGTGGTTGAAGGGATCGATTATATTGCCACTACGACTACAAAGGCTATACGCATGCCGCTGCACCAACGGCAACTTTCCCGTCCACAACGGCCCGATGCCAGCGTCGCAAATCTCTTCTCCCTCTCTGCCAGGAGGCGCGAACGCAGTGAGCTGACGGTCCGGTTCAATGACTGCGGGTTTGGGTCAACCTTAGCTCATGTGTCATGAGAGCTGGAGCCTCCCCAGCGTGCACTGGTTGCTCACACAGAACTTTCTGTTAGGCTCCATAGTTATTTGGCGACGTGGGATATCAAGGACAGTCGTTGCGTGCGCCCTAGGCTGGCTGGCGTCCTTTGCCATCTCCAGGATTGAAGTCATGCACATCGCCAGGAAGGGCGGAGCGCACTTCTCGAAAGTGGCGTGTTCCGGTATTGCGTGCCAAACATGTCCAATTGGCTGATGCGGCCGACAATTGCGCATTTGTGAAGCAATAGCCGGAACCTTGACGAACGTCGTCCGCCGTTGCGCCAGGCATGTGCAGCCACCAATATAGCCCTCTTGTTGATCATTCAGGCATGTTTTTGTGGCTGCCGAGATCTGAAGAAGCTCAAATGTACTTTCGTCCCGGGTCTGCCTTATCCAATAGCTCCATGGTCTTCTCGTACATTGCAAACACAATGCCACCACTGAACATCAGCCTTCCCAGTCGGGGTAGAGCACCACTCCACAGCTTGAAAACACCTTCCTCCCTGAAGATCTTCACACCACAATCGATGCTGTTGCGGTACATGCCCTTGCTGTCGATGGCTTGCATCCTGGTTTTGACAGTGTCGATCGGCTGCGTCGCGTAGACAGTGACCGTTCCTGCCATGCCTCCAATCGCAAACGTGCCCAATGTCCCCAGTTTCTCCCCGGGCGCGACATATGACTGTGCCATCTGCTTCAACCAGGTATACGAGCTAAACCGCACCGCAGAGTTTGCCGCTTGCCTCGCAGTCGTGGGCACGAAACCCTTAAAAAATCCGCGCACGCCTTGCTCCCGGAATATCAGTCTGCTCCCATGTAGAAAGCCATTCATCCGTGGCTGCGGTCTCTTGCGATCATCGATCAACTGAGTCTTGATGCTCTCGAAGGGCGTCACAGCCAGCAAGCTCTCCGTAGCTCCTGCCAGAAACCCGCTCACCACCGTCATTGGACCGCTCACATTACCCTCCGCATCACTCAAGGCTCTTCTGAACTGCTCGAAGGCAACGAAGCGGACTCCAGCTTTGATGCTGTTGCCGATAATGAGGGTGGTGCAGCCGGCATACCATTGCGCGCCGAATGGAGGGAAGGGGAGTTTCTGGCCTGAAGGCAGGCGCTGGTTGAGTTGGGTGCGGGTTTTCGCGAACTCGGCGGGATAGAGGATGGCGATCTCAACTGCGCCGGCGGTGCTACCAGCGATAATGGAGCGGAAGGGGCTCGGTTTAGTTGGCGTGTTGTTCTGCTTGTCTGATGTCGATGCTGGTGATTGTGCCGCCATACGAGCGGCTGCGTTGGTAGACATGGCGGGTGATGTTGGTCGGCCGCTGAGTATGGTATAGCCGCTCCAAACCTCGTTATCGAGCACTCCGCATCATTCTGCTGTCTCGCGGTCAATGGCTGCTCGGTAGAGGTCGAGAAGTGAGGTCAACTCGGCGAGATCGGACCGGGATGAATGAAACGCGGTACACGTGTATTTTCTGGTACATGCAGCTGCCTTCTCTTCGACTTCCCAGTGTTGACTGCCTCACCTGTCCCCTTTTCTTCACAGGACGTATCGAGCAAGCTATCTGCCACCGTCTTGACCTTCGAGCGAACATGAGGCTTTCCAACACTGCAGCATCCGGTCATCAGCAAGCATGGCCACCGCGCCAGCCGAAGCCGAAGTGAAGGCCACAGTAGTCCGGTATCTCGCCTCGAAGAACGTGCCACCAACGCAAGCATGGTTGCGAGATTTCATGCCGAGTATCAGACTCAACACTCCCATGGTGGCTCTACAGAAAACCGCTCTCTTCAGGATTCTGTCAACAGATCTCACCGTTGCCGTTCAGCCACCCTCGCCGAACGCACTCTTCCCGGCCAATGTTGCAAGTCCAGAAGTCAAAGATCGAAAGCTCAATGGCCAAATCACCGTCCAAGTCCTCGACATTGAGGATATCGGGCACAGCTGCTGGTCTCAAGTCGAGAATCTTGAAGCCATCGAACGTGGAGAGATGACCAAAGGACGAGAGGTTATCCGGGTCGTTGATGACGAGTTGAACACCGACCAGAACCGCACACCGGCCAACAACCCATCAATATCTTCGGGACCTCACAAGTTGCTTATACAGGATGCGAAAGGCACCAAAGCGTTTGCTTTCGAGTCAGAATTTGTCACTGGCATTGGCGTGTCGCAATTATCAATTGGTGGCAAGCTTGTGCTGAACGATGCCCTTGTGGCGAGGGGCGTTATCATGCTTGATCGGAGGGCAGTGGAGGTTCTGGGTGGTAAGGTCGAGGCGTGGGACAAGAAGTGGAGGGCTGACCGGAAGGAAAGCTTGAAACGCAAGGCTGGAGTGACGGACGGTGCTGGAGGAGGGACTTGACTCCTGCATGAGGGACATTGGGTCGGAAAAGTACAGACAGTGCCAATTCATCTTTCGCTCCGCCACGCGATCCTTCCAGCCAAAACAGAGTTCGTCAAGTCATACTTCGTCTGGGTCTTCACAGACTCTTCTTCCGAAGTCCCTCATTAGCCTTCTGCCCGATCCCAAGGACAATAGCAATCCTAGCGAAGACGAACGGCCACGTCGACAGCGTAACCACCCAATCCTCCATCGTCCACCGAGAGACCGTCAACCACTCACTCCAACCTCCCAGTGCTTCAGCACAAGAATGACAGTACGCAAGATCCGATAACAGCATTCCGACACACAGAAGTCGCCAGATCCGGACATCGTCGACGAGCCGAAGGACAACACCTTCCGTGAAAGCGAAATGCAGCCATCCGCCTGCTAGTTCTGTGTAGATGAAGCGGCTCGCCGGATGGAGCGTTTGCAGTGAGCCTCGGGTCATGGTCGAGGTATACATCTCGGGCTTGATCAGCGTGAGGATGGCGCCATTGAGGGCGAAAAAAGGTTCCAGCCAGAGGAGTGGGAAGCGGAGGATGTAAGGTATGGAAGTTGATGCCTTCGCTGGTGAGGTCTGGGACTGTGCCATACTTCTGTTCTCTTTTGACGTTCGACTGCCGCTGAAGTTGGTCTTGACGGTTGTATTGCGGATTGAGAGCAAGTGATGAGGTTGAATCAGATGATGAAGCTCACCTGTCTCCTCGTTCTCGTTCAAGCTCAATCTCGTTTCGGCCGACTCCGAACGCCGACGTTCACTCGAATTCCGATATGAGTCCAGTCAATTCCGTGAGTCAGATGAAATCGAGGCGACAACACGCTCAGACATATAAGTCTGAGGCTGCCTTGCAGTGGACACATCACTGCTGCGCTCGCACTTTCGAAGTCGTAGAGTCAAGGTCGGACTTCACTCACCACCACTCCAACAGTCCTCAAGCATGCCTATTACCATCGAACCATGCAAATACGATGATGCAGAGACGATGATCATCACAGGAGAGGCCGCCTTCGCTGAAGACGCCCTCAACAACGCAATCTTCGATCCCAAGCAAGGCACACCGGAAGAGGCGTTCGAATATCGCAACTGGCGGATCACGATAACCAAGCAAAGATTAAGTGGTGAGGGCAAGTACTATTTCAAGGCCATGGACGACTCAAATGGCCGGCTTGTTGGGTACATCGGGCTGGTGGACCCTAAAGTAGACATTCACGCGCAGTCGAAGGCACCACACCCAGATTTTGTGAACATGGAGTTCTTCGAGCGTGTGCATGAACGGATCGAAGAGGCGAAGAGGAAGTGGGTTGGTGGACGGGAAGATGTGTGGTGTACGTTCTGGCCTGAAACGATTCGAGCAAACATCGAATGCTGATGAATTCCGACAGATGTAGCGTCGATGTGCGTGCATCCGGACTACCAGGGCCAAGGAATCGCCAAACGTCTGATGCAACGAGGGCTGGAGGAAGTTGACAAGGTCAGGGAGGAGGTCATGCTCGAGGGTACGGCAGCGGCGCTGAAGCTGTATCGTAGCTGTGGGTTTGAGCTGTTGGAGGAGATAGTGTTGTTGGATGGTCGATGTACGTTGGCTGTGATGATGAGGCGAGCCAAAGCATGAGGGCGGCGCAGTCACGACCAAAAATGCACAGTGCCATTACTCCCTTGTCGATAACGCAGGTCCTGCCTTAGGAAAGACGACCAATGCATCATAGATTTGCCTTGTTTACTCGCTGGTAGTTCTTGTACATCCTGGGAGAGGATCAAGGGTCAGCAATGCGTAGACTGAACGTAGAACCGGTGGCGTGGGGTAGCATCGACTTACTGCCTCACGCTGAGGTCCAGCATGACATCCTCAGATCCGCCCTGTGAATGCCGTCAGCGCTTATACTACGAAGTTCAATCGTTCCGACGTACCGGAATCCGAGCCCCAGCAACCTCCCGAGTTATCTTCTCAATGAGCTCTCCTTGACCAGTCTGTGTATACCCGTTGCCGCCAAACAGCAGTTGAGCGCACTGCGAACACTCATTCAGCACAATACCCGCCTGTGCCTTGGCCAAAGCTGTTAGCCCGCCCAACTTCGCATCTGCAGCTTCTTTCGACAGGTTGCCATTCTCATACACCAAGGCCTCAACCCAAGACCATTGCGTCTCCAGAAGTGCTCCTGCTTTAGCAAGTCGGTGTCGGACAACAGGCTGGTTGATCAGGGGAGCCCCAAACGCTTCTCGTTTCATGCAATACTTGAATGCTTCGGAAAGAGCCACTCGAGCTTGAGTAGTTACTTTGACTGCGATCGTTAATCGTTCGTGGTTGAAGTTTGTCTAACAGAAGCTTAGCAGAAATATATACACATCTGTAATGTAACTTCTACTCACCATGATCTGCTTCATGCCCTGGCCTTCTTGCCCGATGAGATTCGCCACAGGGACCTGTACATCATCTAGTTCGATGAACGTAGTGCCCGCGCATTTCTGTCCAGACACTGGTATCCTCCGCATACTGACGCCCTCCTGCCCCTTGAGTGGCACGAGCAGAACAGAAAGCCCTCCTGGGCCAGCCCCTCCAGTTCTAACACACATGCTGGCGTAGTCAGACCAGATACCATTGGTGATCCATTTCTTCACACCGTTGACAACGTAGAACTTGCCACAGCTTGACTTCTTCGCAGTCGTCTGGATATTGGCCACGTCGGAGCCCGCCTCTACCTCGCTGATTGCGATGCATATGCGTTTCTTCCCGAGTAGCAGATCTGGAACGACTCTCTCCTGGAGCTCGCGGCTCGCGAACTTGAACAACGGCGGTAGTCCATAGGCCAATCCTGTGCATAATGCACTCGCAGGTCCGTTGAGTCCACTGCGGATGATCTCCGAAACGTAGATGCTTGCGTGGAAGCTGTCGAAGTCCTCGACTTTCAGAGGACCGATCTTCGTCATTCCAATTTTCTTGAGATATTCTACCGGAAGAGGCGCAGGTAGGTTTGGAAGAAGCATGCCAGCAGCCGCGAAGTGTTGATATGTGCCTTCGGGTACGGCGCCCTCGTTCTCCCATTGCATGGCATACTTGGTCAGGTTTCCCGTGATGAAGTCCCTGCAGTGTCGCTGCCATGCCCTGTGAGACTCGGTGTAGTAGGGCGAAGGGTGACCGCTCAGCCATGGCTGCTCGGAGAAGGGTACTTGGTCCGCCATCGATGTAGCTCACGTATTTCGCTGTAATACCAGGACAAGAACGCGCATCGACATATGATGAGCCTAGCCTACATCGTACATTGATTGATGAGGATGCGAGATGAATCTCGAAATTGGAACCAGCCGAGGCGGGCAACGCGACACGTTCGAGGGATAGCATCCTCGGCATCGAGCTGTGAGCTGTAAGGGCTACTGAAAGACCTTGTCGTACTCTTGATTTGCACGACCTCTATCCCTAGGTCACTACCGCACCAAGAATGTAGTCGAGAAGGCTCGATTGCCGTGTGCCAGAAGGAAGAGGATGTTGACTGAAGAAATGAGGACGACGCGCTCTCACCAGACCGTTCGGCGTACAACCGGTCACGAGTCAGGGCGCGTCCTCGCCTTCCAGGTTGCCTCTGCCATCACCACCTCCATTCCTTTCGTAGCACCCAGATCATTCACCTCCCAGCAGCGATGCGTTGATGCAAGTAATCTTGCCGTCGTCCCGAGCGTCTGATTCCAGAAGACGCGGAGAGCAAGAAATGGGAGCGTATTCCCTTCAAACGTTGTTGCCGCAGCTGACATCAAAGTGATGCTGAACCCCTTCAACGCGTTTTCTCAAATCTATACTTTCCATGTCAACCCACTCAATAACCGTCAAGCCTAACCGTAGCACACTCCCATGAGCTCTTGGTCTCGACTGTTCCAGCAATTCGAGCGTAACCTACGGCAAAACCTCTCCAACATGACCTCCTCGCTCTCAGCACGCTCACCCACGCCAGCCCGCCCAGAGCGCGCAGCTCCCGGAGATGCAGAAGAACTGAAGCACGCGCCAGGATTCCAGGACCTGGCCAAAGAGTCCAACAAGCAGATTTGTAACGTCAAGGCCCTCGAGATTAAGGTCTCCTCTTCGGACACTGTCAAAGCTGTCGCTGGGTTCCTACATACACCCCAGAATTACCGACGCGAGCAGGCCGAGGGGCGTGAAAAGACGGCGGCTATCCTGTTATCCGGTGCTGGCGGAGGAGTCGTCGGTCCATCCTCCATCTACCTCAGTATTGCCGACAAGCTGGCCTCATTGAGAAAAGGAATTCCAGTCTTGCGTCTCGATTACCGATATCCGGCTAGGAACAAGTATTGTGTCCCAGATGTGCTGGCTGCTATGAACTACCTGGAGAACGGCTTCGCTGTCAGCCGCTTCGTCTTGGTCGGTTGGAGTTTCGGTTCGGCACCTGTCCTGACAGTCGGAGCCCAAGACGACCGAGTTGTTGGCTGTGCCACCGTCGCCGGCCAAACCGCAGAGACAGAAGGTATGCAACAGGTCGCTCGGAGAAACATCCCTACCCTTCTACTACACGGCACGAGCGATCGGACGCTTTCTCCGTCATGCTCTGAGTCGCTGCGGGAGAAGTATCGAAGAGCCACGCAGGGTGGGCATTGCGAGCTTCAGCTTTTCGATGGGGATGATCATGCACTTTCGAAGAACGCGCTGAAGGCAGAGGAGCGGCTCTGCGACTTTATTATGGCTCAGGCTGGGGAGGAGATCGGTGCCGCGGAGCAGGAGAGCGTCGTACAGAAGCCGTTGCTCGACGACAGGCAGAGACGGGCACAGATGGAGAAGGGCGGTGATCTACAGGGTGAGAGTATTGAGTAGTTGGTCTTGCTCGTGGTCGTTCTTCTGTAGCCCGCTTCCCACAGGAACCGAATACTCCACTTTCATTCATTGTCGACAGTCCATCAAAGGTTCACGCTTCTCGAGCGCAGACGTTCAGCCCAATTGGCTCTCTCGGAGTACATACGCTCGCTTACGTCGTCGAAAACTTCGGGAAACAAGTCTGTGGGGGCCAAAGAAAGTTGTTCAGAGCAGCTCTGAAGCTCACCTAGGCAGTGCAAGGCGTTGGCGGAAGTTGGCGAAGGCAAATCCTCGAAAGCGAATGCGACCTAGGAAACGGACAGACTCAACGACCGTTCATTCAGCTCTCGAGCAGGACAGACATCAGTTCCTGGATGCAAAGTCGGATCACTTCTCGCTTTCGGATGTCAACAGGTAAGTTGTCGACTTCTCTTATTTTGCTGCCTGCTTTAGAGGTGGCAACAATCAGCTCGGCCGAGCTGTCGGGGATAAAGCTGTGGTGTATATATTTCCTCGATAGATCCATCTGCAAGACTCAAACCACAGCACTACAATCGCAACAATCAGCAGTACAATAACCCGAATACCAAACCAAGCCCTCTCAGAATGACTTCCAAGTCCGAGCTCCCTTCCTACGACGCGGCCGCCGAGAAGGCATACAACGAGACAAAGTAAGCCGACTGCTCCACAACAGTATCGTCTTCTTGCTAACATACAGTAGGATGAAACCAAAGATGTGCCAACACACCGCGTCCGAGACAACCCACATCGATGCTCAGCTGCAACAACCCTTCGCCAAAGCCGCCATGCGAACGTTGAGTGATGCATTGGCGAACATCGCAGACAACGAGCAGTGCACCAAGTGTGCCACGGAGTCTGCCACTCTGGCGTTGACCGGCTTCCTTCGTGAGATCCACGATGATAAGAAGAGCGGCCAGTGGTCGAAGCAGGAGCAGAAGGCTTTCAAGTCGGAGGCCAAAGGCTTGTTCAAGGGGATGAAGGGCGATGTGAAGAGTGTCTGGAGCAACAAGCAGGTTGGTGTAGCGTCCGGTTGAGTCGAGGGTTATGTTGGTGGACGGTGGATCGATGTTGGGCGAGGTAGATGACAATTCAACTCTTCTCACAGGCGCAGATCCTCCGCGTTGGCATCCAGTCGTAACGCTGTATTGTCCGCTGTGTAGCTGTTTGAAGTTCACGCTCGGAGTTGACCATCCCTCTGCTTCCGTCCGGCGATAAGAAGAAGAGACACCGCTTGCCATGATCTATTTCAGATCGGTGATATTGAAGCGCTGAGACGCAGTTTCGAAGCTCATCTTGACATTCTCGGAAGCATAAACTCGCATCTCTTTCTCGTACTCCGAAGTCAGTCCCTCACGCCATCCGCCGGCCTGGCCTAGGAGACGACCGATGAACGCGGCGTCCCTGAGGGCTATGTTTGCGCCTACACCTCCAGCCGGGGTGGTAGTGTGGCAACTGTCTCCCATTATGGTGACTCTCGGGTCGTTGCTCCACTCCGGAATACCATCAGGATGTGCTGTCCACATCTTAAGGAAGGCAGCTTCGGCGTCGTTCTGCTGTTCAAAGATTGGGTGAAACTTTTCATGCCAGTTCGCCGTCAGTCTGCGCGAGAGATCCGCAGCAACTTTGCCAACTCCATAGAGCTGGTCTTCAGGCAGAGCGAAAGCCCCTGGGCTACCAACGAAAACCCAGCCAAGCTCGACGTCTCCGTCTTCGAGCGATCCAGGCCGTACATTCGTGATCAATCCAAGTGTGCCGCCGTCCTGTACAGATCCGTCAAAGGCAAACCATACCCCGTCTCCTAGCCCCCTGTACGCCCTTGCGGGAGTCTGTCCGTGGATCATACGTGCCCCAGTGTCATACGCGCGCACCTTTCCGTCGGTGAGCTGCTTGGTGATGGCAGACTGGGGACCATCCGCCCCTATTAACAAGGAGCCTTCGGAAGATTCGGAGCCATCGGCAAACTTCAGTTTGACGCCAGAATTTGACACTGAGTACCCGACAGCCTTCTTGTCCCATTGTATAGCGTCTTCCTGGCCCTCGAACAGGCATTGCCGTAACCAGCCTCTCGAGACGCCTAGAACGTCTCCTCCGAGTCCGGGACCTTTTCCTCCGCCTTCGCCGGGTTTTGAAGGGGCCGGCTCGCCGGAGACAGCGTCCAGGTTGTGGATACCTCCTCCACCTGTCTGAGAAGTGCCCTGTTGAAGATGGTTGTATTCTGCCTCGGTCAGGACTTCTTTCAGGGCGTTGATGCCGTCACTCGAGATCCTTAAGCGGTAACCTTGAGCTCTGGCGGCAATGCTTTCGTCTCTCTCGAAGATGAGAAATGGGATGTTCTTAGATTTCAACGAATGTGCAAGTAGCAGTCCGCTCAAGCCGGCTCCTGAGATCAAGATGGGCTTCTGGTCCGCCATGGTTGAGAAGGGGGTCCTAGGCAGGGTTTTCCTTCCAGAGTATATAGGTCGGAAGGCGGGACGTCGTTGCGACCTTGAGAGGGTGGTTGAACGAGGACGGAGACCTAAGGCAGGTTTTCGCTCACTTGGTGGTTGTATCAATGTTGATTGACACCTAAAGGCGATCGGATGAATCTTTCGTATATTTTGCCACGCCGAAGCAGACCTTGGAATTGCCAGCGTCATCGTCTTAAGCTCGACGACACAGTTTGACACGAGAGACGGGAGCGAGCATCGTGCACATTTGGTCAGCAAACCGCTTTTTGATGATCAATCTCGTGCTCGTTCAAGATCAAGCCGACAGACGAAAGTAAATCTGGAACATTGTTCCTATCGCCCCTTCGCGGTCAAGACCGGGCTTTCGGCTTGTCGACTTGTCAACCTCTCCTAAAAGCTGACCAACTTGAACATCTACACAAAATGTAGTACAAACACTCAACCCAGATGAATGCCAAATGATCGCTTGTCTGAGATCCAAATTGAATCTGGAGTCCTCACTTTCGACTGCTACAGAACCCCTCACGCCTCCGCATCCACCTCAAGCTCTACCAAAGCACCCTCCTTCGCCAGTGCCCCTATCTGCACGCAAGTCGACACAGGAAACGGCTCGCGAACCTCCTCGCCCCAGATTCCATCAACCTTTCTGAACTCGCCCATGTCGATGATGTAGATTCGGCGTCTCACCACCTTGTCCAGACTCGAGCCGGCCGCCTCAAGACAAGCGCGGATGTTGATGATGGCTTGCTTCTGTGCGACACGTTAGGCTTGTCTTCACCATGATACTCGGTTTTACGGTCGACGTACTGTCTGCGCTTCGATGCCTCCTTGGACTACCTTGCCAGTCTCAGGGTCATCGCCCATCCAGCCGGCAACGTACAGCATTCCGGCAGCTCGTACGACGTGGCTGTAGTTACCATTAGGCTTTGGCGCTTTTGGCGCCGATATGGCATCGCGGACTTGAGCCATGTTCGATCGGTCATCTGTGTGTCTAGGATATTTAATGCCAGCAGGTACAGGTAAATGTCACTCAAGTCCTTTCAATGGCATGGTTAATCAACGACTCTTCCTTGCTTCAATCTGACGTCAAGAGCCTGCTCCACATGCACAGCACACGAGCGCCTGCACGCGGGACGATGGTGGACAGCACCCACGACCAGTACCTAGGTACTCATCAGCAGCTACGAGGATATTAGAGGCACTCAGTCTGACCAGGCATGTGTGGACAAGAGTTGTTATACATCATCGTAATCATATTCCCATCGCAACTCACGAACTGCACGAACACTGCATAGCCCGCTGATACTTAGGCACATCGCCGCAAAACCTTTCTTCCTCCTCCTTGTTCCACCCCCATTCTTCGTTGAACGGATTCAGAGCCATCTCCATGACATTACCAATAATCTCCCGCTCGCCCTTCTTCTCCACCCGATCAATCAACTCGTCCAAGATCCACGAGCGAGGAATGAACTTCGGATTCACAGCGCGCATAGCCTTGAAACGCTCTTCTTTCGCCTCTGGAGAGTTCGGCCAGTCTTCTTTCACACGCTCAGCCCACTTGTTGAGCCACTTGCCCATGCGCTCGCGGGCTTCACCTTCGCCTCCGATGACGAGACTGGATAGGCCTTCGGAGTGGAAGAAGCGGCCGGCGACGTCTTTGCGCTTCTCTTCGGTGTCGATTTCCTCGAATGAAATGTAGGATAGCCGGCGGAAGAAGTGGTTGAAGTCGAGCTCGAGTGCTTCCAGAGTATCCAGCAGTTCAGAGTACAACTCCTCAAAATCTGACTCCTTAAACTGCTTCAAGCCAAGACGAGCGGTCATCAGTCGCTTGTACTCTGCTAGGAAGACTGTCTTGTACTCTTCTCCAACAGTCTGGATGGTGGTCTCGGCTCTCTTCACCACATCTTCCATCCACTCTTCTTTGACGCCACCGGTCTTGAACTCCTCGTCGTCAACGCGAGAGCCAGCACCAATCAGTTCCCCAAGGCTCTCGCCAAGACGCACAAGATTCCACCAGATGATGGTTGGCTGGTTCTTGTAGCTGTAACGAAGCATGTGGTCGTCGTGGTTTGGTGTGTAGCTAGGGTCGAAGTTGTCCAAGAAGGCAAAGGGTCCAAAATCAATACTCAGGCCGAAGACACTGGTATTGTCGGTGTTCAGAACGCCATTCGTGAAGGCGTAGGCTTGCCAATGTGCGACCATGGCAGCGTTACGTCGCACGATCTCGCGGTATAGCCTGGCGTATCGGTTCTCTAGTTGTTCTGGTCTGTCTTCTGGGCCCTGGAGCTCCTCCTTTGGAACTTTACGTGCCGGCTGCAATGCATCCTTCTCCTCGGTTGAAGCAATCTTCGCTGGTAAAGACTCCCAGCCTGGGAAGACGTCTTCTGCGATGTAGTCTGCAAGCTGGCGGATGAGCACCCGATCTCCTCTGGACCTCGCAAGATCAAAGGTGCCCAGCCGCAGCCACGTCTCCGCAAACCGACATACGACTGCTCCCGGCTCCGTCATCTCGCGGCGCACTTTCGCCTCTGGTGCCAGAGTCAAGCTCAGTGCTCTCGTCGTGGGTATACCCAGCGCATGCAGTGACTCGCTCACCACAAACTCGCGAATGCTACTTCTCAGCACAGCTTTACCATCCGCAAACCGAGAATATGGTGTCCTGCCGGCGCCCTTCAACTGCAATTCGTAGCGCTTGCCAGTCGCCGGATTCTTCGACTCAAACAACGATATCGCCCGACCGTCCCCAAGCTGCCCGGCCCACTGACCGAATTGGAAACCACCATAGCACTGCGCCCATGGGTATATGTCCTCATCGCTTGGCTCCTCCTTCCCGTCAAGTGTGATGATGCGGTTGCCCGCGATCGTTTCTTTGAACTCTTCCGTGTCGGCGCTCGACGGATCGATCGCAAGATCTCTCAAAGCAGCCTTTGACACTCCCAGCAACTCTGGGTTCTTTATCGGGTCGGGTCGGACATAGGTATATGCGGCATTCTTCACAAGTCGTGGACCGAGGTTGCTTCGTTCTGTCTTGTGCGATGCGGTAGGTGTTGGGTATTCCTGGTCTGGCGGCAGCTTCTGCGTGAAGGTGTTTGTCTTTGGCAGATCGCCTATGCTATACGTCTTCTGCTTCTCGCCATTCGTCTGGCCGTTCACGTGGCTCGCCATTTGCGCCAGTCGTCGATGCGGTCGTATCAGTGTCTGTGCCCTTGTCTTCTGAATGGTGGTTCGGAACATAGACAAGTCGTGAGAGTTGGAACAGGAAGGGACGTGGAAGCGAAAAGAAGACAGGTCTTTCTACCTCTTGAATGTACCTAGACGTGAGCACAAGATATGACGCAATGTTGATCTCCGCGAGCTCAGTGGGAGGAAAGAGGTAGAACTGTCGCTGTAGCTGCGGAAGAGCTGTTGGGGTTTTGGAGAAGCTTCTGTTGGTCCTGCCGTTGCCTACTTGTTCTCCGGTATCGTGATAAAAGCTCCGTGACCAGAACAGCGGCTGTAGTTGCGGGTCGGTTGTATACATCCTGGAGAATGTCTCCCACGGCCTCACTTGCCACACGTCGTGGCGCTACTTCCTATTTGGGATTTGCTAGTGTGAAAGCGACAAACAATAACAAATTCTAGACTCTTACCTCCCTTCAATTACTACGACACTTGCTGCTGCTTTCAGCAGCTATACCGAACATCTGACTGTTGAAACAGTATAAGAATAAGGTAAGACAACCAGCAATTTTTCAGTCAGTCAGGCAAGCAGGCAGGGCAGGATGTATCGGGGGCAGCTCCCTGGCTTCTACTTCGATGAAGTCAGGGGCAAGTATTTTAAAATTCAGGCGAACCACGTTGTTCCCGAGACGACAAAATATTCTCGGGGTCATGTAGCGCAGGAGGAGCGTATCTCGAAGAAGCGCAAGCTGGAGAAGGAGGAGCACAACAAGAACCTCCGCCAGACCGTGAGGCGCAATGCAGTCCTGCAGCACCCAGTACTCGGCGGAATCGGCCTTCACCGTGAGCATGGAACGACCTCTCTCGGCCCAAACCTGGATGCCAGTGACCGAGCGCTCGTCGCCGGCTGGCGCCCTCAGAAGGTAATGCTAACAGACAGGATCGTGAGCGATCTCGAAGGCGACGAGCGCCTTTGTGCGGCCCATTACCTACCCACGACGGGACATATGATGCTCGGGATCAGAGAAGCAGACGCCAAGCGCAGCGTACTACGGATGATTCAGTGGGACTGGGATTACCTTAGCGACGAAAGCAACCGTCTACCACCCGCTGAAGGCAGGTTCAAAGCTTTCGGCAGCGTCATCAAGGATGTTGCGACCACGATGCAGGGCGATTCACCAAGGTACGTGGCTGCAGGCGAAAGGGCCTTTCAAAAACGCATTGTCACGTGACAGCCTTACTGACAGCACATCTTTTCCACAGGATGCTGGTGTCCGGCGGAGACTGGAATGCAGGTGTCCTATACATGAGCTCAATAGGAGTTGACGGCGCCGACCATGCGACGACCGCGGTCGCCGAGGTTCAAATGGAGGGCACAGGAACGGCAGTCCCAGAGTTCTCGACGTTCCACCACACGACCGGCACGGTATGCAATCATGCGTTCCGGAAATCGCATTTATATCTGCTCACCAATTCACAGGCCGCGACGTTGTCCAGAGAGCGACTCAACATCTTCGACTCTGCCCTCCACCAAATCAATACCCTCACGACATCAACAGCAAGCCGCCGAGCGGTCAGAGAGTCGTATGAAGGTGGTCCAGAGTTCGGCCCTGGCATAACATTCCTTGACCCGAACACTGTCGCCTTCAACTACAACGGCGGCCATGGCGAAGAATCCACTACTCACAAAGTGATGTTATGGGACTGGCGCATGCCCACAGGCACATCAGCGCGCTTCCGCTCCTCGAAGAGGACTACTGGCCTTCTCAACCCCAACGGCGCGCAAGAAGGGAGCCAATTGCTAGTATCGACCAACCACGACATCAAACTCTTCGACACGCGCATGCCGCACTCATACTCCCGACCAGATCAAACTCTCATGACCATCCGTCACGTCCACGAAGGCCCAGTGCAGAACCAAGCCACCAACGGACGAGGTCTCCTCGCCGCCATGGATCGCGACGAAGAGATGCAGATATACTCGCTCCGCACCGGCCGCAAGATCCGATCCCTGGAGATACCGAAAGCGCTCAAAGGCTTCAAAGTCCGCAAGCTGTTCAGAGACGTGATGTGGTATGATGATGAGAAGGCTGGGTCCTGTCTGCAGCTCTTCGGCCCGGCGGGGGTAGTACGGTGGTCGTATGGAGGTCCGCGCAACGAGAATGCCGCCTCAGAAGCAAGCGCTGGAGATTCAGAGATAGGAGAAGGCATGGACGACCAGCTTGACTATGAGTCGGACGGGAGCAGTTATGTCGCATTGCCGTGGAGGCCTCAGGGAGGTGCTGTGTCGAGGTCAGAGGGAGGGTGGTAAGCAAGCGAGTTGCAGGTGTTCTACGATTGGAAGATAGGTCAGGCAGCTTTACGGCGTGACAATGCTTTGCAGATTGTCATCAGATTGGGAGAAGAACAACGAGACGCGACAAAGCATGTGGACTGCTGAAGGATGGAATCAGCAACTGCGCAGTCAGTGAAGGGCTTCACACGAGGGCGTGGGGTGAGGAGAAGTTGAACGGGGCATGACACAGGACAATGGTGAGCGTTTGACAATTGCAAAACTCGTTGATGATAGATGTCGTACGACTCAGCTAACAATGTGTCCATACAAATGATCCATCTTCGTCATTGTAACAGCAAAATCGCATCACATGACTCCGTCAAATGCAGTCTCGCACGTCAAAATCAGGAGCAATAGTGTCATGGCAGCAGTATCCTCCACATGACAATGCAAGCTCAATTCTTCTTTTGCTTCTTCATCGGAGGTTCGGCGTCGCTGTCGACCTGAGCGAATCCATCGAGCATCTCATCTTCAGCGTCCGGGCGCAACTGGTGACAAAGAGATAGATCATTAGCCGGAGGTTGGGATGGACGTTCCAGTGCAGCAGTAACATACCGATGAAATGAAGGCTGCTTCGGAGATTTGGTCGGCGGTGCTCTTCTGCATCAATTCTTGGCTTTTCGTGCCGGGTTTCTTGCCGACAACGATGTAGTTGGCCTCTTCGATCTTCTTGACCACCTCGCCGCCGCACTGGGTGGTGGCCGTCTCTAGAGCTTTGTGTTCGAGCCCCAGCGTGCCGACGAAGATGACCTTCCATCCGAGGAGTGCCGTTGGGCTGCCGGTTGGGACCTTCTGACGAGCGGCCCTGTTCTCGAGCTCCTTCTCGGTCAGGGGTCGCTTCGGCTTGGGAGTCTTCTCCTTGGGATCGGTGCCCAGTTGAGTGAGCTCGTCGTCGTCGAGACTGTCTGGACTGGCGGGATGGTCGGCCTTGGCCTTCTTCTTCTTGGTCCTGGTCTTGGTCGTCAGGGCGGTGGCGCCGGCATTGCTACGAGGGACGTCAGTTTCTGATCTGCGAGCCATGGGCATGAACTGACCTTGCGCCCTCTGGCATCACCGTGAGTGTGCGAAGCTCAAAGTGAGACAAGCCATCCGATCTCATCCTCCCGCATTCACCTGCGTCCTTCGCATCCTCGTGGGAGTGATACAGCGTCACGTTGGAGAATGCGCCCGCCCTCGTCTCGACAACCGCGACGACCTGACTGAGTTCCGACATCGTGAGATAATGTTTTGTGGTTGAGTTCGTACAGGAGATGAAGTGTCAGGAACGCGTACCAGACAAAAGCTGACTTGAGGATGTCTTGTGAGAAGAGAAGATTCTGGGGGAGTGAAGTGAAGTCGGGTCAGTCAATGCGGCCCAGGCAGAAGAGCGTTCAAGAGGCAAGAGCAACCCAACCCAACCCACACGCGCACCTTCCCTCACACGCACACGCAATAAAAGCCAAGACATGCACATTGCACATTCAGAGTGCTTGATCGCACTTCACCTCGTCCATCTCGCCGTCCAGAGCTTGTTATCGCTATCGCATCACCGCGACCATTCCCCAGCTCAACGTCGTTGACTTTGAGATCTTGACAACCGCTGTCGCGGGCGGAGCGATATACTGTCTTAGCATGCCATCGATTGATCTGCCAAGGGCATGGAGCAAGTCCTTCGGAGGCCCGTAGAGGTTCGTTATGTCGATGAGTGAAATCGCCCAACCGTCCTTCGCTATATCGTGTGCGTTCGAACCGACGTCGACAATGACCCCAGCGCCGTCTGATATGGCGCAGACATCGTCCTTCACGGGGAAGGGATAAGTGCCGTTGCTGATGGCGATGTGGCGATAGTTCAAACTAGTAGCATGGATTTCGAGGAGCCTTCATGAGGTGCAGGCTTCGAATTTGCTTCTAGGTGCTCTATCAACGTTTCGTAGCCTGCGCCTTTCGAAGGCAGCCGGAAGACCTACTGCTAAACCATAGTTTCTGTGATGGCACCAAGCTTGGAGACGTGCGAGGCACTCTTGCGGGAAGTCCTTGCGGGTATGTACAAAATGTAGATATGGAGGACATGAAGCAGACAACTTGAGGGGCCGACAGACTTACACAAGAGTTGGCAGTGAGACATGTATGCATATCATTATATACATTTCCGCTGCCATCAGGCGATGAAAACCCTCCGCAAAAACCGTGGGTTGATCATGCGCCTTGTCTCAGAGAGTATATTAGCTGAAGTAACGACAGTACCGGTCTTCGCTCCTCGCTCTTCATGTCACGGCAAGGCCGTGACGTCCGTTTTTCTCACTGCATCTAAACCACCTCAGAGCCATTAGTCAGCCACCTTACACTCGTAGGAGATCTGAGGCCGGCGAAGTCGGTGCGTGACCGCTGTATTCCTCATCCAGCTTGTGCACTTTTCCGAGACGAGCATTCGGCAACCACTTCTCCTCAGGAGTAATGAAGTAAGTGACGATGCCAAAGATCGTGATGGCGGCAAAGATCACGGGCGAGTAGTTGAAGCCAGAGCCTGTGACCGGGAAGTACAGCGGCGAGAAGAGGACGCAGGCCAGGTACAAATTCCAGACAAAGGTGATGAAGGTCAGAGGACGGCTCCAGCGTCCCAGGCTGAACCGCGCGTGCTTGAAGTTGTGCGGCGTGATAAAGCTCCGCCCGAAGGCGATGAGGGCGTATGCCGTTATCGTCGGCACGCCAGCAGCGCTGACCAGAGATGTGAATGCCACTGGAGAGGCCAGGATGGTGCAGAGAAGCAGCGCTGCCACTGCGTGCATAACGATGATCGCATTCTTTGGTTCCTTCTTGACAGACACAGCCGAGATCCAGCCGGAGAATGGCAGCACACCGTCTCTCGCGACGGCCCAGATCAAGCGCGAGCTCGCAACACCAGCGATGGTGGTGTTGAAGAGAAGGCCGATGATGCAGACGACGTTCATGAAAACGTGTCCGCCGCGGCCCATTGTCAAAGCGTATATCTGCACGAAAGGCTGTGGAGCGCCAAGGCTGTACAGCGTGTCGAGATTCGGTAGGCAGAAAAGGAAGAGAATGACCAGTGGAAAGCCGATGAGAGCGGACGCCACTGCAGACCAGAAGATGCCGCGAGCGGCGGTCAAGCTGGCGTTTTGTGTTTCCTATACTCTTATCAGCACCTGGAGCATGATTGGCGATCAAGCCGATTGCTCACCTCCGAAATGTGACCAGAAGCCTCAAATCCGACCAAAATGCCAGCAGTCACGAAGTAGCTGAGCATCCAGTTCCACACCGGAGGCGCGCCAGTTTCGTTGTAGGTCTGCGTGAAGACGTACTTTGCGTCGTGGAAGCCATATGAGTTGGAGACGGCGATCGGCAGCCAGATGATGTTGAGGAAGAAGTCGAGCAGAATGACCGCGGTCGCCAGGCGAAAGATCGTCTTGTACGTCTTCGGGTCAAGGTAGTTCATGCCGATCGAGATGAACAGGAAGGTCTCGGAGACAATCCACTGCACTGCACGGAAGCGGATGTTGTTGGTGTCAGTTGGAAAGTCGACTCCGAAGACAGCGATCTCGGACAGCATGAAGTTGGCAGCAGCTTGACAGTTGGAAGCGACGAAGGTCGTCCAGGCAGTGGTACTCCACCATGCAACGATGAATCCGAAGAGCCGACCATACTTGCGACCGCCGGCTTCAGCAGCCCAGAAGTAGATGGAACCCGCAGCGGGTAGTGCGGAGCAGATCTCAGCTAGCACAGCAGCTGTGATGGTGACGAAGACGCAGGTTACGACATAGCTCGACCTGTGCTAGGTGATTAGTGCAAACATATTACTTCTTGGGGTCTAACCAACCAATATGCCGCAGGCCCACCAGCTCCAACACCTATCGTGAACGTTGTTCTAATGCCACCGACCGAATACAACGCAGCTGCTAGAGTCAGTCATCAATCCCAGGCCGCCCGACAGCCCGAACATACCGAAGCTAGCTGCGAACGATTCGAAGAACTTCCATTGACGGTGCAGAGACTGGATATCGTTAGCATGGCACACTCATACAGCCTAGCATTCTCGACCATGCCTACCTGCTTGTAACCGAGTGCACGCTTTGTGGTTGTTAGTATCTGCCAAACGAACAGGTAGTTGGAGAGGGAGGAGCATCGATTGATCAGTCATAGCATCTTCTTACGCGCCAATTACGACGTTCAAGTTCCAATGCGGTCTGATCTCAGCCTGCGACGACTCCAAACTCCTTCCCGCTGCGGACTGCAACGGGTTACGAAGCTGGTAGACGTCGACAGACACCCGCGTGCCATGACTTCTTGACGCTGCTTTGGACTCACTGAGTTCGCTGAAGATGTACTTTGACTCTACTGGATCGCCATGCTTCTAGCCCTCGCTAAGCCGTACCAAGTATCTTTCATCAGAGTCCATGCTACTGGTGTCTTCAGCATCGAAGTCGGCTTGCAGTGGGTTGTTCGGCTTGATGTCGTCTCTGGAGGACGAGCCGCTCCCGGACTCGTGGAGATTTGAAGGGGCCATTGTCGAGGAACGCTAGAAGGTCGTTCAGGTTGTTGTCGTACGCGGAAAACGTTGGACGATGTGAAAGAAGATGGAAGTGCAGGAGACAAAAATTTGTTAAAAAGCAACCTGAGGTGACATCGAGCCGTCTCGGCCAGCGGGCCTTGCGAGCTCCATTGGGCACCCACATCCATCGCCAACAGCTGACATTCGACCTACATTCTTTGCTCAACGCTTCGTCAGCGGAGCAGTCATCTTACAAGAATACATGTTGCGAGACTCCATGAAGAAGAACGTGTGTCGCAAGGTTCACGATGAACGCGCAGACGCGCCGCAGCGCACAAGGCTCGAAATTGTCTTCCACCGGCATCCTCGGATGACGTCGACAGAACGACCAACCTGGACTCGTGTCGGCTATATTCATCTCTGGTATTTGTGATGATCGACGTGATGTGCCGCCCGCCGCCGAGGCGGCTCTTGAGACCTCATCTCTGTTCTTCCACGGAACCGTTTGGCTTGCAACTGGGGAGCCGGAGATTTCACCGGCCACTCGCGCCAACGTCGTCGACCTTCCAAGTTCCGTCTTGGTTGCTCCAATAGATCGGATAACTGAGGGGAACGTGCCGTTGCGCGGCCAGAATGACGATGCTTCTACTGGTTTTATCGGAGTCCGTTCCCCAAAGCTTCGAGGCTTCCCACAAGGTCCTGGAGGTGATCGATCGTCAAGCTTTGGATCGACAGCACATCTCCCAGACACAGTAGAAGAACTCTCGACGGTCTGGAGTCAAACGGGCTGCTCGTCCCGTAGACTGCCGCTTTGGGATCTGCATTGTTCCTTTTCCAAATCACACAGACTTCAGCTAGGTACGTTCCTGCATCAGCGTGGACGTCATGGCGTGCGAGCCGTTGGAGCCATTGTCTTGCGGAGAAGTGGAAGTGAGGTATATAGATGGGCGGTAGGTCTTGTCCACCTTTCCATTTGTCTGTCTTTCTATCACGTTGCGTGTCAGAGTCAATATGAAGTATCTCGCAGCGGCATCTACTCTCGCAGCCATTGCTTCGGCAAGGAACTGCCAGCAACTCGCCGTGCCCGTTCACGCGGCTGCCCGGAATGCCGTGTTCGATATCCCAGTTCCAGGTTGGCGCTTGAGACATCGCATACATTCATGCCAATTCTAACGCACTGCAGCAAACAATATCGAAACCACGAACTTCATCCTGAATCTGAGCCAACAGGGCGCCAACTATACCGAGAGCGTCCTTCAAGGTTACCAGACCGTCAGCGGCGACTACGAAATAGCCGCTCAGTACTGCGAGCCAGACAGCGGACCGTCCGACACTCTCCAGATCCTCACGCACGGCATTGGCTTTGATCGCACGTACTGGGACTCGCCATTCAACAACTACAACTACAGCTACGTCGACGAGGCCGTCGACGAGTATGGCTACTCGACATTCGCCTGGGTATCAATTCCATGAAATTCTACCATGGCTGAGACATTTGCTGACTTTTTGCCATGTTTATAGGACCGCCTTGGCATTGGCATGTCGACGCCCCCAAACCCCGACCCTCTCAACGAGATCCAAGCCCTCCTTGAAGTCGACGCCCTTCGCGCCCTCACAGAGGCTCTCCGTGGTGGCGAAGTCGATGGCATCTCGAGCTCTTTCGACAAGGTCGTCCATATCGGCCATTCCTTCGGCTCCCAGCACACCTATGCTCTGACGGCCATGTACCCAGACATTTCTGATGGGATCACCTTGACCGGGTTCTCGCAGAACGGGTCCTTCGCTGCCTTCTTCCTGCTTGGTGGCAACTTCGTTGAAGCTAATGGCAATGCGGCCTTCTCCGATCTGCCAGATGGTTACTTCGCTGCAGGCAACCCGTCAGGAGTCCAGACAAATTTCTTTGCTCCACAGGACTGTGTGTACCCCCTTCCCTGTCCAATCAGCACAAGTGTGGTGTGAGAACTATGCTGACAGGTTTTGTACTTCTGCACCAGTCGACCCAGCGATCCTGACCTACGCATACAACAACGGCCAGCCAGTGACTGTAGGCGAGCTCCTAACCTTCGGCGGCGAGACCGGCAGCCCCAACCCATTCGCTGGTCCAGTCCACATCGTCACCGGCGAACGCGACATACCCTACTGCGGCGGCAACTGCTTGGCAGCGCCTACCGGCTACGACAGCGTTCCCGCGACGTCTCAACAGTTCTTCGAGAACACCGACATTGACGTTACGATCATCCCTGGTGCAGGCCATGGCTTGAACCTTCAGTACACGCACCCGCAGACCTACTCTAGCATCCTCAACTGGTTTGCAGACAACGGCCTTGCGGCGGACGGCAGCAGCTCGGGTGGTAGCAGCTCGGGCGGCAACAACGGCAAGGATGGTAAGGGTAAGGGCAAGGGTTACAAAGGTAAGGGCAAAGGCAAAGGCCGCGGTCAGCATGGCGGCTGGGGGAAGCACCATGGCCCGCCTGCGTGAGTGAGATCTAATGTGAAAAGAGGAAGTGATGAGCTTGTACAAAACAATGTATATACACCATGATGAATACAAAAGTACAACGACATGATCATTTGCCTCTATTGTTTCGTCTTTTGCGATGTCATCGTACTCGAGTGATTCACTGCAATGCCCATCTCCTCTAGGATGCTATTGCTCTGGAATTCGACAACAACCGTACTTGAGGCAGGTAGGTAATGACTTAAAAGAGGGCGTGTGGTATGTAGGACTTCAAGTTCATCGCTGCTCAAGTATAGATGGCTGTGACTGCAAATAAGGCATGTATTGGTCTATATACACCAACCACCTTCATCCTCAGTTCTCTGCTCACTGCTTCTCTGGTGGGCCAGAATACATCGGCTTCTTCTCAGTGTAATGGTGATACCCATACTGCTTGCCGTACCCTTTGTTGCAGTTGTCTGGTGCGCTATCCGGAGGCGACGTGCGACTCAAGCCAAGGCATTCCGCCATGTGGTAGAAGACGTCGATCGAGTTGTATACACCGGCAAACCTGTCACAGAGAAAATACAGTCGTCAGCAGAGATTTCGACAAAAGATGTGAACCAATGAATACTTACAGCTCCTGGCAAGGGCCTTGAGCAAAGACGGGTACGTCGGTCAGACTGTGGACGCCCTGTAGCACCATATCGTCAGCGTCTCGAACCGCCCGTGCAAAGAGCAATTCTTTCTATCGATACTAACTTGGTCGGCGCTGGTTGGCAGCGTCCCATTCACGATGAAGCCACTCTTGGCATCTTCTGGGTTGACGAAGAAGTCGTCTTCATCAAAGCCGCTGATGTTGGTAGCCGGAAGCTGAAGATGTCGTCAGTCAGTGTTTCAACGTTGATGAACAGCATTTACTCACTCTCGGGCCATCTTTGTGCACCTGGTAGTTCTCGCGATGGTCAGGATTTGCACCGACACCCTGCGCAAGTGTGTAGCGCGGGTCCCAGTTCGAAGGGAAGTTGGAGTCGCCGTACGTGAGGTCGCCAGTGTTGATGTACTGCGAAAGACCAGACTCCTGGTAAGTACCAATGGCATTTCGCTTCACGCGCGGGTTCTTATGAGCGTTGAGGTACTTGGTGTCAGCGCTGCCGAAGACATCGAAGCCGTGACCATGATCGGCGGTGACAATGATCTGGGTGTTTTCGAGCTCGCCAATCTCTTCGAGGTGTGCCATAGCAGCCTTAATGGTGTCGTCTAGCTCCAGAAGCTCACCGAGAGCACGATCGTAGTCGAGAGTGTGCATCTGCTTATCAATGGAAGCAGCTTCGGACATCAGGAACCAGCCGGCATCGTCGTCAGCCGTGGCTCGGTTCTGCAAGATGTCGATAGCTTTGAGAGTCATATCTTTGAGGCCAGGCTGATCATCCGCATCCTCGCCAGAGCAATCCGGGCTGTCCTCGTTGCCGTGGATGTTGTCAGTGTACACATTGCGGTCGAGCCACTTGGCCATATTGGAGATAGAGAAGATGCCCAGTGTGCGGTCGGAGTCAGATGCAGCCTGCAATTGCGTGTTATTCTGGACAAGCTGGTAACCTGCGTCGGTGAAGACGTTGTAGTAGTTCAAGTCCATGTATGTCTCGCCGCCGAGACGTGGAGGGCAGAATTGCTCAGCACCACCACCAAACAAGACGTCAACGCCTGACCATTCGGTCCACGTGTAGTTGACAATACCGTGGAGGAAGGAGTCCACGACAGCGCCATACTCGCCTCGGTCTCGGGTGTGCGAAGTCAAGGCCGCCGGGGTTGCGTCCGCAATGTAGGCTGTGCTGACGATGCCGATGTGGCCGCCATGGATCCTGTGGAAGAGTTCTGCGATTGTCTCGACCTTGGGATCATCGAATGAGTCCTCGGAAGAGTCCGCATAGACGCCCAATGCATTGACAGTACTCTTGTGACCAGTGTAGAGGGCTGTAGCTGAGTTGGCCGAGTCGGTGATGAAAGAGTCGATGGAATGTGTCATCTGGTGGCCAAGAGACGGGAACTGATCCATTGCCATCAAGCTCTGGTAACGGCCGTTGATCTGCTTGTGAGCAATCAAGCGGGCAGCAGTGATCATATTCTGGGTCATGCCGTCGCCAATGAAGAGCATCACGTTCTTGGCCCTTCGCTCTTGGGAGAGGTCACGAACCAGCCAGTATGCAGTGGTGGTGCTTCCATTGTAGCTGAGGGTTGCTTCGTACTCGCCTGGCTCGTAAAGTGCAATTCTACGATACGCCTTTGCAGCGACATTGACAATGGAAGGCGTCTCTGCGTCCACGGCGAACAGATCCTCATACCAGCTGAAATCCCAAGTCTCAAGCTCTGGCTCGGCCACGCCAAAGAACTCTGCGGCTGGTTGTGCTTCTCCACCAACTTTGCCAATGGAGAAGGTGAACGACTCGTCGGGCTGGCCGTCGGTGGCCTCGGAGCCGTTGACAGGCGCGTGGACTTCGAGGCGGATGTCCTAGAGGTGGAGGTGTCAGACAATGGCTGAAAGAGCCCACTCGATCATCAGATGGACTCACGAAATACTGTCCGGCGAGGAAATCTTGCTGATCTGGAGGAAGGATACAGCCCAACGTAGGACATGTACCCAATCTCTGGAACGTCTGACCGGACGCGATTGTGGCCAGAGCGGCGGCCGCCGCAGAAACGAGGAACTGAGACTTGACCATGACGCTTGAACAGGAAGAACAGGACCTTGATGGGAGAAGCTCTACACGTGGTTCGGCAGAAACCTACCTCTTATAAAAGCTCGAAGCTCGCCCTGCGATCGATCATGCAGGAACCACTGCCCTGGCTCTCGGCCAGGACGAGCAGTGAGCCAACTGAGGGCACACATGGCAGCGGACACAGCATTGGGGATCTGTACTCGACGTCAGAGGAGCAACACAAGCATTGCAGCCCGCCTTTGAGACGTGGGGGACTTGTGCTTGGTCGAACCGCGTGCAACATTGAGCGGTCCTGTTTGGCTTCGACAAGATCGCGAACACCGACGACCTGCCTCTTTCTATCGGCCAAGGTCTTGGATGCAGCAAGCCAAGGGAAGAAGAAATGGTTTAGTTCTTCAGTTTGGAAGACGAGATGGAAGGAGAACTTGAAGTAGGAAACGCGAGAACACGTGCAGTAAAGACTCGCGGCCATTGGTGAGGTGAAGTGAATGTTGTGCTGACTTCTACCGCGAATATGCCCAAGTATGCTGAGCCACAATGTACTCTCGAAGGACAACACCACCTCTAACTCGCACTCCGCGGACCGCCTCCTTGGACTTCTGAACTCTCAGTCTCTTCTAGCTGTCAGAGCACCCAACAATAGCAGGCAGGCTGCAAGCGGTGATTGCAATGGTAAAGACAGCCTTGAGACCGACCGGATACGCACCGAGAACAACACGGATTTGTGTGCCTGAGAGAGCCTAGCGAATCTGCCTTGCTCAAGTCCCAATATTTTCCCCAGGTCCACGACCGGAAATTCGACGGTCCGCTTCTTCTGGGTGCTTTGGAAGTAGATCGGTCTGTCGAAGAAGGAGGGTCCAGACTTCCTGCAAAACGAGATGTTCCCGGGCGCGGCTAGGCTTAGCCATAGCATTCTTTGATCCTTTCTTACGAGCAAGTGCCAAACCATGTCAGGGCAGAGGAATAGGACATGAGCTCGTTCAGTTGATGCTAAAGTTGACAGCCTCAGTGGCACCACAATCTGTGAACCTGTATGTCGCGTAGACGAGCCATCATATATGATATGGGAACGCAGCATCAGCAATCTCCCCATACACCTTCTCGATGGCTTCCGCCACCTCGGCCGGCAACGGGCCCTCTGCGATGAAGTCCAAGTTACTATCCAGTTGAGCGACACTCGAAGCAGCAATGACCACAGCGTCTCCGCAATCCGCTTCGAGCTTGCTATGGTGAACCGTCCACCTCAAGGCCGCACCGTGCCCGTTGATGCTATGCTTCGCAAAGATTTCGAACACCCGATCGACGGCGGCAATGATAGTGTCGTTCAGAAACACTCTTGCAAAGGTCTGGCCCAGTACGTGCTGCCATGGAAATCAATGCTTGTTCTGCACTCCAACGCTGGAAAGACTTACCGATGTGTCAAATCGATCGCCGGCTTTGACGTTCTTGTGGTTTCCTGCGAACAGGCCTGCGGCCGCTGGACTACACCGGAGTGTTAGAAACTTGCTATCGCCACACTGTAAGTGAGCAGTCAAACCTCCAGGCGTAAAAGGCGATCCCGTGCTTTCTCAGCATAGGAAAGAGCTCCTTCTCACCACTCCGAACGATAGGATTGTACTGTCCCTGGTACACACTCGGCTTACAAAACTCCTTCTCCTCACAAATCTTCACGATCTGCTCGACCTCATGCGCCGCATAATTCGACAGACCGAGATACTTGAACTTGCCAGCTCTGTACGCTTCATCCATCGCTCCAAGCGTCTCCTCGAACGGGACACTCCGATCCGGCGCATGAAGGTACTCAATATTAGCCTTGCACTTCAGCGCTTTCTCGGAAGCATCAACACTCTCCAGAATCTTCGCCTTTGCATGGCTGCCCGGAACGAAGGAGAAGACTTTGGTGTCGACCAGGAATTTCTCTCCGGCAGAAATGGCGCCGAGTCGTACTTCAGATGAGCCGGGGGCAGTGGTGGAATACATGCGCGCGGTGTCGAGCTCGCGGCCGCCGCGGTCGTGGAAGGCGTTGAGGTATGCATTTACCTCGTCGGGGGTGCTGTAGCGGACGGTTGGGTCTGAGCTGTCGCCGACCTGGAACAAGTTGTCAGCGGTGTAGCTGCCTTGTTGGTCGTTAGGGGAAATGGCGTACGTTGGCAACTCCAAGCACGATCTTCAGTGGTGTTGCGTTTGACGACATTTTGCCTATGCGTGAAAGTGCTACGGTCTCTTCCTACGCACAAGCAGGTTGGGTACTCCTAAATATAAAGCTTTTGATCAGATAGATCGCACTCGCATTTGTGGCCAGACCGGCTTAACTCCACCGCTTCCAGCGAGCGGCTTTATCGTCCACATCTCTGTCCAGTGTACGTCTCCTTGTCTCCCGAGTGTCCAAATCTGCAGCGTCGGGGCGACGAGCAGGAAGAGGCAGGCAAGAGCAGAAGCTCAGGGTCAGCGGAGGAATTACTTGACCCATCAGGCGTACGGCGAGATCGATCTCTCTGACCTCTGAAGATTTGTAGAGGCTAAACGAGACCTTTCCTCGCCCATGAAGCGTCTCGAGTCCAGTTCGAGAAACGTGAACGAGCTCCTCCTCAATCCTTCGATCAGGCCACCTCCCAAAGTACGCGAGGCGGACGACACTCACGACAAAGACCCCGTTTCCGTGCGCTAAACAACTTCTTGTCTCTTCTGTAGTACTCCATGGACTGGAAGGTACATGTAACATGGGCACAAGTTCAAGCGCAGCAATGCCAATATCGTCATATCATCATCTCGTAACCATAAACGCTACCGCTTATGCACACCCACTCGCCCGATGGAGAAGCCACAAATGACGGCCTCCCAACGCCACGCCATGCCGCATCACAAGCAAAAATACGAAAAGCCACGTCTGTACACCCACCCCTCTCAAAACCTCCCCATCTCATCCCCAGCAGCCAAATCGCGAATCGCCCATCTCCACCTCCCATCATCCGGCCTGGGCTCCCCATCCACAAACCACGCCGCACACCGCTTCCGCCAAATCGCCTCTTCCGCCTGCTGCGTCTCGATGAACTTCGGTCCGAGATCGAACTCCTCGTGGATCTCTCCCGCTCCTGGCGCCGCGGCCATGGACACCGGACTAGCCATCCCGGCTGCACCGCCACCGGGCGCGGGGGAGAAGTCGTCTTTGAGATCCGCGATGCCGGCGAATGCGTCTTCCTCTTCGCCGTCGGTGATGGAGGGGGAGAGGGGCCCGGACATGTCGCGGCCTTCTTTCAGTTTGAGCCATTTCATTTGGCGCGGGTCGAAGACCATGCCGCCGTTGACTTGGACACCGTTCGTGGTGGACATGGGGGCGATGAGGGCGGGTCGGGGAGGTGAGGCGGAGGGGGCGTGGTGGCGGTCCATGTAGGAGGTCTGTTCGCGACCTGTTGGTGTCGGGGTTTCGAGAGGTGGTGGCATGTCGAAGTGCTGTAGTGTGTTCTCGTTGCCTTCCCAGCGCATGGTCATCGGGTTGTAGATCATATCTTTCTCCGCTGTAAGTCATTGTCAGTACAGTTCTGATTGACCATGATGTATTCGCTGTTGACTTACTCTTCGCCACATGCGCACCAATACCCTTAATAAGCTGCGGCGCTGTTCGCTTCGTCTTCTGTCTTTGTGCGCTCGGACTGGTGTGCGGACTTCTTGCCGCAACTTGTGCCTTCCAATTTGTGGTCAGTGGCTGAAGCGGACCCTCACTCCTAGGTCTGGGATTGTTGTTGCCGAGCCTTGTCTCTCTAGCTATTCTGCTCGCGGCTGTGTCTCTCAGATAGCTTGGTGTGTTCATTGGAGCATCGTGGAAGCCTTTCGTGGGACTGGCTGGTGTTCTGGGTGGCCCTGGTGTGATGTTACGCTTGACCGGATCCCGTATATCTGCTCGACTTGGCACCTGCCGGAGTCCTTGCTTCGGAGGACCTCGTGCAATCGGCTGCTTGACGTATTTGCTCTCCTTCGTAGTAGAGGTAGGCAAGTCGTCAAAAATCTCAAGCTCATTGCCGTCACCGTAGTTGCGCCGACGTGCCGGCTTGGTCACTGTACGCTTTGCCGCCGCCTCTCGAGCCAGAGCAGCTGGTGCCAGGTCTTGCCGCTCTCTCGAGCCACGCGAAGGAGTATCGGGGGCTACGACATTCGAAAGCCGAGAATGCGGCCTAGGCTCCGGGGACTGTGCGCCTGCACGTCGAGGGTCCGACTCTCGCCGCATGTGGTATGGCATTGCCCTGTGACCTGTCGGGGGCTGGTTTTGGTTGTTGGATCCGCCAGGCCCTCGATACATCTGAGGTGCCGACGGCTGAGTCCTCAGAAGAGGCGCTGACCGCTTCGACTTAAGAAGCTGGGCGCTCGTCGTTGTTGGCTGCCGTCGAGCAGATGCATTCTGTGATGCGCCTGACTCGAAGACAGGCTCGAGTCGCGACGCTCCGGGTCTCGAACCGGATACCGGCCTGGGGATATGAGAGCGAGTGTGGGTAGGCTTGTCTGTGGGCTTGTCGTGAAAGTTGACCGTGGTGGCTGGTCGCTGCGCAGGTATCGCTGGCTTTTTGCTCTTGACCTGGATGTTCTTGTTGACGGTGCGCTTGCGGAGCTCAAACGCATCTCCCATCGGCAGGTCGAAGTCGTTGATGTAGTCGTCATTCTCCTCGGCGGCATGCTTCGATTTCTTGTGGACGTTCATCGTAGGCTCTTGGTCGATCGCAGGGCTGGGCTGAGATAGATCGGAGAGTTCAGCATCCGCCGCATGCCGCTTCTTAAGTCGTGCTTCAAAGTCCATTGGGCCTTCCGGTAGCTCCAATCCGCCAAAGTCATCCTGCTCGCTCTCTGCCGTGACCGATCCCAGACTCGGGCTCATCGCAGAAGCAGATGAGCTGCGCATTCGTGTGTCGCGTTTGGTGCCAGCGAAGCGTATACCCAGACTGCCCTCCAGCTCATCGAAGTCGTCGTGCTCCTCGCCTGGCGTGACTGGAGGTGGATTCTGAGCGCGCGGCTTGAGCTTGAGCGGCGCACCATCCGACATGTCGAGGTCGTTTTCCCAGTCATCATTCAGTCGCTGCCTCGACTTTTTCTTTCCTAATCGCTTGATTGTGCCGCCTAAAAGCGCGCTCGTGGGTACATTGCTCGGCAGTGGGATGCCTGCGTGCTTCGCCGACTGTATCGCCTTGCTCTCGTCGGCAGCGTCGATGACCAGGTTCCAATCGTCGTCACCGCCGGCAATCGACTCGGAGTGGACGCTCAAGCGCGAGGAAATGCTGGTGTGCGCGGTGCCGACGGAGGCATTGCCGGCGAAGGTGCTGGTGCTGAAGCCGGCGCCATCCTCGAAGTCCTTGCTCCAGTCGTCGTCGACCTCCATGTCCGCCGTCTACCAGATGTCCTCCTGTTGCGATAAGTCTGCCGGGTAGTGCAAAGGGGAGCAAGACTCCATGCAGCCCCTGCAGTAGAGGAAAAGCTTCTGGGGGGCAGCGGTAAAGGCGGTGGGAGGAGTCGACGTGCGCAAGCGTGAGGTCGGCCGGAACGCGGCTGCGAGGGAGGCTGGCAAGATCCCAAAGCTCCAAGCTAAATGCTCGGCCCGCTCCCGATTGGCTGACTTCTGAACGTCCAACGTGAAAGTCAGACCAACACTTATCGCTTTGGAACAACGACACCAATGCTTTGCAACTAGCTAAAGTAAGACTGAGGCCATCACCGGATCAAGCAGCCATATTGACACGTGACAGCTTGATTTGGAAGTAGTCAGACTCAAACGGCAGCCTTGAGAGATCTTACCGAAGGCGGCGTTTGCAGGCAGCGACGGTGACCCTACACGGCCCAAGTATGGCTCTGACGGTGATACAAACCGCTTGAGGAGACTCAACCCTGTTGAGACTTTGTGACAGACTCACTTCGGCAAACACCAGTGAACCGCAATGGCTACCCAGATCTTACGACTACCACGAACGGACAAACCAAGGGAGCACCTCCTCGTTCATGTCACCCAGATTCGTTCGAACTCGCTCGATCTGAAGCTGGTCGGAACCGAGCAGGAACATCTATATCATGCGACAACCAAGGAGTCGAGCGTAAAGTCCTCACAAGCGAGCAACTACACCGGTGATCTGAACGAATGGAAGGCCATCTTGAAATATGCTTTTCTTCACGAGCGTCCGGCATCTGCGTCGGCGACGGCAATCGATGGACTGGAGATGGTTGCAGCGATCAGTAGCGACACCCTTACCATCACAGTACGCAAGAACATCGGCGGTATCACGCAAAGATTGGGCAGCATCAAGCTCGATCAGGATGACGAGCGCGAAGAGGTGAGCGCCTTCGAATGGGCGGACACCGCGGTCTCAGCTGCAGACGACTTGCGCAATCAACTTGAGTCACTGCAGGCTTCTGTCAGCGGCCAGCAGTGTGAGGTGGCGAATCTCACGAAGCAGCTCGACGATCTGGTGAAGGCAAAAAAGGAACACGAAGATGAGCTGCTGACGAAGTTCGCTGCTTTGCTAAACGCCAAGAAGCTCAAGATCAGAGACCAGCAACGTCTTCTCAATGCGGCCAAAATTGATCCTGCTGCTGCCGAGGAGACGCGTGCGGCTCGAGGGGGTGGGAGAGGGCATGGTCGCACTGCTAAGGCTTCAGGGCGCGGAAAACGGAAGGTCGATGATGTCGAATCTGTTGCTGACGAGGAGATGGAGGATGGTCGCTTGCCAGAGGCTGTGGAGGACTACGAAGAGGAGCGGCGAGAAGAGGAGACGCCACCGCATTCAGAAGCAGACGACGATGCTACAGAGGACGAAGATGACCTGGATGCGCCGGCTCCTGTTCGGCTAGGCAAGGCGAAGGCGAATGAGCGGATGGATATCGAGGTGGATCGGGAGCTGCCTCCAAAGCGAGACTTGCCTTTTCGCAGAAGGAGTCAGCAGTCCAATGCGGCCGACGACGACGACGACGACGACGAGACAGATGATGAGTTATGATATATCGGTTATGAGTCACGTGGCAATGAGGCGATGCTTGCACGCAGGATGAATGGATAGTGATTCTATAGAGTCTTATCCAAGTCGCCTCACGAACATAGCATTAATCAACACTGCTTGAAAAGACAATAAAGTGTGACATCTTCTCACAAGCCTGAGCCCTGACCAGCAGCACGTCATCCGCATGCAAGTGAATGTCACGAATTGATCGCCCATATAAACCGTCCTTTTTCCCAAATATTCTTTTCGCGAAACACTTGTTACACTGCACAACACACCGCGACCATGTTCAAGAAGAAGCCCACAATCAAGCCTCTCGCACCTCTGCGCTCCTCAGACCGACGAAAGCTCGCCGACCAGATCATCAAAGACTACAACCTCGAAGACACCAACAGCCCAGAAGCAGAGCAGACGCCCGAACAGAAGACCGAAGCGGTGAACGCACACACATCGTTACGAAACTCCCTGCTACCCGACAACACTCAATCCGCCCGCTTCACCACAACCCAAGGTCCCGATCTTAAACAAGCCTCTGGCACTGTATACGTCGGCAGCCATGATGGAGAAGAGGCGCGGATATTATGGTTCCAGATCGAGGGGCGGATGTACCCTTCAGTGTACACGCTCTGGAGGAACCCAGATATCGTAGCTCTACTGCACACGCCTGATGTTGCAGTGGATAGGCTGCGCGCTGGAGCGGACCTCATGACGCCCGGTCTGGCAGGCGGTCCACCATTCCCCGAACGAGCGAAGAAGGGTACTGTGGTGGCTGTCGCGAGTACGGATAAGCCTTCAGTACCTGTGGCCGTTGGGTGGTGCGAGGTGGATGTGAGTGCTTTGGAGCAGGTGCGGGGAGCGAAAGGACATGCAGTGAGGAACATGCATTGGGCTGGGGATGAGGTGTGGAACTACGGTGCTACGGGAAGAGCTGGGCAGGCTGCGCCGGAGGAGATTGACGGGTGGAAGAGGGTGCTTGAGGCGAGAGGGCTGGCGGAGAAGGTGGATGCGCTGGATTTGGATGAGGACGAGGTGGATGGTGGTGTTGCGCTTACGGACGCGGATGAGCAGTCTGGGCCGGCATCGAAGCAGACGAATGGCTACAACACGTCCGTCGAGGGCGAGGATGCGCCTGCGAACGACATCGCACCGACGAAGGAGCTCACGCAGACGGAGATCGACACTGCCTTCCGCAACGCCTTCCTCTACGGCATCCACAAGCACAAGGAGACCAACTCGAATGCCCCCAACTACGGCCTCGTCTTCCCCCTCTCCCAATCCTTCGTCGTGTCCAATCTCATCCAGCCCTTCCTCCCCGCCTACACCCCAGCAGAAGCCCAACAACTCCAGATCAAGAAAACCAGCTGGAAGAATATCAAAAAGTTCATCAAAGCCCTCGACAAACAACAGATCCTCAAGTCCAAGGAAAAGGACGGCCACGAGACCGTCATCCTCGACATCGACTTCGACGACGCCGCCATCATGAACTTCAAACCCTACCGCCTCCCCAAGAAAGAGACCCTGGGGGGTGCATCCCAAGGCCGCGGCGAGAAAGCCACCGAGCAGATCGACACGGGCGACGACAGCGTGGGTCAGAAACTCCAGGTGATATCCTATTACAGACCAACCAGCAAACTCGCACCCCTCTTCACCACCGCCACCAAACCCCTCCTCACCCCGCCGGAAGTCCGAGAGCTCGTAACCGCCTATATCGAGTCCGAAAACCTCCTGGCCGAAACCAACAAACGGCTCGTCAAGCTCGACCCAACCCTCTCCAACGCCGTCTTCGACGGCTCCACCAATCTCGACAAAGAAGTCCTGGCAAAAGGCACAGTTCCCCGCGACGCCCTGATCGACCGCGTGCTGCACGCCATGAACCCCAGCTACGCCATCGTGCGCAACGGTGCCGACCCTGCAAGCGTGAAAGCGCGCAGTGGAGCGCCGCCGAAAATCCACATCACACTCGAGAACCGGACGGGGAATAAGCGGGTGACGAAGGTCAGCGGGTTGGAAGCGTATTTCGTCAGTCCCAAACTCCTGGCTGATGAGCTGCGCAAGACGTGCGCAGGAAGTACATCGGTGGAGGCCTTGGCGGGAGCGGCGAAGAAGACGGAGAAGCCGGTCGAGGAAGTGATGATTCAGGGGCCGCAGAAGGATGCTGTAGTGGCGGCGTTGGAGAGGAGAGGGGTGGACAGGCGGTGGGTAGAGGTTTTGGATAAGACCAAGAAGAAAAAATGAGGGAGTGTGCGATGATCGAACCACGATTCAGTTGGGGTATCTAAGGTAGTCAAGTCGCTCATAATCCAAGTCAAGCCTTCAACTCTGAGCCGCCGTATCCATATCCATATCCAGGCTCATCTCATTTCCGTTTCCCGTGGGGTATCCCGTTCCTTTCCAAACGCCTTCGCTAAAGATCAATCCTGCCACCCATCATCCAACCCGACATCATTCGATCAATCCCATCACAACTTTAGCTTCAACTCATAACCCAACCCCGTCTGCTGTCCAATCCATTCCTTCAACATCGCATGCCCGGCCCTCGCGGCCCTCACCGGCGACGTCCCAAGTCCAATGGGCAGACTGTAAGCTCCGGCAAACCCGCGCGTAGGATCAAGCTTTTCGTTCTCAGCAGGAGCGCCTTTCGTCCGACCCGCCCATGTCTTCGGGAAGGTAGCCTGCAAAGCGTCGATATTGAGCTTACTCTCCGCCTCGTTCCACGCACGCAGGATCATCCCGTTCGTGTCGAGCAGAGCAATCTTATCGTTCTGCTGCTGCGTAGCCAACTCCATGACGCGGGCGTTGAAAGCGACGCCCAAAAGACACACGACGCCGCGGAGGGCAGGGAAGAGCTCGGGGTCACAATGTTTCTTGACGAAAGTGTAGAAGGACACCATGCTGAGCCAGTTGTTGATTTTCGGAGGCATTTTCGGGTCGGAGGAGAGGGCGGCTTCGTCGGCGCAGGTGAAGGCGAGGAGGAAGGCGAGGAAGGACTCGACTGCTTTGACGGCCGCGAGTTTCTGCTCGGCCGTTGGACTGCCGGACTTTGACTTTGGACCTGAGCTAGATTGAGCATGGCCGGATGCGGCGTGCTTGAGTTCGCGGCCGAGATCAATCAAGCGGTTCTGTTCGGCTTCCCATGCTGCCTGCTTCGGGGTCCTTTTGCTTGGCTGGCTCGATGTGGGAGGTCTGTTCGCGCCGTTGACACTCTGGGAGGATGAAAGAGTGGTATCCGGCGGCGACGATTGCGACATGCCAGACGGAGTATGGATGTTGCTCTCAGAGCTCATCTCTCGCTTCATCGAAGTCGACAAAAGCTCCTTGCGCATGTTACCCGGCGTGGCAGTGGCCTTCTGAGCCGCTGCTGGTGATGAGACCTCATGCTTGTCTGGCGTGCTTGGCTGACGGTCCTTCTTGGGCGCTGGCGACTCGACAGGACCTTTTTCCCGTTTGGCTGCCCTTTCATCGGACTCGCTGTCATCAGGGCGTGGACGCTTGTGCTCCATGACGATGGGCTTGGCATTCACCTCCTTCTTCACCTCGCCGTTTGGCTTCTTGACAATCTTCTGAGCCACTCCCTTAGTGCTTGGCTGCTGTTGAGGTTTCTCATCTCGGGCCCTTGCATCCGTGTCTTTCGGGCGGCTGGCTGCTTCTGCAGGTTCCCGAGCAATTGGGCGCTTCTCCGGGTTCGGCCGCATCTTCAGAATCCGTCTCACATTGTCTCTGATGCTTTTCTTGAACCTCAATTTCACGATCAGCGAGCGCGACTTCTCAAGCGCAGAGGTCTTGTTCTTCGCAACAGCTATATCCTCAGATGATTCGCCACTAGACTCTGGCTTCTTGACTTTCGGTGGAACCGAGGCGGCAGTACGCCCTCTATCCTCGACATCGGAACGAACAGCGGGAGAGCTGGAATTGGCTCTGAAACCATTCTTCGGACTCTTTTTGAGGAGACCCTTCTTGACTTCTTGCCTTGGCGGTGTGAGGTTTCGGCCTGTGGTAGAGACGTCCGACGAGCGCGAGGCGGATCGAAACTGCTCTTTGGCTCTGAGAGTCTCAGCTATGTTGTCTGGTAATGTGGGAGAAACTCGTGGAGGCATAGCGGAGGTTGATATTGGCGACAGCTTTGGTGGTAGTTTTGCTGGCTCAACTTCGACTCGTGGAGGAGACAGCTTCGGAGGCAGTGGTGTCTCTGCTTTCTGCTTCGTCGCGGGTGGTGTCGTTGGCTTCGGAGGTTCGGTCGGCGCAGCCTTCTTTCCTTCAGCTTTCTGAGGTGCCGCGCCATCCAAAGCATGTGCCGGTGGAGGTTCGTGTTTCTCGGCTGTGTGCTGTTTTGCAGCGGGCGCGCTCTCCTTCTTCGACAGCTCGTCCGACTTCTGCTTCTTCTGCGCTGTATCCTCCGCGGCCAGACTATCACTCCTGTCCCGCTTGCGCTTCAAATCGGTCTTGACCTCCGTCTTTGCTGCTTCCTTCTCTGCGTCCTGCTGCATTTCAGCCAACATATCCTCATCCGCCTTGATTCTCTCCACAGGTCCCTTAATCGGAGCTTTAGACGCCGGCTTCCTCACCAGCTGTTCCGACGCCTTCGCGGGAGTGCCATTCGGCGTCGCACCAGCCTGCTTCTTCTTATACGCATCCAGCGAGATCTTCTTCTTCGGCGCCCCGCTCGGCGTCGTAGCTCCCATGCCCGGCCTGTCCTTGGCCGCCGGCTTCTCTTGAGGATCCGGCGCACGGCTCGTACGCTGCATAAACATCGACCTGCCGGGATCGTGGAACTGCCAGGTCAGGTACTGCATGTGCTCGTTTTCGGTCTGCTCGAAGGGGGTGTGGTCCAGCCATTGTCGCTGCTGAAAGGCGTAGGAGTGGTGGTAACGCGGCTCGACATCCTGAGGGATCGTGAGGAAGTAGGGTTCAGCTGGGTGGACAGCGCGCATGCGATCTATGGCGGAGTTGATCGCAGCGAGGTCTTCTTTGTCTTCTTTGCTGGGCATGGTTTAGGTCGGCGAGCGGGTTTCCGAGAAGCTGAGGCAGTACAGTGCGTCTGCTGGTGACGTTCACTAAGGATGTTGGGTGAATGTTGGAAGGAGGTAGGACTGCTGAATATGCGATCTCGGAGACAGAAGTCGGTTGCATGTGGTTGTAGAGAGTTCGGGAGCTCTCGAGCGAGGTAGAAGAATAGGTGTAAGTATTGTGAAGTCCAACAATGGGCACAATAGCGAGCCGGAGCCTATTGTGTGTGTTCAGCATGTGAAGTCACTTCATTCTCAGACATGTGATCTCACCTTTCACAGCCTGATGGAGCAGCGGTCGCGGCTTTGCGCCGCAAGTCGCAGATGTTGCAAACACCCGGGGACCTGCGGATCGCCTGTGTCGCTACGCAGTCTGATCATTGAAGTCAGCTGCGCGCATGTGTCGTGGTGTGTTGATATGAGAGAATGATATCGAGCGAAAGTGAGGCTCAGGTAAGGTACCGGCTCGCGGCAAGGCTGATCGCCGGCGGCTTGCAGCACGAGTGACGTTTCTGGGACATGAAGCGCTTAAAATAGCTTACTAAGGCCATCCATTGTTCCACCAGACGCAGTCTCGAAGATTGAAAGGAATGCAGGAAGCCATAGTAAGTAGTCGAGATTATATTAGCTTGATATGCTCCATGCAATGCACCGCTTGTAATGTAAATGAGGTCTTCAGTTCACCAACTCTCAAGGCACAAACACCAACCGCTCACTCCCAGCATTATTCCACTTCTTCTCAACATCTGCCAGCTTGACCGTCTTCACAGGTTGCTCAGGCACATCTTTCAGCGCTGTGAGCATGTCCGGCATCGTCTCGACAACCTCCTGCATGCTCCAAGCACCCGGTCCACTCCCACGAATCGTAATGTTTTTCGATCGAAGTATTGAGCTAGGAAGCATCATCTCAGTAGAGTCAAGACCTCCAATCTCCACGTATTGAACGGGACGATGAGACTTGAGCGAGTTGAACAGGTGGATGGTGACAGGACCATACACGTAGTCCAGGATGACGTCGACGTCGCCGAGGGTGCTGAAATCGGTCTTCTCGGGCTCGTTGGCGATGATGACGGTCTCGTCAAGGCCCAGGGTGTCGAGGGCGGCTTTGTTGCGTGCAGCGCCGATGACTCGCTTTGCACCGAGACCGCGAGCGAGTGGAATTGCGACACGACCAGAAGCGGAGGTGGCGCCCACGATGAGCACAGTGAAGTCCTTCGGGAGGTCATTCGTCCGAGCCTTTAGAGCCATCCAGCTAGACATGGCCGGGTTAGTGATGCCAGCGACTTGGACCGGGTCGAGGCCATCAGGGACAGGGAGTGCTCGGCGCTTGTCCATGTTGACGTATTCGGAGAACGAGCCTGTGTCAAAAGAGCTGAAGTAGACGAGCTTGCCATCGTCGGTCGTGCCTGTGCCATCGATACCAGGGACGTGAGGTAGCTGACCACTTGTGTAGTGTGTTCCCGATGCTCGACTGCGGACCACTTGATGTGTTCCAGCGGCCAGGACTCTGATGCGAACTTCGTCTGCGGCGGGTGATGGAAGGTCTACTACTTCGATGTATTTAGGAGCCTGGCCCCATTCGGTTACTTGTGCTTGATGCATGATGATTGTTGTTGTTCTGAGTGTGTGAGATGTGCGCGATTGTGTGTTTGTGAAGTGGATTGTGATGGTAAAAGAGAATTAATACCTACGTGTAAGGGACAGTCTTAAATACCATGATCAAGGTAATACTGCACCTTTCTGTTCGGCGCAACCATCTCCATTTCAGTGCCGATTGCTGTTCAGGCAGAAGTCAGCGCAGTGAGGAAGAGGGACGCCAGACGCCGGCGCCGAAATTTGCTGTATTGCACCGGCCGATTTCACCACCGAGCCTCCTCAGAATCTTCTCGAGTTTCGGAGTGAATCTCGTGCTGCTACAGCGAGCGCCGGAGCGGATTCGCAGGCTCAAGCGGCGGAGAAGACAACGCACAACCGACCAGCCTCTCTGGTCACACGCAGCGACGACCTGCTCGACGTGGTCGATTCCGCCCCTTCTCGAAGATCGGAACAGCTTCACGAAGGACTGAGAGAGCGCTGAGCACCATTTGAGAGGACAAAATTGAACATGCACTAGCGCGGTCGTCTTTCCAGCCAATCAGCGTCAAGTTGGCATCGAAAGACAGTTTCGCACTCTTCTCCGAGATCAAGACAGGAAATGTGCAGCTGTCGAGCAGGAGAAGTCGACTTGGGCGGAGAATCTGAACGCGAGCTAGCGCCGTCTGGGCTTCGGCCAATCACAGCACGGCTATCCAACCTCGCATTCGTATCTCTGTTCAGCTCCGTCTGAATCCTTCCAGTGCTTACTCCTAGTCAAGTAAGCATGGAGGCGCCGCATAGAGCGGACTGCCTGGCGGAACTTCAGCATCCGGCATGGATGACTCTACAGCATATCAGACGCACGACTGGCTCCTTCGGCATGCCGGAATACTTGTCGACCACCGCATGGGTTTGTAGATGAGAGGCTGTGTCAGTATAATGATGATCTCTGCCGTGCTCCTACATTTCTAAGAACGGATAGCTGCCGCTTTAACAACAGATGAGCAGCTCAACTATGCCTTTCACCAAGTTCCAGATAAAGACACGAGTCTTCCCAGGCCAACATATTCGCAACTACCCAGGAGCCACGAGGACCAAAGAAGAAGAGGTCCAATATCTCGAGGTCAAACAATATACGCCTCTCACGAACCTCGATCCGCAAGAAGGCGACATCACCATCCTTGCAACATGCGCCACAGGCTTTCCCAAGGAAATGTACGAGCCATTATGGGACGAACTACTAACCCACTGCTCTACCCAAGGCCTGCGCATCCGAAGCATCTGGTGTCTTGACAAGTCAGATCACGGCGGAAGCGGCATCCTCAATGAATTGACGCAAGGCGACGACCCTAGCTACTTCGACCTCGCCAGAGACATCCTGCTCATGACGAATACGTTCCGCGAGCACATGACGCTTCCGCTGGTAGGGATTGGTCATTCTATGGGAGCAACGGCCCTACTTGAGGTGGCGCGCATCCATCCTCGTCTGTTCTCGTCATTAGTCCTTACGGACCCGATCATCGGCAGTGAAATGAAAATGGTCGGTGCAACATACACCTTCATGAGCTCCCGGCGGCCCGACCTTTGGGACTCTCGCAAGGAGGCCGAGAACATGTTCCGCAGCGCGAAGCCTCTCAAAGCCTGGGATGCGCGTGTCATGGATCTATGGCTGCAGTACGGCTTGCGAGAAACGCCCACATTACTGTACCCGGAGCCAGGCAAAGTTACTCTGCGCATGCCGAAGACCCAAGAAGTCTGGAACTACGCACGCTCGTACTTTGATGGGCCTCCAGAAGACGCCAGCGATCCACCAGAACGCAGCCGGATCAAGTACCCAGATGCCCTGGAGTGGATAGCGGACGTCCACCCTTTCTACCGATCCGAAGGAATGGCAGCGTGGGATCATCTGCCGCAGATTCGCTGCTCGGTGTTATACCTATTTCCTGCTGGCAGTCCGCTTAGCACAAAAGAGTCTATGGGCGAGAAAGTCGCCCGGACAGGAAGTGTTGTGGGCGGCAGCGGTGGGACGCCGTATGGTCGGACGGCTAGGGAGATGTTGCAAGGTTCGGGGCATCTTGCACCGTTTGAGAAGCCGGGTGATTGCGCGGAGAAGGCTGTGGAGTGGCTGGCTAGAGATATCAAGGCTTGGCAGAGGCGAACGGCTTTTGAGAAGAAGAATAGGGATGATAAGAGTATCACCCAGATTGCCCTCTCGGAGGAGTGGATGAGGAAGTCGAAAGAGTGGTTTGACAAAACCATGCCCAAGCAGAAGAGGAAGCCGAAGCTGTAAGGCGATTGAATCGTTGGAACGTTGACGAGACTGCGAGACGTCGAACGCTTAGGAAAGGTACGGCTGTACAGAACAGACAACGCCTCTCCACCTCGTCCGCAGGATATCATTCTCAGCCATCAAATCATTCTCATATCGTTCTCGTGAAATCATAGCATGCACGCCGCGCAAATGACAGCAGCCCCCAGAACCGCCACCGTCGTCCACCGTCCATTGCTTGCCGCCCCTCCTATCGCTCCGTCACCACTCTCCCCATCCTTCGGCCCAATGTATCCCTCTCCGTTCCCGGGTCTCGGCAATGCGCTGCTCGCGCTATTGTAAACCGTACTCGCCGTGTTGCCGTCCGTCGCATAGACAACGCAAGCCCCCGTGAAGCCGGAGCATTCTCCTTCGTTCGACGCTGTGGTCGTCGCAAGTACTACCTGCGTAGACGTGACGATCGTCGTCGGCGGAGGCGAGCTCGATGAGAACGGAGTCGATGTCGGTGCGTAACGGTATACTGTTGTTGTGTATGGTGCAGCAGCGGAAGTGCCGTAAACCACACAGGCTCCATAGAAGTTCTCACAGGCGCCTTCGTAGTCCGTAGCCGTGACGTGGACGGTGGTTGTTCTGGTGACTTGGATGACTTTGGTCGTGATATCTGCTGCTGTTCCTACGAGTAGGAGGGATAGTAGGAAGGCGTGCAGCCATCCAAGAGGTATTCGTCCCATGGTTAGAGGCCCCGTCGGGCAGGTTGCTGTAGGTATGGCATGATAGAACTGTAGAGTTAGTTCGTCGCTGACTTGATATTCAATACGTCCTACACGTCCTCTGCGCCTCACGCTCACGCGATACGTCACGAACCGGGATGACAGGCAAGATCCCGCGCGTGCAGACAGCAGCTGAGCGATTGGTTGGACTCGGATGCGCCTGGCCGGTACCTCGCAGTATCATCAAGCGTGCTCGTCAGCCATAACATCCTCGGAATGTCGCAAGTTTTGAAACCTTCGAGAAAATCGAAAAGACTTTCTCCAGATGAAGTGTCAACTGAACAGAGTTTGGGGACGATTGGGCGCCGTTGATAACCGTACCGAAGAAACCGAGTCGCACTTCCCCAAACAGTCCTAGACACAACCGCTAGCCTCTGGTGCATCTCATTCTCGTGAAGTTACCGGTACTCCTCTCGGGGCAGAAGTGCTACTGAAACTGAGCGTGTATCCTGGCAATGCTCCCTGAAGCCGAGCGCGAGGAAGAAACATGGCAGGCCAGGAAGGGAACAACGGCGAAGAACTGACCTTCGTCGTCACGACCAACCCCTTCGACAGGAGCACCGCGGCTAACAAGCGGCGTGTGCGATCGGTGGCGGCGCTCAGATCGTGGCCTGAGAGACGCAAGAAGACGTTCGAGAATGTCGACCAAACCGGCAGCCAGGGCGGTTTTGTACTGGATCTTCCGGAGTCGAGCAGGCCGAAGAGTGCGAAGAGGAAACGCACCATCGCCGAGACTACGACTACAACTACTTCGACTGCTGCGCGGGAACTGGTAGAACCTCGCCAAGACGACGAGGAACCGCTGTTCGAGGCGTGCACTCGAGCGAAGAATGAGTGGTGTAATTGCATTCATTGTCAGGCTGAACGGACGTATCTGTTCGGCCGTGCGGAGGCCAAAGCAAAGGATGTTGCTGAACTGGAACCGGAACCATCGCCTAAGCATCGCAAAACGGCGGACGATGGAGAGACGTAGGATCCTAGGCGGTGGGCAGATGTTGCCATGACTACTCTTCATACTTCGACCGGTTTGGCTATACCGCCTCTCACCTGGTTTATGCCGATCCATCAGTGAGATGGGGTGGCTACGCGGAGCCGGACGCATCGCAATTTCGTGCCTGAGCACACGACCATAAAGCAACAAGCTACTCTCTGGAGCAAGTTGTTCCCACAGAGAGCCAAGGATTGCTGGATAGGATTAAGATCTATAAACTTCTATAGTCGGGATCGACCTAATCGCCTGCAACACGAGCTCCACCCCCTTTCCAACGCTTCTGGGGGGCGGCATCTCTAGGCATTATCGCTGGCTCAATCATCCAGCAGCTGCACCTTGATAGCCTTAGCAGCAGGCGTCGAAGCGGCCTCGAAAGCCTCCTGCGCTTGCTCCAGCGTGAAGCGATGCGTCACCAGCGGCTTCAGATCAATCAGGCCCTCCGAGACAAGCGAGATGGCTCTTGGATACGTCTCCATGTACCGGAACTGGAAGCGGATGTCGATCTCGCGGAAGGAGGCGTGCATGAAAGGGTACCGCTGCATGCTTTTGCTGCCGACACCGACGATGAAAACTGTGCCGCCGAATCTGGTGGCCTGGGATGAAGTCAGCAGTCTTGTCGAAGGGGAGGATGTGGCACGCTACTCACATATACTGCCGAGTGAATGGAGCTCTCGACGCCAGTGCACTCTATCACGAGCTTTGCTTCTTGACCTAGAGCGGTCTTGATGTCCAATGCAATGTCTTCGGCACTCTTCTCCATCTCAACCTTCACAGTCCTCACCCTCGGGACCAGCGACTTCGCCACCTTCAGCCGACTTTCATCCAAATCCGTAATGACAATCGGAGCGGCTCCCGCCGCATTCGCGGCAAGCAACGTAACAATCCCGATCGGTCCGGCACCACAAATCACCAGCGGGTCTCCGAGACGAAGTCCAGATCGCTCGATCCCGGCAAGAGCTACCGACAGCGGCTCCAGCAGGGCTCCCTCTTCGTACGAGATATTGTCCGGTATGCGATGGAGCCAGGCTTCGTTGTGAGCGTGGTAGCGTCGGAGTGTGCCGTCGACTGGCGGGGAGGAGTAGAAGATCATGTTCGGGCATCCATTGTAGCGGCCTGTGCGGCAGAAGTCGCAGGTTGGTTTGGAGCAGGGGATGCCTGCTTCGATGGCGACGCGGTCGCCTAGGTTTCTCTATTAGACGAGAACAAGGTGTTATTGTTGTGGAGTTTACGAACCAACTTTGAGCCCCTGAACATTGCTTCCAGTCTTCACTACTACGCCAGCACTTTCATGTCCTAACCCGCAGTCTTTCGTGATGACTGAGTCGCCAATGTTGCCGTGTTTCCAGAAATGTACATCACTCCCGCAAATGCCTGTAGCTCTGACATGGACAAGGCACTGTTCCGGCCCTGGTTCGGGGACGTCTGACGAGAGAACCTTAAGCTCGTGAGCTGGGTTGGTGGCGACGGCGAGGTTCGTTGGCTTGCGGGTGAGGACTTCTGTTACAGAAGACATGGTTGAGTATGGAGAGATGGAATGATGTTGAAAGGGGATCGTTCTTTTATGGACTTTGAGGCCTACGTATGGACTTAAAATTCGGCGGTGATGGTCGATCAGAGAGCTCTGCGGAGCTTGGTTGAAGACACCGAGCGCGGTGGTCTCTTCATCAAGTACCTTGTGATAGTAAACCACAGCTTCGATCTCAACAATCGTCTCTTCCTCATCCTTTAGCACGACCGCCCAATGATATGTCGGACCTCTGATGGAATTCGAAGGACTCCGAATGTAGATCTCGCCATTCACGACGGAGTTGCTTGTGATCGTGACCGCTTTCACTGAGATTGAACTCCGAATCGTTGCGAGCGTCTTCTCGACCGCAGGTGTACTTCAAACTTCTCGTACGCCTATCAAACTTCTCGACGCTTTGGACTCTTGTCTTCTTCGAGAATGCTTCAATCTGCCTCAAGTGCAGTCTGCTCTGTGTTCTGCAATGCCGCTGTCCCCGTGGCAGCATCCGCCCAGACTTTGCTCTCCACCTACCAATCTCCGCCTGACAACAGACCGGCGTACCACCCAAACCTCCCGTGGTCGCACTGAATGCCATGAACATGTTCTGGAAGACCAAATACAGATTTCGCAGAATCCGACCATCCCCGTCGACAAACAGAATGGCGACATCTTCACCTTCGACCCAGCCACACGATCTTCCCGCTCTTCCTGCCACGCGAAAGTAGATCTCGGTATACTGCCCGCTCATTGGATCGATTAGGAAACCTTGCTGTGCAGATCAAGCCACCCTTGTCGATATCACCGCCTTGCCCGTTCCCTACCTGCCTGCCCCAGTGCGACGTGAAACACTTTGATCGCCAGCAAGGCTGCGAAGCCGAAGCTGCCAGACCTCTTCCATTCTCACCTCACCTCCTTCATCACCATTGCCATCCATTGCAAACAGTCGTTAAACCATCAAACAGCCCCGCCTCGCTCGGAGTGGGTGGACGGGAGAGCAGGTAATTAGAAGAAGCTCTTAGCGTGCTGCCACACCACCAAGATCCGTGCTCGCCTCTTCCAACTTCAGAGCCGCTCACGTCGCCCTTTCGAACTTCTTCGACCCATTGCTGCAACACTGAGCTGGATCCTCAGCGACATCAGGCGCTTGCGTCCATTCGTTTGAGGCATTCCGTCCATTTCTGAGGTGCTCTTCAGCGGCCTGATACACCAACACCAGCCACACGGTCCTACGGCGAGACGCGACACCCCCGGGCGAGCTCCTCTGATCGCGCACGATGCCTTCGACGCAGTACGGGAAGTTCTATGAGCTCTGCAGGAATACGGGCAACCTGAGGTCAACACTGCCCGTGTGCAATCTGTTCTACGAGTCTCCGTCAAGAAGGGGTGGAGGCTTTGGTGATGGCTGTAATCTGACGGGCATACCATTGAACGGGGGCGACGAGCGTCTGGCCAATTTGGGTACGACACAATACATAAGGGCACTGGTGGGCGTATACTGACAGCGAGACAGGCTCCATACTGATCGCGTTCTTCGCGATACTCACCTCACTCGTTCTAATATGGAGGTCGGAGCGTAAGAGGGCTGCTGTGGGCCGGAGGTATGTTACACACGCGCAACGGCAGCAGCAGATGGCCAGCAGCTGACATCAAGCACAGAGAGATGCAAATCTTCCTCCTCGGCTACATCGTCATCTCCATCTGCGAAATCTTCACCATCGGCTGGTTCCCGCTCGACGGCGCGATACGACGAGGCTTCGCGGCGGTACACATTGCGACCATAATAGCCACGCTCTGGATCCTGATGATGAACGGCGCCGTGGGATACCAGCTGATCGATGACGGCACTCCACTATCGCTAGGACTGATCTTCGGATCTGCGGCATTGCTTTTTGTTGGAACTGGTTACATCGCACTTGACACTGGTTTCAGCTTCACCAACTACTGGAAGGACACGTTGAGTCAGCCAAATCAGGCTTACGCACTGTACACGCTCTACCAGCTAGTGCCATTGGTCTTCCTCGTGGTGTTCTTCATTCTGGAAGCCGTGCTGGTGCTGCGGGTGCTGGGCGAGACAAAACCGATGAGTGCGTAATGCCACATTCGCAAGCTTTCAAACACTGTTTTGCTAATATGTTCTCACAGTCTACCTCGTCGTCGCCGCCCTCCTCTTCGCCATCGGCCAGATCTTCCAATATGTCATCAGCCGATTCATCTGCAATGGCACCAACGGCGCGATCAACGGTGGCCTCTTCGAGACCGGCTTCAACCTCGCCGCTGTCATCACGATATGGATCTTCTGGTCCAGCATTACGGAGGACGACTGGCCGATGCCACCTCCGGGTGGAAGCACGTACACCTAAAGCGGGTTGTGAGTTGTCTATTATTGGGCGCGGGTAATATTAAGCCTTCCGGACCTTCGATTAGGTTACGTGGGATATGGGGCGGCTTGGACGCTCACTGGGTATGAGCTATGAGGATTCTTGTTATGCATGAGTAGCGACGGAGCTTTTCGTGGGTCTGTACATGGGAAGATACCACGGGATTTTAGATAGTAATTGACTTTTGTGCGAAGCACAAAACCAGTGGCTATTGCCCCATTGCAGATGCCCGCCGGGAGGCGGCCGTCAGGCGGACCTGGACGGGGCTACTATTTCTTGCGCGAAGCGCAACCATTCCATTCTCGATCCGCGAAGCGGTGAGAGGTACACAACAACAAAACCTTTATACGACGTGTCCACAACGACCCGACGTTGACGTTCCGCGCGTAACAACGCTGAGACGACGGCCGCCCGATACACTCTACGTACTTCTGCCAGCTAATAAGCGCGCCCCAAACGCAGTAGAGGTGAGCGTATATTAACAGCGGTGACGCCAGGTCGACGGACGACACCCCAAGACCGCACATGGCAGGACTTTCATCAGAACTTTCATTCATCAGGACTTTCATCTCAACCATTTTACCTCTATCATTGTTTTCATTACTCGTCATCTCGACAAGTGTATACACGTGTGTAGCGTCAAAATGATAGGAAAAGTCAACGTAGCTGGAATCGTTGAACATGTGCTATCAAGAACACATGCCCAACATCAATACCACAAACATGTAACGACCCACATACTCGAATCTGGGGAAGACGACGACAACGCCGAGACGACGACGACGACGACGGCGGCGTCGGCGACATGCTTTGCCGTACTGCTACTACTTTCGAGGAAGGAGCAAAGGGCAGCGAAGCGACGACACTGGGATGACTGCCTACTCACCCACCTGCTCCTTCCTCGCACGGGAAGCGCGCCGGGGGAAAACCCTCTCCTCGCTGCCGTCGCCGCTTACCCAACACTGACACGACCTCCTCTTTCTCTCTTACACACTCAACACCGGCTTGTACCTTCACCGGCAAGACGCCTACACGACGGTACCGGCCCGACGACACCCCCACCATGGCACCCTCCTTCAACGCACAGGAGTACTGCTCGTCGGATGTAGAGCCCGACGAGCCAGCGCCGCCTACACGACTAAGCAAGGCCGGCGGACAACGCTCGATCGAGAACATGGTGGCGAATGCAGAAGCGTACCGCAACGCCTCCAAGACTAAGATCAGACGCCTCGAATTCGGCTCAGGGTCGCCTTTAGTGCAGGAGAGACAATCACTGTACGATTTGAGAACCCCGACTCCCTTCACTCTCTTGCTCTACAGCTATTGACTACGACTGGCTTCATTAGATGGATCAACCGCTTCAACCGCCACCGGACCGACGTCCTCGGCCAGTCCGACGACGTTCCCTTTACATGTCACGAGGTGATACGCTTTCTCGACACCATCCTTCAGGCGATAGTGCGGCAGCGTGACAAGCCTGCTCTTAGCCATCAGACCATCTGGCAGGGCATTGCCGTCATCATCGCCTACGGAACTTGGAAGTGGCGCAACTTCGACTTCGGCCCGTACGACGCCGCGCGAGTGAAGCAGTCGATCCAGCAAAGCATCGACAGCGGCATTTTGATGAAGGGGGCATTCCGCGAACGAGCGTCCCTCGGCTTCGCAACGCTCTCCCGCCTGGTCCGCAACTACCTACAGCATGTCATGGACCGCGGGACTGGCAACTACGACCATGTCATCAACCGCACCCTCGCAGTCGTGCTTCAGTCGGCACTGGCCTGCCGGAGCGGCGACATCGCCGTAAGCAAAGGCTACAGCGACCGGTACTGTCTCCGCTTCGAACATGTCGAGCTGTTCCTTCTTCCGCCCCCAGACGACGAAGATCCCACGACCGCCAGCAGCCTTCAGCATCTCCGCGCCATCTTCACGCTCGCATACACCAAGTGTCACAAGAACGAGCATGGGAGAGCAAGGAAGATGCACCTCCAGCCCCTCCTCGCGGCGGGCTGCCACCATCTCTGTCCCGTCCTTCTCCTCCTCATCGACGGCCTTCGTCGTGGCCTGTTCGAGGGGGGGAACACGATGCAGGCGGTGCTCGACCACGCTGCTGCAACAACACGACGTCAGATCGTGTGGAAGGATCCGCAGCTTCCCGTCTTGCTAGGCACCACCCCCGACGGCAAGCCGGCAGGCGAGGCTCTCGCCCGCCTCACGCTCAAGGAGATGGGCCTGGTTTCCGGTGTGCTCTCCCGCGTCACTACGCATGCCTTGCGACGGGGCACCATCAGAGACATGACGGCGATGCAGCGAGCGGATCGCAAGAACTACGGCCCCGAGGACATGCGCCGTCAACTCGGCCACAACCTCAGAGCGATGGCGAACGGGGTGACGGACGGCTACATCCCCGACACAGAGGCCGACCTTCACTCTCAGCGCGCCGACGTCCAACCGACCTTCCAACGGGACTTGCTCTTCGCAGCTCCCGGGGGCGTGGATGTCTATGCTACTGTCAAAGCAAAGGTCCCCGAAGCCGAGCGGAGCCAATACGTCGACGCCGACACAACGGTGAGCCGGCTCACGGCGACCCGGCTGGTACGAGCGGACCGCCTGGTTGCACTCGCTTCCAGCGCACCGACAGAGCCACGACAACGCCCCAGCAAGCGCAAGGCTGAAGCAATGCAGATGCCATCGCCTCTACCGCCGCCTTCGCAACCAGCTCGCAACACTCGGACGCCCCTGCGCCAGCTCGCCCCCAACTCATCATACCGGGCGGACAGCAATGGCAACGATGCACCAGCCGAGACCCCGACCGCCTCTTGGGAACATACCGGCGACGGAAGTCCTACCAAGTTCCCGCGCCACCTTCTCGACCCCGCCCTGCGCGGCGACGGAGGTCATGCCCAGCCACCACGCCACGTTCCCGACCCTGCCTTACGCGGCGACGACGACGACGTCGCCGGCAACGACGAGCAGGATGAGGAGGACGACCCGGTCTTAGAGGTCGATCTCGATCGCCTAGAGAAGGAAGTGTTCGCACGCCAGGACGACGGCGAGGCGACTGCTCTAGAAACGACGGTGGTCGCTTCCGACTCCCTCCCGCCACTCCATATACTGCCAACCGACATCGAGGGCCCTGAGCACGACCAGGTGGCCGAGCTTTTGGCGACAGAGGCACAGGACGGCACGACTCTTCAACAGCGCGCAGACGACTCTGCAATGGCATTCATCGACGCCCACTCCCGCTACAACACAGTCCAGAACGAAGCTTTCGCGAGGGCGTGGGGCCGTGGCGACGCCGCCGCCATGGCAGCGCTTAGTGTGCGAGGGAACTCTAGAGACGAGCCAACGCCTTTCTTACACAAGTGTTCAGTCTCGACGGCGTGCCCCTACGCGAATATCAGGCACGACCGGGTGCGGGAGCACGAGGCGAGCTGCAACGTCGACCGCGCAACATTGGTCGGCAACCTTGCTACATTATGGGAGCAGCGGTTGGCCTCCATGTCTGCCGACGAGCTGAAGGCACGGACGTGCACCATCGGAGATTGTACCTACGTCGACAAGGAGGAAGGTGGCTGGACGCCGCCGGTCGAAGGAGAGCCAGGCAAGACGCCCAAGGTCGACGGCAGCAAGCGCCCGGCCGGTCAAGAGAAGACCGCGAGACTGGTACAGCACCAACGAGTCAACCACGGCTTCGAACCAACCACCTGCGGCCTATGTGACTCGCCTGAGATCTTCAAAAGCAACTCATCACTACAGCTGCACCGTCGGCGATGCCAATCCCCGGGTTCCTGGCCGGCCCTCTGCCGCTACCCCGACTGCGACACCACGACAACATTCGACACAGAACGTCAGTTGAAAAGGCATCTGGCGACCGCCCACGACGTCCGCAGCCCCGACGGCCATCAGTACCTTCCCCCCTTAATGGAGAAGGTCTTCGTCCCACGACAGTGTTGGATGGAGGACTGTCAGTTCGACCTGAAGGCTTGGAAGAGCGCCATCGCACACCTCCAAAACAAACATAGGCTCAGCTATCTGGACGCAACACAGGCCGCAAACGCCAACTTGGCGCCCTCTCTCCAGCCCAAAGCGCGTCGAGCGATCAGCGCCGCCGCCGCCGCGCAAGTGCAAGCGAAGAGGGAGGTTACGCGCAGACTTCGCGGAAACTAGTTCCGAACATACTTGAGCGTTTTGACGGCATTTCCATTCATCTCTACACCTAGCTGACTTCCGACCGACAATCATGGCTGAATGGACGGACTTTGCTTTTGCGAGAGTATGTCGAGTGTACTTTTTAGTTTACTGTAGTAACGTGATTTACCCCAACGACCCTGCTTCAACTCCCGCCTGTTGACTATGCAAATTCTGTCTCCTCCCGTATCTAAAAATCATCGGCTAGACGATCAGTGCGCGGCATTGGCAGAACTACAACGAGCGACCGGACGACAAGCGGGACGGGGCTAGAAACTCTAACTCGACCGCACCTAGACGACAGCCTAACGATGTTACTCCTATAGTAGAAGCACAGATGATGGTCCTGTTCTACTACTTTGCTATACACGAAGACGACAGGCCCACGGTAGAGGACTAAAGATGTCAAGACATAGTACTTGTCACAACGGCGTCTGGACAAGACGAAGACTTTGAGAACTCGGCCGCGCGACATCTCCAACCGGACTGGAACGCCTCGATAGCGACCTGTTCCTCTCGCCAGGTTGTTGCATAACCGTATAGCTACTGGACTAGCGATCACCATCTTGCTACGCTGCTAATACAGACGAGCAACATCGTTCCCGCACGCTCGAGGCATACTGCGACGTTGTACTATCACCGCAACCACGGCAACGCTACGAGCGGGTGTCCTAGGCCGACCACTCAGAAGCGCCAGAGCGACAACGAGTATACAGTAGGATTCCGCGGTATGCTACCCTATACGGCTTGTTGACGACGAGGCTTCGACGGCCAAGGTACTTCTTATGGAAGAGCACCGACGGCGATGGTACCCCAGTCGGGTCGCCGAAATCATCACTGTCGGAGATCAAAGACACGGAAACGACGGCGGGACGACGACAGGAACCTTTACTCAAACCGCTCCTAAGCTTCGTGTGAGCTTCACTTGGGGCATAACGTGCCGCCAAGCCTTCATCAAGTTCAATCAAATTCAACTAATTAATTCCATCAATTTGGACGCCGAGATTTCTCCTTCCTTCACTTGCGAGCCAGATTTCCTTCATCACAGCTTCATAGAAGGCGCTCTTTCCACATTCAGACGTCCGTGCGTGGCCATCACACGACCAGCAGTAGGCGTATATACCTCAGCTTTCCGCCTTTCTGCAACCTTCAACCACGACACAACGACTCCTTCACCACGACTTCACCTACCTTGACCTCACTACGACATCAGCAACACGACAACCAGACCCAGCAAACCTCTAACAAACGATCCAACGACAACATGAATACGAACATGACTATGAACCCGACGGCGCCAGCACCGGACCCAGCAGGTGACCTCATCGCCGCTGCAACCCGGCACAACATGCAGCTCAAGCCCTACGACGACACTACTGCGGCAGGCAGATCCGCCTGGACTCGCCGCATCAAAGACACGGCTGACACAATCGCCAAACGCCACAACGACCCTGTGTCATTCTGCACCAACGCTAGCAAGACGCTCTCGACCCACAAATTTGAGCCAGGCCAACGCGGCAGTGGGCCCGAGAACACCCGGTACATTCTCGACATTCTCCGCCTTCAAGACGGCATCTGGGCGGCGATCGAGGCGGAGCGGGTGGTGAATAAGAAGCGTGCTAAGCTTCCAGCGCGGTTCGTCACAGCGGCGAAGAGTATTGAGCTAGGCACGAAGCCGAACGACCTCAAGACTTACCTGTCGGATCTGAAGAAATTCATCTACAAGTATTACAACGGTGCCACGACGACGACTAGGAAGCGCAAGGCCGCCGGCGAGGACGACAAACCCGCGAAGAAGAGCAAGGCCTCCGGCGAGAAAGCGCCACTCGTGAAGCGGGGCAAGGCATCAGGCTTCACCCTAAGCAACGGCAGCACGACGGCCCACCAGCAGCTCAACCCGTACGGTAACGACGGGGACGACGAAGGTGCGACGGAAGGGGTGGATGATCTCTTTGGAAACTCATTCCAGGAGCGCCATCCTTCACCAGCCTCTGAGGAAGAAGGAACGCCTGCACCACGCCACGAAGACGGGAGCTTCGCATTAGACGACGGGCAGGTGACGCCACCCCGCCGCCGCCTTCCCTTCCCCGAGCAGCCGAGAGCGCGCGGAGGCAAGCAGGGCAAGAAGATCAAGCAGGAATTAGACGACCAGGGCCGCCCTAAGCTCGGCGGAGCAGAACTCGCGCTGTTGACGTTCCAGCTACGGCAGAACGACGCTTATGAGAAGATGGAATACGACGCCAGGATGATTGAGCTCTGCAAGCAGTACGACATGCACAACTTCCCGAAGATCATGACCGAGGTGATCTTGACCGCGGAAGAAGTCGCGACCAGGAAGGCGGACTTGGGAGCACGGAAGAAGCGCGAGGCTGCGCAGGCGGAAGTAGAGAGGAAGCGCCAGGCTGTCGCCGACGCGGAGACTCGCAAGAAGGATCGCGACCTCATCGAATCGCTCCAGAATGAATTCGCTGCGAAGAACGACGCTAGCAGGACGCCGGTGGACTCAATTCAGAACGAAACCGCTGCGAAGAACGACGCCAGCACGACGCCGGTGGACTCAATTCAGAACGAAATCGCTGCGAAGAACGACGCCAGCATGACGCTGGCGGACTCATATGAGTTGGATGGCGATCACTTCCATGCGATGCACGAACGGCTCTTCGAGAAGATGCGCAACGAATTCCCGAGGGGCAACGCCGGCACGACGTTACGAGCACAGGGAGAGACCGGTGACGGGCCTCAGCAGGCACAGCGGAAGGACGAGAACGAGACTTTTGCGTCTCGGCAGGAGATGCAGCAATCCCAGAGCGCAGATGGTGCGGAGAAGCAGGCGCTTGTGACGGCCAACGCCGCCGCGACGACGGCCGACGGGCAGGCTATGACGGAGAAGGGGGAGATTGGATCGGGGGAGGCGACGGAGGGCAAGAAGATTGGAGCGCGGGAGAACGACGAGCAGACGGCGGAAGACGAGGCCAACACCACCAAGATGTAGCCTCTGCTGCCCGAGGACGACGATGTGGACCTTTCAATCTCTCCAACGAAGGATCTCAATGACGGAACTACGACGCCAGCCCAACTTTAACAGTGGCGAGGTCTCAACGGTAGTATCGCGGCAGCCAGACATCGACAGCCATTCTTCAACACTGGCACGACGGCATGCGGACTTCCAAGCTGCATTCATATTTCAGCACTCACATTTCCAGCACGACTGCGGCAGCCATTCTTCAACACTGGCACGACGGCATGCGGACTTTCAGCATTCACATTTCTTCACATTTCAGCACGACTGCGACAGCATACCAGCATTTATACCTCTACTCGGCATTCATACTTTGACAGTCCTACGAGGACGGCCCGACTTCAACACGACGGCCAGAGTGCAACACGGCAACCAGCTTCAACACGGCAGCCCGACTTCAGCTCAGCATCCATACTTCAACAGCCCCATGACGATGGCCGGACTTCAACACGACGGCATCTATGCTTTATGATAACCATCTCGAGAACCCAGCCAGCATCTTAATGACATTAGCACAACGGCGGAAGCGGCCACATCATTAATTCAGATAGCAAACCCAAATGAATACTTGAAAATTACCTTATGTTCGTCTCTGAATGCAGGTCGCTTATGTAGTTTCCCACAAACAGGGCATCGCAGTCGGTCGTCTTGCGGACGGAGACTCTCTGCGCTGTCTTTCTAATCACTGGTACGCACGTCTGTCCTATAGCGAAGCATACTCGGCAAACTTGTGGCACTCTTATAGCTGCCATAATCTAGACAGGTGTGGGAGAGCGTGCCGGCAATCTCTTGGCTCGGACTTCACCTCGTCCCTCGCACAACACAGGCACGTGCACACGCTCGCACAAATGCCGGCATGGCGACCAAGTCTCAGTCAATGTTAGTCGAGGACTCAGACAACGAATCTATCAACACAATCACGACTGAGGAGGACGCGTACGACAGCGAGCAGGAATTCGACGTCGAGCGCATCTTAGCAGAGAAATGGCAGGAGAAGACCGATGAAGATGACGAGGACGGAGAGGCTACTGAGGATGGGACGGCTGGTCGAGCTGGTCGGTGGTACTATCTGATCAAATGGGAGGGTATGTTTGCCCTAAAGTCCACCAGTAGTCGCTGTCGTTAACGTTGTTGTACCGCAGGCTATCCACTGTACGATGCTACGTGGGAAGGTGAACACAAGATCACACACCGAGAGATTCTGGACCACTGGGAAGAGTGCAAGCGGAACGCAGAGCTGCCTGGAGGCGAACCGCTCTTCGACGTCCTCCAATGGCAGGAAGCCTGGGAGGACCACCAGGAAGATTTAGCCAGAAAGGCTCGCCTTCGAGAAGCTAAAAGGAGGAAGCGTGTCCAGATCGTGCCTGATGATGAGGGATCAGGTTCTGACGACGAACTTCCCACCACTGCAGGCTCGAAGCGCAAGCGAGTATCGGTGACTTCGCTTCCCAAACGCAAAGGATTCTTCGCTCAGACTATCCCGTCGCCTCGCAAGCGTCAGGCGGTCATCGTAAGCAGCCAGGGTTCTGACGTTGACTCTCTCTTCGGAGAGCCGAAACAACAACCCACCAGTGGTAAAGGAATAAAGGCTCCTGCCGCACCATCATCGTCAAGGGCTGGCGACAGCAGTGCAGTGACTTCGCGACCGAAGGGCAAGGCTACCGCTCTCCCAGCTTCCAGCAAGCCGGTTGATACGCCTACCGCGAAGCCGAAACCTACCGTGACTGCAGCCAGAAAGTCGGCACCATCAGCTCCCATAGCTACTGCAAAGCGGACCAAGAACGTCTTTACGAATAACAACCCCACAAACGTGCTTAGACGGAAGCAGTACTCTAAAGTGAATGTTGAGATGCCTAAAGACTCTGTCGATACGAAATTCAGGAACCTTTCGACGCAAAACAGATACCAGAAGGGCGGCAGGACCGAGCCCGTCCCTGACATCAACGCACTTACCATGGTGGATCCAAAAACCGGCAAGACCCAGCAACCCGCTGCTACGTCTACGAGAGCTACAGTTCCGATTCACAGCGCTTATCGGAGAAGGACACCACCCCAAGCGACCAGACGTCGCTCTCGCTCGCGCTCTAATAGTCCGGTCAGGCCTGGAGCGAGACAGCCTGAATCATCCGGTACTGGAGCCAATAGCACAACAATCGGTGGCAGAGCTGGGGATGGACCTGTTGGCAGCGTTGCGCCGATCGGCACGAGGAACCAGACATGTACGCACTGGCAGACAGGTACTTGCCAGTACACCGCAGACAGATGCCCATACGACCACCAATATATAGAGAAGAAGCTCACATGCTTCTTCTGGCGAAGAGAGGGCAACTGCAGGAAGGGAGATTCCTGCAAATTCGCGCACGAAGACACCGGAGATTATGCTCCCCCACCGCCCGGCTACAACACCAGAGTCGATCGCGGTATTGAGCCCAGAGAGGAGGTGATGCAGAGACCGAAGGACGAACCCATCGCAGCTTCACCTGCGTTCGAGGTCGGGAAACGTGGTACGACGTGTTATTTTTGGAGAACCACTGGAAGTTGCCGGATGGGAAATCAGTGCGAGTTCGCTCATCACGATACTGGAATTCATGCAGGTCCACCCGGGTCTTTCCGCAGCAGGGTGCCATCTGATCCTAATCTCAGTGGGCTTGGATTTGTTGACGTTGTTGGTCAGCGCCCGCCTGACGCTCAAATGGAGACCGCCCGTCCACCGCCACCGCCTGCTGCTCAGATGTACTCAGCTCCTCCTCCACCCGGCACCGCCCACCCCGACGACGCTCCTCTTCCTCCCCCGCCACCTCCTCCTGCCACGATACAGCCCATCAAACTGGTGAGCCCGTCTGTTGATCCACGGTTGAGACGTCGGCCATCTTTCAAAACGGACGTCGCACGTCCACCACCGGCTGACATCAGCCACACCACCCCTTCAATGGATGGAGCCTCTGATCTTAATGTGGCTGTCAAGAGTTTGAACGCCGCGAATAGTCCGGGACCTATCACTCCAGGCCCTATCACTCCAGGCCCTAACACCCCAGGTAACAGCGAAGCGGAAGGAAAAGTGGACTGGGAAGCTGGGAGAGTGGACTATGAAGCGTCAAGGCGCGGGGTCAAGACACTGAACCTCACCGAGTTGCTCGATGTCAGTGAAGGTGCGAGCATCGAGGGCGTGTTTTTGCAAATACCACCACTCAAGAGCTCTGAGATGCAACTCCTCGGGTACCGCTTTGCGGAATTCCACTGCAAAGTTTTCTCTTCCCGGACTGAGGGCCATTGGAATTTCTTCAGGTCGAAGTACTCACACTGCTTGGTCGTTCTGCATCCGTCTGAAAACTATCGTCATATACCAGGACTTCAGGGGTTCATCTCGAGGAACTCGATGGCGAAGATCTACTCTATCGGCGTCCAGCATCGCATTTGCACGCTCGAAGGCCGAGAGCCCGTCTATGAAGCACATAGGCTCTTCCCGCATGGCGGTATTACCTTCATCACCGACGATGTCTTCGTCTACTATCCGGAGAAAGCCACACAGATCATCGACAAATTCCTCGAAAAAGCGAAAGCTGCGCCACCAGGAGGACACTTCAGCAAGATCGGCGCGCGACCTGACATTATTTCGTGGGTAATACGTCTTTCGCAGCAGAAGTTCAAGGAGAACCCGGACGACACGCGATACACCTTACTCTTCGATGCCCTGCGCAGACTCTGTCCCATTAAGTATGAGGACGTGGAGAACCTTCCCCATCGATCCGTGCCACTCGATCAAGCGTGGCTGTGGTCCGAGGACGAAGATTCGCATCCAGACTTCAAAGACCAATGGGAGCGCGGCGACGAGGAGGCCGCGACGGAGTACATGGTCAATCTCTTCGCTGGCCACGCTATCCAAAATGCGGCGACGTATCGGAGGTTTATCGTGGTGCATCAGCGGCCCGAGCTGGATAGGGAAGTGGTGGACTCGCAGGGGGCGAAGGAGGTGCAGCAGGAGGCGGATCCGAAGGGGTGGAGGGCGAAGTATTGTCATGTCGGGGTGATGACGGCGGATCAGTATTTGAAGCGGTAGGATGCTGGGGGATGGTTGATTGCTTGCAGGACGATATTGTGGGATCGAGATTATGCATGCCATGTGGTTCATGGTATTAGCTTAGAGATGCAAAAGGCAGCTTACTTAGCCTAACGCGACATCGGAATTCGAACAAGGTTCTAGCCTTTGAGATGGTCATCTGGTGCCATATATCGTGTCTTCCTGTCCCACATCTTTCTCGCCCTAGCACAGCATGAGGTTTTGCGGCGACCGCAGACACATCGACTGAAAAGCTTACCACCTTCGAGCACCATCATTCGCGTACGCGAGGCCTCGTCTCTCGCACTCTTTGCTTTCGAAAGGCAGGCTCAAAGATTCGTTCACTCCATCGTCTTCTTCTCGTGACGTGGGACGGCGTGGCAGCGGGACGGTGGGGCAGCAGAGGTTGAGCGAGGACGGGAGGCATTTCAGTGGTGTGACGGCAGCAGTGTTATGGGAGAAGGATTAGGAGTACCACACAGCTCAACTTCACAGAGGTGAGGACCATGCCTGGCGTCATTGCAGAGCAAGCGCCTGCGAAGGCCCGCAAGCCAACCAAGAATGAGCAGCGTCGAGCGAAGAAGAAGCAGCAGAAGCGAGAGGTGAGCTCACTCCCGCCTTTGTGACACGGATTGAAGGTACTCACCGTTATCCAGGAATCTGCGACACCAGCACCAGAGACACCAGCGGCGACCAACGGGACAGCACCAGCCGAAGACGCCGACGCGAATCACCCTGTGAAGCCTGTCCAGCCGTCACCCAAAGACCCCGAACAAGATGTGCCCGATATCGAAAGTTATGACATCCCCGCCGACGATCCGCTCTTTACGCAGTACGCGAACGTCTTCGCCAAGTTCGAGGACGAAGGCAAGACCGATCCTGCATTCCAAGAGCCCGACAAGCCTGAAGTATACTACGACGACGATGACAACATCCAAGGTGAAGATGAGGAAGAGGAGACACAGCAGCGTTTGTCGAAGAAGGCGCGCAAGGCTGCCAACAAGCTCTCGATTGCTGAGTTGAAGGCCATTGTGAAAAAGCCCGAGACGGTAGAGTGGACCGACACGTCAGCACAAGACCCGAAGCTGCTTGTTAATATCAAGAGCGCGAGGAATGTGGTGCCTGTTCCGAATCACTGGTCATTGAAGAGGGAATACTTGAGCAGCAAGCGCGGTATTGAGAAGGCGGGATTTGCGTTGCCGAAGTTCATCGCTGAGACCGGTATCAGCGACATGCGCGATGCTGTGCTCGAGAAGCAGGCTGAGGCTAGTCTGAAGCAGCGCCAGCGCGAGCGTGTGCAGCCGAAGATGGGAAAGCTCGATATTGACTACCAGAAGCTGTACGAGGCGTTCTTCAGGCGGCAGACGAAGCCTTCGCTCACCGGTTATGGAGAAGTGTACTACGAGGGCAAGGAATTTGAGACAAACTTACGGCATTTGAAGCCTGGTGAGCTGTCAGAGGAGCTGAAGGAGGCGTTGAACATGCCGCCAGGTGCTCCCTCGCCGTGGCTTATCAACCAGCAGAAGATTGGTCCACCGCCTTCCTATCCTGCCCTCAAGATTCCAGGCCTCAATGCGCCGCCACCTGTCGGTGGCCAGTGGGGTTTTCATCCTGGTGGGTGGGGCAAGCCTTCGCTGGATGACCAGGGCAAGCCGATATGGGGTGGCGATGTCTTCGGCGTTGGCAAGACTGACCCGGAGGCTCAAAGGAAGATTGAAGAAGAGAGAGCGCGTGCTCAGGCGGTCGATCGTACATTGTGGGGCGAGCTGCAGCCGCTACAAGAGGAAGAGGAAGAACCTGAGGAAGAGGAGGAAGACGAGGGTGAAGACGAAGGTGAGGGTACGGAAACGCCTTTCAGCCAGACCGAGACGCCGGATCGGATCTACAGCACCGTGCCTACGGAGTTTGGAACGCAAAGCATGGCCGAGGAGTTCAACTTACGCAAGCAGAGGCGTGGGACGGAAACAGAGGAGTCGAATCATCCGCGTGCTGCTGGGCAGGTGTTGCAAGAGCGGAACATCCGCGCGGAGGGTTTCTTTGGTGGCGAGCGCGCATACGATCTCGGCGGCCAGCGCAATCAGTCGAACGTTCCGGTTCTCGGCGAGCGCGACGAACGTGGACGCAAGCGGAAGGCTGGCGATCTGGATGTGAGTATGGATCCGGATGCGTTGGAGAGGGATGATAAGATGAGCAAGGAGCAGGTGCAGCGGCAGTACGAGGCGTCGAGGTCGCAGCAGGGTGGTGGTGGATGGCAAGGAGGTGCAGTGAATCAGGAGGATTTGAGTCAGATGATTGCGGAGGAGAGTGCGAAGAGGCAGAAGAAGGATCGTGAGAAGAACCGGGAGGGCGGGCGCAGGGGGCGGTAGAGGATGGTAGAGAGTGGTTGAAGGAACGTTGTTTCAAGGCGCAGGATCATAAGGAAGGGAAGAAAGTGAAGCGGAACAAGAGTGAGAAGCGGTCGCAGGATACGGGTATTGCTTGTGTCATGACTGTAACATATGGGAGGCACGGGACTTCAGCGACTTCAGCGAGCGCCTGAAAGGACAGGCAAGGCAAAGGCTTTCAAGAGTGGTGAAGTCGAGGAGCTCATCAAGAATTTTGGAGGGTCATGCGTAGCAAGCTGTCTGCACTGGCAGACGAGGTATTCAAGATTTTGAAATCGAGGCCATTGTGACAAGAACATATTCGTGCTGGATTGTCGGAGAACTTGAGGACGCAGAGAGTTCTACAGGCGGTCATGTCGTCGTCGGCGGCCTGGGCACGTGATGCGGAACAGAACAGACGAGCTCAAGCCACCTCCAGCTTTCCTCCTTTGCGCGAGCCGAGATTTTCTATTCCACTCCAACAACACCGCGATACCGATACATTCGTATACGCCTGCGGGCGGGGACCTATCATCATGTATCGTAGACCGGACAACATCCCGGAAGAAGACCGTTTTCAAGGTGGCAGCGGTAAGTGATGCCTCTGAAGTCGATATTTCTCTACAAAAGCTTGAGCTCTGTGACGACGGAACACCAGGTTCTGCGGCAAAAATTCTTCCAACTCTGCACCACTCCTGTAAGGACATCTGCTGACTATGGCTTACTATCCAGGTACGTCTAACAAACCAGTGAAGACCCAGCAGCCATTTGTCATTGCCATTGCCAGCCAGCTCGAGCGGTCAAATGTTTCACGTTTGGAGCGCAGAACTGACATATCTTCCGAATCACTAGGTCAATCCTATCGTCCTGGCGGCGCCGCCCCTCGCGAACGTTCACCACCTCGAGGCGACTCCTACCGAGCTCGATCTCCACGCCGCGACCTAGACTCGTATCGAGGCGGCCGACCACGTAGCCGATCTCCTCCCCCGCGCCGCGATGACTACCGCAGACGCACCCCGTCTCCTCCGCGATATCCTGAGCGCGACACGAGACTAGCTGGAGACAGCTACAGAGGACGCCCTCGTTCACCACCACCGAGCACGAGAAGAGAAGATCTGCCAAGAGATGACTTGTTCAGAAGAGAGCCTGCACGAGATGCGAGAGACTTCAGAGACGTACGTGGAGGCTACAGAGACGAGCGAGGCTATGCTGGTGACAGGGATCGAGGATACGGTGCTGCTCCGCCTGCTGCACGCTCCCCACCTCGAGGGTACAGGGACCGTAGCCCGGTGCCGCTCAAGAGGGTCAGGGAGCCGTCTCCAATAGGTAGCAGAGGCAGGAGATCACCGCCACCGCCGGCAAAGCGTGAGCGTATACAGAGTCCGCCGCGCGGCAGGTATGATGACTACCCACCACCGTCTCGAGCGCAAAGCCCACCCAGACGCCGCTACTCGCCTGACCCTCGCGATCGTGCTCCTTCGCCTCGTGGTGCCCCGCGAGAGTTCCGCGCGCGCTCGAGGTCGCCAGTAGGTAGAGACGCCAGGCCTGATCCAAGAGCAGCCGACGACTGGCGCAGACCTCGCTCTCCCACACCTCCCCGCTACGGACGTCAAGACTACCTCGCTGAAGAGAACGGAAGAGGCTCTGCTCTCACCTCCCGCCACTCTTCGCCCCCAGTGCATCCTAGCAGGCTGCCTCAGCTTGATGAACTTCCAACCAGACCAGCGCCTCGTGATCCGTACGACAGCCGCGAACCGTACCGTGCGCGCGATCCCGAACCACGACTTCCAGCTTCGCCAGCTCCACGCGAGCGTGACTACGCGGACGACCGCATTCCGCCTCCTCGTGAGCCGTACCGCGCAGACGATGCTCCTGCGCCAAGAGCTCCGCCAACTGGCCCAGCTGGATACCGCGCACCCTCTTCCTCCATGGCTCCACCAACCGGACCTTCGGCGGCGCCACCTGCTCGTGCGCACAACTTCCCACCATCCGGTCCAAGATCTGGCGGGCCTCCGCGAGGTGACTTTGGGTCTACTCGTGGTGACTTTGGGTCTGGCAGAGGTGACTTCGGCCCTCCTCGTGGCGACTTCGGTCCACGCGGCCGCGGTGGGTTCAGAGGCAGAGGCGGCTTTGACGGAGCGCCACCCTTCCGCGGCGGCAGAGGTGGAGGTCCTGGCTTTGGCCGTGGCGGGCCCGGCTTCGGTCGTAGCGAGAGCTTCGCAGGTCGCAGTGAAAGCTTCGGCGGCCGCAGTGAGAGTTTCAATCGCAGCGAAAGCTTCGATCGCGACAACGACTTCAACATGAGCAACGCTCCACCTTCTGGCCCAGGCGCAGGCGCAGGTGCAGGTGGACCACCCTCTGGACCTCGCGGCTCCTTCTCAAGCGGCCCACCACCTCAGATGTTCCGTCAGAACAGCAATAGCACCGCTACGACTTACCCGCGCACCCAGCGCTTCGGACCGGGCGGCCAACCACTCCCAGACGAGGACCCACGCACCGGCACCCCAACCGGCCCTCGCGCCTCCCGCACCGAGCGCGTCCACCCCGCCCTCGCCGACCTGCCAACAGCAATTGAAGGCGGCCAGAAAGCCGAATCGCTGGTCAATACCGCAAGGCAGAACAAGCTGATGGAAGAAGCGGACAAATTGCGCAAGCAGATCGATGAGAGGGAAGCGAAGAAGCGGAAGGGACAGAGGGACTGGGATCGCCTGTCGAGGGACACGGAGGCGGCGACATTGCGGAGTCAGTTGGCGGAGGAGTCGTTGAGGAATCTGAGTGGCGAGGCTGAGGGGGCGGCTGCGTTTTAGTAGGACGTATGCGGTGCGCTCGACTTGCTTTGCTTGGACGACTTGATGAGGTGGGTGGATGCGGAAATTGTGCGAGGCGAAAGGATTGCTCGTCGAAAGCAGGTAAAGGGGTGTGGTTGCTACCTTTCAGGGCAACGCTTTGCTGGGGTTGCGGTTGCGAGTGGATGTCCCAATGAGCGTGGAGGCAGATTGTGGAAGAGCTGAAGGCGAGGTGGAAGCTACGGATCAAAGGGTTGGGACTGTGATATGTTCCCATTGGCGACTACCCTACCGTCACTATAGATGCCAGGGAGCTTCATCACATCACAGTGGACAGTCTCACTCTCGTTGCACCAATTCAAGCAAGCTATCACGCGTCGTGCCACTGCCCAAGCACCCACAATGACAGAGACGTGGGAGGTGGAAGAATTAAATGCAATGATGATTGAGGGAGATATACGATACTGCTTGTAGAAATGCTCACGTGCCGTGCTCATTGGTAAAGATGCTCGGAAAATTAGTGCAGTAATCGCTCTTGATGCCTCCTCGTTGTGCCAGACCTGGTGTTGCCGCCTGGTCCTGCTGTCGATGGGCTCGCGTCCTGTGCTCCCAAGCTAAAATATGCTGGACGCTGATGCTGTGATATTCTCCGCTTGATCGTGTGATATGCTGGATGGTGTATCTCCCGCTGTCCGGAAGGTATGATGGGGACTGCCGTGAAGCTAAGATACTCGGTGTAGTGATGCGGTGCCGGAGATGGAATGCTTCGCTTGCTTGCTTGCGATCGTACCATGGCGGAGACGTGATGGCAGCTGGCGCGCGATGCGTAGTGAGGACTGCTGAAGTCGCCTCTGGAAAGCTGAAGTCGCTCAAAGTGCGATTCTGCGCTGTTGCTGGTATGGTCATGCAGGTTGTTGAAGTAGCGCTGCCTGTTGTCATGATATTGCGTCTGACTTGTTGTTGCGGTGGCTTACTAGCCTTGTGGTCGACTGCATGGGTGCGTTTGGTGCGGGCGGTCGGGGTTCGGCGAGGTCTCTCAGTACCCGTACTTCTCGTAGCGATCCCAGCTGTCAACGTACGCCTTGAGCGGGCCGTTGATCTCCGTGAGAGCATCCTTGACAGCCTTCTTGAGATATTCCACGGTCTCAGGATGCTCTTCTTCCACGTCCTCCTCTGGTACGTCGAAACGCTGCTCGAATTCGTTGCAGATGTCTTCGGCCGCCGCCTCGAATGCCGTAGTGAAGGTCTCGGCCTTCCAAGCGTCGATCTTTGCATTGAAGTCGTGCTTGGCCAAGAGAACGATATCCGAGAAGACGCTGGGCTCGTTGCCAGAGCCTGTCAGCTTCTGCCGCACGACTTCGGTTCGTGCTGGGTGAGCTCCGCTCTTCTTGCCTCCCCTGGGCCCCATCACCGGCTCGCTGTTGTGTCTGGAGATGAGGAGGCACTGGTCGTAGGTAGGCTTCATGCTCTGGGCGGAGTACGAGTCGGGCAAGTCCTCCACGAAGGCGTTGCGGATCGCCCCAAACTGCCTGCGCATGTTCTCAAACCACCCGCCAATGTCTGCCATAACGTCATCACAGACGTGCTTGATGTACTCGAAGTACTCCAGATCTCCTTGACGGCCTTGGAAATCTTCGTGATCTAAATTCTATGTCAGCCGCTAGCCGCACTCGCTCCTCGTGGATCAACTTACCCTCAAGAACTGTCTTGAGCTTGCCAAACATGGCTTCAACTCTAGATCCGAGATTGGCCTCAATAAAGTGCAGATTCTTCTCAAACTCGTCAAAGGCTCCATCGATTTTCCCAGTGTAGATGCGCTGAATGAGTTCGTTCCAGGAAATCATGGGCGTTCCTTTGACTGTCCGCCAGTGCCCACCACGACGGCAGAATGCCACGAATGTCATCGCCTTGTACTGTGTATGGGTCAGTAGGAGTACAATCGTCAGTACAGGGGCCATACATACGTGGCTCCAACCTCCTGCTAGGGCCGCAGCGCTCCCTTGAGCCCGCTTCATATCGGCGCCTGTGTCGTGATCAGCAAAGCGTCCTTGGTATTGGAGATCGTGACAAAACGTACGCATCAATGCCAGAATGCCATCCTCAAAACTCTGCTTCAGATCGCTCACAAGGACGTCAACGATCTCGACCCGCTCTTCGAGCAGGACGTCGAGCTTCCTACGCACTGCCTCTTTCCCCTCGAGTGGTGACTTCGTCAGGATACCGTTGATGCCTTTGAAGATCTTGGGAAGACGGGATGTGCAGATCCGGCGTAGCACGTCCGACTTCCCGCGTGAGGGCACCTCGTATAGCCGCTGACGGAGCGCCGGGATACCTGTCGCCTGGACGTCGTGAATCGGTGGCTTCTTCGGATCGTAGCCCGTCAGATGCATACGGTAGTCCTTGTTGGCGACGAAAAAGATTGAAAGATCTGGGGCCTCCGTCGAGCGCTCGATCTTGCGTAGGCGATCCCTAAGCTCTCTCGCGGCCGCCCGGGTTCTCACGGCAATCACCGCCTGCGTGACCTTGTTCTCTGCCAACGCCATCTTCTGCTGCAGATGAAGGAGCTCCGCCGTACTCTGCGCTGCGCTCACTTGCGTGTTGAGAAGCTCCACCGCTTCTTCTGCCTGCTTTATCTGCTCCTTGTCGTCGTCTGCGAGCTCTTCGCGCTCGGTCTCGCCCATGTCGCCTAGCTTGTCGATACCAGTGATGACAAGACAGATATTGTGCGGCTCAACACGCTGCAGAGCTTCCTTGAGATTCGCGTTCAGAGTCTGCTTGGTGTTCACACGGCTGAACTCTTCAACGACGATGACATGACCTGCTATCTTGAGGTAGTTCTTTGTCGCTCCGACAACTGTCTGGTTCTTGTCGTCAACGCCTGGCGTGTCTGCAAGAACAATACCCACGTCCAGTAGCGCGTTCTCCGTGTGAATTCCCACCAATTTGATGATCGGCCATGGATGGGGCCTCGAGTCTGCGTTCGTAGCCACTCGCGACACTTGCCTGAGAGCTGCTGCCAGCTCCTTCACGTTGTGAGCAGGGTGATATTCGGTACCGTTGATGGTCCTCGACTTCTTCACAGCGTCTAGCTCGTGTATGAGCCAGTCCCGGGCGCGCTCTTGCTGGCTAGCACGAGCAGCAAAGTAGTCGTGGGTGTTTGCATCGTTCTCGAATTGGGGGTGGTGGCACAGTATCACACGAAAGTCCGCAATAGCAGTCGCGTACGCAGCCTGGAATGCATCGATGTCTTCGTCATCATCGTCATGTTGCTTCTCCAGATACGCAAAGATGTTGTCGCAGTGGTCCTGGACAAAGGTACTGAGCTCTTTCATTGTCATGTAAACAGCAGCAACGCAGTATCTCGCAACCTGGTCAGCTGGTGGTGCAGAGAACTGGTGAACCAGATTTGTGCCACGGCCTGCAGAGCCGTTCTCGTAGGCGGCGTCACGCTCGTGCAGAAGAGAATTGATGGCTGAAGATTTTCCAACACCGGCGGGACCAAGGAGAGCAACAGGCTTCACAGTCGGGTAGCGTTCTTGCGGACGAATCCACCTGCGCTTCATGCCCTCACAGATTCTCTCGATCCTGTCGTTGGAGAAGCCGTGTGACTGCGCATTGGTGAATTTCGTAAGAAATGCATTGCACAGTGCAGAAGCCAAGCGCTCTGTCTTCGGGAAGTCCTGGTGAAACATGGCATATTGAGGGCGACCTTCGGACTTTGGGTCGTACGGGAGAACTTTGCCTTTCTTGTCGAGGGTTGGCGGAGTCAGGGTGGTGGCTGTATTGGGGCCATTGAGCCGCAACCTCTTGTTTCCTGTGACTTGAATTAGCTTCCAGTCGACAAGCAGCTTACATGACCATTGACATACCCTGAGCTTCATCATAGTCCGCGGGCACAAACAGGGAGTCACGATCCCGCTTTTTACCGCCGCTGATCGCTGGATCGATCATTGTAGTGAAGCCTGGCTGCATCGGAGCGACTGGCAAAACACCATTGCCACGCTGATTGCTGCTGTCCGGGAATGTACGAAGGCCTTGACGGTGCGTCACTTCACCAAAAGTGGGAAGGCCACCAAGTCCGTCGCTGCTGCCCCCATGTCTGGGTTCGAAGTTGGTATGCTGGGTGGTGTTCTGACGCTCGAAGTTGTCGGCCATGCCCTCGTGGTTGGTACCCGAGAGAGGCGGCATCTTGCGAGGAGCTGCTTCTCGTGCAAACTGCAGTGGCAGGCAGCCTGGTGGTAAGGAGGTTGATGCTGTATCAGAAGGGGAGGCTGAGAAGGTTTGAAGACCTGGAAGGAGACCACGAAGGTGTGGTGAGAGAGGAAGGGGTGAGGAGGAAGATGGAAGGTTGGAGGTTGCAAGTCAAAGTTATATATCAAGCCTGTCGACAGCGTTGAGGCCGTGCACCAGCCTCGTGCCAGAACCAGGCAGGTGACATTCCGAATGCGGAAGGGTGTGATATTGGCTTCAGTGCTGTAGCTCCAAGTGAAGCTGTATCTCACCAAATTTGTTAGCTGAGAGCATTCACAGCAGATCGCTGAAGTGAAAGGCTGACCTGAGGAGACTCGGCGGCGGCATTGACATGTGATGGAGTATAGGACTGACGGCATGTGATGGCGGTGTGCGAGCAAGCAGCTGAAAGGAGTGACCACATCGTGGAAGCTGAGAGAACATCAAGTCCGCGCAGAAGACAAGAATGAAATGAAACAGAGATGAAGGTGTGAAGGACATCGCACTGAGACCGCACGTTATCTAGAGCATGTTCTGAGCCATCGTGACATACCGAGTCTGGCACTCGCATGGTGCGGTATCCTAGCAACCTAAGATCCAACCTCCACCTCGTACGCCGAAGACCCGAGTCGCCCAGACCGCGCTGAGACCCGAGAGAACCGAATGATGATTATGGCATGCTGCGACTGAGCGGTGAAGCTGCAGTCCAGACGCCTTGAAGCACACACTAACTTGGACGACCCTGACCCGATATACAAACCCACATCTTCAAGCTCTCCCCCTCTGCACAGTCTTCAGCTGCTGGCTCCCAGTCAGGGTCGTCCATCCAGTTAGGTTTCGCTCTGTCGTCATGGTTGATACTAAGTCGTGTAGTCGTCGCTTGCTGCCGTGAAGTCGCTCAGTTGGGGCAGGCTGCCTGGACGTGGCCGGGCTGCTTGCACTTGTAGCAGACGCGCTCGTTGGTGGCCTCAGCCGGGCAGTCGCGAGAGAGATGGCCGACTTCGCCGCCTGCGATTAAATTAGCATGCAAGAATGAATGTGATGTCAGATGGAACGCACAGTTGTAGCACTTCTGGCCCTGGGTGCAGTCGCGGCTCATGTGACCCCAGCCACCGCACGAGTAGCAGGTCTGCCCGCCACCAGCGCCACCGCCGAAGCCGCCCCTGCCGTAGCCTCCACTGTATCCGCCGCGACCGCCTCCGTAGCCTCCACGACCGCCGCCGTACTCGCCAGCGGTGCAGTTACGAGCGATGTGTCCAATTTGTCCGCACTTGTAGCACTCTTGACCGGATCCTCCTCCAGCACCGAAGCCGCCAGCACGTGGAGCCGAGCCGCTTGGGCACTCGCGGGACATGTGACCAGTTTGGCCGCAGTTGTAGCAAGTCTGTATATTGGTAAGTAGAAGCCTGTTTGTTCTCCAATAGAAAGACCTACCTTCTCCTTGGCCGGCTCGGTGCACTCACGCGAGAGGTGACCGGTCTGGCCGCAGTTGTAGCATGTCTGCGTGCTCAAGTCAGCTCACGCGCTCGAAGGGCTTGTAGAATCAGGATACGTACCGGGCTGCCCTTGCTGGGACAGTCGCGGGCCTGGTGGGTGGTGTCGCCGCCTAAAATGCACTGTCAGAACTGGAATCATGGCGCCGGCGCAGCACAAATAGCGAGCCACCGCATTCGGAAGTAGCAGACAGGTACAGCACGAGTGACAACGTGCGGTTCCATCATGGTAGGCCCACTTGCCGTAAGGGTGACGAAGGAAGGGACTCACAGTTGTAGCACGCGCGCGCGCCGCCGGCCTGCTGGTAGTCCATGTTGTTGATTGGTTCGTGGTACGTTGATGGACTTGTCGTCGGTCCTTCGATGTGGTGAAGTTGTTACGAGGTTGTTGTTGTGGGTTTTGTTGCAGAGTCTGTGAGAGAAAAGAAATCAGCAAAAGAGGCGTCGTTTGGCTAGAATTTCGAGCACCCCACATTGATGACGAATTGGGTCTAGACTGCCGCGGGTGATGTTGCTTCGGTCCCGGTGGGAAACGGGACGACGGCGACTGTTGTGACGAGTGACGATGAGATTGTTGGACAAGGGTGTGGGATGAGATAACGTGTATTCGGCTTTCTGAGAGTGCCTTCTTATGAGCTGAAAGCCTGTGTTGCTGCTTTCATATGGACCGGATGTCAGTTGAGCTAGTGAACCCTGGACGAGCACGTGGCTTTTGCTTATGCTCCAGCTGAACCACGGCGAGAATGAAAGCAGGAGGGTCACTTGAGTGAAGTTAAGTCGACGTCTAGATTCTTGATCTATATAGCTCGTATCACGTAAAATCATAAACCACCAAAGCTTGCCGACCCTGGCTCTGCTCCTTCAAGACCACCACGTTCTCTTCATCAAAACCAATCCACCCTCGAGTGAGAGTAAGCTCAGAAGCCTCAGCTTCCTCTCCATCTTTAGTATTGACCAGGTCAAGCCCAGCTTGAGACGACTCTGGTGGAGGTCGCTTCGCAGGCCGTAGCTGCACGCTCAAATCTCCAGTCGCAAGCCGTCGTTTGGCCGCAGAGGAAGCAAAGCCACCTTCAAGCTCCCAGATGCGCAACTCATCGCCCCGTCGGCTAACCGAGACGGCTTTACCACGCCCGCCTACGTGTGCACCAGAGACTGAGGACGTGTGGCCCCACAGTCGGCTGCCGGCGCTGATCGACAAAGCCTCCGCTGTCGAGTTCACAAGGTACAGCGTCAGCGTGTTGTCTGGGTGAGAAACGAGCAGATACGGGTGAGTATACGAGAGGGACGTCGGTTTAGTGTGGATATGTCGTAGCTCAGTGGCAGTTGAGGTTGCCAAAGCGCCTATCGCCGGGCCGGGCAGATGGTGAAGCATCGGCGGGGATGCAAATGCCAGTGACCGGTAGTGTTGGTCAATGGCAGATGCAAGGCGGGATTCGAGCAGTTTGCCGGTCTCGTCGATGCGAACCTCCTGTATGCCGACTGTCCAGCCAGAGAGGTACGTAGGCATCGAGTAGGCTATCGACACCACGATTCCTGACTCGTTAGTTCGCAATGATGTCGACAACGGCGGAAGGACGGTCCGAGATCGTAGCGAGTGCAGTAATCGAGGAGGATCCAGCATTTTGGTATTTGAGTCGTCTTCAGAGGATGATCTGAAGCTGTAGATGGACAGTAGCTGCGTAGCTGTCATTGTCACTGCATATGGCCAGACCAGAGTCACTACCGATATGACGCCGTTGCTGGAGGCTTCGTGCTGGTACATGCTTGTGAATTGTCCAGCTTTTGAGTCCAGGTAAAAGAGTCCGAACGCTCCATTCTCGAATCCAATGATCAATCTTGATGTGCTGCCTTCGCCGCCGGTTGTATCCACAGCAAGAGAAGTTGGTGGTCCGTGGCGGCTGTTTGTAAATGACCTCTGAGCCAGCAATTTGCGTTCATCTTTCGCAGACCATGCGCGCAGACTGTCCTGATCCGCTGTATAGATGATTCCATCGTGTAGCTGGACAACCAGCGGAGGCACAGTGGCCTGCTCGGCGACTGCAATCTCATCCACCGCGCAACTCCCCTTCGACCAGTTGTGGCGTAGCTTATACTGCCTCTTCCAGTTCGTCTTTCTCCCCCCTCTTACGAGATGCTCGTCATCCAGCCATCGTGACGCTTTGGAAGCGAAGTGTAAGTTCTCTGAGCGCTGTTCAATGTCCTTGATTCCAGGAAGTCTGCTCGCTCGGGGTCGGACAAAGCGGTTGTAGTAATGTGACTTCCATAGCTGGCTGTCGGCCCCAATGTTGTGGTACTTGTGGGAGAGTCTGGATCTTTAGCATCACTGTATACACAGCCGCGAACAGTAGTGCGAATAGCGAGGCTTACCTCTGACACTTCAAGAGTTCAGATATAGGTAGGAATGATAGGACTCGCAATGTCAGCTCATCACTGAGCCTTGATAGATGGTCGACCTTCGATGGTCGTACGCGCTTATATGGAGGCTCCTGGTTCTCTGCGCCATCCTCGCGTGCTCTCTTGCCCACCATCGCTACTGTCGTTGATCGAGTTCAAGAGATGAAGTCGGTCTTCGTCTGACGTTCACTCGATGTCTTGGCAGGCCGATAGATACTCGGTTAGCCTTTCCGCGCTAAACACGTCCGCCTTCGACGCGACAACATCACCAACATCTTCACTTCAAAGAAAATGTTTCACATTTGGAAGGGACCGCAATGACACAACATGGCGACGCCAACTCCGAATGGCTTTGTACCAGAGGCGAAATATCAGCGACTTGTACGGAAGCATAACGATCTTTCCGCTGGGTACAAAGCGCTGGAGGTCAAGTTCGAAGCACTGGAAACGAAGTACAAGACCGACGTCGAGGCCGCCAGAGCAGAACATAGGAAGACAAACGAAAGGCTCCATCAATGGAAAGCCTGGATCGAGCACCACAAGTCAAAGATCTGGCCAGAACAAGGTCCTGTTGCCAATGCTGAATCGCGGACTCCATCAACGTCGGTAGCGGACGAGGCCAAGCAGTCTTCTCATCATATCCCATCTAGCCAGACAACCATAGATGACACGATCGAAGCTCCTGCTGAGCAAGAACACCCATCGAGCGATGGCGTGGAAGTGGTCTCAGCGCGTCCGGTCAAGCGGCGCAGAGGCAATGCAAAGCCATCAATGCCGCCGCCAGTTCGCGTCAAGGAAGAGCCGAACTCGCCCGAGAATCCGATCGAGTTTGGGTCTCAAGACTACAGCAGTCCACATGTGCAACGGAAGAGGCCTCTTCTGCGCACTGAGACGTCCGATCTCGATGCAGTGACCTCACGGATCGTTACTCCTCGAAGGCGCAGGCACAACAGGGCTACGTCAGTTGAGCAATCAAGACCTGCTGCGATGGTACCAACGATGTCATCACTTTCCGAAGGCAACGAGATTGACACTGCGTTCCCTGATATGCTGGCTGGGGACAGGCGACAGCTTACGGGTGACCGCGAACATGATCTACCGCAGCAGGCTCCAAATCAGGCGCCAAATACTAACGCTTTGCGCCAGCTGAGCAACAATGTGCCATATGGAGCGGAGCCAAGGATGAACGTGAAGCGTAAACGAGGGCAGAGAGGCGACGTGCGAGAGAGAGACATAGGACTTCTCTCTGAAGATGGCGAAATAGCCAGTCAAACCGCTGCTGTAAACTCCAAGAACGCGTCAAGACCAGAGCTCAATCGGCGACTGGACACACTACTTGACGGGCCGACCCCAGAGAGGGCGCCGTTGTTGCCGCGACCAACGCCTCAGACGGTGATCCGACGTCCTGACAACAAGCGTTTGAGGCCGATAGCACAACCTGAAGACGATCCCGCCACATCACCAGAGCGGCCACCATCCGCCACCAAGCGAGCTCCTCAACGTTACAAGGCACCGATGCGTGCGACAGCGGAAGACGAGCCTTTGCGATCACGACCCCCTAGAACTCTACGACCCGAGGATCAGTATACCACACCCAATCAACAACGTCAAGAAGGAAAGTCTCGCTCGCCAGTCAAGCGCCCTGTTTACAACAAACGCCCTCGCGGCCTCGAGAAATCGCCACCACCACCTGAACCGGAGGAAGAGCCCTTACGCGCCCGACCGTTGGACTCACTCCACCTCGACGACTTCAAGATCAACCCAAAGTATCTCGGCTCCGACTTTGCTTTCTCCGACACCCTCCGCGGTAGAGAACAGCGCCGCTGCCTCCAGGGCTGCACCCGCCCAGACTGCTGCGGCAACGCCTTCCGCACGGCCATCGAAATGGGCGCAATCAAGAGCTCAAAAAGCGACTCCCAAGTCCTCGAAGACTACCTGGGCCCTGACTGGGACCAGATCATGGGCTCCTTCGGACCCGAGAAGCGAAAGAGCATGCTCACAGACGCCCAAACATGGTCCTTCGCGAACCAGCACGGCAAACACAAAACTGCCTTTGAACGCGCCCGATCACCGCCCGGTTTCTGGCGCACCGACATGCCGACCACGCAGGAGGCAGAAGAAGACCGCTCTAGAGCGCACGAGATGGAGAGGCAGAAGGTCGAGGAGAGGTGGCGCGAGGCACTGCGTCCGGGCGGCAGGTGGCTGTTCCGAGACGAGCGCCCGCCCGTGTGATCGGGTTGGAGTCGGGTGATGTGTCACGTCACTGTCAGGCTTCCGGTCCCGATCGTTCGGGTTTGGCAGGTATGGCTGGGTGCCTGCTGATCTGCTACAAGGGTGGATGCGAGGATGATCATGTTGCTCGAGCTTGAGTATGGTGACATTCGCATTTTGGGTATCGCAGGCTATAGAGCAAAGTAGAGTCAAGCAACGCCGTTCTGCCCAGTTCAGGTTCTTCTCTTCATCGTATCATCATTAAACATCGCAGTCGCCCAGCGCTTGAAGGTTGCACTGTCACCCGAATCGCAAACAAAAGGACTTCATTATCCCAGTACAAACACCCCCGACGCCATGCAATCACAAACGCTCAGGCACATCTCCTTGCCAGCATCAATCAATGGGAATGCCCCCTAATCCAATCTTGCATCTGTTCCTGATTCCTCCTCAACTTCATGATCTCATCCATGAGGCCGGCAATATGCTTGTCCTTGCCCGCCATCACCTTTTCCTGAGCGCCGATGTACTCGATGGCGGCATGCAGGATCTCGCATTTGCTCGGCTTGACTCCCTCACCCTCCACCTTGCCTCCTCCCGGACCCTTCTTCGAGGCTAGCGTCGGAACAGTCTGGCGAAGCTTCTCGAGATGCGCGTTAAGGTTCTCTCTATATCGACGCTCGACGGCGGTATGCGGGATGCGTTGGCGCTTGCGGCCGCGCTTTGAGTCCGGTCCGTAGCTGTCGTCTTCTTCTCCGCTGCTACCCCTGTGCTTCAAGTGTGCGCGAACGGTGGTAGTGGCTTTCAGATCGCGAGCCTCAGGAGCTGAGTTGCGCGACGCCAGATGTGGTTTGCCGTTATATCGAACTGCTGGCGGGCTCTCCAACGGCGTCTGCAGTGGGCTAACGGCGCTGATGGAGCTATGAGGGCTATGGATCGGTCCAGGAGTATGATAAGGATATAAGTGCATCGTCGAAGGATGTTGCCCCGTATATGACTCGATGGCCTCTTGATGGCTCGAAGGGGTGCCGACATCCGACACTTGGTAGCCAATATGAGGAGATGGAATGTGTTGCGGTTGGTAGAAGTAGCCTTGGGTGTCATGGTCGAAGCGAACGTCCAGCGATTGCACTCCGCTCATCTGCGAGCTCGCAGACTGCGGCCACGATGCGGTGAGCATGGCTATCGGCTCGATGTATTGCTGTTCCCACGAATGTTCTGCGCTGTCGGGAAACAAGTCGAGCCCGGAGTGTCCTACGTGCGGAAGCGCAAGGCCGGTAATGATTTCAGTCATGGAGCTTATAAACGCGTTGTTGTAGTCAGGAAGGTTGTCGGTGTAGCAGCGGGACGTCTGGCTGGAAGACTCTCCACAGCAAGGGATTGGAGAGTACTTGTAAGGCTGCGCCAGGAGACGAGGTGCAAGGCTGCAAGTCCCTCGTTGACTCTTAGTACCTGGTCCCTCTACACCACCCTAGCCGAAACTAGCTTCGTGGCTTGAAGCGGAGGCTATCGCATCCAGCTGCGCTGCGAGTGTGCTGTGCAGCATGGGCCAAGGCCAAGCGTCATTGTGTCTTTAGAAGCAGAGTACAGTACCAACCGGTGAAGGGCGCTGCGCTGCCAAGCGCAGGTTCCAGTTCAGCGCAAACGGCAGCATGCGGTCGACAGATGCAGACTACGGCCGTTGGATGAGAGGAGTTTAAGTGCCAGAGTAAGGTTAGCGAGCATACCGGATGCTTGCGCGCATCAATGATCCTGGCGTCTGCAGAACCCGGCCCTTGGGAAGCAACCAGTTGCGGGGGCCTCCCTTAACAGGCGTGCGATAACGCAGGCCCCAGAATGGGCCAAGACGATCTCGCAAAGGTTCGAGCACGTGGAACTGGCGTACACGGGAGGCGCAAAGCTCGGTACCCGGCGACAACCATTGGGCGAAGGGTGAAGGAGACTTCCGGGAGCGTTCGGCATGCCGAAACACGTAGCGGTGCAGCACCCGACGCCCAGGGAGCTTTATTGGTTTCTGGCGGCCTGGGTCGTGCTTGGCGAGACGGTGCTGTCCAGGGTCCTAGCCATGTGGCAGTTTGGAGAAGGCGGAAGCGGAACGAGGAGGATGGGCGTTGGGCTGGTAGGGCTGGAGGGGTGGGATGGAATGGTGCTGCAACCCTGGCGATGACAATAAGATGCGATGCAACCGCGTCTGCCAAGTGTCATACTACATGTGCGTTTTCCTCTGCAAACATGCCTGTTTGTCGATATTGAATCCGATGTTTTGCTGTTTCCTTCGTCTCTCAATTCCATGGTTCACCCAGTGTTCGGATTCTGCGGGGTCGGCGCTCGAGCGGTCGAGAACACGGATGGCTTGAACGCCAATGCTTTAAGCGAGAATGGGAGACGCCGTGAACTCATCGCTGCACGCTTGCCTTGCTTGCCTTGTATCGAGCTGTTTGGACGATAGTTTGGGACTTTCCAGGAGGCTAATCGGTCGCACGTGACCACATCGAAGTCCACGGCCGCACCAATCTGGAGAAATCGTATCAAGGATCGGCGATGACCGAGTGCCGACCAAACAGCGTGTCACTGGAACGACTGCCATTCCACTGATGACTGTTGAGCATGCAAGTGTCGGGAAGAGCTGGGGAGCGATACGGATTCGGGTCCGGCAGCAGCTAGCTCAATGGGATGCGCATGGAGGTCTTTACAGCGCAATGTCACCGCTCCAGTCGGAGCTGAACATACTGAACAGAGCGCGCCAGGCATTGGATGGTACACCATGTTCGTATTGCTGAGCCTATCGAGACTGCCTAACGCACCAAGCTCTCAAGCTGATCTGCGCGGTTTTGCCGTCAACTAGTCGTTGTTCGTCGTGATGACCTGGTCCTCCTCGATGATCACGTCGTGCTTCGTGCCCCAGGCCTTGACCGTATCCATTGCCTCTGTAGATGCTTTCGCTGCGAATCCTCTGATGATGCTGTACTCGTGGGTGATGACGCCGCCCTATCCTCGGTCAGCTTGATGCTTGGTAAAGATGGACTGAGTAGGTCACTCACAGCCTTCCTGATGGTTTCCATTGCTTCATCGAGTACAGACTGTGGCGTATCCTTGGGATAGCTGATGATGACAGGCTTCTGGTCGACGGTCGCGGCTGCACCAAAAAAAGCCAGAAGCGCGATAAGCAAGAGTTGGATAGCAAACTTCATATTGGGCTAATGTCTTCTGCTCGTAATGAAGTGCTTGTGGTAGATTTTAGAAGGAGGGATGTGGTAGTGGTAGAGAGTGAGAAGACGGCGACAATGACGTAGATGCGAGCGGCAAGCTTCGGCCCGCTGCGTGAGCTAGTGAGTTTGTATGCTGGTGAGATCGTGCTTCACTGCTGACATCCGACAAACTTCATACAGACTCACTATCTTACTACAACCCGCTGTCACAGTACGGATAGCGAATCACGATCACGAGACATACATCTCTGACCTCAAGAGAGGCCGTAAAGAACAGATCGACGACGCGCCCCATCTTCACACCTACTCCGGATCCGACATCAGCACTTCAACCCAACAGTATATCCCAGTACAGGCTGGTCACCATCCACATCTCGGAAGACTTCACCTCGGAGCCCGGCAGCATTACTCTTGAAAGACATCTGAGACCACACGGGTGGCGGGAGAGTTGCGGTGGAAGGGCAGAAAGAGCCTGGAAGCAGAGAATCACATGAAGCAGCCAGCTTCGCGCTGTGCCGAAGTGAACTTCACATTCTAGCTAGAAACACACACTACTGTTGCTTCTTGCCTGTCCGTTGCGAAGGCATACCTACTTCATCCGCGCGCCCAAAAGAACGAGCTTGTGTCCAGCGGGTGCCCAAGTGGAGATCCTTCGCGTGACTGCACCTCCACTAAGTGGTTCTGCCATCTACCAAGCATCAGACGTCTACGTTAGATAGTCACTATCTGTGCCTTAAAGTGTTGCTGTCTTCTCAAGTCGCTGTCATGTCTGCCCGATCTCCACGAGGCTCGCTCTCAGGAGTGTCGACTGAAATCGCTGAGGACTTTTCTGATTCTCTCAAAGACCTCCAAGGCAATAATAAATTTGAGATCGGCAACCTGACGCTCATTGCAAAAGAGAACACCGAGCATGCACAGGCTATCTCCAAGGTCCTCGAAGACCACATCAGAACGGTAAGCCATTGTCATCACGTGACATCTACAACCTCACTACATTGTCTCAGGCTTTTCCAGAACAAGACCTCAGAACTGACTTCATTGACAGACCGCACCTCCGCGAAAACTTCCTGCTCTCTACGTCCTCGACAGCATCGTCAAAAACGTCGGCACACCCTATACCGTCTACCTTGGCCGCAACCTATATCAAACCTTCATGGACGCCTATACACTAGTCGACGGCAACACGCGACGCAACATGGAGGGCATGCTGAAGACCTGGAAGGAGCCAGTCCCTGGTATCCTGGACAACACGCCAGTCTTCCCACCAGACATCGTCCGACCGATCGAGAACGCGCTGATCAAGTTCCGCACTGTCATGGTGCAGAACAACCGAGGCGTCCAGGCCCAGCAACCGACCTACCGGAACACGCCTACGCCTCCGCAGCACAATGGGCGGTATGCTGCACCGCCAAGTCAGGGCCAAGGTCAGCCTTACTACGGACAGGTACGTTCTTTTTCGGAGCAAGGCGAGTCTCCTGATCGGTGGGCTGACCAGTCACATCAGCCAAGCGCTTACCAACAGAGGACCTTCTCACCGGCGCCGCAGTATCAGCAACCACTTGGTTTTCCAGCTCAGAATCAACAGCCAGTGAACGATCTTGAAACCATCAAGCGCGACGTCGCGGCCGTCGCTGCGCAGCGCCAAGCACAGTTCGCCGCCAACCCGTACGATGCGAAGACCAGGCAGGAGCTCGATGCGCTGCTCCAGCTGCAGAGATTGCTGGATACTCAAGTACTCGACGCCGGTGCCCTGCAGCAAGTACAAAACCAGATTTCGGCACTCGCCGTAGCACCACCTCCACCGCAACCGACACCTCAGCCAGCTCCGGCGCAGCACCAATGGCAGCCTCCACCGTCCATACCACAGCTACCACCGCAGTTCTCTGCACCTCCGGTCGCCTACTCACAGCCACCTTCGGCACCACCGCAGCAGCCATCGGCCCACTTCCTCGACCCCGCCGCTCTCAGCGGCCTGCAAGCACTGTTAGCGAATGGCCAGAAGCCCTCCACACCACAGATGCGCGCCGCAGCGCCGGCTCTGCAGAATGCCAGCCACTCCCAGCTGAGCAATGTCCAGACCCAGACCTCCACCCAGCCCACGATCAACGGCGCCGACCTAATCGCCTCCCTAACCAAGAACGGCCTCCTCCCCCCTCTCCCCACGTCCAACACCACCCCCCTCCCCACCACCACCACCGCGCCACCACCGACACAACAGCAATCCACCGCCGACATCCTCGCCTCCCTCACCAAATCCAACCTCTTCGGCCCCGCCCCCACGCCCCCGGGCGTTCCCACCCCAGCCAACACAGCCCGCCCCCGCGTCCCCATGACAGCAGCCTCCCTAAAGACTTTCCGCCCAGAATTATTACACGCCCTCTACACCTCCCAACCCAACCAATGCTCCACCTGCGGCCGCCGCTTCCCGGCCTCCGAAGTGGGAAGGGCGGCGAAGGCGCGACATCTGGACTGGCATTTCCGCACGAACCAGCGGATGGCGGATTCGAGCATCGCGCGCGGGGCGCACAGGCACTGGTTCGGCAACGAGCTGGAGTGGATCAAGCTTGTCGAATTCGACCCCTCCACTACCTCCGCTGAAGACGCAGCCGCAGCCGAGGCTAGGCACGGCGCCAGCGGTGCCGGTGGTGGTGCGGGAGGCAAGGGTGGTAAGAAGGAGATGAGGGCAGAGGAGAGATATGTGAGAGCTCCGCCCGGGGTGACGAGGAATGTCTGTTCTATCGATTTCGAGGAGATGAAGAGTACGTACTCGGAGGAACTGCAGGACTGGGTTTTCACGAATGCGGTGGTGATGGGGGGGAAGATTGTGCATGCGAGTTGCGCGGAGGAGATGCTGAAGGGGAGTCAGAAGGGGGCAATGGCGAGTGCGTTGCAAGGTGGACTGGGCGGACAGCAGAGGCAGAGGAGCGCGACGCCAGATTCGGCGCTGGGGAAGCGGAAGGCGGAGGGGGCGTTGGCGGGAGCTGGGGCTTCGAGGGCGAGGATGGAGTGAACACCGCTCTACCATGGAAGACGACGCAGAAGCTGGTGGGTGGAGGGACACCGGCCGCGGAGCAGAAGAAGCTAGACGTGGCGTGGATGGGATCTGTTAGACGGACAACCGGGAGCCGATTGCATGGCTCAGCGGGGTTAAAGCATAGCGAATAGCGTCCTCGGCTCATTAAAATCGATTCAAGATATACTCTTCCTCTACAATGTTCTCCGTTTTGAACAGTATTCCCCCCCACACCCCCTCCCTCCCAAGTATCGCTCAAACCACATCCCCACGAACGTTTTCAGCAAAGTAAACTCTCCCTCCCTCCTCTTTCCCTTTCTCTCCCTCAACCACCAGGCCGACCCCTCTAGTACCCGAACCCCAGACTAATATTGCTCTTCCAGTTCGGGTCGAGTGTCTCTTCTTTGGCAAGAACCATGGCCGTCCGCGTCGGAAGATAAACCTGCACAAAGTTCCTCCTTCCATTCCAGCTCATATCCGTACTAAAGAACCTCGTCCCCTCGTCAATCCTTCCCAACCCGCCAAAGTCCTTGCGATCAGTGTTGACGACGATCTGATACGTCCCGCCTTCCTCCACACCAACGCGATAATCCGTAAACGAGGCCGAAGGATGGAAATTAAAGATCCACAACAGCCCCGCGCGCTCGAAGACGATGACTTTATCCTCTTCGTTCTTGAGACTGATGTACGCTTGAGGCGAATGCAACCACCCATACTTCTCCTCCGCCCACTGCATCGCCGCGTCGAAAGCATTCAACGAGCCGTACCGCAAATCCGGGTCGTCGGGGAGGTTGAACTGCCGACGCGCGTAGTGGAAGGAATTGCTGTTGCCTTCGCGGGGGAAGTCGAGCCATTCCGGGTGTCCGAACTCGTTGCCTTCGAAGTTGAGGTAGGCTTCGCCGCCCAGGCCGTGCGTGATGAGGCGGATCATTTTGTGCAGGGCGAGGCCGCGCTCGATCACGGGCGTGAAGGGGGAGAGGACGGACATGTTGGTGTACATTTCGCTGTCGCAGAGCCAGAAGAGGAGGGTTTTGTCGCCGACGAGACTGGAATCCCAAGTTAGCAAGGGCGTATTTGTATTTTCGTGGGTGGAAGGGGACTCACGCTTGATCATGCGACTCCGCATAAGCGATGGTCTTCTCGCCATGTCGTCGGTTGGTGAGCGTGTGGCACAACGCGCCCATATCCCACTCGATATCCTGCTTCTCCTTCAGCCACTTGATGTACAAGTCCGGCACGGCCATGGCCAAGCGGTAGTCGAATCCTATTCCACCCAGGCTCAGCTTGACACACAGCGCGGGCATGCCGCTGACGTCTTCCGCAATGGTGATAGCATCGGGGAAGAGCGTGTGTAGCATTTCGTTCGCCAACATCAGATACACCACTCCGTCTTCGTCCACGTTAGGGCCGAAGTACTCGTGGTAGCCGCCCGAAAAGCCCGTGCCGATGCCGTGGTGGGTGTAGAGCATGCTGGTGACGCCGTCGAAGCGGAAGCCATCGAAGCGGTACTCGTCCATCCAGAAGCGGAGGTTGGAGAGGAGGAAGCGGATGACTTCGTGGTGGCCGTAGTTGAAGAGCCGGCTGTCCCAGAGCTCGTGGCGGCCGCGCGCGCCTTCGTGGAAGTAGAGGTGGTCGCTGTTGTCGAACATGTTGAGGCCGTCGAGGACGTTCTTGGAGGCGTGGGAGTGGACGACGTCGAGCAGGACGGTGATACCGAGGCCGTGCGCGGTGTCGATGAGTTCTTTGAGGTCGTCGGGGAAGCCGTAGCGGGAGGAGGCGGCGAAGAAGGAGTTGATCTGGTAGCCGAAGGAGGCGTAGTAGGCGTGCTCCATGACGGCCATGAGCTGGATGGTGTTGTAGCCCAGCTTGTGGATGCGCGGGAGCATGTTTTGTGTGAATTCTTTGTAGGTGGCTATCTTGGGATCGGGGGAGGAGATGCCGACGTGTGCTTCGTAGATGCGTGCGGATTGAGGCTTCGGAGGGCGAGGGTTCTTGAACTCGTACTTGTGAGGCGGGTTCCAGAAGCGGGCATCGTAGACCGGGGAGACGGAGAGGTCCTGGGTCACGCGTGTTATCCATGCCGGGATCCTCTCCTGTCGTGCGTGGTCGTTGGGCACCACCAGGCTGATCTTGAGCTTGCTGTCGTGTTCAATGGCGGGTCGTCCGTCGACGGGAGGGAAGGTGATCTCCCAGACACCATATGGATCCCGCTTCATCTCATGGCTATCCCGGTTCCAGCCGTTGAAGTCGCCAATGAGGTAGGCTCGAAGGGCGTTGGGTGCCCATTCTCGGTATGTGATGGTGTTGTCGGAAGAGACGTTGAAGCCGAACTTTTCATATCCGCGCGAGAACTTTTCCAAGCCGCCCTCGTGTGCGTCTATAGTCTGCATCCATTCTTGGGCTTTGGCGTATCTGCTCTTGAGTGCGGGTGCGAAGGGCTCGAGGTAGGGGTCGAGGGCGATGACGCCTATTCCAGTGTATTAGCATGCTGAGGACGATAGAGGAGTTCTTGAGCATACCAGTGCCATCGTTCGCAACGTTCCCACTCGAAGGATTTCCCTTGATCGACTGACTGGACGTCTCGTTGAGGGCGTCCATGGTGATTATGAGGCGTGTGCGAGAATCTAACCGCCGGTGAAAGAGAAGCGCAAGACGAGGTCAAGGGATGTGTATGAACAGAGTGTACAGTCTCTTCCACCTACACTATATACTTCGAGCAGCCATTGAGAAGTAGTTCAATGCAGCAAACCTCACCCCACCAATTCTAGGAAATGTTGCTGTGACGTCCTGCCCCGGAGCGATCCCTGCAGCTGGACACAACGGTCCGAATGCCCCAACGGAAACTGCGACCGTCCACCACTGTCGACAGGGTCAAGTTGTGCCTTCAGTCGCCGTCACTAAGGCCATGGAACTGCTTGTGCTATCCCATTTCTGTTCGAGTCGACAATAAACTAACGACGCAGTAAGGCATTTTGTTGAACAGCAATGCCTTCCAAGTCGAGGTCCCTTATCCGCCTTGTCAGCCTTCGACCCCGCCGGAAGCAAGCGAGGGCGAGGGCAGCTGTGACGACCTCGACTCGACCTCGACCTTCACCTCGCTCGTTGCTTTCACGTGCTACAACTTCCCTTTCTGTACACCCACCCCAGCATAGGGCGGCGCTTGTCGTACCATGAAGTCTTTGCTGTCTCCTGCCTCTCCACAGGCCCGGCTCTCATATCTCGGTATATCAGCTTTCATCCAGACTCGCCATCTGAGCATATGTCGAAGACAGTCGTCCAATGGCGAATACCGTCGCTCGGACTTTTCGAATCAAGGCTATGTATGTGATTCAGCCATTGGTGTAGTAGTATTCGCTTACCGTTCATTTAGACTGGCATATACGAGCCAGGCGGTCCAACTGAGGTATGTTATACATTCTTCCCTCGAGCACCCGCCGCATGTACTTAAAACAATACAGGGACCCCTCCGCACTGCACAAACCCCACCCCAAATTACGCCCACCGCCCTCAAAGCCCACCTCGACTCCTTCGTCGTCGGCCAGCCCCGCGCCAAACGCATCCTCTCCACCGCCGTCTACAACCACTACCAGCGCATCCAAGAGCTCCAGCGCCGCGAGGATGAAGAAGAAGAGCGCTTTGCTCAGGAGGAACGACGGAGGATGGCGCATCTCCAGCAGACGAGACACCCAGTCGAAGGTAGGGAGCACGAGTTGAGGGCCGGGATCAGAGTGCCTGCGCTGACCAGGGACATGCCGGCGGATGAAGATGAGTTTCCGGGCCAGCCTATGACTGTTAGTACGGAGCCGTTGAATGAGGCGGGAGGGATGGCGTGGGGACAGGGTCAGAGTGGGAGGGGTGGTGCGCAGCAGACGCCGTTGTATGATCCGACGCCGATGGCGATTGAGAAGAGTAATATTCTGCTGTTAGGACCATCTGGAGTTGGCAAGACACTTATGGCGAAGACGCTGGCGAGAGTGTTAGAGGTGCCATTCAGCATGTCGGACTGCACGCCGTTCACACAGGCCGGATACATCGGCGAAGACGCAGAAGTATGTGTCCAGCGACTCCTCGCAGCCGCCAACTACGACGTGGCCAAAGCAGAGCGCGGCATCATCTGTCTCGACGAGATCGACAAGATCGCCACCGCTCGGGTCTCGCACGGCAAAGATGTCAGTGGCGAAGGCGTACAGCAAGCCCTCCTCAAGATCATCGAAGGCACCACCCTCCAAATCCAAGCCAAGTCCGAACGAGGCAGCTCCTCGCCCTCAGCATCCCGAGGAGGCGCACAGCAAGGCTATCCCGGCTCACCGACCAACTCCCCTCTATCTTCCGGCGGCAGCCAACAAAACGCCTCCGGCCCGCAAAAAGGCGAAACCTACAACGTCAAGACCGACAACATCCTCTTCATCTGCGCTGGCGCCTTCAATGGCCTGCACAAAATGGTCCTCGACCGCATCAGCAAAGGCAGCATCGGCTTCAACGCGCCTGTGCGAGCGTCGCACACCTCCGCCACCGACAGCACGCTCCACGAAACCACCCTCGAAGGCGACGGGGATGAGGAGTTGTTTCATAAACACGTCCCGTTCTACATTCCGCCTTCATCCTCCCCTTCCGACCCACAGGACGGGAAGGTACAGAAGAAAACGTACAATACCCTCGACCTCCTCCAACCCCCCGACCTGCACCGCTACGGCCTCATCCCCGAACTCTTGGGACGTTTACCCGTCACCTGCGCCCTCGCCCCACTATCCATCCCGCAACTCGTCCAAGTCCTCACCGAACCGCGCAACGCGCTAGTACACCAGTACACGCACCTCTTCTCCCTCTCCGGCATCGAGCTGCGCTTCACCACCCCGGCCCTCCACGCCATCGCAGAAGCAGCTGCGAAAATGGGCACGGGTGCACGCGGGCTGAGGACGGTGATGGAGGGCGTGTTGGGGGAGGCGATGTTTGAGGGGCCCGGGAGTGGGGTGCGGGGGGTTGTTGTTACGGAGGAAGCGGCGAAGGGCAAGGGGGCAGTGGGGTATTTTTTCAAAGGACAGGCGGGGAGGATGGCGGATGTGGTGGATAGGGAGGAGAGGGCGTGGAAGGAGAGGAAGAGGTTGGAAGAGGGTGGGAAGGTGGTGAAGGAGGAGGGGGTGGGGACTTTTGAGGAGTATCGGGAACGGGTGGGTGCGGCGGGGTTTTAGGGGAGGGAGATGTTTCTCTGAGAGGAGGAGGGAGAGAGATAGGGAGTGCAATCGCTGCGGTGGGGAATGGACCTTGCCACTGTTCGAGAACTTCCAACGCTACCGAGGACGCCAGCCAGCGGCGTATAAAAGGCAGCGATCTCCTGGCTCCATCCAGTTCCGCAGCTCACAACCACCACCCCCATCACACGGTGGGAGACCCGCTGGATAAACATTATCGGCCTGGCGGCGGGGCTCGCTACCAGCACTTCAACGACTTCGGTGCCCATGCCGTGTGCGCTTGCGTTGTGCCCGGGGCGTTTTGGCGTGGTCGGTCAGGTGCAGCGGCAGCAGTGTCTGTTGCATCTGTCCGACCATTGATCATGAGCTGCGAGCCGCAGCACAGCCGTCGTGCTTGCCGACGTCGGAGCCTCGAAGACCTTCTCGACGTGGAAACCGGGGCGCATGGTCGGCGCTGTCACCTTGGTGCCTGGACCGGACGCGGAGAGCTGGGACCAGGGGCTCGGAGGTCTTGAAGTAGGCGTCCTCGGATCGATGAGACGCTCACCAGCTACATAATCAGACTTCGCCAGGTCAAGATCGAGTACAACAACATCAAGCACGCACTCAAGAGTGTCACACCGTCGTTCCAAGTCCAGATCTATGTGGCATGAACGGCCTGCGGGAGCGCAGCTTGGACGGCGCGGTTGACGGCGTCTTGAACGGTGCGGTCGACTGCAGCTTGAACGGCTTGCTCGGTTGTGTCTTGAACGACGGGCTCTTGGTTCACGGCGCGGATGACAGCATCTTGAACGACGGAAAAGCACTTTGCCACTATCAACGAAGCCATGAGATCCAACTACGATGTGGTCATCACCAACTTGCACGATGAAGCGGTAGTTATCTTCAAGGCGGTGCGCATTTTCAAGGCTACCGGCGACGAACAGGGGCGTGGTGCTGTTGATGTGAAAGATGGAGTGCTCAGCGGAGAACTAGGCATTGTCTACATTCTCCCGGCAACGAAGATGGTCACCCACGACACAAACGGCAAGATCCACGAAGAGCTTCGGAAGGTCTTGTGTAATCCTAGCCAAGGTAAACGGTCACGGTACTCTGTCACGAGCACTTTTGGTTACATCGAATAGAGAAGGCAATTGGAGAGATGTAAACGCATCACGTCTAGCCTCCCAAAAATCCATTTTGATCTCCGCTGCAAGATCATCGCTGCGCGACACGACATCATGCCCTCGCCCTTCCAACTTCCAGACGCGGTCGTAAAGGATATCGACAACCTCATCGCGTGGGTCCAGACTGGCCAGACACCTACGCCGCAAGAAATGACTCTAATCGAGAGGAAAGCGGGTCCAATTCGATACTTTTAACACCTTCGGCCTACAACGCATGGGATGTTGGTGCATCTGGACTGCTGGTTGTTGCACGTGATGGGTATACATGCGACTGACCTCTGCCTCTAACCGGTCGCCTCGGAAACCCCGACCTTCACTTGCTTGACGTCGTTCGCGGTGACGTCCTTGCGCTTGGGGCTCCCCGACTCCCCTTCCCATGGTCCTTCAGGATCTTGTGGACTCGCAGCGATCTTTGTACGAGATTCGGGAAGCTTTTATAGCCATGATCTCCGGGATCTCTGGACTAGATCCCAGTTCTCCGTCCCTAGAAGAGTCCAGTTCAGCTATCTCACCCGGTGTACTAGCGGACGGCATCTCCGGGGCTCGGAGAAGAGGATAGCCGGGTGCAGGTGTGAGGCACTCTGCCAGCCGGGTGCAGCAGGGTCGGCGTAGGCCCGCAGGCGTCGACGGGAATGGTCTCGAAGTATGTAGCGTGCCATCTCAGACCAACGACGTGAGATGGGGGTGCTGGGGGGAAGAAGGTCATAGCCGCAGAAGAGATGGATGACGTGAGCATTGCTTCGCCTCGCCCTCGCACTCGGGCTCCGTCCGGAGGGCGTCCATCGTAGCATCTTCTTTAATCATGATATCCCTGGAAATTCGAGGCTTCTCCATACCAGACAACACAGAGTGACCGTTTCGGTCGTTGGTGAGATTTGGCTTGTCGTCTGCTTCTGCGTCGTTGCCCTCCTTTCCTTCTCGCATACTGTGTGCGCGCGCAAGCCGCACCAGTCACGTCTCCCTTCCGTGGACCAGGTGCTATGCAGCGAGAGCAGCACGGTTCCGAAGACCCACATATAGGTCGGTACGCAATCGAAAGGTAGCGGCCTTACTCGGCGCGTCTTTACGTTGCCTATCCCTCAAAAATCCCACGGGCTTAATGCATTTCTAGTGCGGTTCGAGCATCGGGTTCGAAGACACCCGGCCGACAGACGAGGAGTAAGTCGGCTGCGAGCTCACAGAAGGCGAAGCTCGACGTATCGGAGGGACGGACAACACCAAATCCAATGGTCGCTCGAAGCAGGCTGCTGCGAGCAAACGTTTGCGTACGTCCAACGGCAGCGCCGCAAAGTCGGGATAGGACCATGAGTCGATTCCTGTCGCTGTCGACGACGGCGATGATGAACAGGGTGTCGAAGGTGTGGCAGGAGTAGGGGAAGAAGGCAGTTTCTGGCAGATCGGCGTGCGTCAGTTGATGTGCAATTTGTAGCCGGAAGTCGTGAAGGTTGTAGGTAGCTCTCGCCGCTCTCAATTACAGCAGAGGCTCGACCCTGGACAGCCTTGCAAATATCCCTAGGAATTTTCAATACCAGAAGCAGAGTTTGAGGCGAATGCTGGCCTCTTTGTGGATTGAGTGCTATGTTAGCAATACGAACGTGAAGGCCGGACATACAACGGGCAATTGATAAGCTCTCGGCTCTTGCTCAGGACCTTCGAGCCACGTGCTCGGTGGTGTGGACGCAGTAATTTGGTGAAGTCTGTTGTATTAGGCAGTAGTAGCACCCTCACTAGTACAAGACAGCCCGTATGTTACACTTGCTTTTCTCGCGCCTGTGAATATGCACACTCACCAAGTGAGGTCAACTCCCATACATCACACCCTCCTCCACCGCCTCCAACCCTTCGGCAAACACGTAGCCCTCCTCTCACGCCGCAGCCTCTTAGACTCCCAATTCTACTTCAACCCCAACTTCCCCATCAAACCACCACTGCTCCCCTTCTCCTGGCCAAACACACCCAGCAAACTCTTCCACACCGCACCAGGCTCCTGACTCGCATCAATACCCGTCCAGATCCCCGTCTTCCGGTAGTAATCCGACACGGGCGCCGTCTGCTTGTGGTACGTCACCAGACGCTTCTTTAGCGCGTCCTCATTGTCGTCCGACCGCTGGATGAGCGGCTCGCCGGTCACGTCGTCGGTCATCTCGCGCTTCGGCGGGTTGAAGATTTTGTGGTAGGAGCGGCCGGAGGCCGGGTGGATGAGGCGGCCTGTTATGCGGGCGACGAGCAGGTCGTCGTTGATCTGCAGCTCGACGGCGTGTTTGAGGGGTTGCGATTTCGAGGTCAGCATCTCGTCGAGCTTTTCGGCTTGGGGGACGGTGCGCGGGAAGCCGTCGAGGATGAAGCTGGGAGGGGTTAGTATGGTGGTTTGGGTGGGCACGATGTCTTGCCGTAGTATGGTTGCAGGAGGACGTCGTACCCGTTCTTGCACTCCTTGTTGTTGTCCAGCTCGCTCTTGATCATGTTGATCATGATGTCGTCCGAGACGAGCCCTCCCTGGTCCATAATCTTCTTCGCCTGCCGCCCCAGCTCCGTCTTTGCTGCGACTTGTGCGCGTAGCATGTCGCCGGTTGCCAGATGGCAGCAGGAGTACTTGTCCTTGATCGCGGGTGCTTGCGTACCCTTGCCTGTATTTCAAACACAAAATGTCAGCTTGCTCTCTCAGTCTCGCGCGCATCCGTCCGTCCGGAATGGTAGGACGAGGGTGTCGACATACCAGCGCCAGGAGGCCCCATGAGAATCATCCTCATATTCGAGCCCGAGACAACACCAGACGCCTTGCCAGCCAACCGCGACTCGAGCTCCTGGACTCGCTGCTCCAGCTTGTCGACGGTGCCTTTCAGCGTGTCGATGACCTCTTCGGACGTGGGCGCCATCGTGCTGGTGTGGGAGGGGAGGGAGCGGCCTGACCGGGGCGAACAGAAGAGCGAGTCGTCTCTGAGAGGGAGGAAATTGTAGGTAGAGTTGAGCTTCCGAGGCGCGTCAATGGCTGCTGCTGCTGTGCAGGAGCTTGAAGCTCTGAAGTCGCACAAAAGCCCCGGCCCAGCCCAGCCGTTTAGCCGACCGGGTATTTTCGGAGCAGAGGAGCTTTCGTCTGACTTGGAGGACTTGGTCGCACAACCTCACTTGTTGGGATAGCATATCGATTGTTGCGATCTACGAGAAGGGGCAGAAAAGACGGATCCAGTGATCGTGCTCCGTGACCACAACAGAGTCGCCAGCACGGTATCTCCTGCTACCACTCCAAAACGTCAGGCCTGTGAGAAGGAGAGAAAAGGCTGCAAGCCGAACAGTTGCGTGTCCAAACAACCACCCTATATACATGCACGCCCATCCCTTCCCCCAACAAGCACCATCCCATCCTGCCCTCCTCACTCGCTGTACTCACGTCCCAGTCATACGATCCCCAGCAAACACGACCCATCCCCAGCTATTAAAGCCCCTCCTCGTTCACCTTCTTAAACAGCTCCACGACACTACTCTTCAACTCCCTCTTGCACACCCCACAGATCCTCGTGCCACACTCGTCGAGCTGCGTGGTCCTCTCGGTCATCGCGTTGCAGGCGACGCCCGGGAAGCGGATGGCGGCCACGCAGGTGACCACGACGGGGCTGGGCCGGCGGCAGCCGCAGCCGGCGAAGACGAGGTATTGCTTTTCGCACATGGTGGTGTGCGATGTTCTCGGAGGTGGTGTTAGTTTTGGAGGGGCTTGGAGGTCGCTGTGGTGGGGTGGGAGGTGGGCTTACGGTGGAGGGAAGGGAGAGAGGGCAAACAGTGTCGTGAGGCTTGTTTGGTGTGTTCGCGACGGTCAGCTGCTAATTTGGCTGGGTTGCTTGATGGTTGATTGATGCGTATGGCTTTGGCGAGTTTGCCGGCTGGCTGGCTGGTTGTCGCCGATGGTTGGGGTCGAAGTGAAAGTCGCGTGTGAGTATCGGATATGTACGGTATCAACAATAGCAACCACCACAATTGACGCCGGATAGTTATGGTGATGTTCTGGTGAGGTTGCGGGGCGCAGTGGTCAAGTTGACTGCGAAGTTGGCTTGCTGGATGTCGTGTCACTATCTTAGTGCTCTTTCTCGTGGCAGATGCCACGTCGTGAGCACAGGGCTCAGACGTTGCGGTCGTTCTCGAAGATCGAGTCGTTGGAGTCGAGGAGCAATAGCCATGCTCAGGCAGTGGTCTCGAGCCGTTACGGGAGGTGGGAGACAAATGGAGGTACCCCAGAGTTGCGTGCTCCAGCTTTCCTTTGTTGCACTCGGAATGTTCCACACTCGTCACTCGTCACACCTTGCTTCGACGCCACGTTTAAGGCAACCATTGCCGCAAACAATGTCCTTTCAAGGTGAATTTTTACCTCCCAAGAAGAGCCTCGCCTTGATCGCTAAACAGCAACACGGATCTCCCGTGTCCAGTCCCTCGAGTATCAATAGTCTTGCTCCCGATACAGACTGCCTCAGGCTTCGCTGCGGTGTCACCAGGCTGATCTCGCCAGATCTCCAGTCCTTCCCAATGGTCGCTCTCAACCGCTACGTTGCAGACTCGTTCCGCTTGCGCTAGGTCCGCGACCTCGAGCAATACTACCTTGGCGGAGACCTGCTTTGCAATATCAAGCAACCGAGGGTAAAAGAGGTCCCCATCATTAGTGGCTGGCCCGGCTGGATGAGGAGGCACTAATGCTAGCTTTGGCTCGTGGTCTCGAACCGAGCGTGACGTTGTGCGTAGATAGTCGCGCGAGGAGACGTATGGTGGGTTCGAGATAAGGATGTCGAACTTTGGACTGTGTGAGGTATTGAGCCGACTTCGAACAGCTTGCAGTACACTTGGGACTGGACCGGTTGTCGTGTCCATCGCTTGCAGTACGTCGGCCTGCGTGAAGATCACTCGTTCAAGTGATCGAGAGCGCTCGTCCACCAGCCCGAGAGTGGAAGAAGCCTTGGTTTGTATGCTATGGTTCTCCAGTGCTGACCCAAGAGCATTCATCGATATGTCGATTCCGACAACATCAAGTGGAACGTTCTTGTTGCAGGTACGAGAGTAGAAATCATAATGGAAAAGCAAGGGAATACAGCCTGTCCCAGTACAGAGATCAAGAACCCGAAGTCCGTCAGGGGAGCTGGAACCTCTAGATGAAAGCAGGTGGACGAGATGAGAAACTGAAGCAGCCGTCTCTTGTCTGATAAGGGAACGATCAGAAGGGAGAAACAGGAGGATGGACTTATCGGAAAGGACCAACCGAGGAATTAGGACACCCGGACGGCATTTGATCTCGAGTTCACCAAAGTACTCAGTGCCGAGTATGTATTGTAGTGGCTCGCCTTGGGATCGTCTTCGAACGAGGCGACTGACTGTGTGACATATGTCGGCCTCCTGTGTCTTCTTACTCGCAGCATGCTCGCGCAGCCAACGAAGCTCGAGTTGAGCCGACCTGACATCTCTGCATACTGGAAGTAATTGCGGCAGCAATGAGTCGATACGCCGTGCTTGCAAGATTGTGCGTGGGTGTATTCGTGGCATGTAAAAGGAGGGTGTTCGTGCATGAGGACGCACGCCGGCAATGGACCGGAACAAATGTCGTCGCTGCTCTGCCAAGAGGCGCTCGGGCCCAGCTCAAACCTCAACTCGAGCTCCGACGACTTCCTCCTTGAACACCCGTCACAGCTCCAAACACACCCACTCCCCTCTCTCAAAACCCATCAGACCGCCTTCAGGATGTTCAAGAGGTTCGTCGACGCTTGCTGATGGCAACTCACGCGCCATTGATGCTGACCACCCAGCAGTGGAGTCGCGCGGGCCTCCCGCCTCGCCCTTCGCCCTCAAACCACCTTCCAGTCCTCCTTCCAGCCCAAGGCCTTCGTCCCGGCCATCTCCCAGCGCTTCGCGAGCAGCAATGCCACCGTAGGCAAGATCCACCAGGTCATTGGTGCTGTCGTGGACGGTAAGGGCCTCGATTGAAGCTGTGCAAAAGAAATGCCGAGCTAATGCCCGCCTGTAGTCAAGTTCGACACCGAGCAGCTCCCACCCATTCTCAACGCCATTGAGACCGAGAATGGCGGCACAAAGCTGGTGCTTGAGGTGGCAGTACGTGAAAACGAGGTACAACACATAATACTTGATCTGACGTGGCGCGCAGCAACATTTGGGTGAGAACACGGTGCGCTGCATTGCTATGGACGGTACGGAAGGTCTCGTCCGTGGCTCTCCAGCAACCGACTCCGGCTCGCCTATCATGATTCCCGTCGGCCACGGTACTCTTGGTCGCATCATGAACGTCACTGGTGACCCCATCGACGAGCGCGGCCCCATCAAGCACGAGAAGAAGCTGCCCATCCACGCCGAGCCACCGGAGTTCGTCGACCAGTCGACCTCCGCTGAGATGCTGGTCACCGGTATCAAGGTTGTCGACCTTCTCGCCCCATACGCCCGTGGTGGTAAGATTGGTCTCTTCGGAGGTGCAGGTGTCGGCAAGACTGTGTTCATTCAGGAGCTCATCGTAAGCACTACCACATACAGTCCGCATCGAGGCGCATACTAATTCTCGAGCAGAACAACATCGCCAAGGCACACGGTGGTTTCTCCGTGTTCACCGGTGTCGGCGAGCGTACCCGTGAGGGCAACGATCTCTACCACGAGATGCAGGAGACTGGTGTCATCCAGCTCGATGGCGATTCCAAGGTCGCTCTGGTGTTCGGTCAGATGAACGAGCCCCCAGGTGCCCGTGCCCGTGTCGCTCTTACCGGTCTTACGGTAGCTGAGTACTTCGTAAGCCTAACCAGCAGAGTTTCCACCACTGAGACATTGCTAACCTACAACTCGTCCCGCAGCGTGACGAGGAGGGCCAGGATGTGCTTCTCTTTATCGACAACATCTTCAGGTAAGAACAAAGGAGCACCAAATCCCAGATTCGTGCTGACTCTACCTTCAGGTTCACTCAAGCCGGTTCCGAGGTGTCTGCCTTGCTGGGACGCATCCCATCTGCCGTCGGATACCAGCCAACCCTCGCCATCGACATGGGTGGTATGCAAGAGCGTATCACCACCACCCAGAAGGGGTCCATCACTTCCGTGCAGGCCGTCTACGTGCCAGCTGACGATTTGACTGACCCTGCTCCTGCCACCACCTTCGCCCATTTGGACGCCACCACTGTGCTTTCCCGCGGTATCTCTGAGTTGGGTATCTACCCAGCTGTCGACCCTCTGGACAGCAAGAGCCGTCTGCTCGACCCACGTGTGCTCGGCCAGGACCACTACGACACCGCCTCGCGCGTGCAGCAGATGCTCCAGGAGTACAAGTCCCTCCAGGATATCATCGCCATTCTGGGTATGGACGAACTGTCTGAGCAGGACAAGCTTACCGTTGAGCGGGCCCGTAAGCTCCAGCGTTTCCTGAGCCAGCCTTTCACCGTCGCCCAAGTGTTCACTGGTATCGAGGGTACCCTCGTCGACATCAAGGACACCATTCGATCCTTCAAGTCCATCATCAACGGCGACTGCGACGACCTGCCCGAGGGTGCCTTTTACATGGTTGGTGACGTCGACAGCGCGCGCGCGAAGGGTGAGAAGATTCTCGCAGACCTCGAGAAGTCATAGGCGGAGAGATGATGTGAGAGGGGCATGGGGTTGGTTGCGGTTCTGCGGTGCTATCACTGTATAGAAATCTCCAAGCGCCGAGGGACGTAGACAACGGGGGATGGTGTGCTTGTAACCGTAGATATTCCGAAAGCGTTTCCTCTGTCTGTATTGACATGCTGGTCTCACATGTTGTCTGCTATCACAAACCTTTCTGTCTGAACGGGAATGAACTGGAATGCACGTGCATATGCAGAGCAAAAGTGGGGCTGTTTTTGACGTAACTTCCATTTGCCTAACTCGCGCAGTATGAGCTTGACTTCAACTTGCCACAACGTCTTTAAATGTCAGCAGCCTTTCCACAACACCTCCACCTCTCACAGTGCTGATATACCAGTGCTGAATAGAATCGTCCACCAATCAGCCTTCCACAGAAGCTGGCACGACAACCATCCAACTCGAAGAGCCCGACTTCACCTGACGTTTGCTACATCAAAACAGCACAGTCTAGAAGCGCAAGGCTTCGACCGCGATCATGAAGCTCACTTGTAAGCATACACACCCTTCTTCATGGTATGCGCATGCTGACAGCACCTAGTCAAGGACCTGAAGCAGCAGAAATTCACCATCGACGCGGAACCCACTGAGACCATCGGCGCCGTGAAGGAGAAGATTAGCCAGGAGAAAGGGTGGGAGACGTCCACACAGAAGCTGATCTACAGCGGCAAGATCCTGCAGGATGACAACACCATCGAGTCGTACAAGATCGAGGAGAAAGGCTTCATTGTGTGCATGATCTCCAAGCCCAAGGCTCCACCGAAGCCAGCAGCGGCAGAGCCAGCCACGCCAGCCCAAGCACCGTCTACACCATCCGCACCGGCAGCTCCAGCGCAGGCAGCCGGCACGACGACCTCCAATCCACCCGCCACTCCATCTCCAGCGCCTGCATCGACCGCCCCAGCAGGTGCCGAAGGCGCCAGCTTCAACGATCCAAACTCGCTTGCACTAGGTGAACAGCGCAGTGCAGCGGTCGCGAATATGGAGGCCATGGGTTTCGAGAGAGCCCTGATCGACCGAGCAATGCGCGCTGCGTTCTTCAACCCAGATCGTGCGGTGGAGTACCTGCTGACAGGGATACCGGAGAATCTTGAGCGTGAGCAGCAGGCAGCTCAGCAACAACAGCAACAAGCACAGAGACCTGCGTCAAACCAAGGGCAACAGCAGACACCGGCGGGAGGCAACACTGGTGCGACTGAGACTCCAGCTCCTACTGCTGAGGCGGGTGGCGACGAGCCGGTCAATCTCTTCGAGGCTGCTGCGCGGAGTGGTGGAGGTCGCGGCACAGGTGCAGGTGCGGGCGCGGGTGCAGGAGGTGCGGGCGCTCAGGCTGGTGGCGGCGGTGGTGGACAAGGTGGCAACGCATCCAACCTCGACTTCCTCCGCAACAACCCACAGTTCCAACAGCTCCGCCAAGTCGTGCATCAACAGCCGCAGATGCTGGAGCCTATCTTGCAGCAGGTCGCGGCCGGCAACCCTCAGCTCGCGCGCATCATCCAGGAGAACCCAGACCAGTTCATGCAGCTTCTTGCGGACGACAACGGTGACGAGGACGTGCAGTTGCCACCGGGGGCTCAGCAGATTGCGGTCACGGAGGAGGAGCGTGAGGCGATTGAGAGGGTGAGTCTGATAATGAACCTCCATTGTCTGAGTTCTGAGCTAACATTATCTGCAGCTCTGCCGCCTAGGCTTCGAGCGGGACATGGTGATCCAAGCCTACTTCGCCTGCGACAAGAACGAGGAGCTGGCCGCCAACTTCCTCTTCGACCAGCCTGATGAGCCGGATGAGCCAGGCCAGTAGGTCGCTGGTCCGGAACTATGCATCGATACGCGAAGCATCAGAACTATGGCTACAGCGGAACGACGAGAATGGCAATGCTAGTTCTCGTGGGTCAAAAGCATTGGGCGGCTGTCTTTGCTCTTCTCGGTGCAAACGAATTCACGATCATGATGCTTGAGTGAAGCGATACCATTGCGGAGACAGATGGGATTGCTCAGAGTAGCTCGATGGAGACGGCCTTCGGTTGCTGGTGGCTTCTGGATGGCTTTAGATAGGTAGCTACTCAACGATGATCTCCAATCCACGTTCTCCCGACGACGTCTCACAAAGGTTCCTGTGCCTCCTTCTAGCCTTCTTTCCAACGGAGAAGAGATACTTCGACCATCGCGCCGGGCTCAGGTCGACCGTTCAGAAGTGACCGCCAGGTTCTTTCAATCATGGAGTGTCACTGAGTGTATTGTCAAAGGCTGACCGACTACTGTCCAAAACCGCAACATTCATGGATCGTTGCATCACATGCTTTTTCCTTGGACATGCTCTCTCTACCTCTACATATCACGTGGCCAATTTCCAACACCTCACACTATAGCCTCGTGCTTCCACATGCTCATTATATCCTTCGTTCACCTGACATGTCCTCCTTGACCCAGACAACGACCTTCGCCTTGCTATCACGGATACTGCTCTGCCTCCCTCAAGGTTAGCCTGGCCGATTCAGAGTCTGCTAACTAAGTAACACTCCCTCCGACTTGGACTTGTCTGCGACTCCAATCTTCCGTGATCAGGCAGCTGCCGGGCCTATTGTGATATCAGTACCTCACCGGACAATACTTGAGGATTTCACTGCACACATCAAGTGAGGCAAGAAACTGGAGAAACCATCGATCGCTGCAGGTGGTGCAGATCGATTCGAAAACCAGCACGTCCGACACCACGTATATCACAGTTTCCTTTTGCGCATTTTTCCAGCTCTGCTGAAGAACTCATCTTCAGACTCACTTGAAGTGTCGTCTTGAATCTGCGATCCTGCATTGCAGAGGGCCCGCGCTAGTGCAAATATCCGCGCCTTGATTGGCCCATTCTCGTCAGCGCCAAGTGAACAACTTCTGGACGACCTGCTTCTCATAAACAGCCCTTTCAATCTTCCGCCAGAGGCACCGTCGGTGGCGTGAAAAGACGAACACCATTTCACCCAGATCGTTATCTTCTGTTGCGTTTGCCCTCGATACTAATACCTGATTGAATCGGTTCCAGTTTTGCGCTCTTCCCACCGTTCCGTTGCGCGGGTACGGGGTTACAGAGTGTCCAACCGACGACACCTCTACTCCAACACACCACCGCTTCAAAAACGACCGCATTATCGACCATCCTGTCAGGTAAGCATCCAATTCCTCATGTGCTGCCGCGCGACGCTTCACAAGGTGCTCGTTGCGGTGGCGCTGTATGTTTGTCTGACGCCTGCCGCTCCTCCGCTGCGACGTCGATTCGCCGCACACCAGGCTTTGCGAACCACTTCCGTCGTTCAACTTACATCGAGAATTGTCAATCTTCGCATTGAGCTAGTCTCTTGCTGAATGGAACTTTTCATCGATTTGAGAACGACTGGCGGGTGTTTTGCGGGTTTGAACCCTGCGTTGCCCCCTTGTGTGCAGGGCTTTGCTGTTGGCACTCCCTCATCACGCGAACGTTCTGGCGGCAGCAAAATCGTCCAGATCAACTACGAAAACACTTGTGCTGATACTACATACCAGATGTCTCCAAGAGACCAAATAATGCCGGGTATCAAAGGCAAAAGGGTACCTGGTCGCCCTGGACGATTCGACCCAACAGAACCGTTACACATGACAACCAGACGAGCCGCCAAAAGGCCTACAACTAATGGCTCACCTTCGCTCTCAGGGACTGCGGACGAAGATGACAGCAGAAGAGGATCTTTCGACGACGCTCGACCTCTTACTTCTTACAGCAACGGTAGCCAGCGGTCGGCGAAAAGCCGGCGACTCTCGGACATCTCTGTCCCTGCTGTCACTCCGGAAGGGCAGATGAACGGCATTCACTTGTCCGAAGGCAAAGTCAGCGATGAGCACCAGTTCCAGCCCTTGCCGCCTATCGAGCAGTCACCTAAAACACAACCTCAACCCCATCCATCACCGTCGCCATCGCCATCGCGAAAAAGGAAGCGGTCGCCATCACCTCAACCTCACTCATCGCCCCAACATCCGGACAGCACTGCAACCACCAGCTTCGAGAACAATGGCGATGTCAGCCCAAACTATGAAGAAGAAATGGAGGGCGTCGAAGTGGTGCGTCCAGACGAACTTTCCGATCGCGAGGTGCCTGCATCACAAGCCACTTCTCGCTCGGATGACGACGCAATGCAACTTGATGATGGTCTCATGGCACCGTCTATGGATCAGACTCCGGCCATTTCGGGCCAAATATCGCCTGTCACAAGTGAATCAAAATCACAAGACGACATCGCGAGTGCCAAGAAATTGGGCGCCGCGCTTGAGATCGCACGTGCAGAACGGGATGAGCAAGACAAGCGCGATGACCTTGGAGACATCGTTGAAGCAGCTGACGAGATCGACGAAGTTGATGAAGTCGATGGGCAAGTGAGGTCAGAGGATGACGGACGCCCACGGAAGGGTCGCTTTGGCGGCCGGCGACGAGCAACGCATGCAATCCCTAGAGTGGAGAGAGCAATGCAACGGCAATCGGAGCTGAAGTCTGCTTACAGAGCCATCGCACGTGCGCAAAAGGCGGTGCTTGCTGAGATTGCTCAACGAACAACCGACGATCTGGAGGCCAGTACAGAGTCACACTCACAAGCCACGGAGTACGAAGAAGTTCGTGCTGGGCTTGAATATGCATTGGCAGAGAGGAAACGACGTATCAATGCGCAGCATGAGATGAACATGGCGCAGCTGAGGAAGACGTTTGAGGCTCAGCAAGAAGTCGAAAAAGGAATGACTAGGCGGAATAAGGAGGTCGTCCACGATGAGCAGCTCGATCGACTGAAACACGACATACTACGAATATCCCGAGCTGCGCAGATGCATGGCACTGAGGCAGGTTACGAGACCGAAGACGAAGACGATGTCATTCCTCGTCCCAAAGGCATGGGCTACCGCTGGAAGAGGACTGCTGGGCTGGACCCAGCTTACGACTCGCGAAGCCGACTTGGTCTGGACACTCAACGGGCGATCGGCGAAATGGACAAGCGATTCCAGATACGCAAGATGCTTGATGAGCTTGCCGAGCAAGACAAGCCTGAGGAGCTGAAGAAGTTCACCGTCCGAGACAGCGCCCGCCGTGACATGGCTGTTGAGAACAGACTCAGTAAACTCAACACCAAGACCCTGGCAGAGGCCGCCGCATCGCTCCAGCGCCTTCAACAGATTGAGGAGGCTTCTCGGAATATCATCCCCAACGAAGAGGCAATTGGCCTGCAAGTGCTGGGAGATCTTGCGTCTAGACCTTCTATCACTGGCTCCGCTCCTCCACCCTCTCGTGGCAAAGATGGCAGTGAGTCGTACGTTGGCCAGACGCCTCCACCTCGTCAACAGCCACCCTATCTGCAAGTGCAGACGGACCAAGGTCCCAGTCGTATTCCTGTCAACATGTCGCCGCATACGCAGCAGGCTATGAACGAACGGTTCGACGCCGGCAACCACCCTCCATCTACTCAACAGCCGCAGCACGAGGCTGCTCCTCCACTACGCTCACCAGAAGCTTCGAGAACAGGGCCTGCGATGAAGTCACCAGCCACGAATGGAAATCGTTCTGACGTCTTCAGACTTTTACACAATGATTCTGACTCTCGACCTGGTTCTGGACCAGGCGCTTTCGACCGACCGGCCAGTCATCAGGACAACACACAACAGAATCGTGAACAGCGGAAAGAGCCTCTCGCGTCGCCATACGGATTCGGCGGGCGTCGAGACGGTCCGTCTTCCTGGAGGAGCTTTGGTTCGAACCAGCCATCTACTGTTTTCGACAGGCGGCCTTCTACCAACGACAGCATACCACGCTTTGGCTTCTTGTCACAAGGGTCCCGGCCGTCGTTGGGCGCATTCGGCCCGCAGGACAGAAAAGATGAACGAGACTCAGGCCGAAACCAGGCGACAATGCCTGCCAACTGGCTGCCTAACAATCTGCCTCCTCGACCAGACCAAGCAAGCCAAGCAGGAGCAGCGGATGTGAGAAGCCAGCGCCCTGCGTCACCCAGAGAGAGTGGGCGACGGTCTACACTGGACCTCGGACGCTCGCCACGTTCCCGGAACTCGTCCACTTTCTCGATCCATGACTACCGTGCCGACCAAGACAAGCAAAAGAAGCAAGGGTCTAAGAACTCATTTCACAAGACCAACAAGGCGGAGAGAAATGGCATCCCGCGTCGTCAGTGGTCGAAGCAACACAAGAACCTCGGCAAACCACTTCACAGGCCAGGACCGGCTTCTGCCATCTCTCCAGGGGCTGACTCTTCACCCTTTGGGCGCACACCAGACGAGCGTACTGGCCCACCGGCTCCCTGGCAGACTTCCGGACCTCCGCTTCAGTCACCGCTTGGCCCACCACCGCCCTCAGCGTTCGGTCAAACTTCGGCTTTTGGCCGTCCACCTCCTCCTTTCCCTCCCACAATGCGCGACATCTTTGACGGACGAGACAGCCGTCCTCAGGCGCCACCGTCGATCTGGGACAACCGGCCACCCAATCCGTCTCCGAGTCCTCTCTATGCTGTACCTCAGCCACAACACCATCCACAACCGGAGTATGGTCGCTTTGGACCACTCCCACCACAAAACTTTCCAGGCCCTCACCATCCACCGACTCCTCAGTCAGCGCCTGGTTCATACGGACAACAGTTCGGTGGCCCCCCGCTTGCACCTGCAGGCAACCCGAACTTTCACCCTCCTGGCTTCAGGCCTCAGCAACCTCTTCCTGCTTTTGCACAGCAAGCACAGCAGTCACAGCAGCATTCACAGCAGAATGGTCCCGGTAATAATAGGAGACGAGCGCAGAGTGATGCTAGCTTTCCTAAGTTTCACTCATGGAATCCGCCGTCGGGCGGTCGTCGCTAAGGCGTTAACGAGATGCCCTGTTCGGTGGCTGCACACTACTTCTTGGACATTGGGAAAGGAATGGAGGACACATTGGATCAGAGCAAGGCGCATGGGGGAGGCATTCTGCTGATCGATCTTCGTACTTTTGTTGTTACTATCAGCGTTGCTTTGCAAGCGTTGAGCATGGAGTTGAGAGTTGGCTACGTCGTTCATAGCTACCGCTAATGTCACAATACTGTGAACACCGTCTTTCCTCCAAGCAGTATTCGATTCTGAAGGCAATTCACGACTCCTTCCTAACTGGGAACATTCAAATTAGCTTAGCGCGTCGCGTCCCCGCGTCACCCACTCCAAGACTGCATGTGCATATGCAACAACCCGAACTTCTTTCACAGAAACATAACCATGGGCATACCACTGCTTCCCGACGAGCTGATGCTCATGCTGAAAGAGCAGTGGCCATGTCGAGAAACACAAATCACGCAGCTAGCCGGTCTTCTCTCGGTAAGCAACCTTCACCTTGCTTGCAGACAGGCAGCTGATCGAACAACAGCCCACACGCAGCAGCCCTTCGACTCTCACGATCTACGGACCACATGCGACAGGCAAGAGTGATGTCTTGCGCTCGTACCTTGATGCTGCGAAGCTTCCGCATGCGATCGTGCGGTGCCGGGAGTGCGTGACTGGGCGACATCTACTTGAGAGGACGACGGCTGCTGTACATCGGAGTGTGCAACAAGAAGACGACGAAGATGCGCTGAATTATGACGGGAGATGCGAGAACATCAGCGCGCTCGTTGTGCACCTACAGCGGCTGCTAGAGAAGCGGGAGAAGTTCGTCCTAGTCTTCGACGGAGTGGACAAGCAGAGGGATGCTCCGCCGACACTTCTGCCTGCTCTGGCGAGGTTGGGGGAGTTTGTACGATAAGCTAAAATCCCTTTTACAACTCTTGCTGACAATACGCTGCAGATACCCAACCTCACAACCATCCTGATTGTCCAACACCCACCACCCCGCTTTCTCCACCACGCCGGCATCCCTCACATCCAATTCCCCTCCTATACCCGCGCGCAATCGATCCACATCCTCTCGCAAAAGCCACCCGACATCTTTGTCGAAGCACCCCCGGCCGAGCTGGACTACGACGACGAAACACACCAAGAAGACAAAGCATGGCTGTGGCCGCGATTCTGCGCTGCGGTATGGGATTCGTTGGGCGAGAGCGTTGCTCGCGATCTCGTCAGCTTTCGGGATGTGTGTTACAAGCTGTGGCAGCCGTTCGTGGTGCCGATTGTGAAAGGCGACTTTGGTACAAGGGACTTCAGCCGGCTGCTTGTGAATCAGAGGAAGCTGTTCCAGGATGAGAGCGTGCTTCTTGATAGCATCATTGCTCCGGTCAAGGCAGGGCCGAATGCGCCTCCGTCTTCAACCACTACGCACGAGTTGCCGTACTATGCGAAGTGGTTGCTCATAGCTGCATATCTGGCGTCTTACAACCCGCCGCGACTGGATGCGCTCTACTTCATGAAGTCCACCGAGCGCAAACGGCGGAAGAAGGGCGGCGGTACTGCTCGCTCTGGCGGCCGACTGAGCCAGAAGCGCAGTGTTCCGAGACATCTGCTGGCGCCTTCAGCGTTTACGCTGGACCGAGTGCTGGCGATCCTGCATGCGATCCTGCCGCATGATCTGAGGACTACGATCGACATCTATGCGCAGATTGCCACACTTTCGGGACTCAAGCTGCTGGTGCGATCAGGAGGCATCGGAAGTGCCGACCCCTTGGAGCCGGGCAGCAAGTGGAAAGTCGGAAGCGTAGTGAGGTGGGAGAACGTGCAGGGTCTGGCACGGAGCTTGAAGTTCGATGTCGTCGACTACGTGGCAGAATGACCAAACAATCCAATATGCTGACACCACTACAGCTTATGCTTCTTCTCCTTACTAGCAATCTTCCTAAACTCCTCCTGCGGGATCCCCTTCATAAACACATCAATCCCGCCATACACCTCCGCCACGCCCTGCGCATCCAACGTCTCCTTATACGGCTTCCGAATCAACGCCTTAATCTTCGTCAACGAGTCCGGCACCAGATGCGGTCCCATCCGGTCATCGACCTCCTTCAACACCATGTCCAAGAACTTCTCATGCTCGCCTTGCTTCACGTCAAAGACCTTGTTGATGTACCCGCAGTGCACCAGCTCCTCGCACGTCATGCGCTTGCTCATGATCAACGCCTCGTTCGCCTTGGGAAGACCCATTCGCTGGACGAAGCCTACGCTCGCGCCGCCTTCTGCTACGAGGCCTAAGCTGGAGAATGGGGTCAAGAGGTAGGTGTGTGGAGCGGCGTAGATGAAGTCCGCGAAGCCTGTCAGAGCGGCTGAGAGGCCTATCACGGGCCCGTTGAGGGCTATGACTAGGATCTTGGGGTGGGTGTAGAAGGCTTGCGTCGTGTTCAGGTTGCCGGGCATGAGGCTGCGGAGTTGCTGGCGGTAGAAGTCTTCCGTGTCGGAGGCATTGCGGGGACGAGGGACGGTTACGTCGGCGCCTCTTCATGGCACTGTCAGTGGGGGAGGGAGCAGGAGGGTATGAGAGGGGAGGGGCGTACGCGCTGAAGAAGCGACCTTTGCCTGTCAAGACAGTGATATAGACGTCCGGGCGGTCGGCGATCTCTCGCAAGTATTTGGAGAGCGTATAGTAATTGTCCTGGTTCATCGCGTTTAATTTTTTCTCGTTGTTGAGAGTGATGATGGCGATATGGCCGCGTTCATTCTTGCGGTATTCAAGGGTTACGACTGGGTCTGCCATGGTGGGAGATGTGGGCTGTTTTAGGGACGAGATGAGGGAGAAATTTGATTCTTGAACAGTAGATCGATATGTACGAGAGCAGAGTGAAGATCAAGAAGAATTACAATACCTTTCTACGCCGAGGCGGCTGGGAATAATAGCTGCATGCAAGTCAGAGGTGGAGTTGGAGGAAGGCGTCTGCTCTGCCAGCCGAGGCATTGAGGAGCTGTCTGAAAATGGCTAGACTATTGCGGGACACTCCGAATACGTTAGACGTCACGCCTTCGAGAACGCCTTCTGCAACTAAGAGGATCAAGCACCACTCCGTCGAACGATCTCTACCGCACCCTTGAAGAGACTACTACTACCTGCGACATCATGGGCGGTCCCAATCTCGAAGTATTCAAGGTACGCTAGTCCCGGACAGAGCAGCATGAAGCACCAGCTAACGTCGCCAGTTCGGAATGTACATTATGTTCCCCATCGGCATCATGTACTACTTCGGAACGAATCTGGACTCACGCTTTTCCGTTCCAGACTTCTGGCCCAAGGAAGATCAATCGCACAGAATCCCGTTCGAAAGGGACGAGATCAAGGAGGAGCTGGAGAGACTGAAGCAGCGGCGGCTGGCAAGAAGGGCACAGCGGATAGAGATGGAGCACGAGGGTAAAGATACGGAGGTCACGATGAACAGAGAACAGCAGGCCGAGCATCCTAGGCCGGAGCCGTTGGAGGCAACGCACATGGAGGAGCCGGGGAAGAGTCAGATTGCGAGGCAGAAGGGCTGGGGGAGCTGGTTTCGATGAACGAGGTTCTATCTGATGGTCTGCGCATCTCCACTCAAAATCATGGCTTGGCCGGATGCAGGCGGACAGCGCAACAAGTCTCGTCATTGGACGGTGCCTACTCAGCTACCGCTTGCCCTTCTGGTACGGATACTGCTTCCTCCAGTGCTTCGCAATCTCATCCCGCCTCGTCACCCACACCTCGCCGTCTGGTCTGGACGAAAGATACTCCACGAACCTCTTGAGAGCCATGAAGCGACCCGGCTTTCCGATGATCCTGCAGTGCAGACCAATGGTCATCATCTTTGGTGTGCCAGCATACCCTTCGGCGAGAAGGACGTCGAATGCGGACTGCAGGTACTCGAAGAATGCTTGTGGCGAGAAGGTGCCAGTCGTGCTGTGAAATTTGAGGTCGTTGTTGTCATAGCTGGGCGGCTGTCAGCAGACGGTTGCGGTGCGTGGGAAGTATGTACTGACGTATACGGAATCATCAACATGCCTTCCGCCTTTTCAGCGTCCTTCTCCGCGGGTACGTCGACCCAATATGGCAGGTCGTCGCAGTACGCATCGCTCTCCCAGAGCAAAGGAATGCCCTGCTCCTTGTACACCTCCCACACGAGCGCACGAGAGCGTGGCGATAGGCGACCATAGTACCAACCGCATGGATACTCGCCGGTGAGCTCTTTTACAGATTTGAGCTGGCGGCGGATGTACTCCTTTTCGAGCTCGGGCTCCATAGCTGCGATTCCATCAGCACGGGATGTCTCAAATCAGGCGAACCTCAACGATACGTACGGTGGTAATCAATCCAGCGATACGCATGACTAGCAATCTCATGCCCGCCGCTCTGGAACGCTTTCGTTACTTCGGGGTTCTTCTCTAATGCTTGACCGACCGCATAAGCGGTGATGGGCATCTTGTGCGCCTCGAAAAGGTTCAGCATCCGCCAGATCCCAACTCGCGAGCCATACTCGTAGTCGCTTTCAACATTAATGGCACGCTCGCCGATCCGACCTGGTCGGTCGCCGCCTTGTTCGTGGAGGGAGGACTCGGACTGAGAGTCGCCGTTGAGGACGGATCTTTCAGCACCCTGGGGAGGACGTTAGAGCAAAGCTGGGTATTGGCATGTAGTTATCGTTACCTCTTCATAGTTTATCACGAAACTGACTGCAATCTTCGCTCCATTTGGCCACTTCGGATTAGGTGGATGGCGGCCGTAGCCTATTAAATCACGAGGGAAGTCGTACTTTGTGCCTTTGTCGGGGTCGGCGTTCTCTGCGTCTAATGCAGGTACCATGGGTTTGGCAGAGGCCATAGTATGTTTTTACAGCACAGTGATGAAGAAGAATCCAAGTCTGGAGTTGTGGATAGGTCTCCTCTATCTCATTGTTCGGCGTTACTGGTTGCGGCAGGTAGTTATTCGAGCGGGGAGCGGGCAAGCAGGGTTGGCCGATGCTGGATGCTGGGAGACATGCACGCCGGTTTGATCGATAACAACGGCATCAAGGGATAAATACACTTTTGATGAATTCGGCAATGAAGGCTGTCCGTCACGCAACACACCGTACCTTCATGGGAACCCAAGGACTGCTGCTGCTGCCCCGTTACCACCCAATCTCTGCCCGAGCCGCAATTCTCGTCGTTCCGCCTCAGCAGCCTCGTGCATCCTCAACCTCTCATCTTCCTCTATTCGACAGACTCTCCGCAGGACCACAAACATGAATTCCTGCGCGCCTTTCTCCAGGGCAAAGTTGGCATCGTAGTCTTCGCAGGTCAAAATCCACTTGTGGCGGAAATTTACAGCCTGCTGCACCAAAGCGGTGCGGAGTTGCTGGTCGGTATAAGAAGTTTGTTCCCAGACAGCCTTGATCAGTTTGTTGTAGTCGTGTCGGCTGAACGCCCCGCTGATTAGCTTGAAGCGCTCGAGAGCGAAGGCTTGAGGCTTGGGATGTTGTAGTAGTCTCCGATGGCATAAACATCGACGTGGGCGATGAGAGCGCGGTTCAACTCGCCGTTGTCTTCCCATCGCATGCCGTCGTCCTCTGGCCTCCAGCCTGTTTCCGAAGAAGGATCGCAAGAGCCCAGAATGTAAGGCTCAGAACCCTTGGATCTCGAGCATCCGAACATTGGATGGTCGCTTTTCACTGTGTAGCTCCGCGTGTACACGTAGGTGATCATTCTGTCCACCGTCTCTTCGTCAAATTCTTCCTGTTCGATCACACCTGACAGCCCTTCCTTCATTTCACCATCGCACTCTGTTGCAATGACACAGGATGCCGTGCACACGATCGCCTTGTGAACATGCCATTCGCGGTTTCCGCACTTGGTGGTTAGGTCAGTGTATTTGCCGCTCTTCATGAGTTCTGTGAGTTCCTCCACAAGCGCTTCGTGGTGTACGTTCGATGTGGCCATGATGTGGGTTGTGACGAGCTCACGGCGGCATCAGTATCACCTCATATATGAGGCAATTGCTTTTCCGCCGCAGCTGGTCGTTTGCCCTGTTCAGTGGCAGCTCAAAGGAGACAACGCACTCTTGGGAAGAGAAAAGGAAACGCTTAGACACAGCCTTTGATGCGCGACCGTGGCAAGTGCATGAGAACAAAACGAAGGAGGACACTGTATTGACGAGCAGTTGCTGAGACGAACAAAAAAGAAAGCTTACCACTGGGAGAAACCAAGGAAACATACCTGTCAGGAAGAAACAGAGAGCCATAGAGGTTTGGTGCGATACAATTCGACATGGCTGATCTGAGATGGCCCATCCTCGGGCACAGCTCGAGAGCAATGTTGCCTGCCAGTGCTCGAAGCGTTGCTCCATAGAAGGCCATTGTAGAAACGAAGGCTGGCATATATACAAGTCGTCTTCGTCGTAGCTCATTAGGCTCCAAAATTCATCTTCAACGCTATCGTCGGCTCATGATCCGTCCCATAATCGCTGTTGTTTCTCCTTGCGACACTCCCGGACTTGAGAATCTGCTCCAGTACGCGACGGCGATCACCATCCATAGACCCAACAACAGCTCGGAAGGCCGCATTATCAGTGGTGGCCAACTCAAGGAGGCGGCTCGCTGTCTCCGGATAGATCTTGGAGCCATCCGTAACAGCACGCACGAGCAGTGTCTGGATTAAGAGCGCCACAGCCGCGGGTTTCCGTTCGGCTGGCAACTTCGCCGCGTACATTGAGAGGGTTTGCGCCATGATGGTCTTGGTGTCGTCCATTCCTTCCAAATTCGATGGAGTGGAGATGAACGTGATCGCTTGGGGCAAAAGTGTTTCCACCGTCACATTAGCCAGCAGCAGCGTGCGGATGCAGCCAGCGGCGACACGACTTGTCATCGGGCTCTCCAGACATTCGCATAGCTCGGCAGCGAATCTAAGCACCGTCGGATCGGTCTCCGGAAGATCGTTTGGTGCAGCTGTTAGCAAGACGGTGATTGCGAGCAACGTGTTCTTTTCGCAGGGCAAGCTGGCCTCAGTCTCCCTCTTCTGGGCGTTCCTCAATATGAGCATCATCCGTGACAGCGTATTACTAAGCTGATGGCGGGTTCCCGTCCGGTCGTCATGAGCAATGCTGACTATGAAACGCCTGAGGACAGGCAGCGCTTGGGGCACCACTCCAGCTTGACAGACACCAGTGCCGAGTATCGTGACGAAGATGTGCAGAATCGTGGCGTGCAGGTCGGATTTGATGATCGATGGAAAGACCTCCGAAACGTCTACGAGAGCCTGTAGCGCGTTGCGAACGAGGCCAACAGCTTCTTCAGAGGTCTCAAGCTTGGCGGATGTCGGCGTGTCAGATAGACCCGGTATTAGGCCAGCAAGCACCAGGACAATGATACGCGTGAGCTCGAAGAGCTGCTCGATGTCGTCCGAAAGCGTCTCTCCATTGATCGGCGTCTGCATTCCTTGTCGTGAGGACGGATGGACCGTGCAAAGGTTTCGAGCAAGCTCCACAATGATGGCCTGTACGCCCAAGCTCTCCGTCAAGACCATGCGATCGAGCAAGTCCATAGTCTCCGCGAAGACCACTTCTTGGTAAACAGCGTTGCCGGACACGGAAGGACGTAGTATCTTCTTGAGAGCCTGTAGAATGTCGAGGTTGCGTTGCGACGTGACGAGATCGTCGTCGTTAGAGCGGACGGCCAAAGATTCGAAAGCAAGACCAAAGAGGACGAAAAAGAACGCTACCGGTTCTTCTCTGTAGTTGATTCCAGTGCTCTTGCGAATTATGCCATTGACACCGTTCGGCTGCGCTTCTTCGGGCTCGTCGGCTTGCGCGTGTTTGCCATCTAATGCGTCGAATACAAAGTCGCTGTCCTCGTCGATCAAGCTGGCGATGGCGTCGACGAGGCTAAGCCAAGAGTCTTGATAAAACTTCAGCAAGGTCTGTCTGTTCAGTGCGGCGTACACGGCGTCCAGATCGCCTGATGGTGGGTTGCCAGTGCTTGCAGAGATGTCGGGCTCAAACCGAAGGCGAGAGTACTCCCGCAAAGAGCTCAGCCAAAGCGGTACCAGCTGGGCGATATGCGGTTTCACAACGTTGACCAGGTACTGTTGCTCTCCACTCGCAATCTGCAGTTCAGCCCATGCAGAGAATACAGCCATCCGAACCATCACCTGCGCATTAGAGCTGAGACCTTTCAGATCTCCAATGGAAGCAGTCTCTGAGTCTTTGGAGAAGCTCTCCAGCGCGGAAATCAGCAGCTTGAGGATGCGGCCCATTCGATCAATGTCTGTAACGATGCCTGTTGCTATGAAAGTAGCACAGACATTGACGGCTTCTGCTGCCAGCTCAGGAGACGAGTCACCGGCAAATGCTGGAGTGAGGGCGGAGCTGATCTGTGCTTGATACTGCTCCAGGAGCATTGCCTCGGGGAAGTCTGGGTCAGGTGTTCGGCCAAACATCTGCAGGATCTGATCGACAATTCGGAGACCAACTACTCGCAAGGAAGTCACTCCAGCGGTCGAAGCAGAAAACGCGATGCGAACGACGTCCGCTACTTTGTCTTGCAGTGCCGCTTCACCAGGACTTTCTTCCACGCTGACAGAAGCCTCCTTGCTGATCATACCAATCAGGCTGTGTAGACAGTCCATTGCGAAAAGTCTCACCTGCCAGCGCATGAGCTCTTGTGTAGACGAAGGTGCAGCCGTCTCTTCGTCCTTGTTGACGCCTGCTGCAGCCGCAAAGCCAGCGACCTCCTCATCTTGCAGGTCTGGGCCGGCTGTGTCTTTGACTGGGGCTGTTTTCGGCTGCTCCACCTTCGCTTTGGTCTTGGTCAAGATAGTGTTGCAGCGTTGAATCCAGCCGGCTGGATCGCTCGGTCCCGTCTGCTGCAGCCAATTGGTGAAGATATGTCGCGCATGAACCTGGTCAGGATTCGAATTCAAGTAGTCCCACAGACGCTCTTCGAGCCCAGGCTGGGCGGTTCGAACGACTTCCGGCGCATCACGCCTCATGATCGTGAACAGTCCGTGGAGGGCGGAAGATGAGATTTCTTCATTGCTATGTTCAATGTCTTGCTGAAGACGCCGGACGTATGGTGCAAAATCGAGGTATCCAGGAGCGTACAGAGACAGGTGCTCGAGGCAGCGCAAGCTCTCGAGCAGGATTGGGATCTCTGTCTCGTTCGAGAAGAGGTGCACCAGATTCATGATCATGTCTCGCACCTTTGTCATGTCCTGTAAGTCCGGTCCAAGCACATTTATGATGGCATCAACACCTCGGGCCACGGCTGCAACCACAGGCAAACCCATTGACATATTGGACGATGCCATGGAAGCGCATTCAACGCCGTGGCTGTCGAATATGTACAGCTGGCTGAGCATGCCGATGGCACTCGTGACATAGCCGGAGAAATTCAGACCGGCTGAGTCTGCGACTTGAGCTAAGCTGTCAAGTGCCCACGTGTGGACGAGTGGATGAGTGTCGGCAGCAAGGGACATCAGAATGCCAACGATGGACTTCATGTGGAAGCCAGCTGCCATGCCACCAAGCTGCGAGTGTATGTCTGCCAGAGCTAAGGCGCAGCCCGCTCGGACATGTGGCTCACGATTCTTGACAATTGTCTCTGTCAAGTAGGTAACCTCAGCTGCGGTGAAGGCGTTACCTGAGCTGGAACACAGTCGACCGATACCATCGGCCGCCATGTGTCGAACGCTGTCATCTGTGTCTTTAAGGCAGACATGGAGTAGATGCTGAAGGCCTTTCTCTGTCTTCTGATTTCTCAGCTCTCCCTTTGCGCTTCCTGCTTCACCGTTTGCGACCTTGCAAGCCGACATCAAAGCCAATGCAAGGTTGACAGAAATTGCTGCCTTACGCGCCGGGTCCTTTTGCAATGTGCTAGCACTGACAGAAGATGTAACCTGCTCGATGGTGCTCTCTTGGACTCTTGGCGCTTGCAACGGTAGGCAAAGTGCAAAGACGGTTATTGCAGCGTTGACTGTCTCGGTGCCAGGAGGATCTGGGTACTCTTCGTCGTTAGACATGGTGCCGAGATAGCAAAAGGAGCCATCGTTTTCTACAGCCGACATGATGGGCGAGGAAACAGCCTGGTCCAGGAAGTCAAGATCCCCATCCCGACTACTCCAATGCCGCTGCATATGGCGGTCGACAGGATTCCGCACATCCAACCCTTGTACAAGGCCAGTGACGCCGAAGCCGAAGTTGTCCGCGACATCCCAGATTGACTCGAATGAGGCCGATGCACTGGCAATAGCAACGCTGAGCGAGCTGGGTGCGTAAAACTCGGCATCGGAGAACGAGGCGACCGCTAGAGGCAGAATCGTTGAATGCGCGGTCGACTCTAGGCTTCCGACGGGGCTGAGCTTCAGAAGCTGAGAGTAACATTGGAAGACCCTCCGCCGCACCATGACTTCGTAGTCTTGTAACTGAAGAGCAGTTGAGAGGCGGTTCGCGGGCTCGTCGCTGGTTTTCCTGTCTGGTAGGCTCTGTAAGAACGCCACAGTGTTCTCCAGCATCACACTCAAGCGTTTCGAGACATCAGTCGTCAGAAGACGTTGGTTGAAAGTGAGAAAGGCTTTGATGGCACCCAGGGCGCACTCGCGGACGTGTGCCAAGTAGCTTTGCTCAAGCATGTTCCTCTGGCTGACATTCTCTCTGCTGATCGGCTTTGGTAGTGCGTTCTTCCAGAGCAGCATAAGCTGCGACAAGTGTATTTTCACGAAGTTGGGACCTAGAGACATCAGGCCGCCGATCATGATCCAGGCTACCTGCAGCTGGCAACTTGACACTCGGAGGTCTGAGCTGCCGGCAGATTTGAGCAGTGCTGTAGCTTGTTGCAGGACTCGCGCATAGACATCCACTGAACCGTACAGTGGATGCTGGCTTGAAGTGCTGATAATCGCTGCAAGGCCATGCGCATAGCCCAGACATCTTCTTGGGCTTTGGCGAGGACTCCCCAGTTGAGCTATCTCGCGGGATACGCTGTTCATGCAAATGGTTGCAGAAGGCAGGAGGTGCTGCGGACACGCCAGAACAAAAGCTCGCAGAGCACGAGCAGCATGTAGCTGAACTGTAAAGCTCGGATGCTGAAGCACTTGAAGCAGGCCTTCCCGGCAAGAATCTGCGAGAGCACCAGTTGCTGCGCCCAGGTCTTGTATCAGCGACGTCAGCGCACTGACCGCACCCAAGAGGACCTGCTTATGCGGTTCTGGTCGCTCTTTGACAGCCTGAGGGTAGTCCTTGATTATGTTGTTGAGCAAGAATCGACAAGCGTTTAGCTGGGCCGTTTCGCCGAGCATGCGTCCAACGATACGCTCCAGTATGACACGCACAAACTTGCGAGTCATGAGAATGCGGTATTTGTTGCCATATGCGAATCCAGCGTAGTTCAGCACGTCGGTGAAGAGGTGTCGTGCAACGTCTCCATAGTTGTCTTCGACCACACCTTCGCCCAAAGACTTCAAGACTTTGATGTAGCATACTGCAATTCCAGCTCGTACCTTGTTGGAGCTTGACGGTCGACAGTAGTGGTTTGACAAGATCCGCAGCATTTCAAGTAGGCTGTAGGATAGTGCAGTTGCAGGTTTCTCTGGTACGGGAGACGAGGTACGCTCGATCTCATCGTCCAAGTCCTCAGCCTTGACCTGCTTCTTGGACTTCTTGGGCTTGCGTATGGTGGGTACAGCTTCCTTTTGGGCCAGTCCAGAGAAGCTCTTCACCAATTGAGCCGCAAGACAAGACGCTGCTGCATGCCGTACAGGGACACATGACGTATCCATTGCTCTCACAAGGACGCCTTGGAGCTTCTCGAAGTCATTCGAGTTGTCGAAATACGGTGTGCAGCGCACCAGTTGTTCCAAGCACCAGCAGGCGTTCTGTTGTACCAGAAACGATCTGTCCCCTTCGGCTGCCTTCCTCGCTTGCTTCCAGATTGCCCGCCCGACATCCTCGTCTATCGCTACCTTGATACCGAGGGTGATCTTTCCTAGTGTTCGAAATATCGCGGCGCGCAACCCAGTATCGTTCGAGGCGCCCTTCAGAGCCTTCAACGCCGAAGTGCACGCCAGAGGCGACAGACTCATTGCACTGTCCCCGGCCGCCTCCAACAATGCCCCAAGGGAAGACGCCGCAGCATGTTTCGACCGTGCATCCTTCTCTTTGCCAGCGTTCAAGATTGCTACCAGGTCGTTGATAGACTCGTAGAGCAGCTTCCTGTTGCCCTTGCCGAAGATCGCCGTAAAGCATCGTCCTACGTTGCTTCGTATGACCCGCGTCGGGGCAGGTTGTGAGAGGTTTATGATCTGGAAGAGCTCCTTCTTGATCGCGGTCTGTTCTGCTGACGCGCCGTCTGAGTCCAGGGACTCGACATGGCTTGCGAGGTCTGCGGAGAAGCTGAGAAGGTAAAGATCCTGCTGCTCCGAAGGTAAGCTGTGTAGCTTAGCCACGTCTAATTGGAAAGGCTGTGGCTGTCCGTTCGAAGTGGTGTCCTTGGTAGGAGATGCCGGTCTTGTGGCCGGTGTGCCTGGCCGCTGCGCAGGGGTGTCGGGACGTGAGCTCGACATCATAATCTTTGACCATAGTAGACCACTGTTCGCTGATTTGGAGCTGTTCGGATGACAGAGTAAGGAGCAATGTGCGGTGGATGTTGAAGTCTCTCCTACCGTCCATTCACCTCACCTCCGCCTCGCCGCAAACTCTAAATATATCTGACTTCCCTTTTTGGCGACTATCACATGCAAGGGATGGTTACACCACATATGCATATCAGTGCATTTCACATGACTCCCAGCAGAGGCCTCGGGTCTATACCGGCTTGTGCCGCTAGGCATAAATTCTGTTCAAGAGCAGTCCGGCAGCACTCTCGACCGTTCACTGCTTTCGCGCCGTTACAATCTGGCCACAACCGCTGGTCGAAGATTAAGCACGACAAAGGCGTGGCAGATGCCAGAAAGAACCGCCAACGCTCAGCATTTGCCCAAGAGATCACCACCGCCTCGAAGCTATTCGGCCCTGAGCCGTCGATGAACCCGCGACTGGCCGATCTTGTTACTAAAGCCAAGAGAGAGGGATTTGCGAAGGCGTCTATCGAAGCGGCAATAGCGCGAGGTCAAGGGAAGAGCACGAGCGGCGCGAATCTTGAGAGTGTCATGGTGGAGGGGATGTTACCGAACAACGTGGCAGTAATTGTGGAGTGTGAGACAGACTCTAAGCTTAAGACGCTCGCGGATGTGAGGCTCGCAATGAAAGATGCAGGCGGAAGTGCGACACCTTGCTCATATCTGTTCGAGAAAAGAGGGAAGGTCGTTCTCGAGCCAAAAGAAGGCATCGACTTGGAGAGCGCGTTAGAGGCAGCCCTCAAAGTTGATGTCACAGATCTCGACGAGGACGATGAGGGTAACATCGTGGCCTATTGTGGTGCAAGCGACACGAAGGCAGTTGGAGAAGGTATGAGCGCCGCTTTGGGGACTGTAATTAAAACGAGCGATATCGTCTGGAGTCCCAACTTGGAGACACAGGTTGCACTATCCAGCGAGAACCAGGTAGCCGAGCTGGGCAGCTTCGTGGACAATCTGCTTGACAAGGAGAACTCTGTCCAAGCAGTATCGATGAATGTCGCCCAAGGGAGCGCGAGTGAGGGGCCTTGGAAGGAACTGCAAAGCCGACTCAGTGCATGCTGTGCGTGAGAACCGTTCATCGCCCAACATCACGATTTGTCTTGGAGACGTCGCACTCGATTGTCTTGTGCCTTTGGCGGCCGGAAAGCGCTGTCCTCGAGAGATCAACCGCGTTGATGATCCGGTCAGTGGACTTCATCGAGCGGGTTGATGTACGGCCCGTCACCACGAGCCATGTGGCAAAAATCATTCGGATGCATCCAGCGCCTCGCTTCAGCACCTCGGAGTCTCAAGTCAGCATTTGAGTGTCCGCGGCAGGCTGCGTTTAAGGGTCTGCACCATCCGCTATCGCTTCTTTGCCATCCTTCTGGACTGGTTCCTGGATCGAAGGTGATGCACTACTCGGCACCGAAGCCTTCGCTTTCCCGCCTTGTGTCCCTATTGTCAGGAACGGCACCAGGCACACGGCCAGCCCGGAACACGCCACAGCGAACCAGAAAGTCGCCGTGTACGGCTGCGTGCGCTTATCCCAGTACGAAGCTAGCTGTGGATTCTTGCCGACGGAGTTATAGATCGCTGTGGCAACACCGAAGCCCAGGGTCATGCACAGCTTGGTCACTGTTTGGAAGATCCCGCTCGCCACGCTCTGACGCGACGGTGGCATCGAACTCATTACGTACATGTTTGCCACGTTGAACTCGAAGTCGGCGCCAATGACCATGATGCAGAAGGCCGGGAAGCAGAAAGCCCAGTAAGAGCTTGAGTGGCGGTTGAGCGCGAGCAGTATGAAGGCGATGAAATACGCCAAAGTGCCAATAAGCATCAGCAGCTTGTTCGAGACCCGGTGCAAGACCAATCCTGCGACAATGTTTGCGATGATGCCAGAGATGGCCATGGGCAGCAAATGGACGCCGACAGCAAGAGCCGACATGTTCCAGACTTCCTGGAAGTAGAGCGCGATGAAGAAGCTCGCGGGAGTGAAAGACATGAAGCCCAGCATCAAGATCGAGAGCAGGAGAGAAAAGTCGCGGTCCTTCCAGATGTTCATCGGCACCAGAGGGTATTTGAACCTTAGCTCCCAGAATACGAAGGCGACCATAAGGAACAGACCCACGATCAGGAGTGCAATGACATAGTCAGTTCCCCAGCCCTGCGGTGCAGTATCTCCGAGACTGATTGCCGCGCTGAACATCCCGATCCCACTGACGGTAAGTACAGTGCCCACAATGTCGAATCGCTTGATTGTCAGCCAAGTGAGAGGTTCCTTATCAGTCCAGTCCTTCGGGATCGTGAAGATGCCAATAATTGTGAACGCGAGAAAGATGAGGGCAATCAGCCAGAACGTAGCACGCCAGTTGAATATGTAGGCGGCGATACCGCCAAAGATGGTCCCAAACACGTAGCCCAAGGGATTACCAGCCGAGAAACAAGCAAAGGCAGCGTTCTTTCTCTTGCTCGGCTTCTCGTACGCAGCACCCAGTATGCCAGACGCTGGAGGTACAGCAGCAGCTGCCATCAGACCCAGTACGCCGGAGAGGATGTCCAGAGTGATGGGAGTTTTGGCAAAGCCAGCCGCCATTGCGAATACCGAGTATAGGAACATTGATCCAACGAACAGCATTTTGCGGCCTGTCACTTGTCAGCAACAGTGTAGATGAACAGCATTTTTCGTACTCACCAAAGAGATCCGCTATCCTGCCAAAGAACAGTAAGAAAGCGCCACTGCTCAGCGTCGCTGCAGAAGAGATCCAGGTAATCTCGGCAGTTGACATCTCGAGATCTCTTCCAACAAAGGATGAGATAACCGTCACAGAACCCGTGAAGAGGGAGCCCATTGCGATCGCCATCGTCGCTGTCAGAACAAATAACACTTCCTGTAAGGTCGACTTGAAGCATGCTGGTCGGACGTTGTTCGTTTGGACTGTCTCGAGTGGAGACATGTCACGGGCATCGTTCATAGAGGGAAGAGGTGAACTGGTCGTTGCATGTTCCTGAGCATACTTCTCGTCGTCCATCGCATCGGGCGCCAATGGAGTCAAGGCAAAAACATTGGAGTTTGATCAAGGTCGAGAGATTGATAAAGTAGAGGAATGCGGCTTAATGGACGACATTGAAACAAGGATGCTGTGGGTCGCTAAATACATGATCGAAAAGTCCTGAGCGGCTTGGTTCCGATGCTTAGAAGTGCTTCACTTGCCCTCAAATACTTCATTAAAACTCGGTCGAAAGACTGCACGTCTGCGGAACGAAGCATGTGTAATGCAACGCGTAGGTCTCCCTTCAGCCTCACCAAATCAAACTCGAGTTCAGGGCGGTAAATATCCTGCGAGGGCGACAACTTTCGTGGTGGAGGAGAGAAGCATCGAGTCTTCAGAGCTTCACCACTTCCCAGCCGGCAAGGCTCATCGTCGACAGCACACCACCGAGCGGGCCCTGGGCCTCTCGGCCATTCAACCACTGCTTTGGTCCAGCCCAGTAGTTGATGAAGCCCTCGGGTCCCGAGATGAGCAGCAGCTTTCTTCCACCCGGCTGCTGAGTGGTGGAATAAGCTGACTGGAGCGACCGCTGGATGTCCCCTGGCTGTATGAACGTGTCCTCGTCATCGACGTAGTAATCGACGAGGAGTTGAGGTGATTCATGCGCTGTCCTTCCGCTTGGAGGAAGGAGCTTCAGCTGCTCAAGCGTCAACACTACACGGCTCCTCTCCCTGTCGTGTTCGATTTCCTTTACTTGACCGGCGTCAAACCCAAAGATGCCAGCCTTCAGCCAAGACGTCCAGCTTTGAGGTGGAGGTGTGTCACTGATGCCGCCAACACAATCCTGCCGACAGCGGCTCGCCCACAACACATGCATGCGGGCTTGTCCCGCGAGTGCTTTTGCCACTTGCATGGCAGGCACGATTCCCGTGCCTCCTGCGAGGAATACAACCTCATCCACACCCTCAGGAAACGCAAAGTCAACCACTGGTCCTCGTACTTCGATATCGGAACCCAGAGGCAACCTGTGCAGGTAGCCCGATACCTCGCCATTGCGTTCCTTCCGTATCAAGAGGTCCAAGTTTGCAGAATCCGTTCCAGTGTCGGATGGAAGCAACGTGTAGTTTCTGGCTATTTGTAATTGCGGCTGCTTGATCTGAACACTGGTGATTGCGCGCTCTGCGGCAGACCTCCTCGCCAACGAGTCCGAAGATGTCGCCGGCTCCAGGGTAAAGATGGCTGATGTTGAGGACACGTCCTCCTTCCTCGCTAGAGTGTATCGCACAAATCCATCTGCGCTCGACGACGCTGTGCTTCCATTCCCTCCATTTGTGGCCCAGCTCAAGGCGTAGCCCAACGGCACGAAGAGCGCGAGGACTGTGAACGGTCGTATAGATCCTGTCTTCTTCTGTTGCTCTCCTCCATGCTGTTGCGGACGCGGAGCGCTCGTAGTCTGCTGACCCTGTTCGCTTCTCTTCGCTGAAGTTGACAGAAATGCTGGCCTTGGTCTGGCGTCACAGTACAGTGTCCATCGCGTACTTGGAAGCGCTGAGCGTAGTCGCAATGATCGCATGTGCATCGCCTTCCCGAATGTTGCTGGACAGAGATGCAGCCAAGGGTGTGATCCTGAGGGCGGAAGGCCCGAGCTCCGCCTTCAAGACGTCACCTCGTCTTTTCATGTTGACTTTTGGTGTTCATTTCATGCTTGGGCCATAATTGTATACGGCAGCTGCTGTGATCATGCAATTGTGTGCTGGTCAATGTGATGTACTACCGTCTCAATCGAAGACGCGTCGCCGGAAGCCGCGTGCCTCCCCGTCATTGCTGCCGCTGATGAGGCCATGTGCTTGCCAAAGCATGACAGTATATGTATGCTTCATCTTCCCTCCCCCGTCTATGCCTTACCTATTCCTTTCTCCCCCACGCCTGCGGCTTTGATCACTTAATCTCCTAATCGACATCATTTCGTCCCCTCCCCTAGCTCTAAGGTCGTGTCTCCCGGACGTCATGGGCGGCAACCAAAAAGCTCGATGACGAGCACCTAGATGCAACGGAAAGAGTCCTGAACGACATCACCGAGAAGTCCAAGGTCGAGCCAAATCCCAAAGAGCATCTCCACGTACCTGCAAAGCATGAAAAGGCGCATTCGTGGTTCCGCGCGGTCTTCCCATACGATAGCCTCGAGGACTTCGAGAACGAGTGGCATCTTGGCAACCATGTTCTTGACAGGCAGACTGGTGAAAAGACTTTCGAGCCCATGTCGATCTACGTGCGACTGGGGATGCATCTGCTGTACTATGGAGGCGAGCAGGAGAACATCCTGCAGTGAGAGCGTACTCAGAAGATGCTCAAGGACCAAAGCGTGAAGATGGGCAAGCAGTATGACAGTCCTGAGAGTAAGGACCATATTCAGCCTTTTATCGAGAGCTTCCATCTACAAGACTCGTTGAGCGACATGGTGAGCATTGTCCCTGAGCGCGAAACCAAGATGGGGGCTTTGTTGATGGGCATGGAAGACTAATACTAATGGCTTTCGCAGGTCCAGCCTGACCCGAGCAAGTACAGCAACTTCAACGAGTTCTTTGCACGCGAAATCAAGGAGTCTGCTCGACCCATTGCTGAGCCCGACAGCACCAGCGTTGTGAGCAGTGTCGCGGACTGCAGGCTTACGACGTATCCGACTGCTGATATGGCCACGGTACGTCAGCAACCAGCCTGACTCTGCTGCATTCCTAGTACCTGCTAATATTATTTGACTCTTCCCCCAGAAATACTGGATCAAGGGCTTCGGGTTCACGCTCTCAAAACTGCTCGGCTCTCAGCAACTAGCGGAGACTTTCAATGGAGGGCCTATCATCATCCACCGTCTCGCGCCGCAGGACTACCATCGCTGGTCAGACCTCTACTCGATCTGCCTTGGAGGCTTTTAGTGCTGACATTGGCAATAGGCATGCGCCTGTGGCCGGTACCGTCGAAAGCATTACAGAGATCCCCGGGACGTCTGTATCTCCAGCATACTCTGCCTACAACTATGCCGCTGACCTTGCTTTAGATACTACACCGTCAACCCGCAAGCGATCAATGAAGAGGGAACGCTCGATGTGTTCTGCGAAAACCGTCGATCTGTCATGATCTTGAAGCGGCCTTCGGGTACTCGCATCGCAATCATTGCCATCGGAGCCATGCTCGTTGGAAGCATCCGGTACAATCCAGGCATCAAAGAAGGCGTCGCTGTCCGCCGAGGTCAGTGCCTTGGAGCGTTTCTTTACGGCGGCAGCACGGTGATCACTCTGTATTCCAAGGACAAGATGAAGCTGGACGAGGACCCGGTGAAGAATTGTACGGAAGAGAAGTGTGAAACGTATGTCAAAGTGGGCTGGCGTGTGGGTGTTGAGCAGCACGTTGAGTATTTGGGCTAGGAAGCCTGGTGGCGAGGTCAGGTGCGGCGACGACTTTCTATGAGTGCTGCTTGGGGTCTGCCTTAACCTATGAGTTGGTGGTCTACCGGAATGGAAAGTATCTCTGTTTGAAGACCTTTGCTCACTCATCGCCTGGTTGCTCCTTCACCGTAGGGCGCGGCTTCACTCGGCCAATAACATGTGATATAGGCTTTGGCTCACGTGCGGCGAAGCACAGACGGCATACGATTGCGACCTCAGCATAAAGATTGCTCAATGGGCTGAACACTTACAACACTTCCATGGACTTTGACTCGATATTTCAGGAAGAAAATAGATAGGGACATAGACAGCCATGGCCAGCAGCGAAGAGATTAAGCAGCCGCTCCACACACACTATCACGAACAGAACTAACGTAGCTGCCGAAGTTTCCGGCATGCCAATGTTAACCCATCCACAAAACGCCGACGACTCCGAAATAGATAAGCAACATTCTGAAGCACCTGCACAGCACCACCCCAGTGCCTTCGAGGAGCTGCCGCAAGCAGTCCGACAAATCATCATCAAGTTTGTACTCGTGGCCCATGGCGACATCAAGATCTCCCACCGCATCGACAAGGCCGCTACTGAAACCATCGTGAAAGCGTTCGACATTTCGAAAAAACGTGGCACTGCCTCCCGACAACAACGACCAGACAAGCGTTACTATCTCACCGCGGAGGTAACGGGTCTTCGCAAGAAGAAATTGCAATCATACAGCTCCCTACACAACCCAGCCATCATCTTCCTCAGCAAATCAATCCACTCGGAAGCTGCCCAGGTGCTGTACGGGAACAACAGCTTTCGCTTCATCAGCCCTGAGGCGCTCACCAGGTTCGCAGCTGTAGCTAAACATGGAGCGCACTTTCTCAAAAGCGTTTCCGTCGAGGGTGTCAACCTCTGGAGCACCTCGTTTGTGAAGCTGCATGCGCTAGAGCACGCAGCGGGACTCCGAAGGCTTCACATCAAAGTATTGGACCAAACAGGGACGATTCACAGCATCAAGGAAGCGGCCAATACTCAGCTCGACAAGATCCTGCTCCCGCTCCACAGGCGCGCGACGAACTGCTCCTGCTCCACCGAGCATATCTGCACATGCGTCACAGTTGAAGAGCGGGAGCGTTATGTCGATACGATTGCGCTACACATGGGCAATTCACCATTTCACTGCCCAAACGGAGAGGGTCACCGTGAGCTGGACTCTAAAGATGAGGAAGACGCAAGCATGCTAAGAAAGGCGATCTTGGGGAGCTGGAAGCGCAGGATCGACCACCGAGGTGGGAAGGATACTGGCAGAGCTGTAAGCCAGGCTACACGCGGGGCTGTGTTGAAGCATAGAGAGGGCAAGGGTGATATTGGATGGTGGAAGCAACTTCACGAGGCGCCGAAGCACAAGACGGGAGAGGGAGGCGAAGGAAGCGTGGAGGAGGGTATCAGGGCAGGGAAGCAGGCCTGATCAGTACCACGGGATGACAGCCACTTGAAGGGAAGCACCAGGAGTGTTGCCTGAGGTGGTGTGCCGGTTTTATTTGGATGGCATGGGTCCCTTGCGAGCTACTTCTTTCTATGTCCGATTCGTCAGCGACAGTCGGTCAGACATCGGAGCGGGAAGACAGAGTGCAGGAGGTAAGACCAAAGCTTTTTTGGCTTGATGTTTCTTTTACCTTCTACATCATGGAAAACATGTGAATTTACACTAGTTTGTCTTATCACGTCATATCTCGCCTCGCCTCCCCTCTACCTCCTGCTCCCCTTTACCTCCTGCTCCCCTTTACCTCCTGCTCCCCTACCCCGTTAACCTTAGCTCACGGACTCCATAACATCACATCCTCTCAATCACCACTTCTTCACACCGCCCTCGAAATCGCCTGTGATGGCGATGGCTGGTCAAGCCATGACCACGCAAGCCCAGAGTACGTGCTCCCACCCCAGCCATACCCCCAGACGCTGACAAGCAACCACAAAAGCCGAAGCTTTCGACAGGCTGATGGCTGCCCGCCTCGACGCCATCAACGCGCTGCTGTCAGAGCTCGATGAATCTGCCTCTACAGGACGCGACATCTTCCCATTGATGAAGCTGCCCCCGGAACTCCGTGAACACATCTACAAATTCGCTCTGGTGACCGGCCCACAGATCGATGTCACCCGGCGCATCGACAAAGCAGCAACAGAGAAGGCACTCAAAGCCCATGAGCGGAAGCTCGGCCTTGGCCTAGTAACTAAGCACCAACGTCCAACCCAATCGTACAATATCTCCGCAAAGACGTTCGACAGCAAGCTGGAGAAGAAGAACCGCTACGCTCCACATGGTCTGACAGTTGCCGTTCTCCGCATCAGCAAGCAGGTCTATGCAGAGGCCCATCCGGTACTTTACGGCTGCAACCGCTTCCGCTTCCCGAATTCTACAATGCTCGCATACTTCCTTGCCAGGTCGGAGCCAGGGGTGCAGCTCATCGAGGATGTTGAGATTGGTGACATCGTCGCATACAGCACGTCGTTCACCACCCACATGCTGTCCGGTGCTACCAGACTCCGCCGCCTTAGTCTGACCGGAAACCTCGACTGCATGGGTGGAATTAACACACCTAGCTTCGTGAGTAACCTCCTCCGATGCTTGATTTTGCCCATCCATCATTGCAGCCCCACGTGCTCTTATCTCGATTCGTATCCATGCATTTGCGCCACCGCAGAAGAACGGCAGCGAGTTGTCGGCATGGTGAGCTTTGACTTCAATAGCTTGCGCTGTTACTTCCAAGAGGACAATGGAAGTCGACGTCCTTTCGATCCTGAGACCGACTCTGGAGTCGTGAAGACGGCCATACTGAAGCTTTGGGAAGAGGAGATCAATGGTGAGAAGGCGAGAGTGGAAGTTGCGACATCGATGGCCTAGGCGGAAAGCAGGTTTGCAGATCTGATTGTACCGCTTAAAGTACCTCAGGTGCGGATCTTGGAGGAGACGAACATGAGAGGTGTTACCGGTGGGCGAAACAACGACGGTACTTGGACAGGCAGGATCAAAAGCAGCAGCGAGCAGTGCCCAAGACGTCGTTTTGGCTATTGAATACTGGAGCTGCTGCCTTACGGGTTTGGACCACGGTGGCTTGGAGATCAATGATGTCCTACAGAAGGCTTGCCCCAATGTCAACCGGTCAGCGGCAATGCATCTTTGATCCAGCCAGCAGCCTTAGTACAGCAGGTAAGAGATAGAGTCCTCTTGCTGAAAAGCCCTTTCGATGAGCTGTTGTGCTTACCTCTAAACGCTCTCTCCTTCGCTTGACACATTACTTCGCGCGCTGCACTTTACATAAGTACGCCGCCGGCACCTTCACTGGAAACCATACTGAGCAGTTGCAACTACGATGGAAAAGGATCCTGTGGATGCTGGTGAGTTGCAACATGCTTCACATCTGGAGGATCAGCGCTAACTATCACCACTATACGCCAGCCATTGTTACCGCATTAGTTGGCATTGGAGTTATTGGGATATTTGCTGGTCTCGGCTCATTCATATCCAAGATCCGGAATCTTCGTCTACAGTCCCAAATCCTACGTCTACAGCGAGCACGACTCGACTTCGAACGCTCAGTTCACCGATTCCGCAGCCAACATTACACCGCTCGCCTCAATCCACGCCGACCCCACCGCTTTCACCCAAATCTCATCACAACAACTTCAATTCGACCACTCCGACGATTGCTCCGAACATAGCCCTCCAGAGTTGAGGTCTCGGAGGCTTTGTCGACAGCTATCCTGGAGGCTTGGGAGGAGAAGATCGAGGCGGAGAAGGAGTATCATGAAGGACAGGGAGCAGGAACTGGCGGTTGCTGAATCGAGGGCCGAGTAGAAGGAAGGACATGTCGAAAGTAAGGACCGTGGAACGCGTTGAGGATACCAGTGCTGACAGACTTCGCAGAAGTGAAAGTCTCCCGGAGTCTTGAGCTGCTGCTGGTCATGGGGTCGTTGCAGGCTTGAAGCATTTCATTAACATAGACCCCTCCAAAAATTCATCATCGAGTCGTCGTAGATCATCTCCATCACCTCGCTGATATGGCCACGACTTCATGCATCCAACCGGAGCGTCAAGACCAGCAGACAGACATAAGCGGCTACGCTGAGGCTGGTCAGGACCACGACCACGTTGCCACTAGTCCGGAATCTGTTGAAGCAGACATCAGTCCTGAACGTAGAGAGTTCCGGGGCTGTCCAATAGAGTGTCGACCTACCGTTTCCTGCTCAGCCCATCCTCGCCGACCTCGCTGAAGAACTGCCGGTTGCCTTGCATTCTCCTGAAAGCACTCACAGCCAGCACGCCTGCGCCATATACGGCGAACAATGCACCTGCGGATGTCCATCAGCGTTTGTAGGAGACCAAGCGCCCCCGACGAAGACATACCGATACTGTAGAACTCGCTCGTGAAGATCTTGAGTACGATCAACGCGAATGAGAACTGGCTCAAGCTGGTTCGTATGTACGCTCCCTCGAACGTCCGCTGGGCTGCTCGGATCTCGACAAGTTCCTGCGGGCTTAAGATTACCGACCGGGCACGGTGAAGGCGGAGTCTGTAGCGAGATGAGGCGCGGTGTGTCTGACATGTGTAAGAAAATATTCAATTGGCTTCCCTTAACAGACTCACTTCGAACATCGCTATATCATGGCCACCAGCGCCTGGTACCGTTGCCTGCTAATTACCCTGTAGAGATACTACGATTGAAATCCGATACCAGGTGAAGTCAGAAGCTTGAAGCTCTTGCCAAGCTCGGAAGTCTTTAAGACGAATGTAACCTTCGTCTCTCTTCCTCTCCTTCTTAAATCAAGCTTGGTGTATGCAAATGCTCCTTCCACATGCGGTCGAGCACGTGTTGCCACAGGATGGAGTGGAGTGGATGGGGTGAAATTGTAGGGAACCCTGGAGAATCTAGCCCCTACCCCTCCCTCCCGCGAAAGCCGCCGGGACCAGTACCTCCGTAGGCTCCACCTCCTCTCTGCCACCCTCCCTTGCCTTCCTTTTCGGCCCCCGCACCGTTTCCTACTCCCTCACCTCCATTCTGTTCACAAGTCCATCTCATTATCACAACACTCTCGACCGCCACTCTGAGACTCCTTCAACAGCTGCTCAGACTCGGGCTACGAAGCAAGGCGGACGGGGTACAGGGGTTGCCGAAGCGGCGAAGTCGGACGTTACTGCCTTCCAGCTTCTTCAGCCCACATCCACCGCGGTCGTTGTTACTCGCCAATATGGAGGGCATGAACGGCTTCACATCTGTCAATGGCACTAGCCCAACCAACACCGCTCCCTCCAACGGAACCGCCATGCAGGCTTCTGCCGTCTCTCCGACCCCCGAAACACCAGCACCCACTGGCACGAAGCGCAAGCGAGAGTCAAAGGCCGCGCTGAAGTTCTACGCCGTCCGCGTTGGAAAAGAGCCGGGAATCTACCACACTTGGGCTGAGTGCCTCGAACAAGTCAAAGGCTTCCCCAAGGCGTCGTTCAAGTCGTTCACCTCACTCACTGATGCTCAAGCATTTGTCAACAACGAACCAGGAGCGAGTGGCAGTTCTGGGTCGGCGGGAGGCAAGTTCTACGGGGTGCAGTCAGGGAGGGTACCGGGTGTGTACACGTCATGGCCGGAGGTGCTGGAGCAGATCACAGGGTGGAAGGGACCAAAGCACAAGGTGTTCAAGACGAGGATGGAAGCGGAGCTGTTCGTGGCGGAAGGTCAGCAGAACCACCTGGCGAATGGCGACACGACGGTGGACAGCATAGAGCTACCGGATGCTGGCAACTACGCGAAGAAGGCGAAAACTGGCAAGGGCAAGAAGAATGGCATCAAGGAAGAGGAGTTCTCCGACCTAGGTCTCGAAGGTGGCGAGTATGAACCCGGCGATGGACCTCTGCCGGCGGGTGCTGAAGACAACTTCGACCCTACCATCACCCTCGACAAGACCACAGGCACTGCACGCTACAAAATCGCCGATGAGATGGCACAAACAAAGTACCAAGCATCGGGTCACGTAAAAGACGCCGCAATACGCATCTACACTGACGGCTCAGCTCTCTCCAACGGTCAATCGGGTGCTATAGGCGGCGTAGGCGTCTACTTCGGACCACTCGACAAGCGCAATCTCAGCGAACCGCTCACAGGCACCAAACAGTCCAACCAACGGGCCGAGCTGACGGCCATCCTCCGCGCCCTGGAAGTGGCACCCCGAGACCGCAAGATCGTCATCTGTACAGACAGCAAATACGCCATCCAGTGCTGCACCGAATGGTTCGTCAAATGGCGCATCAACGACTGGCGTAACGCCTCCAACAAGCCGGTGGAGAACAAGGATCTCGTGACGAAGATCATCGACATGCTGGAGGAGCGGTACAGGCTGAACGCGCATCGCGTGGACGACGAGGAAAAGGAGAATGATGGTTCTGGTGGGCACTGGGCGCGCGGTCCGGCTGGGGTGAAGTTCGAGTGGGTGAAGGGGCATGCTAAGGATGTGGGTAATACGGCTGCTGATGAGCTGGCGGTGAACGGGGCGAGGGTGGCCAAGCAGATGGGGAATGATCTTGCTTTCGACTGAGAGGCATACTGCAACACGGAAAAGGGTATGAGACGGCAGGTAGCCTCGCCGGACAGTGTGGCTTGAGATGTTCGGTACAGCTGGAAGGCTTTGAGCGGCTGCGGTGCAACGAACATGCTTAGATGATGATATTTCACACTAGCACATGACAATGGTGCTGATGTCAATGATTGCAGCTGTAGCTAATATGCAATGCCAGGTGCATTGCACACGAGCATGAGGGGACAGCCAACACGAAATCAAAACATTCAAGCCGAGCTGGCTTCCACCACTTCACCTTCCCGCACCACGCCAGCTTGCCGCTTCTCCGTTTCTGCTCGCACAAGCTCCTCGTCCTCCATGTCGACGATCATGACACCGCTCGGGTAAATCTTCATACTCCCCACCCTTCCCCTGTCCTTCAGCTTTCCCAACGCATGGACAATGTGTCCAAGCGTAACACCACCCAACTCAGAAACCTCGAAACTGGCGTGCTTCTTCGACGCGACCGGTATCTCCTGATAAGCGCGAAGCCGTCGTTGTCGCGAATGCCGTGTCCTGTCGCTGCGCTTGACGAGTGGCTTCTCCCGCATCTCTTGGACGCTCTGTTCGCCGTGCTTGACGGGTGGCTCTTCCAGCATCGCGTCGACAGAGACTTTTCGCACCGGTGGATTCGTGAGGAACATCTCCATCGCGACGTGGTGCTTTTGCCTCAGCCATTGCAGACGGTCGTAGTGCATCTCCAATACGATGTAAGGGGGCTTTGCGGCTTTGGAATCAAGATCCTCGTGATCAGACGGCGGCTTGGAGTAAGAGAAGAGCGGGTTGTGCCTTGCGGGCGTAATCACCATCCCGTGATGACTCTTGAACTCCCTCGACGTCCTGCTCACGGCCGCCTTGACGTACAGCGGCGTCTCGTGCTTGTAGCTCAACGGGCCTTTCCCAGCCGGTAGGTTCGTGATGTCGACCAGCCACGCCGTCTCGCCTTTGAGCGGTCGGAGGAAGAGGTGTTGCTGGAGTTTCAACGAGCCGATGGTGGTAGCGCGGAATTGCTTGCAGACGCGTTGGAGGCGGAGGATGTCTTGAGCCGGTAGGAGGAGGAACAACGTTTCGAGGAGCTCCGGCAGAAGGAAGAATTCTCGGACGGGTTCGGTGGGCGGTGCCATGGTTGGTGTAAGTTGAGGCGTGTGAGGTCAGACTGGTGTTGAGCGCTGGTGGGAAGTATCCTATGTAGTCCTCAGGTGGCTGTCAAATCGTCTTGGAGGTGCCTGGGAAGCTTCAAACTGGTGTGAGTCATATCAAAGCGCCAGAAGTGGGCAGAAGAATGTTTGCCAGTGTCTCCCAGGAGTTGGTCAGTAGGGTGGTACCGAATCTGGTTGTTGTCGCCTTTCGCGCCTTGTGCGACCTCGTTAACGCCGTTCCGGGACGTTCGTAGAGCTCAGAACACGATAGAAGCAGATAGCGAGACAAGAAAGCGTGGCAGCCTGAGAGCCGCGCTTAGTGGATAGGTAGAAGCTTTGTGAGTACTATGTAAATGTTTTACAGCCGTCTCGGAGTGACGGTGAGACCGAGAGAGGGGTCGAACAAACGCGGTACTTCGCCATAATACTACAAAATCAGTACAGTTTTAGCCATTGGATACTTTTAGGCCGTCACCGAACGCGGATGCTTCGCAAGCATGCCCTTTCAGCCTATGCACCCCATCAACGCGCTATGCAAATCAAGCCCACCCTCACGTCCGCTCACGAATCCGAAGCATGCCCAGTAGGGCCACTCGAGCTGTAGTCCACCGTCACAAACGCGCGATCAACCTCTGGCAAACCCTCCGCACAATACTGCAGGGTCTCTGCGACATCGTGACTGTCATGCAACCTCGTCTTCTCGTTCATCAAAATGTCAATTTCAACCCAGATCCCATCGCCGGCGTGGTAGGCTGTGACAGACTTGAAACCGTCCACCACAGGGCAGAAGCGGTATGCGAGATACATGAGCTTCTTCTTCAAGCTGTCATCAGCCGCTTGGCCGGAGAGTCGGGTGACGTTTTCGAAGCACGTCTCACCCCAGTCGTAGATGATGAAGAGCGAGAGCAGGCCCGCGCCGGCAGGATCAAGCCACCAGACGTGAGCTTTGTAGCCGATGAAGGGGAAGAGCAGGGAGAGGGTGTTGAAGATGACGTCGGTTTTGCAATCCTGAGCCAAAGCCTGTACTTGCGTGGTTTTGATGGGGATACAGCCGAACCAGATGATTCCTTTGACGATGATAGTTGCGAGAAGAGCGCCGACGGCGATCATAGGCAGTTCTTCAGCCGTGCCCTTGAGAGGCATGAGTTTCTCCACCGACTCCTGTAGAATCTGGAGGAAGGAGATGACCATGATGATGGAGAAGACGAGGATGCCGAGGGGTTCGAGGCGTTTGCGGCCGACTGGGAAGTGCTTCTGGAGGGCATTCAGACGCCATTGCACCAACTTGTTGGTTGTCCAGATGATCATCGTGCACAGTAGGTCAAGTGCAGAATCCACCAGGGACGCAATGAGAGACAACGAGCCGGACTGCGTAGCCGCGGCCAGCTTTCCAGCCAGGAGAAGAACGTTGGCGATGACGTTGATGTTGATCGCCCACTTTGCTCGCTTCTCTGCTTTGGCGCGAGCCTTTCTCTCGTCTTCTGGGAGGAGCTCGCCGACGTTGCCTGCTACCTGTTGGATCCCTCCACCGCGTTCATGATGGCCGTCGTTGTCTGGGTCGGGATCCATTGATTCGAGGACATCGTCGGCCACTGACATGACGACAGCGTCGACCTCCAGCCAGTCGTTCAGTCGTGAATTTTGACCCTCGTAGAAGGCGCGCACTTTCTTGTTCTTGATCTCCTTGAGCTGGTCGTCGGACTTGCGGAACTGCTCAAGACCTTCACGGTCAACTCCCGACAGCAGTTTGTTCTTCAAATCTTCCCTTCTCTTGTCCTCAAGTGCAGTCATCGCCGCATCTTTGAATCGCCAGATCCGTGGCCTAGGTCTGACGTCTCCGTCCTTCCCATTGTAGGAACGCGATCTCGCCTTGCTATTGGCGTGACCGTTTTGATGTCCGCTCTCGACGTCGCCGTTGGAGTTCTCCGCATACGGTGCTGCCCGCGGTTGATCGGGTCGACCGGCGTACGAGCGTTTGCCCACCATGCTGATGACAAAGGGGAGAAGGGGACGTGTGCAGCAGAAGGGGAGGAAGGAAAGAGATATGTTGCTTGTCGTGGTGGAGCAAGAGGAAGGAGAGACAAACAGAACTCAAACGACGGCTACAATGGCAGATGATGCGCTAACGCGCCAGAGCCAAAGCGTGCAACCTGCTTGGGACTGGGAAGAGCCAAGGATAGCAGACGCCGCGGAAGCAGCTGCTCTCGCCCGTGTGGTGACGTGCTGGTTTGCCCAACTGACTCCGGGGAGCTGGTTAGCTGCCGAATTATCCGTTATTCCGGAGAAGCTTGTCTGGAGAACATTTCAGCCTCCCGGTCTCGCTATCAGCGGTGATGGACTCTGTGGCCCGGAGTTCACGGTAGCGGGGTCTATGGGGGCGGTGGAAGGGCAGTGAGTACCATATGACCGCTTTCGAGCGCTGCAGCCCCGGTAACCCGTCGTGGTCATGACAGGACACCGCCCGTGTCGTCTGCTTGGCTTTACTAAGCCACAGGCGGATCTGCATCCTGCGCCCTTAGAGATGGAGATGTACATAAGTTGCTTCAGGGCATTCATGTTCGTGATAGACGTTTAATAGAGAGCAAATGGCAACTCCAGCACCACCTCCATACCGGCGAGAAACGCCGCCATCAGAGGCTTCACTACCAGCAGGTAAGCTCAATGTCCATACATTGACCTTGGTCGATATACGGCGTCAATAATTGCGTTGCATAGAATTGACGAAAGGAAGATGTTTCACCTGTCCCTTGAGATACTGTGCGAAGGCTAACACAACAAATTGATTCAGAAGCGACATCAAATGCCCTCCAACTCAGCACAGGAGACATATCCGGCCTTCGGGCTCAAATACTCGGTACACATCCCAGGCAAACCCCGTATCAACTACGACTAACCCCACTGCCCTTCCATCAGACAACGCACACACCCTCTGGGTACTCCACTACACCTACTGGCGTCCCTTCCCCGACAACATCCACCTCATCACCCGCAAATCCCGGACCCCAAATAAGACGGAAGCAGTGATCCTCTCCTGGCAGCCCGGCTCATCGCGTCCCGGCGCTGGAGTGCGCACCCGGGGCTCGTTCTCCATATTCGTCCACGGACCAGAGGCCGAGAGCTCGGAGGGGGCTTTGAAGGCGTTGTTGACGAAGATGGAGGGGATGATTGGGGCGAGGTGGGACAGGTATGAGTTTGATATGAAGAACTTTATTGATAAGTGAGGATTGGGATGAGGTTGGTGCGGGTGGGAGCTGGGCTTTCGGATGTCTTTGTTTTACTACTGTACGAGTAACGAGGATTTCGTGGGGAGTTGGTTGTCGTCAGGAACAGTCTTATTCACCCGACGAGCTATCATATGGTACAGAAGCCATCTTCATCTGAAGGATGCTCAGCAGGTTCTTATCAGACATCCGAACCCTCCAGATCGCTCCATAGTCTTTTTCTCACTCACATGTTGTACATCCAGTTGATCCCCAGCTCCATGCGAATGCTCAGCATGCTAAAAACGCCAGCAAGCAAACAAGCAAGCCACTCGAAGTCGAAGGATGATGTGTTGGTTGCTTAGGAAGCGCCGAGAGCAGCGCCCTCAGCTCCACCACGAGGGCCGGCGGGCTCACGCCCGCGTCCTCCGCGTCCTCGAAACTCCCCATCGCCGCGCATTCCACGGCCTCTGCCACGGAACTCCCCTTCGCCTCGGCCACCGCGGAAACCGCCACGTCCACGACCCCTGAACTCTCCGTCGCCTCTGAAGCCACCACGACCGCGACCGCGACCCCTGAACTCTCCATCGCCACGCCCTCTTCCACCGCGACCGCCGCGACGGCCAGGCACCGACTGGAAGCCATCACCCTCCTCCTGACCTGGAACAGCGCCGGCAGCCGCATCCCCGTCGGCCCAACCACCAGCAGCGAGCGGCTGAGCTGGCTCCGAAGCAGCTGCCCAGCTAGCATCGACTTGCGGCTCTCCGGCGGCCATCGTAGCCTTCACGTCGTCAGCTGCAACTTCACCAGTGCCTGCACCACCAGCGCCTGGGACGAAACCGGCCGGTGGGTCGCTGTAGTCCGGCTGCTCATCGGCCCAGGCGTTGCCGCTACTCTCCTGCAGAGCGTCCGCTGGTAGGCCAGAGGGGTTGGGCACATCAACTTCATCGGACGGACGAGCGACCATCTCGAGGCCGTCGTTCGAGCCCTTGGCATCGGCACCGGCGACAGCAGTGTCCCAGCGGTCACCAGCCGCATTTCCCGCCTCGTCACCCGCGCCTGCTTGCGGTGGAGACGTGAGGGGCTCATCGGCACCAGCTGGGGTAACACCGTTGCTCTGAGCGGAAGTGTCGAGCTCGTTGAGGCCGGCGTGAGCGATGGTAGGGTCGGTCTCGCCTGGTTGCGCGCCAGCGGAAGTTGCTTCAGCGACCGAGTCGACCCAGTTCTCTTCGGCAGAGTAAGGCGCGTGCACGACAGCAGACTGCTTGATCTCGGAGTCTACAGGATCGTTAGCTCGAATGTGGTAATGACGTGTCGGCACGTAGACAAGTTCTGCCGCACGTGACCTCGAAAGGGTGGATGTACTCACACTTGACAGTGGTTGGGTGGCCATCAACGTTCGGCACCTGCTCGTCGGCGCCGTCGATCAACTTCAGCGCAGTGTCGACAGCCTTCTCATCTCCTCCGTACACGCCCAGCAAGGCACCCTCGAATGCGTACCCCTCTTGGGTCTCCGCTTCCTCGGGCACGCCACGCTTCGCGGCAGCAAGACGAAGGAATTGCGAGAGGGTGAGCAGCTTGCTACGGAGCTCAACCAACCCAACAGTCTTGCCCTCGTTGCTCAGCTCCTCCCTCAGCTTCTCCACCTCCTTAACATGCTGTGACGTCAGATCCTCCTTTTGCTTCGACAGCTGGTCTTGGAACTCGGCGGCGAACTTGCGGTACTGGGAGATCTGCTCTTCGAGCTGGGCGAGTTGCTGTTGCAGCTGAGGCTTCTTGAGGACGGAGGCCTTCTGGTCGTTGTTGATCTTGCGCTGGGCGACGAGGTCATCGAGGGAGGTGTTCGGGTTCTCGGCCATGACGGCATCGACCTTCTGCATGCCTCCGAGCTTCTTGTGCGTATTGCGGATCTGCTTGTTGAGCTCTTTGATGTAGGGGTGCTCATAGCTGCCGTCGCTGTCCGCTTTGGCGTCCACACTGGAGTCTTCCTTGGAGTTCATGTTAGGGACGGCGGTCAGGGAGACGGAGCCGTTGGCGCCACCTTCGGCCTTCGCACGCTTCTTCTTCGCGCTCTTCGACTCTGCTGGCCGGCTCTGAGCTGGGAGGGCGTCCATCGTAAGCTGTTTCGGTGCGATAGGTGTACTTGTTGCTTGCAGCCTGATGTAACAGAGTATAGGTCAGTCGCGAAATCTCTTTGACTGTATACGATGTTTCGAGCCGGCTCCGACTTCAATGACTGTGTGTATGAAAAAGTGAAAGTCAAGGTCAGGTTCGAAGAACTTCATACAGCGAGCTCGACTGAATCGCGCTAGCGAAAGTCTATATTTACGTAAGCCAGATATGGCTGCGGGCATCCGCAACTCTCTCCTTCTTATTCTACATGGCCACATTTCCATAACACCATCAAGTATACCAATGTCGGACCGCGTACACTCGGTATTCGACACTATGGCAACTCCGAATCCGACTGCGCTCGTGAAGCGCTCATCCGACACCGCCCTCATGCCACCTCCGCCTCTACCAAAGCGACAGAAGAGACCTCCGAAAGTGCTGGATGAAGACGTATATTCAGACGCTGTGTCACACATCATCGCGCGGGACTTCTTTCCGGGGCTACTGGAGACCGGGGCGCAACAGGAGTACATGGCAGCGCTGGACAGCGACAACAATGACTGGATTCGCGAAGCCGGGCGGAAGTTGACACAGGTTATGACTCCAGGTCCTGAGGGCCGGCGGAGAATGGGAAGAGGGACGAGCTTCACGCCGCGACGGACTACTTTAGCTAGGGAGACACCGCGAGGTTATGCTGGTAGTACTCCAGCGCGGACACCAATGCGGACACCAGCGACCCCAGTGAACAACGACTTTGCTCCAGAAGAGACGCCCGAGGTAGATGTGAACATGTCTCTGGACGCTTTTCAAGCCAAGTATACTTCAGAGGACAATGAGAGCTTCAACGCATTATTGGACAAGCAGAACGAGAGGAGAGCGGCCAAGTACGAATTCTTCCACAACGGCAACAAGATCCTGGCACCAAGACAAATCGCACACCGAGAGAGGCAGCAGAAGCTATTGGAAAACGGCACAAGTACTTCTACCGCGTTGGTGACGAAGAACTCTGCGGGCGAGCAGAGGTTGGCGGTTGCCTCAGCTGGCCCCTCAGAAGATCTAAGCGCTCGACCTGCTTCTGTCGAGAGCTTTAGAGACCGCCAGGGACCGCGGAACCCATTCATGTTTGGACCTGAGAGCATAGAAGACTCGTCTATGACAGAGGCGCAAAAGGCTCAGGATCGTTCGGCCGCACCACCTAAAGCCGTCTCCCTCACTAGCACTCGTTTTATCACGGCAGCCGCCCCCACAGGTGACCTGACCATTCCTCCTAGCCCGAGCGTGAGTGCTATAGACGCAGCTATCTCAGGTCGACCAAAAGCAACAGAGTCTGAGTCCGGGTATCATGGAGCTGAGACCCCTCGAGTGAACGGCTACGCGTTCGTGGACGCTGAGCCAACGCCATCAGAGATCGGAGTACCCATCACGGACGAAGAAGCAGATGCAGCGGAGCGCGAAGCGGCAATGCAGTTCCTGCCCATAGCTGATGCGGACGGCGGCAGTAACCCCTTCAACCTGCGGGAGCGCAGCAAGCGTGAAGATCTGCACATGCGACTTGTGGAGAAGGCGGATGCTGGGCGAAGGAAGGAGAAAGGCGGGAGTAGGCTTGACCAGCTACGGAGTCTTGGTATCACGCCTGCAAGGACTCCAACGCCCAAATTTGCCAGTGCGCCAAAGAAAGGTGCAGCGATGACACCGGCTGCGCAAAGACTGGCTGGCCAGCTCGGTACTCCAAAGAAGGAGAACGATGTCTTTGGTGCAGCTAAAGGTCAATGTAGAAGCTGGACTCCGACACCGCGAGTGAAGCGGACGACGTGAGAAATGACTTCCAGTATTGGTCGAGGAAAAAGACCGACGACCGTCATGCTTACCTATGAAATTTACTCTGCCAGTGGAAAGGCTCACTGGGAGGAGCAGCTGTCCTGAGTGTTCATTTGTAAGTTCTCTACTCATTCTCGTGAAGCATGCAAAATCGAGAAGCTTCAAACAGAGCAAGTGCAAAAACGTTCAGAGACGCCCGGCTTCGAATTGGTTGCCCACTCGTTCACCTGCAGCGAGCAGCCGCTCGGAGGTCTGGTCGGAGATCGGACCCCGCGAACTGTGCTTGCGAGCAGGAAGAGGTCTGCAAACAACCATCCCAAGCCATCTTGTCTTCACCACATGATTGAAGAGCCTTCTACGAGGACCTGTGAGCTTCAAGCTATGCGAGCAGAAGCGCACCTGCGACGTCGTCCCAAACCTGGCGTACTGGGTGAGTAGACGAGCCGTGCAGCACAACTCGTACCGCACGCCCAATACAACGCCGAGCAGGCCGGGAAAACCCAGATGAAAAACGACACAGTGAACGAGCACAGCAAGCGGAGCAGCCTCGGCGGTGTGTCAATGTCTTAGGGCTGCCACATGGTTGCTGCATGGGTGCCACCCGCGGCGATGGATCGGATTACGAAGATCCGGGGTCAGCCTCTGACCAGATCATGTCGTGCATTAGTGCTGCCGATGCAGGTACCCTTCCATTACCATTTCTCCGACTCGTGTTTCCTCTTCCTTCTTCAATCGATACTCTCTCTGTTGGTCTCTAGCCGTGTGGAATGGAAGATGGAGACTGCCATGCTGGATAGTTGTTGAGGTTCAGACCGAAGTCGCGGCGGGGAGGAGAATAGCTGGTTGGGCAAAGCAAGAAGGCCGCGATGCGACGCCCGTTCAGTGAATTCGTTTGAAAATTCTGGCAGGATGATCTTATTCAGGCTCGGAGTGCGACGATTGCTTGTGTATGCTTCTCAGGTAGATGAAGAGAAGGTACTGAAAGTGTTGCACCTAGAGATAACATCACGTGATAACAAATACAAATTTATGAGGCCTTGATGGTGCTGATTGTACTTATCATGAAACAATTCCATACCATTCTCAAAGTCTCTGACAACTGATCGTACCTCACAATTGGTCTTTGTTGCAATATTAAAAGTGACTTGTCGTCCAAAGATTGACGGGCCACATTCCGCTCGCTTGTTGCGGCCTATCTTGGTTCGCCAAGAGCGAGGACCTAGCACCTCCTCCCAGCAGCAGCTTCGCGCGCAATCGTCACTTTGCATGCCTACACAGCTCGTCGAACACCATTATCAGCCTCATTGCCTCCGCCGATGGTGACAAGAGCCTCACAGATGAGCAGCACTGACTGAAGCGACGCAGTCGCGTGAAAACTGCGCCCGGGACGCCGCGATCGGCAATCCACGAGCGACCCTCTCCTCCGAGCGGCTACCTACAAGCACACCACCCCCATCATGGCAGCTGCATCTCTGCCAGCAGACGTGCCGATGAAGGCGTCCGCTGGCACGTCGCCTGACCCAAAGACAACGATCGAGGCGGCACCGAAGCCTGCGACCGCATTGACGCCACCCACGAGCGAGGAGATGAATCACGAAGAGACGAAGAAGGAACACGATGACTCTGAACTGAGCGATCTGGATTTGGACGAGGATGAGCTGGAAGATATCGAGCCGGATCACTACTGGGATAACGGCCGAGTGCCCGTCTTCAAGCCGACGATGGACCAGTTTCGGAGTTTCAAGAAGTTCGTTGATAAGATTGATAAGTACGGCATGAAGTCTGGGATTGTCAAGGTTATCCCGCCGAAGGAATGGTAGGTTGCACTTAGTGTGGAGGGGCGAGACAGGTATTAACAATGTTTTAGGCGCGACTCGCTTCCCAACTTGGACGATGCTGTCAAGGGAATCAAGATCAAGAACCCGATCACGCAGGAGTTCAACGGCACACAAGGCATCTACACGCAGCAGAACGTCGAGAAGCAGAGGTCCTACAATCTACCGGAGTGGAAGAGTCTTACCGAAGAGACATCACACCAGCCACCTGCAAAGCGTGGCGAGCGGAGACGGCATCAGGAGAAGGTTGTCAGAGGAGGTGGCAATCTCCGGGGACGTACGACTGCTACACCAGTAGCCGAGGTGGATGACGCTCCGAAGCCAAAGCGGAAGCCAGGCAGGCCAGCCAGGCGTCCTGCGAAGGCCGACGAAGATGCGGATGCTGGAGAAGAGACGAAGGGCAGGCGGAGCAGTCGCAACACTCAGGTTCCGCCCACGCCTGACTCGCCTGCGACCAAGCCTGCACCCAAGCCAAAGGGTCGTCAACCAAGAGGTGGTGGTCAAGGTCAAGCGAAGTCCGTCACTTCTAGGCGACTCAACAACACTGCCGAGAAGGTAGACTACGTCGACGAGGAAGCGTTTCAGGAATTCGACTACAAGCTTGACGATCTCGACGAGTTTACGCCAGAACGATGTGCAGAACTAGAGGCTCACTACTGGAAGAGTCTTGGATTCAACCAACCAATGTATGCCGCCGATATGCCTGGCTCGCTCTTCGAAGATGATACCACCAGCTGGAACGTCGCACACCTGGAGAATCTGCTCGACGTGCTTGGCACGAAGGTTCCTGGTGTGAACACAGCTTACCTCTACATGGGCATGTGGAAGGCTACATTCGCATGGCATCTTGAGGACGTGGATCTCTACAGCATTAACTACATCCACTTTGGTGCTCCGAAGCAGTGGTACAGCATCTCTCAGGAAGACGCTCGCAAGTTCGAGAAAGCCATGAAAAGCGTGTGGCCAGTCGATGCGAAGAACTGCGATCAGTTCCTGCGACACAAGACCTACCTCATCTCGCCAGATGTACTGCAGAAGCAGTATGGTGTCAAGGTGAACAAGCTTGTGCACTACGAAGGCGAGTTTGTCATCACGTTCCCGTACGGCTATCACTCTGGCTACAACATCGGCTACAACTGTGCGGAGTCGGTCAACTTCGCTACTGAGTCATGGCTTGAGTACGGCCGCATCGCACGCAAGTGTCACTGTGAGACGGACAACGTCTGGGTCGATGTCAACGAGATCGAGCGCAAGCTCAGAGGCGAGCCAACCCCGGAGTACATTGAAGAGACAGACGATGAATCGGACATGGACGAAGACGGCAACCTCCCTTCGCCACCTGCTAGTGTCAAGGGCAAGCCGGCGTCGAAGAAACGTAAGCGTGGCGCGAAAGAGGAGAAGCCCAAGAAAAAGAAGAAGATCCGCATCAAGCTTAGGGTTCCGACGCGCGAGCCGTGCTGCATGTGTCCGAACGACAACCCATGGGAACAGCTTCTACCTACCGATAACGGCAAGAAGGCTCACAAGTCATGCGCACTCTACACCCCAGAGACGTTCGTTGTCAAGAGCGATGATGGATTCGAGAAGGTCTGTGGCGTCACCACCATCGATCGCGCTCGTCTGGACCTGAAGTGCAACTTCTGCCGCTCGAAGCGCGGAGCATGCTTCCAGTGTTCATCGAAGAAGTGCACCCGAGCATTCCACGCTACGTGCGCGCTTGCTGCGGGTGTACTCATTGACTGCGGTGTGGTACCGACGTTTGGTGAGGATGGGACAGAGTACTTTGAAGAAGGATACGACTTCCGCTGCAAGTACCATCGACCGAAGATGCCGAAGAACTTGAACGTGGAGTCGTTGGAGAAGAGCAGTCGCATCAACAATTACGCCAAAGAAGTGAAGTATAACGATGTTGTGCAGGCACAGCTGATCGGTGGCGAGGTGTTTGCTGGTTTGGTGGTGGAGAACAGGCCGAGCGAGATGAGCTTGGTCGTTGATGTGCTGCCTGAAGGGTACGTTCAGTGCTTTGCAGTTTCCGAAAACATGCTGACTGATGATTGCAGGGACCGCGTTGAGATTGAGTACAAGTGGCTCTGCATCTTGGATCCCGACGATTCGCAGCGACAGAAGCCGACCTCTGCAGCCATTGCTATGCCCGAAGGACTGAACAGGAAGGCTCTATCTATCTCGAACCGACAAGACGGTGTGCCGGACCAGGGTCAGCCGTTCTACGAGAACCCAGACTACAAGTGGCATGACTTCTACAACATGGACATGCCACCACCTGGCTACGTCTCTTCCAAGGTTCAGGCACCTCTCAAGCTCAACATCAAACTGGACTCTCCTGATCAGCTGTACTTCTACCTGGGTGATCCCTCCACGGAAGCGAAGAGCTTCTTCACCGACAAGGCTGGAACGAGTGAGGTGGCAGCCAAGGCCAACTTCCTCGACCGAGTGCAACCATCGAAACCTGTCTACCAGTATCATGCATCAAAGCAACCCATCCAGCCAGCTAAAGCTGTGCCGATCCAGAGGCAGAACCACTTCAGCGCTGTTCCGACCGCCAACATGCGCAGCAACAATAACGACAACAGCAATAGGCCGTACATCTACAAGCCCAAAGATCAGATGCAGGCGCACAACTACAGGGTCGACGCTCAGTCGCTTGCGAACCAGCAGAACTTCCTCGCCGACAGCAGCAACGGACGTCGGATGTCGCAGACTTATGGCCCACAGCACAGCTACCAGAACGCTGACATGTCCTTGACTTCTGGCCCGCTTCGAGCATTCCCTACCGACCACTACTATTCCATGCGGACGCTCCCAGCTGCGGTGCCCGGCGAGTATAGCAGCTTCACCAACGCCGTCCGTAGAGTGTCTCATGGACAACAGAGCATGCAGCGGCCCACTTCGCAGCATTCAGGATATGTGCCGAACTACCAGTCTATCGGGCAACAGCAAGCAAACGGCGGGCCGGGCCAAGGTCGAGCACCTGTAGCGCAGATGATGGCAGCCAGCCCACCGCCACCCAACCCGTACGAGTCGAACGGCAGCCGACCGACGTCGTCCGCACAGAGCTATCACTCTCCGTACGGAGCACCACTTACTCCCGCCACCACACACTCCGCTACTTCCGGTCACAAGCATGCTGATGGCTCTTCCACGGATGACGCCTACCTAGCGAGCTTGCAGAAGTATCCTTACCTTTTCCAGAGCTACTGCCGGAAGCCCAAGGTCTACGAATCACCATACCCACTAGGTGGCGGCTTTTCTGCAGCCTACCAGGCCCAACTGCAATCGACGACGGAAGATCAGAGGCGTCGCTCTATCCACACCCCTCGGGCCTCAATGTCTGTGCCGCAAGACCGTCGTGGGAGCCAGCCATGGACTCCACCTTCTCAGATATGGGACAAGGCTGGTCTGAGGCTCCCGTCCCCACCACCACCTCAGCACTTCCACGGGCATGGCCCGCCGCCGCGACGGGTGCCTGGACCGACTTATTCCACCCCAGCCGAATTCCAGCAGCAGATTCAATCGATGCCCAGCACAGCCTCTCGCGAAGGTGCTCAAGCGCGAGCGTTGCGCGACCAAGGCTACATCCCCTATCAGCACCAGCACCCTCGCAACAGCTTCGGCCAGGCATACGACACAGCGATGATGTGGCAGAGCCCGAAAGCGCCCACGCCGAGCCCACTGTCGGACCCCAATACGCCTGGACAAGTGGCGCCGGGTCATAAGGCTTGGGGGACGTTGCCGAGACTGGAGCAGAAGATCCTGCCGCGGCCGGCGCCTGCGCAGACGGGGTATGGGCCAGCGCATACGCCGCAGATGGGGAGCAGCAATGGCAGCGGTGGGCATGAGACGTGGAGGTATGGATGAAGGAGGATGTTGACGAAGGTTGAAAGAAACTTGGAAGGCGCTGTTTTGCTTTCTACGGAGGAACACGATGGGCGCCCAAAGGAGGCTGCTGATGCATTATGAGTGGCGTTTTGCTTGTTTGCCTCTTCGCTGTACAGTACCTACCTCTTGTGCCGAGAATGAGAGATCTTTGCTCTGCAAGTCTGCTTCGATGTCTCCGTTCATGTTTATTGTCAAATCCACAGTCCAACGTCGTGTCGTGAGTCATCTGAAAAGTCGGGATGATGCAGTAAGAGCCATATCGAGGTGAATGACTCGAGGCGCAGAAATCTTAGTTGCGTATTTAAAAGACCCCTCCATATCAGCTGCTTCGGCCTCGACATCTGAAAACATCCACACAAATCACCAACCTTCCCAATCCTCCTCTGCAGCATCACTAGACCTCGAAGACCATACCACTTCACAAAACCATACTCGACACGACCAACTGCGACATCAATCAAACATGGCGGTCCGTGCATCATTCGAGAACAGCAACGAAGTCGGCGTCTTCGCCTCCCTCACCAACGCCTACGCCCTCGTCGCCGTCGGCGCGTCCGAAAACTTCTACTCCATCTTCGAAGCCGAGCTGCAAGACGTCATCCCCATCTGCCACTGCACCATCGCCGGCACGCGCATCGTCGGCCGCCTGACCGCGGGGAACCGCAAAGGCTTGCTCGTCCCTACTACGACTACGGACCAGGAGCTGCAGCATTTGCGAAATTCCATCCCGGACGAGGTGAAGATACAAAGGATCGAGGAGCGGTTGTCAGCGCTGGGGAATGTCATCTGCGCGAACGATCATGTGGCGCTCGTGCACCCGGATCTAGAGCGGGAGAGCGAGGAGATAATCGCAGACGTGCTGGGTGTGGAGGTGTTCAGACAGACGATTGCGGATAACGTGCTCACGGGGTCGTACATGGCGCTGTCGAACCAGGGCGGGATCGTGCATCCGAAGACCTCGATACAGGACCAGGACGAGCTGTCGAGTCTGCTGCAGGTGCCGCTGGTGGCCGGGAGTGTGAATCGCGGGAGTCCCGTGGTGGGCGCGGGGATGGTGGTGAATGACTGGATGGCGGTGACGGGGTTGGACACGACGGCCACGGAGCTGAGTGTGATTGAGTCGGTGTTTAAGCTTGGGGAGGGCAGTGGGCCGGGGGCGATCAATACGACGAATAAGGAGACGATGGTTGAGTCGTTCTACTGAGCGGAGGGCTTGTGGATGGGATAGGCATTCGTTGAAAAGCATGAGCGTGGAGTTCAGTGGCGTCTGTGGGCGTGGCCCGTGATATGAGGCCAGCAGAGGACATCAGCTACACCATACCTCCACAGAGATCAGGAGTACTGTTTTGCCGTCAAGCATGATTTCGTATCAATTATGGACGCACTATGGACATCCGAACCGTAGAGGTGGTCGAGCGCCTTTCAACGCCGCCATGAATGTGCCTTCGTCCCGCTGAACAGCCATCCCGAACAAGCCCGCCGTCATGCACATAGCAGATCAAAACATCACCGAACATTGCCTCCAGCAAGTCGAACAAGACATGAACAAACAAGAAAGAGAAGTCGTGCCCGCACTGCCATCATCAGTCAGCATCCGCATCCTCCGTATCCCCCTTACCATCCTCATCGATCGAGACGCCCGCCTTCTGCGCCGCCTTCTTCCACTGCTCGACCTCTGCCCACGCGCGCTGGCACTCGCTCTTAAGCTTATCACAGCTAGAGCTAAGCTCGGCGATTGCCTGTTCGGTGAGCAGTTTCTCCAGCGTCCACTTCTCGATGTTCTGCGATTCGTTGTCCTTGAGCTGCGTGATAAACTGGACGGCGCGTTGCAGGATGCTGCCTTTGTTCTTCTCGCAGCCGGGAACGATCTTGGCGAGCTCGTTAATCCCTTCGTTGATGGTTTCGCGGCGGCGGCGCTCGACTGGAGATCATGTTAGTATAGTTCGTAGAAGGGATTCATGGCTTTACGCACCCTCTTTGTGGTTGTCCTTCCTGATCTTGTGCCACTCGTCAGAGCCCACACTCGGCTTCTGAGATCCTGATCCGGCGCCTGTGGCACCCGGTGAACCATCGCCGTTCGGTGAAGACTGGTTGCCAGTCGTGTCGAAGTCGCCAAAGCTTGTAGTCCGTTGTTGCCCGCTCGCACCGCCCTGCTCCCCTCCTTGCCGGTCTGCACCTTCCGTTGGTTGAGTCATGAAGGCTTGCTCGGTGGATTGTGGGACGGTCATGGTATGGAACTGCGCCATGGCAGCTGCGGCGGTGTCGCTGGCGTGGTTCGTAGCATCGGCAGTCTGTGCTGGTACGTGACCGGCGTCTGCTTGTACGTCTCCTGTGTCGATGTGATCTCCACCCTGCTGTATGAGGCCAGAAAAGTCCATGCCCTCGTCGTCTGCTTGTAACTGGTATTGCTCGAACTCGTTGTTGGTCTGATTCATAGCGGGTGCCGCGCGCATGCTGCCAATGTCTTGAGACTCGCGCTTCCTCTTCTGGACCGCTGCCATGGTGCCGGACTTGTTTTGTGGATTCAGCGCACTTGGTGTGTAGATGGGTCTCTGTTTTCCGGTGCTATACAAGTCGCGCGAGCTAAAGTGTCGATTGCAATGGTAGAAGTCTGTTTGAGGCTCGTGTTAGCTATGTGATGCTACAAGATCACCTGCCTAGAACTGAGACAAAGATCATGCGCTCGTCGATAGCACGCGTTAGGCGGTCGTCAGGTGGCTGTCCTTTGCTCCGCGAGCCTGCCTTTGCGATCGCTGCTGCTCATGACTAGAGCATGCTTGCTCGACAGCAGCATGCGCCGTAATGAGTCCACGCGAGCCGCTGCTGGTCCATGGCGACGACGAGATGCTATAGGTACACGCAGCGCAGCCGTATCGCCTGCGTGTGATGATGCAGCACGAGCGTAGCATGGAGCGTGTTGCTTCGCTGCATGCGCGCGGGCGAGGACAACAGAGCCTTGGGGGATGAGTATGAGAAAGAGACGGCTTTCATACCGATGGATGTCCTTCCCGTCGTCACGTGGGAGGTTGGAGGTGAGTGTTCACGTGCGATGCAAGTCGACCGGACCGAATTAAGGTCTGATATTTGATTTCGGACAATCTTGTCGGCAACACGAATTTCGCGCTTCCCTGGTGAGCACACGCTTCGGCCAGTCTGCACAACCTTATTGCTGCTGGCTGTAGAGGGAGGGTGGCAGAGACAGAAACGAAAGGTCACGAGGCCAGTGGGACATCACAGACGCGGAGTTAGCCAATCATCGTGGCATCCCACGCCATGAGCGAGAGCGTCCAGAGCGTCGGTGGTTTGGCGTAGCATTGAGCAAGTCAACTGTACCCGAGTTATCGATCCAGCAGGTCTCGCTGCTTATGCTTTGCATGGTCATTTTGCGAGGCGGATACAGAAAACATGGATCTCATGGTTGCGTCGTGGGGGTTTGTGCCGTTGGATGGCTGTCGTATTTGACGGAAGGTGGACCAGCAAGCGGAGAGAAAGATGAAGACGGCGTATCGGAACAACGAACTTGAGAGCCTTACCATAATGGTTGATGAACGTGATTACTAGACTCCCCGAAAGAAGAAGCTATGCCCTCTACGAGCTAATGCTATCTACTATAATCCGATCTTGTCAAGGTTGCCAGCCCTTGCGAAGATCTCATACAGTCAGTCTTCTTGCGATGTCCTTGTGCGATGTCCTTGTGCGATGTCCTTGCCATTGCCGCTCATACAGAACAGGACAAGGCGCTAGAACTTCTTCTCTCTCACGATGCTGATGATGACGATGCGATGCGTACGTTTGAGCCCAATCGAGGACCAAACCATACAAATGTTGCGACGACCATGCCAGATGCCGCAGCCTCAGAACCATACTCTCCTGCTGGAACGAATGTGTTGCCAACAAGCCAAGCGTTATTGATAGCCTGTCGGCGTCGGTGATCGTGAAGTGATGTCAGCCGAACGAGCTACCTAGTTGCTTGCCTTGTGCGGTTCGCTCAGAAGAGGGCAGGGTTGATGTCGACGACGCCGCCGGAGTGCTGCATGTCGACATTGACGTAGGTGTGGTCACCGGCGTCGACGACGGTGGTGCTGCCGGAGCGGGTGTCAGCGTTGCTGCCGAAGCTGCGGGCGAGGGTGGCGCCGCCGTAGCCGGAGTCGATGGAGTCTGGGCTTGGGGTGGCGGTGTCTTCGGAGTCGAAGCTGGCGTTGCGGATCGCGTTGGAGTCCCAGGCGAGGAAGTACGCGGAGCTCATGCGGGTGTGGTTGCTCTTGGGCTTGGCGGGGGTGATGACCTTCGGCTGCTGCGGGCGCGTGGTGGCGACGAAAGCTGGGTTGACGGGAGCGACCTTGCGCGGAGTGGTGATGTACTTGTTGCCGGAAGCGGGCGTCTTGGAATTGGCCTTGCTGGAAGAGGTCTTGGTGGGAGTGGCGAGGTAACGAGCAGCGAGCTGCTGCGAAGTGTACTTGAGCAGGTTCTGGAGAGCACCCACGGTGGTGCTGGCCCCTTTGCTGAGCCTCGTGGGGTGGGCCGAGCCGACGAAGAGGAGCGCGACGATCTCTTTGCCATTGTCAAGCGTGATGATATGGACCGGGGCCGGCTTGATCTGCATGTTGCCGTTCATGTTGAGCATGTTGACGTTGGCTGTAAGATGTCAGTGAGTGAAATTTCTCCTGCGCTCTGGCGGTGCGCACGACTTACCGGTGATCTGCTGGCGAAGGCCCATGATGTCGCGGTCGCTGTCCCCGGCATACTGCTTCTGCTCGAGGAGTGGCTTGATGATGCCCTCGAGGCCGCTGGCAATCGAGGCTTGCACGGAGCGGGTGATGTCTGCGGTGCGCAAATCGACGGTGGCGTTGTAAGACATGTTTGCTGTGTGCGGCTGTCTGTACAGTGGCGGAGCGGTGAGTGTCTGACAATAGTATGGGTGGTAGTAATTGTGGAGGGAAGAATAAAGACTGTGTGTGCGTGAGCGGAAGAAATTTTTGTGGTGTGTGAAGGGAAGAAATAGTTTTGTTGAATGTGGAAGAGGGCCGAAGGAGGAGGAAGGGTTTGAAAGGGGATATGAAAAAGGGTGACTAATTTGGAGAACGCACACTGATCCTATTTTTGAAATGCATTGAGACGCACCTTCACCACGCCTGAGTATTATTGGGCCAGAAACTCACCAGCTGCGTCTCCATGTCCATGCTGAAGATTCCACAATGTGTGTTTCAGACCTTCACAGTACATTGTCTCTCCGCCGTAACGGGAAGGAGCGCTCATCACAGCCCTGCGCAGCCCCTTCAGGCTCATCACCACTCTAGCATCATCGCAAACTCGCGCTTGGAGAGGGCAACGTAGCGTCTGCGGCTAGCGGAGGCGCAGCGTTAAGTCCGCGGTGTCGTACGTCGGCTCACATGCAAAGGAACGCTCAATCCCCAACTCTCCTCGCCTCGGGCATCATCTTCTTCTCCCTCTGACCTTCCTTCCGCCGCCTCCTCTCGATCAGCTTCTCGCGATCCTTGCCCTTCATGTCTTTGAATTTCTCCACCAAGGCCCTATCCTTCACCTCCTTCCGCTTGAGGAAATACGGCTGCTTGCCCTGCTCCACCCTCTGCTTCTCCTCCTTTCGGTGCTGTCGTAAGACGTTCTGCTCCCGTTCTTTGGCGTCTTCGGTCTTGAGGCGGTTCTGCATGCTGATGAGCTTGCGCTTCAGAGTCTCCTTGTCCTCCTCGGTCTTTGCCTGCTTGACGGCTGCTTTGAGTTCGGCGATTTCGTCCTTCTGGTAGTCTCGGAGGAAGCTGTACGCCTTTGCAGCATTTCCAGGGTCCGACGAATTCTGGTTGAAGGCGTCAAAACGAGGGTCGCGAGTGACACGCTTGGGGACATCGACCACATTCCGCTTGCGGGTGACTTGGTAGCGAGAAGATTTGGAGACGGGTGCATGCTTCGACGATCGAGACTTCGTGGCTCCGACCTCAGATGGGGCTGAATCTGAGTCGCTGTTTACATCTTGCGAAGTGGTCATGTTGGTGGCGGCGGTTGTTGACTTCCTCTTCTTCGAAGACTGCTGGTCCGGGTGCGATGGAGTACTGCGTTCCTTCGATTGCTTCATCTGCCTCAACCTTGCTCTAAGAGCCTCGAGCTTCTCGTCCTGCTCAGCTGTGGTGTCCGAGCCTCGTTTGCGCTTCTTCACAATAGCATCCTGAGCCTTCTTCAGAGCTCCGAAAGACACGCTGCTAATCTGCGCCTCTGCATCCACATCGTCCCCAGACAGCACTTCGTCGTCTCCCTGATCATTCCCAGCAGCGACATCGTCTTCCGAACCTACAGGAGAATCACCTTCACTTCTCTCATCCTCGCTCGCACTCGCAAAGCCGTCAAAGTCTACCACATCGTCGTCAACCTCACTTCCAGCTCGCGCAGGCCTCACATTCCGTTCCGCCAGCCTTGCGGGCGCCATTGCTTCCGCTTCAGGTGTGATATTAGTGCTGGTGTCGTTAATGTGAAGGACGTGAAGTCGGGATGAAGTCCGAGAACAGAAAGTGAATTCATGAAAACCCCACATGAACTGCAATTTTAGCATTCAGGGCAGGAATAGGCTCGAGCCGCCGGCCGTGACGTGAGAATGTCATGGTTGCTTATGCCATCTTCGCTTCCGTTATCTTGCTGAGACAGCATTGGAGCGAGCTTCCAGTCGTGCGTTGCGGGTGTGTCGGCTACTTGGTGACGACAGAGTCAAGACCTTTCTTCCTGCCACTCGATTTCTTGTGTTCTCGTGTGATCGACCCAGCAGTGCTGTGCTATCTTATGGTTATTTGCTAAAAAGCTAGGCCGGTATCATGAAGATCTTGACGTGAGCAAGCTCTTGAGCATAGCGAGTGGCGGTCGTAGCTAACATCAATACAGGAAGGAGGAAGAGCAAGCACATTACAAGTACAGCCTCTCGCGAACTGACGCAGTAAGATTTGTGCTAATGATACGGACAGTGAGACATTGAAAGGCGGCTTCGTAGGCGGCATAGCTGGCCTCGCAGTCGGGGCATTAGGTGTCTATGGCGCCGCCGTTCGATATCCTGCCTTCCGGCAGCTCACCCTCCCTCTCCGCGCATTCTTGGTTACGAGCAGTGGAACATTCGCAGGTCAGCGTGGCCTGAGCACTTGATTCTTCTTCCTCCACTGACAGCATGCAGCCATCGTGAGCGCAGATTCCTGGTCCAGGTCCTTCGAGAGGTCGCGACACCCCGAGCAGCAGTACAAAGATGAGCAGCAGAGCCTACAAGAGCAGATCGACGCGCAGAAGACGGGCAAGCAGCGAACAATGGACTGGCTGTCCGACAACAGGTACAGCTTGGTGTTCGGCTCGTGGGTAGCTTCGATGGGGACAGCGATGGGTCTTGTCGGTCGGAATCCATACCTTACCGGTCAGCAGAAGCTCGTCCAAGCTCGTGTGTACGCGCAGGGCCTCACGATTGCTGTCGTGATCCTCTCGCTTGCGTTCGAGACCAGCGACTCCGCGAGAGGAAAGGGACGGTGGGAAACGGTCAAGATCTTGGATCCGAACGATCCTACGCACAAGAACATGATTGAGAAGAAGATCCATCACGAGGCGTACGAAGGCGAGGACCAGTGGCGCGACATGATTGAGGCGGAGGAGCAGCGCATCAAGGAGCGGGAGGAGGCTGTCAAGCGACGGCATGAAGAGCAGCATGGCAAGAAGAAGAACGCGAAGAACACGAAGCTGTCAAAGGAGGAGCTGGAGAAGGCCGAGCATGGCAGCAAGCCGGACGAGGCGAAGTCTGAGAAGCTCAATGCGCCGTGATTTGGTGCTCGCAAGATGCGGAGGAATATATGGTGGAATGAGTTGGCAAAGCAGCATTATGAGTGGCGTTCGGGAAGCTAGGAATCGTACTTTGCCAGATAAGTGTACATATAGGCTTGATCATCCAGGCTTGATCTCAAGGTCTCCGTTATCGATCTGCCCACTACGGAAGCGGTGGTGCCTCCTCTCCGCTATGCACGGCGCTGCAGCTCGAGAAGCGAGTAGGTTGGACGTCTTGTGAGGTAGGTCGAGTCTCTTGCCTTACATTCTGCCAACTTCAGATGAGGTCGCATTAAGCTTCTGATACAACCCTACCTTTAAATGAGTCTCGCAACCGCGACCGTGGAGGCATATCATGACGATACTGGCATCGCTCCATCACGACAGCAACATCGACGCCACCGTCGCAATGGCAGATGAGACCACGACGGAGCTCAGTAAAGCGGAGCTACGCGATGCAGCACGCCCCAACAGGTGCAGAATGTACGCTACCATGGATCAAGAGGTAACTTGGCATTGCGGGTTCTGCGGTCTCTGAGAGGTACTTATCTCGCCGTCAGATGGTGCTTAAGCATCGTAAAAGCACGGCCGAAGCCTGCGCTGAAGCTGAGGCTGTCGCCCACGCCTTGCTCGAGCAACCTGAGCTTCCGCTGCTGCATAGAGCGCGTGCGTACATGGTCTTGGGGTGCGCTGCGTCTGGCTATCTCGAGAACGCGTGTGAAGCTGTTCGGGTGGTGGAGATGGGAATCGGACTGGGCGGTGCCGGTACATGGTTCTCCGTGGCTGTTGGTCGTCATCCAACTCTGGCGCTGACCTGTTCTACTCCAGGGCAAGCTGAATACGAGTTACTTGAGCAATGTAAGGAGGTCTTACCTAATGCTGAGAGAGATTGTGGAGTGTACGGCGATCAAGCCGATGAGGTGGAGGATGGTGAAGGAGACGTCGAGGTCGCTGAGGCTTTGACCACATCTCCTGGTGCGGCAGAGCAGCCCGAACAGGTAGAGGAGCAAGAACGTCCACCTACCAGACCATAGCCCTTTGAAGCTATCGGCATGCGATTCAGGATTCATAGTGCGAGGAGTCGTTGGGCAGCGGTATTAGGACCAGCAGGGCACATACAGGCCCAAAGGTCTGGCCTCTTACCTTATTTCGACCGCAGATCCGGCTCTTGTGAGACAACTACGACGAGAGGAGCGGTCACTATAGCTTTCGCAGAGCAACACCGAAGGGTTCGCATTCGAGAGAGTTGCCTCGTAGGCTGCGTGCGAGCATGTACATGCATATCTCGGGAGAGGTGAGCAGACTGGTGACGCTGCCACGTAGGGCAGCAAACAACCACGTGGGGGGCCTGCTGGCGGTACGACATTCAACTTTCGACTCTCGAGCCTCGAACGTCTTCTGGTAAAGATGGATATACTGTGTTGGGTTCAATCCTCAAGAGAAAGAGTCTACAAGAATTAGGGTTTGATTCTGCAGCCATTGGTGTTGAGATGAAGACCGCCAGCAAAGGCGGAGCTCGTCAGTACGATCCGAACTTGCGTCCTGCTGTGTAACAACCAGTTCATCGAATCCGGGCGAGAATGCGCCTCGAGAAGAGCGGTGTACTGCTGGAGCAAGTACGGCTGCCTCGCTCCGTCTGCCTCCACGGTAGCTGTTGATGTGGCATCATCTAGATGGGTCGCCGCTTTCGATATGGATGAGGAGGTGGTGTACGAGATGTCGTCTTCCACGATTCCGGAGTCCTGGCCGCTGGGTAATGGTCCGCTAAGTGGCTTCGTTAGACGCCGTTTCTCCAGCGGACGCTTGTTTAGAGGCCGCCAGTGCCCTGCAGATCATGTCCAGCCAATCTTTCGGCGGATCAGCGAACTTTCGTTGTCTCGCTGTCGTGACCATCAGATAGCTCTCACTTCCTTCACAGTCGTACGCGGGGACGTCGTCCTTATCTTCCACCTTTCCAGTCTTCCATTCTCTTCGTTTCTCTTCACTCACTCCCTTCTGTACAGTCAATCTTGTCCGACGAGCCCAAAGGGGGTGTGCATTCCACGGCCCACTCCTTGCATCCACGCCTCCACAAACTTGCGCCTGTGATTACCTGCGGCCTCCCTCTTCGATGCGATCCATCGCTGTCTTCTGCCTGTCCTCACGGCGCAGGCAATCCCTGTGTTGACCAACGAGCAACTGCCCTTATCAGCCTGCTGGCTTGCACAAAACTGCCCACCTTACCGACCGCACATAGCCTGCCTCTTTGTTACATACCTTCCCTGGCCTCCTGGCTCAAGCCTCGACCCTTGATATACCAGCTACAGTGTCCAGGCGTACATACCTTCTGTACATGCTCCCTCTTCTCGATCTACACCCGACCATTTCTGCTCTGTACGTACCCCAACTTCAGCCCCAGACTCCACAGATTCGCGACTGGGTTGCCTTGTCATGCTGACAGACCGTCTGTCCAGGACGCGCCTATCGCCTCGAGACGTCACATTTCCGACCGTACTCGACACACATACCTTTCTCTTCTCGACGTCGCTGTAGGACGAGCTTGTGTTACGATTTGGGGCAGCTGGACAGTCTTTACATAATCTGTAATATGCCACACGGGACGACGACCACGCAAGAGATGGCCTTTCCCAATACTGTATGTGGATGCGATAGCTCGTCTAGAGGAAAATCGCTAACAGAAGGTCAGTCACGCCCATACATGACTGCTGGCAGCACTGCGACCGATAGGAAAGGCACTGGGACGAGCTTGAACACTGGCTTTGGCAGTTCGAGCATTCCTTGGGGCCCGGGTGGTCCTTGGGGTTCGAACAGCACATGGAATAGCTCGGGGTTGACGAACGGCTTCGGGTCGAGAGCTGCGACGAGAGAAGACTCGGCGGTGGGAGGAGGTTCTCGGCCGTCTTCCACGAGCGACACAGAGGCTACAGAACAAAAGACTGGATCCGCGTCGCTTATAGACCCTTCCGATCCTGATGACTGGAACTGCAGGGACCCATGGGGCGCCAAAAGAAGCGCGACTTCAACTCGCTCAACATTTCAGTCGAGGCCCAGCGAGCCGTCAAGCTTCCAGCAGCGTAGTTTCAGCGGCTTAGTCGCACCTCCAACAGCGTCTTCCAGGGCAGAAAGCTTTGGCTTCGGCTCGCGCCCGCAGACCATCAACATTACCGCCAATTCCAATTCTCACCCGAGGCCGGGATTCACTCCAGCATACTCAAACGGTGCTTCCGGAAGAGGTCCTGAGCAGCCAATGAATGTATACACCAAATTCGACCGTCCCGATGACCCAGGCGCAAGAAAGCTTCCAGACTCAGCCAAGGACGGGATTTGGCAAGACCACTCACCTACGACTGAGCGCAAATCCAGCCAGCCGATGCCTTTCGGCAATCGTGCTTTCAGCCAGCCTGTGTCCAGGGATGCCAGTACGCCTTCATCTCGCCCAGGAGGCGAGCAATCTGCTTTTGGGCCTTCAAATCCCTGCCGATCCTCTCAGCGGTCTACCCAAGCCAACTCTCGCGCACCATCGCTTTCGTCCCGGAGCAACTTCGCGCAGCAGTCGCCGTATGAGCCAAACCCAGATTACTTGACTGCGCAGCTGAACCAGCTCGCGCTGAACGGAGGCAGCCGTCCACAGTCTACCTACGAGCCTGAGACTCCCGCATACACGCCTTGGCCCAACACTCCATTTGCAATGTCCTCGGGACCGGGCCCTTCGCGCTTGAACTGGAACGGCTTTCCGAGCAATATGACTGACGATATGGAAGAAGGTGATGCGAGCGCGATCGGCTACTACAGGGGGGACGACCAGCTCAGCCCACACTCAAGTCGTCCATCGGTCAATTTCGCGATGCTGCGCAACAACAGCCGCTTCAACCAGACGCCGACTGCCCCGGTGTTCAAACCTGGACGGCCTTACACCGGTATGAGGACACCCTCTGGTTCTTTCGACGTAGCAAGCATGTCGTCTCTACAAATTGGCTCCGACGACTTCAAACCGCAAGCGAACTTCAGGACGCAGGTGCAGAATCCTCCTCCGTACACGGACCCACGAACACAACAACTGCTTACTCCAGCGCATATGCGAATGCCTCTTGGATCTTTCTTCAACCCATACGCAATGCCGAACGCAATCCAATTGGGCCATGTCACTTATGGCCAGATTACGCCGGTTCACACGCCGGAGCACCTGATGCCATCCGAGGACGGTTCAGGTCGAGAGGGTGTTCAAAGTCAGCTGATGTACGACTTCAAGACTAGCCCGAAGACGAGAACGTTTCAGCTCAAGGACATCTACGACCACATCGTCGAGTTCGCTGGCGACCAACACGGCTCGAGGTTCGTGCAGACGAAGCTGGAAGGTGCCAACTCCGACGAGAAGGACCGCGTCTTCCGCGAGATCGAGCCCAATGCTCTCCAGCTCATGACCGACATCTTCGGTAACTATGTCATCCAGAAGTTCTTCGAGCATGGCGATCAGACGCACAAGAAGATCCTGGCTCAGAAGATGAGAGGTCAGGTCTTGACTCTCAGTCTGTCAATGTACGGCTGCCGGGTGGTGCAGAAAGCGCTGGATCACGTCCTGGTCGATCAACAGGCTGAACTCATCGGAGAGCTCAAGAATCATGTCATCGACTGTGTTCGCGACCAGAACGGCAACCACGTCATCCAGAAGGCCATCGAGCGCTGTCAGCCACATACCATCCACTTTATCATCAACGCGTTCCAGGGCGAAGTGCAAGGGCTCGCCATCCACGCATACGGGTGTCGAGTCATTCAACGCTGTCTGGAGCGATGCGACCCACACTCCAAAGCCAGGGTCATGAGCGAACTAATGAACGGCATCAACAGCATGATTGCTGACCAGTTCGGCAACTACGTCGTGCAACACATTGTGGAACACGACGAGGGTGCCGGGCGGAAGAGCGTGCTGGACATTGTCAGCCGTAACCTGGAGTCGTTCAGCAAGCACAAGTTCGCGAGCAACGTCGTCGAGAAGTGTCTTGAGCGCGCTGATGACCAGTGGAGACAACGTGTCGTCTACACGCTCGTGAACAACCCTCGTCGAGGAGAAGACAACGCGGTATTCGTCAGCATGATCAAGGACAGCTTTGGCAACTACGTGATTCGTAAGCCCACTCCATCCCAACCACTGCACAACCCACTGACATTTCCTCGCAGAAAAACTCCTCGACACCCTCTCCCCAGACGACTACCTCTACTTCCTCACCGAACTCCAGCCCGCCATCAATACCGCCAAGCGCACCGGCTGCGGCAAACAAGTCCTCTCCATCGAAAAGAAAATGCACCGCTACTCGCCGCCCTTCCGCAACAGCAACTCCGGCCCTCATGGAAATGGTGGCGGAGGTTTCTACCAGCTCCCTCTGCCGACGCCGCCTTTTGCCAGCTTTGCGAATTCGGCGACGAACACGCTGCCCCCGCCGCCGCTGCCGCTGACGTCGGATACGCGGAGTTTAATGAGTGAGGCGGTGGGGAGTGGGGGCGGGGATGCGGTTGAGGGGGCGCCGGAGGGGTTTCGGGGGGGGAGGGGCGGGGAGTTGGGGGTTGGGGAGGGGTTTGGGCATGGGCATGGACGATGATATATTCGCTCGCTACCGGACCACTGCGAGGCTGACACACGACAAACGATCTACACGCTCTTTACTGGCTCTTGCAAGAACCACGCTGCCACGGAACAGGACAGGACACGAAAAAACGAAACAAAAATGGATGAAGTATGCTTTTACATACGAATGCATAGCGGCTTGTTATCATGTTGATGGGGGCGTACAGTGAGCTTTTGAAGGATCTCTCGGAAAGGATTGGGACTGGGTATTTTTGAAAAAAGATGAGAATGGGTATGGATTAACGCACAGCATGACGCTATGGGAAAGGATACGGGCATGGATATTGACGGGAAGGGATGCTATGGGTATGAATTATGGTTCTACGATATCGATATTGCTTGGACGACTTGATTGGGATGTTATTGGGACGACGTGTTGGTGTTCAGTTGGGAAAGGCGAAAGGGAAAGGGAAAGCATGGGACTAAGATGGCATGATGATATAGAAAGTATTTATACCCCCCCAAGGAGAGAGAGATGGATGGTTTTGTACGAGATAGATAGTGTTATAATGGTTTTGCTGTCGCTCGGGTTTCTGAGGGCGGCTGTTTGAGAAGGTTCCGCTTTCTTTTATGTGATCTATGGTGTCGTTCCCATTTAGTGGGTATCTTCACACCGCTACTCTCACTGTTCTCGAGATGGGCACGGACGGCGTGGGACCATCTATAAGCTCGCATCTACTCTTCGTTGGCGTGGACTGTGAAAGTTCTCCTCAGTCCATCCGGCCGTGCTTCCGCCATCTCCACACCACCACCCCATCGCAAGGTGGTCCGTCACCCAGATCCTGATGTCTCCAAGCACCACGTATCCTTAGAGCGGCCTCACTTCTCCCCCCACTGCAACTTGAACCTCCCTTCCGCCGTCTCATAATCCCCCAACCTCTCAATCACCTGCCCCGCCTCCTTCGCCTCCACCATAATCCCCTTATTCCCCTCCCCAATAAACCCACTCTCCACCGCCTTCTTCACCCACTGCAACAGCCCGTCCCAATATCCTTCCACGTTAAACACCACCACCGGCCGTGCGTGTATCCCCAGCTGGTTCCACGTCACCACCTCCATTAGCTCTTCTAGCGTGCCGTACCCCCCACTCAACGCAACGAAACCGCTCCCTGTGCCCCCAGAGATTACCTCGGACGCCATGGTCTGCTTGCGCGTGTGCATGTCTGGGACCACGGTCGTGCGGCCGTAGACGGATTCGTCGGGCATGTTTGTCGCGGCGTCGCCGTTGGTCGTGGAGTCGGGTTTGCGCTCGTAGCGGAGGAGGGCGGAGGGGATGATGCCGTGGACCGCTTGAGGGCCGGAGAGGGAGACGAGGGTCTTTGCGAGTTCGCCCATGATGCCTACGGTACCGCCGCCGTAGACGAGCTTGATGTTGTTCTTGTGGAAGGTGTTGGCGAGGGCGCGGGCGGCATCCATGTGCGCGGGTGAAGTGCCGGGAGAGGCGCCGCAGCTGGGAGGGTGGTCAGTGGGGTGTGAGGTAGGAGGGGGAGGTGAAGACTGGGTACGCACAAGACGCAGACGACTGCTTGGTCGCTGGATGCTGGTGTCGGGGCCATGTTCTCGGTGTTGTTGGCGGTTGGTTGTGAGGCTGCCATTGTGTGTATACTTCGAGAGGAGAGGTGTGTATAACGAGAAAGAGAAAAGGAAAGGAAGCTTAGCTTATATACTGGTCTCGTAGTGAATGCCAGGGTTGCGGAGGCTTGTGAATGTGAATGTGACTGCGGTCAGTGTGACACATTCACCTGACGTCGCCGCTCGTGCACGTGCTTGAATCGCAAGTGTGGTAGAGCCGATGATAGCCTCACTCTATACCAACATGTGCAAGACCGAGTATGGCTCAGTATGGAAGACAGTTTGCTGCTCCTTCTGACCTTGGTGGAAGTGTTGTGGTCGGACAAGAAGTCAGTGACTGACGATTGCTGCAAGATTGCCTCATGCGCTAGCACCGTCGGGCAGCCACGAGGGTTCCTGCTTTAGCTCTACATTGACTACACCTCATATCAACGAGAGACATATTGGCGTCTGGAGCATCTTGGAGAACAGCTTCTTGGATGATTGGACACTCGAACGATCAATTAATCAATCAACCAAACAGCAACAACACCTCCGGACAGCTCAATGTCCACCCACCCCATCCAACCATGGGACTACATCGCCAAAATCATCGCTCTCGGTGACAGCGGCTCCGGCAAATCCAGCGTATGCCTCCCACCCCCATCCCCCTCTTCAGCCCCTCCGCTGATTCACGGACTCTAGCTAACGATCCGACTCTGCGAAGGCCGCTTCGTCTCCCACCACGACGTAACCATCGGCGTCGAGTTCGGCTCACGAGTCGTCGAAGTCGGTCCCCCCGCCTCCCTCGAATACAACATCAACAACCCGCACACCCCCGCCCCTTCCGCATCGAACAAATCCAAAACAAAGTCCCCGAACGACCGCACCGCGCCCCAAGATGCGCAGCAGAAACACATGAAGCTCTCCCTCTGGGACACCGCGGGGCAGGAGACGTACAAATCCATCACGCGCTCGTACTTCCGCGGCGCGAGCGGGGCGTTGTTGGTCTTCGACATTACGCGCCGGAATACTTTCAACTCTGTCACCAGCTGGCTTCATGACCTGAGACAGATAGCGGAAGAAGACATCGTCGTAGTCCTCGTGGGGAATAAATCCGACCTCGCGCCCTCCTCAACCGTCAGCGGCGCCACCACAGCGGCGAATAAACGCCAAGTCACGCGCGAGGAAGCGGAGGAGTGGTGTAGAGCGAATAAGGTGATGCAGTATATCGAGACGAGCGCGAAGAGCGGGGAGAATGTGGAACGGGCTTTTCTAGAGGTGGCGGAGCGGATTTATCAGAATATCGAGGCGGGGAAGTATGATTTGAATGATCGGCGGAGTGGGGTGAAAGGGCCGGGAGCAGGGGGTGGGGCGGCGACGGGGAGGACGGTGAATTTGGGCAAGGGCACCGGGGCGGGGAAGAAGACGGGTTGGGGTGGGGGTTGTTGTTGATTACACAATTTGTTTGGGTTGGCGTGGCGTTGGGTGGGTTTGGGGGTGTACACTTTGAGGTTGTTCTTGATCAAGGTCTATACATTGACAATGGCTTCTTGTGAGCCATTTTGGACTTGATTGTGTCATTCGAGTGCTCTTCTGGTCCCGACCTTCTAGCCTGCAGATGGCACTATCCTTGGCGGCCAGTAAGGCAGAAGAGCATTGCTTCATTGGAAGCGACGTAAAGTACCGAGAAAGCAGCCTTCGCAGTATGCACATCTCGCAGACCGCCTCTGTGCACTGCCCTCGGGCCTGCTGCTCATGCAAACGGCGTCTTGCGCATATAAACGCTCACATCCGCCTGCACCTTCAGCTCCTCGAGATACCTCATCACATCCCCCAACACATCACTCTGCATCTGATCCTCCCTCCCCTCAAACTCCTCGAGCTGCACCACATTGAACGGCTCGCTCGCCGCTTTCTCCGCGCTATCATCAATCAAAACCGTATTCGCTTGGTCCCACTTCCCCTCCGCGTCAGGCTGCGCGGCTTGAACCGCCTTGTCCTCCCACACCCACGTCAGCCGCTTGTACACCTGGAGACGATATTGGGCAAGGTTCCCCGGGATGCGGAGCTTATCGCGCGCCCAGACGTCGACGAGTTTCTGCTTTTGCTTCTTGGTGAAGAGCTGGTCGGTCATGCCGCGGACGTTCTTGGGGCCGGCCGAGGACCAGACCATGACTTTGTGGTTCTCGAAGAGGTAGTCGAGGAATGTGGCGACGTTGGGGCGGCCGAGGAAACTGGTGCTGCGGTCGGAGCGGTGGAGGAGGGTGCCGTTGAGGTCGAGGATGACGAGGAGAGGGCGGGCGGTGGCGAGAGTCTTTGGCGCGGCACCGCTGGCCTGGATGTACTCTTGTGTTGGCCGGGGTACAGGGAGAATTCTGACGAGCTCGTCGCGCTTGGTTCGCTCGGCCTTCTGTGCTTTGTGCGACCTACGCGGGTATTTAGGCTGGGGCTGTTGTCCCGGAGGAGCGGATGCATAGTTCCCAGTAGCGATCGGTTGGATCCCGAGGTTGTTAAAAGCTGCGGTGGGCGGCGACAAGCGCACGCCACCGTCTTCTTCAACGTGGAGAGCTGGCGGGGTCAGCATGTTCAGCGGCGGATAGCAACCATGGTGATGAAAATACTCTGCTGCGCGTTGGTAGGCTTGCTGGGCTTGTTGTTGCGTCGATGTGGTGGCACCCATGCTTCCGCTTTCGCGTTGAGCGTGGTATTGTTGCCCTGGCTGCCATCCACAGCCATCCCAGCTGCTGGCGTAGCCTCTGTAGTCGTAGCCGAAGCTGCTTTGCCCTTGAGTCGCTCCGAACGGCGCGGCGGTTCCGTAGCCTGCATACGACTGCTGCCATCCACCGCCACTCCACCCTCCGGTGACATTTCCGTAGTAGCCGTAGTCGTAGTCGGTGCTTGGCCTTGACGCTTGCGCTGTCGAGGTCGACTCTCCGTTCCAGCCCTGCTGACCCCACCCTTGGTAGCCGCCGACTGCAGGTTGACCTGCGAAAGCCGCGCCACCAAAGCCTCCTCCTCTCCCGGCGTACTCATCTTGAGGCGGTTGGTAGAAGCCTTGAGAAGCGGGATAAGGGTGACTGACCTCTGAATTGCCGTGACCGCTGCTCGCGCTGGGCGCAAGGCCGAAGCGCTGCCTCACCGGTATATACTGCCGGCTGGGGTCCATCTTTGCGTGGCGAAATGTGTCAGTGACGTGTTCTCGAGGCTGGGTGTTGATGTTAAAGTACCTTTGTGATGTTGAGGTGAGTGACATTGTTAGTGAAGAAGCGAGGAGGGAGGGATCGTGGATAAATCTTTGCCAGTGTCGAGGTGTGGGAGAAGTGAGGTCGTGGAAGTGGCTCTTGAGGTTGAAGGCAGCAAACTTTCTGCTCGAGTCATGCGAGGCATGTGACAGTCTCGGCTTGTGCACGTGCAAATATTCTACAATGTCCGGGTGCTGTTTGAACATCGTGATACATTATCATCTATATCATACTCATCCGCGAGACATCATCATATCACATCGTACCCTCACCCCTCCAACTTAAACATACCCTCCACCCCCTCCCCATCCAGCAGCCTACAAACACCACCCTCACACAACTGCACCATCTCCTTTTCCCCGTCCAGATCTTTCACCAACTCATTTCTCCCCCTCAACCACTCATCTTTCGCTCCCCCACCCACCCTCAAAATCGTATAATTAGGCGTCACACTCCCCTGAAACCCCTCCACCGCCTTCCTCGCAGCCTCCCCCTCGCCCACAACCATGACCCCCTTAACCCCAAGCTTCGCGGACACGACACTCGACATCATGCCCGAGAACAGACCGGGGTGTTGTCCAATCTCCACTTCAAAAGCCGCCACGGTCTGCTTGGCGAGTTTCTCATACCGCTCATCGTTCAGTAACGAGCCGAGACGGAAGAGGTTGTTCGCGCTCACGCCGTTGGTGGAGGGCTCGGCATTGTCCATGCCATCCTTTGAGCGGATCAGAATATCCGGCTGGTTCGCAGGTGTGGAGAAGAAAGCATGCTTCGACTCGTCCCAGAAGAGTTTATTCTGCGTCTGCTGCAGTGTATCCGCGAACTCAAGCCAGCTGCTGTCGAAGGTGGACTCGTAGAGGTCGATGAGCCCGGAGATGAGGAAAGCGTAGTCGTCTGCGAAGCCAGGAGTTTCGCCGGGGCCCTCGCGGTAGACGCGGCGGAGGGTGTGGCTGGTTGAGTCAAAAAGGTTGGTGCGGATGCACTCGACGGCCTTGATGGCGGCGGAGGTGTAGGCGGGGTTTTGGAGGGCGGCGCCAGCCCTAGCGAGACCGCCGATGGCGAGGCCGTTCCACGAGGTGACGATTTTGTCGTCTAATGCTGGTCGTGGTCGATTCTTTTCTCTGTAGGCGAGGAGCTTTTGCCGGCCGTCTTGGATGATCTTCTTGACCTCCTGCTCGTCCATTTTCTCCTCCTTTGCCAAATCTGCGAGCTCATACTTCACACAGAGCGTATTCTGTCCCTCGAGCTCACCCTGAACATCGGCTCTGCGATCGATGTTGCCTTTCGGCTTGACGTCCCAGTACTTTGCGCAGATTTTCGTTTCCTGCTCGGTAAGGATGCCTTTGAACTCGTCCATTGTCCAGACGTAGTAAGCACCTTCGCGCTTGTGTTTGTCGATGGCAGTAGGAAGCGAGTCAGCGTCTTCCGAAGCGTTGATGCCGCCCAGCGAGGAGATCATCGGCTCCGTGGTCATGTACGTGGCGATGTCGTGAGCAGTTTCGAGGAACAGCGGCGATTTTGTGGCGAGATATGCATCGAGGTAGACTGGGAGAAGCTGCGCGTTATCGTAAAGCCTGTTTCGCATTAGCACATGGACATACCAGCGTAGACGCCCAACACTCACATCTTCTCGAAATGCGGCACACTCCAATCCTTCGTCACACTATACCTCGCAAACCCATGTCCGACCTGATCCTTAATGCCCCCTTTGGCCATCATCTCCAGCGTCTTGACCGCCATACTCCTGGCCTCCGCACATTCCTCCTCCCCAACAACCTCCCTCACCTCCGGACAATACGACCCCAACCTCAACATATGCTTGACATGCGCCGGCGTCGGGAACTTCGGCGCCGACCCAAAGCCGCCGTACATGCTGTCGAACCTCCCCTTATAAAACTGATAACTCTCCTCCAACAAATCCAACTCCAGCCCATCCCCCTCATCCTCGCCCACCTCACCCCCACCCTTCCCGCCCAAATTCCCCTCTTGCGCAAACTCCCTCAACTGCTCAATGATCTTCCTCCCATTTTCCCTCACCCTCTCCTCCTGCTCCTTCCACGCCCCCGCAACCTTGACCAAAATATCCTCAAACCCCGCCGCGCCCATCCCCGCCCTCTCGCTGCCCGGACCAGGCCAGTACGTCCCTCCAAACACCGGCTCCAAGTCCGGCGTCACAAACACATTCAACGGCCACCCCCCACCCCCCGTCGTCGCCTGCACGAAATCCATGTACTGCCGATCGATATCCGGCCTCTCCTCGCGATCGATCTTGATCGGGACGAAGTGCTCGTTGAGCAGCTGCGCGATGCGCGGGTCGTCGAAGGACTCGTGCGCCATGACGTGGCACCAGTGGCAGGCGCTGTAGCCGATGCTGACGAAGAGCAGGCGGTTGGTTTGTCTGGCGAGCTCGAGGGTGGAGGGGTTCCAGAGCTGCCAGGCGGTCGGGTTGTCCATGTGGGAGCGGACGTAGGGGGATTTGCTGTCGGCGCAGCGGTTGGTGAGGGAGACGACGCGGGACTGGGCGGAGGAGGACATGGTTGCGGTGGGGATTTGGAGGCGTGGGTGGTGGAGAGGTGGTCTTGCGAGCTTGGGTGTGAGGTCGGGAGGAAATGTTTTCGCTGTCGTCGCTGCTCGCGTTGGGAATCTCAGCGATGCGGATAGCAATGGCCGTGATAGAGCTCGAGTGGCTCGCATCGAGCGCTTGTGGAGTTGCTGAGTGAGTGAGATAAGAAGAAATTATCGCGGAACACTTAGCTTTGATGACCTAGGCGCGTCTTGTCACTGCGAGCTCATGTTGGTGCCGTGAAAATTGCTTCATGCCACGCGACCCTCTGGCGTCATGATAGCGAAAGACGTTGTCAGTGTACCGACAGCTTGGAGACGATAACGGAGGCGCGTGAGGGGACGTGAGCTTGGGCGGTGGCGGCTGCGGGAAAGGCTGAACAACACTTGGGCACATCGTGGTGCGTGCAGTATACGATGATCTCCAGGCACTCTGTTAAAGTAAGATGAGGAAAACGTTGGCATGAGCCGGTTCTACAGCATGTCATCAAGCCATGCTATGGCGTGGCAGATTGGTATACGAATTCTACTGTTCCGACCAGGCGATTGAGGTGGCAGGAAGATATGAGGCATACAGAAGTGGTTGGGCGAGAATTGAAGTATACCAGCACTCACACCTGTCAAAGATATGCACACGAAGAGAAGAGTAGCATCAGTTGAAAGCCGGCGGTCCATTTGCACTAATCTACCCAGCAGGCCTAAGCAAGTCCATCAGAAACATGTCCGTCCCACCCGCAGATGAAGCATTCACCCCTCTATCTGGACAGCAAAGAGCAAGCCTGGCAAACAAGGCCGGAAAGATGATGGGTTCGCACGGCATCTGGAGGCTCCTTGGAACGATCGGAGGCCAGCCCACACACATTCGCAAAACTCCGTCCTGATGCCCATGTCCTTCCTTGAATCCTATCCGACCGTTGCCCGCTCAGTCGTGAAAGCTGCTTGAATTTTCCGCAAAAGAAGAATGCCCTCCCATGAAAAGCACAGGAGAGGGCCGAAGAAGAATCTCGTAGTCGTAAGACGGACGTGAAAGCCTAATCACAGGTAACCGTGGCGTGGTCGAGGGGCTCGCCGACGTTGTCACCGTACTCGTTGGCGAAGTTGCCTGGCGATGCGTAGTTGCAGACGGTGAAGTACGGAGGCACGGAATCGCCGGTGTTCTGAAGGCCGTTGGTGCAGTGATAGGTGGCACATCCAACGTGGGTGGTGCCCTTCCAGACGATCTGGCTGAAGTGGCCCCACTTCTCGAAGTTGCTCATGTCGGGCTGGGCCTGCTTGTAGAGACCTGTGTAGTAGTTGACTTCGCCGTTGTAGAACATGTTGGTGATCACGCGGTCAACGCTGTCGCCGTCCACACCGGCAGCAATGTTCTGGCCGTACCCGCCACCGTCCATCTTACTGGTAGCTGTTAGCCAAGGCTCCAATGTCGAGGAGAGGTAGATGGGAAAACTCACGTGTTGTGCTCGTACGAGCAGGTCTGAGCGATCTTGAGGGCTGTCGCGGCGAGACCAGCATCCCACTCGATGTCCGGAGCGGAGTGGTTGGTGCGGTGGACGTTGTGGTGCCAGATGACTTTGTCAGAGTAGCCGGAAGTTGGTGGCGAAGACGACGGGGGCGCAGACGCGGCGGAAGTCTCAGCCGGCGGCTCAGGGCTCTTGGTCTTGGTCTTGGTCGGCGCAGGCTCCCAGGTGGCTTGAGGGGCGGTGGTAGCAGGTTGCTGGGTGGTGTGGCCCTTGTTGGGCTTGTGGCCACCCCACCAGTGCGGCTTGTGGCCCCAATGCTTCTTGGGAGCGGCGGCAGCCTTGGCCTCGGGGGTGGGAGTGGCCGGAGCAGCGCCGCCGGTCACGGTGTAGTACTCGGTGACATAGACGACCTCGGTGTTGGTGTTGACGACGACGTCACGCTTCGCCGCGAACGGCACAGCAATGGCGCTGGCTGCAAAGGCAGCGGCGAGGATGGCGGAACGCATGGTCGAGTGATGGAGTTGGATGAAGGTTGGCTGAGATTCTTGGTTTCTTTTGCTGGATCGCAGATCCGGTGCTGATTGGTAACGACTGAGGTATGCGGTTAGCACGTGCGACCTTGCCGGAAGATCGTGAGGAATGCGGAAGGAATTAGTGGGCGAGGAGGGGACAAGTATATATGTTGCTGTCGGACTCGTCGAAGGATTGTGACACAGTAGCAATTAGGGTGCAGCGTGCATGTGCTGGCGCTGGCGCGCATGCGAGGGGGGCGCACGACTTACTCTTCGGTTCCTCACGGAGGATGGGGCTCGGGGAGGCAGTGAATGAACGTGGGTTTGGTAAGGAGTGTGGTGCAGGCAAGCCCGCTGGTAAAGGAATGTGGGTGGTAAGTCGTTAGACCGAGAGCGTTCGCCGAGTGTGTGGTGAAGTTGTGGTGGTGGTGGGTGGGAAGGAGAAGGACAGGAGTTTTGTACGAAGGGCACCAGACTGTGGAGCAGGCGCGACCCCATGCTCCTTCTGAAACGAATCTAGCGATCCAACCCCTGGGCGCTAGCGCCTTCCTTAATTGCCGCCCCATCTCGCCAACCGGAGGGCTGATGAGGCAGGTGCGCTCCGAGAAGAGCTGGCGATGGCGTGCGTGGCGCGACGACGACGCTTCCCTGCCCATGTTTGGCCTCGCCCGCCGAATGCAATCTCAGACATTACTGCGGCAGCCCCTCCTTGCAGCCAGCACTACAATGCATGCGTGTGTAGAATCGGATTGTGCTGACTTGGCAACTGGAGGAATGCGGCAAACGACGCTTAAACCGACTTCGCGGCGACGTTGCAGCGCATGGAGCAATCCATCGTTCACATGTCGTTGGTGTTTGACGACGCGGAGAGGCAGACGCAGCTACTCTCGCTACTGCAGCCAGCCGCTCGTGTTCCTGAGCGGCTCACGCAGGAACCCAACTTTAATCAGCACTACCGTCGTCTAGCGTCTCCTCCCCCTGAACAAGGCGGAGGGTGGATCCAAGCGCTTGGGTTCAATACAACCGCTGAGATCGCAATCACGTACAGTTGCCCAACGGCGGCGATGACGGTGGTGAAGGATGTGATATACTCCTGAAGTCGCATGCCGTGGGCTTCCGTCAACCCACAAGCAGAAGCTCCCTTTTCACATGCTTCCGCAGCATTCGTATGACATGGCCCAGAACACCGAACAGCAAACGGTCTCCACCTGCGCAGAGCCCACATACGTGCCTTCAATTCAAAGATGAACTCTGGATCGCACGGAAGCCGAAACGTTGAAATGCTTTTCACACATGCTGCAGTTGGGAACGGAAGAAGGATCCGGCGAATGCGAATGTCATCAATTTGCATTCTCGTGAGTGCGCCTCGGGATGCGAACCCGGTCGCTCCCATTCCGGGTTGATGAAGTGAAGTGTCAAGCGCCGGGACCAACCTGGCAAGCTCTCTTCATCTCGTCTCGCATCCCCGGAGCTCGCGGTGTTGGGGCAGAGGCATTGGTGCGCCGAGCAAACACCTGACACTCTTTTAATGTGTTCTAGAGGGCTCCTGTGGATCATACTGTAGCCAGAACATTCTCATTTCGCCTTATGGACTGCTACAGCGCTCGTCTCATGGAGATGTCTGGAGATGGCGGAAGCCTGACGAAGATTTGGCAGGACATCTTCAAACGTGCAGCAAAAGCGGACATGCAAGAGGCTGCAGCGTTTCGGCGGCGGTGTCACGTCGTTTGCCATGTGGCTCTCCCTGTCTCTCCAGATCTGTTGGCTGGCTGGCAAATGATCTCGCCAGATCTGCGACAGGCGTCATCTCAGTTGTTCCGTGGTTTTCCGCTCAAGATTTTCCCTCAATGTCTTTGTTGCAAACATCGAGAGATGATCACGAGCGTGCCTGTCACTCCAGATCAGGAAAAACTGTCTCTCCACCACCATCATGGCAAGTCCTCAGCAAGCACGGCTGAACACGTTGGCCCCCATGGACAACTCCGGCTCGTCCAACGTACCTCAAGCATCATTTCGTGGACGAGAAGTAGGCACCCGGAACGAGGTACAGCTACATGTCACTCTTCACCTCCCTCGATTCGCGCTTCCAAACCCAAACAAGACCCCATCTCTCACCTATCTCAAATCCAAGTCCAGACTCACGCCTCCCTCAGGTCCATCCCTCCTTACCTCCCTTCTCAAACACCGCTCACCCCTCCCTCTCATCACAAACCCACAGCGCCAGCACCCATCCGAACGCTCCGGCCAGACAGACGCCCCTTGTCCCACCACACCTCCCCTCCCTCTCGCAGCAGCGGGGAAGCAAGCGTCCGTCTCCGCCACGAAAAAGCCCTCGCATGCCCGTGTCGCATGTGGCCCGCCGCAACCCATGAACCCGGTCCGCCCACGTTTCGGGTTGAGACGTGTGCGTCGCGCGTGTATGTCCGGCTTTCTTTCTCCACACGCAGCCTCCACATGCACGAAAGCGTGTATGGGTGATGGACAGTGTGGTGGAACTGACAGCGCATCGACGGGCCTCCCGGGCGTACAGGACCTGGACACTGGAAGCGGGCGTGGATGCGTTGGGAGGGGGTGACGTGACGGGCGCCACGGCATCCAAACTGCGTTTCTAGCTGATGTAGCTAACCCGGTTACCTGAAAAGGTGGTGTGGTTGCACAGCTATAACGTCCCAGCTCCTGGACTGAGATCTCAGACATGACGAGGAGCGATGGAGGTAGGCGGGTAGGAGGCAGTTTCGTAGTAGACAGGAGGCGCGGCGGCCGTTTCATCGATCCCTTTCTTCACTCTGTCATGGCCAGTCGAGCTGGATTTGATATTGGGGTTCTAGACAAGCGCCTTTGATAAGATCCAGACTCCGCCCGAGACAGCCCTTTCCACACTTGCCATCTTCCCAAGCTCACATCCACCAGCTGATGAAGCAGATCAGTGGCGAAGCGTCGAAACACCAAAGAAATCCAAATCTCCTCCAAGCCTGCCAGCAAAACACATCCACTCCCGGAACGACTCCCCGTCCCTACTTCCGCCCAAGGCACTGCATCGTCCAGCGCATCGCGCTTGGCCAGGTACTGTCCACTGGGGACCACCAGACGCAACTCCCACCGCAGACGGTTGGGGACATGCGTGGCGGACTCACTTGTCTGTTGTGATGCTGCTGATGCTTTGCGTGACGAGAGGCGTGAGCGAGCCCAGCCTACACGTAGGAGGTACCTTGGTCCTGACTTGGCTTTCAATCTATTCTTTCGACGGGTCCGTACTTTAGGACGCTGTGTACAGTACAATGCATCAAACCGTTGGAAGGCAGCCAGATATCTTACTGTTCGATGGCGTCGGAGGTCCCTCCCACCGCAAACGGTTGATACCACACCGTACAGCTCACCTACTGCTCGCCGTTTCGCTGCTACGAAACCCTGGCTGCGAGAAGAGGTACCTACAATGGCTTTGACAACGCATACTGTTCACGTTCACAAGTAGGAAGCCTACCTTGGTACTGTGACCTACCTGCCTATCTAACTACTCACTCGTCTTCCTGCATACACAGCATGAGCTTCTGTAGCCGCTGTACGCTTTCCACGCTTTTCCACGCTCGTGCAGGTCCAAATCTCTCTCCCGTTCTCCGCCTGTGGGTGGCAAAGACCATACCTTTCCCCACCCATCCCCTCCCCATCCTCCACGCCCTCCAACACCTAGCTAGCCATCACACTCTGCAGCGCCTGCTGCCCCTGCTGATCCAACTTCTCCCCCACAAAACGCCCAATCCTCCCCTGATGCCTCCCATCCGCCTCCCGCAGCGTCTGCCCCACCCACGCCCTCACATCCGTGACCTCGGGAAAAGCGTCCTTCTGCTGCGGCTTACACGTCTGCAACTGCGTGAAAGCCGCCCCGAAGCCCAACTCCTCCACGTCGCGGTCTTCTATAACTGCGTCTTCGCCTGAGACGGGTAAGGGGGGGTTGATTAACAACTTCAGCAAAGCTTCGCAGGTGATGGTCCAGCCGCGTTTCGCGTAGCGGTCCACGAAGGCCTGGCTGTCCGCTAAAGTCCGGGTAAAGGAAATGACGGCGGTTTTGCGGTCTTGCGGGCGGGAGAGTTTCTGGGTGGAGGGGAGGATCATGTTCATGTAGATGGGCGTGAAGACGTTCTGCTGCACGCGGTCCGCGACGGAGATGAAGAAGTCGGCGCCCAGCCCGCGCTCGACGGAGGCGGAGACGAGGTGGTAGAAGCGGACGAAGCGGAGCTCGAAGTTCTCGGTTTTGCTGGTGGAGAGGCGCGTGAACATGAGCTGGAACATGGGGAGCCAGTAGTTCTCCAGCGCGGTGGGCGGGAAAGTGGCGACGACGGTCTCGATGAGGTCCATGGCGTAGTTCTCGTAGGCTTTGGTGGAGACGAGTTTCTGGAAGATGACGAGGAGGGCTTCGGTTTGGTTGGCGGTGGCGATTTGCTCGGCGCCGCGGGGGAGCATGGTGCGGAGGAGTTGCGTGAGGGCGGGGACGTTGCCTTTGCTGTCCCACATGGTGGGGGTGAGGATTGGGGCGACGAGGTTCTGGAAGTTTTGGGACAGGGCGCCGGAGGGTTGGGCGGAGACGAGGGCGGCGAAGAGCTGGAAGATGTAGGGTGTGAAGTCTTCGACGTCGCCTTGCAGGACTTCCATGAAGATGGGGAAGAGGCTGGCTTCGAGCTTGTCGGGTTGCGATGGCCCGGCGAAGCGGATGAGGGCTCCGATGGATTCGAAGTGGTAGTAGCAGAAGCCGGGGTTGGAAGGGTTGTGTCGGATGACTTTGGTAATGTTGACGAGGTTGGTGAGGACCGTATCGACGATGGGTAGGACGCCGTCGCGGATGACGATGAGCACACGCATCACGCACTTCATCAGAAATTCGTTCTCTTGCACCTTCTCTGCTTTTGGATCCTTCTGCATCAGCTTGAAGAGGTGCTGGAGTAGGTCTTTCGAGAGAGGTACGATGCTGTCGCGAGAGATGATCGGCTGTCGTTGGTCGTTTGTAAGGTAGAGTGCGCGGTCGACGGCTATCGCTGCATAGGTATAGACGACGTAATTCGAGGAGTTGAGGTGTTGAACCAGCAGGGGGAAGGCTGCCTGCCATTGCTCTGCCGAGAGGATGCTTCGGAAAATGTACAAATATTTGATCGCATCGACTTTGAGCAGAGGCTCCGCTTCGGCATTGGTGAGGTCTTCGGCAATGTTCTTTTGGAAGAAGTCGAGCACATCGACGTTCGGGTTCACGCTCAGCACACCCTTCGCGGCAGTTGCTGTGCCCTTCGCCGCTATTGACGAGAAGAGGTGGACAGCTGTGTCTTTCGCCTTCCAGTTGCCTTTCCGATCCTTTGCGTACTCTGCTAAGAAGTGATTGACATAGCGCGTCACCACTTCCGTCACTGGCTTCTCGAACTGCTCCATCAGCTTCCTGAGGAAGTTGGTAGCGGCTCGTCTTCGCGTGTCATCGTCCGAGCCCTCCAAATCCCTTCGGATGAACTCAATTGGCTCGTCCTCGAACAGCTCAATGTCCGACTCTCGTAACGACAGGTTGGGTATCACCACCTTCTCCGTCACCTGTCCCAGCACATCCGCGTTGTTGAAGTTCTCTGCATGTGTTGGTATGCTTGCGACGGTTGTCAAGAACTCGAGAGCTCGGCTGACCACCAGATCGTATTTCGTCTCGGGACCGATGGCTGTGAGCATGTTCCAGGAGCTGCCAATGAACTGCCCCAGATGTGACCTGAACTCTTCCTCGTACTTCTTGGTGTAGAGAATCAAAACCCTGAACACATCCGCCCGCGCGAACTCCAGCGGTCCCGCTTCGTCGTCGTCGCCAGCCAGCACCGGGTTCTCATATGTAAGATATTTGTGCAGCAGACCAGAGATTGCCGTGAGGTTCTCTTCGAACTGCGGAGCCATGTCGTGTGTTGAGAGGTCGTACATGAGTTTGAGGATTAGATCAAGGGTCGCAAAGTGTGACTTTAATGTCTGCGCATCGCCTTGGTTCTGCGCGATCACGTTGTCGGTGTTCTGCCATAGCTGGAGCAGCGGCACAGCGAATTTGGAGAGAACGTGGTTGATCTCAGTGTATAGCTCGTCTGATCGGAACAGCGGCTCCCATCTCTTGAAGATGGAGTGCGCCACTTGCAAAACGCCATTATTGACCACAGCATTGTCCGGTGTCAGTCGTGAGACCAGATCGTCGACCAAGGTGTCCCATCGCTCCCAGAAGTCGCTGTCCGCGATTACGCTGATCGCCTCTCCTAGCAATGACTGTATTCGGGCCGGCACCTTTACCATCAGTCCGATGAGCTCGCTCTTGATCGTGGCAACCTCCTGCTGGGGTAGCTTGTGGTTGCCATCTTCGTCGACCCAGTTCCGGCGGATGAAGTTTTTGAAGAAGAGGGCGCTGGCTTGTCGGGTGGCTAGAGGATAGCTGTCGGCGGTGACGATTTGTAGGAGGGCGAGGGAGAAGCCAGGCTTGGTCTCTTCTGTCCGTAATGCTGCTTCAGCTGTGGTAGTTGTTAGTTTGTTTCTTCGTTTGTGTGAGGCTATGGCACATATCTGACCTTGCCGTTGCTGTTGGGGATTCAGAGTTGCCTCAAGCTGGCTCGCAACTGCCCCAATGTCCACAGCCATTCTTTCGCCGCTTGTGAGTGACTTCTGAGAGAGAAGGTGGTGTTGCTAGGCGGGACTCCAAAAAAGCCAAACAAAAGAAGATCGGAGCTCGAGCTAGATCGCGTGGTGCGGTCCGTTCCAACGCCACGAAGCTTCGTCTGTAGAGGGGTGTACGTGATATCGTCAGCAACTGGCGGTCGATGATGTGGGAAAGAAAGTGTAAAAGTGGACGAGAAGCCCGTCAGATCTGGCTCCGATCTCCTTTCTGTCATGTGAAAGCGTCGAGAACATTCACTTGCAGTGGAGAAAAACGTGACCCCCGCGGCGACCCTGGCAAGATCGACGTGCATATAAGGCGACACGCTTGGGCCGACTCCGCGTCGAATTGTCAACACAGCCGCCACCTGAACATACCTCTTCTCCTTAGAACATTCTAATAAATCACAACAGAGACCACTGTATTACTTGCATATCCTGTTACGGACTCAAGCATGACCTCCATCTCATGACACCACATCCACCACAGCAGGCGACAAGATGGCCTCGACCAACTATGCCAGGCTGCGCGAGCAGACCATGGGCTCGCAAGAAGATGAAGAAGCAGTCACCGTCAACACAAGAGCCTTGATTGACAAGGTGCTGGCTCGCTACTCCGGAGAATGGACAACCTTACGAGAACTTATCCAAAACGCCGCCGATGCTCAAGCCTCGAAGGTCACCATCCGATTCGAGACGACTCCTTCCTCGACCATACCTCTTCCCTCGACCCAAGACCCCTCCGACCACCTCAAGCACGTTCTCCTACACCACACAGTCAAGACGCTACTCGTGACGAACGATGGCGACGTCTTCAACGAGAACGACTGGCAGCGGCTGAAGCGGATAGCGGAGGGCAACCCAGATGAGACGAAGATCGGTGCGTTCGGTGTAGGCTTCTACAGCGTGTTCGCGGACTGTGAGACGCCCTTCGTGAGCTCAGGGAAAGAGTCGATGGCGTTCTATTGGAAAAAGGACAGCTTGTTCACACGGCGAGGGAAGCTCTCGGATGACCAGGCCATGAAGGGTACTACGTTCATGCTGGATTACCGGAGTCAGAGCACGCCTGTGCCGCAGCTGTTGGGACTGTGTCAGTTTCTGGCGACGAGCTTGACGTTTGTCGGGCTGGAGTGCATTGATTTGTACTTGGACGACTGGAACATCCTGAAGCTGACGAAGAAGATGGCGCCTGCTATGAAGGTTAACATCCCGAAGGAGGTGAACCCCAAGACGAAGGATGGGCTCATGAAGATCACGGACGTGGAACATCAGAATGCTCAGATCGATGCGCAGTGGATGAATGTGGTGGGATGGAACAGAACATTGCCGTCTCCCGTCAACGCCACATCACAATCTCAGGCGGACAATTCTGGCTCGCTGCGTGGGTGGTTTTCGAAGTTCACTGCCGGCGTCTCGACGAATGTGGCATCACAGAAAGCACGCAAGGACGAGGAGGCACTGCAACGTGCCCTGGTGGAGGACCTGGCGGGCAACAGTAGGGCTACGGTGTTCTTACGAGTCAGCACGGTCAAGGTCCAGACGTTCGTGAGCAAGTCGCTGTCACAGGAGCTGGAGCGAGCGACCAAGAAACCTCCACCCAAGAACACCCGCATCGCCATCCTCACTTCATCCTACGACGAGAGCTCCGCGTCCCTCTCGTCGGTATCCGGTGCCGGCTCGAAGAAAGCTACCGAGATCTTCTCCTCCGTCCTTCCAACCAAGAACGGCAAGATATTCATCGGCTTTCCGACAGCTCAGACAACCGGTCTCCTCGCTCACATCTCAGCACCCTCCGTCATCCCCACTGTTGAGCGAGAGAGCATCGATCTAAACGCTCGCTACGTCCGCGACTGGAACGTGGAGATGTTGCGAGTGGCCGGCATTGCCTGCCGGATAGCTTACGCTGGCGAGCTGACCGAGCTGGACTCGAAGCTGAAGCGCATCCAGAATGGTACTAAGAGTCCCAGCAAGGATGATCTCGCGGATGTGATGCCTTCGGCTATACACATATGCAAGCAGTACCACTTCGAGGAGTCTACACCATCCATGAAAGTGGGTGACTACATCGAAGAAGCGTTTTGGATGTGCAACAAAACTGCCAGCATCGATGTGCTGTCCACGAGAGGTGTGTTGCCCAGCCAGGATGTGAGAGTGGCGACGGAGGACTTGAGCTTCGTCGAAGGCATACCGGTTGTGCCTGATGAGTTAATGGACAAGGCGAACGACTTTTTGACGAAATTACGAGGATATGGATTGCTGTCCGACATTACTACTAGCGACATCAAGAAGGAGTTGGAGAAGCAGGCGCTCTCCGAGAAGCAGCTTACGGAGCTGGTCAAGTGGGCATGCACCAAAGTGTCGCGGCAGGACATGGACGCCAGTGTGGTGCAGTCTCTTTTCGATGGGACCGTGGCGACGATCAATGATGAACACGTTGGCGCATCATCTAGCCCGGTGATACAGCTTGGATCGATCAGCACGTTCGTAAACGTTTCGAAGATACCAGCGGAGATGCCTACACCTCCGCAAACTATTCCCTTCAGGCTAACGAGGGGCCTCTCGCCGAGCCAGCTGCAGTCAATCGGATGGGAGGAACTGCAGATCGTACCGTGGCTACGATGGATCATCGAAAGCAATAGTCAGGGCTTTGGAGCGGGCAAGAGCTTGACTGCGTCTTCTGAGGTGGCTGCGCAAGTGCTGCCGGTCGTCTCGAAGGCGTGGGATGCTCTGTCGCAGTCTTCGAAGCAGACTGTCGTTGAGCTCCTCACACCACGATCGGTCATCCCGACCAAACTGGGCATGCGAAAGCCACCGCAGGCTTACTTCGCGAGTGTCAAGCTCTTCGACGACCTGCCCACCATCCACGGCTTGCAAGGCGTCAAGGAAAAATTTCTTGGCGCTTTGGGCGTGCGGAAGACGGTAGAGTTGAGCGTAGTATTTGATAGGCTGATGGCCAAGAACGAGAAGGCTGCGACTGGCGAGGAGGGCAAATGGAGCCATGTCGATCTGATCAAGTATTTGGTCAGCGTCAAGGAGGATATCCCTTCTGAGGACATTAAGAGACTCCGGACCACGCCACTTTGCACTGCTGAGACGCAGTCCGCAGATCAGGCGAACAAGGGAAAGCTGTACCGGGTATCAGAGCTCTACGAGCCGAACGAGTCGATTCGCAAACTTGGACTGCCCGTCCTACACTGGCCAGGCCAGTACCGTCCGACGAGCCAAGAAGGGCGCTTCCTCAAGATGCTCGGCCTCCAACCCTACCCAAGCGTCCCGGACCTCGTCAACATCCTCGCCAAAGCGCCCACAAACAGCGAGCTCCAACAGAGCGCTATCAACTACTGGGTCATCAACAATTACCAAAACGGCTACAACCAGTTCCCGATCGGTAAAATCGAAACGGCCTTCCTGCCCGTCCAGCCCTTCGAAGGCGAGCGCAACAACATGGTCGCACGTCCGAATCAATGTTATGCAGATCCGAAGGCCTCCGTGCTGCGTTTCCGCATCTTGCGCGAGGACCTGCAGCCGCATCATGCGATTTTTGGGGTAGCGATGCGTCCTTTCATCGGCGCCTGCGCGGATCGCCTGATCAAGCAACCACCGCTCGACGTCGCGAGCGCAAAGAGCTTGTTTGGCTACTTCGCCGGTCGCCTCAATGAGATTGGACCAAACGGCAACATCGCAGAGCAGTTGGGTGATGCCCCCATCGTACCCATCCTGCAGCGCGCTTCCGGCGATAAGAAATATGGCGTGCGCTTCATCCCGCCTAAAGCGTGCTTCATCGGCGACGGACAGACTTACGGCGATATCTTTGACTTTGTCGACTTTGGCGCTGAAGCGAATACATTCCTGCTGCGTGTCGGATCAAAGCACGAACCCAGTGCGTTCGAGATCGCGAACATGATTGTGCGCCAGCCTGCACGACTGCTGCAGACGCTGGGACATGAGAAGTACCTCCAGATCCTGCGCAAGATCGCCGAGAACGCTGCGCAGCTGAAGAAAGACAAAACGCTCTGGTCGCAGCTAAAGTCCTCACCCTGCTTGCTGGCCGAGAAACAAGTCCTGCAGGTCCCCGAAGGCGACGAGAAAGTACGTGAGCTGGACGACGAGGAGTTGACGGTGAAAGAGTATTCGCTCTGCGTCGCCTCGGGCATGGTGTTACTAGACGACTTCGCCACCTACCGCCTCTTCCAGGCTAACCTGCTGGTGGCGCCGCAGGAGGAGGTGTTGGAGAATCTGTACTCGGCGCTCGAGACGCCTTGGCTGAGTAAATTGGTTGAGGACGATCAGAGGATGGGCGCTGTGCTGCGCGATCAGACGCCTGCGGAGCGGTTGGGGAAGCTGATCATTGAGCGCTGTAGGCTGTTCTTGTACGATCACACGGCGGATGTGATACGGCATGATGCGAAGTGGCTGGACCAGAACCTCAACGTCAAAGCTACAGAGTTCCTGCAAGTCACGCGAAGGTTGAAGGGGTACCGGATGCAGTTCGTCGAAAAGCGTACAGCGGCTCTACACCGCGAGAGCAAGCACAATGCCATCTTGTACGTGACAGGGAAGTACGATCTCTATGAAGTCGCGAGGGCGATTATGCCGCTGTTGTTGAAGAAGCCGCGGCAGCAGGATTACCTGGCGCTGGAGATTTTGATGGAGAGCGATTTGAGGCGGTTGAAGACGAAGGGGTATAATGTTGATCGTATTCTGAGGGCCAAGGCGGCAGAGGCGAGGGTTGCGGAGAGCGAGCGGCAGAGGAAGGAGGAGGAGGGGCGGAGGTTGGCGGAGGAGGAAGGGAAGTTGAGGGCGCAGAGTAAGGCTTTGGAGAATGGTGTTGCGGGTGGTATGGCGAATGGGATGGAAAACGGCTCCACACCGCAACCTCAGCCCCCGCCTGCTGCGCCAGATACACCGGAGAGGCAGCTCTCCATGCCGGGCACCTTCAACGACTCCCCGCCTACGACCAGCAAGGGCAAGAAACCCAGCTTCTTCAACTCCATCAGCAAACACCTCGGCATCAACCAGAACGCCGCCACGTCCAGCGCCGCGGCGCAGCAGATGCAAGCCATGCTCACCAACGGGCACGACAACGACGCGCCGCCTCCCTACGAACCCCGCGACATCTCTCGCGCTGGCGGGAGCTCTGCCGGTACTGAGCAGGTCTCCTCGCCGCGGGATCTGCACGACAACCTCGAATCCGCCGTCAAAGCCTCCCGCGCCTACGACTCCAACACCCTGTTCTCCCCGCCCCAGACGAAAGATATAAAGGAGACCCCCTCCTACTGCGACCCTCGTCCCGGCCACGACCTCACGCACGTCACCACCGACCCCTCAGGCATCAAAATCTTCCTCTCCCGCTCCTCCACCACCCCTTCTTCCGACTTCCTCGCTGCGAACAGCGCAGCCATCTCCACTTTCTCGCAGATCCTAAACGACTGCGCGACAATCTTCTCCCTCCCCGCCTCCACGCTCAACATCTTCCACGACTCCACCGGTGCAGCGATCGCCTTCAACAGCTCCGGCTCCCTATTCTGCAATCTGCGGTACTTCATGCAACTCCACGAGCAAGGCATGGGCAGTGTAGAGGGACGGGTCGACGCGATGGCGTATTGGTGGATCACGCTTTGTCATGAATTGGCGCATAATCTTGTCGGGGATCATGGGCCGGGGCATAGTTTTTACACGGAGAGTTTTGTTGCGCAGTACTTCAGGAGGGTTGTTTGGTGGGTTGGGAGACAGGGGGTTGCGTGATGGGTGGGGAGGAGGAGTTTGTGATTGATGTTGCATGGCGGTGGTGTTCGCATAGCGCTGGGTTAGATGGGCATCTGGGATGGGGGGTTGTTGGATAACCTAGATTTTGAGCAGGCTGCAGAGGCTCGAAAGAGAGAGCGCTTGTACAGGATATCATCGCTTCACCGACTCTTCTCCCCAAAACCCTCTCTCTTGCCCCGGCGTTGAACGCTTTCCTGGTGGTCACCAGCACGGAGAACGTCTCAAGAGAGCGAGCGGCCACGTGTTAGACGGATCGCCTGGAAATCTGCAGATTGGTTGACATCCACGGTTCTGGCTCTACTCTACTCTACTCTACACCTACGCAGGACATTCCCTTCCAAGTGTACGTGTACGGTCTCAGCGTCGCAACCTGCGCTACCGTGTCGCCAATTACACGCAGGTATTCGGCGTTTAGAAAAAAGACGGAAGGAGATCAAGGATGCAACATGTCATGTCACTGCTATGCACGCTATCTCATATCTCATTCCAACTATCCTCTCAACCTCCCCTCTCCACATCCTAGGCAGGCCCTACCAGTCCCCATCCTCCACCTCCCCTCCCTCCTCCTTCCCCCTCCGCGGATACCGATCCTCCAACTCCACCTTCGCCCGAACATTCATACTCATCAACTCCTGAATCAGCAACTTGGCCGCATACGGCATCGTCACCTTGACCACGCGCCCGCTGTCCTGACACGTCTGACACCAGCTGTTATACCCCATCATCCCGCAGTTCTGGCACACATCGACCTCATGCGCGTCGCTGGACAGCATGAGTCGTTCGAGTAAAAGCTGTGAAGCGCCGTAGGCGATCAGGCAATCGCGCTCCATTTCACCCAATCGCAGACCACCGGCGCGAGAGCGACCTTCGGTCGGCTGGCGCGTGAGGATGGCGCGGGGGCCGGTGGAGCGCGCGTGCATTTTGTCTTGGACCATGTGTTTGAGCTTCTGGTAGTAGATGGGGCCGAAGAAGACGTAGGACGGTAAGCTCTCGCCTGTGATTCCCGAGGTGACGAAGTCTTTGCCGGAGTAGCTGAAGCCGTGTTTCACGAGCTCGGCGCCCATGTCTTCGATCTTGGAGCCGCCGAACGCGGTGCCGTATTCCTGCTTGCCCGCCACGACGCCCGCTTTGCCGGAGACGAGTTCGAGCATTTTACCCACCGTCATGCGGGAGGGGAAACCGTGCGGGTTCATGATGATGTCCGGCACGACGCCGGAGTCCGTAAACGGCATATCGGCTTGCTCGGCGATGAGGCCCACGACGCCCTTTTGGCCATGGCGGGAGGAGAACTTGTCGCCAATCTCCGGGCGGCGGGTTTGACGGGTCTGGATCTTGAGGACGCGGGTATCGGACTCGTTGGTGGAGATCATGACTTTGTCGGCGTAGCAGGGGTCCGGGAGCTTGTAGGACATATGCTGAGCGGACCAGGTTTGCTCGCGGTTTGGGACGGCCATGTGTTGCTGTTGTGGGGTTTCCTTGAGCATGTATGCGTCGCCCGACTCGATGAGTTGGCCCACTTCGACCACGCCGTCGTTGCCGATTTTGTTGTGGCGAGTACTCTTGGGATCGCGGGTGCCGATGCGGTCTTGGAAGCCGTTGTTGTAGGTCTTGAGAGGTATGCTGAGCTTTTTGAAGACTTGACATCGTCCGAAGCCTCGATCGCAGGAGGCCTTGTTCAACACGAGGGCATCCTCAATGTCGTAGCCTGAGTATGACATGACTGCCACGATGGCATTCTGACCAGCTGGGAGCTTGTCGTACTTGACGAGCTCGATTGTGCGTGTGCTGACCATAGGCTTTTGAGGGTAGACCATGAGGTAGAGCAGCGTGTCGATGCGTGTGAACTGGTTGTAGGCGATGGCGCCAATGGCTTGCTTACCCATAGCACATTGATAGGTGTTCCTTGGGGATTGGTTGTGATGAGGATACGGAATGAGCCCAGCGACGGCTCCGAGGATTGTGAACGGCTCGATCTCAAGATGGGTAGTATGAGGTCCAATCTGGTCTTCATAGATGGCGATGTTCGAGTCGTTCTCTTCGTTGACGTCCAGATACTCGACAATACCGCGCGACAGAGCGTCGTCAAAGTCCACAGTACCCTTCCGTAGAGACTCCAGGAAGCGCGCAGTGACCTTCGACTTGCCATTCTCGACCACAATCATCGGTCTGCAGATCCGGCCCTCGTCGGTCGCGATGTGTACGCCGTTGTGGTGGTGGTTGATGTAGATGCTGACGAACTCCGATATCCTGCCCACCCGCCTGAACTTGCGGAAATTGACGAGGAACTGCTTCGGATGCCGTGTCAGGGCGATGGGTGTGCCGTTGATGAAGATGACGTATGCGCCGAATTCGTAAATCTCGCCGCCGAAAGCTGAGCTGACGTCCTCTGCGCCGAGGATGTAGACGATTTTGCGCACGACGTCTTCGTCGTCGGCGGTGGTGATGTGCGTCATGAGCGCCAAGTTCTTGATCAGACCGCACGATTCGCCCTCGGGGGTGTCGGACGTGCAGAGCATGCCGAATTGCGAGGGCTGCAACGCACGAGGACCAGCGACCTTTCGCGTCTTTTCGAATTGACTGCTGATTCTGGTCATCATGCCGAGGGCGCTGATGTAGCTCAAACGGCTCAGGACGTGGGTGACGCCAGCTCTGTCCATCTTGAAACGGCGCAGCGTCCAGTTGCCGGTCGCGATGGCTCGTTCCATGCCTCCCGTTATCCGACTCGCAAACTGCTCCAAGAAAGGCACAGGATCCCACTCAGATACCGGGTTGTACCGCCTCAACGACTTGTCCATGTTCATCTTTATATTTTTGGTGAAGTCCTTGAACAAGTCTTCGAACAGCAGCGACAGCATCTGCCCGGCCAACTCCAGACGCTTGTTACCAACGTAGTCACGGTCGTCCACCAGCTTTGGGTTGTTCATCGCCATAAGCACACGTCGGGCCATGAAGGCGATGTATAAAGCTTTGGGCCGGAAGTTCATGCCTGTGACTGGCACATGAGGGATGATGGTGTGGGACAGCTTGTCCAAAGCCCATTGCTTGGATGACCGTGGCGCTCCGCCTCTCTGAGGATACCGGTCGCTCTTCAGTCTCACAGCAATGTAGTCTAGAGCTTGCTCCTGTGTCAAGACGCCAGCCTGTGCTGCCAGCTCGATGTTGGGCGCAAAGTCGTCCTGGTATTGCGAGTCATTGCCGGCGGTGAGCAGAAGGATCTCGTGGTCTGACTGTATGCCCATCGCTCGGAGTACGATGGTAATAGGGATCGGCTCGTTGAAGGAGTTGTGTTGCAGAACCAAGACGTTCTTCTTCAGCAAGACGTACGTCTTGGTCTTGACGTTGGCGGTGTGACTGGTGACAGAAGCCTGGATGATACCTTTCATCGACTCCACAATAACTCTGTTCTTGCTCAGCTGCTCCTGAACCAGGATGACCTTCTCCTGTCCCCGCACGATGAAGTACCCGCCGGGATCGATCGAACACTCGTGGAGCTTCCCCATCTCTGCTTCAGATTTGCCAGCCAGGACACACTTGTTGCTTCGCAGCATGATCGGCAGTCGCCCGATCATGATGTTCTTCTTCAACATCCTGCCGCCTGACTGCTTTGGATACTCGATGTCCACGAAGATCGGTGCGGCATAAGTCAAGTCGCGGAGTCGGCACTCGTTGGGGGTGAATGTATTATCGACGTAGCCCTTGCCATAGTCGATGGCTCGAATCGGATCGCCGACTCGAATGTCCTTAAAAAGCACCCATTTCGCCTTTTCGTTGCCCATGGGAAGCGTCTCGCTCGCAACAAGCCGGTTGGCCTCCACGATCCGTTTCAGCCCCTGCTCGGTGAAGTAGTTAAATGAATCGATGTGCTGCTTGACCAGACCTTTGACTCGGAGGAAGGCGGGTAGGAGGTTCCATTTGTCTCGCGCGGTGTTTATCGGGTCCGTGAGGCTCTTGCTGTAGTAGAAGGGCTTGAGCAGGGAGTCCATATCGTGCTCTGAGCCGACCGGCGGATGGGCCGCTTGATCTTGGGTCGACGCATTCTGCTGCTTCTGCTTCGGCGCTGCCTTGGGTTGAGGTTGCGCATCATCTTGGAATTTCACGCTTTTGCTTGGACCTCCTCGTCGCTTGGGTGGCGCTTTCGGACCAGATTTTGTGTCCTGAAGGCAAATGTCAGAACGTTGGAAACGAGGCTCAGTGTGGTCGCGCGAACCTTTGCTGAGGTTTTCGCCGCCGGAGCACCTTTCGGCGGCATGATGGCTATCTGCTATGGTTTTGTGGCTTCATATGGTAGTTGTGTGTGTGTGGTGTTCATGACTCGGAGCTTTGAATGTGAGAAGTTCTCAAGCCGATGTGGCCCGTGCGTAATTTCGAGATGGGATGTCGAAACGTCAACTCTCACTTTAAAATCTAGCATTCTGCATCTACGGATTGCGCTGAAGTGATAGGTTGACTACAGGCACAGTATGCTGTCAACCACCTTGCATGGGTTCACTCGATCACCACTTCAACACCTACAGGTCTATCTGGTCGGGACAGCACATGTCGATCTGTGAGCGCTTGCGCTTAGCGCGCCAGCAGAATCATGGAGAGCTTCAATAGCTACACTTTGAACCGGCATTCCCTTGTCCACAGCGTCGGTTCTAGGGATCGTCATAAGCGCGGTGTATGTTGAGGAGGTTGATATAGAAGTAGCGGTCGCGCATATCTACACAATGCAATCACAAAACGCAGCAAACCGTTGTGCATGTCCAGACACGCCATGGTTATCGGGTTGCCTGAATTCATACTTTGAGAACAATTGATCATTACCCGGAGTGGAGGAGCAGGACAAGGACCCGAGAGCTCTTTTCGAGGGTCACGATGCAGCTAGCTATAGGCGTGGCTTTGATGGTAAAGCCTGTGGGCCAATCGTAGCAGGCGCAGAGGCGTCCCCTGCATTTCTGTGCAATCGGTGCGTCTTTAAGGGTCAACATTGAATTGCGTGCCGTCGAGGCGAGGTCGAGAGCACTTTAAAAAGTTCTCGAATCTCCAGAGCTGCGTCGTTGAGCTTCCTACTGATCGACCGCCGCGATCGAGTCTGCGGGCGAGACGTTTGCTTGCTCGAGAAGGAGGAAGGAAAGAACGACCCAGGCCCGATTTCACTCCGCCCGATTGGCTTGACTAGACCGTACCTCATTCCCACGCTTCAAGAGGTGCCCACCTTCACCCTCCCCATTTTTACCTCTCGCACACACACCCAACACAGTCCTTTCCGGCGGCGACTTCGCGCGCCATCATGGCATTCCAATACCGTCCCGACGAGCCGCAGTTCTCCAATTTCTCCCCGAACCCGCTCTCTCCTCCTCGCAACCCGAATCGTTTGAGTGCCGGAGTTATGGCGAGCAACACTGCTGAGGGGAGGGGGAACATGACGAGGAGGTTCACGACGAATGGGTTGCCCACGCTGTCGCCGATCGGGCAGCAGAGATTACAGGCGGCGGGGGATACACAGATGGTGAGTGATCGCTTCTCTTTGCCCGACAACGGACAAGAGGCGGTGGGAGATGTTGCGGAGGCTGTAGCGAGGATTGTGCACAGTCATGCGATGGGTAAGGTCGCAGATCTCATCATGGGGAGCGAGCCATCGCCGGGTCTGGTGGGTGATTGGCATGGAGGGCAGGTAAGAGGTGTTGTGCCGGGCAGAAGGGTTGGTCACAAGCGTGTCAAGAGTTGCGCTGGCGCTGTGGGTGATGGTCGCCCGAGCTCCAGGGACAGCATGGTGCCTTGCGATCGCGAAGGAAGAGCAGGAACTAACAAGCACCGTCATCATTTGTCCGAACCCCAGCAACACTGGCTAATGCAGGGCGCAAAGCCTTCTGGAGTATACAGGAGATTCGATCCGGTAAGCAAGCCCTTTCTCACTCCGGCTGAATGGCGTTGCAAGGTCCGGATATGGCTGCGGCCTGGCTTGCGGCCTGGCCAGCTTGCTAGTCGCTATAGTGGTGACTCGGTGGCCACCTGGCACCAGGCAGCCAAGCTTCTTGCTCTTGTTCAACACCACAACCATTGCCTTCGCCTTCGATGCTTTTCACTTCGAGTACCACCTACTGACCAGAAGCAGTCGGAGCGCAAGATTCGTCAAGTCGAAGCTCTCCTTGAGCAGCAGCGTCGCATCAACGCCGAACTCGAGCAAGTTGACGACCAGACTCGCCGCGAAGTCGAGCAAGGCCTACGTCACGAGCGCGCGGTCAGCCAGATGATAGCTCAGAGCGAGCCCACGACTCCACCGGAGTATCAAGACGCTTTTGCGAGTAAGTGGTTCACATCCCATCGACCAGCTCGAGTCTGACTTTGCGATAGCATCAGCAGCTCGACCAAACCGATACTCAATGAACAGCCTCACTTCACCGGTTGGTCTCACCAACCGACCGAATCGCTCAAGCACCCAGCTCACTTCACCGATTGCTGGTCTGGCACGTCCGTATACCTCTCACGCCTCGAACATGCCGCAGTCGGTTCCTGGCTCTCGCCGCCACTCTGACGACGAAGAGGACGACGACTTCATCTTCGGCGGATACGACGCTGGAATTCATCGTGCAGCTGCCAAGTAAGTCATATGCTCATCACTCATCACTTCATTGTCGAAGAGCTTTTTAAGCTTCCATCTTCGATCCCCAACACATGTCACATGAGCTCGAAGCTTGGACCACCCTCGATATATATCCTTCACTGCTTTCTTCAACAATAGAAACTTCTCACAATACCAACCTCAGCCACATCACATCACACATCTATTGTCATCTACCACAATAGCCTCGAACACTACTTAAGAACCCTCAAGCACCCTTGCTAACATCATCATCTACCTCCAGTCCGAACCGCAATTCCATGCCAGTTACCACCTACGACCGCAAGCGAAACACCACAGACTTCAGCTCTGGCTTCGGGCCCCTCAACACCACGAGCTTCCTCTTCGACGACGACGACCAGCCGGCTTCACTTGCAAACAAGTCTTCGCACAAGACCACTCCACCAGACGCGAAGACCTACCTGCAGCTGCACCACACTGCAGACGGGTTCCCGAAGCTCATCCGCCGTGACGATAACGGTGATCTGGTTTCTGGGCCATCTGCAGCGCTCGACTTGGCGCTGTCAAAGACCGACAAGCAGGTATCCGAGCGCGGAACGGCTACCCGTCACCGCATTTCACTTCCACCCAGTGCTTTGAGCAGTGGTGGCAACATTGCTCCACTCAACAGCATCCTCGCATCGGCCAACGACAGCAAGTCCGCTGCGACCAATCGCCGCTCAATGGAAGTCAAATTCACCGCCGAGACCAAGCGTCCAGCACTCATGGCTACACCGCCTCGCAACATGGCCAACGGCATCTTGAAGGCTCAGTCTTCTTACTCAACCAACGACATTCCCACTCTGAAGTCCATCAACGGCGACGCTCACACTGGTGGTGTCTCGCTCACTTCTCCATCCACTCAGAGCAAGAACGTCTCCGAAGTTGCATCTCCTGAGCAGTCGGCTCGCAACGGCGTCACTTCAGACTCTTCACTCGTTCGTCACAGCCAAGAGCTCACCAACCAGAACGGCAGCCTCGACTTCTACTCGACCCCTCACTCCGGCCTTCAAGGCACCGCCGCGGCCTTCGCAGCGATGCATGACCAGAACCAACAGCCCTTCACTTCTCCAACCATGTCGCCGTACGCTCAGCAAGCCTACTACCCCGGCTACGGCATGCAGATGCTCAACAACGGCTTCAACGGCATGAACATCGGCAATGGCTACGGTGGTCAAGGCCAGTGGTCCGGCCAAGGCCCAGCCTTCCAGCAGCCAGGTTACGGAGGGTACCAGCAGTTCTCGCAAGCAATGCAGTCTGGCCCAGGCGCCGGTCGTTTCTCCGAGAACAACCGCGCGAACATGCAGAACCGCAAGGCCATGGCCGACGACTTCTACAGCAATGCCAACGTCGCCGAGCTCCGTGGTCAGATTTACGCACTGTGCAAAGACCAGCACGGTTGCCGCTTCCTGCAGAAGAAGCTTGAGGAGCGCAACACGCAGGACACGCAGATCATCTTCGACGAAGTCAAAGAGCACTTCTGCGAGCTCATGATGGACCCATTCGGCAACTACCTCTGCCAGCGTCTGCTCGAGCACGCTTCCGAAGACCAACGCACCGCCCTCATCTCCATCGCCACACCAGAAATGACCAGGATCGCGCTTAACCAGCATGGCACTCGCGCTCTGCAGAGGATGATTGAATACATCACTACTCCAGAGCAGACCCAGTTGATCATCGATGCTCTGGAGTCCGATGTTGTGCAGCTCATACAGGATCTCAACGGCAACCATGTAATCCAGAAGTGCCTCAACCACCTCACGCCAGAAGACGCTCAGTTCATCTTCGACGCCGTCGCTGGTGCTTGTGTCATCGTCGGCACTCACCGTCACGGCTGCTGTGTTCTCCAGCGTTGCGTCGACCACGCTACCGGTCTGCAGAAGGGCGCTCTTGTCGATGCCATCATCGGCGAGGCGTTTGCTCTTGTGCAAGACCCGTTCGGCAACTACGTCGTGCAATACATACTCGATCTGACCGAGCCGTGCTTCACCGAGCCACTCTGCCACAGCTTCCAAGGCAAGGTCGTTCATCTCTCCAAGCAGAAGTTCAGCTCCAACGTCATCGAGAAGTGCATTCGCTGCGCCTCGCGCGACACCAAGCGTATGCTCATCCAGGAGATCCTTCCACCGTTCGAGCTCGAGAAGCTGCTGCGCGACAATTACGCCAACTACGTCGTGCAGACTGCTCTCGACTCTGCCGACGAAGAGTTGAAGCTTGTCTTGGTTGACAACATTCGCCCCATCCTCCCCTCCCTTCGTCACACCCCGCACGGCCGTCGTCTCCAGTCCAAGATCACCGACTGGGAGGCTACGTCTGCCGGCCTCCTCCCGCCCAGCATCAACCCACCGGCGACCGACACCTCGCACTCGATGCCGAGCAACCACTCCATGATGAGCACCGCCGGCCCCTACTCCTCCCACAGCCAGCACTCCACCCACGCCCCGCACTCCGGCGGCGGCCGTGCCAACCGCATGGGCATGATCGGCGCCCCGCCGGCCTGGGCCAACGCCAACTTCTCCAGCGCGTCTTCGACCTACGGCGGCCCGAACGACATCATCGCCCCGACTCCACAGCGCGGCCAAGACTACAACTTCCTCAACGGCGGGCAGCCCTACCAGAACCATGCGCTCGGCAACCCGACCTTCCGCCAGGCGCCCAGCTACAATCACTTCTAGATTGCGTCACTTGTCACTTCTAGCGTTGCACAGCACCAAGCTCTCACTGAGCTACGACCAAAAGCACATTGAACGGCCGACGACTTGCTACGATACGTGAGAAGAAGCATGAAACGTTCTCAGCCCGGCGAGGCTTCTATCGTCAACTTGCGAACCTTGACTTGCATGCAAGCATTCATTGCCACGGCGTCTCTGTCTCTGGACTTCTTGCACCGGCCGCCAGCTGGGCAGATGATCCTGTACCAGTAGTGCATCGCGGCGCATACTCTTCTGGTGGCACGGCATTGCTGAGCGACGGGCTACACACAGCCAGACACGAATCAGCATCAACCTTTCCTTTCGTGAAAGACTGCACTTGCTTTTGTCCCTTTCTCGAACCGGCACGACACGACACGACCTTCTTCCCTTCTTGAATTTTGCACATGATACGACCGAGCGACCACCCTGCCCGGCCGCCTCACGTTTCAACACAGCATGCACACCTTGTTTCTGCGACACCACCCTCACGACTCGAACGACACACACTGGCCGGCGCGAACGAACGACGAGGCGAAATGAAGACTCGGAACGCGGATCGAAACGCTCGAATGCTGATTTGGGCTAACGAACCGTGGAGACGATTGGACATTCTTGCATCGTGGCTTGGTTACAGCGACAGGCTCTGAAAAGACTTCTTGACATGATGGATGGGCATTGAATGCGTTTCTTGGGCGGCTTGATTACTTTCTTTCTTGTTTTTGTTGTTGATTACTTGCGTTGCACAGACGGCTCGTTGGGTGTTTTTTTTTAGGATTATGATGGATTGCATGATGGATGGGATGGATTGAAGGACCTCATACCGATTAGCAGCTGCATCTAGATGATGGCTTGCGCATGGTTGTAGGATAGGTGGTTGATGAGAAATTATGATTTGAAAACCTGATACTTGCTTGTGTGTTCTCGTGTCTTTGTTGGTGCTTGTAAGAGCCAGAGAAGTAGATGTCTGTACTGCTGTTGTCGAGGTCTCGAGGTGGTTTTGTGGTATGCTTGGCAAAGCCTTTTGGTGGAGGTGTAGTTGAACCCCCGAAGCTCCTCCGCATCTCGACCTCACTTCAATCACCCACCAATGGCCCTTTACACTTCCACTCACCCATGACAAATCCACTGCTGGTAGAGACAGCATGGACGAAGGCAAGCCCACCTAGCGTTCTCTACATCACTAACTGAATCTAACCCTCTCAACAGTAGAAGACCCCTCCCTCCCCCGCGCCGGCGAAGCCTCTCCCACCATTCGCCCCGTCCCCGACACCACCACCGCCGACGGCAACCCACCCAAAGACACCGTCAAAGCCTCCGCCCTCCTCACCCGCGACACCGCCTCCCCCACGCGCACCCAGCAGCGTCCGGGCTTGAAACGCGAATCCTCCGCCCCTCCGCCGCCGCAACAACCCCCGCCTCCCGCCCCGCCTACCGACGGAAATGGAGGGGATGTACTGCAGGAAGCTCCGGACTCTTTGACGCTGGCGGATTTGCGGAGGATTAGATCTACGTTCCCTACAGCGGAGGGTTTGGGCCCGGAGAAGGGCAAGCCCGAGGTCGTGGCGGAGGGCAGGTGTTATGGTTTCGAGTATCGGGACGCGCAGGCGCTGCCGGTGGAGGTGGAGGAGTGGTTTGGGTATGGGGCTGTGGAGTTGGGGCGGTTGAGGGGGTGTGGGGAGGTTTTTGGGGAGGAGTGGGGGGAGCAGAAGGGTTGGACTGGGGTTACGGAGGAGGAGAGGAGGGGGTTTGTGGGGAGGAGACTTGAGGTTTTGGGGCGGACGGAGAAATTGGAGGAGGCGGTGAGGGCGTTGCAGTGTTTGGTGTATGTGGCGCTTGGGGTGTGGGATGAGACGGCTGGGGTGGACGAGGAGGAGGTGTTGGAGGAGTTGTTTCCGGGTGGGGAGTGGCCGGGCTCAAGGCTGGGGGAGTATAAGGAGTCCGGGAAGCAGATCCAGTGGATCGTGGCGGGGGTTGACACGCTGCATGCTAGTGGGGGGTTAAGAGTGGTTTATGAGGTTTTGCAGACGGTGGCCGAGAGGGACTTCACGACGGACTTCAAGACGTATGAGGCGAATGCGAGGAATGAAGCGCCGATGAGGAGGGCGGAGGGGAGTGTGGAGTTGTGGTGTTGCTTGACGCTCATGTACCTCTTCGTCGAGGTCGCGAGAGCTACGGAGGGCGAGAATGCGAGGCAGTTGAGGAGCGATATTGCTGCGTTGGAGCCGAATTTGCTGAATTATCTTACGAAGGTTATATCGATGCTGAGGTGGGAGGAGAGTCTTCCGATTCCGCTCACGAAGATGCTGCTGTTGTCGTGGAAGACTATCTTGGCCACGATTGGAGGTATCAAGGACGTCGAGCACGTCAAGTCGACACTGCGAGAGGCTGAAGCTGATGATGGTGTGGATGCGAGAGGTAAGCCTATCATCACTGCCTCACCGCTGGACTACCATCTGTTCCGGCAGGAGATCAACTCGAAGTATCCTGCTTACCAGCCGCCGCCTGCGCTCTTCCCGTTGGAGCCTGAGAACAACAGCATCCTTCCTCCGTTGAAGAATCGGAGATCCAGCTATACTACTCCCATCGATACCTCGCTCGCCAATACCGCGCCGGAATCGATCATGCATCAACCGGTGCATATCGCCACGCCTGCTCCTTCGCCGCCACCCTCGCCCGCTGGACCTGGAAAGGCGGGCAAGAAGCAGAACTACCAGACTAACCAAATGTTTCCATTCCTATACCCGCCACTGGACGGGAGTAGTAATGACCTCGGCGGCAAAGGCAATACGGAGCTCCAAGATGCGCTGGTCGGCCGCAAGTGGGAAGGCTCGGATATACCGGCCAGCATCATGGAGGCGGCAGAGCTCTTTTCGAAGCGAATGCGAGCGACGAGGGCTATGAAGCAGCTTTGGCAGGTGAGAGTGGAGTATATGAAACAGGAGCGGGGTTGGAAGAATGAGGAACAACGGAAGGAGAAGAAAGAGGATGGGTGGTTGGGCAAGAGTTTGAAAGTGCTGGAGGAGCTGAAGGAGCTTGGGATTGATGGGCTGGAAGGGCTGGAAGATCTTGAGCTGGATAACGAGGAAGTGGAAGACGACTTTGAGGTTGTTGAGAAGCCAGCGACGACTATAGACCGGACGGCAGAACAAGGGAAGCCGTTGGCGCCGAAGTCTGACGAGCAGAGGAGGTTAGATGAGGTCGAGAACTTCTACAGGCACTCTCTGCAGCATCTGCAAAGCGTTGTTATTGTTCTGTTGAAGTCGGTTCTTCAGAACGTGACCGACATTGTCACAAAGAACAACGGGCAGAACGGTCTCGGACTGCAAGCCGGCATCCAATTCAACAATGACCCTGGCATGATCACTGGCTCGGCGAGACCCGTGGAGAACGGTGCCGGCGCAGCAGACGGCAACTTGGAAAGCACAGCGGAAGAGCTGGATCATCTTCGAAGCCAGGAGATTGGCGCGAAGGCTTTATCCGCGATCCTGCTGTTGCTACTGAAGTGGTTCAAGGTCAACCACATCTTGCAGTACGAGTTCATGAGCCAGCTGATGATGGATTCTAACTACGTCCCTCTGATGCTGAAGCTCTGGCAGACGCAGGATGTTGGGCGGGCGTGCCATTACCGGTTGGAGAGGGAAGAGCTGAACTTCTTCACTTTCTGTAAAGAAGGCAGTCAGCATGCGTCGCACAGCCAGTCTGAGGAACATCCGAATGGCACAGCAGACGACTCGGAAGACGACGCAGTCCCGCCTCCCATCAAATTCAAGCGCGACACGGTCGATGAGAATCCACTCTCACCCTCCTCCTCACCACCCTGGAACGCCGCATACCCTCCCGAAGTCGACGAGCTCGGCTATCCCACCACACCCCTCCCCTCTGCCCCGATCGAAGATTACTCCTACCGCAACATCTTCAGCCACATCAACTTCATCCGCATCCTGCAAAAACTCACCCGCCGCAAAACCCAACGAGCGCTCATGCTGATCAACTACAAGAGCTCCAACCACTTGAAGAAATCGCTCAAAGTACCTATCCACTTACTGAGATACTACACCCTCAAAGTCTTCAAATCCCAAGTCCCCTTCTGCGGCCGCAAATGGCGTCAAGGCAACATGAAAATTATCACCGCCGTCTGGCTCTCCGTGCCCGCCGAGCTCCGCGATGACTGGCTCTCCGGCGGCGGAGGCGGGATGGGCGGCGGTGGGTATGGAGACGTGGACGGAGCGGCCGAGGACGCAGTGCCGATGGAGCAGACTCTGCGGGCGCTGACGCATTGGTGGAATGTGCAGTGGTATCGGGAGGAGATGGGGATGGGCAGGGGGTTGGGAGGGGAGGAAATGGGGTTTTTTGAGAGGGAGTTGGAGAGGATGGGGTTGGGAGGGGAGGAGGGTGGGGAGATGCTGGAGGGGGAGATGCAGGAGCCGATGACTGCGGCGGAGTGGAGGGGGGTGGGGGATGGGTATCCGGGGATGAGCTGAGATCCATACGCTCTTCCTCGTCATCGCCGCCCTCGTAGGCCCTCCGCCCAAATTCGAATAGTGCAGCGTGTCCTCCAGAGTTTCTTGACGGGGCCGCCTGTCTCGTTTTAAACAAGATTCCCATGGAAATAAAAGAACAGAGCAACCATTCGCACACAGAGAGCTCTCGAACTTTCTCCAGTCTCATATGATGGCCTCTGTGACCGAAGTAGGGTTATCGTCTGCAGCCGGAGTAGTGTGTAACTCAAGACATGACGAGCTTTTGAAGACGTCTTTCTACGAAACATGTTGTGGCGCCGTCGCAAGCGAAGCGGAAGTGGGGAGAAGGCGGCGACGGCGGAGCATTGGTTTGATAGCGGAAGGATTCGATGAAGCCGGTGGGTCGGCAGGTGTTGTTGAGGTTTGCTTAAATTATGTGGAAACACCTTCGCTTCAATGCTTTCATGGACTCCCGGCCCTCAAATCGGTCCTCCTCCTGATCAAGAGTTAGAACTGCGACCCCATCATGTAGAACTATAGCAGGGCTCAGATTTACGTCCATATCAGTAAACCCGGTGTGGCTTATCAATAGCCATTGGTTGTGCTCGCACGACCTGAGAATGATGATAGAAGTCATCCAGGACAAGTTATCAATGAGACGGCAGATCTTGTCGCCTACTTCAATCTGCGGCGAGCCTAAGCGAACTTTTCCAGCCCGTGTTGTATAAAACTTCAAGCCATTAGAGTCCAAGAGTGTCATCAAGAACGCCCTCTCTTCGGAATCAGGCTCACCAATCGTCCGTTGGACGAGCCTCGTGTTGTAGGTATCGACTAGAAAATCCACGAACTTCGACATTCCTTCCGTACAGAGATACCACGAAGATTCGATGTTGAAACGAAGCTGTCGGCAGATAAGTGCTATGGTCCTGCGATCCGCTGCTTTCGCCCAGTCTGTTTCCAAAACTCCATACACCGACAGTACGACTGTTGTAAGCTGCATCCTAATGTCGAGCCAGCTTTGATCAGTGTCAATGCGGATTACGGGTTCGACATGTGCAACCTCATCAGTCGTCGCGGCGTAGATTCCAAGCACGTTTGGGTCGGAGCAGCAATGGCACATATCGAACCGGCTTCGGGCAACATCACTGTCGCGAGATCGTCCGGGTGGTGGTGGTACACTGTAGTCGGGCACCCATGAGGGCAGAGATCCGACGAGAGAAGATTGGCCCCGCCTTTCGAAGTGACCAGCCTGACCCAGGAGAACGATACTTTTCGTATAGATCATGGCAGCTCGGGTTACAGCACGGTACACTGCTGCAGCAGTCTTGCTGTAGTCTGGCTCAATGGTGGCGTAAGTATTGAGGGTCTGGCGAACGTCCGTTGGAAGAAGGCCGAACAAGGCGAAGACTCTGTCCAACGGCTCACCGCAATCGTAATTACTACTAATCCTCAATAAGTTGTGGAGATGTCGTTTGCTAAAACTGCTGATGGTGGGGACTTGAGGTGCAGTGAGACCGCTAGAGCATTGGTCGTACTTGTGATGAGTGACACTACTTAGAAGACTTGCGCAAGCCATACCTCGCGGGCAGATACGTCTGCTCGCTTCATACCTGGTGTCGTTGCTCGCTTCGTAAACTCTTTGGAGCAGACGGGCCACCCGCGCGATTTTGTGCGTATACATAAAAGCGGTGCCGTAGTAGCTTAGGCAGTCTTCTCTGTCGGCCGCGCCGACTTCTTGCACAATCCAGAGGCGGGTGAACCATCGACAGTTGTACAGTGTTTCTAGCAGGGATACTTGCTTGGACGTCAAGGGCTTTTGTTCATAGGTCGTGCTCGGCAAGTCCGCATCAGATGGAGACTTGAGAGGCTCCATCGGACGAGACGATACCTCAGATACGCGATCTGGATCCACGCTTCTCCACAACTCTTCGATGAGCTGGAAAGTCTCTACCTCTCGACCGGCTGCGTCGCCGAGCCAGACAAGCACCTTGCTGGCCTTGCGGTAAACGTGATGCATAATCGAAACCTGTTGACTCTGCTCCGAGATGCTCGACTGGTCTATGCAAACGGCGTCGATCCACAAGTCTGTGAAAGCCTCGCGTTGACTGGTGATGTAGTACTGGTGTGTCGCTTTTCGCAGGTAGACCCCCTGCAGCGCCTCGTACGTGTTCTTCGGCACTCTGACGGGATAGCCGTCAATGTGAATGATGCGTAGCTCGGTGGCATCCCCCCAGGCATAGGAGATTGCGCAGTATCGTGGGGGAAGCAACCCTTTCAGTGATACACGGATGAGCTCGAACCGCAAAGGCGGAGGTGTCGTTTCGTCTCGGGGTACCTCGAGCTGAAGTAGTCGGATCTCCATCCTGTGTGGATCCAGAGGCATGCTTTCGTACGGATAGCCGGTTGCCATCGTGTATTCAGATAGGAAGGATAGAGATAGCGAGGGGTAACTGTGTTTCTTCACGAGGTTGAGATATCGAAGGACAGCTTCAGGTTCCTCGCTTTTGACCTACCGTTTACGTGGCGCAGCAGAGGCCACAAGGCTGTAGAGGTACCATCTACATGTACTCGCTAGGCTGGGTCCCAGGGAGGTCATGCGGTCGGATGCTTCGATCTCCTGGCGGCGGTGACCCGACTTCATGACCATATTGACCATACAATCCTTCGCCTGATCAGTGACAGATGGTCCAGATCGTTGTGATGATATATGAGCGACTGTACTCTCATCTTCAATTTGAGATGGGAGAAGTCAGGAAGTGTAGTCCAACTGCGGCTCAACCTCGGACCACCGCCCATTCGTCCTTCGCCGGTGTTATCGCCCGGGTCAGACCGACTCTCTCAATCTTGATCTTCAGGCAACGCTAGCAAGGAGCATAATCAGCACCATCGGACCAGTCCAGACACAAGGAGATCCCACACCACTACTATAACATTCTCACTCGGTCTTGAATCGCCTACAGTAGTCCCCACCCCTGCCGACCCCGGCGTCGGGCTCGACCCACTACACGCAAGCTTGCATCGCCCGCATTGGAACCCATTCCTCGAAGCCAAATCGAGCACCTCACCCGAGCCAGGAACCCAAGAAATTTTCTCTCTCCAGCAGAACCGCATGTGGAGGGCAGGACTGCTGCTCCCTTCACATCCGCCCCACTCGCCAACATTCCTTTCTACACCAGCGGCGGCAGCAGCACACGTCGGCCTGCCCAGATCCCGCTACACACCCTCCAGTCCTCCCTGAGACGCCAGCAGCAGCGTCGGGAGAGCTACGACGAGAAGGACGACGAAGGTGACGACCGCCAGCGCCTACGGCACTCGCAGGAGTCGGACTACGACGACGTTGACGACGACGAGGGGTCGGAGTTCTCGCTCTGGAGCGATACAGGGGATCTTGTTGATCAGCTTGCCGACGCTGAGGACCCGCTCGCTCCACGGGTAAGGAGTAGTAGTTTCGAGGCTACCCAATCCGGCAGTGGGAGGAGGCACAGGAGTTCGCAGAAGCGGGTGCGGTACGCGGACGAGAAACACCACAGTACATCGGAAGAGAAGGGCCAGCCTCACCGCCCTGGCGCGCCGAAGAGGAAGGAAGATATACCCGTCCCTGAACCCCCGGCCGTTCGTCTCAATTGGGGCGAGAAGGCTCTCGCGGCCATCCTCATGCCTAACGATGGACATGCCCGGATGCACGGGTTGCATGGGAAGAAGCTGATATACTTCCTCTCGATCTTTGTGTCGTTAGGGGTGTTTCTGTTTGGATATGACCAGGGTGTCATGTCTGGCATCATCACTGGGCCGTACTTCAAGGACTACTTCAACCATCCGAGTGCTGCGGAGATTGGGACTATGGTTGCAATCCTTGAGATTGGTGCCTTGATTGCTTCGATCTCGGTTGGACGCATTGGAGACTTGATCGGAAGACGGAAGACCATCTTATACGGCGCGTCTGTCTTCATCATTGGAGGTGCATGCCAGACGTTCGCTACTGGCATGCCAATGATGATGCTGGGAAGAATCATTGCCGGTCTGGGAGTCGGCGCGCTCAGCACGATCGTGCCGGTATACCAGAGCGAGATCAGCCCACCGCACAATCGAGGCAAGTTGGCTTGTATTGAATTCTCTGGAAATATCTTTGGATACATGTGCAGCGTGTGGATGGACTACTTCTGCAGCTACATCGAGAGCGACTGGGCTTGGCGGTTACCTTTGCTGATGCAGGTCGCTATGGGAGGCCTGTTGGCCGTGGGCAGTCTGTTGATTGTCGAGTCGCCGAGGTGAGTTTGCACAAGGCTTAGCAAACCGTCTACTTTCAAGCTAATTTGGTATCAGATGGCTCCTCGACAATGACCACGACGAAGAGGGCATCGTCGTCATCGCCAACCTCTACGGCAAAGGCGACATCCATAGCCCCAAAGCACGCGACGAGTATCGCGAGATCAAGATGAACGTGCTGCTGCAACGTCAAGAAGGCGAGCGCTCGTACAAAGACATGTTCAAGCGCTACTACAAGCGCGTCTTCATCGCCATGTCCGCCCAAGCTCTTGCCCAACTCAACGGCATCAACGTTATCTCCTACTACGCGCCTCTCGTCTTCGAGCAAGCCGGCTGGATCGGACGTGACGCCATCCTCATGACTGGCATCAACGGCATCACCTACTTGCTTTCAACTGTACCGCCGTGGTATGTCGTCGACAAGCTGGGACGCCGGTTCATCTTGCTCTCGGGTGCGATTGCCATGATCATCTCGCTCTCCGCTATCTCCTACTTCATCTATATCGACATTGGAATTACGGCGAACATGGTCGTCATCTTCGTCATGATCTATAATGCCGCTTTTGGTTATTCATGGGGTCCGATTCCTTGGTTGTACCCGCCGGAGATCCTACCGCTGAGCATCCGTGCGAAGGGCGCGAGTTTGTCGACTGCTTCGAACTGGGCGTTCAACTGGCTGGTGGGCGAGATGACGCCGATTCTGCAGGAGCTGATCCAGTGGCGGCTGTACCTGGTGCATGCGTTCTTTTGCGCGGTTTCGTTCGTCGTTGGTACGTCACACTGCCTTCTCCCTCACCAACATTTCGAGCCCAACTAACGATCTACAGTCTACTTCATCTACCCCGAAACCGCCAACGTGCGCCTGGAAGACATGAACTCCATCTTCGGCGACGCCACCACCGTCGCCCCGACCCCCGAAACGCTCGCCGAAGCCGAGTCCCTGTTCAGCGGCAACCGCTCGCCCATCGGCTCCTTCCGCTTGGGCAGCGAGTCTGGCGAGCCAGTTCCTGATATGGCGCTCCAGCCTCCTGATGTTGAGATACAGGACGGCAAGGCCATTCTCGGGAGTAAAGAGGATGGTGAGGGTGTGGGAGGGTGGATTAGCAAGATGGTGAAGAGTACGAAGGGGGAGAATGGGGGTGGGAGTGGGAGTGGGCGGTATCAGCAGGTGGGCCAGGGGGATGGGGAAGATGATGATGAGGAGGAGAGGGATGGAGAGAGGAGGTAGGGGGTGTGCTGTCGAGTATTTTCGAGCGTGTGTATGCATGGAGGTTTCGTTGGTCACGATATAGATTTGAAGGTGGCTTGTATATGACGAGAAGGGTGGATAGCCGTATACATATTCACCGCCGACATCAACAGTCAATCGATATTTTGGTTTACACAAGGCTGAGATCAACAAGCATGTGAAAGTGCTGGCAATTCGAAAGACAGCTGTCCCTAATGCACTCGAAAGGGGTATAGCGCCCTTTCCCTTGCAGGCACGTCCTGGAAATAGCTTTGGGGACGCGCGAACCTGTCGACGACGGTTTTCGTGCTTGCTCCGAGGGCTCCTTATTCTACCACGACACCCAGGCCTCTCGTCACGAGGGTTTCTTCTTTCTTCTCTCAACGAGTTTGGTGTAATTCCATCACCACGACGACTTTGACTTTCTTGACGCTCCTTGAACGGGCGTATACCTTACGTCCCACGCCTTTCTTGGGGACGAGGCTGCGACTACTACGAGGTTCTGTTAAGGAAGAGACGGAGTAGCGACTATGGCGGCGCAGAACGCTGCTGCGACGGGCGTGGAGTCGCCGGGGGATGCGAGGAAGAGGACGGCCGGGCAGGCCAATGGCGATTACATCCCCAAGGGCGCCGAGGACAAGATGGACGAGAAGACGAAGCAGAAGGTCAGTATACCCAGAGATTTGCATGAGCATCAATGGCAGCGCGACCAGCAGTAAGAGACACGAGCTAACCTCGAGGACGAACGCAGACCAACTCCCTCCTCAGCACCCTCGACAACTACGAATTCCTCATCGCCCCCCTCATCTTCACCGCCCTCGCCCTCTTCACGCGCATGTGGAAGATCGGCCTCTCCCCCATCGTCACCTGGGACGAAGCCCACTTCGGCAAATTCGGCTCCCACTACCTCAAGCGCGAATTCTACTTCGACGTCCACCCTCCGCTGGGGAAAATGCTCGTCGGTCTGAGCGGGTGGCTGGCGAACTACAACGGCTCCTTTGAGTTCAAGTCCGGGGAGACGTACCCGGAGGAGCTGAACTACACGTACATGCGCCTGTTCAATTCGGCTTTTGGAGCCATGTGCGTCCCGCTGGCGTATTTGACGGCGAAGGAGCTGCATTTCAAGCGCCCGACCGTGTGGTTGGTGACGGCCATGGTGCTGTTTGAGAACTCGTACACGACGATCTCACGGTTCATCCTGCTGGATAGTATGTTGTTGTTCTTCACGTTCACGACGGTGTTCACGTGGGCCAAGTTCCATAATCAGAGGCATGATCCGTTCTCGCCCGAGTGGGGGCTGTGGTTGATGCTGAGTGGGGTGAGCATTGGGTGTGTGTGCAGTGTCAAGTGGGTGGGGATGTTTGGGATGGCGATGGTGGGGTTGTATACGGTGGAGGATTTGTGGAGGAAGTTTGGGGATTTGAAGATGCCGAAGGTGAGTCTGCAATTGATGGGTATCAATGCGCAGTGCTAATTGAAGGCAGGTCGAACTTGCAGCGCATGTCGGCTTCCGCGTCGTCGGCCTTATCCTCATCCCTCTGGCTGTCTACATGTTTTCCTTCTGGATCCACTTTTTGATTCTGGAGAACAGCGGTCCCGGAGATGCTCAGATGTCTTCTCTCTTCCAAGCCAACCTTCGAGGGACGGAAGTCGGCAAGGATAGCCCTCTTGAAATCGCTCTCGGTTCCCGCGCAACGCTCAAGAACATGGGCTACGGCGGCGGATTGCTCCACTCCCACGTCCAGACTTACCCCGAAGGCTCGCAACAGCAGCAGATTACCTGCTACCACCACAAAGACGCCAACAACGACTGGTTCTTCTACCCGAACAGGCATCAGCCAGAGTTTGACGCTGAGGCGCCTCTGCAGTTTGTTGGAAACGGCGATGTCATCCGTATGATCCACGCTCAGACTGGCCGTAATCTGCACTCGCACCAAGTCGCTGCTCCGGTCACGAAGGCTGACTACGAAGTGTCTTGCTACGGCAACACATCTGTCGGCGATACCAAAGACCACTGGCAGGTCGAGGTGGTTAACGATGCCGCCTCGAACGACTACTCTAAAGTCCGGACACTGACCACTGCCTTCCGCTTGAGACACACCGACCTTGGCTGCTACCTCCGTGCTGGCAATGTCAACCTGCCGCAGTGGGGATTCAAGCAGATCGAGACTACTTGTGTGAAGGAGAATAAGCCTCGCGATCCGTACACGCAGTGGAACGTCGAGTCGCACTGGAACGAGAGACGTATGCTTCCCACGCTCTCCCTCATTCACGTCCATTGCTAATTCAGATGTAGTCCCCGCCAGCGACCCGGGCTCCTACAAATCCCCCTTCCTGCGCGACTTCGTCCACCTCAACGTCGCCATGATGACCTCCAACAACGCCCTCGTCCCGGACCCAGATAAACAAGACGACCTCGCCAGCGCGCCCTGGCAATGGCCCCTCCTCAACGTCGGCCTCCGCATGTGCGGCTGGGACGACAACATCGTCAAGTACTTCCTCCTCGGCAACCCGGCCGTGTACTGGGGCTCGACTTTTTCTCTGGCCTTCTTCCTCGGCATGATCGCCTGGTACGCCGTGCGCTGGCAGCGCGGCTACGACGAGCTCACGTGGGCCGCGATCGATCACTTCGAGTACTCAGGCCTCTACCCGTTTATTGGCTGGTTCCTGCACTACCTGCCCTTCATCGTCATGGCGCGCGTGACGTACGTGCATCACTACTACCCGGCGCTGTACTTCGCCATCCTCTGCAACGGTTTCATCCTGGACTGGTACACGCGGACGCTGCCAAAGGGCGTGCAGTGGGGGATCTTCGCGGCGTTGTATGCGCTGGTCATTGGCCTGTTCTGGGTTTTCAAGGATATCTGTTTTGGGATGGTCGGGCCGAACCAGCAGTGGAGTCATTTGAAGTGGTTGGACACTTGGAGGATGTCGGATGTGTGAGGGGACATCCAAGCATGAGGAAAAGGAGAAGGGGGTTGGAGCGAGTGGGAGGGTAAGGCGAAAGGCGCTGGGGAGGAGGTATGGGGGTTGTAGTATTATGTTGAACTTTTTTTAGCGTAGCATGGCACTTATCGAAAAGTTCTGACGAGTAGACATCTGTTGTACTTTGTTCGAGAATGATATTGCGTACTACAAGATTATCAACATGACAACGCAATGCATATACACCAACTATACCACACCCCTTTCCCCCTCCCCTCTACTGACCCACTCGAAACTGATTCCACAAATTCTCCATCCTTACAACCTGCAACGGCGTAAACCCTTCATAACAAGCATCCGTCGAGTAATCCATATAGTTATGTATCGGATCCACGCCCGTGGCACTCGGACAGCTGTCTTTGGGCGGCTTATCCGGACACCCATCCGTCGGCTGCGATTCCTGCGGCGTGTCGTCGATCATATCCCCGTCGCCTTCACACGAGTAGCCTTCGAAAGTGTGGAGGAGACCCATCCAGTGTCCTGTTTCGTGTACAGCGGTCTTGCCTTGGTTATACCCGCCCATGGTCCCGCCAGGCATGGTAGCGGCGTTGACGTTACAGCCATCGCTCACGTACACCGACGGCGCAGCGCCGGCGGGGACTTGGCTGGGCAAAGTGCAAGTCCCGAGATTCCCGCCGGCGAGGTCCGTGTGGAAGTAGATGTTCAGATCCTTGTACGTGCCGTTGCGCAGCGCGGCCTTTAAGGCGTTCAGATCTTCGGCCGTGCCGGCGACGGACCAGGCGTCGTTGGTGGTGAAGTCGGTGCCGGCGAGCGTGAAGGAGATGCCGTAGGGGTTGTAGGCCGCGTTGAGCACGGCCATTTGCTGCGTCGCCATGTCCTGGGTGACGCTGGCGGCTTGCGCGGCGGTGGAGATGATGTGGAAGTAGGCGTTGATGGCGATCGGCGCTGTAGTCTGGCCGGTGGCTTGACGCTTGCTGCCGCGCGCGGAGCGCGTGAGGGCTATGGGGTGTTTGTGGAGTTTGTGGGATTTGTCTTTGTGCAGCTTCTTGACGGTGTCGTTGAAGTGGGAGGAGGCATGGCCGCGGTGGACGTCGCAGCCGAAGTGCTTGTAGGCGTTGCCCGTCTTGTCGTCTTTGAAGTGCGTGCCATTGGTTGTGACGAAGTGGGCGGCGGAGGCGAAGCTCGTCAGGGCCGCAATGGCCGCTAGGACTGAGAGGCACTTCATGGTCCGGTGCTGTGGCTATGTTCCAGATCTAACCGGGTAGGTAATGGTCCGTGGAATGTATGTGCACGTGCGGAGGCCACTGGAATGTAGGATGTCTGAGGAGAAGGAAAAGGTGTATGTACAAGAACGTCCGCTGTCCTCGACCACGGCGATCGAGCGATAATGCCTGCCACGGCACGAATTCGGTATTTATGGCCGACGGTGAAAGATCCAGACCATACTGTCGGAATCGCTGCCGGGGTGAATTGGCTGTTTGCGGCTATAATTGTTGCTGGCGGACAAGCACCATCGGGGTGAACAAAGGCATTCGACTCCAAGAACTTGTCCCCGGATCTCTCCAGAGGCAAGGGTACCCGGTATACGGGACGGGAGTTCTAGATGTTGGCAAAAGGGAGCGAAGGGGCTAGCCAGGAGCAGAGGAGAGAAGAATGGTTTTGTCGGAAGTGAGAGTCATCTTGACACCTACCTGTGCCACCTCGTAAATGGAGATGCTCGGGCGGCCTCCGCGGCGAAGATAAAAGAAATGCTTCTGACCGTTACCATATGAGACACGGCAGACAGTGGGAGGAGATGCTCAATGGAGAGTGACAAGTGCTTCATACATACATGACCAAATCCCAGATAACTCCCCTGCCTGCTCGATGGCCGCGTGAGACACCAGAACGCCTGACCAGGTCATTCACAATAGGACAATGGTGAGCATGAAAAAGTCCAGGAGGTAAAGTGGCGACTTTAAGCAGACGACTCGCCAGGCCTTGTGGATCGCCCGGTTGTAGTTGCTGATGATGGTTGATCCGTGTTCCAGCTCAAGTAGCTGTGGTCTCCAAGTTTCCTGCATTGTTCTCTTGTCAGCCACTTCTGCTCTAGATCCTCGTATCGAAAAGTCTAGATGTCCGTACCTTGGCTTGAACAGCTGCGTCACAGTAAACAGCGCACCCAGCAGGATGCAGAGTCCGCCAACCACAATGTAAGCAATGCCGAGGAAAGGATTTCTGCCGCCCATAACGGTTCGTGTTGAGATCAGGATCGACTTTGTTCCATCATAGATGTTGACAGGGAAGTCTGACGAGACGGTCACGTGTCAGCCGAAATCTAGTCGCTGGCAAAGGCGGTTCATGCACTCACAGTCATACACCTCGATCTGATACCTCCCAGGCTCCATCGGCTCATCATCATTCCGCAACGCCAATTTACTAAACGTCGGCAGACCAGCCGTGCGCATCCACACCTGGAACGCGTCCCAAGTCTTCAGATCGGGGAAGGGGAAAGTCTCATTGTACTCCGGATACTGCTCCCGCCAATTTGGCGGAGGCACAACTTCCGAGTACTCGTACTTCGTCATGCCGTAGAGATCCTTGTCAGAGTCCCAGGCGATGTTATGATCGGTCATGTTATACGGCTTCTCCTCGGCGCTGCTAGAGCGGGCGTTAAGGAGTCGGATGTTCTGGAATGTGTCGTTGAACATGGAGTTCGCGATCAGGCCGCACGGGTAATACGCCTTTCCGCTGGGATCAAGTTGCAGGGGATCGCAGTCGCTGCTGCTTATAGACTGGTTCGACCGAGCGTTGCCTTCGAGCTGCGACTGGTCGAAGGACTGCACATATCTTCGGTGGTTTTGGTAGAAGTTGGTCAGTTGGTAGTAGAGTAGCACAGGCGGGCTCAGCTGCTCCGGAACGTAAAACTGTATGAAGCACTGCGGCGTGCGGACCAGCTTACTCTCGTCCTGGCCGTACCCGACTTGTGTGACATTCTTACACCAGGTCGGCGCATCCGCCGGGTCGGTACTGTTCTTAAAGTGTGTGGTGACCTTGCTGCTCGGTATGGGGCCGAAGTCAGGGCATGCCGGCGCCGTGCTGTTGCAGTCGGAATAGTCGATGATGATCTCCTGGACCTTTGAGCTGGCGTAGAGTAATGCTCCGCCGATGGGTGCGAATATGACGCCGATGGCGAAGAACAGCGGCAGAACTGTCTTGGGTGTGAGGATGGGTTGCCAGGCCTTTAATCGCTGTTGTCTAAAGGCCGTATCTGTGCCGCTTCATCAGCACCGTTGTCCATTATGCGCTTGATCATCCGCTCGACATACTCGCCGGTCTCCTGCTCTTCTGCTTCTTCTCTTGCTCTTCGCTCCCTTGACTGCTGCTCACGTCCGTCTGCTCCATCGTTTGCGACATGATGCCTTTTCCAAGACTGGTCCTGAATGAAGCGCAACCCAAAGCGCGCGCATTCGTGATGTCGAGCGGGAGTCTCGGAGTGGCTGAGAAGCGTGCTTACAACTCAGGGTCTCGATCATCACGTGATTTATGAGCGAGGTACGAGGGCTGGACGGATACGATGTTCACGAGCTTGAGTATGGGAATAGATTGGGGCATGATGAAGATCAGAGTCAATAGGAGAATTCCTAGGAAATTGGAGAGTTCAACATGGAAGTATAAACAGTATTCACGAGCGTAGCATTCATCATATCAACATCAGTCTGTAGAGGCGGGTATCTCAATGCAAAGCGCTGTCCCAGATCCCATCCCCTCCGTTCGCTAAAAGCAGTGCAAGCAGTGTCAAACGCCATCCCATTCCATCATCGCATCGTTCAGTGAAAGCGTGTAACAAAGTACAAGTAGTGCTCAGACACTCGAAAGCAGTGCCGTATCGCGAAAGTAGTCATCATCGTTCTCGATCCCATGTCGCCATTCATGTCGTCGTCTCATCCCGGTGTAATGTCCTCGACCCCTTACATGAACTGATCGAACCACTCCTTCTCAAACCACCCAACTTGGTCGAACGCCACCCAGAGCTGACTAGCCTTGTTGACGTCGATTGCGCAAAATTGCTGTGCATGTGTCTTGCCGAAGTGGTGCCCCTCCTTCAGGAACTGCAGCTTGCCCATGAAGATCTTGCGCTTGTTTGTCAAGTACTGCTGGCAAGTGAGGCGCAGGACGGAGGCGACATGCAATTCATGTGGATGCAGGAGGTGGCGATCCGGATCGTTGTCGATGTTCAGCGCGGTATTGCTCTTCCACGATACCTCGGGCGCTTTGTCGAAGGCGTCGAGGGTCGAGATGGGTGGTGCGTAGTTGGGCAGCTCGTACCAGGGAGCACTGTTGCCTTCGACCTTCTTCGACGGCGGCGCGCGCTTGTGTTTAGTAGGCTGCTGTGCCCCTGGGAAGCTGTCGCCGAGATCGGTGGAGCTGCGGAGCTTTGGTGTACGCTTGCGAGTCGGCGTAGCCTTGGTTGGAGTTGGAGACGCGGCGGCGGCGGCCTTGGGCTTTGTCGCCACCTTCGGCTGCGCGCGGGGCTTGGTAATCTTGCTGGCGGCGACAGGTTGTGTGATCCTCGAGACTTGCTGCTGGTCGAAGGGCTCGCGCCGACCTGCTGTGGTCCTCTTGGGACGTGGCAAGTCGCGCAGCAGTTTTTGGTTATCCCTGAGCTCCTGGTAACGCTCCCTCCAGTACGACATGGTCTCGCTAGGGCTTTGAATGTTAAGAATGTTGGGCCATCTAACATCCGGTGCCACTACGCCGTTCCTTGGGGTTGCGGGGACTGCGGCGCGAGGTTCTTGTGGAAAGAGTGGTGCTGGAGAGGACGTACGCTGTGCTGGCTCGTCGGGGTAGAGTGTCGGATCGTGGGAGCTGAAGCCGGTCGCGGTGGCAATGGATGGAAGTGTGCTGTACTCTGGCGAGGTTGGTGGCGTGTGCGAGGTGTGGATTGGTGGCAGCTGTATGGCATGCTTCGAGGCTGGCTGCTTTGCCGGGTAGACGCCGGCATCCTGCGACGCGAAGGTGTGGTGGATCTCCTCAGGCGGAGTGACTAGGTAGCCGGCGCTCTTCGCGACCTGCGGGCCCATCTTGTCGTGTGGTGGTGTATCGTGTTGCTTCTCCATCTTGCTCTCCAATCCGTCTGTTGTAAGATGTGATGTAACCCAATTCTTGTCTGCCCTTGTACAATCTTCGATTTCAGCCGTGGTAAAGTTTAGTGTCAACGAGGCAGAAGTCGAGAGGTCGAAAGGTGAATTCACTCTGACGTGGTAGCGGGCGGCCGTCTCTCTTTATAGTGGGCTGCGCAGTTCGTTAAGTCCGCCGGGACGGTTGATTATGCGGTGTCCAAGGTGTCGGGACCGAAGTGTCGTGTGAGAAGAGAGGTAATGGTCAGAATGCGCACAATAAGTCAGCGAGCAATTGGCGTTGATTTCTAGTGCAGTGAATGCGCGTTAGGCTGCGACGTCCGGCCAGGTATTGGGTGGAGGTTAGTGATTGATGGCTGTCCAGGCACCAATGGGCATATGACTGTTGGTAAGAATGTGTATGACTGATTCAGAAAGCAATGGGAGTCAAGAGACAGGATGATAGAAGGAGAAAGGCAACTGCACGGCGACTGTGCCATTCTGTCTCACCGGGGCGGTTTCATCAGGCTGCGACTGCTTCCTCCGTCGCTGACAATTCGAGCATGCTGGGCGCGAATGCACTCGAAGGAGGCGGAAGCGCGCGGTCGGGACGACACAGAGGCTCATTGGCCGAGCAGGGCGTGAAAGCATGAATGCTAAGCAATTGTTGGCCGGTCCATTGCTGGCACACTCGCAGCTGTGGCAAGCAGGAAACTGACATGAGTCACCAGACACACAACACGTCTGAAGAGAGAGCGAGGTGTGCGAGACGACACGGCGCTGTCGTCCTCCCGCGCCCGCTTCGCTGGTTCGGCCGACAGGGATTCGCCACACTTGCGCCAATGTCCAGTCTAACTCCGCGTCGCTCTGGAATCTCACCACACCATTCGATTCCACGATCATCCGCACTTCTGTGCCATTGAGAATGCGAACCAGTCCGCAATGCCTTCGTCATCGACCGTCGGGTGCAGGCAACGCGGCTGGCGCGGCCTCATACGCTCCACGTGTCCCAATGTCTGTCGATTAGAGTTCGCGTTTGATCGCACCGCCACAGCTGGCCATTCATGTGATGGCCGGAAGAGGCCAATGGCACATCCCGGGGTCGTGTTGCCATTGGAGTCCGACGACACGCTGGCAAGGCTCTTCCAGCAAACAAAGCCCGCATGTAAGCGATGCATCGAGTATCTCGGATCGAGCTTCAGGCAAAGTCCGTAGCAAGTCGCCCATGGTTGCTCCGGAGGATCATTGATTACAGATCTGCCCGTCATCCGCAGAGTTGTGAAGGCCGGAGCTCCGTGAAGCACTTCCGCTCTCTCTCGCCCGCCATTGCACCGGATGCTGGCAGTCCTGTAGCTGGCGAGGCTGCCTGTGAGTTGGGGCGTGGGGTGCATCGAGATTGCTTGCCAACAGGCTGATGCGACCGGTGACCTTCGGGACTAGGCGTCACGGTTGTGCATGTTCCAGGCTTGTCTCAGGCGCCGTCCACGCCTCAGTATCACTTGATCTCACCGAGGCTGCCACCGGCACAGCTGTCTCAAGCAAACAAGGTGGTGATAGTTACCCAATGCGCCAGGCGGCCGCGAGTTGGAGCAGGAGAATGGTCAGTCGCTCTCCAACAGGGTGAAGCCTCAATGCCCGTCCGAAGAATCGCCGATGCGTAGGTGTCTCGACTTTGCATAAGCGGTTTACACACTGTTTCATGTGCCTCCAGTATTTCTCGAATCCGGTTTGGTTACCAGATAAGGGTCTCTCGTTTGGTGCCTATTCGTCTAAGACACCGTGACGGATGTCAAGGTGCTGAGAGGTATCTAGACCCAATGAATGCGGCATTGACAGCAAGCCAGTAGAGAAAGGATACACCGTATGAAAGGCGACCGAGGGAACAGATTGAGGGAAGTTAAACCAGGCAAACCACATCATCCAGTCCATGCCAATGGACGAGAGCTTATGCGGACGTTGAGGGTGCTGCGCTTTTCGTGACCTCCAACATGGAACACATTCAAACTTCGCCCAATCAGGAAGGAGGTGCATCAATCATGAAAGGCAAAGACAGAGTCGCCTGGAGGTAGGCGAACGAGGGACAGAGTGGATGTGGTGTGTATGATCATCTGCGTTCACGACTCGAATGAAATGAGGTGAAGTCAACACGAACTTCATCTCAAGCCAGCAGACTCTTCCCTCGACCTCACCTCATCGACCTTCACTACGTCTTCCTATTGTCCCAGCGACCAGCTCTTCCAACAATGGCAGCTCCACTATACACTTCTCGCCAGCTGGTCTCGAAACTCATCTCTTCGACATCCACAACATCGACATCCACGACAGCTTCCACCTCGTCATCAGTCATACTCAACCACAACACACCACTACAACTTCAGAAAGCTCTCCTCACGCTCCACGTTCTCTTCCCGAACGAGCTCCTCCCAGCACTAGATCTCCTCGACCGCCACCTGATCACCCGCCTTGACCTCCGAGATGGAGCGCAACGTCCAGCACCTCACCCTCAATCTCTCCGCCATCTCCAACCACCGGGTGGCCAAGCCAGCCGCCCCTTCTCCGAAGCAGAAGCCGGCCAACAAGACCAGAGCAGCGGCTGCGCTGGCGCGTCGCGACCGCCTGATCGCGAGAGACACGGCCGAGCGCCTTCGGTCCCACGAGCAGACCGCCAAGATCCCCAAGCAGCAGCAGCAGAGCCAGCAGCACGGCCTCCCCATCATCTCGAAGACCGAGAAGGCCCCAGAGAGCCACATCGGCCTGACCAGGGACTTCCAGATGGACCCGCCGTCGGGGTTCCGACGGCACATCTGCCCGTACGGCATCCCGCTCACGCGGCCTCTCGAGACGCTGTGGTCTTCTCGTGCCAGAGTAGCCGTGGCAATGCGGGTGTTGGCGTTCCACTCGCGCGGGAGACGGGGTCAGCAGTGAGGGCGCCGGCCTACGAGGTCCGGTTGGAGGCGTGGAACTGCTCGTGCCCGGCTTTTGCGTTTGCGGCGTTCCCGGCGACGAGAAGCGGCGACGACACCACCACTGACCATACGGCGGCATCGACATCATCGACGGACTGGAGATTCGGCGGGTTGACGCTTGGAAGCGATATGCCGGTTTGCAAGCATCTTCTCGCGTGTGCTCTTGTTGAGCATTGCCATCTTTTCGCAGGGATGGTTGAGCATCAGGAGGTTGGCATCGAGGAACTTGCAGGGTTAGCGGCTGGATGGGCGGATTGAAGCAGTCATCACTGAAGGAAGGAGAACAATGGCAGATGAGACGGAATGATGCTTGCACTCACTCATATCGGACAGTCACAGCAATGCAGGACTGCTTCATGAGATTACTATACATACCACTGCACCGTCTACTTATGCGGCGCTTGATCATGCTGCTGTCCTTGACGCCGCGCAATGCAATGCAATCAAAGACATCCATTCCACAACCACTCTTCTCATGCTCTCGCTCAGCCCTTCTTCTTGCCCTTCTCCTCCTTCTTCGGACCCTCATCCTTGCTCTCCTTGTCCGCCTTCTCATTCGTGCCGTTCAGCATCAGATTCTCGTCCTTCTTGATCTCGCCTTGCTTCTTGTCCTCTTCCTTCTTCGACTCCTCATCCTCCTGCGTCCGCTTGTTCTGGATCTTGTTCTCGATCAGGTCATGGAAAGCCGTGATAGCTCTTATCAAGCTCGATAGATAGATCGCCATCAACTGGTCGTTGGTCTTGATGCTCATTGCTCGCGCGAGCTCTGAGTTCTCTGACGAGCCTCCGGTCACGCCCACCGACCCATTCACGACACCGTTCACAGAAGGCAGGTCCTTTGCTTCAGCTTTGGGTGTTGAGAGGTTGGGCAGCAGGTTGAACACGTCTTGCAGGTTACCGAGAATGGCGTGGTTGACTGGTAGATCACCGTCGAGCACTTTCTGCAAGTACCGGCCAATGTCTTGTAACCGCAGGTGCAGGCCTTGGAGCGACTGTAGCTGGGATGTGATGCGCGTGCTGAGTGTGCCGACCGCCACGTCTCGGATGTCTCGTAGCAGGTGCTCTACACCAATCTCTTCTGCCTCCTCCGCCTCAATCGTGCTGGGTGTGTGTACGAACGTTCTCGATGTAGTTGTGCCGTCCTGCGACAAGTCAGCTTTCCCGTCCTCCTACAAGAAGCGCACAGTGTATACATACGTCCTTGATCTCATCCACAGCAAAGTAAGCATCCGTCGGCACGCCCACATCCTTCGGCTGCACGTCCACAATCACAAGTAGTGGGTTCGGGGTATATCTCTTGAACAGCTCGTTGATCTCCAGATCGCTCGCCTTCAGCTTCGGCCCAGAATGGTACCATCCTATCAGCTTCTCTCGCGCGTTGACCTTCTTGAACATGTCGTTCATCGACTCGATGTAGTTGTGGTCCAGGAACCATACCGACGGGTCCTTCTCGTCTTCCTCGAATGGTACTGCTCTTCATCAGTCTTGGTCTGCTTCATCTGCTGTATTCCTCCTACCTGCGAAGCTATTGGACACGCGCACACTCTTGCCATCGTTCTGCCCCAGTAGCACACCCACTACTCGTTTCCGTGTGCCCTTCGCTGATCTGCCGTAGTGATCTGCTGCTGAGAGGAGGACGAGAGGCGCGACGGAAACGGTTCGGTTGACTATGCTCAGCGTTTCTGCTGTTGTGGCGGGCATCTTGGAGACTGGAGAATGTGGCGAGAAGGAGTTGATGGTGTTTCGCGCGATTTGGAGTTGTAGATTCGTGGTCTTGCGCGGTGATGTTTCTTAGAGCTTCAAGGCGACTTCTCAATACGCAACAGCGGGACCAGCCACGGCTGTGAAACCTTAAATGGAACTCTGTTTCCACGATTACTCCTTGAATCGCACTGCTGTTCTTTCAAAGATGGAGAGGCCACGTGAAGTCTTGAGTTGCATGCGCAGGAGCACAGGACTGCCACTCTTCGCTCAGTACCTTATCCGGACGAGCGACATCACGATCAACAATGACCACACAGATGAACGGCGACGCTGAGCCTCCCTCCCCGGAGACGCCCAAACGCGACTTCGAGTCTTCAGCCCTGTATCTAGGCGTTTACGACTTTGTCAAGGACTACATGTCCCGCTATGACTGCTCGCACGACTTCAACCATATCCTCCGCGTTCTGGCACTGGCAAAACACATTCTAGCCCAGGAGACCCTAGCCAACCCAGAGAAGAAACTACAGAAGCAGGCCGTGCTCCTCGCAGCTCTCCTACACGACGTCGGCGACAAGAAGTACGTCCAATCAGGCGACAATCCGGAGCATGCCGTGGAAGAGGTGCTACAGAAGCATGGATGTCCGCCGCGCTTCGTCGCGAAAGTGGCGTTGATCGTGCAGCATGTATCTTACTCTAATGAGATCAAGCGACCACATCTCGTGAAGGCTATCCTTGGTGCTCATCCTGAACTGGCCATTGTACAGGATGCGGATCGTCTTGACGCCATTGGGGCAGTAGGCATTGCGCGAACATTCGCCTATGGCGCCGCGAAAGCATCGGACAGAGGTTTGCAGGGTTGCATTGAGCACTTCACGGACAAGCTGGAGAACATTGAAGCTCTGATGAAGACGGAGACTGGGAAAGCGCTGGCGCGAGAACGCATGCAGCGGCTCAAGGATTTTCGCCAGTGGTGGGAAGAGGAGAACGAATTGGTGTCTTGAGCAGAGCTACAACTACTCATCTCTCTCCGCGCTCTGAAGTCTACGTCTCCGGCCAGCGCTGTCCACTTGGACTGAAACCCTCAGGACCCCGGGTATGCCAGTATCTGAGCCGTCTTCACTGTGTCTTTCGAGACTAGGCATCCCCTGGCCTGCCACGTCCCGCGAGCAATGCCCAGCCCCAGCACCTCCAGATCGATGATCCAACGCAGGCTGGCATACATAAGCGCAACTTTTAAGCTCGCTTACTCTGGGGAAAGAGATGAGATGAGCAGGATGTTGAGACTCGGCAGATATTCCGTCAGATCTGACCTTTGCCGCGATGCCTCATGCTCCGGACCTAGGCTTGCCCTTCGACCCCGCAGACATCCATGTGTCTCAGTTTTGACGCACCTCTTGTGCCATGCCTGAAAGATAGGCGGCCATTGAGTAACGGCACGGCGATCATCTGGGGCCCCTGTGCTATTGTCTGGCTTTGCTTTCCAGTGACCGCTGCCCGTGAACGCTGCGTCGCTGAATTGGTCCAGGCCGATTATGGGTTTTGTGATTATCCTTGCGATAGTGGACTGATTCTTACGAGGCAGGCCCATGTCTATCGGAGAAGAGGGTACTGTATTGAGCATGTGTTGGACAGGATGAAGCTTTCGCATGGATACCAACTGAGGGTGGTTGTCAAGCCTCGAAACCAGAGTATACGACAAAATGGTTGAGGCAGCCATCGAGCCCGCACGGGATCATCCGCGCATCCGGTGACAACTAAGAGTGAGGTTGAGACTTTTGGTTTGGAGGTGAGATGAGGGAGGTTTGTGAACTTTCTCTGCCTCTAAATCCTGCTCATAGGGCTTTGCTTATGAAACCGCTTGCGTCCTCTACGAACCCTGCTCACGCCACAACAACCAACGCCAACGCGAAATCCCATCCATACACCTCCAGCGAACAAGACCCATACAAACTCCAGACTCCTGATCCTTCCTCGACCTTTGCTTGAGGACGCCTCCCAGATCCAGCCGATCTCTGACAACAAAACCCATGAGACGTACACCCAGATCACCCAGACGAGACGACGGGCATCTCTTTGCGGCTGCATCGTCGACCGCAGCCTCTTTCCCCATGCTGAAACCATCGCATCTGGCGCCGTGTTCCAGCGACTCCCGAAATTCGAGCAACATCAAACCCCTTCGCCTCCAACAATCGGTGCTCCTCCGATCACGAGACTTGAAGGATGTGCAAGTTGCGAGTGGTCGATTCCCGGCCACGCTGAAACCCGGCCACATCATTCGTTGTTGACCGTTCCTGGAGACCTTCGCTGGCCCTGGTGACGATCTAGTCCCCTTCTGGCACGCTCAGCCATCCTCCTTGCCACCATGGCTTCATAGGCCTCGAGGTCCTTGCTATAGATCAGCTCGAACTTCCTAAAGTCCCTTCTCTCCTTATACTCCTCGGAGGCTGCATGCTCTGCGGGAAATGCGGCACGTCTGGCGAGGAGCTCTTTTGTCCAGGTTACGGGGTCCATGTCCATGTGCTCGGGCATCTTGATGCGCTTGAGGTTGCGGCTCGATCCGATGATGCGTCCTGCTTTCTGCTCGCTCTGCCAATACAGCCGATCGGTTTCCGGTCTAGAAGGCTTCTGGATCTTGTCCTTGCACAACTGACGGATGAGAGGGTCTCTGGATATCCTTCCGGTGTGCTTGGCCCCGTGGGCAAGGGCGGCGAGGCGTAACATGGACATGGTGCTGATTTGGGGTGGGTTAGGGTGTGGAGGTGGCGGGAATGGTTGGAGATGGTGAGCGGTGATGGGTTGCTAAACGGGAACAGTTGTTGCGACTGTGTGTTCTTAACGAGATGACTTAAGGAATGACTGTCTGTGGGAGAATACAGAACGAGGGAGGCCATCCTATTTTATGTACTTCGGTATGAGCGGCCATCATGAAGGTTCTCATGACCATCATGTAAGTTCTCAGGGAATGAGAACTCTGTTGCAGGATGTATATTGGTTCCCAGAGTTGTACTAACCTTATAGACTTCCACGTGCGATTGTGGGACGAAACGTCAGGTTTATGCGGAAAGCAACAGAAGCCATATCTGAACCTTATTGCTTTTGGCTCACGTGACTTTTGACCTGCCAAGACGTAGGCAAGCGCGTGATCTCCGAAGTGAATGTCAATCCATGGCCATATTTGAAGACGACCTATCTCGTTGAGAGCGCAGAGAATTACATGCTGGTATCTCACACGTCAGTAGCGGCTGAGTGGCAGCACGAGGATGAGTCATGTTAGGTGCGACGATTGCCTTGTGCCTTCAAGCACTTCACACCGACGATGATGCGTCCCCGGTCTTTCGCCTTCGAAAGAATATGAACGAGTGCATCTTACATGTCGGCCTCCGCGAAGCGTGATTGCTCACACTGGCCACCGAAGAGTAGCTTTCGACTCGAGTCGATCCTGGAGACGCACGTCGGGTGCCTCACGATGGCGGACTTTGAACTGAACCAAGCGCTGCTCCAAGAGCTGCCGTACCGCCATGGTCACCGCTCTTCGGCGCACCAGGACCTACCACTGCAACCGACAATCTCAGATCCGGCACTCTCTGGCTCGGAGAACAAGGGCGCCACCCTTCTTAACCTCCCACCAGAACTCCAAGCAGCTATCTTCTCATGGCTTTTCAGGCCAGCCGACCTTGCACGTGTCTGCCTCGTTTCGAAACAGTTGTTTGACGTTGTCACGCCCCAGTTGTACCACTCCTTATATCTGAACGTCGATCGTTGGAGCAGGGAGCATCTTGAATCTGTTCTCACCCGCGGACATCGTGGCCATGCCTACATCCGGAACCTGGACATCGATTCCGTGGAGCTAAAGAGTGAAAGGAGGGCGCTGAAGGTTGCGAAGGATGCTTTGCAGATGATTCCACGTGGGCAATTGCAAGCATTCAGATGCCCGCTCGAGACAGGCATTGACAATGATTTGCTGATCCTGCTGGCTGCCAACCAACGGAATCTATCATTCATTGGACTTGGACCGATTCTGCCTGAAGCCTTCTACAGCCTCATGGAGTGTTTGCTGCCGTGGCCTCCGAACATCTCCACTATCGTAATACCATGGAAACTCTTCAACGATGAGGATGTTCAATTCTACCAGAGGCTCATCGAGAGAAGTCATCACCGACTGAAAGCACTTACAGTGCGTGCTCACGACTTCCCGCCGCTGAGATGGGACTACTCACAGGATCCACCGGCATTGAGCGATGTCGATGGCGATACCGAGATGCTGGCCTGCTCTCTTCTCCACCATCTGTCCTATTACTCCATCTATCCTCGCACGCTACAGTTGCACGATCTGAACCTGCAGAACCAGGATCTAGCTGGCGTGACAGAGACCTGGCTGATGTATGTGGACTTCACGAAGCTTCAAACCATGCAAATCTGGAACTGCGACAATGCCGACGTACTATTGGAGGCGCTTGAGAAGATGGCCCAACACCAGCGGCTACGGTTGCACGGATTAGTGCTTTCGTTCGAAGAAGCAGAGCAAGCACCACAGCGGGCGCAGCAGTATCTGGCGGCGACTTCTGGTCTGAGCTATCTCAATCTGTGCTATGTGCCAACCTTCTCCGCCAACCAAAGCTTTTCTGTGCGAAGCATAGCACCGCATGCGAGCACGATTCGGGACCTTTTCATCGGGATTGGATCGAACATCACTAGAAACACGCCACTGTCACTGCCACGTCTTTCAGATATCGAGTGGCTCGCTTCAAACTGCACAAAGCTCAGGCAGCTGGCAATCCCACTGCCGCCATTGAACACGGACGATGCTTTGGCAGGCCGGTGGGGTGAGTATGAAGAGATTCTGGTAGGTCCTTTCGTTTTCCGACAACCGGAGCAATCGAGCTACCTTCACTAGACCGTTCAGAGGCACTCCACGAGCTCGAGAACATTGCAACACCTAAACTTGCAATAAAGCTGACATGCTGCTACACAGGCTCTACTGGCAACACTGCCTCATCTGAAGGTATTCCGAATCCTCACATGGCCGTACATCGCCGGGCGACCTTTGCCTCCACGAGACAACTGTGGTGCCCAAGATGCTTTCAAGGTCCGATATCTACATGAGCTTCGCATAATCGCAAGCAGCATCGCCCGCCTCTTTACCCGCCTCCGCGGAGACCATGGTCGGAGACTCTCGGTCATCACATTCGGACACGCAGAGTATCCGCACTACATATATCATGGGAACGGCGAACGGATTCAGTCGTTTGGTACACCTCTTACCTTCAAGATCACTCGAGTGATGTCGGAGTTCGGCTTTCGGACCAAGGTCAGGCAGATACCGGCGGATCAGATGGAGTACGAGGAGCCGATTGCGTATGTGGTTGATGAAGACACGGACCAGGGACTGAGCTTGGAGGCGTACTCGTGGGGCAGTCGGCCGAGTGAGAGTCCATGAGTGAGATTCAGAGAGATATGAGAAGAGACATAACCATGGTGGAAGTACCTACCCTCTCCGATCAACGATCTAATAGATTCCAGGCTTAGTGCCCCAGATAGCCGTTATCGTCCTTCCACCTAGCTGGGAAGAATCCGCCAACCCCAAGCCCTTTGTCCATCGGAGGCACATCCACGATATTGTCCAGCAAAGCATCGTAGACAGGGACTGAGAGCACTTCTTCGTACGAGGACACTAAAACGGCCTGCGACGGTAGCAGTTGTGTCAGCTTCTCGGTCTTGTTCTTTCAATGGACAGGTGAATGTTGCTGGTGCGTACTCTTGGAAGGCCAGGTCCATTGGTGTCTGACTGGTTATAAACAATCTTGTAGCACACCGGCGACTTGTCGAACTCCGACATCACCATTACCTGGTGGTTCATGGGCCTATCATATGGGTTTGCGTTCCCAACGATGAAGAGCCTCAAAGGAGAGCATTTTCCCTTCTTTCCGTACATCTTGGCCAGCAACCCTACCGTGGTGTTGGCGAACTTGTCGACTTCATCCTGGCACTCATCATGCCACCACTCCAGCTTGGACAGAGGCCAGGAAATCATTCGAAGTATTTGAAGATTCGAGATCTCTGCGACTGCGTCCTAATAACATCTGAATGTTAGCGAGAATCGTGAAAAGTGCGGCGAGTAACTGACCAAGAACCCTCGGAGGGCATTACGTCTAGCAGGATTATTGTCAAACGTGTCGATTCGTGGAAACGTAAGAGCCAACTGCTGAAGCCTCGGTATTCGGCGGAGCATAGCTGCCAGGGCCGCCGGTTCTGCCCTCCATTTTCCTGTACCATTCTTGCAATCGAAACCAAGCCCAATGTACAAGTGCACCAGTGTATCCAGATGGCGCTCAAGAACGTTCAGGTCCAACTCATACCAGTGCTCTACTTCGAGGAGTAGCAACTCAAGACCTCCGAAACTTGCCAAGAAGGCCTCCATACTAGGAGAAGTGCACGACGCTCTATCCGTGGCATAGTACCGAAAGCTACGCATGGCAAAATTGCTCGGGTCACCGCTGTGATAAGGCGAATCCGTGAAGGAAGCCGATCCTGTGTAGAGGCTGGTCATGAGATCCAGGAGTTGACCTACATTGAAGCATCGGACGACCGTCAAGTGCTTGATGTGCTTGAGATCAATCATCTTTCGAAGAGCGTCAACACACGGTAAACGGACGAATATGCTCAGATTTTCCACTCGGACTGGAGCATCTGACCCGGCTGCGGTAGCAAAGGGTCGAGATAGCCGTTCAACGACCGATTCACCTGGAAACCTGGGGCCCGTTACATCGTCCAAGGAGTGCAGGTAGTAAGGAGGGTCCCTACGATCAGCTTGATCGCGTATCGCTTGGTTGTGGTTTTCAATCAGCATCATGAACTCAGTACGAATCTCCAAGCTGATCAGCCATTTCTGGTTCCGAATCAGTTGTCCGTAGAACTCCAGTTCTTGCTGACCCCCAATCCTCTCGGGCACGACTAACGATCTGACGTTTGCAAGCCAGTCTATGTGCAGGAGGCTTTGGAAATCTGCTGATGTTATATTCATGGTTGGTCCCAGTGAAATGTGCTGCAGCCTTGTTTGTCGCTCCCGCAGCGAAAAGAAAAACTCCTTGTCTACGGGTATTTTACGTGGCGTTATCATGCACCTCAGTACGTCTCGCTTCGCAATCAGCAGACACTGTTTCACCAAGGCGAGCGTAGCTTGATGCAGATGTGCAGTACTGCCGTCGAGCCACGCGGAACCTTCTAGTATCATGACACGTATGTGCTCGTGTCCTCGGTTTCTTGGAATCAGAAATCCTCCAAGAGTCGCTTCGCTTGGCTCTATATCGAGAACGACGGTTCTGTAAAGGTCTGGATCGCAACTTTCGAAAGCCGCTTCGATGCCCGGCATAGACTTGCAAGGTCAACCTGGATTGAAGGTTAGCAACGAATCCAACGATAGAGTGCCCTAGGACTCATGGCCTGGGCCAGTGTTACATACTATCTCACTCCAGGCCATGACCTCAGTCAAAAGCTCACCGGGCAAGCGCTCCAGAGGCGATTCAGATTGGTATTCTGCCTCTGCAGTGTGCTGTGGTGATGATCTAGTCGAAGAGGCATGACTGGAAGACATCCGATCGAGCGCCGCCTGGCCTGAAGACGTAGGAGGGTAAGTGGAGTCCGAGTTTATTATGTGAAGCGATGTCAAGCCGATGTCGTGTCCAAATTGGCTGCCCGGATAATGGATCGCAAAGAAGCAGAATGCCCAAGTCTTCGGGGGCCTTTAATGGATATAGCGGGCTCTGAGCGGCGAGGCCACCAGCAAACAGTAGTGAAGCATGCCATCGATTGAATGACCGCCCGCCAGCATTCCTTGTCTGCTGGCATCATTCACCAGGTGGAGATGCCTAGCCTGTTTGCTGTGCCCGACACGTATAGGCCAACGGGCAATGGTTAGGCAGATCGACAGCAATGTGACCATGATACTTGTGAGAATGCGAGTGTGTTACGCAGTGCCACGTTTGAGTGAAGTCTGAATTGTAGAAAGGTCGTGAAATCACGTTAACAATTCCTTTCACGGCCGGCCATCATGACCAGTGCTGAAGTTTGCCAAGTTATCTGAGAAGACACCGTCAAACCAAGGTCAAGAATGATCCAAGAAAGGTCGCTCATCTGCCGGGACATCGAAGAGTGATAGAGATCGGCCACAGAGCCTCGAATCTGGTTGAGAAAGAGAGGGCCTGTGTTTGGAGTGTTAGCTTGGTGCCTCACAAACAACTAGAAGCGACCGCTGTACTTTTCTCCGCATCGGGTCTCATTAAACAGTCGAACCACGACCGTCGTAATCCTCCATAGTACCTTCACTATACTTCAGAGACTGTGTGACCAGAGCACTTCTCCTCCTTCACAGTAAGCCGGATACATTCTCCCAGCTTCTTTCCCCGAGATCTCCCAAACTACCGGCCCCTACGTCGCTGATTAGTTTGGGATCCGAAGTCTCGTACACTGTTTTGTTGCATACCTTGTTCGAAGAAGACTCGACAGAGCCTGAGTCTGCATCGGAAGCCACATCAGCAGTCTCGGACTCAACTCGGAAACATATCGGATCCTTCCGCCCCCCAAAGAGTCTGCCGCCGATGACATCCCAGGGTTGGTCGTGGTCGATGTCGATTCCGAGAACGAAAAGCTCTATGGGAAATGCCTTTTTCTTCTGCCGATACTGTTCCGCCAGAATCGTCATTACGTTTTTGGCGAAAGCTTCCAGTCCAATCTCGTACCTTCTCGAAACACGGACGTAGTCGTCGCGCATACCTCGAGTGCCCCCTTCAAGCTTCATGGTTGTGCGTGGCCAAGACAGCATGCGTAACAGGCGGAGATTGGGTAGTTCCAATATGGCATCCTACAGATCTACAGCAACTGTCGGTCAACAAACATCAATACTACAGACCAAGAAATGTTGGAGCCTTTCGTTCCTGGCAGGATCGGTCTCGCCGAGATACATCTCCGGGAACGTGAGACCAAGCTGTTGGATGTTTTGTGCCGCTCGACACATCCGCTGAAGGTCCGAAGGCTGCGCTGTCCACCAGGTATGAGATTGGAATCCGGAAGCCATCAAGATGTACAAGTGCTCAATAGTGGGCAGGTGGGTATCCAGTGCGCTTAAATCGAAGTTACGAGCGTCCGCTCCCTGGTTAGTGTATCGTAGAAACAGGGTTTCGAGTCCAGCGAATGTTCTGAGGAAGGAGTCGAGTACACCATTGATCTGCCTCCATCCGCGATGCCGCAGCGAGCGCAACGAGAGCCCCTCTGACGTACTGGAGTGCCGCGCGAGCTCTCGCAAAAGGAGATCTTGGTCTCCACAATTAGTGACAATAAGATGCTCAAGCGATGGGAAGTCTACAATCTTGAGCAAGGCCGCTGCCGTATGATCATCAGTGCCAGTTGCGAGCAAGAGACGAGTGACCTTGACGGGCGGGTGATACCCTCCCTTCGGCTTTTCAAACGGCCGTGATATGCGCTCGAAGACGGATCCTTTGTCAGTCTTGATCTCCCGTTTCTCTGTAGGTCGATTCCATGTACCAGTGTCAAACCCTAGAAAGACGTTGAATGGCCGTATCTCCAGATTTGAGAGCTTTTTGTGATTTCGGATGAGCAGCCCGTAGAACGTGAGTTCGTGTTCGCTTGATAGTCTCTGAGGGACTACGAGCGACACGAGCTCTGGGAAACTTTCGGGAGTCGCTAAGGCTCGCAAATCCTTCAAGCGTGCACCCAGGATAGGCCCGATGCTGAGATGCTGCAGTTTGGTTTGTTGTGAGCGCAACATGGAGACCAGTTCGATGTCGACAGCGAAGTCATAAGGCAGGTCAATGTCCAGCAGATGGTCCTGGCGAAGGAACGATAGGATCCTCTTGACAAGAGCAAGGTTGTACTCCCATCTTTCTTTACCGTATTCGTAGTCATGCTGCAAGAAGCACAGGTCCAGCGTGCGGATGCTCCTGTGCCCACGATTCCCGTCGGTCAAGACGCCTGATGCAGGTTCGAAAAGGTCCAGGTCGATGTTAAGGTGTCGGTAGAGCACTTCGGTCGCGATGGGGTTAAGCCACGCTGTTGTAAGACACAGGCTTGTCAGGTCATGCTGGGAGAATGTCAGTGTGAGCGAACGGAAATGGCAGTCGTGTAATGCAGTGTTCAGACTGAGCCACTGCACGGGTTCGCATTCACGATACGTACGTCGTCAAGGAGAGATGCTATGGCAGCCAATATTTCGTTCGGGAGTCCATCAAGACTTGGCGAGGTGGCAGGTGTACGTTCCGGGGAGGTGGAGCTGCCAGACCTCCGTTTGGTCGACGCCAGGGGTGGAGCCTCGAGCCCTTGGAGCGTCTGTCTTAGGGCTCTTCCGCTTGATGATGTTTGCCGTGAGGACAATGCGGCGGAAGAAGCTTGTTCAGAAGCCATGAGCTGGTGCTGCGGGCCGAATGGTATGGTAGCGTAAGTTTGTTCTGTGTTCGAGATTGGGTGTAGGTTGTGCAGACTGTGAGTTGTAATGAAGCGGGTTGCCGGTTCTTCGAGAGCCCATTATATACTCCACCGCTGGCCGCAGCGTCACCAGCAAACAATGATACAGCATGCCGTCGGGGAATGTGGTCTTTCGTAGACACTGTTGCAGGAACGGTGCGCACTCTTCCAGCGCAGCTACAGCCTTGGCCAGGGTAATGAAGCAAGTAAAGGTAGAAATACATCGTCTGCCCTACCTATATCACAGAAAGGCAGAACTATTCTTCGTCTCCAACGTACCTCCGCGGCAAAATGCTGCGAAACCCGATGCCCGGATCGCGACCATACATCCCGTAGTAATTCAGTCTTGTACAGTCTGTACTCCTCCTGTTGAACAATGGTTCCACATTGTCTGCCTCAGTGGTTCTTCGCACAGCCTGCAATACTTGTTAGCTACTTCCAATAGTCAACAGGAGAGATTCTCAACTATGCGTACATTGGGCAGTCGGTCTGACCAGGTGCTCGTGAGGATTTTGAAGCAGATGGAGTCACGCGGTTCCTCCTTTATCGCTAGACGGGCAGGCAGCGGCAAGCCGGATTCCCCTGCTGGATTGTCCAATCGTTCATCGTTGCCAATTATCAAGAGCTTGAGCGGGAATTTTTTCTGCTTTGCCGAAAAAGTTGCGAAGATTGAGCGTACTACGAAGTCCGCGAGTTCATAAAGCTCCCACTCGTATTCGGTCATAGTGTCCTCGGTTACAGACGGGAGTTTCGAGAGCGGCCAGTTCAGCAACCTCAAGACTCGCAGATTGGGTAGCTCGGCGATTGCATCCTAGATTGTCTGATCAGCACCGTCAACAATTCATAGAATGAGCTTTCTCCGACTGTACTGACCAGCCAGTTCTGGAATTCCTGATTCGACCGCTCATGGGTATAGATTCTCGGAAATGCGAGCGCAAGCTGCTGGAGGTTGCTGGCCTTTCGCAGTACAGGCCAGAGCTCCTCTGAGGACGGTATCCATCTAAGGAAAGTGGTGAAGTTGGTACGCTCGACAAAGTCGAAGCCCACAGAGATGCAGAGATGGGCCAAAGTGTCGAGGTGGGTGTGCAGGCAGGACAAATCGAATTCCCATTGGCGGTAGCTTTGCACAATTAAGAATTCGAGTCCAGCAAAGCTCCTTAGAAATGTGTGCAATCCAGATGACTCTCCTTGCGCTTCAGGCCAAGCGGATGGATCCACGAGGCCCCCCGAGCGGTACCGAAAGCTGCGTAGACACGGGCTCCTCGCGTCCTCCTTTCTCATGTGGGTGTAATACTGTGCGAGGTATTGCAGCATCGTACTAGTCCCTCGGCAGGAGATCAGACTCAAATGCTGCAGCGACAATAGATCGAAAAGGCGAGGTATCCATGGCGAAAGGCTGGCACCGGAATTTAGTCGTTGCGATGTAAGATTGAGAAACTCGACCTGAACAGGGCTTTGCAAGACCTTCGCTGAGCCCTCGGATGGGCGAGAGAGCAGCTGGAAAATACTATGCTGTGTGTGGAGAGGGTTTTGCGAGAGCAGCTGTCCTTCTCCGTGGTTTCCATTGCTAAAGCCGTCAAAAGTTTCGTATGCCTCTATCTTGACACGAACGATCTTGTTGAGGTTTCGAATGATCTGACCGTAAAATGCCAACTCACAGACAACATTGCCCATCATCGGAGGTATTACGAGCGAGCTCAGAGACGTCAGCCAGCCTGTCGCAAGCAACTCCATCAGCTCTTCGTGTGTGACTGTTGAAGTTGAAGATGGTCCAGTGAAGGGTCCAATCTGCAGATGCTGCAACTTCTTCTGTCGTTTCTGTAGAGCACGCATCAATTGCATATCCAAAGGCAGCGTTCTCGGGGTGATGAAGGATCGCAAGGAGTTTTCTGCCAGCAGTGGAAGCATCTGTTTGACCAGAGCGAGAGCGCTAACATACTCCTGCTGTGGACAATCGTGAGCCCGAAGCATCTCGAACTCGAGGGCTCTGATATGCCTATGGCCGCGATTAGGAGTAGTCAACCTGCTGTCGGTCGATGAGCACTCTTCGACGCAGATGACGAGATTGGTATATAATTGTTCAGTAGCAATACGTCCCAGCTTCTGGGAGGTACGGCAAAGCTGAGACAGGCTGTACTGTTACAGAATCAGCGAAAGCTATGTCGCAGAGATACAAGCTTGTAAGAAACATGATTGCCGCACTGATAACGAGGATCCTCCCAGACTCGCCTTGCTGAGGCGAGCCATTACGTTGACCAGTAATTCCTCCGGAAGGCGGCTGAGCCGATCCATTTCTTCAGGCTGTAGATCAGGCGATTCTGAGCCTCGAGATGCTCGCTTTGCGCGCTTATCCTTGTGCCTGACTCGGAGCGAGGTTAGTACATCCCAGAAAAAGGAAGCACCATGACTGACATGGAAGCACCATGGTCACCGCCACTCTCTTCCTGTTGATCATCCCGAGATTTTCTTTTCCGGAGGATAGCCATCTTGTCTGGCGGCGACGGCACTCGATTCCAAGGTTAAGATGTAGCTGACTCCGAGTGCTGTTCCAGTCAGTGTTGATTGGTGTCAATCAGTCTTGATCGCTAACATCGAGGAACGTCGAGAGATAGCTATTCAGTAATGAATGCAATCCGAATGGAGTCTGTGAAACAAAGAAAGAAAAGGAGCTCGTCCCGACCGAATGCAGCAATGTACAAACAAAGAAGCTAATCCATATCATCGTCCCACCGTTTTGGGAAGAACCCACCAACACCAAGGCCTTCGTCTGCCTGCCAAGGTTCATTCCCGGACAACACATTGTAGGCTGGCCGGATGGCCATCGTCTCTGCCTCAGCCGCTGAGATCTCAAGGACCTGTGGGACCTTGAGCAAGTCAGCAAAGGCTCTTTGAAAGCCGGGAATGTTGCTTAGGTCCAACATACCCGAGCTGAGGAATGGCCAGGCCCAGGCGGATCATCAAAACTGATCTTGTAACAGACCGGGAGCTTTTCTTTCTCCATCGGAACTGAATCGAAGTCTGTTGGACAGTCCGTCGCCACCGCGTTGCCAATGACCAAGAGTTCGATTGGAAAGCGTCTTCGCTACTCCGTGTACAATCGTGCGAATGCGTTCACGGTGGTCTCTGCGTAGCTTTGTAGCCCGCGATGATACGTCCCACGAACATCACCTTTGTACCGCATCGGACGAGGCCAGAAAAGACACCTCAACACCTGCAAATTGGCAAGGTCAGCGATGGCTGTCTAGTCCGGGTTAGTAGTCACGTTTCAACAGGAAGAATGGTGGTATACTGACAAAGTATGACCGGTCCCACGAGCTCCTCTGCTGGTACTGAGTTTCGTGCTCGTACGTTGGAAATGGAATCGCCAGTTGCTGAATGTTCGGCGCCCTTCTCAGCATGTGTGTAAGATCTTGGACTCTTGGCCTCCACTTTTCGTGCCCGCGGACGCGGTCCTCGCCCAGGCTGATACATAGGTGCCGAAGACTGTCCAGGTGTCCATCGAGGCACTTTAGGTCAAAGTCCCAAGGCTGACTGCTTTCAAGCAGCACCAGCTCCAGACCAGAGAAACTCTGGAGGAATGACTGGATAATCTCAGGTGATTGCTTATCATAGCGACACCGGAGACTGCGCAGCGCCGGCTTCCTCAGCGTCTCGTTCTCCATTCTCGCCGGTGGTCCGTTAGGATTTGCCGCTTCGCTGAATACATGCTTCATGTGCCGCAACATAGTGTTTGCTCCTTTGCAATGCTCAATGGTGAGGTGTTCGAGAAGGAGATAGTTCACACCCGCCAACGGCCGTCGATACAGCCCGGCCGGAAGAACATAGGGTGACTTCACAGAGTATGAGGTTTCGTATCCCAAGTTCCCCAACAGGAGGAGTGAAAGCACTCACTTGGTCAAGAGAGCTGGAAAGGAGGCGAGTCAGTACGGAGACATGCTGATGGTGGAAACCTCGAGTCCGTATGCCGCCATGTCCGCGGGGTCGCCAAGAATACCCATCAAACAATCCTCTTGCTCGCACATCCAACGTCGTCAACCTCGACAGCTTACGAATGAGCAAGCTATAAAGCTCGAAGCCATGCTCACCTAAGAGCTCAGGAACCACGAGTGATGTTATGCTGTTTCGCCAGCCAGACGTTAGCATCTGCTCCATTTCCCACAGGCGCATCTCAGCCAGTGAAGCGAGCTGGAGGTGCCGCAGCTGTCTTTGACTCTGTAGGTGTTTGAGCGTCTGCCTGTCTAGCAGCAGTTCCGAAGGCGTTATCAAACAACGCAAAGCATCTTGCTTGACCAGCGGCAGAATGAGATCGACGAGAGAGCGGCCATCGCGGTAAGATACCCGACAGTCCTCGTATTGGCGGTCCATTCGCAACTTCAGGTTCTGTATGAACTTGTGTCCTCGATGGGGAGTGTGGATAAATCTCCAGACTGCATTGTTCATGTTCAAGTGTAGGGTGACCGTGCGGTAGAGGTGTGGCGTTGCAATGGTGCAAAATTCCCGCGAGACGAGGCAGAGGTTCCTTCGGTCACCCTATTGATGACGTCAACATGAGCTCGGATGCTGTGAGTGCGCAGAGCATCAGGGTTCGTAGCAAGCGCTTGAACATACCTGCACAATAACGAAAGACACAATGGCTTCCAATAGCTCGGGTGGAAGCTCGCCGAACCACGACCAGTTCTTGCTTAGAGGTCTGCGATTCGAGCGGCTTTGAGGCGGGTATTTGAAAGGCGCTCGCCAGTAGGACCCGGCTGGGAAGTTAGCCATCCCTTGATTGGGGTGTTCTGATAGGAAGGTCCAGGAGAAGTCCGACGAGAGTGGTTTGTGATGTAGTTTTGGGTATTTCAAGGTTCGAGTAGCCAGTATGTACATCTCAGGACGCAGCAATGCCAGCAAGCATGAGTGTGTCATACCGTAGCACACACGTTCGCTCAAATGAGCCATCCACCAGCGCTCCTGGCTGCCCAAGCGAAGTTTGCGAGAGCAGGTGCTGTCGAAGCATGACCGCTCCCGGCACACCCGCGGCACCTCCATCACGGCATCTGGGACACATCGCCGTATGTGCGTATACCAAGGTGCGACACTTTATCACCACAGCACATTCGTGAGCTCATCTTCCAGCGCATCGTTCGGGAGTCGGCGCCTCGTGAATGCTGATGTGAAGCTCATCAAGCCCCCATGCACCGGTGCTCGCTGCACCTCTTGTCGTCACAGCCGTGAAGTGTCTCCGGCATGTTATCAGTCTTCAATCCTGCATTGCAGACCGGCCCAGATCAACCCGCCTGTTTCCCAACCCCCTTCACATCCCCACCCTTCTCAAAGGCCAATGCCCACCTTCTCTTGAACGCCTCAATAGTCTCCTCAGTCGTCCTACCCTTCTCCTTCTCCTCGCGATTGATGCGAACACCTGCTGCGATGACGCCGCAGCTGACGGCGAATATGGGGTCGAGGCCTCTGCGGTTAAAGTAAGCGCGTGTTTCTTGTGAAGAGGGCAAGGTATGGTATTACCTGGAGATGATGTATTTGGCGGACATGTTGGAAAGGTTTTATGGTTGAGGATAGGATGGCTTCGGTATGAGGCGTGTTATGGTGGTGGTTGCGGGTGACGCGAATGGAAGTGAGGTCTGGAGCCGAGAAGGCAGGGCTTGGCATTTTCTGATGTCTCCAGCCAGCGATATTGGAGAGACCGCTTGATCGATGAAAGGGCTACAACAACCGCAATTAAGACGCGACAAGCATACGCAATGGTTCGATTTGAAGACAAACGGGGTTGATTTTGGCGTAGCTTCTACAAGTCTACGCACCAAACAACGTGCTCGATCTCAGACCTCCTGCTGCTTCGCCTCCATCGCCCCCTCCACCCCCAACCCAGCAGCCTCCCGCTCCTCACGATATTTGTTAACCATGCTTGAAGAACGGCGCCTCCATCAACGTGTCAAACGAATGCACCATCTTGGCATGAGCGATAGAAATAGGCATTTCCATATCCATCCTTGCGCGCATGTCTTCCTCGTAACGCTTCAACGCTTATGCAATGCTTTGCTGACCTTGCGCAGCCAAAGTCACTTCGTCCACAAGCTTGGCCGCATCCTCGAGAGCGTTGTTGAGGCCTTGACCGCGGTGAGGCGGGATTGCGTGGGCGGCATCGCCGGCTAATGTGACGATGTCTGCCAACTCCTCCGCAGACCAGTCGAATGGTTTGTAGACCGTAGTGCGATCAGTCGACCACGTCAGGTCGGAAGTCAAGCTAGCGCCGACGCTTCTCCAGGGCTCGGCGAAGTCCTTCGCTCAAGCTTGCCAGTGTTCCAGCATACTCTGCTGAGTAGGGAAGTCTTCAGGATGAGGCGCTCCGAACTATGAGACAAGAGCCACGTCTCGGGCTTGTCCGAATCTTGGACGTCCTGAATCGACTGCCACCACATGTAGCCCTTCGAGTGGTAGCTGTTCTTGAAAATGGGATGGCGTGACTGCCGTTGCAAGAGAGCAATGTCTTTTGGGAACGAGCAGCTAGGTTGAACATCTGAATGTCGAGGTCCATCAACTGCGCTGCATCTTCACCGACAAGGCAGGGGCGGACAGCTGATCTGGCGCCATCGCAGCCGATCAGCACGTGGCCGGTCGCGGTGGTCCCGTCTTCGAAGGTGGCCTTGACCGTATTGGGTGATTCTTTGTGGACGTTCCTTAACTTCTCGACATACTGCAAATGATTAGTACTGAATTAGCCCAAGGAGAGCCAAGCCACGCCTGCGGACCTTAACATCAATGCCCTGGTTCAGGAAGTTCCTCAACTTGCGCCTTGAGATGCGCCTTGGCTCGTTCCCAGGCATATCGAATAGCTTCTCGCCAGTCTCAGCGTTGTAATGCGGCAGCGTGAGGCCTTTGGCACCATAGAAGGGACCACAACAGATGCTCTCGTTCAGATGCGCGCGCATGTCTGGCGGCACGCACTTCTGGATATGCTGAGCACCCCATTGAAGTGGTATGCCCCATTCGCGCGGCCTGCTCTGATACAGCTCAGGATCCTCCCGTTCGAAGACGGTTGTTTTGACGTTCTGTTGCTTGAGGCCTTGAGCCAGAAGCAAACCGGTAGAACCGGCGCCGATGATGAGGACCTTGAAGCTGGGTTCGGCCATTGCTGCTATCGGTAGTGCGAGGGAAGCTCAATACGGTGGTCACGGCGCCCTGGTTCACATCAATGCTCCCCGCACTAGTCGCTGCATGCGGCTGCATGTGGTACAGGGGTGGGTGGTGAGCGTGGCATTGGATTGAGGTTCTTTGCATATGGCTCGAAGATGCTGGAAGGACAAACATGAGATTGAAATGGCCGTGTTCATGCTGGGTTAGAGCATGAGGGCTACGGTAGACTTAGTGAAATTGGACCTAGCCATAGGTGTGACGGGATTGATGACACAGGATCGCCCTTGTTCGGCCTAACCTTGTCCACAGACGACAGTAGCCTTCCTGCGCCGCCCAACCAAGAGCTAATACATCGTCGGAATGTAGAAGAATTCAGGTTGCTTGTGAATTGGAAGAGGTGAGGTCAAAAGAGGTCGGCCGCGGCTTTTGCCCGCCGGAGGAGCCAAGACTTTGCCTAAACCTTAAGGTAACCAGAGCTTCGGCCACCTTCAATCGCTTCCATCTACAACCACACCAACCACCTCTCTTTACCCTCATCTTCACCTTGTCCATATCTCATATCGCACGGACGGAGCACTTTTCGCATAGTCGGCGTTCACATCAACATCAGTCATCAGCGCGTTGCGCACAAACCGCAACCATGGGCGAACTTGACGAGCTCTTCAGTCGCCTTAAGAATCAGTCTGCTGAGCGCATGTCGAACTCCGGACAGTCGACGGCATGGCCCAACCCTTCGACACATCCACATCAAGCACCATCGGTGTCATCACCAGTCTTCTCGCCACCTTCACACACACCAAACCCGGTTCACTCGTCCAGGATCATCAGTCCTGTGAACCCCTCCACTGCCATGGGCACTCCAGCACCATCAGACCAGAACAAGACCAACAACCTGCTGAACTTGCTCCGATCCAGCAGTCACGCGGGGCAGTCTACCAGCTCGGCCGGTCCAATGGCTAACCTCCAGAATGTTGGTCGGACGCCGAGCAGCTCGGCAGAGCAGTTCAGCGGACATGGTCGTGACGGCTCGCACTCTCAGCCACAGTTCGCACAAGATCTGATGGCATCGCTACAGCAGAATAAGCCATCGAGCAACATGGCTGCTTCTCGCACGACCACAGCAGGCGCTGAGAAGTCCGACGCCTTCGCCAACCCATCTCACGATTCCAAGCAATTCCTCCTGAACTTGCTCAAGAAGCCTAGCGCGTCCGCAACTCCCACCCCAGCAGCCGAGAGCACGAAGCCTACCGAGCCTTCTACTAGCACGGCATCTGTCGACAAGCTTGCTGAAGGCTTTGCCAACACCTTCATCAACCCTGCTGAGGCCCGCGCATCACGCGAGAGCACGCCTGCCCGTACGTTTGGTAGCCCGGTTGCGAAAGAGGCGCCGTTTGAGGCTCCTCAGCCAACCAGGCCAACAGCGTTCAACTACGTCAACCCGTTCGAGCAACTGCACTCATCTTCGCCACTCAATCGCACTCCACAGCCCGAAGCGCAGGGTAACGCGAAGAAGGTTGAGATCCTCAAGCACGACCGTGAAGTCTCCTCGAACCTCAACGGCGAGTCAACCGCACCGGTAGCGAAGAGCCGGAAGATTGAAGGAGGTCCTGGCTCACCCTCACCGGTGAAGGCTGAGGTCGGGAAGGGCCAGACTGTTTCAGAGGCTCTTGAAGACGTCGGGGAGACTGTCGATAAGCAGGTCGAGCAAGCCTTGAACGAGGCCGATGCACAGGACAAGGGTCAAGCTGGAAAGAATACTTCGACTGCTGAGGATGCTACCGTTATCAAGAAAGAGCCGGGGACAGAAGATGCCGTCGACTCAAGCTGGGAGAGCGCAGAGGACGAGGAGGCCGAGAAGGCTGGCGCGTTCGAAGTGAAGGTTTATAACTTCCCCATGAAGGCTTTCGTGTCCATCCAGGTGAAGAGCATGCCATCTGCTCTTCCGGTTCGCCAGGACAGCCTCACGTTCATCGCGCGTATGAAGAAGGACTTCGACCAGATCGATCGCAACTTGGTGACGGCTAGCCAGTTCCACATCGTTTACGCACCAACCTCCACGAAGAAGGCGCCCCATCCAGGCCTGCGCATCATCCAGCAGGAGTTCGGGCAGCACAAGCACATCTTCACTTCGACCAACGAACGTCTTTTCAACGTTCAAGTATGCTCGTCCCCTCCTGGAAACGACATCGAGACCGTCTTGGGCACTGGCGTCAACGGCACGATCTTCTGGACTTCGCTCTCCAAGTCGCGCGGTGAGCTGTTCAATGACGACGACGTGGAGGCGCAAGGCTTCATTATGCCGCCGGTTGCGACGCAAGAAGAGCAGACCTCGGGCTCCCCTGTTAAGACCAGGGCGAAGCTTAGCACTCGGCATCCCGAGTTCTTCGCTGTGGCACGGGGGAAGCAGATTCACATCATCGCACCCGATACCCTCAAGAATGCTGAGTACCTGAATTCGAAGACCAAGATGGTCAAGTCCGAGAAGTATCTGGCTGAGCATGGCTTGAAGATTGCGACTGGCAAAGCTGGTAAAGACTTTTGCTTTTCGGAAGATGACACAGTCATTGTGAGCCTCGATAAGAGCGGGCGCTGCAAATTCTGGGACGTCCGAGAGCTCACCAGTCGTGTCAATGACATCTCGGACACGAAGCACGCGCCAATCGAGTTGACCGAGCCCATATGGAGCATGGCCGCGGCCGCATCTGGAAGCAAGGCCGATGAGAAGCCTTCGGTGTCTTCGATCATGTTCCTTGACAAGGAGAAGCCAATGATCAAGGGCAATGCGTCTCGATACCTTCTCATTGGGTTCAAGCAGAACCACATCCTCCAGCTATGGGATCTGGGCCTGAGCAAAGCGGTTCAAGAAGTTCGGCTCCCTCACGAGAAAGACAGCGACGGCATCTGCAGTATCACGTATCACCCGAAGACTGGAGTCATTGCAGTCGGTCACCCAACACGCAACAGCATCTTCTTCGTGCACCTCAGTGCGCCAATGTACAAGCTCCCTAACATGAAGCAAGCGGAATACATGGGCATACTCGCACGCAACGATCCGAACTTCCCGCAACCATCGAGCACTGCCATTATGAGTGGCTTGCGAGAGCTGTCGTTCGCGAAGGTTGGAGAGTTGAGGTCGGTCGACATGCTACGGACACCACCACCCCACGCTGCGGACATGGACAGTGTTGATGCGCCGCTGTTCGAGCTCTACGCCATGCACTCTAAGGGCGTTGTCGGCATCAGCATGAAGAAGGGAGATCTTGGTTGGGACATAGACAACAAGGTTATCTGCGCTGTCGATGCTCTCGAGGCTGGTGTCATTGAGATTAACTCCCTCATACCCACGCCCGAGAAGTCAGCGCCGAGCGAGCAATCATCGGCCACTGAGATCCCCAGCAAGAACTCGAAAGCCGCCAACAAGAAGCAAGATGTGGCTAAAGGCTCACCGGCGCCTTCTATCAAGAGCGAGACATCAAAGAGAGCGCCACCTGCGAAGGAGGTGCTGAAGCCACCGCCACGCTCAACAACACCTGATCGCGCATCGAAGCAGGTGCCAGAAGCGCCGTTGCCATCGCAGCCGCAATCAACCAACCCGCCGTTGATGACCGCAGAATCTTACGCAATGGCTGCTCACGGTGCCAAGTCCCCCAATCGCGGTCGTTCGCCGGCTGGCGACCGGACCGCTTCTACTGCGACGTCGAAGACCGTCACTCCCGCCGCGCCGTCCGAGGACAGTGTGTCTGCGCCGCGCGTCTCAAGCGATGGCGACCTCCAGGCCATGATCAAGAAGCAGTTCGATGCCCTCTACCAGCGTATCGACAACGACAAGCGTGTGGTAGACGCTGCTGGCTCGACCAAGCAGGAGGCTGTTCTACGCCTGGTGTCCAGCACGTTGACCGAGAACGTTGAGCAGAGCCTGCATCGTATTGTTAGCGGCAGTATTGATAAGGATGTTCTGCCAGCGATTACGAACGTCACGTCGAAGTCAGTTGAGAAGAAGCTTGGTGAGGCGCTGCCACAGCAGCTCAGCACGCACGTCACTCGCGAAGTCAAGGCGGCGGTGCCCCATGCTGTGCAGGCTGCGCTCAAGGACCCGAACGTGCAGCGTAGTATCTCGGACCAGGTCGCCACAAAGGTGCAGCAGCAGGTCTCACAGATGCTGCAGCAACACATGCCGAACATGGCCAAGGAGGCGACGCAGAAGATGGTCACCGACCTCGATACCCGCACGAAACAGCAGATCCGCGAGCTCGAGAACCGTCGCGTGAACGATGTGGGCAAGATCCACGAGCTTTCCGAGATGGTTCGTGGCTTGACGGAGACCATCCGTACCATGTCCGAGCAGCAGACAGCTTTCCAAGAGCAGATGTTGAAGCTACAGCAAGAGCAGTCGTCGGCGAGCAAAGCGATAGAAGGTCGCAATGATGGAGCTTCCAGTCCTGCGGCTAAGGGCGAGGATCCAGACGTCAAGAGGATTTCTGATCTACTCAGCAATGGCCAGTACGATGCTGCTACGCTTGAGGTAAGATAACTCATCCCATTGGCCATATGCCTAATATACTAATATGACAACAGTGGCTCCAATCCTCCCGCCAAGGCGAGCTCTTCGACCTCATCTTCGTCCGCGTCAACCCCCTCTACCTTGAGAAAGTCACCCCGCTCGTCGCCCTTTCGGTCTCCGCCGCCATCACCGCCTCCTTCGGCTCGTACGTCGACCAGCGCCTCGAATGGCTGCAGACGGTGCTCAACAACATCGACATGAACGACGAGGAGATTCGCGATGTCGCGGGCAGGATCATGGACGTGTTGAGTCAGCGGTTGCAGGGGGCGTATATGCAGGTTAGTGAGGAGTCGCCGAATGAGGGTGACAGGTTGAGGAGGATTAGTGCGCTGTTCAGGCAGGTGGCGGAGGTGAGGAAGTTGGCTGGTTGAACGGGAGGACGTGATCGATGATGGGTTGAGGGCTTGCTGGCTGCAGCGAGCTTTCATGGGACGGCTGTGCATATGGAGGGATGAAACGAAGGTGCCGAAGGCGACATTGCTTCGTTGGTGATATCTTCATGGGTGGCTCGGTCGTTTCCAACAAGGCGTTGCCATACGGCACTGGGATATGGAAAAGGTAGCTTCATGCATGCATGCTGCATAGCGCACTGGCGTTTCATAGCAGATACCCGCCCTCGCTGGGGCTTCAATGCTACTGATAACTACTTTGACCATGCCCGTTCTTCTTGTTGTGCTCGTCTACGATCTGTCGAGCTGCCGTGACTATTTGGACGGCGCCGGGGCTGTCGCTGTGGCAGCAGAGGCTTACCGTGTGGTCCTAATCACCACGTAAGCACTCGACTTCGTCTTTCGAAGTAGGTAGGTGAGGAACTTACACCAACAGGCAACTCCACCTCCTCCCCCGTCACGGCCGTTACGCTACTGTTCTCCACTTGAGAAGAAATATGCTTCTTGGTATCCTCAGAAGACCAAGGCTTTTTCTTGCGATCGATCACCAGGGTGCCGTCTTTGCTGTACTTGACGTCGCCGTACAACTCGGCGACGAAGGGGAGGTTCAGTTCTTTTGCTACTTCCTCCTGGATCGTGCCTGCTAGGCCGAATACAGGTGTGTCCTTTGGTACGGCGGAGTAGACGGCGTGGCAGACTGAGCGGTCGCGGTACATCATGCCGTAGAGGACGCTGCAGGAGTCAGCAAAGCGTTTAAAGGCGAAAGGGGGGGCGGGGTACCCGTGTGGTTTCACATGGTGTAGCGGCACGTCTTCGGCATCGAGCTGGATGTTGAGGGCGTCAGACGAGATATGAGTGCATGAAGGGGGAACGACGCACGAAGGCTTTCAAGGCGCCTATCTGATAGCGGACCATGGCTGTCAGCTCCTCTGGGCTGAGCTTCATCCTGTCTCGCGTCAGGGATCGCCGAAAGATTCAGCTAGGTTGATATGCTCACTCTCGCCGCCCGAAGCCTTGGAGATCTGGCAGTCCTGGGTGCGCTCCGACGGCTATGCCCCTTTCCTTGCATGTCCGGACGGTCTCTTGCCTAGGGTCATTGTTTTCAGCATGAGGCTTCTATAAATATCGCAAACAGGATCGTACATGATCAGAGGGTCCCCGGCATGGAAACCGCACGCCACGTTGGCATGATCGATCATGGGTATCTATCATTTGATGGTCAACGAGCGTTCGATACAAGAAGTGAGCAAACTCACCAACTCATCGTCAGGGCCACATTTGAAGTTGCCATATCCTTCTCCCAAATCACAGTTAATGTGGACTTTCTGCTTGATGGGACCCATTTCGGCTGAACTATGATATGGTGATATGAAGATTATTAAACGATTGTTCGAATGAACGTCTTACTGCCAGTTCTTACCTACTATGACGTTGGTGTCCAAGGTATCAAGCGTTCGCCTCTTGCCCGGTACCTACGCCGTAGCCCCTCTTTGTTGGTGGAGAGGAGAGCTTTATCAACGGCCAGGCTGACGATCGACATGAGGACGTAATGGCATTGGCGTCAAGTACCTCTCGATGCGCCAGACTGATGATTCTCCTGTGTGACACTGCTTGTTGAAGCGTGAAGGAGAAGACGATATGGAGAAGATGAAGGGCATCCTTATTGCCAATCGCGGAGAGGTCCAAGCGCCCTTCAGTATACGTGCAAATCAACGCGTTCGTCCTGACAATATCAACAGATAGCAGTCCGTATCATCAAGACAGCAAAGAAACTCGGGATCAAGACCATCTCGATATACACGCCTGCAGATGCTGCTTCGCTCCATGTCTCACAAGCGGACGAGGCGGTCCTCCTTCCGGACAATAACAGCTATACCGACGGCGAGACTATCATCAAGATAGCCAAGGAGAAAAACGCAGATGCAATCATCCCAGGTTATGGCTTCCTGTCCGAGAACGCTGACTTCGCTCGTGCTGTCGGCGAAGCTGGCCTGGCATGGGTAGGCCCTTCTCCAGAGTCCATCGAGGCATTCGGCATCAAGCATGTAGCCCGTGAACTGGCTGAGAAAGCTGGAGTCCCTATCGTACCTGGAACCAAAGGCCTCGTGACTAGTGAAGAAGATGCCTTGGAAGAGAGCCAGAAGCTCGGCTATCCGGTAATGTTGAAAGCGACCGCTGGCGGAGGTGGAATGGGCTTGGTGGTATGCGAGAAGGCTGAGGACGTCAAAGAAGGCTTTCGCATGGTCCAGTCGAGAGGCAAAACGCTATTCAAGAGCGGCGATCTGTTCATCGAGAAGTTTTACCCTGCCAGCCACCACATCGAGGTCCAGGTCTTCGGCAATGGCCAAGGCGATGCTATACATTTCGGCGAGCGCGAGTGCTCTGTCCAACGTCGGAACCAAAAGGTGATTGAGGAAGCACCCTCGCCATTTGTCGAGAAACACCCGAGCCTTCGCGAGAAGTTGTGCAAAGCAGCTGTCAGCCTGGCCAGCTCTCAGAACTACGCCAGCGCCGGCACGATTGAGTGTCTCGTTGACGACGAGAGCGCAGACTTCTTCTTCCTCGAGATGAACACGAGGCTCCAGGTCGAGCACGGCATTACCGAGCTATGCTACGACGTTGATCTGGTGGAGCTCATGCTAAAGCAAGCAGACGCTCAGCTTGCTGGAAAGGGAGGTATCTCAGCGGAGGACTTGAAAGCACTGCAGCCTTCTGGCCCCTTGGGACATGCCATCGAAGCTCGAGTGTACGCTGAGAATCCTGTGAGAGACTATGCGCCGTCTCCCGGTCTGCTTCAGAAGGTCGAATGGTCTACATTGGAGCACTCAAGAATAGATACCTGGGTGTTTACAGGTACCACGATCTCTCCTAATTACGACCCTCTGATCGCGAAGGTGATGAATCATGCAAAGACAAGAGATGCCTGCATCAAAGGCATGGATCTTCTCCTGTCGCGCTCGCAGATCTGCGGTCCGCCTACCAATCTGGAGTTCTTGAACGCTATCATCCAGGATGAGACGTTCAAGTCTGGAAACACTATTACGAGCTTCTTGAAAACGTTCGAATATGCGCCGTGTGCTATCGATGTGATAAGCTCTGGAGCCTATACACTGGTTGAGGACTTACCAGGACGTCCGAATGTGGGCAAAGGTATTCCTCACAGCGGTGCGATGGATCCAGTAGCACTCAGCATAGCCAACATGCTTGTTGGCAACGAACGCGGGAAGGAAGGTCTCGAGATCACGCTGTGTGGCCCTGAGCTACGCTTCCTCTCACCAGCTGTCGTGGCTGTAACAGGTGCCCCGATTGAAGCAAAGCTCGACGACGACTCGATCCCGATGTGGACCAGAAAGCACATCAAAGCCGGCCAGAAACTCAAGCTAGGCAAGACAACGGGCGGCGGCTGTCGCTCATACCTCGCCATCCACGGCGGCTTTCCCACTGTGGCAGACTACTTTGGCTCCAAGTCTACTTCAGCGCTCGTAGCCATCGGAGGCTACCAAGGCCGAGCTCTTGCGCCTGGCGACTTGCTTTCCATCACGAGCAATATCCCCGATACTCTTGGCGGGCATCCTGCTCTTCCAGAGAACCTTCGACCGCAGTATACCGAGCATTGGGAGATTATGGCGATGCCGGGGCCTCACCAGGATGGGTACCTGGCTGAAGAAGATGTGGAGATGCTTTACGGGGGCGAGGACTGGAAAGTAAGTCACAATGCTAGTCGGAGCGCTATCCGGTTGATCCCACCACGTCCTCCGAAATGGGCGAGGAAAGACGGTGGAGAGGGCGGTTCGCACCCGAGTAATCTGATTGAGTATGGATACCCTCTTGGGACACTGAATTGGACTGGAGGTGAGTTTACGTGTGCCTGAGCGCCTCGCAACTATCCTGACAGCGACATGCAGATGACCCTTGCGTCTTCCCTGCGGACTGCCCGGTAAGTGGTCTTTCGTTACTCTCTCCTCGAACATGCTGACGATCGAAGAACTTCGGTGGCTTCGTCTCCAGCACGACCACCATCATTGCCGACCTTTGGAAACTGGGTCAGATGAAAGCGGGACATACCATGAAGTACAAGCGTGTCTCCCTTGACGAGGCATTGGCATTGCGCTCAGACCTGAACAGCTACCTTGATGCCGTGCAAGCTGGAGTTAGCAAAGGCGACTTCTCCAAGGTCAAACCACTCCAGCAAACGCATGAGCCAAAGGGCGATTTTGGAAACGCAATTCTCTGGGAGCGGGCGCCAAAAGGCAATAGGCCCCAAGTGCGGTATCGTCAAGGCGCCGACGACCATTTGTTGATTGAGTACGGCAATGAGAATTTCGACATCAACCATCGCTGCCGTGTAACAGCTCTCGAGAAGGCAGTCCACAGCAAAGATGCGCCATCCTGGCTGAAGGAGAATCTCACCAATACCGTGGGATGTTGCACATCGCTGATGGTGCACTACAACGGCGCCAAAATGGATCGACCCAAGCTGATCGAACATCTTCAGACGCTTGAAGAACAGCTAGGGGACCTGAGCAAGATCAAAGTGCCCTGCAGAAGATTCAGACTCCCACTGTCGTTCGAGAGCAAAGAGCAGACGGAAGCGACCAAGCGGTATATGGAGACTCAACGACCTCAGGCGCCTTATCTGCCTGACAACCTGGAGTTCGTGGCGAAGAACAACGCCTTCACTGGAGAACAGCTGAAGCACAATATGCTGAGCGGCACATTGATGGCGGTTGTCGTCGGCTTCTTTTGTGGAAACACCGTCTCGCTGCCCGTTGATCCGAGGAAGAGGATGAGTACGCCAAAGACGAATCCATCTCGGGTGTTCACGCCTGAAGGGACATTTGGATGGGGAGGCAGTTGCGCTTCAATTTATCCTGTCGACTCGCCTGGCGGGTATCAGGTGAGCGCTGCCTACCTTTTCAATTTTTGACCGCACGAAGACACTAATATATAATCAGCTGATCGGCCGAACAATACCTTGCTTCGACTATCTAGGCTACAAATCAGGTTTCAGCATCGACCGCCCCTGGCTATACCAAGACTTCGACCTCCTCGACTTCTACCGTGTGAGCGAAGACGAGCTCAACGAGCAGCTGAACCTCTTCCGCGCTGGTCTGTACGAGCATAAGTGGACCGATGAGGAGTTCGACATGGCAGAACACAACCGCTTTCTGGGCGAGGTCGACGACGAGGTCAAAGACATCCGCGCGAAGCAGCGGAAGGTGCAGGAAGAAATGATCGCTGCAGAAGAAGAATCACTGGCCAAGTGGCGAGAAGACATGCAGAAGGACAAGATTGATGAAGGGACCGTTGATGCTTTGCTTGCTGGTGAGTATTCTCCCACTATTCCAATGGTGTCTTCTACTCACACTGTGGTTATAGATCCAGCCATCTCCTCAATCGACAGCCCGATGGACGCCAACGTCTGGAAGATCCAAGTCGAAGAGGATCAAGAAGTGAATGCAAAGGACATTGTTGCGATTCTCGAGGCAATGAAGTTGGAGATCAACGTCAATGCTCCTGACGATCTCGGCAAGGCCAAGGTGGAGAGGTTGCTGGTGAAGCCTGGTGAGACTATTAAGGCTGGTGGGAGGATTGCGCTGCTCCGGTCCACGAAGTGAGATGAGGTGAGGTACCTTTGTACACTGAATACGCATCACTTGTTAAGGTCGTGATTATCATCCCCTCCGCTTCGCAAAATCGTGATGTTAGAGTGCTCGTTGGTGTGAGTGCTGAATGCTGAGCAATTGACGGAGGCTGAGCGCGTTTGAAAGCTCACGATGAATGAGCATGCAACTGACATGCACCAAGGCAGAGACGCAAGAGACCACCACCGTTCTCCCCCGAGCTTCAGAAATTGTTGTCCTTAATGCCACGAACCCGAATGAGCTTCAGCGGCGCTACGGCGGGCGGATCGAATCGAACGCATTGGAAGCAAGAGAGAGGAGATGGTGACCAAGATGATCAGCCAGATCGAATTTGTCTGTAGCCACCTAGATCAACATGGCAGTGTTGGATGAGCAGGAAGGCAGTTGCATCCTTCGTCAGGGCAAGGCATTCCGTATAGGAGATGCTCAAAGAGTCATCATCCAGGCAGGCGCCTGGTGCAAGGCAACCTTCACATGTCGGCGTCACATGTGAATTTCCTTGCAGTCTTCTTCTATCTGATCGTCCAGAATCAGCCCATAGTCATTGATGCCACCCTACACCTGTTCGACCACCGCCAACCTCTCTTGGCAGTGCCAACACCGCCTCTTCCTCTCCCTCCTCGGGGGCGACGTTCTCTTTATCCTCTGTGTCGTAGTTGATCCGACAGAGCGAGCTTTTCCCTCCTCTTCCTCCTCCTCGCTACAAACAGCCAGAACTTGCTCCTGACCGTCTCGTGCCAATAATCTTGCTGCTCGAGGAAAGTCTAGTCATAATCCATAGGAGGAACATGATTGACGACCTAGTGGTGTTGTACGTGATCGTCATGTCATTTCGGCGACGCTTATGACGGCGACAATCAGATGCGACAGGGCGTTTGTTGCGAGGAGGCAGGGGGCCATTGCTCGCCTCCCCGTTGCCGCCGCTGTCGAAGTTCGGACCGAGGATTTATATAGTGCTGATGCTGTGGCGTGTATGCACACTTTTGCCACCGCTCGAAGCCAGAGAGCATAGTGGCGCCAACGCAGCGAGCGTGATACTGTCAATACGTTTCGCGATTCTCGAGAAGCGGAAGCGGAAGGCTGAAAAGTGCTGGATGAACCCTCGTACCTACAGCATACTCCTAACCCACATCCCCCACCTCTCCCTCCCCGGACTCTCCACCCCATCAAACAAATCCCTCTCCACCGCCCTCGCATTTACACATCTCGGCCCCAGTTCCTCCACCCTCTCCACCCCGAGCAAACGCATAGCTGTCTCCGTCTCCGCCTTTAGAATCTCCAAGACCCGCTCTACACCCTCTTTCCCACCGGCTCCGAGCCCGAATAAAGGCGCTCGGCCTATACCTACGCCTTTTGCGCCGAGACAGAGCGCTTTGACGATGTCGGTGCCGCGCTTGATGCCGCCGTCGACCCAGACTTCGAGGTGTTTGAACACGGAGGGACAGTACTTGCGTATCTCAAGGAGGGTGTGGATAGCAGGGGGCGCGGTATCCATTGCTCGTCCGCCATGGTTCGACAAGATAATCCCACTGACCAAAGGAGCGTAGAGAGAAGCAATATAAGCGTCTTCATGAGTCTGCACGCCTTTGAGGACGATAGGCAGATCAGTGTGTTTCCGCAGCCAAGGCAGGGTAGTCTTCCAGGTGAGATCAGGCGCTGTTCCGGCGAAGAGCGCTTTACCCACGCCACCGCTTGCTGAGGCTGGGTCTTCGGAGGTCTTGGACGCGGAGCCCTCTTGCACTGAACTTCGGACGCCGAGGTTAGAGCCGACGTTCTTCGAGCGCTCGTCGTGCTCCCGCTTTCCAGGAACGGGAGCGTCGAGAGTGAGACAGATGAATTTGATAGACTTGAGTTTGTTGATTCGTGCGAGCATCGCTTCGCTCTTCTTCCGCTCGGATTGGACGTAAAGTTGCCAGCCGAAGACTTGGCTAGGCTGCGCGTCTGCAACGATCTGCTCAGGTGTTTGACTGGCGTTGTGGGAAATGAGTTGCATGGCGCCGAACTTTGCACACGCGCGTGCGATACCGTGTTCACCATCCGGATGGCCTAGCCGCGCCATTGCCGCGGGCGAAACAAAGAAGGGGAGGTTGACCTTGTTGCCGAGGAGGGCGGTGGAGGTGTCGCAGTTAGTGCAGTCGACGAATATCCGGGGCCGCATGAGGATGGAGGAGTAGACGCGGTTGTTGAGTCGCTTTGACATGAGGTCGTCGCCGGCGGAGTAGTAGTATCCCCATGCTTTCCTGCTTATTCGCTGCGTGGCGAGCTTCTCGATGTCGTCGAGGTTGAGACATTCTTCTAGGCTGTCGATGGCATCCTCATCCTGCTCTTGTTGTCGCTGCTCCCTCTTCGGACTCTTGCCACCATCTTGTTCAGGTGCTTTCTCCTCCTTCGGCAATGTGCTTGCATCTATCGGACCTAGCTTCGCTTCTGGTGGCAGGCTATCTTCGAGTGTCCCGGGAGGATGTACAGGGTCGTATTCTTCTGTTGCATCTGATCCCGCAAGTTGTAGGATTATCTTGCTACCACCTGGGTGGTCGGGAAGGAAGGACGTGACATCGTAGACATTGCCGTAGAGTATCACCCAACAGCTCTCGGATGAGCGATGCTGTTGTACTTCATCAAAGGTATATGTTTTGGCCATTGCTTGAAATGGAGGAGTGACAGCGAGACGGAGTAGAGAGTGACAGATACAATGAAGTTGGTACTATACGCTGTATATCGCGAGATTGTGAATCACAATGGCAAGAAATTGTCGAATGAATGGTCGTCATGGAGCGAACAGATCAAATGCATGTGTCGTGAAGTTGTACGCAGCTCGGTGACTGCCGGCGGTTGGGGAAGCGGCAATTGGGAGACTCAAATGCCGAAGGCTTTGCTACGCGTATGTTTGTTTGATCGCAAAGGTTGGAGGTTGGTTCAGCGAGCGAACGTCTCAACGTGGGAAGCGTAATAGCGAAGATGCTTGGGAGCAATGAGGTGAACCAGGTCATATACATGCAAAGCAGCTCATTCATACAGCACTCTAAACACAAGCAGTAAGACAAAACGTTAAAAGCCAAGCTAGTCGCACAAGAAAGTCATCAAATCTCTTTTCCTCCCTAAACCTGCTCATTCCTCCTCAGGCTGTTTGCATTTAAGCCCTCTTGAAGTCACGGCCGTGCTCCGCCTTCCTGAACACACCCTTCACCGCCTTGATGACCTGAGCGAGCAGGCTGTCCATGTCGTAGTCACCACCGGCCGGCGGGCTTGGGTAGCCAGCTGGCGCAGAGGAAGATGGGGCAGGAACGGAGTAGCTGCCCGACGCCGAGGGGTAGACCGACGAGAAACCGCTTGATGCAGTGGGGTACATCGACGAGAAGCCGCCGGATGGCATGCCAGTAGGGGCTGGGTAGCCGCTCGACACTGGTGCGGAGATGGAGGATGGGAGGGGGTAGGCACTGCCGCTGGAGCTGGCGGCGGGGTAGGCTGCGGAGCCCGAGGCGGCGCCAGCTGAGCTGGATGCGGCAGCCGAGGAGGAGATGGTGATGCGGGTGGTGCACTTGCTTGAGCTGGCAACAGCAGAGCTGGATGCGTATGGTGCAGAGGAGGAGATTGCGCCAGCGGAGCTAGACGCCGGGACCGAGTAGACTGGGGCGGATGAGGAGACGGCGGCGGCAGAGCTGGAAGGAGCAATGTAGGAAAGCGAGTCATTGGAGACAGGCTTCTCAGTGGAAGATGGCGCAGCCGCGGCCGAGGAGTAGACTGGCGCAGAGGAAGATGGAGCAGCCGGTGCCGATGATGGCGCAGGCGAGCTGGATCCACCCTTGCCGTAGAGCGCAGGGCCGGGGATGACATACTTGCTCAGGCCGCCGTAGATGTCAACCTTGATGCCAGGGTCGGTAGGCGTGTAGAACTGGGTCGCGGGCTCACCAGCCGGCTTGTCGCTGCCGCTGCCGGTAACCTGAAGGTTGATGCACTGAGGGTAGTTCTGCGCGCCGTCCGCCTGGCCAGCGGAGTGCAGAGCGATGATCTCGTTACGGAGAACGTAGTTGCCTGGTGCGAGAGTGCTGGGGATGGTCGTCTCCCAGGTGTTGTTGTTGGCGATGAGGTCGTCGCTCGCCCACTTGCCGGGCGCCGGGTTGCCGTTGATGAGGCCACCCTCAGACACCTTGAAAAACTCGAGGGATGATGGATCGGCGTCCTCGCACTTGCCTGGGCACTTGGCCATGTAGTCGATGACTGGGCCGTGGTGGCTCTCGGGCCACTCGGTCCACTGGAGCTCGACCTTGCCGCCGGCAGCGATAGTGGCGGAGGCCTGGCCTGGCGCACCACCGCGGTGGCAGATGATGTCGCTGGTCTTGTAGGCAGATGGCGCAACGAAGCCGTTGTCGGTCACAGTGGTAGTCCAGCCGATGACCTTGGGAGGAGGGCTCATGTAGGAGAACGAAGGGTCGTAGCCTTGGTAGTACTTGCCGCCAACGACAATACCAGAGACGTAACCGTGAGCCGAGACGGTGCTGGCAATACCGGCCACGAGGCCGAGGATCTGAAGAGCAGACATTTTGTTGTGTGACGTGTTTGTCTTGAAGATTGAAGTTGTGTTTGAGTGGATTGCGTGGATGAATGGATGGAACGAGCGGACAATGTATCACCAGGATACAATGAATGAGTGTGAGTGGTACTAGACCTAAGCGAATGTGATGCTGCACAGCAGAGAAATGTAGACGAGTCTTGTGGATGAAGAAGAAAGAACAGTATGGGAGATCAGCTCGCCATATAAACCATCTCTACTCACCTAGACCGGGCTCCCGCCATCGTTCTCTGCGAAACGCAGATCTCTCCTGGCTATACAGATAGATTGAGAGTGAGGTGGAAGCGAGATGTTCCCAAGCACTCCTGACACAGAAGCTCTTTCAGCCACAGCGACAAGAGTCGGTCGTGCGTCTCAGGTTTATGGAAGACGCCGGAGGATTTATACCATGACAAAGACCGCGCGATGGACTAGGAGAGCTGTTGAAGCGTCAGTAGGTAGCTATCCATGTTGTTCCGCTGAGTATTGCGAGCTGGATACTACCTCATGCTGGCCGTCGTCCTCTTCGCAGTGTTGTTTCTGCAAATCGTCCAAGTCAGAGGATCTGAAGTCGAGTTTCATCTAGATCGCCAAAGCGCCTCGCCAGTCTTGGCTCTCTCTAACCTCATCTCACAACTCCACATCCCATCTCGGTCTATTCCACCGCGGCAACAACGGGTCGGAAACGCCTTTGACGTCTGGGCAAGGAGACCTCGCGTGCTAGACGAAACACCCATCTCGATTCTCGCCCTGCCATCGCTCGCTCGGCCAGTTCGGGCGGCTCGAGGACGGCTAATCAATAATTTCCACGTGGATGTCTTAGGTTTCTAAATCTAGATCTAGATCGCGATATGTATCCGCCGATGGCAGTGTCCAAGACGGTGAATGTGCCGCTATCGCTGCTTCATCTATGTTTTCCCTTTCCTCCACCGCCGCCACGCCCAGATCACCAAGAGAGTCGCGATGCTGGCTCTTCCTACCAGCGCAACTCCAACCGCTCGCCGCACAATGTCGTAGTACCTGGCCCGATTAGCGACTTCAGGCAGACACCACGCGGCGAGACGCTCAACGCACCCTTCCAGCATTGTCGACACTGCTGCTTTCTTGCTTCGACTTCGCATTGCCTCCTCGCTGTCTTCCGTAAGAGTCGGGCCAACGCTCAGCCCAGTGCCTAAGCCATGGAAGCCCGTCTCGTCGGGTCGATCTACGAGCACTGTGCTGCCTTCTGGTGGGGTAGTTGATGCAATGCTTTCGCTCGCGTACCCAAAGGCTGGCTTGTTGAAGCCAGTGTGCGTACTATTCGAACCCGCCGGCTCCATCCCAGCCTGCAACTCCGCACGTTTCCGTGCTTTGAAGCGATAAGTCGTGAGCCATACGACGAAACGAACGTCGAGCGGCGTGAAGTTCGGATATGTCCAAAGGGTAAGAGCATTGTGTGGAGGCATAAGATCCAGGAAGTCGGACATTACACCTAAAGTCAGACCCCATAATAGCAGAGGCGCCTCGGGTGGTAGGGGAGGGTACTGGCCAAAGAGGTCGGAGCGGTAGATGCGGGTGGCGAGGCTGTTGAGTCGGCTATACGGAGTAGGTAGAGCGTGCCTGTTGTCCTGAAGTGATTCAAGAGCTGGAGTCTCAGCGGAGTGTAGAGATTCCGTGGGAAGGAGTGAGATAGCAGCAAACATCATCTTTCCCAGGACGAGGGAGAGCATCCACCTCTTCACGCCAGTCTCCTGGTTCGCGAGGCGGCTGCTGACGTCCTCGAAGGCGACGGTGCGGCACTCTTTGGCCTGGAGAGATCGAATAGGCACCCAGTGCGTCGCGGCGACTTCGGTAGGTTGGAGCTTGAGAGGCGGGACATCGTGAGTTGTGAGTAGAAACAGGTATGGGCATAGAACGAGTAGAGGTTTGCGCCCCCAATGAGTCGTCACCAGTCGCTGCGGCAGGTTGCCAACCGGTATACCATACTCTTCCACATCCAACCCAACCTCTTCAGAACACTCCCGTACCGCAGCCGCTCTATCGTCCGCGTCCGTAGGATCCCTCTTTCCACCCGGCAATGCGATATGAGATGTCCATCGATCGCCCTTTCGTGAAGCCCGCTTGATAAACAACACCTCTGCCTCGCCAAACTGCACCCATTCTTGCGCGAAGAAGTCGTCTATACTATCTGTCTTCTTCGTGCTGGCAGGCGGCCAATGGGCGTATGATGGTTTGACGCGAATGACCAGTGCCACGGAGGCACGCTTGTTCATGCCCTCTGGCGAGGGTAAGGGAGGGTATTCGGAGCCCTTGAGGGAGGTGAGTAGCTGTTGAAGGTCTCGGATCCGTTGTTGGGCTTGTGCGAGAGCCATGTCGGGAGATGTGGGTTGTTTGGTGGAGTTGTAGTAGTCTGGGAACCAACTCTTACTCATCGCCTTTACCGAAAGTCCATTCTAAATGTCCGTATGGCAGGACGGCGTGTTTCATACCACAATACTGTCGCGTGTTTGACAGAGATGATCGTCTCACACCTCGGCCTGGAGCGATCCGGCTGGATAGCTCGCGTCAGTAACGAGAAGGTGCGGCCCGCTGCACGGCCAAAGTGAATCCTGCACGTGTTCCAGAACGCTGACATGTGATTGGAGCTTGCTGAGAAGCAGCCATTGGGCGGGGACAGCAAAAAGCATTGCATTCTGCGAGTATTTTACGTTCCACGGAGGCACTGTGTGCCAGCCAGGGACAGAGAAGAGACGATGAGGTTCGGGCGGACGCTGAAGTTGGCGACATACGGCCCATGGAAGGACCAATACATCGACTACGCCAAGCTCAAGAAGCTGCTGCGGGACGACGAGAGTGCTCCATCTTCACCTTCCACCGAGACCAAAGACGAGTGGACCGAAGATGATGAAGGGGCATTCGTGGATGAGCTGGTGAACAAGCAGTTGGAGAAGGTGCATGCCTTCCACAAGCAGACGTACGATAAGCTCAGAGACCGGACGGCAGCATGCGAAGCAAAGCTCGACGATGTTGCTGTGGCCGACGTGAAGCAGGATGGGGAGGCAGAGGCGGACAAGCCACAGACGAACGGCAATGGCAAGCAACCGGTGCCTAGCGAGGGGGACCAGCAGAAGGTTTTGAATGAAGTCCTGAGCGAGCTGGACAAGATCACCAAAGAGATGAGCCAGCTGGAGAAGTACAGTCGCATCAACTACACCGGCTTTCTCAAGGCCGCAAAGAAACATGACCGCAAGCGTGGGACTTCGTACCGTGTCCGGCCTCTGCTGCAAGTGCGACTGGCAGTACTCCCCTTTAACAAGGAGGATTACAGCCCGCTGCTCTACCGGCTGAGTGCCATGTACAGCTTCATTCGGCAACACCTTACCGATGGCTCAAAAGCTGCGGACAGCCGGGGCAAGAGTATGCATGAGACTCATCCTGGCAAGGAGGAGTATGTCTCGCACAAGTTCTGGGTGCATCCGGAGAATTTGCTGGAGGTGAAGACTATGATCCTGCGGCGGTTGCCAGTCCTGGTGTACAACCCGCAGACGAGCAAGATCGCGGAGGGCAATGTGCCAGACCCAAGCATCACCAGCATCTACTTCGACAATCCCAGCTTCAGCCTGTACAGCAACAAGGTCGACGATGGCGAAGCTTCCAGCTTGAGGCTGCGATGGTACGGTCAGCTGGATCAGCGTCCGCCAATCTGGGTCGAAAAGAAGACTGTGCATCACGACGAAGATGGCCTTAGCCGGGAAGCTAGACTGACAACGAAGGAGAAATACGTGCAGCGCTTCGTGAAGGGCGAATATCACATGGAGAAGCAGATCAAGAAGCTGGAAGATCGTGCTGGGCCGGACAGCGAGCCAGTCCAGTCTCTGAAAAGTAGCGTCGACGAGGTTCAGTCATTCATCAAAGAGAACGACCTTCAGCCTGTCCTTCGTGCAAACTACACCCGAACAGCCTTTCAGATTCCAGGCGACGACCGCGTCCGTATCAGCCTCGATACCGACCTCGCCTTCATCCGCGAAGACGCTCTAGACGTCGACCGGCCCTGCCGTGACCCGGAGAGCTGGCATCGGACCGACATTGATAGCCAAAAGCTTTCGTACCCTTTCACATCCATCCGCAAAGGCGAGGTTAGCCGCTTCCCTTTCGCCCTGCTCGAGATTAAACTTCGCAACGACGGTCGCAGCCGCAAGAGTGAATGGATTCAGGATATCATGCACAGTCATCTTGTCAAGGAGGCACCTCGATTCAGCAAATTCGTTCATGGCGTTGCTCAACTCTTCGAGGACTACGTCAACACCTTTCCCTTCTGGCTCTCTGAAATGGAGACCGACATCCGCCGCGACCCTCACCAAGCTTTCGAAGAAGAACAAGCGCGCCGTCGTAAAGAAGCAGAGGACGAGTTCGCTGTCGGCTCATTGCTCCGTAGTCCGGCAATGCACACCACGCATAAAAGTCCTGGTCAACAACCAACTCTAAGCCCCATCGGCTCTCCCACCCGCACCGACACCAATCGCTCCGCAAGTCTCTACGGCTCCCACCCCGCCTCCAGACTCGGCACGTCAGCCGTCACAGCAGACCGCAGCATGCTGCAGAGCGGCCAAGACGACATCGCCGAAGAACCGGACGAAGACGAAACCGGCACCAACACGCACGGCACCGAGCGCCCCATCGACTACGGCACCCTCTCCGGCATCAAATCCCTCCTCCCCACCGTCTCCACCTCAAAGTACGCCGCGCACCGCCGCCGCCAACTCCCTCCCGGCGTCACCAAGCCCGATTTCTGGATCAAAGACCAAGGCGACGTCAAGGTCGAAGGCAAAGTCTGGCTCGCGAATCAGCGGACTTTTATCAAATGGCAGCACGTCTCTGTCCTGCTCGCCTCGTTATCTCTGGGGCTGTACAATGCAGCAGGCGAGAACAACACCGTCGCCCGCGCGTTGGCGATTGTGTACACGCTCGTAGCGATCTTCGCAGGATTGTGGGGATATGGGGTCTATATGTGGCGGGTCAGTCTGATTGAGCGGAGGAGTGGGAAGGATTTCGATGCTGTGGCGGGCCCGGTGGTGGTTTGTTTGGGGTTGATCGTGGCGCTGGTGTTGAATTTTGCGTTCAAGGTAAGTCTTGTCCTGGAGAGACATGGTAGTGAAAGGACTTTGCTGACATGCGGTGATGCAGTATCGGGCTGTGATGGAGGAACGGCGGAATGGGGGAAGTGATGCGGCGATGGGCCTGAATGGTAGCTATCATCAAGAGCTGCTATGAGCTCGAGGCCGTGTGACGGTGTGTATATATCGTAGACGACACTATCATTACTCCTACGTGAAGCCGCCCAAATGGCAGTCAACGTCAGCGAAATAAGAAGGCAGCAGCACCGTCACCTCGCCAGCTCCCTCGCACACCACATCTGTTCGACTGGCAATCATCACGGCCCAGGTTGCTCAGAAGAACACCGCGCCAGCTCATGCACGTGCACGACACATTCGAATCGAAGACACTGATGTTTTCACGGCCCAAAATATCAGGGGGGTGGAGAGAAATAGGAAAAGATGTCACCGCGAAGATGGCAAAGTCATTATCCATCCTATTGGCGTGGCTACATACATTAGCTGCTCTTGCTTGCTCTCCGCCCCCCCGTCGCTGCTGGGATATTGACATCGGCGGCACAGGTAGATATCAGAGTCCATCAATTCTTCGACCACCTACCAGAACGCACAGAGCCCAACCGACTACTGTACGGCGGCACCTCGGTCTCCGACTTCATGGACTCGAAAGCCGTCGTGTCGGTGCCCGAGAGGCCACTCCAGCGCGCCATGGTGCCGGTTCGAGTCGTCGCCTGCGACGACTGACTATAGAACGAAGTTGGCTGCTCGGTCGGTTTCGGGTACGTCGGGTACGCTGGCTCCACGTTATCGATGCCGTAGGATTCTGTCTTGGGCGAGTAGCGAGCGGGCAGCAAGCCCTTTGCTCTGAGGCGATGGGTGCGGATGAGAGGGACTAGGGTGGCGCTGCCGTAGAAGATGTTACAGAAGGTGTTTGGAAAGGAGACGGGCGTCACGACGCAGGTGAAGAGGGCGACGAGCTGAGGGGGTGGGCGTCAGTGAATGTTTCTGATCGTGGGGGAGAGGCTTTGTGGATGAACTGACTCCCAGGCTTATCACGCTGACGGCGAACGCGAACCAGTCGAGCAGCAGTGTAAGGTGCCAGTGGCAGTCGTGCGGTTTGTAGTGGGCGACTGGTCATCGACAACGTCAGCGGGGTTTGGTGGCATCGAGCTCCCGCAGACGACTCACATATGCCAATTGCACCGAGCAACGGCATCATGCCCGAGAGCATGAGTGCTGGGAGGAGCAGATACGCGATATTTGGCTCCCTATAGAATGGAATAGGTGACAGGGTCAGCGAGTGTTGCAGACGAGTGCGGTCTTGCTGGCAGATATGGAACGCTAGATGTTTTTTCCGTCTCGTCGGAAGGAACTCACGGGAGGTACTGAGCAAAATGCGGATCGTCGACACAGACGAGAGTGATTGTCGTGAATGTCATGCAACCAACGCCCATAATGATCTTCGTCAAGTCAGCTTCTGTCTAAGCTATGTAGGGGTACTACGATTAACTTACCTGGCTGATGCGGGCGGCGAGAATGAGTTTCGAGCGCTCGGTGGACATGGTGGTGTTGTTCCTCATCTTGTGCGATGCCGACTCCTCCTACGACTCGTGTGATGAAGGGTTTTGGAGTGCAAGACGATCGAAGCCGTGAGAGCGAAGTGGAAGTCCTATGTACCTTCTTCAACCCCCGCTCGAGTAAACACCCACCCAACCATTGAGCGGGACACATCCTTCTTCGCCTTCCCCAACATAGACACTGGGGCGAGCATCCCGCGCAGCCACATGCACAACGAGCTTCTAGAACGGGATTAGAGAACGCATGTTCAAGGCTCCCAATTTCTCGCTCTCCTTATTGGCGCCCGACCTCCCGCTATGCTTGCATGAAAGAGAGCTTGATCGTCACAATCGCAGTATCGTCGGTTACTACTTTGACACTCCATCTATTGATAGAAACAACCTGCAAGACCGACCATTGGAAAGCCTGTCCGACGGAAAAATATGGCTGCCTGCTATCCTCGATCGTATTGCCGTCACATACTCGCACGTCAAGAGCAGACGGTGGGTCCTGCATCGCGAAGAGGGCAACAATCCTGCATCGCACACCAATACAGGGCGGCTGGCGGGTGTTGCATCGAACACCTCGCCCACCATCAGGAATATGGTTGCCTGTTCATGTCGCTTGCTGTTCGATAACCCAAGACCATCTCGAGTAGGAAGTGAGCCCTGGCGAATGGATGGCTAAAGACCTGCATCAGCTGCTTCTGACGAAGGAGCAATACCAGAAACTCGGTGCGACCGGAAAATGTTGGTAGACTTAAGGTAGTCATGGTCCGCATTCAATGATCTGTTTTGTACCCGAGGAGTAATGCTAAGCGCTATGCAACGAACGCTGTACCAAACCGCTCAAATCTCATCCACGTCCTCCTCCTTCTCGGCCCGCGCTTTGGTCGTGCCATTAGTGTGGAGCGTATCCATCCTGCCCGTAGGCGTCAGCATTTCTCATTTCTACTGACCACGGCAAGGATTGCGTAACATACCTATAGCTCCCACCCACCCCACCATCCTTCGCCGCCATTCCGATAGCCTGCCGTCCGGTCTCCGACTGCTCCAAGAACTCCCGCAGCTTCTCGCGGAAGATCTCAAGCCCTTGCGTGCTGGCGGCGTTGGTCATGCGGAGCATTGGGCCCCAGAGGTTGAGCGTGTAGGTGATGTAGGCGCCGAAGCCGAGGAGGATGAGGAAGATGAAGTAGACGGGGTTGCGGAGCACTGTAATCAACATAATCAGTGAGACGCTCGTTTGCCATCGAGTGTAGGTATAGATCAACTCACCAGCAACAATCTCGTTCCACCCCAGCGCCAACAGCAACCCATAGAAATAAAGCGGCACCTGCGTCACGCCACCAATCGCACTCCGCTTCGCCTCCACATACACCCCATCCGCCGTCTTCTTGAACCTCGTCGACAGATCCTGCCGCTTCGAATCCGTCAGTACCGTCATCTCCTCTTCCAAACTCTTGCCTTCATCCTCGTCCACACCGCCAATAGGCGGCAAGTCCTCCTCGTCCGCCGCCGTCACAGTCTCGGGCGGCGTGCCGATCCAAGCGTCCAGGGGCGGCGGAGCACTAGTCCGCGCGAGCCGGAAGCGTGATAGGAGCGGGATGAGCTCGAGCGTACTTTCGCGCGCTTTCGTGTACAAGCCTTCGATGTCGTCTGTGGGTCGCCATATCCGCGGCACGCCTTCCTCGTCGTAGCGGAATTTGTCTTCGAAGTTCTCGCGGAGCTTGAGAAGCAAATTGCCTTCCATCATCTCCTCATCGATCTTGTCCCGTAGAGCAGCCCAAGACTTCCTGCGTAGCCGCCACAGTCCGACTTCGACTTCATCTGGACTAGCATCAAAGCTGCGTGCGCGATCTGTGAAGCGAGTTTCGGCGTGCGCGACAGTCTCAGTAAAAGCAGACCAGATGCGATCCCAGATGTCCTTCTCTGTCGGCTTCTCGCCCTCCTCGGGTGCGCCTGATCCTGCGCGCCCGGAACCTAGCTTGTTGAATTCCGTGCCGATGCTCTCGCCCAGCCGTGATCGCACCCACCGCTCGGAGCGAGTTGCCAAGCGGCGCATTTCTTCCTTCCGCAGACGTCCGCTGACTTCGTCAATTTCCTTCTGGTACAGATTCAGCTGGGACTTGTAGTCGCTCCAAGGTGTGCCGGAGATCAAGCTCGATTGTGCTTCGGACTCAAAGCGCTTGATGGACTTTTGCTTCTCACTCTGTACAATCTTGTAGAAGTCGTAGTTGCCACCTTTCTTCTGGCCTGCCTTGACAGCAGATGTCACTGCCTCGCTAAAGTCGTTGATGCCGCTCTTGTGCGCAGCGGTGAGTTGTCCTTGGAACAGTGCCTTCAGCCGGCCATCAATCTTGGATTCCAGCTCGGTTTGCTTTCGCTTGAAGACGCCTTTGTGGTATCTGCTTGCTTCCTCTTCGAAGCTCTTGAGCACTGTTTGTCTCGCGCTGGCCATGGTCTTGCCAAGTTCGGCGATGACGATCGGTGATCCAGCAGAGACAGCATTTGACTGGCGCTCCTCGAGCGGCGTAATGGTCTCATCGAAAGGCACCAGAACTTCCTTCGAGATCTCATCACATCTGAACTGCGCCAACAACTCCTGCTGTGTCGGCAAGTCAAGATCCTTGTTGCTGTCGATTTGCTCCCAGACACCCTCAGCATACATCGGGAACCCATCCGCAGGAATCCGTCGATGGTATTGAGGCAAGAAAATCGGATTATCTGCCTCATCAACCAAACCATCTTTTCTCGGGTCCACATAACCCTCCCGGAACCTCGTTCCCAGCCTCGCAACCTCCTGCTCAAACTTCTCCGGCTGCAGAATCTTGTGCGGCAGCGCCACGAACGCAAAGTCAAAGTAGTCGCCGATCTTGCTCTTCTCCAAGCCCGGCGGTTTGCTCAAGCTCGACCATATCCGCTCCAAATCCTGCATGAGCGTGTTCTTCAGGTTCGCGAGCGGTGTGTGTCCAAGATGATCTCGAATGACGAAGAACAGCAGCGACTTGGTGACGTTCTTCGAGTTCTTCAGAAAGAGCTGCAGGTCCACCTCGAACACCGTCTTCAACAGCCCCATGTTGGCGCCCTGGTACAGTCCAACCTGGTGCTCCCAGATATTCACAATGAGCACTTCACTCGTCGCCAACGCAAAGAGCGCACTCTTCCGCTCAAAGTCCTGATCTTCGCCTCGCTCCCGCCCATCGGTACCTTCAACATCCATAACCAAGATATTCTCCGCCATGCCCTTCCCCTGCGCATCCTTCACAGTGGCCTTCTTATTCTTGCTCATCCAAATACCCTTGGTCGTCTGTCTCCGCTCCTGCTCGCTCATGACCCCAAACTCCGTCCCGAACAAATAATTCAACAGCGTGCTCTTCCCCGTACTCTGGCTCCCAAACACAGATATGAGGTGGTAGTTGAACCCAGCCTTCGTGATGCCCTCCGCTTGGAGGTACTGCGGCATGTATCCATTGAAGTGTTTGTCCTCGTCGATGATCTGCACGCCATGTTCGAAGTTCTGGTCCTCGCCGCTGGCGAAATGGCTGTTCACCGACCCGTTCATCGTCAGGACCGAGGGGGCGGTGGGATGTCGAGTCTGGGGTGGAGGACGGGCTCCAGAAGAGCCGTTGGGTTGGAGTGAGGCCATTTCGACGTAATCTCGCTACACCGCACAGAGTATCGATGTAGCGTAGATTGTGGCTGACGGCACGTTGGATCACAGTAACCTGCTGCCGGGCAGGTATTGGCCGGATGGGTTGGCGAAATATCCCGAGTGACGTCCGCCCCACACACGACACGCTTCTTGCCGGCGCTTGCCAACCTTGACGGGGCAGGGAGGTCTCGCTACCAGATGAACTTTGAGAGGTTATCACCACGTCACCTGCGCTGGCAGTGAATGACTGGAGTTGCGGTCTCATGACAGTATATTACAACACAAGGCGAGTAGAGTAGCAAGAGCAACGAAAGTCCCATTCTTACAAACACAACTAAGCACTACTGATTATCCATTACTCCAGCTAACACACCATCGTCTCATCCTTCCCAGTACAAGCATTCTGCAAAGCATTAAACATTCTCATTCCCAGACAGACAAAAAAGAACATCGCCAGAAAATGTGGCTAAGATATGCAAAAGGTGGTGCAAGCTCGTCCAGCAAGGTCGCTGCTTCGCCGACAGGAAAGAGGCCGCCAACGAGTCGATACATCCCATAACATGCTGGGTCCTGATCCAACAGTGAGAGCGTACTAGCATCCAGCTTAGCTTTCAGAGGTAGACAGCAACCAGTTCAAGAGAGTCTCAAGTATGTTGGGCCAGTGTAGATTCAGCCACAGTGACGAGATGATTCCAGGGCGTTGACGCATACTCTTGGTCGATGGGTTGACGATTGGCGGACAGAAGATGGTGGCTGGTGGCCGTAGCGAGCGTGGGGGAGAGTGCGCTGTGGCGACTCAGCGGTATGGACCTCCGAAACCGCCACGGCTCATGCCTCCGTACTGACGCTCGTTGGAGTAGGAGCGAGTGAGCTCGCCGCCGAAGCGATCACTACAGTACCCATTGTTGTGGCGACCGAGAGGTAGACCAGTTCCTGGACCTGGGCGTGTGGCGACAGCCGGGTTGGAGCAGAGCATGGCAACGCGGGAGCCGTACTTGGAGCCCCGGAGGGAGACCATGTGCTTGCGGATGTGGGCAGCGACCATCTCGCGACGCTCCGGGTCGGCGTTGCTGAGGACGTACTGGATGAGGTAGTTCCCGAACTGGTCACCGGCGATGTCGATGAGTGGCATACGTGGGCGCTCGGGGTGAGCTTCGCAGACGACGTCGAGGTAGCGGTCGAGGAATTCCGCCCCACCAATCTTGAGGCACTTCTCCACAACCTTCGAGGCGAACTGATCCATGCTGTACTCCGTGGCGAAGCGAATGACGTGGTCGGTGGCGCGGCTGTGGTCGGGGATGGCGCCGTGCTCGCAGATGTGCTGGATGCACCAGTTGCCGAACTGGCCGTGGGCGACGACGTCGATGCTAGCAAGAACCTCGTTGACACACGGACGCTTGTCTTCTTCGAGACAGTTCTCAAAGATGTTCTGAACCACCAGGCTGCCAGTCTCGCCGAGAGCGACTTCGTGCCACATGCCGCGGAGAGCCTCGTTGACGTACTTCATGATCTGGGGTGGCGAACCGCTCCAGCGTAACTCAAAGAGCTTCTGCCAGACGTGGCAAGCGTAGCGGTGGATGACGGTCTCTGGGATGCGACGCAGGAGCTCATGCACCATGATCGCCTTGTACTCTTCTGGCACGGAGTCGAATGCCTTTTGGACCACGTGGCAGCCGAAAGCATCCATGCTGAGGTTCAGAGTGTTACCGCGGATGGCTTGCGCGATGGCGATGACCTGCTCGCCAGTGCCGTGCTCGAAGCAACGCTGGACGAGGAAGTTGCCGAAGCGGTTGACCATGAGTGGATACGCTTGATCGATGATAGCGCCGACGATCTCGAACTTTTGGTCTGGGGTGGCGACCTTGAGCTTCTGCTGCAGGAAGATGGAGGCTTGCTGGTCGTTGTTGCACACAATCTTGTCGACAATGTACTTCCAGTTGCAGCTCATGTTGCGGTCGAGAAGACGGCGGTAGTTGAGTGGCTCGATGGGGTTGACGTAGGTAGTGCTCTGGCTCGGACCTGCTTGATATGGACCCTGCCTATGCTGTCCGAAGTCTGTGGCGGTCGGCGAGAGCCTCGTGCCGATTGGGGCCTGCTGGTACTGAGCTGGTCCGTTTGGCATACCGAAGGACTGCTGGAATCCGAGAGGAGTGATCGGTGGTGTGAAACCTGCTTGTTGGCCTTGGCGAGCACCAAACCCAGACGCAGGACGTGGGTAGACAGGAGAAGGCCCGGTGCTGTCAAAATTCATCAGCTCACGTGACGACAAGATTTCAGATTGGTGACTTACTGAGGTGTGTACATGTCACTGCCGTTTGGGATACCTGTGTCGATCCACAACTTCCCGACAGCGCCGTTTGGCATATGATGCGGCGGACGATAGGGGCTCGCTCTGCCTTGCATGTTGTTGGCGGCGGCGCCACCGATGTTGAAGGCCAGCTGCTGGGCTGCCGGGAAAGGAGAGCCGATGGCTTCTTCGACAGTGTGCCTGGTGATGCGTGATTGGGTTAGTTCCAGGTCCATCTGCGCCATGCGCTCTTTGGCCAGCTCGAGTTCCTTCTGCAAGCGAAGAACTTCTGCAGCATCTGGACGGCCATCTGAGTTAGCTGCGCTCTCGGTCGGTGGCGTATTGGCGTATGGGTCAGTGGCAGAACATGAAGAGCTGTCGCCGGTGGGCTGGTCGTGGTTCTGCTCGCGCTTGCGAGAGAGTGCTTCCTGCTGTTGGGTGAGCCGAGCCAGAAGCTCGTTGACGGGGCTGTCGTTCTCCTTCGCCATCTGGACGTCTTCGTCAGTGACGTTGAAGAACCTTTGCAGCGATCGAGACAAACCTTTTGGTATTTTTGTGGTGGTGCGAGGCGGTTGGCGAATTTGGATGTGGTCAAAGGCAAGCCGCTTGAGCTACGGTGAAGAATCGGCTGGAATCATGTCAGGTGAAATGAACTGACGTCGCGGATGCAAGTGTGGCGCAGGCCAGATTCACGTACCGTCTCATTTTCACCCATATCCTGATCCTCGTGGATCGTGAATGACGTCGAGAACTGCTTCCTCTTCATTGGCGAGCCGGTGAAGTCCATGCTGTCCTAATTGCTGCGGGATGTCAAGCCAGGGTGGCGTACGATGTCTGCGAGCTGCGCAGGGAGTCAAGACGGAGTGCTCACCGGGAGCCACCGGCGCAGTAAGATGTGGACAAAGATCAGAGCGTGCGATGGTGCTGCTATGGGAGACGAGAGGCTGACGAGAGGCTGTTATGTTGGAAGAGAGGTGAAGAGGAGGAAGAAAGAGATTGGAGTTAGAGTTCCGCCTCACCGCATGTCCCAGCACCACCGCTCCTTCCTCCCGGTACAGGCGGCGTGATGCCCGTTCGATTACGGGGCCTCAAATATGGCAGCCACGCCCATCCCATCGATGAGGCAACAACATCGCGTCGCGTCGCAAGCCCAACAACACTCTGAGAAGCATTGTCATCATGAACGCACCTGCTTTCTCCCTCCTTGGCGACGCCGATGTTGAGGTACCAAATCACAATAATCAGCCTCGGGTATTCCGAAAGACGTGAAGACTACAGAAGACAGCACCTAGACGGCGAGATACGAATTCTGGCTAACCTCCCAGTAGGAGTCAAAGAAGCCCAGCGCGAGCGTTCCCTCAAGCCCCTTCGACAGCATGGTCTCGTCCGCAACAACAAAGTCCGGTTGTCCACTGCCCGTCAGCATCGGCACCAACCTTGCTGCCGTCTTCAACGCTTCCGCATCGATACCCCAAACCACAAGCTCCAAGCGCTGGTCTGGCAAAGGTCGGAGATAGATCGCTGCAAGCCCACGGTGATGTCTCCGGGACCATCCGTAGATGCGTTGGTCGCCGGCGTCCACGGTAACGCCATCGTCGTTCACGAAGATGTGGTGATGGCGAGTGTTTTGATCTGGGAGGTCATCGCTAATCGCGATGCTGAAGATGTTGCCGCTTGCGTTCAGTGCTGCGCTATAATCCTTGGTGATGTCGGTGTCTGCACCGTAGTACTGGCAGAGGTTGCGGGAGATCTGGAGAGCGACGGCGCCAGTGTTGGGCGAGTGATGTACGATGGAAAAAGCGCCTTTGGATCGGAGAATAGCATTCATGCCTCCGATACTGTGGCGAATATTTCCGTCCTGCTCGCGCTCACTCTCAGTCGAAGTATCGAGGCTTCGCCACCCGTCCTGGCTCCGTACGAAGCCCATTCCGCCTTGCGACGTCGTCCTTGCTACGAGCATGCTTTGGCCATCAACCAGCAGATCTTGACAGTCATCGTAGAAGTTTGGGCCAATGCGGAATGAGAGCACATTGATGGTGTCAAAGACACAAGTCAGCGTAAAAGGATCAAACAGGAAGTGGAGCTTAGCCAATTTGCCCGGTACCATCGTGCTGTCGACCTTGACACCATTCTTCGATTCCATGTCACCAGCAACCACCATTGTGAAATCCCGCAGATTGAGAGGCACCTGTGCCTGCCAGACATTCCGCACTTCGAGCTGCTCGTTGAAGAACCGACTCATCGGCTCAGTCGCCATCATACCATCCCAGACGTGGCCCATGCCAGGAACCTCAAAGTACGTACTGTCAGTGCCAGCCTGCTGAATGCGCTGGGCAAGCAGTCGCGAGTGGTATACAGGGACATTGTCATCCAGATTACCATGTTGCTGGAAGACTGGAATGTCCTTCGCGTTCTCCAGTAAAAGCTCGTGGCGATAGCTCAGCAGAGCTGATTGCACCACGGCCTCTCGTCCAGGATCGGAGGTATGCCAAAAGGAGTACGGGACGTAATTCTGGATGGAAGAGTAGCCTGAAAGAGCGGCTGCCGCAATGACCTTGTCTGGGCGGTGGGTGAGTACGTGCCACACCCCCTGTCCGCCATTGGAGTGGCCACTGACGAACCATCGTTCGACGTCAACGCCAGGACCAGTCCACTCGACCGCCTCGATCCATTGCGGTATCGCGGCCACTGCAGCTTCGACGTCCGCAAGGCCCCAGACATGCCAGTCGTCTCCGCTCCACGTTGTGACGCCGCTTGGGATCAGCACCCAAGCGCATAGGTCCGCCAGGTCATCGAAGGTACTGCGCACGACGTCGCTGTCAACATCGACACCTGCGCCATGCAACGCAATCAACACCGGTGCAGACTGGTTTGAGCTTTGATCGCACTGCGCATCCAGTGAAGGCGCCCTCAGTATTCCATAAGACACCACACCTCCGGGACCGAGGTACGTAATTTTGTGCGGCTCGTAGATGCTTTTATGCGCATCTGGCCAAGCCCCCAGATGCATTGTGTGCTCTAACGATGTGCCTTCGTACCGGTACACTAATTCGCCCTCGATACGGCGATCGTAGGTCAAAGTGCAGCCCACGCCAAAAGCGATGGGTCGTGTCTGACCAGGGACGAGCTTGATCGGTCCCTCTGATACAAGGCCGAGCACACATTTGTTGCGCATACCATCAATCCCGATAACGGAAATGTCATGGCCAGCGTCGTTGCGAACCATGACGGAGGCATATCGACCTGTGAGTGGACCGTAATCACCGCCGACAGCGTCTGATATCAGGACGCCTTCGTCAAACTTCGGGTTCGTACGGACTAGTCCACGCGTCGAGCGCTTCAATTTGAGGGAGATTTTGATGTAGGCATCAAGACCACCCATCGCTCGAACATCTCGAACTAATCTGACATCGACACGATGAACGCCTTGGCTCAAGTGCAGGGTGACCGGAGCCGTCCGATAACCATAGAAGTCTCCGCCGAAGTAGTGCTGGTCGTCGATCCAGTACTCCAGAAGTCCGGGCGTGTCCAGGGTGAGCACATCGACGAAGTCATGTTCGACATATATCTCGCCGCGTGCCCATGCCTGCCATTGCAACGCAGCCCAGCCGTATGTGCTGCGGAGCCATTGCCAGTCGATGTCAGGATAGGCTACGTCGAGCTCAGCGCTGGAGGCTTGGTTGCTCTTATAGCTGAGCTTTGCATCATGTTTAGACCATGTGGTTCTTGCGTTGAACACGAGCGAGCTTCTGAATGTTGCATTTGGATCGTATTTCAGGCTATGGAAGCCGCCATAGAACTCAAGGGGGTCGGCTCCCCACGTCACCTCTGTGTAGGATCAGTATGATGGGCATTCCGAATGATCGTTGGAAATACCTCTCGTCCCGATCTCGAAAGGTCCAAGAATCTGCCATTCCTGAGAGAAGGTGAAGTCGGGCGATGGCTGGTCAAGCAATGCCTCCTCCTGGTTGTCGGGTCTTGGCTGTGCTGCGTCGGTCAACCTGATGCTCAACAGCCCGAAGAAGAACCAGAAGAATGCCAATGCGTTGGCCATTATTCACAAGACATGACGTAACCTTAAACATATATCATTAGGACTCTAAAGTCCATGTGGATACTGAATGTTGCAGCCTATGTATCCGTGGTATGACGCTCCTCTGCAGGCAGGGGTTGAACTTGCGGCGGATCCAGGCCATCGGTGACGGATGATTGCCCGACAGCCCTCCTCAATGGCAATGCAACCAAGATATACCACGTAATTGACCATACCTCCTCCTGACATCCTCTTGACCAACGACTTCGCCGCAAAACTTACGAGACCAAGTACCTGTCAAGTGACGCAATTTCGCATTCAAAAGAGCCCGACAGTCCTGGAATAAGGACAGGCAGCCGAATCTTGGTAGCGGCTGTGGCACAAGAACGCCTGAGAAGTCTTCGGAGATACGAGGGCAGCGACAGCACAGAGACATATCGCGATGGCTCAATAATTTACTCGATCCACAGCGCAGAGAATGGTACCGCACGCGACGTCGCCCTACGAACGGCACCCCTCAGACTCGCCAGCAGAACCGACAACCTACAAGTTCCCCGACTTTACGCAGCCAATTGATGAGGAGGCAGTTGAAGACATATCGCGCGGTCCCAGTCCGAAGCCATTACCCAATGGCCTACCGCCTGGACTGCATTCGAGCGAGAGATGGCCGTACAAGAAGCAGTCGGCGCTCAATGGGGCCGCCAGTCGAGCGACAGGCAGCGCGCTGCATGGCAGACAGAGGAGCTTGAGCGAGGCGATACAGATTGTGAGGACGAGGAAGGCGAGCATTAGCGAGAATGCGCATGAAATAGCGGATGCTTTGAAAGCGCCCGTGTCCTACAAGCTTGTGGTAGGTTGGAGAAGCAGAGAAGGTTGAGACCACAGGGAGTAAGTGCTGATGTACGACTAGATGCTATGCGGAATCTGGTTCACGAGTTCCATCATGTCCAACACCTCCTCCAAGGCCATCCTTACAGCGCTACCGAAGCCTGTGACATTGACGGTCATGCAGTTCGCTCTGGTTTCGTTCTGGTGTGTCTTCCTCTCCTGGCTCGCGAAGCACAACGCTTCCGTACGGAACAGCCTGCCAGTGCTCAAGAATGGCATCAGGAAGCCAAGCTGGGACATCATCGTCATCACCCTTCCTTTGACTGCGTTCCAGATTGGAGGCCACATCCTCAATTCCGACGCCATGTCCCGGATACCGGTATCTTTGGTCCACACCATCAAAGGCCTGTCGCCACTGATGACAGTGGTGGCATACCGGGTCTTCTTCGACACCAATTACTCGACCCCGACCTACCTCTCCCTCGTCCCACTTACCTTGGGTGTAGTCATGGCATGCTCGGCAAGCTTCAAGGGCAACTTCTTGGGCCTAACTTACGCCTTCGGAAGTGCGATACTGTTCGTGACACAGAACATCGTTTCCAAGAAGCTCTTCAACGAAGCAGCAAAAGCCGAAGCAGATGGCATGCCGGTCGGGCGCAGGAAGCCGGACAAACTGAACCTACTTTGCTACTCATCAGGACTGGCGCTTCTCGTCACGTTTCCAATCTGGGTCTGGTCAGAAGGCCAGGATCTGGTGCGCGACTACTTACACGACGGCTCCATCGACCTCCGAGACCGACCTGATGCGCTTGACCATGGACGGCTAGCTCTCGAGTTCCTGTTCAACGGCACCTTCCACTTTGGACAGAGCCTGGTTGCATTCGTGCTACTAGGCATGGTCTCACCAGTCACGTACTCAGTCGCGAGCTTAATCAAGCGAGTCGCCGTCATTATCTTCGCTATCGTCTGGTTCGGCAACCCAATGACAAAGATACAAGGTTTCGGGTTCGCACTCACGTTCCTGGGTCTATACCTCTACGACCGGACGTCCGATGCTGCCAAAGCGGACAAACGCGCCAGACAGCACATGGAGTCGTCCCAACCACTGCTACCAGTCAACACCTCATTTAACAAGAAAGACCAAGCACCAAGCTTCACGCAGTCGCCACTCAGCGCAGGCGGCAGAACAGGCAGAGCGAGCCCTTTTGCGGGTGGGTCGAGCTACGCAAATGGTGAGCCCGTAGGAAGTGGACCTGGCAGACCCAACAGCAATGGCAATGGTGCTCCTAATGGAGTACCAATCTCTCTTCCCTTGGGAACGAAGGCTGAAGAGACGTGGGCGCAAGGCGATACTGGTACACCGAAAGTTGTATGATAAGTTACAGCGCCGAGTAATGCAGTACACAGCTTTTTACATTGATATTGCTAATAGGCGTACGCCTTCGTTCAAGTACATCCAAACATTCAAATATTTTTCGAGGTCATGCCGCCCCGGCCATTGCGCCATTCGCACCGATGGACAAACACGCCTGCATTCCGCAAGCAGGGTAGAGTTCGATAGGTTCATAGTCTCCTGGTTTCTCAACGAAGTCGAGATCGATGTCGTCGTCCGTCAGATCTACGCCTTTGCGACCTTTCTCCGCGCCTTGACTGTCGCATCATACAACACATCCTTGAAGGCGAACAAGAAGGCAGCCGTGATGACGGACTGCGTGACCTTAGGTCCGATTCCTGGAGGGCTTGTCAGCAACGCTCGCACTGGTGTTCCAGCCAGCTATACACACCTCCGTAGAGCCCACCAACACCCTCCTCCTTGACGATCCGTCGCAAGCTAGCGATCATACCCTCCTGCTTGCCCGACGCGACGTGCGCGCGCGACTTCACCGTAATATACGGGTACGTGATCGACGTTGCGACCAACTTCCCAAGCGCGCCCAGCAGGAAGCTGTCTGTCGCGCCGACCTTCCGGCGCTTCTCAAGCATTTGCTTCAGACGCTCATAGACGGTATATTGCAGGATAGGGTTCATGACGAGAACCAAAGCTGGCAGGACACCAGCGAACAATCGCATGAAGCCATCTTCTTTGATTATCTTCATCAAAGTGCCAACGGTGCTCGGCGCGGACTCCTTCTGCGACTTCTCGCCCTCTGTGGTGGGCAGACCACTCTCTTGAGACTGCGACTGGCGTGCAGTCATCCGGGTGTTGACGACCCAGATTGGGTTCGTCAGGAACACTGTCGCGGACCCGGCCAAGGCACCTGCTGCCATGTTCTCGACCGTGCTCAGGTAGGTCTTCTTGGTCGATCGCTGGAAGAAGGCCTTGCTGAACTCGTACCCTGCGACACATGGTTAGACCTGTCCAACATTCGTGCCCTCAATGTGTTGGTGCCGTACAGTAGTAATACACAAAGTTCGTGACCGTTATGCCGAACAATGCACTCTCCATGCCGGCATAGAGTCCCGCAATGCCCTCGCGGTCGAGGATACGCTTCGCCGCAGCGACCGTCCCGGTATGTGCCTTCTTCTTCTCGACTTGCGCTCGGGTGGATAAGGTGATGAGAGGGTATCTGCCATCTTTAGCCCAGCACATCTGTTGTATCTGCGCAAGTATCGACGAACGTGAGCGCCATTGACAGCAGCCCTCCCCCCGCCCCGGCCATTGCGTGCGCCATGTTGTCGCTCGACTGCTCGACGGCCTGGTTCGCTTTGGCCTGGATCTCTGACTTGTCCGACATATTGGCGGTGTTTCTTTCGGTCAACTTGAAGTAAGGAATGGAATGTAGGAGGTCAAAGGAGAGTCAGGATTACTATACCATCTCGGTCAATCCCGGGAGTTGAGACAGAGTGTCGTCTGGTCGTCTGCCGCTGCGCCGAGGTAAAGACACGTGAATACAGTCTAAGCTCGAAGAGGGGAAAGAGAGCGGGCAGCAAGTCACGTGGACTTCCAGCACAGACCTCCTCAGCCTTCCGCATCTCATCCGCCTGATCGTCGTCCCCTTTTGCTTGCTAATTTCCAGCTTCTGTTCCTACCATTTCGAGCCATTTAACAATCTATATCAATCGCCTTCTTCTGCTGTCGAATGCAATCGAATGGTGCATAGCCCGATCATGGATCACATATAACGACATAACAGTCTTCGGTGTACGAAGGGAAGCAGCCTCGCCAGACCTAGGAGGTAGTTCCACCATCCAATGTATCGACATTACCAACCAGGGAATGCGGACGAACAGCAATATCAAATCGACGCCAATAGCCAGCCATTCGTCTATTCTTCTTTTCAGCATCCCACGAACAGCATTGAGCCTCAGTTACAGCAAACTCAGCATCTCTCGCCTCCACGAAGAACACCTGGTCATTCTAGGCATACGTCGAACGAATCGAACATCGCACCAGGACACCACAGCAGGTCATTGTCGCCTCAAGTCAGGAATTCAACACCTTCGAGGAACGCTTCTTTCACACCGACTGATCGAACGCTGCCATCAAGACATGTCACGGCAGACAGCATCGTCGAGGCTTACGTTGCGTTCATTCTCTACTGCAACCCAAACTTCTCGTTGGATGTTGATACGACAACGCTGCGAACCAACTTCCAGAGTCCGCCGAAGAGCGACAACAAGGACTTTGAGATCTACCGACTCTTCGAGCTACTCCGGAAGTTCGATGCGAAGGAGATCAAGACGTGGGGACAACTTGCTCTCGATCTGGGAGTAGAAGCACCTGATGTGTCAAAGGGCCAATCTGTTCAGAAGGTCCAGCAGTACAGCGTTCGCCTCAAACGATGGATGCGGGCTATGCACGTTGACGCATTCTTCGAATATCTGCTCGGGAAGAACCACGCTTACTACCAGGAAGTACCACACCCTAACGATCCATATCCTCCCACTGGGCGTGACGGTGTGCTTCCGGAAGAGGACCTTGCGATCAGAGCCTTAGATCCATCATTCAGACCCAAGCGTGGAAGAAGGCGCAATTCCGAAACAGAGCAGGACGAAGATACACAAGCCGGAGCCCAGAACACTCAGGCCAACCAGCCACAGTCCGCATATCCAGCTTCCGCGTATCCAAGCGCAAATATGTCGTTCAACTCATCTGACCCATGGGCTAATGCTTCGGCCATGCAGCAGCACAACTTTGGGTTTATGGACGGGCCGCAATCGGCAATCGTGGCAGCTGTGCCTTCTCATATGCGGTGGCAGAACCCCTCTACTCCGTATCCCATGACTGCGCATCCCGGGTCGATGACCACCAACATTGATGCGGCCTTGAGCAACGAGCCTAAGTCGGCCATCACACCGTCTGCTCGAAAGCGGAGGAAACATGGACCTGCGGTGTCGAGCGCTTGGCCTTCTGGGAATGCGCCTGGTGCGAAGCCTCGAGGTGAGCCAAGTACAATTTAGCTGTCTATCAATGTTAGCTCACACTCATCATTCACATAGGTCGTCCACCTGCAAGTAGGAATGTACAGGATGGGCCGTTCAGCACCTTTCCTGCTGATCCATCTAATGACAAGTCCAACCCGACATTCTCGGTATCGGTGCCATCAGCGAGCAAGAATGATGCGAATCAAGAACCAACCATCGTACAACAACCTCCAGCGGCCCAACAACGGCAGTCGGAAGGAGGTCGACCAGGAAGGCTATCACTGCAAGTGCCGAAACACTCCGGTGGTCCTGTGCGACTAGCGACACCGCCTCGGGTCATGGTTACCAACGAAACCAGCGAGAGCGAGCATTCGGCGATGGAGAATGCGGCAAATTCTCGGCAGCGCAACCAAAAGGCCATAATGCCAGCAGAGGCTGACGTCCCGGGCTTCGCATTCGAAGCGCTCAAGCGTGTAGTGGCCAGTGATCTCTTGCGAGCTGAGTTGCTTGGACGTCAGCACCGACTCAATGGAGAAGAAGCAAAGCGCCTCGCAGATGCAGTGCTTCAACGGCTCAATGTCCCAAGAGCAGATAGCGACAGCCAGCAGGATAATCTCGCTCGCCTCACAGCAGCCTCCTGGCTGGGCGTGGGAGAACAACTGAACGTGCCGCTGGGTCCTGCGACGGGAACAAGCAAGCGACTGACCGTCACACGGTTCCGAGTCGATGCCGACGGTTACGAAGAAGTCGTATCCGCCTACGACATGGACACTACCGCGTCAAGAGAAGTCTTTGATTTGTCCTGGTCAGTCACCATGGGCACTTGCAACGGTCTCTTCGAACTCAAAGGGCTGTCACTGGCAGATCCTCCGCCGAAGGCAACCGATGTGCACGATAGATTGTTGGACAGTTGGATCGAGACAGCGCGGCGAGCTGGGATTGATGAGGATTACGTACGCAGCGGACAGGACAAGTATGCTGCTGAAGCTGGTTCTATCCGCTCTATACGCGACCCGGCTGGAGAAAACGTCGATTGGAGGGCGAAGTACAAGATTTTGGAGTTCGGTGCTCGAATGGCCAAGGGCGAGTTCGCGCGGTATCGTGAGCGGTTGGTTGAGAAGGTGCTGGATACTATTATCTAATATTCTGAGCTGCATACCCGATGAGAAGTAGATGAACTTATGACTTAGTATACCATCCAAGCACTGTTATACCGCGTTGTGACGTTAATGGCTAGATAGAGTGAATATGGTGAATAGTTAACAACCTGGATGTTGGTGACATCAGCTCGGAGCTCGCATTTCGGCGTCGCATCACTGCGAGATGTTCTCTGGAATCACAAGGTCGTCCGCGGCCGCCCCGGATTGAACGAGATCCAGATGTTAGCCAGGGATAGCTGCCAGTCTTTAAGAGAGTCGAGTTCCCAGGTCTGGCACTGACAATCCAATACACCATGGCTTCCAGCCCGCTACTGTTGCTTCCACTGGAACTTCGGAATTCAATATACGAATACGTCCTACTCCATCCACCAGAACCGGACGATGACATCGAACAATCGACCAGCGAACGAAGACCAAAACGTATAACCACCAGGAACGACCGCTGGCAATGGACCATGCAATACACCTCCTCTCCACCAACAGCAAACTACTACAACATCCTGCGAGTCAACCGCCAACTTCACCACGAGATCAAAGACTTCCTCCGCCTCCAACAAGCACTCCACGGCCCCCAACCCGCGCACATCACCCTCCTCATCGACAACCCCAACATCACACCCTCGCACATCTCCCTCCCGCAAACCCCAACCAACACCACCACCCTCGACCTCCTGGTCAAAGTAGCGCAAATGTACCACCCGGTCTACATCTCCCGCCCGCCCCACAATACCCTCCTCCTCGCCATCTTCGAGGTCCTCAAAACCTACTTCCACCGCGGTCCCCACCTCGCACGGCCCACTCCCTTGTCTCAGAAACTGCATTTGGAAAAAGTCCGCATCACGATCGCGCCACCGCAGCCGCTGGAGGAGATGACGTACGTCTATGGCTTTCCGCAGGGGCAGCTGGAGACGCTGTTTGAGGACTTTGATTGGTATTTGAAGAAGTTTGCGAGGTCGGGGTTGGCGTGGGGAGATGTGGAGGGGATTGAGTATCGTTTGATGGCAAAGGAGTGGAGGAGCGTGGGTGTGAGGAGTGATGTGTGGGATGAGGGTGATTATGTGTTCTTCAAGGATGGGGGATATCGGTGGAGTGATGGTATGACTGGGCCGTGGGAGAGTGAAGGATTGAGGTTGACGGTGTAGTGACATGAATAGGTACTTATGGGGTATCTAGCTGATCTAAATCCAAATGGCGAACATGTCGTGGTGATCAGATGTCATCTTTGCTGCTACGGCAAGTCAGTAACATTACTTCCATGTCAGGGAGAAGAGGATCGTTCACTCACCATACTACTGCCCGGCCCAACTAGAGCCCGCTGCTTCCCAATCCAGCTCTTCGGCTCCTGTCTCCGCCTCCCAAGCGAGACGCCATTGTTCTGCAGCCTGGACGAAAGATCATGCCATGCTGTAGCCATCAAATGGTTCTCCCGCTGCAGCGATGCCAGATCCTGAGCAGGCGCTGGTGTGGCAGCCTCGCTCTTCCGCCGTGAAGCAGCCTCCAACTCCTTTCGCAAGGACGCAATAGTGTTTTCGTGGTCCCGTAGCTGTTGGCCGCTCTTCTGACGGCCATCGTTGTCCTCCTCAACGCCTCTCTGCTTCTCCTCGAACGCCGCATTTCGCTCGGAAGCCTGCTTCAACCGGGCGTCTGATGCTTCCAATTGCTGCTGAAGAAGAGCCAGCTTCTCCGTCAAATGCTTACTCTCGTCGTTCCTTGGCGTCACCACCTTCAATTCGGGATCTGGAGTGGCTATCTGAGCTTTCTCCAGCGGTGTCTCATCATCTCGCGCAGCCGTCGTATCGTCCAGATCGGAATCACGTAACTTCACCCTCAATTCCTCCATAGCCTCATGATCAGCTTCATGCCGCTCCCTCGCTTCAATAAGCTTCTGCTTCAATATCCTTGCATCGTGCTCTGCATGCTTTCGTGTGGTCGTCAACTCATTGATCTGATACTCTTGATTCCTGATCAAGCCCATCTTCTCAATAATCTCCTTCTCCAGTCGAGCCTGTTTCTGGTTGAGCTTGTCGATCTCTTCAAGCTTGTCGTTCGTCTGCTTCAGCTCCTCGCGCAGCGTGGCGTTCTGCTTCTCCTGTTCTTGCAGCGTCTGGATCTTCTTCTTAAGATTCTCGTTCGCTTTGACCTTCTGGTTCAGGTCTTCGTTGTCGGCTTTGAGCATCTGTAGCTCGTCCCGGAGTCGTTGGCTGGAGTCGCCTTCATCTTTCTGCCGTTGTAGTTGGCGTTCGTATTTATCCATGGCACTTCTGGAGTTCTGCAACTGGCCTTCGAGGTCATCGATATAAGCTTTATCACTGTCCGCCTGCCGTTGCAGCTTCTTGAATGTATCATCGCTGCCAGCCTTCCGTCCCTTTGTCTCAATCTCCGTTCGATACGCGTCAAAAGCTTCTTGAAGCCGCTCCTTATCCTGCCGCAGTTCCTGAAATTGCTGCTGCGCACTGGCCTGACTAGCCTGCAGCTTGTCAATTGTAGCCTGAGCCTGCAAGAGCTCCTCCTCCCGCTCCAGCAAAGGATCCTGATACATCGACTTCTCCTTGTTCGTCCCGTTCGGCTTGACAGGCTCTTCATGCTGCTCCACCTCCGACTGATACGCAGATTCATCCCTGCTGACCGGCTCCGACTCCTCGTAATCCGTCTCCTCCATATTCCTCAGCTCGTTCGCAACCACCATAGCTTTCTCCCTCCCCAGCCCCATCAATCTCCTCGCCATCCTCTCATTCGACTCCGGCGAAGCCATCGCAGCGCGAATGATCATCATAATGAGCTTCTCCAGATCCGGACCCGACTCCTCCGCCGCAACTGCCTTCAAATCTGGCGTCGACTCTGTAGCCAGCTGCTCCTGCCCGTTGCACACGTCCCGGTAGTACATTGCCACCTGCCGCTCAATGTGCTTCAGGTTCTGCCATTTTCGAGTCCAGTCGCTGGCGGCGTATACGTTCGGTTCTGGTAGGCTTCCGGCGAAGTAGTCGGCGTCGATCTCGCTGAGGAGACCCCAGAGTGCCAGGCCATCGCTAAGGTCTACCAGACGGCCTACTTTGCCCACTCCGTCGAACGATCGGACCCATTGGAGGAGGCATGCGCCGAGCGAGTCGTCCTCTGCTGTTTCCATCTTTCAATCTCTCAAGCTTTGGAGGTGTGTGTGGTCCTGTGTCGCTGCCGCCTTCTAGATCCCAATTCTCAAGCATCGTTGCACAGAACCTTCAACAGCATTGCATTGTATCGCTCCAATCCACGTCGTGCTGCAGTGCTCTGTACGTGTACAACCAGATCGAGGTACCGCGATCAGCCACGCGAGCCAGGGTTTGGGGTTCGGGAAGATCCGGGAAACCTTGTTCCGACCTGAGCCGAGGACAACTCCTGCAAATACTCACGAGATTCCATACATCTATCAAGCAAGACACCATTCTTACCCATGTGATGACCGTCGATGCTACTGTTGTCCCGAACAACGCTTTCACACCACCTCGAGGACGGTCCATATTAAACATATCGAGGTTGAGACTCATCTTGATCGCGTTTGCTCACGCAGCCTGCCGTGCGCAAACACAATGCAACCATTTGAAATACCATCCCATTGTCTCGGCAGCCAGCATTAGGCTCAAGAGGTAAAGTCGACGTCTGTGTTCATTCACCAAATAAAGTATCACCTCTCTCTGTCGAATACATTACGGTTCTAAATCTAAGCTACACATCTCCCTTCATCAATCATCAGCTATGCTTACACCCCAGCCCAGTGTGTATGCCGCTATGCCATGCTGTCCCAATGCCCCAGGATTACTCTATATGCGTAACGTCCCTGCCAAAGCTGCCATATGTTCCAGAACGCCTCGCTGCCCTCCCTCAACGCCTATGATACTCCCCCATTCCCCCCACAGGCGGCAGCGTAAACCTGGACCCCGAAGCCATCGCCGGCCCTCCCATCACCTCTCCCACCGGCGGCAGGAAACCTCTATTCGGCCCAGCCGTGAAGCCCGCCGCCGGCACCGCCCTCGCGCTGTCCGCCCTCCGCCTCATTGGGCTCGGCCCAATCGGAGAAACGCTGGAGCTGTTCCTCGCCGCAGTCAATCGCGTCTGCATCATCGGTGACACCGTCTGCGTGCGCGGCATGGACGACATCTGCGGTAAGCTGTGCTTATGCGTGTGCGTGTAGGCACTTCCACCCGCGCCTAAGGCTGCGGGCGGAGAAATGCTGAGGCCGCGCTCGGGTTGCATGTTAGGTAGTGATGATTGGTGGAGTTGAGATTGTTGTTGAGGCTGGCCAGCGAGGTGGAAAACCGACACGTTGGCGCGACGCGCCATATCTTCCTCGCCGAGCTGCCAGTGCATGGCCTCCGCGGCGCGCCAGGGGAGTTGCATTTCCTTTGAGATTTTCTCCCACATGTCTTTCTTGAACCTGGCAAAACACATATCAGCAACGCATTTTCGTAATGATGAATGAGAATGGAGAAAGACGCGTCAAACATACCGTTCATACAACCTCGCCAACTTATTCTTCTTCTCATCATCCCACTCCGTCCTTCTCTCAAGATAATTCTGAAACCTCAAACGACAGCTAATCGCGCTCCGCCCGGGTAGATGCTTGGAGATGTCCTCCCACTTCATGCCGTTGCCGCGGAGCTCGATGATCGACGCGTCTTCATCCGGCGTCCACTTCGATTGCTTCTTCTTCGCAGGTGATTCGGCGGGGTGGGGAGGCGCGAGACGCTTGTTGTTGATTCCGGGGCCGTGGGGCGCTGGGAGCGGCGGGCCGTACCTGGGGTCCTGTTGCATGGAGAGCGGGTGGTAGCGGGGGTAGGCGTGTATGGGCGGGTATTGATTGTGGTTGAGGGGAGGCGGGTATGGTTGCACAGGGTATTGCGCCGTCTGCATTGGATGAGGCGGTGGAGGCAGTTGTTGCGGTACCTGCTCGATCGACGGCCGTGGTAATGGTGCGGGTGTCGATGCCGCCGTGAAGCTTCGAACGGAGGCGGTGGTGCCATCTCTCGCTCTGCTGCTGCACGATCCTCTGGAGCTCGTGCTGGCATTTCCTGGCGATCTTGGAGGAGGCGTCTGCTGGACGAGAGAGTTGATGTCCACTTTTGCGGTTGCTTCTGGCTAACGGCCAGGACGTGGAACGGTGATAAAGTTGGAGAGAAGCAATGTCGGGACGTTTGTTGATCGGAGGGCTGTCGTTGAATGCTTGGAAGAACCGGTGAAGGTTTGGTTGGTCGCAGTTTCGTTCAGAAGAGCGTCGTCAGATCGTTCAGAGTGTACCAGAGACTCGTTGGAGTTGTTGTTCGTTCGTTAATCGATTGAAGCGCGTCTGTCCAACTACTTCGCGTCGTCGAGAGTCCAGATCATGGCAATCGTAAAGTCGGTCAGTGAGTAGCCCCGTGGCAGTTAGGTACTGTGCGACGCCAGCACAGTGTTGTACTCTCCGAGTCACGACATGCGTCAAAGCGGTCTATCTTAGGGCACCGCAGGCGTTCGTGGATGATCCTGTTCGTTGAAACTTGGGTCAGGTCGAACTCTATGCATAAGCCACGATGTGCCTTGCCGATGACACGACTGCCGGAAGGTAAGTTTCAAGAGCGGGCGAGCAGAACGGGAACTGGTGTAACGAATCTCCTTGACGTAACACGACCGGAGAGAATGATGAGATCTAGTAGCAACGGGAAGAGTAGGGACGCAAGAGGACCCAACGACGCCAGGCGCGGCTGTTCCCTAAGCATGCGCAGCAAAGAGATGCAAGCAATAGCAGTAGGAGAGTGGCTCCCGAATAGTTGGATTGATTGACAGCCAATGACAGGTGGAGCAAGGGATATGTGGGATGAAACTCGGGTCAACCTATCGTAGAGAGTAGGCACCACCATTCTCATTCGAGGGAGACTCATCACGACTCGGACTCGGCAGGCAGACCCTCGATGCAGCCAGCCAGGGCGAACTGGTGAGGTGGCTACAGGCTGTGCTGTGCTGGCCTCGCCACCATTGTTCGAGAGCCACCACCCTGGTCCATGCCTTTGATGTTATACGCCATTACATTATCGGGAAGCTTGGCCCAACAAGATGCCTGAGAACTGGGGTGGTCGATGTTTCCAACACACTTGGCAGAACGATCTCAGGGATATGGGTGGCAGATCCATACCCATGTATAGTGTTCTCTGACGTCGATATGGAACCAACAGGCCTCACTGATGGAAGAAGGTTTGGCTACTCGGGCATCATTCATCTTGGTTTAGATGCCCAAGTCCAGTCCACTTATTTCCCGCGGGGTATGTGCAGAGCTAAAGGGATCGAATGCTTGAGTTGGAGCACTCAGCATTCGTCGTTGAAACGGCGGTGAAGGCTTCATTTCGATTGGTCCAGGTGGACGACCACCTATGGTAGGGCTGTGCCGAATGATGACCTGGCGAGAACTGTGATCTGCATGAGTGGGTGTCCTTATTGCCGAGCCGAACGCATCCATCTCATCTCTCAGATACTGGGTGATGATGCAGTCGGGTGTGTTGTTTGAGACAAATGAAGCCAGGGGGATGAGACAGCATGACAGCGTGCTGCGCTCGTGGCAGCGTGCGCATTCCAATGTCACATTGCCTCGGAATGAACGACCAGGCGGTGAGGTGCCACTTGGTCGGTGCCGGTCGCGAGTCCCGACTTCAGGTGCCGCATTGACGTCGTCCGAACCGGTGACACCTCACGAGTCGCTGTAGGCTCGATCCTGGAAGGCCAGTCTCTACCCTTTAGCCAGGTGTATGGACGTCAGTCTGTCGGTCTGGGCTGGCTGAGCCACACCAACAGGACAGACCGCGAGTGTGCTGCTCATGTGATCCATAATTCAGCTTCAAGCTTCGTGATCAGCAAATGGCATGTAGTGGTGCTGACGGCGGTGAATCGCTGGCGGGTAGGGACAATGCATTGTCAGGGATACGTGCTTCACGCAAGTCATTAGATGGATGGACTAGCGGCAAAGGAAAGACAAAGCACAGATCGCCCGTTCGATCAATGTGGATCGTGAGCTCGAACCTTGTTCACCACGACATCGTGTCCCAGTCTGGACTCGTCTGTCGGTTGCCGTCTGCAGGGCCAGAAATGACAAGTCCATCATGCCAGCTGGAGTGTCCGCTTGACAGCGAAGGACTCGATGACAGGCGTCCACGTAGGAGCTTCGAGGTTGTGGTGTGGGGTCGGGTAGGGTGCAGTAGGTGCTTGAGGATGTGCGTCTAGAGTTGCGGGACGAGACGCCAAAAAAACGCCGAACACGTTCCTCATCGATCTCCCCAGGACTCCCCTGCACGTCGCGCCTCACGGAGAGCAATGCTGTTCTGGCGGTGAAGCCCGCTGTTTCGTGTCGTCCAGCTTCGCCCTGCACCGTGACGTGCCCGACTGCGTACCCATTCCCAGTTTGACGCGGCAGCGAGGTTGTCCCCAGCTCGAGTCGTCGACTTCGGAGGCCGCGCTGGAAGCAGGAAGGGCCGTTGTTGGAAGGAGATGACTTCGAGACGCTGGTGCTGCAGTCTGTTTTTAGCCTGACGAACCGCGGCGCCGAACGCCGACGCTGCAACTCCATTCGTCGAAAGAGGCAACCACATCACCTCTTCACTTGCTTCACCCGCAGGACAATTCGAGCACGTGAGGCACAGCATTTATATCGCGGATATTGCCTTGATTGGCAGTTCACAAGAACAGCAGACTGAAGATCACGTGTCCGTCTGGAGATCGAGCGCGTAGACCGACCAAGAAGAAGAAAAGAATCTCGAAACAGCCATATTCATCATGGCGACATCAGCAGATATCCCCCTGCTCATCACATCGGAGAACGCGTCCTCCGAAAGACGTATATCGCCATCGTGGAGCGTAGCACACCTCAAAGGACGTCTCGAACCCATCACAGGCATACCGGCCACCTGCCAACGGATCAGCTTGAAGGTCGGGTCTCAGACGCCTCAGAATATTGAAGCAGTCGACGAGGAGGCGACACAACTCGCGCAATGGCCTCTGCAGGCTTATGCTGAGCTCACTGTAGGTATTAATGTCTTTTCTTCTTCTCTGTTCTTGCGCGCATCATCTTCAATCTGCCATTTCATCATCGCCACAAATCTTAAACAGGCCATTGAATCCTCAAGCCCTTCAAGCACCTATGGACTATACGGAGGGCTACTACAACCTCCACAACTGGCGCCATCTCACTCTCTCAATCTTGCACAAAACAAGTCTCCATCTTCGCCACCAAACTAACCCCCTCCAACAGATCTCCGACACCCGCCCCCCCTCCCACCGCACAAACTACACCGACCCCTCCTCGGTCCCCAAATATACCATGCCCACCCCGACCTACGAATCCCTCCCTAACTCCGTCCTCGCCTACAAAAAAGCCAACCAAGTCGGCCGTTTCGACCCTGCCGCCCCTTCTCTCGAACAACAAAAAATCGCCAATACCTTCCGTGAAGTATCCGAACGGCACATCACCCCCGGAAAGCGGTGTAAATTACTTCCCGAGGAGGATTCGAGGAGGGGCACGGTGAGGTTCGTCGGTGAGGTGGAGGAGATCCCGGGGGTTGGGGCGTGGGTGGGTGTGGAGCTTGATGAGCCGACGGGGAAGAATGATGGGTCTGTGAAGGGGAGGCGGTTGTTTGAGTGTAAGGCTAATTATGGGGTCTTGGTGCGGGCGGAGAGGGTGGAGGTGGGGGAGTTTGGGGTGTTGGATGAGTTGGCTGATGAGGGAGACGAAGAGTTCTAAAGTCATGCATGGTCTTCGTGAGCGCGTGGAGGAGATGTAGATCGTAGAGTGTTCTTGCAACACGTATACCAATCTACGTACTGACTGCGCGACTAAAACAAACCAAACAGCGGGTATCTGAACATCCTGAACCCATTTGCTCACGTTCCTGTCCCTGCCAATAACCCAGAAAAGCGCGTCCAGACCTGACATTCAAGCATCAAGTTCGTCCATCCCAAACCATCATCCAGAACAGCTTCCTAAACCAGACAATTCCTCGCCAACAGTCTTTCAAAACCACACAGCTTCTTGCCAACGTGAAGCACTTCGAACCCAGACAACATAAGGCAATCCAATCACTTCCCCATCTCAACAACTTCGCACCCCTGCGCAAAGAAAATCCGCGCCGTCTTCGTCGTGCTCTCGTTGAGGATGGAGTAGTTGTTACCTGAACAAATCACAGCACGTCAGTGACAAGTCCATTGATCAAGAAGTATAAACAGACGGCACATAAACAAAAGCAAGTCCGGTGATCCTGCACCACGAGAACAACCCCGGTCTCAACCGAGTTCCGGGCTGCTGGGTCCGTGTGTAACGTTGCGAACCCGTTCGGGAGGGTTGATCGAGTAACAAGTTCGGTGACACAGAACCCCTCACACACAGATCCCGAACCAGATCCCCAATCCCGGCTGAACTGTCAGCTGTCGAAACGAAAGCGCCAGTGCGGTGCCACGTTGTCCAGCAGGCGCTCGTGCGGTGTCACGGCGGCTAGTGAACGCGGATGCTGTGTCAGGGGGGACGGTGGAGATGGTTAATTCGACGGCTGGTCGCACACCATTGTTGTGGTGTTGGCTGGGTTGGGTCCGAAGTGCTCGTACTGGAGGTGAGGGCTCGCTTTTGGTGGGAGGAGCGGTGAGTTGACTGCTGTTTCGTCCAGGCTGTCGAATGAGCATCTTTTGCGAGCGAGCCCATATCCGCGGATAGCCGAACTGGTGGTGATCGCGAGGAGGCCAAGAGCAGAATACGAGCGCGCAAACCAAAACAAACAAAGCAGAAAGAGAAAGAAGATGGAACTCACCCCTCGGAACAACCCACACCCCACCCTTAGCAATCGCAAACTGCGTCACCTCTCCCGCCTCGTCCCCTCCCCTCCCAGCCGGATACACCTCCACCATGACCTTCCCCTCATGCACAAAGAAGCACATCTGCATCTTCCGGCAATTCTTCGCGCGCTTCTCGCCGCCAGGCGGGAGCTCGACGAGTCCGGAGCCGAAGAAGGGGAGGGTCATGATTTTGGCGTACTTGAAGGTCGTGTTGGCGACGTCTTTGGCTACGATGGAGTTGGAGGCGAAGGCGAGGTCTGTGATTCCGTGTTAGCATAGTGAGCGGTAGACATGAGGTAGAGACGAGAAGCATACCTTCGCGAACCAGATCCTCAGGGTCACCCTGCTGCTTCTCCGGATCCCAGTTCGCCACATCCCCAGCAATGACACCAACCTCTTCCTCCCACTCATCAGGGTGTGTGCTCTCCGCATCGCTCTCCTCGTCAATGTCGTTCAGATCATTACCGCCCTTGTTCTTCTTCTTGGTCTTCTTCTTGACTGGCTTCCGGCGCTTCGGCGGGGAGACAATATCTGCCCTGACGATGCCCGCGGTCTCGCCGTTCTTGTAGAGGCGCATCTCGTTGGCCCAGTATTTGAGCGGTTGCACCAGGTTGCGACCATAGCGAGAAGTACGTTCGCCTGCGTCTTCGTACGGGGTGGCGGCGCGAAGGTGTACGTTGCTGATGGGGCCCACGCTGAGGCTGCGGCTGCCTTCACGACGGTCGCGGAGTTTGGACGGCGAGTCGTTGAGTTTCACTTGCTCGCTTTGACCTCGCATAGCTCGATTGGGGTCGCGCTCTTTTGGTGCCTTTGATTTCTTTCCGTTGCCTTTCTGTTTGGCTGGCGCGGGCTCCTCGGGCTCCTCTGCGGGCACGCTCGCGTCTTCTTCCACAACATACTCGTCGCCATGCGCGATCACTGATGGGTCAACAGCCTCATCTCCCTCATCGTGGTGCACAATGACCTTGTTGAGAGACGGTCTTCCTCCGCGCTGTTTCTTCTGCGCGCGTCCAGTTTGGCTGATCTGCGATTGAGATATGCTTGCATCCTCAAGTTGGCTGTTCTCCAGCGTCGATCGATCTCGTTTCCTACTCGATACCATCGGTGCGACTGGAGGTGTGTGCTGGATCTGGCTGCTGTTCACAGAGCTGCCAGACTTTCGTGGACGTCCTGACTTCCTCTTCTGTGGGACTTCCTGAACTTCTTGCTCTTCCTCCTCTTCTTCGGCAGCGCCAGTTTGCGCCTCTTCTTCATCATGCTGAGGCACGGCATCGTGAGAGTCCTCATCATCGTCCAAGATCAGCGGTCCATCATCCACGGGTAGCTCCGCGCCTTCCGCTTCCTGCTCGTCCTCCTCAGCGATCGTCACTTCAGCTGGCGTAGCTTTCGAAGTCGCCGGCGAAGCAAAAGGGTTCGACTTTCCAACACCAAGCGACCTCCGCAAGACATGTCTCGGCTTGAACGGACTCGGGCTCTCAATACTCTGCTTGACCCCGCCCTCTCCAAAGTCCAGCACTCGATTCGGACGCAGCTGCGAGCGCACACGTGCAGGTGTGCCTTCCTCCTCAGGTGTATTCATGCGCTGCTGGGCAGGTCTTCCCGTAGAGGCGCGTTTCGGCGATCCGATATTCGTGTGCTTCGGCGTCGATGCGCGCGCAGGCGGAAGTCGCGGCGTTTTGCGCGAAGCGAGCGTAACATCTACATCTGGGCCTGAGCCTGGCGATGGTAGCGTTAGCAACGTGGAGGCTGTGCGATTGGGGTGGGAAGTTAGAATATGGTCTTTGTGCTTGATCTGTGTGTACTGCTTCGACTCACTCTCGTGCATATGCGCATCGCTGCTGTCCAGGTGATCTCGTGAAGGTGAGCCGGGTGAGGAGAAGATATGAGAGACGGGTTCCAAGCCATGCTCGTCGCGGACGCCTTTGTCTTCTAATGTGATGCCGGTTTTGCTAGAACTTCGTCAGCATACCGCACTCATCGCCATAATATTGGCGCGATCGCATACCGCCCGACCTTGCCCACATCAAAGAACTGGTTGTCCTTCTTCTTCGGCCGTCCCGGTGTGCTGCCCTTCGCCTTCTTCGCTACTCGCGCCATGTCGCGCGGCGCGCGGTTCTCCTTGTCGTACTCCAGTTTGCCCAAGTCTTTCGCCTGATATCATATAAGTCTCCCAAGCAATCGCGCGTGTATTTTTTCGTGTCCCAATGCTTTAGATGTTGACGCGATGCAGGTCGTCGTTGGGCGGGGCGTTTGTTTATTGCTTGGCGCGAGCTTAGTCATGCTATCTTTCCGACATCACATGAATTCATCAACCATAAAGATAAGGTAGTTCTATAAGTTGAAGGGAAAAACACACAATGCTTGAACAGTTCCGAGGCAGCTCCCTCTTTCTGACGCTCCAGCATGCGCTCCAAGTAGTGCTCGCCGGATACGCTCTCCGGCATTCCTACGTCGCTATCACGAAATTGCGGAAGTACGAGGCGACCACCAAGAAAGCAGCAAAGTGGTCAGATGAAGCGCAGCAGCAACTGAACAAGACGCGGACGACGCAGGGTGCTGGGGCAATAACTGTAAGGCCAATCACTCCAAGATTCAGTCTAAAGCCACCCCATCTTCTTACACCTTCGACAGGCCGTCGTCTCCCTCCTAGCCTCCCTAACCCTCATCGCCCTCCCCAACTTCTTCTCGGGACGGACCCGCTCCTTCGTCTCACCCACCCTCCTCGTCCTCGTCATCGGCGCCCGCCGCTACATCAAGTCTTTCTGGGCACCCGGCGACGCCGACAGCAAAGGCAAAGATAAAGGCACCGTTGTCCCTCTGCCGAAGATGGAAGAGTACAACGAAGCGGTCCAGAAGACGGAGGACTTGCTGAAGTGTCTGGAGTATTTGGAGTATAGTTGGGTGATTACGAGTGTGTTTGGGTTGATGAAAGCATGATGCTCTCGTGTCATGGGGGGTATGATGTGATGAGCTATGAGAGCGATGTATGTTTGATCTGTCACGATGCTTCTCAGATACTCTCCCATCCTTCATACCCGTTTCTTTGGCCTCGGATCACATTTGAGGTTAGTGAGGCGCAAAGCTACCCCCTCAGCTGCCGAAAGTAGACTTCTTGCCATCTTATCTGCGGTCGGGACCCCAGATTCCATGGCTGATATCCAGCAGATAGTTCGCTGACGCAGATTGGCTGCTGAGGACGAGACTGTTCCGCCTCATTCGTAGTTGGAAGGCCTTCGGGATGACGATCGAGAAGACGGGGTCGGGAGATTGGCGTGAGCGTAGCTGCCGGTAGCATTCGTAGCTCCTGATGTCTTTATATCCCCTGACTAAAAGCTGACGGAATGTCTATCAGTGGCATATGTAAGCCTCCGTTGAGATGCCCATGCATCCAATCGCTCAGTGGCGGATATGGCATTGTTTGCCCAGGCGCCCGGTTCGAGGAAGGGATATGACATCCTGGTGCATGCTGAGCTTTCCTGGGGTGAGGACTGGCCGTTGGGCTGTAGGCGCCTCGACGGTACGGCGCTGCGCGAGGCTCCGAACAATGCGGCCTCAAAAAACCTCCTCAGTCACCCTTTTCCCAAACCAATCCGCCAACTCATCACCCTTCTCCTCTTCACCCATAAAGAATCCAGTCAACTTCATGTTGTCATCCCTGTCATCGACATCCGGCCAGTCAGCCCGACACGGCGCTCCTCGGGCTTCAAGCATCTCCTTCGCCGTGCCCCAGCTGAATCTCGCCTCACTACCCCAGCCAAACAGCGGGTGCATGTTCCCCTTCATCCAGTTTGTGCATCTGCTGTCGGAAGGGTAGCCTGATCCCCACGCTACCTGTCCGCCGTCATCCGGGCTGGCGTAGGCGGTGTAGAGGACTTCTAACGCAGCGTCTCGAGTGACTTTCGCGCAGACTGAAGCAGCTGAGACACAGGGGTACAGACTATCCGCCTTCTTCGCCACGGTGATTGACAACGCAGGGAAGATGTGCTCGAGCTTCTTCTGGTACGTTTCTGGACGGCCTATGGTGTCAATGTAGACTTCGCGGATATTGACGCCGGAGTCCAGCACTTCTTGGATCAAATCGATGGTGGCGTCCATGGCTTGCGCATTGAGGTTGTAAGTGCCCGTTGGTCTCAACTGGCCTGCAGAGATGTCGCGAGCAGACATTGTGCGGGTTGCCCAGCCGCAGTTTTGGAAGAGGTCGCAGTCTGCACTGCACATCTTTTCCATGAGATTGGAGCGGACTGCTGGCGTAAGCGCTTTGGAATCGTCGAAGTGGTGCTGCTCGGCCAGAAGGGAGTGGTGCAGCTTTAATGGTAGGTAGCAGAGTCCATAGACCATAGGACCCAGAACGGGTCCACGGCCTGCTTCATCAACTCCGAGGACGCATTCGGCGGTGGGATCCGAAGAGGTTCCATGAGGGATGTTGGAGTGGTACGTGTAGCTTTCGCCTGATAGTACTCTGGTTTTGTCGATTGAAGGCGGGATGAAGACGTCCTCGACGGGCGTTTCTTGCGCAATGTCCTGTGATTCTGATTGGTCTTCTGGGAGGTCTTCCATAACTATTGTGTCACGGATCGTCCGATGTGCAGAGCCTTGCTAAAACTTAACAAGCTGTATACTTCTTGCAAGATAGACACACTGCAAATGCCAATTGATACGTTCCTCGTCGGTCGCGTTGCTTTCGCGTTTGGAAGACGTGAAGTCGATCTGAAGCCCAGGACAGAACGAACGCCTGACGGTCTAGATTCTTCGCAGAGCAACCTTGCCTTGACTTCGACCACTCCTTCCGTCGCCCTTGTAGATGATTTCAAACCATTCACATTAACAGACGAAGTGATCCGCTAGAGCTGTACGAAGGCAGCTCGGTAGAAAGCAGTGTGGTCGGGACGCAATGTTTCTGCACGTACACCACTGTCAAGCCATCCCTTCTTTTCTGCAGACTCCGAAGGCTTGCTCCGAAGCGCTGCTCAACATCATCCCATCGTCAACGGGAACGGGTGTCGGTCCTTTGATCAGCAGCAGGGCCAGCAAGGCCGAAGGCTCTGTAGAGGTTTGACAGAACGCTCGATGCACAGCGCGTTCAGCTCTTGCCGGCCGACAGCGACCCCGCAGAGCTATTGGATGCCTCGCTCAGCTGGGGACGGCATATAACAGTTTGAGTCCCTGGCATTTCCGTACAAAGATTGAATTTCTCCCCTTCGTATCTCCTGTCTTCAGTCGATATATCAAAATGCCTCGCAAAAACATCTCCTTCAAAACCTCCGACGGCCTAACCCTCAAAGGCTGGTTCTGCACTCCCGACAAGAGCTCTGGCAAACTCCCATGCCTCGTCATGGCCCACGGCTGGTCTGCCCTCAAAGAGATGGACCTTGACGCCTTCGCCGAGTACTTCACTTTGAAACTCGCCATCGGCTGTCTTGTGTACGACAATCGCTGCTTCGGGGACAGCGAGGGCGAGCCGAGACATGAAATTATTCCTTCGTTGCAGCAGAGCGATTACTCGGACGCTATTACTTATGCTCAGTCGTTGGAGGAGGTGAATGCAGAGAAGATTGGGGTGTGGGGGTCGTCGTATTCAGGCGGGCATGTGCTGCTTGTTGGGGCTGTCGATCGGAGGGTTAAGGCTGTGCTTGGCCAGGTGTAAGCAGTATTTTCGCTCTGAGCATGCTATGCGTGAATGACTCAGTCCAACAGGCCCTTGACATCAGGCTGGGAGAACTTCAACCGTCTCATCAGACCCGACTTCCAGCCCGGATTGAACCAGATGTTCCAGCAAGGTACCAACAATGCATACTCGAGCTGCTGGAAGTCCGACTGACCATCAGAAGACCGACTCGCCCGCATGTCCGGCGAGAAGCCCACGACCATCCCAGTCGTGCACGAGAACCCCATGGAAACCTCCGCCTTACCAACAGCAGATAGCTACAAGTTCTTCTCCGACTGGGAGAAGAAATCCAACTGGAAGAATGAAGTCACAGTGAAGAGGCAAGTACTTACCCTGCAATCCACTCGAGTCCCCATCCTTTTTACTAACCCTACATCTTCAGCGTGGAGCTCCTCCGAGCCAACGATCCATCTCTTCAAATCCACCGCATCGCTCCAACCCCATTATTGCTCACGGTGGCAGAGAATGATGTGCTGACACCGACTGATCTGTCCCTCGAGGCTTATTCGAGGGCGAGGGAGCCGAAGCAGCTGCATATCATCCCCGGAGGCCATTTCGACGGATACACTGGCTTCAATTTCGAGAAGAATGCTGGATGTCAGGCTGAGTTCCTGAAGCGGACGCTTTGCTCATAGATTAATGTATCAGTTGAAACACTCGCGCCTTTTTTCTTACTTCGTAAAGATCTTCAGTGTGTTGTCAAGGCTATCGTAACCATGTGAAGACCTACCTCGCTGTCGGAGAAGAAGCTCAGTAGACTAGAGCAGAGAACAAACAAACGCTGCTTCTCAGAGAGCGTAAGAAAATTTTATCGTGCCTACCTTTGCCGTATCGTCCGCATCTTCAAGGTAGAACAGGAGCTGATCAAACTCGTTCCGCCTCTTCTGCGCCGTGCAGGCTGTCGACGGACTAATCGTGGTAGGCGTAAAGGTTGTCCTCGGCGGTCGAGAGGGATAGCATCAACACCCTCCTGCCGCCTCTTCTCTTTAATAACAAGGCGTTGAGATGTAGCTTGTCACGAGAAGGGACATTGTTCCGAGTGTCGAGAACTGGCTGCTTACTTTACCTGCTGGAGGCGGTGCTCAGTGGGCGCGGGGTGCTGTCGACGAGAGGGACATCGCTGTAGTGCCGCAATTGCAGGACGTGTTGGAGGGACGTCGCTGTAGTGCCGCAATTGCGGGATGTGTTGGAGGGAACGAGTACCCATTAGACCATTCCCACCACGTCTCGAGCATCATGACGCCCCAGCGCGGGCTCGACAGTCGCTGTAGCTCCGGCGCCACTCGCTGTATCACTGAGATCAGTGCCTGTCAGATCATGTGCCGATGCCTCTCTGCCAACTCAAGTCGACGTTGTAGGTGCTTCATTCGCTATAGTTGCGCCGCAGGCGGTGTCTTTGGAGATGGATACTCGCTGGGCTGTCGTGCTCGCCACACCCCCATGGTCGTAACAAGGTGTTGTCGGTAGATCAGTCGCTATAGTTCGGCATCACCAGTAGTATCAGGGGAGAGCAAGTGCTCGTATTATCACCTCTTGAGCCTTCTCTCTGTGATGAAAAGGTGCTGCTGTGGGCAGGACAGTGACTGTGGGTGCGGCGTCACCGGAGGCCTCATTGAGAAGGTGAATCAAGTAGCGTCAACGCCGCCTTCTCTCAAAGAAAACAACAAAGAAAAAAGTGTGGCACAGAAGAAACGTCGTCACTCACCTCATTTCACAACTACATACTCGAGCGGACCCGCGCTCGCTCACCCCAAAGCCGCACAATCCACCTTCGCCGACGCGAGGTTCACCACCCCCTCGCGCCCCCCCTCCGTCCTCCACGACACACTCAGGCGGGCCCGCACGTCCCGCGCCAAGTGTATCGTGTTCTCGAGGACCAACCCCTCGACAATCATCTCCGGCAGCAGCCGGCACACCCGCACACACACCCGCTCCGCCCCGCCGGCCGGCACCACCGCCTTCTCGAACAGCAGGGCCCCCTCTGCCCCACCGCCGCGAGGGAGCGCGACGCACCGCACCCCCATCGCCTCCGAGAAGGCGTTGCCCAGCTCGAAGCAGAGCAGCCAGTCCTCCTCGCCGTCTTTGTCCTGCGGCACAATCTCCAGCCCGGACACCGACAGACCCGGCAAGATCGTCAGCTGTACTGGCGCGACGACGCGCCGCGTTGCCGGAGACGCGGCGTCGTCGTCCGCCTTGCCGTACGTGAAGGCGATGTCGCACCGCTTGGTGCGGGTGGCGGCGACGATGTCCCCGACGTAGGTGAAGCACTGCTCCACCGCGACGATGTCGCTTCTGGTGTCTTGGCGGACGACCGTCTGCGCGAAGTCGTTCGTCCGGTTGATGGTGGCGACTTCGAAGACCTTGGCGACGAGGGACTTGGCGATGGAGACGTTCTTGAGGACGATGGTGAATTCGACCTTTTCGCCGTCGAGGAGCTGGGCGCTGGCTTCGGTGAAGGGGGTCTTGTCGACGACGAGAGTTGGCATCTCAGGGGCGGCGACGTGGATCTCATGGTTGAAGTCGTAGGGCAGGCCAATTCTGTCATCCCCGGACCCCGAGATATGGTCACGACCTTTCTGGCCCTGACGCTTGACGAGGGACGAGGCAACACGCTTGAACGCATTCTTGACGATGGGGAAGAACTGCTTGCGCGAGGCGAACACCTTGATGTTGCATCCGATGATCTTGAAGTCGCCGGTGTCCGTAGGAGTCACATATACTGGTACCTCCTGGATGCGCAGGGGACCGAGAGTGATGGGCTCGTCATGGCTGACTTCGAGTGCGACGCCTTCAGTGACGATTTCTAGCGACTCGATCTGGATGGGGACTTCATACGGGTTCTGAAGCGACACCACGGACTTTGAGCGCTCGCCCTTGACGATGATCTTTGATTTAGGCTCTTCTGCTGTGCCAGGACGGCTTGCGCTTGGGTCGTAGAGCAGTGGGTTGCCAGAGGTGCTTCCTTCTGCGATGGTTGTGGTAGACTTGGCCTTCGGGCGTCTGACGACTGCTAAAGCGGGCTCTGGACGCATCAACTCGACGCCGCGTACAAGGAATTGGTCCCAATACTGAGCTTCAACGTCTTCTAGGCCCATGGTCCTGGCTGCTTCAACAGCGCGGGTCATGCTGGCGGTGAGCTTCTCTTGCTCTTCCTTGGAAACAACCTTCGAGCTTGACGAGTCCTCGGTGTCGATGGCGCTTTTTGGTCCAAAAGATCTCAGGAGCGATGCGTTGAGCCGTAGGATACCTTGAGGGCTTGGTGTTGCTTCGCAGAATGCGGCCAGTTCGCTCAGGATATCGAGTTTCATGCTATCGCCGCCGAAGAAGCTTGGTGCAGACACTTTGGTGCTATCTTTGGCACCTTCAGTCTCAACCAGATCGAAGCCATAGATGCGGGCAAGCTCATTGATGAGTCCATCCAAGCCTGTACTTGGGCCACTCGCGGTGAGTACTGCGTCTGCCCTCAATTCGGTTGGGTAGGTCCCGCCTGGCTGTATGCCCATCTCGGCAGCATGTCTTTTGCGGGCCAACGTCAGAGCGGAGGTGAGTACCGACACGAGTTCCTTGAGCACGATTCCCTTCTTACGGTCGAGCGCGATCAAAGAGTAGACTCCTGCGATACCCGCCAGGATGGCGATGTGATCGGCGTCCGGCACGTTGTCCAGCAGTGTGGGCTGTGCGTTGGACATGAATTCGGCGATGGCGACTTTCGACGGTCCATTTGAGGCATGTCTTGTCGATGCGAGAGCACTCCTGTCTTTTGACTTGTTGGTGCCAACGAATGGATTGAGCGCTTCGGTGTCGAGATGGGCGTCGCTAATGTGTAGAATGGCCAGCAATTTGCCGAAACGTACGGTTGCGTCCGCGACTGGGACTACTGGCAATTCGAGCGGGCCTTCCGTCGAACGGTAAAGACTTAATGTAAGCTCGAGCAAGTCTGGTATGGCGGTTGAGAGGCTTCGAATCGAGGCTTGCTGAGCTGCTTCGGCTCTCCTGAAGTCCGACCGTAAGGCGACAGAAAGCCGTTGACCCGACTTCTCCAGCGAGGCATAGCAGATGGAAGGAATCTGGAACTCTACGCCGGCCCAGGAGCTCAGCAGGAGGCAGATCACAATGTTCTCCAGTCCTTTCGCTTGCCAGATACTGTCCGACAAGGCACGAGCTTTGGTTGTGTGCTCCGACAACATGCGCAGCGCCTCGCTGTAGTGGCCAGCCATCATGTATATCGAGCCTATTACGATGCCGACCCTCGCTTTACCTCTTTGCTTGATCTTGTCTTGCGATGTACCGGAGCCGAAGCCTTGGACTGTGATACGATCCTGACTGGTCGTCCGCCCATGCTTGCCTTTGCTACTGGACTGGCTGTCCGTCCTTGATAGACCGCTTCCGAGGCTGCTGGCCCCTTGTATCTGGTCGAACGATGTAGCTGGTATGCCGCGGTTCCATGGCGGCTGGCGACTGCTCTCTTCGATCGGGCTCGTGGCCTCGCTCTGGCTTGGTGTGCTGCGCCCTGATGCTGAGCCTGGCCTCCGTTCCGACTCGCGGTAAGCTACTTCTCTCTGCAGGTTGCGCGCGGTCTGGCCGGGTGTCTGTATACTCGGCGAAGCTTGCAGTGCTTTGGTGTAGGTGCTGAGCTCTTTGAGAAAGCGCGCGGACATCTGGCACAGCGCTTCTTTGGTGGAGGCGCCATTGATCTCCCAGTCTTGGTTGATGAAGACCACATTGTCCTCCTTGGGTTGTGTGTTGCCATCTTGGCCATCTCCCAGCACAATGAGTTGCCTGTCTACAACGCGAGGATGGCGCTCTTTTAGAAATGCCGATGCTGCTTCGAGGTCTACCTCACTGGGGGTTTGTAGGTCTTGCAGGCCATCAACGATGCCAATGACAAGTAGAGGCTCGCGGAACAGCTCGAAGGGCGACAGGTGGTGTTGCAGCTCGCTGGGGGCTGCTGTGGTGTAGTTGTAGAGTAGGGCGCCACTGGGGGAGGCTCTCGGGTGGAGGAGGATGTCATCGTCGCCCAGATGCGGTGTCACGTCCGCCAAACTGATCACCGCCGCCTCGCCTCGCAGGCCCTCTACCACGCTCAAGAACTTCTCGCGCGTGATTTGGCCCACGGGCAATACCAGCGCGCAGATGTGAGCGGGCGCGAATGGCGAGTGACGGTCCATAGCGCTGGATTTCTGCTGGCCTCCGCCCGCGGTCCAATGCTGACTTGCTCCTTCGGCAGCGCCTGCCCTGCGCGACAACGGCTGGCGGCTTCCCCCACGAGCAAAGGCTTGTTTCTGCGCCTGGCTGCAGGATCTGAGCGGCTCGGGCGGCTCCAGAAACTCACGCTCGGGGCGCTGTCGATCGGGAATGAACGACAGCTGAGCGGAGATTTTCTTTTCTTTGCTACGTCCTCGACTTCTCCTTCTGCAGATAGCGACCTTGTTGATGATGTTGTGACTGCGCGATGCTGCCGGCCGGATGTTGATGTCTGTGTAAGAGAGAGCAAGCTGCCAGCGGGGAAGTAAAGAGACGAGAGCATCACGCACTACCGGAATCACTGGGGGAGGCAATCTAACATTGTGCCTGATTTTTGCCCGGACGAGGCCCTAACGACGATGATGCTCGATCAACTACCTGAGAGATCTATTGACACAGCGCCCAAAGGCCTATGGATGCGCAGGATGGGGCCAACACGCCAGAATGGAGGCCTCAGAGCAGCCTCTCTGGAGGCGTGGATTCCACAAATACATCAAGGTATTTCCCCCCATCTATTATGTATGCCCATCCTCCTAAGCATCTTTATTGCAATTACCAATTCCCCTTTGAAACGCGTGTCGAAATCGCCGCAGAAGCCGTCAAGAAGAGTGAAAATGGAGGCACCAGGGTGGACGATAGCGATCAAGCTTGGCTTATGCTGACGCTCCGCCGCAGCACCCTGCAGATTCCCGCCCTCTCCTCCTACGGGGACCGATCCTCAACCACCAGCGATGACTATAGCGGCATCATCGCCGCCCACGCGACGGAGATGTCCCAGACAGGCCGCGACATAGCACCGTTCGAGCCGGTGAGCTGCGAGGTGCTGATCCAGCAGATCCGTACATTCTCCCCTATCCCATCGTCGAATGCGCCACCACATTCGGTGACATCACATCTTGACTCCGTATCTGGCGCGCTGAGAGATGCCGCTGTGACCATTCGTTACAATGCGAAGTGGTTTGCTGAGCCAGATCTGGCGGAGCTCCTCGAGGTGGCTCTCGAGGCAGCGGCGGCCTCATCTGCCTCTGTCGACCTCTACAGTGGGGTCGAGCTGGTCGATGTCGTGGGGATATACTCAGCGCTTCCGCCACAATCACTTCTCCTGGTGGCTCGCTTCTTGGCACAAACACATTACAACGCCACTAGGGCCAACAAGACCAGGAAGCTGGCTGATCGAGTCTGGGTGACGATGAGACGGGTGTTGGAATCACATCTCGGTGTACAGTATGTCGCCGCTCTGTTGCAGATGATAAGGGAGGAAGATTACGCTGCTCTCGATCCCAAAGTCAGTTATGCCCGCCTTGCAGCGGCGGTAAATATCATATCAGAGAAGTTGTTGTTCGGAGAAGGGGGAGTGGCTGAGTCTGAGCTACCAACTCCACAAACAGCTGAGCTTCTTGATAGTCTACAGAACGCGACACACCACGGCAACGAGCACGTGCAAGATCTCATCATGGACGCCATCACCACCATCATCACGCGCAACGACACCACAGACACGGCGGACATGGACTGGCACAAGCTCCTTGCTGCTGCTAGATCGTGCATCGACGGCCTCCACAACCGTCAGCTCGCCCGCGGCCTGGTTGGAAGGATAGCGACAAAGTCAGATCGCTTCGAATCCACCGATCAGGTCGCCATCGCTTGGATGTGCATCGATATTTCGCAGCCACTCAGCACAGTGCTCAGAGAAGCACTGTTATCACACTACGCAAAGCTGCTGCCGGTCAGAGACTGGAGCAAGTTCCACGACATCATCACGCCGCTCTCCCGGTCAGATGAGTATACAGAAGAGCTGCAGATGCTGATGGGAAGGAGCATCGCGGACTTCACAAACACGACAGACGCTTTTTTCATCTCCGCATACGCCGAGACCCTCCAACAAATCATCGAACGACCAGCGACCACAAAGAATGCCGCCGCAGTGCTCGGCAACGAGCTGGTAAGAACCTTTACACACTGCATCATGTCAGCTACACAGCCCGAGGAGTTCAACACGCTCTTCGATGCGCTCTGCGATGCGTCCAAAGCCTGCTCTGTTGTAACAAAGTCACTCCTTCTCATCCGTGCAGACGCGGAGGGCGCCGTCTACTACCCAATTCACGGCTATCACTACAACATCTCCGGCGTCAGACTGAGCAGCTTCGACGCCACCATTCTACACATCATCCAAGACTGCCAGGATTGGGAAATCTACAACCACATCATCAACGAGCTACCAGCACTGCTCAGCAATCACGCACTCTTCGACGACCGTTCGGAGTTCATCCAACAACTCAGAGAGATAGTGTGCGAGCAAGTCGAGAGTGGAAGCTACCTTGGCCCACCAAAAGAGAGCGGCTTGACAAAATCGCACGTCGCAGCACATCTCATCGAGACACTCACCGCCATCCTCAGCTATCACCACCACCTGACCAAGCAAGAAATGCTCAGCGTCATCTCCACCGTCCTCTCGACCGCCGGCTCAAGAGACTACATTGTCAGCATACCCTGCATACATGCATTGACGATCTGCTGCTACGAGCTGCCAGACACCATCAGCGGCTACATGGACGACATCATCGACAAAATGTCTAAGCTGGTCACGCAGCGCTACCTTGCGATCCACGTCCTGCTCTTCCTTGCCGGGCTGTCACGCCTCCCAGATCTGTTCCACAGCAACTTCCGCACGCAAGATTATAAGAAGATCTTTGGCGTATGTGGGAGCTATCTACAATCCATTCGAGGCTCAACCGGACATGTGGACCTTCGCCAAATTGCAGACGACAAGAGCAGCAAGAGCAGTAGCGCCGAACAGGCTGATGCATTACCGCAATACGTCTACGCTCTCACACACCACGTCATCGCATTCTGGTACATTGCACTCAAGCCAGAGCATCGCAGAGAGCAGAAAGACTACATCACAAGCTTGTTGAGACACAACAACGCAGATGGAGAGACTGTCCTGGAGGATCAAGGTCTGGTAACAATCGACCTCATGGATCGCATCGACGCAGACCACTACCATAGCGCAGACTCGGATGCCGCTTTCTTCTTCGATCCACTGGCTGGCCGCATCACACTTCAGCATCGCCTGATTGGGCTTCTACTTATCACGACAGAGACTTCATTGAAGCTGCGAGAGACGAAGATCACAGTACGTCGACCGACCGGCACCGCAACGCGCGCCATCAGCAATTGGATTGGCAACACAGAATCTATTGTTACCGCTATCAAGAGCGACAAGGACTTCCTCAGCATCCTACCTTACGATCCAGACGGTACCACCTACGGCCGCATTTTCAAACCCTCGCCATCATCTACCCTTGGCCCAATCGCCTCGGAGCTCATCACAACCCTCCCCGACGACGATGCCGTCACCCGCGCCATCCAATCCATCGACCGCACCCCCGGCCTTGACTCCCACAAAGCAGGCGTAATCTACATCGGCGAAGGCCAGAAAACCGAGACCGAAATCCTCCAAAACGTCCAGGGCAGCCCGGACTACATCACCTTCCTCTCCGCCCTCGGCACGCTCCGCCCCCTCCATAACGCCCCATTCAACACCCAAGGCCTCGACCGCACCTCGGACGCCGACGGCCCGCACGCCATCGTCTGGAACAACCAAGTCACCGAGCTCGTCTTCCACATCACCACCCTCATGCCCAACGACGCCGACCCCTCCCTCAATACCGCCAACAAGAAGCGCCACATCGGCAACGACTTCGTCAACATCATCTTCAACAACTCCAGCGCCCCGTTCGACCTCGACACGTTCCCCTCGCAGTTCGCCGCCGTGTACATCGTCATCGCCCCGTCCGCCCGGACCTCTTTCCTGCAGACTAGGCGTCTGCGGACTGACGGTCTGCGACGGCGCGGTGACGATGACGGTCAGCAACTGCGAGGGGACGCTTTCTTTTCCGTCCGCGTACTGACCAAGCCCGGGTATCCGGCCGTTTCGTCCGCGGCGACGGAGAAAATTGTGTCGGCGGGGTCGTTGCCGGGGTATGTGAGGAACCTGGCGCTGAACGATTGCGTGTTCGCGATCATGTGGCATTCGCGGGAGGGGGAGGGGGGTGAGTATCCGAGCTCGTGGCGGAGTCGGTTGGAGCAGTTGCGGAGGTTGAAGGAGAGGTTTGGGGGTTAGACGGGGTGTAGATGAATGTTGGAATGCATGTGATTGCGCTGTGCGCTCTTCTCCCAAGTCTCAGCTATTCCCCTATGCTCAGATCGTCCGCTGTAGTGGCATAGTCCACGGCAGCGCAATGGAGAACACCCATCCTTCTTCCTTACGAGCCATCCACAGTGTACTCTGAGCCCACAAAGCATAGCGACGCTTTCACATGCGAACCAGCCAGCGCAACCCTTCCTCCAATCAATGGTGGTCTTCGCAAGAATGAAATGAAGTCCTCACACACTCCCTGAAGAAGACTGACAACCATTCGCCGCAACCATAAGCCGATGAACCTCGACTAGCGTCACCCTACCTCCTGCCAATCAATGATTCGCGGCAAAGAAGCAGGATCGGTACTCCAGGAAAGCATTCGCCAATCTGTTCACTCACAATCACATGCAAACGAACACCAATTAGCGCGGCAGTGGACACAACCAACCGGGGCGGGAGCCTGGAGGGGGAGATGAAGTGAAGTCGTGCGTTCACTCGACAACAGCAACAACCTCGAACAATCTGCGGTATCCTTGGCAAAGGGCTGGACGCCAGCTAGCGCCGAGCAATCGTCAGCCAATAGTAGCCTAGGTGGGGATGAAGTGAAGTCGCTGCTCCGCCAGCCTGAAGCCCAGGAGAAGACTCGTCAGCTCCTGCCGTCTTCGGCGAGCGGTTGGACGCGAACTAGCGCCTCGAAAAACCGGCCACTCAGGGCTCGAGGCGCGATGAAGTGAGGTCGTCGAACGCGGCACCAGCTCCAGCTTCCTACACCTCCATAGAAAGTCTGGTATGCTTGGCAAACAGCCTGACGCCCGCTGGCGTCGCGTGGGCAGCAGCCAACCGCAATCTTTTCGAGGGGCGGCGGGGATGAAGTGAGGTCGTGGATCTCGACAACAGCTACGCCCTCATGCAAAAGCTGGTATCCTTGGCAAACAGCCTGACGCCCGCTAGCGTCGCGTGGGCGGCAGCCAACCGCGCTTTCCTCGGTCCAGGCCTGAAGATGAAGTGAGGTCGCGCCAAATGGTCTCAGGTGTTTGGAGGGGTGGTGGGTAGGAGCCGAGGTGCTGGCATGTGAAGATGGACGCCAGCTAGCGTGGTAATTCTTTCGGCCAATTGTGTTGAGAGCTGGTGACGAAGTGAATATGAGAGACAAAGGTGAACATAGAACACAATGTAAACGACATCCACTTACTCTGCTCTCTGCGCGTATCATTGATCTTATTGATCTCGTCAAGAGTATCCTACAAACAACACCTCACCCCTCTCTCCGCCCACCCCTCCCTCTCGCACCCCTCTGCATCACCGGACTACTACTCACGAACGAACTCTCAACCATCGAGCTCGACAAGTTCAAACTCCCCGGGCTTCGCGTGAGCGACGCATCAAGCGACGGTGCCGCCCGAAGACGGTCTTGCATGCTGACGTTCCCGCTGCCATTGGCGGGCGTGATGGTGGCGTGGTCGAGAGCTTCAAAGGGGAGACGGCCACGTTGCGGCTGCTGGTGGTGATTCGATTGTGTGAATTGCGAGCGAACGGAGGAGCGTGTGCCTGGTCGTCGTGCGGATGAAGATGGGATTTGCTGCTGTTGTTGTTGTGCTTGCTGTAGTTGTCGCTGTTGCCGTGCCGCTGCACCGACGGAGTCACCGAGCGGCGAGTCGTCGTCGTCTAGATCGCCGTCGGAGGTGCTATCTTCGACCTCTGTATCCGTGTGCTGGTAGCTGCCTGCCTCCGGCACCGAGTCGTCTAGATCGCGCTCCATCTCGATGCCCAGGTCTTCTTCATCCCTCGCGGCGCCCGTTAATTCTGCCTCCTCTCGTTCTGCGAAGCGTCGTGCTTGCTGCTCATCCATCACCCTGCTCCCCTCAACTATACTCTCTTCATTGAAGGATGTCACCTCGCCCCCTAGCCCACTCTCCTCCTCTTCCTCTTCCTCTTCTTCACTCTCCTCCTCAACATCCGCATCAGCATCAGGAATATCTTCATCCAGATCCCTCTCCTCCTCGCCCTCGCCTTCTTCCTCCCCTGCCTCCGCCCGGGCTCGCGCTTCCTCAGCCTGCTGCTGCGCCTGCATATCCCGCAACCCCTGCTCCTGCCGCATCATCTCCTCATGCTCAGCCAAGTCGGCAGCCTCCTCGTTCATGGCCTGTAGGGTCTTCGGGATGCCGGGGGGTCGTATCCAGTAGGAGCCAAAGTTGCGGATGGCATGCTTGCGGGCTTGGATTGCTGCTTCATCTGCTACCAGCAGGGCGAGAGGGTTGGTGCGAGGGTTTGCATTGCGTTTCTCTTCGTCGCGGCGAGATTGTTGGTGGTGTTGGCGGTGCTAATGGCAGATCAGTATGGATCTAACCAAGTAAATTCATGGGACGTACGCCTTGCTGATTATGTCGACCATGCTGCGGTGGAGATGGAGATCGAGGACGCAAATTAAGGCGACCTGGTAGTATGTCTGGTTGCGGTAGGAGGAGTGGTAGTGAGAGCATGATGCGTTGTTGCTGCGCAGTGTTTTGTGATGTTGATCTGTTGACTTTCACATGCAAATGTCGAGGTGAGGTCGCGCTGTCTCGCGTTTCGCAGTATTTTCTATCATGGACTGAGTATTTTATAGCATGTAGAAGACTAATAACACCAGAACGAACAACGACAAGGCGAAGAAGAAATGGTTGTAATGCCAATTGAGGCTGTAGTGGTACACGTGTGGTATATCGTTAACGAATGTGACATTCACATGCCCGTATCTACCCCCTGATCGCTCCTGCCGGGCTCCTACATGCCAAAGATGAGCCTGCTGCACGTTGAGCCTTTGCGAGGTTGCCCACTTTGCACACCTTGATCCTCTAATAGGTACCTTTTACTGTTGGTATACCTTCACGAAGGACTTGAGAGTGTGGGTGACCATGGATACGAGCGAGCACGAAGCAGAGCCATGCCACTTCCTCCGCCTGCCCACCGAGCTCCGCCTGCAAATCTACGCCTATGCGCTGCACGAGCATCCATATATCACCATTGGCAGCGCCCAGCTAGTAGGCAGACACGCCGACATCGTCCATAAACTGTACGTCCACTACCTGTCTACCCAACCCATATTTGCCCACTAACACCCACCCCAGCTACGCCGACGAACGCACCCCCCACCCCGGCCTCCCCGACAACTCCATCCCCCTCCTCGAACCCACCTACTCCCCCTCCCTCCTCAGCCTCACCACACCCCCCACACTCTCCGCCTCCAGCCCCTCGTCCCCCACCACAGCCGCCCCGCACATCTCCCTCGCCAGCCTCCACCTCCTCTGCCGCCAAACCCACCACGACCTCCTAACCCACTTCTCCGGCCCCGAAGCCCACCACACCCGCCTCTTCCTCTCCTACCCCAACGGCCTAAACATCCTGCGCACCCTCCCCGGAACCTCCAACCTCCTCGCTCAGACCCGCAGTCTGCACATCGCAGGCGCCTACCGGCCGCACAACTTCTCCGCCTCGCGCGCCGCGACGCTGGGAAGCACGACGCATCCGCCGTTCGTCGACGAGCACTTTCACGGCGGCTGGAGCCCGAACTCCGCTGGCCAACTCTCGGCGCTGATCGCCGGGCTCTTCGGGCCTAAACCGACGCACCCGGGGTTGACGAAACTCGAATTGAGGATCTACTACCCGGGCTCAGACAGCTACAGCGTCGTGTGGGGCGACGATGACTCCCCGACCGTGATCGCGTTGCGGAACGTGTTTGATGGGGAGATAAATGTGGAAGTGTGGCGGGGACAGAGGGGGACGGGGGTGTATGTGAATGTCACGAGGGATGAGGCGGGGCAGAGGAAGGAGGGGGAGCGGCCGAAGAGGGTTGTAAGTACGGTTTGGAGGCGGTTGGAGGAGGGCGGGAGGGGCGAGCCGGCGGTGGGCACGTGGGTTGTTGATGAGCGGTGGCCGGAGTGTGAGTATGAGGGGGTAAGGGCGGTGGAGTTGGGGGAGGGGGTTGTTGTGAGGGAGGGGTGAGGTCTTCTTAAGGTCTTTGTGAGGACCTGGGACAAGCTTGTACGGCGACGACTGTTATGTCGTATGTTGTGCTTGGATGTTGAAGCGAGGATGACATGGGTGCGGTGGTGATGTTGGAAACACATGCCACTTCCGGCAGGCTTGAATGATTGACCGTTTTGGATGTTGGGTATTGTAGCTCAATACCACTCTGTATGATGCATAAGACGGCATGAAAGATGCATAACCTCAATACTTGCATGTCCAGTCTCGCATGCTTCGTTGGGTTTGTACGTCGCTGCTTCGTGCTCGCCAACTGGCAGGCAACACAGTTCGGTGCCACCTTAGCAGAACTGCCACCAAGGCCTCGCACACACTCCTTCTCCGACCTCTTGGATCTTGCACTGCCATGCCAAACCGAGAGGGGTTCCTGACTGTGAAGCAGAAAACGCTCACTGGCTCAAGCTCCCTCAGCCGCTCTCCTAGCCCGTTCCACCCGTTCCACTCTTCTCGCCTCTCGAGCACGCTCAGCGATCTCCCGCCGTATCTCATCCTGCACGACCATCGCTGGGGTCCGAGGACAAGCGGTGCATGCCGAAGCTATGTCGTCGGGTGCGTACTCCGTGCATTTCGACTGCAGGTCCGCGGGCTCGTGGAATTTGAGCAAGCTGCTTTCTGCTTCCCACTTCTGCTCGTAGAAGTTCTGGTATGCTAGAGCTTGCTCTTCGCCTTCTGACTCCGTCGAATCGACGTCGGATTGCAACGTGGCGACATTTGCCATGATGGAGTCCTCATCCGTGGCCTGATTCGTGACCAAGAGCGCCTTGCCGTCTGGGTCGATCGTCCAAACGAATGTGGCGACACGATAGACATTACGCGGATGAGGTTTCGAGATCAAAAAGGCTTCCCGCTCTGGCCACGCATCGTCCTCCAGCATCTGCACACTTACACCTCTGGCGAGATTTTCGGCCGTCGCTGTGGTCTCGTATGACTGCTTGAAACGCGAGAAGAGGCTTGAGAGATCGCGCGTGGGTAGTCTGTTTTTGTTCAAGAAAAGATATTCCATACGAATGGTGATTAGGCGTGGGAGGTCCATGTGCGTAAGAGCCTCCTGGATCCAGGACCAGTCAAGCGAGATCCAATTCTGGACGGTGTCTCGTCACGATGTCTCGAAGTAGCATGTGATGGTCAACATCTTGGGGCACATCCCATGAGTGCCGAGTAAGCTTATGAGCGTGCGTGCATCGAAAGGCTTGGTGGAACCGATGCTGACGAAGAGAGGGACTTTGTCGAAGTTGAGGCGGTTGTTAGGCGTGAGCTCAAGAGTGAATCCTGTAGGTGGCGTCAGTGTCTTGAAATACTCCTTGAAGCAGGGCCAGTACGTACTCCTCATCCGCTTTTCCTGCCATTGCCACCGCCCAGAATAACACCACCCGCGGTGGTAACAGCCTGGCGCATCGGGAGATGACTAGCCTCCAGCCATGCGCGGCGACATGTCAGAAGGAAAGTTGTGCTGGTGGTCTTGCCGAGACGGGCACGACGGTCGGTGTGTTTCTCGAAGCCAGGTAAGCCAGCGCCGTAGTCGATGTCTTTGGACCAGGTCGTATACGTGAAGATCTTGTCACGGAGTTCTTTCGGAAGACCGAATAGCTTCGACTGCTCTTGAAGGTGGCATTTCGCAATGTTGGTGTCCGTCCGCTCCGTTTCGATGGTCACTGTCTGATTGGTGAGATACGAGATCTCTTCGATGGTATCCATATGCCTGCCCATATTGGAGTGTTTGGAAGAAAGTGGTGTTCGTTGTGAAGTGATATGTTGAAAGGTGGTTTGTAGCAATGTGAGAGGTGAAGTAGGCGGCGAAGCTCCGGCTTAAGCTTCGTAGAGTTTGCAGAATAGGAAGAAGCGTTCCACATGTGAAAGATGAAGGCTTGTACTCACGAACGTCGACTGATCGCGCATGAGTCTGAGTCTCTGAATGGCAAATGGTTCATAGGTCCGACACCCTTCACAGCCAGAGTTGTTCAAAGCAAGTGAAGCATCAACATGCATTGTTCTTTGCTCCCGAACAACGATTCACCCGCCACAGAGACCACAACGACGTCCAGTATTAGCGCTCCTTGCAACAAAGCGAGTGGTATTGAAGCCGGGTGTAGGACCAAGATGAAGCGCACCCACGCTCAGACGTTGTTAGATAGCCACCGTCTCGCATGTGAGAAATCCACGAAGTGAGACCGTCGCATTCAGTGTCAGTCGGAGCATGACCCAGCAGGCTACCATCTTCCTCCTATCGTTTCTGCTGGTGCAAGAGCTTCGTAGAAGCCTCTGCGGTGGAGTCTTCCGTCACCTTCTGGCCGAAGTGGCTTACCAGTCAAAGCGGCTGTAGTTGGGCTCTGGGACGGTGGAGCACCTATACCGAATAGCTCAATCCCCGCCGCCTCGCTCAGACATTTTCAAGTAAGCGGTGCAAACTTCAGTAAACTCCCCTCCTTCTCCCACTTCTCCCGATAGATGTCTCGATGCAGCTGACAGTCCCATTCGCATTCTGCATGCGTGCCCCCACGCTCGCACCATGCACCCTCCCCAAACCACCAACGCTTTTCGTCGTCTATCCGCCCAGCGAGCGGCAGCTTCTGGGCGCTTGCATCCGCGCTTCGACCGCCATGTCGGACCTGTCTTTGAGTGAGAATGATCGTGGCAGCCCGATGAATCGTCTTCGGACATGTCGTGGAATCGGCAGCATGCTCGCCAGCCGGCCATTCGAGTCCGTCCAGATCATCTTCGATCAGCTGGAAGCGGATGTCGTGGTCATCACGCATGAATTGCAGAAAAGCCTCGCGGACGCAACAGGCGAAGTGCTGGAGGTGAGAAGCGTCGACGGCATTGACCAATTCCAGCTCGACTCTTAGCTGGCGTAGTCGCGACCATCCCGGGCTTTGCAACATCTTCGGCGCCCAGCGGTAGTCCAGTTTACCGGCAAAGTTGCGTACTTCGGAACGCAGTGTCACCACCAGGACCTTGGGACAAGCAAAGTGGTAAATGTAAGGCTCCGCAAATTCTAGTTTCCCGCACCACGAACTTGCGTATTCCAAGTCGATGTATACTTGCATCCTATTGAAACGTTTGCGGTGGTTCGGGGTGAGGCTATGTGCAAAGCCTCGTCTGATGTTAGGATAAGTAAAATAGTGTCAGGCGGAAGAAGCTACTCACGGCTTATGATGGCTTCTTGACGCTTGACGCCATCAGGATGGTGTCCATGATTGCCGTTGTCCTCGTGTATCCAGAAAGAGTGTGTCGCCCCGCCCATGAAGAGCTGATTCGCTTCGAGCCATGCTCGCCGAGAGGTGGCGAGAAGAGCAATACTGTAGCGGTACTTGCATCGAGAGAAGCTTTCGTAGCACGGGCGTTCTGTAACCTTAACACCCTTCTCATTGAAGAATTTGCCGTCGATGAATGACCTGGCCAAAGGCAAGCTGTGCTCGCGGCAGCAGAAGGTGTCCTCAAAACGTTGCCCGTTTGCTGGATTGTCGCAAGGTTGCCCGTATGCTGGATTGTCGTAAGGAAGGGCAACGTACTGGAAGATCTCATCTCGCAGTTCCTGGGGAAGCTGGAAGAGCCTAGATTGTTCCTGAGGGTGACAGTTGGCAAAGGTACTGTTGCTCGGATTCCAGCCTGTCTCGATGGTTACGAGTCGGTGTGTCCGTGCCTCGATGTGTTCGATGACGCCCGCAGGCTCTGAAAGCTGGCGGGAATGGCTTGAATCGCCGTCTCTCATGATGATATCGTGGTGGTCGGTCATTTCGATGCGTCCATTCAGCTGGATGTTGAAAGAGGAAAAGAGGTTGGAAGTCTGCTGCACGTCAATCTCCACAGGTCTGTGCCGCGATTTAGCGTGTGCTTCCTTGCGCAGATCTCTGGCAAATATCTATGAAAACATCGTTTTCGTCTTCGATCTTAGGATATTGGCAGTTCTGCATACATCATGAGACTGGCTCAAACTTCAGCAAACTGTTCTGTCTTGCCCACTTCTCGAGGTACATCTCACGGTAGAGATGACAGTCCTGTGTGCACTCCAGATGAGGGACCTGGTTCTCGCTTTCAAGGAGCTCTTCTAATTGCAAAGACTCCACGCGTTCCTGATCATAGCCTTCATATTCCGCCTCGCTTCCAGTGGAGCCAATAGTGAACAGTTCTTCCAGGTTCGGTCGACACTTGTGGTGGTCAGAGTTTGTCCGAGCTTCCTTGGCTTCGACAACAGTCCAAACCATGGCTGCAACGCAATTAACCGTTCTCTTACACGGCTTCCTGTCCGGTGGCTTGACCAGCTTGCCCAAGTCGCTTTCGTGTAGGTCGATATTCCATCTGCAGCCAAGGCAACGAACAGTCTGGATAGGCTGAAATGCTTGCCTAATGCGGCGGCGGAAGAACTCTAACAGTGGTTCATCCGCCGCATCTATGGCTTCCAGCTCGACTCGTAGCTCTAATAGGTCTTGCATAGCAGGGCATTGTAGCATAGTGAGGATCCAAGTGAAGTCCAGTTCCAAGTCCGGGTTTTCTCTCAGCCATTCTCCACTGTAGCGGAGTGTCACTGTCAAGACCTTCGGGCACGCCCCGTGGAACATTTTTCGTGACGGAAATCTCAGCTCGTTACCGTAAGGACGGAAATTCCAGGTATCCACGACAAAATGGAGGTTTTGGAGGTCTGCCCGGTTGTTCGTCGTGAGCCTTTGGGTGAATCTTGAAGAAGATGTCAGCAATGGCTTTGTTGAGTGGACGTATAGTATTCGTACGGCTTATGACACCTTGTTGGGACTGCGTGTCGTATGCGACCTCCTGCCCACGCCGACCACCCTCATGCAGCCAGAAGGAAGGGACAGCCTGACGCAAAGGCAGACCATTTGCTTCTAGCCATGCCCGCCTACACGTAGCTAGGATGGCTGTGACGGAGGCTTTCCGAAGGGAGCCTGTCTTAGGCTCAAAAGTCCGCATTGGGGGAGGGCTGATGATGCCATGCTCGGCGCAGCAGACCAGTAAGTCGGAATTGTCACAACGGTCAAGGCTCTCGTACGGCGCTGTTGCATATCGGAATACTTCGTCTCGTAGCTCCTTTGGAATTTGGAAGATGGGCGACTGTTCTTGCGGGTGGCACTTAGCCGCTATGCTGCTGCTCCATTCCGTCTCGATTGTTACCGTTCGGTGAGAGTTTGCTTCGATCCGGGCAAGGCTACCTCGAGGATGATTAGGCATCTTGAGGACGGGGGCCACATATCACACTCCTTCCAGTGTAGATTAGAAGACTTGAAAAGAAGTGAGAAGAAGTGAATAGGTCAGGTACAGCAGCAGGAGGAGCCTTGGCAGATGGCTTCCCCCACTTGCAGCTTGACCACCTCACCTCCTTTTTATTCTCTTCTCGACCTACCTTATCTCGTCTTCCGAGACTCCATCAGCTATCACGACTGTATACAACATCCTTACTGCGTCACCTCACGCCAACCTTCGATGTCCGACTGTAAGGTCTCTAGGTCCGGATACGTCCTCGAGAAGTAATGTCAAGATTATGTATCTGACTATACCAAATTGTCCCTTCAAGGCCTGTTCTGTGTGCTAGAGGTGCTGCATCACCGACAGCATGAGCGGGCTAGGCACGAAGGCAGGCGCTGGGATGCTATACGCCGACATGCTCGAGGGGCCATCGTTACCAAAGCAGCAATCGAACGGCGGAGAGCCCCTATGCTTGATCTTCCGGTCGTTCTGATCAATACTTGCTTGACACCTGTTGCACTCCGAGTACCTCGTGGGCGCTGTGGCCTCGGTCGGCGGTGTATGGAACTTCAGCAGACTATTTCCCGCTGCCCACTTCTGCTGGTAGAACTCTTGAAGGGATTGAGCTTCCACGGAGGAACTGCTTCCCCCAAGTGTCGCTGCCGGCTCATCTGCATGTGGCCACTCCTTGAGAGTGTCCACAGCATTCTGAGCGTGGTGATTCGGCTCGATGGTCCAGACGACGGTGGCGACGCGGCGGACGTTTAGAGCCGGGTGTATGCGAAGAGCGCGCGTCGCAGGCCACGCCTCGTGCTCCAACACCTTGACATTGGCGGCGTGCCCTACACCCGAGGATGCCGCAATGGCTCTGAACTTCTGCCTGAGCTGTTCGTACAAAGGCCGTAGTACTTCTTCGCAGTCGCTCGTTAACTGTACTTGTTGCATGTCCTCCAATTCTAGTCTGACCTCAGTCAGCCGTGGGAGGTCTGCATGAAGCAAGTCTTCCACCCAGGCCCATTCGAGTGCCAGCCATTGATCGCTGTGCCACCTCCACCAGTCGTAGCAGTAAATTGTAATGGTGAGGAGCCTCGGACAAGTTGCGGGCGCACCGAGAAGACGTAAGGCAGACCGTGGATGGAGGTGATCGGGATTGTCAAAGAAGAGGTGCACATTGTCGAAGTTTGCGCGATTGTTGACCGTGAGCTGTTGGCCGGAACCTGCGCGGAGCGTTAGTGATGTAGAAGGCGTCGACACAAAGTTAGATCCTCTCACATTCCGGGTTCTGCATGCTTCTCCCTACGTCAACCAGCGGTCCGCCCAAGCGTTCGAAGGCGAAAACGAAGCGGTGCTCCGTCTGCTGCATAGGGAGTTGATTGGTCTCGAGCCACGCGCGTCGGCAGGTGGCAAGTAGTCCCGTATGCGGGAGTCCCGTTGGTTGTTTGTCAGGACGTTGATTCCTCCCGAGGCCAGGCCAGATGAAGTCGATGTCTTCGGGTGAAGTTGCGTACATAAAGATTTCATCCCGTAGCTCCTTCGGAAGCTGGAAAAGCGGTGATTGCTCTTGCGTATGGCATTTGGCAATAGTGTGATCACTCGATTCCGTCTCGATGGTGATAGCCCGGTGAGCATATGCTTCGATCCGCGCGACACTACCGGGAGGGTGATGAGCTACCATGTTTATGGAGTCTTCTAGAGGTGATACGGAGTGTGGAATTGTGCTTTCGAAGTATAAGGAGAAGTCAGACGTCGGTGGGCAGTAGGAACTACAGACTGTTAAATAGACTATCCCAATGCGCACTGCCACCATCCATTTGGGACAGTCAATCTAACGTGCTGTGAAGAAAGGCTGTGAAGAAAGGTGCCTTACCTCAGGCGTCAAGTCGTCAAGGTCAAGGCGATTTCCCGCTCATAGCTTGTTGATCACCTCAACTCTTTGTTATCTTCTCGACCTTCTTGCCTTCCTGCAGACTACGACATGGCTTCTTACCGATATTTCTACTACTTGAACGTCGATGTATAGCAAGGACGTCTGCTCAAGCGCGGGCCACTTCGCACTACCCCTGCTGCGCCTGGCGTCCAGTCGGACTTGTATTTGCTACATAACATGCTTATCCCCTTACTCGTCTACTCCTCGCTCGTGGTCCAAGATCGGATACAGCATTCGAAAGACTCTATCCTTCATTCCCAACCTCGATCGTGTTCCGCAATATACTATAGAAGATTTTATTATCTCTCCAGTTGCCAAACATTCGACTGCCCGTCCCCTTCCTTCAGCCCCCAACGCCACCACCTCCCCGGAGACCAAGCCCAGATTGCACGGCACCGGCACCCTTCTAGGAAAGATGTACGACAACGTCCGCTTAAATCTTCGGAAACATAAACATCTCGCCGGGCATTGGTCGTTGCCTTGGACACCTCGCGCAGCATACCTCTCTGGTAGGTATGAGGCTTTCTCGCTTGGTCATGCTGCTATTTCGACTCGGCACCGCCAGAAACACGTCCAGCTACCTTACATAACGCGGCTTGTTCTTGACTCTAGACCTCCTGAGGGAATTGTATAAGGTAGGTACTCTTCACCGCGCCTCGTCGGTCCAAGCCTTCTTTCTCTACCTCGTCGCTTTACACAACGCGCCGCATACAACAATCTCCTGTCGAAATGCCGTCCATCCTCAAGAACCTGGCGCTTCTCGCCCTCCTAGCCAACCTCAGCCTCGCCGCAACCTTTGCCCAATTCTGCAACGACCTGCTCTGCAACGAAGGCTGTACGTTGCCGAGCCCCCTCGACTCCCTCTCTGCCACTGCCTAAACCACTTGCTGACCACTCCCTGCTTCATCCAGGCGGGATCGCCGTCGACGTCAACAACCCAGGCTGCCTGACCCAATTCGGCCGCAAGTCGATCAAATTCACCGGCAAGAACTTCAACACCGTCAATCTCATCGCCTCGCCAGGCTCGACCTGTGACTGTCAGACTTATTGTGAAGGAGCCATTGTGCAGAACGCGATTTTCCAGCAGGACAACTGCTTTGTTATCAGGAGTGATCCTGTGGTAAGGACAGGAGTATGCTCGGTACGTGGAACCAGCTAACAAAGGGCTATAGGCACAATCGTTCCGCTTCATCGATGGGGGATGTCCGGATGATCAGTGCTGAGAAGATTCTGGCATGCAAGCTTGGTTGAGATGGGATGGGGGTAGACAGGTTGATCAAAAGGATGATTTGATCAAAAGGCCAGGCAGGTGATCTTGCGCAGTATACAGTACACTGAAATCGCATCAACAATGCTCAAAAGTCACTTCTTTCGACCTTGAAGAGGCGAGTAAAGAATTCAACCATTCCAGCCATCGTTCCCATGCCATCGCCATACCGTGATCTCCGACATCAAACACCTTAAATCATTCCCGTGCCATCATCCAAGTCGTAACATACCAAATCACAACACTCAACTCCCCACCCCACCCCCATGCTCCCTAACCTCATGCTTATCCAACTTCGGCACCTCCTTACTCAACAGAATCCTCAACTCCGGCGAAATCACCTTCTCCTTCTCCGCCCCAACACCCTGCGCAACGAAATCGCCCGTCGTTTTATCCCGCCCACTCGCACTAGCAGCCGCGCTCGAACTGCCTGGTCTGGGTCCTGGACCGTTGGCAATAACCGCGCGGTTGGCGTTCTGCCTCGCCGTCGAGGAAGAAGACTGCGAAGACGTTCTCGGCTTGCCGTCAGCCCCTGGTGTCGTCGTCGTCGGGCTCGAAGGCGGTTGCGGCAGGCGTTGCCGGACTATAGGGACAGGGAAGTTGGACTTCTTATCGATGGCTTCGACCATACGCTGGAAGCGGAGGAAGAGCGACTCCGCACGCACCATGGTAGATTGCAGGTCGATAGAGCCAGATAGCTCGTTGACGTACTTGAGCACCTCGTCGAAGCCTTTGAGATGGTCGATGATGACCTCGCGGTGCTTTTCGAGGATAGCCATGGCGAGGAAGAGGTGGAAGTTGGAGCTGAGGTAGTCGGTCCAGAGGCCTTCCCACATGCGGAGGATATCGGTGAATTCGAATTCGCGTTTGAACCAGACGAGGAGCATGCGGAAGAAGAAAAAGAAGTTGGTCGAGTCGACCTTTTCAAGGTGGGCGTAAAGCTTCGGGTCTAGGAATTGGCAGAGGTGATCAAGGGTGAGGAGTTGAAGTCGCATGCCGGATTGGTCTCGTAAGAAGTTCCGTTCCATCCTCTCCATGAAGCCTACGAAGCCCCAGAATGCTACCGCGTCGTCCTGCTCGACGGCGTAGATGGGCGCTAGGAGGTCGCTCATGCCTTGCACGTAGCCCAGATCACGGTTGTACTCGTTGTACGTTAGCAGCATATCCTTCATCTGTTCCATGTGCACGTTCGTCCCGCTCTCGGCGAACGGTGAGTCAGGATCCGGATGCGGGATGTCTTCGCCAGCGAAGAGTGGAATGTGTCGATCAGTACGGTGGACGTCCTTCTCTACAACGCGAACAGCTTGGTCAGTACCAAAATCACCATCAGCAGCATGTCATCCACAACATGCTAGGACTTAACAGAAGACTTACCGATCCGCATGCGCTGCTCTTTCCACCATTCACGCTCTTCCAGCGTGCCTTGCTCGTCGACCATACGTTCCCACCACGCGCCTTTGAGGCGGATGTACTCGTCTCGCAGGCTGTTCATCTTGGCATCGCGCTCCTCTTTCGAGCTGTCCCACTCATATACACCCAATAGGAACAAATACGCCTCCTTCCTCACGCCATCCTCGGGGCTCAAGCCACCATGGAAGATGCGCTCCTTGACCTCATCAACTGTCTTTTCCAGCCTGCCTGTCCGGGAGTTGAAGAAGCCATTCCACTCCTTTAGCGTGACCGGCTTCCTCTTGTCTGTCAGACTCATCTGCTCAGCGTCCAAGATTTCAAACTCGCCCACTTCGGAGTCTTCCATCTCCATGACATCTCTAGCCGTCCACATGCGCTGGTTCCGCTCGCGTTCTGACTGCTCTGCAATTCCCATCGCCCATCTCGCAAGGTACAGCCTAGCTGAGTCAAACTCGTCGCTCACGGTTCGGACCTGCGGGTCCTGCAGAAGTCTCCGTACTTGAGGCGGCACATTTTTGTTCTCCGCCACAGCCTGCGCCGTCCGTCTCGTAAATGTCGTAACCTGAGACATCTTCTCCAGGAAGTTCCAGCGTGCGGACTTCAGCGCTTGCATCATCGGGTCCATCTGTGCGTCTTTGGTCCGCGAGCTGGGGCTGGGATGGTCCTTTGGCTTGCCTTCAAGCACATTCCGGACGTTGTCTGTTGTTGGCTTGCCACCACTGCCAAATGACAGCTTGTCGGCATCGCTGGGATCGATCAGGTAGATGTTCGGTTCTTGTGATGACCGCTCAACAGTCACGTATCGCTTCAGCCATCGCAGGACTTCATCACCACCCCAGAACATGCCCTGCCCGCTCGCCGAGATCTCGAAGCTCTCCCTCTGCAGCTTCTTCCGTTGTTGAATCGTGGACTGGCATTCTGAGTCGTGAAAGAACAATGCTGGGAAGCTGTCGCCGGCTTTGGTGTTGATGATCACGCTTCCGAACCACCATCCTACGCTTGGAGGTCTGACCAGGATGCTGAACACTTCCGACAACGGCACAGCGAATGCATACGTCCCTAACCCTGAGCTATGCGCAGTTGTGATCGGTGGCGGAGGGACTAGATATGACTGCTTAGGCGGAGAGTCTCCATCTGCAAGCTCGACCTTGGTATAGATCTCCGATGCACTTCCAAGGCTGCTTTCGGGTACCCAAGCCAGTAACAAGCTATTCCTCTCCGATTGCGCCCCTCTGCTGCTCCCTACGGCAGTCTGTGATGCAGTTGAAGTCGACCTCTCCAGACCCGGCTTCTGCTGGATCAAGGCAATGTAACCAGGGATGTTGTCCTTTGCGGAAGGCGTAGGGTGAACGTAGACTTTGCTCTTAGTGTATAGTAGCTTCACGCCCTTGCCGGTCTTGCTGTGTCTGATTGTGCTGTAGCCGCCCTCCTCATCGTCGCTCATGTCGTAGAAGCTCGCTGTGGGCGACGGAGGGCTAGGTGGGTCGGCGGTGGCATCGTGGACTGCGGATGGTGAGGTTGGCGTGGTCATGTTGGCAGTCTTGGTAGTTGAAGGTTGAGATTTGTTGTACCGTGCATCTATAGAGTGGTTGAAGACATGTTCCAATCAGGCTGCACCATAAGGTCAGTTGTCTTAGTGACCTGCTGGCGTGCAACGTGAAGTCGCGGGGTGGTGTGGCGGTGCAGGGCGATGACGAGGGTGGGGGCCAGAAAGGAGGCAACCTCATCTCGTCTCGTCAATCTTGACTTCTATACGGAGTACCACTATGTCATTTTACGTCGCCTCCATGACACCCAAGCATCTCTGCACAGGGGAGCTGGTCTATCCGACTCCAGCGATCACGCTGATACATGGATTCTCTGGCATCATCGCAGAGTAAACCAGCGATAGGTCTCTGCATAGCGCGAGGCTATGTGTACCTGTACGTTACTGCCACTGCCACATTTCCCGCATCTCAGCCTTCGATAGACTACTTGCACTGTCGTCCTTCTCAATCTCCATCTTTTCCCGTTGTCTGTACAAAAGCGAAAGCATGCCCTCTTCTCAGTCACCTCGACGCAAAGGCCTGAGACCACGGCCACGGATGACCAGCTCAAAACGCCCAAAAAGACCTCGAGGCCGGAAGAATGTCCTTGCGTACCAGCCGCTTGGTGAGAACGAGCTTCGACTGGTCAAACTTAGCACATTGGCAACATCAGGTCGCAAATTCGTCCAGGCTTTCGAGCTGACCCTGCAGCAGTTCAAGCTTGCAACTGCTCCTCCATACTTTGCTTTGTCTTACGTGTGGGGTGACCCTAGCAAGCTCGCTCCCATATGCATAGATGGCATTCAGCTGGACGTCACACTGAACCTTCGTCAGGCCTTGGTACACATCAATCAGGTGGCCGATCAACTGTGCGATGGCCTGGCACGAACACTGGAACGGGGGACCACCGAGCTCTACATCTGGATCGACGCAATCTGTCTGAACCAGGCTGACATACTCGAGAAGTCACGGCAGGTCCCTCGCATGGGCAGCATCTACGCCTCAGCTTTCACAACGCTGATTTGGCTGGGCACTGTTGAGGAGACGCTAGGCCCCAGTCGAGCATCGCTTCTCACCACCCACGAAAAGGTTCCCATAGAGGGAGTGGACATACTACAGGAGACCGTAGAAGCTGATCTGATAGCACTCTGTCACTTTCTCAAGACGAACATCCATCCGCTGGATGTTGGGTGCGAGCGAATCGACGATCCACCAGATCTGCCATCATGGGACCTTTTCTCTCCGCAACATCTCGGCCTTGTCTGGGCCTTGTTCGCTGTTATGAAGTCGCCCTGGTTCGACAGAAGCTGGGTGACTCAAGAATTCTGCCTCAGCCAGCGAGAGCCCATTGCGCTGGTGGGCCAGCACATGCTGTTCATGAGGGCCCTCCACATTCTTCGAACGCATTGCGGCTCGCCAGAGTACACGGACTACTCAAAAGCTGAAAGAGGCATGTTAGGGTTGGAAACAACTGTCGTGCAACAGATGAATGAGAAGTTCAACGTCACTTACCTTCCCGGACAGATCTCCTCCCTCGACTTTCAAACGGCGTCGCCTGCCGATCAGCTGCTAAGCGTCCTCCTCCACCAAAGTCGCAAGGCGGCGGCATTGCCGCAAGATAGGATCTACAGTGTTCTGGGCTTGATCAATGCCGCCAAGCTGCCAGCCAACCTGACGCCGGACTACCAACTATCGCATCACCAGGTCTTCCAAGATTACACCCGCTTCTTGATCTCCGAGACACGAGATCTGCAGCTCTTGTCCTTTCCATCCCCGCTCGATCAGCCGAGTTGGGTGTTTCGTTTCGCAAGGGATGAAGCCCCGGTCACGACACCAGAAGTATTCCACTCAGGCCACTTCACCGCCGACGGCTTGGGCCTTGTTGTCGACGCCACAATGCTAGCCCGCGTCGCAGTCTTCTTACCATGTCCAACACCTCCCGACACAGAAGGGAAGCTACAAATCATCCACGACGAGTATATCCCCGCCGCAGCGCAATACTTCGGCGTCGCTCCTGAAGTCGAATGGCGCGACTGGATCGAAGCACGAATCAACTACTTCTTCTACGACGACGATGACAACGAAGGCATCATGATGGCGGAAGAAGCCGCCACCGTGCAGGAGCTGGTGCAAGTGCTCGCCGAACGCAGCGTCTTGCTCACCGAGCTCAGTGATGTCTCTTATTGCATCCTTGACACTGGAGAAGGAGACGATGCTTATCTAGACGACAGGGCGAGGGGAGAAGCGTACGAGGCGTCTAGGCTGGAGGTGTGGGCCATCAAGGGTGGGGATGCGCGTTTCTTGCTGGAAAAGACGAGGGAGACCGAGGGGGTGTATAGGAAAGTTGGGCGCATGACGGGATATCCTAAGCTCGACGCTGCTTATTTTGCTGAGCGGAAGGTGGAGAGGATCACGCTGGTGTAACTTTAGATTCGTAGAGTCCAAAGCTTGTCTAGCGCAAGGGTATATCTTCCTAACCAAACAAAGGTGAACGCTGAGCCAACTCTTCATATTCCAATATCTCACACCCCGTCCTCACCCCCAAACAACCCCCCCGCCTCCCGACAAAACCTCGCCTCCGCATCCCCACCCGCCGTCTCACTCGCCCAACACACCACCGCCGCATCCACCACACCCCCCACCACATTCTCCACCGCCCCAAGCACCGCAAAACCAATCGTGCCCGCGATCAGCGCCACAATGTACGCGTACAGACTCCCCTTAATGCCCGCACCATCCGATGGAGAGTTGAGACGTAAATTGTGCGCCACGCGCACCCAGCCGCCGAAGCCGAGGGCGAGGGACATGATCCATTTCGTCGCCTGCAGGAGCAGCTTCGCAAGGCGGTAGGCCAGGAGCGTGGACTGCGGATGGTGCGCTTGGCCCGGTGTACGGCGGGAGTGGAAGTGGCGGGGTCCGAGGGTATTGCTCGGGTTCGTGCGGGAGACGAAGCTGAGTTGGCCCAGCCCTCTAGCAGAGATGCCGAGGGGTTGGCTGTGGATGGCGGCGTAGGTGAGCGTGAGGGGGTTGGTGAGAGTGGCGAGGGAGGTGGGAATCATCCAGTAGGCGCACATGTTGACTACACCGGACAAGCGACCGGGGAGGATGATGAGGGGAAGGCGGATGAGGAGGGACAGCAGGGAGCCGAGGCAGACGGTGCCGAAAAGGGCCTGCGTGGCGTGCGCGAAGCTGGCGCGGACGACTTGCTGGCTTGTGGGTTGCGGGACGGCGAGGCGGTGGAAGTACCATTGGCTGACTGTAGCGGCGGCAGTGGCGCGTTGGACTCCTGCGATGACGCCGAGGGTCCAGAGGTACTGCAGGATGAAGAAGATGCCGAGCCACCAGGAGTTGGCATAAAGGATCCAGTGCTTCGGGCCCGTAGAGGAGAAGTGGCCGCCAAGGAAGATGCGCTCGAACATCAGCATCCAGATCCAAGTGAAGCTGACAACCACACCAAGGGTCATGAAGCCAAGGACAATGAGGAAAGGTGAGGCTGCCAGGATTTTGGTGGCAAACTCGAGGATGCTGATGCTGCGGCCCAGGCTGTGGCGGTTCGTGATGACGCTCCAAGTCCAGAAGGCAGCGAAGACAGCAGGGAGAGGCGAGAGCCAGCGCATGGCTTTGTCTTGGATGCTCGAGCCGTGGTGGGTGCCCTTGAAGCTCGAGATGAGAGGGTAGAGCGAGAAGCTGAATAGGACGATAGGGACCGCGAGGAGCATAAGGTAGACCAAAGTCCGGACATAATTGCGGAGGAGTGCCAGCCAGACAAGTGCGACGAAGATGGCAATGACTGTATCCCATAGAAGCATATTCGTACTCCCTCGTAGGGCCGAGTAGATCGTGTCGCCGAGTGGTATCTTGCTGCTCGGCGCGGAGGTGTGGAACCATATCAGAACGAACGCGGCGAACATGGCGAACGTCGTTATCTGGAAGAACGTCGCCCAGAATGCATCGTGTCGTGGAGGCTCATGGGATGGTAATATGACTGTAGGTGGCACGCTTTCGCCAGGTGAGGGCGGTCGAGGCATGGCAATATTCGCCTCCGAGTCCGTCTCCATCGGCATGAAGCTGCTTTGTCGGGGCTCCTTGCCACTATGCTTCGTCGTTCGAAATGTCTGAAATGGCGTCGATGGTTCGTCGGGGTCGCCCTCGGATGGCAGGTTCACAAGTGACGCAGGCGGTTCCTCGTTTATCGTGCTGGCCAGATCCACGTCTACCAGTCTGCCCTTCCCTCTAGTGCTCGGCGCACTCGCTTCCGAAGGCACACTCTCGTTCCGATGACCTATTCCTCCTCTTGACAGCCGATCTGGACTCCCCCTGCCTCTCCATAGCTCTGGACTCGGGCTGTCGTCTCTATCGTGCCTTTGCCCTTTCACCTCCTCTATCCCATCATCTTCCAGCTCTGAGCTCTCCGTCAAATGGCTCGCACCAAACTGCTGCCGACTTCGCTGCAGCGCATACATGTCCGCAACCTCCCGCTCGTGCTCATGCCCTTCGTCCTCCTCCCTCAAGCCGTCGTCCTCCGCCTGGAAGAACAGCGGCGCATCCTCGCCTCCCCTTCTCCCCAGCCTCGAAGCAAAAGGAAAGCGCGTTTGCGATGCTGGCCGCGAGCTTTGGTAGGGGTTTGCGTTGGTATTCATGTAGTAGCTTCCGCTCGGTCGCTGGACGTATCGTGAGTTCGGAGAGAGGTGCTGTCGACGCCGGCGGTCGAGGGGGCTGCGCGCACGTTGACTTCTGGAGCCGTCGTTGTTATCCGGATATTGACTGAAGTTGAGAGCAGCGTTGGACTGTTGTAGGAAGCGAGAGGCATCTGCGCGCCGGTGAGTGAGGTTAGTCACGCGAGTCGATGGCGGGTGATAAGGTGCGGTGGTGGATGACTTACATTCGGAGAACATGCTGCTGGGTGGTGCCGCTATGGCGGAGTATTGATAGTAGGTCGTCTCAGGAAGGAGTTATGCGGCAGGAGCGACTCAGACGAAGTGAATGATGTAGTATCGTCGGGGTGGTCGGTGTCGAGGTACGAGCTGCCTCGTGCCTGCCTGGTGACGCCGAAGCCGCATGGGGTAATCGCTTTATTCCGAACAAGGAAGGTACGCCGAGCTCGAAAACGTGGGATGTGCTGTGGAGAGCAGACGTCGCTTCTCGACCGACCGGTGATGTTGATTTGCATATCAAGCAAAATGAGTCGGTGACGATCAGGGAAACACTAAAACACGATCACATTCAGTACTTCGACCACTCTCTCTTGGTGTCGCTGTAGCTGGACTCTCCAACCACGATGCCTCCTCAACAGCAAGCGGCCGACGGCGCCGCAGAAGAGGGCACTCGCCAGCAGTCATGGGAGGACCGGCTCTGGAGCATCGGCAAGAGTATGGCAATCTTCATCGCGATTCAGTTCGCGATGAGACAGTTCATGGGCGGCGGTAGTAGCAAGCCCGCCGTGGTACCAGAAAAAGTCACGCCGGCCGAGGGAGCAGCACAGCAGGGAGAGGCCTTCGATTACAGCGTCGTCCCGCAGAGTGTCTACCCGATGTGGCCAGCAAACACCAGCCTGGACGTCAACATGTACATCTCCGACAGCGTGGTTATGCCCCCCTTCCAGGCCATGTCTGCGGGAAGCTTGATCATCGAGGAGCGTGGCTTTGCGCTGGAGAAGAGCAAGAAGGATTTCCGCGAGATCCATACCTCCTTCTCTGTGCCAAAAGCCGTCCAGAACAATGGTACTTTGTGGGCACACATCTTCGTGGCTCAGAGCGGCGCTGAGTTGGATCCAAGTAAACCTGGCTACGATACAGCGAATGCATACCGGATGCTACGGCCAGTCACCTCGTATCTGTCAAAGAAGAAGGTCGTGAAGACTCGGAACTTGCTTGGGGCTGCTCAGAACGAGACCGAACTTGGAGAGGACCCTGAGGAGGAACAGCCCTCGTCCGGACCATCGATCGCTTCTTACTACCACCCCAACTTCACCCTCTCGTTCATCCCTGACTCGGGTGTCGTCGGCTACCCCAACATGCACCCGGCATTAAGGCAGTTCTACGTTCTCGACCCGACAGGTGCTCGTGACGAGAGCGGCAAGAACGGCTTCTACTACCCGCTCTGCTATCTCAACACTTTCTGGCAACTCAAGTCTCACATGACCGAGCTGAACAGCACGTTGCCAGTCGATCGTCTTGATATGAATGTTGCTCTCTCCACGCTCGCGAACTGGCAGTTCTCTATCATGGCCACCATGGATGAAGGCATGAAAGAGACTGCGCGTAAAGCCGCGCGAGGCGAATCCACACCAGGCGGCGGTGATGGCAGCGAGATGGAGCTCATCAAGGAGACCCTTCTCGACACGAATCCATTCCTTCTTGGCACGACGGTCATCGCCACTCTGCTGCACATGGTCTTTGAGATGCTCGCCTTCAAGTCCGACGTCGGCCATTGGCGCAAGAAGAAGGACAATGTCGGTGTGTCCGTCCGCACTATCCTCTCCAACGTTGTGATGCAGAGCATCATCCTGCTTTACCTCCTCGACAACAACGAGAGCACGTCATATATGATTCTCTTCGGACAGGGTGTCGGCATAGCAATCGAAGCTTGGAAGATCACCAAGACTGTTAATGTTCGTGTTCGGGAGCCAGCGCAGGACAGCTTCTTTTATGGCAAGCTGCCTTACACTGTTATCTTCGAAGACAAGCACGAGCTCTCCGAGACAGAAGAGAAGACAGAAGAATACGACCGCATTGCCTTCAAGTGGATGGGCATCGTCGCCGTCCCTCTCCTCCTCGCCTACGCCGTCTACTCCCTCATCTACGACACTCACAAGAGCTGGTACAGCTTCATCATCACCACCCTCGTCGGCTCCGTCTATGCCTACGGCTTCCTCATGATGGTAACACCTCTCCTTCCCGCCCATCCCCATCTCAACCACTAACTTTTCGCCTCAGGTGCCAAGCTTATACATAAACTACCGCCTCAAATCCGTCGCCCACATGCCCGCTCGCACGATGATGTACAAATTCCTCAACACCTTCATCGACGACCTCTTCGCCTTCACCATCAAGATGCCGCTGCTGCACCGCCTCGCCACCCTGCGCGACGATGTCATCTTCTTCTTCTACTTGTATCAGGCATGGGCGTACAAGGTGGATTACACAAGAGTGAATGAGTTTGGACAGGGCGGGGATGATGAGGGGGTGGAGGAGAAGAAGGCTAGTGAGCCGTTGAAGGGGGAGGCTGGGGGAAAGGGTTTGAGCGAGTTGGGGGATAGAGTTTCGAAGGAGGGAAAGCAGAAGGCGAATGGGGCGGTGAGCAGTGGGAAGGATGCTGGGGGTGGGAGGAAGAGGAAGGGGTAGGTAGGGGGGAGGATGGGAACGAGTGTGACATAGTTGGACATATCAGTTGTAAGTGCACGTTGCTGCAATGCCGTTGTTGAGTCATACTTGTTCAAGAGATACGCTATGCTCCTCACTGCTCCACGGTCTGCGACAGATCTGGCGCGACGGCCCCTTCTTGAACTCCCCCTCCTGCTGATGCTGTGCAGGACCACCACATTCCAACAAGACGCAACGCCATCTATTGTCAACCAAACCGCCGACAACGTGGTCGGGATATCTTGCACCACCTCCGGACCATTGCCTCTCGCTCCACGATTGGCCAGAGAGATTCGCGCGCTAGCTGGCGTCGATTTTCATGTGATCATACCGAGGCTCTGCTCCTCATCCAGCCTGTCCTGATCACGAACCTCAAGGGAGCAAGGACGACTTCACCTCACCACTCCTTCAAATACTCCATGTACCATTGGCCAGAATAACACGGCGCTAGCTTACGGCCACCTCCCCTTCGACAGCGGCGAACGGGTGCTGGCAACATCCTCCCGGGCTCGAAAGGCACGACCTGACTTCATCATTACCCCTACGACGATTGGACGAGAAGGACGACGCGCTAGCGGATGTGCGTTCTGAGCGCCGACAGCGGAGAGAGCATCCGGTACTCGAGCAACGGCGCCGGTGGGCTGGGAACGGAGACGATTTCACTTCATTGATGCTTGGGTACGATTGGCTGAGAAAATTGACGCGCTAGCTGGTGTGAAGATTTCATGTGATAGGGCCGAGGTCGGGTTGATGTGCTGGCTCGTCCTTGGGTCGGTCGTGGACGACAAGGACGATGAGCTCACCACTGTGTCGCTGGACGTTTGGCCGAAGGAGCAGAACGAGGGCCAGACCTCGACGCCTCGCCGAGAGCGGCATGTCCGTCCGTACCAGGAGACCCGCCGAACTCCGCAGCATCAATTTCACTTCATCCCCTCCCGCAGCCCCCATTGGCCAGCCCAGCCGTCGCGCTAGCTGGCGTCCAGCTGTTCGCCAAGGATACCACCTTTTTCTGCGAGGGTGCATGTGGAGTCGAAGCCGACGACCTCACTTCATTGTTCCTTGAGGCGTGAGTGGTCGGGAGCAGGCGGCGCTAGCTGGTGTTCAGACGGGCTCCGAGGGCGGAAGCTGGAGACGAGGGGGAGGGGGAGGGGGAGGGGGAGGACTTCACTTCATCGATGCTATAAGCACTCGATTGGCCGGGTGCGGTGAACGCTAGCTGATCTTGAATTGCTCGCCGTGAGCGGCAGGAGGATACGAGGGTGCTGCGCTACTGCGACGACTTCACTTCATCACCGCTCCGACTGCCATTGGCTGGAGAAAAGGCTACGCTAGCTGGTGTTCATTTCCATGTGACAGCGGGAGGTGAATTCATGCCCTCTGGAAGTCCTGGAACAGATCATCAGGCTCGTATTGCTACGAGATGTGTTTTTTCTTTCTCAGTTGAGTTGGAAGAGAGTTTGTGCTCTCTTTTGGGCATTGAATGGGTATGGGACATTTGATGGTTTTTGATACCATGCGCATTGGTAGTGGTTGGGCTCGACTGTTTCTTGTAACATGTTTCTTCTGAGCATGTTGGGATATTGGACACGTGTGCAGGAGGACAATTTGATGGTGAGCAGCGAGTGGTGGTTGCAGAGATCATCGTCATATTACAAGTCCAGCAAACTCAGAGGCGCAGAGCATACTGTCCCTACTTGAGACAACCATTCCCGTTAGAACCATCGCTATGTATCTCCACGTTGTCCTCCTCCCCCATTCCTCCCCTTCCCACCCTATCTCCGTCCTCACCCCCCTCCGTCCTCCCCCCCACCCCACCCTTCACCGCCCCCTCCAACCCCCTAACAGTCTCCTCCCCAAGCGGCGGCGCAATCCCCTGCCTCGCCAAATCCTGATAATTCGCCACGACAAACCTCATCACATCGCTCGGCCCCAGCCACGCCATCACCTGCAGCGTAATCTCCGCCGGCAGCCTCAGCAGAGGAAACAGCGCGGGGATCTGGGTGTGCTGCGTGATGTAGGCGATGCGGGAGGGGGTTAGGGAGGGCGCGAGGTTGTGGGTGCAGAGGAGCGGGTAGTTGGCGAAGGCGAAGTTGATGAAGGATTCCGGGGGGAGGTGGGAGATGATTTGGAGGATTAGTTCGGCGGGGAGGTGGTAGAAGGGGTGGTCGGGTCGGGGGTGGGTGTGGGTGGAAGATAGGTGTTCAGGAGCCGTCATTGTGTTGCTCGTGTGGTGGGTGCTTCAGTCGGTGTGGGGTTTCTTGGGTTGAGCGTTTGAGGTTCCTGTGAGGAATTGCCAGGCGTAGCCGGATATGAGCCAGCTTCCGATCGCGAGGGCGATGATGTAGATTACTGTCGGCACCAGGGACTTTGGAAAGATGTTGCCGATGAACGGGTCAAGAATGATATCGACGTCCACGGGAGGCGGGTGTTGCATCAAAGTCGCATTGGTGGTGAAGAAGTCGGCTGCGGCAGTGATCCGTAGGAACAAGACACTCGGTCTCTGATCGTTCGCAGTCTTTGCTGCCTTGTCTGTCCGACTCTGGCTGTAGTCGCTGAGCTTTTGAAATAACTGCTCGTCGTCCAGTATTGCGCTTGGCTCAAACGTATCGATCCAGAATGTCGTCGGCTGAACCGCTGCCCAGCACACCCTCACTTCGTACCGCTGTCCAGGATTGAGGTCGGAGAGCAAGAACCACGATTCGACGCCTTGCGGTTCCTTGCTCGCTGTCGCCGTGGGAAACGCAACTGAAAGAGCAGTCCTCAGAGAAGGAGTCGCTGGCGCGAGCACGTCCAGTCCTCGCAACTCTCCTAACTGTGAGATGTGATTTGCAGGCGGCGCGACGAAGATGATCTTCTCGGTATTGGCATGGACGTTAACGGCAAGGAAGGCAATAGAGGAGAGGAAGCGAGCCGGCTTCATGGTGGAAGTGGCGGCGAAAATGCGCGTGGGCGGGTGGTGTGACGGCAATGGGAATCCATGGTTGCTTCAGTGACACATGACGAGGTGGTGCTTGCGGGTCGAGGATATATTCATCTTTACTACCAGACACAGCATGTGAGGTGTCGTTAGGGACGATGCAGAGGTGAAGACGCTATTGGTTGGGTTGTAGAAAGACCCACTGGCAGGGATGTTTTTCACGTGACGTGTACGCTAGACGCTGTAAAACGTACACAGCTCGTGCAAAGACGGCGAAGGCCACCGTAGATAGAAGACTTGGTATAAATGCCTAAAGACTCATCGTAGCTCCACACCGGCCCATGGCCTGCCCTTCGATGCCCAGCCGGTGTACCCTTCCCGAACTGCGTGTGGCCAGCTGAGCTAACTCACACCCAGCGGAAGCAACCTGTACACGTTCAGGCTGGGGAGAAGCTCCAAAGGCGCAGAAATTCATGGCGTGCCTAGCGGCATATGAAAGGCTCCATGGCCATATGGCTCGTGTTGCCTCTTCTGTCCATCCAACTCAACCCCTCGTAGCCTGATCCCTCAACTTCTGTATCACCCCATCCACCGCCTCCATATCCGCCGCATCCACCCTCCTCACCATCACGAACCCCTCCGGCAAGTTCTTCTCCAACTCATCCATGCCGGGCTGGAAATTCCTCACCTCACTACTCAACGCACTAACCGCCTTCTTCCGCACCGCCTGATTCCCATCCTCAAGCGCCAGCTTCGCCAGCTTCGGTATTGTGTTCGTCCTCAGCATCATCTCCTGACTCTTGACATTATTCTGTACGGCGGTACTACAGCACCAAGCCGCCATCCTCCGCATCTCGGGCTCCTCGCTGTCCAGTTGCGCGGTGAGCGGTGCCCACATGCCTAGGCTCTCCATGTTGTTCGCGTTGTCGATTTGTTCGATGAGTTGTTCCAGGTTGTCCCACGCGACCATTTTGTTCTCGAGGTCGACTTCGGAGAAAGGCGCTATTATTGCGGTCATGGCTTCGCGCATGCGGTCTGCATCGCTGGGGCCGCCGAGGAGTTCGGCGAGGGCGGAGGGGTTGAGGCCTTGATTGGGGTCGCGTTGTTGATCGGTGGGTTGGACGGTTGGGTCGTTGCGGGAGGCGTCGGAGTTCTCGATGGACCATTGGAGGAGTTGGTTCAAGGATTCTTGTTTACTTGTGTCCATGGTGGGTGTTGTGGCTGAGTGAGATACTGGTTGGGACTCGAAAGAGTTCTGGTTGTATAAGAAACGGTGCGCGGTATTATACTGCCCTCGAAATTTAAATGGTATGAAGAAGACAATATTCTACCTTGCTCTTACCCTTCAGGGTCGTGCCTGATGATCGCACGTTCTAGCACATTCTCGGATCTTCTGCCGAGTATTGTAAGTCGTTCAGACGAGCAATGTCGTCTGTTCAGTCGGGAGCCGTAAGGTGACTACGCTTGAGGAAGCTGATGGCGCTGATAGGGGTTTATTATTGTGTCCCTCGCCGTCGCCGCTATTTCCTCTACCCCCACCTTACCCCGCGGGCACGGGCGCTGTTGAGTTGGCCCTGTCGGCGTTGAGAGATATCCATTGCAAGCGAGGCTGGACAGGCTGGAGTGTGGAATCCATCGTTCATTGTAGTCGCCGCGGACCTGTATTCCACCAGCCACCTCTCCCTATATTGCCTGCCTCTGAGGCATGTGGCGAGCGGGACGGTCAGATTGCGCGGCCGTGGCAGTGTTGTCGAAGGCTTGGCTGGGTAGATGTTGCGTACGCTCTTCAGGCAGCCAGAGTATTCACAGGAGACAGCGGTGGTAGATCAGGCAGTGAGATTGTCCAAAATACCTTTACTTCTAACACTCACCAACCGTACTTTCCTCCTGCCTCGCAATCATTTCGAGCAGTGCGTGAACGATTGCGAGCAAGAAGGCCAGCTCGTCCCAAAGCGGTTAAGCGTGCATTTAAGCGGCGGTTCTTTCCCCGAACCACACCGTCGACACTTCTTCTCTCTCACCGATCGTTACACCCCTTCGAGACCACCCTCTCACACCACCTCGCAACTCTCCACCGTTGCGCCTTGGACCATACCACACCCCTCGACCACTCAACCACACCTCGAAAGACACTCCGTCAACCGTCACCATGGAAGGTAAGCTGGGGGGAATTTCTACTGCCGCCTTCCTGGCCTATCGCACCACCACCATTGCAAGTTGCTTCAAGGACAGTATGCTGACGCAATTGGGGTAAACAGAAGAGGTCGCAGCGTTGGTCATTGACAATGGGTGAGTTTGCGCATTCCCGCCACTTGTCAGAAGAGCGAAGACACCCGCTCCAGCTGTTTCCTCCCGGAGCATTATCCGGAAACAGCACGAGAAAAGGTGGCATCTTGGGACAGCGTACTGACAACATGGCAGCTCTGGTATGTGCAAGGCCGGTTTCGCCGGTGATGATGCGCCGCGAGCAGTGTTCCGTAAGTTGACCCTCAGCCCACCATGAGCGTTTTCAGCTGACAGCAGCGCAGCCTCCATCGTCGGCCGACCCCGCCATCATGGGTATAATCAGCCCCCACCAGAAAGAGCTTGAGCACCGCTAACAACATGCAGTATCATGATTGGTATGGGCCAGAAGGACTCGTACGTTGGTGATGAGGCACAGAGCAAGCGTGGTATCCTCACCCTCCGATACCCGATCGAGCACGGTGTCGTCACCAACTGGGACG